TAAATAAGTACTTAGTATAGGTAATATATACATTTTATAGGCCTTGAGCGGTAATATCAAGGTTATAGAGGAGGAAGAAGGGGAAAGTAGTCGTCCTATAAAGTGCTAGTAGACTAGTATAAGGCGCTATAGTATTTACGGAGGGACTAGATATAATATAAGGACTTATTTAATAGAAATAGAAACTAATGATAAAGATTATTATTATTACATGGAAAAGGATTGAGGAGGTTTTTGAGATTCATCGATAACTTCATCGAACAGCGTTAAATCATCAAACATATTACGGCAATCGATTCTTCATAGGCGCTTACATCGGATAGTGACCTCGTATCGCTTGCGAATCAAGGGCGGAAAGCCATGGAGATGCCGATGGTAATTGACGGGGGGCGGGCGGGACTCCAACAGAGTGTTCACCACCCCCAAGCGAACGAAAGCGCCCACGCGCCGAGCGTGGAGCGTAGTGCCGACGAAAACGCAACGAAGAAGCAAATCGACAGCGAACGAGCGAGCGTCGAACGAAAGATTACCGACTTAGTACCTTCCGAGAAGATCGAGGTTATGGGAGGCTTAATGGAACGCTGGCATGAGCTAAAGCTAGCCGGCAAGGCGCTGGAACAGGGCGAAGACCGATCCGCTACACCAGCCGACGTACTAGCAGCAATCCGAGCACTTGCCGAGGGGATTACGACTACAGTACAAAAGACGATACAAGACACCGTGAAAAGCGCAGCTATGCCTACGACCAGGTCCTGGGCCTCAGTCGCCTCGGGAACGGCCCAAGGGAGGGAACCCGTCGGAGCTCCGGTGTGGCAGCAACGGGTCGTTGTACCCCAGCGAAGGGAAAGAGAAATAGTGATCCGAGGGACGGAAGACCCCAGTATGAAGAACAGGACGGCGGCTGAAGTCGTCAGAGCAGTGAATAAGGCACGCGGTAGCACCGACGCCGTAGCGGCCCGCAGGCTACGCAGTGGCGACACCGTGGTAACGTTCAAACAATCGGCCTCGGCGGCCTCGGCGGCGACCACGGATAGCCGGTGGGTACGCAACGCCTTCGGCGATAAGGCAGGCGGTCACGATATAATAGCGGTACAAGAGCCATGGATTAATCGACAGACGAAGTCAATCTACTGCCCAAGGTCGTCTAGATACGAGGCAGTCTATAGTAGCGGCCGAGCCGCGCTATACGTCCATAAACGCTACGATGTAGCCTCGCTACGACCCCAAACGGGTACCGACTGGAGCAGTATCACATTCGGAACAGGCCCGGATGCCCTTACCATCTGGTCTATCTATTCACCAAACCAGTCCGGAAGCCGCTGGATTAGCCCGCTCCGGGACCTCCCTAGTGAGCCCCGGAAGGGAAGCAGGTCCTCGTAGGGGACTTCAATACACATCACCCGTTGTGGGACATACACGGACGATCGTCACGGGGTAGCGAGAATGTGGTAGAGTTTGCGCGACGGTGGCAATTAGAACTCGCCACACCTTTCGGGGAAATTACACGGCAAAGACACAGACAAAGGGACTCAACTATCGACCTTGCATGGGCGACGAAGGGGACCGTAATAGACTACGAAGGGGACCCGGGCCTAGAGGGATCGGACCATAGGGCGCAAGTAATCAGGGTAATATCTAACGAGGAGGCAGCGAATGAAGGCCGCCGTAACACCGAGGGGTGGAATTGGACGATGGCAGATAAGTGGCTAATCGTAGCCGAGTCGGGCCAGAGATTCATGAACTATTTGCCGGTTGAGACGAGAACGGAGCTAGACCAGGCGGTCGATTGGGTCATCCAAAACCTCCAAGAGATCGCCGACGTAGCGGCCCCTAGGCGTACTGTTGGTAGAGGCGCCGGGACCCCGTGGTGGTGCCCCCAGGTCAGCAAGGCTTGCGCTGAGACGAAGAGGCGACGACGAGATTACCTCCACGCGAGGTCGCAGACTAACTGGGATGAATACTTAAGAGCTAACCAAAAACAACGGCTCGAAATCAGCGAGGCACAGGCGCGGAGCTGGCATGAGAAACTCGAGAGGACGGCGAAGGATCATAAAAGCCTTTGGGCACTACAGAGATGGGCTAGGCTGCGGAGCTGGACACCCCCTGACACCCATGGGATGCCGGATCTTCGACGGAACGCAAGCGATGCACCCACAGCGCGCACCCACGACGAGAAGTCAAAGCTACTAGCTGAGAGGTTCTTCCCAGACCCGGATATAGACCTGTCGGATCTCGATCACAACCCGCCACGGACGAGACCAGACCTGGACGTCCCTAAGGAGGTAAACGCGAAGGACATCGAGGCTGTTATCAAGAAGACAGCGGCTTGGAAGGCCCCCGGCGATGACCAGATCCCTACGGGCCTACTGAAAATCTGTGGTAAACCCCTATGGGAGATCCTAGCGGATATAGCGACCGTAAGCTTTAGGCTAGGATACTACCCGGAGCGCCTCCGCTCGGCAAAGGTAGTCGTTATCCCTAAGCCGAACAAAACGACAGCCCAAAAGCAGACCCCTAGCGGCTGGCGACCGATAGCGCTGCTTAGTACGATAGGGAAGGCGATAGAGGCGGTGATATGCCAGCGTATCACTACCGTCGCGGAGACGGCCGGTCTGCTACCAAACGGCCAAATGGGTAACCGAAAGGGGCGGTCCACCGAATTAGCGATACGTATAGTCGAGGACGTAACCTATACAGCTTGGAGGCGCGGAGGGATCGCCACACTACTACAACTTGATATTAAGGGGGCGTTCGACACAGTTAACCACAGGCGTTTGATTTCTATACTAGCCCGGAAGGGCTACCCGGAGTGGGTTCAGGAATGGGTACACAGCTTCGTAGAGGATAGGACAGTACGCCTCCGGTTCGACGGTAAGGAGTCAGAGCTGATCCCTCTACGAGCTGGCGTCCCCCAGGGGTCGCCACTCTCCCCGATACTATTTATCCTATATATCTCGACGCTATATGAGGAACTAGCGGAGAAACACCCCCTACTCTTAGTCGTAGGGTTCGCGGACGATACGAACCTACTCAGCGTGAGCACAGACACGGGCACGACCTGCCGCCGACTAGAGGACGCTTGGGCTACGTGCCAACGGTGGGCCGCCAGGCACGGGATGGAGTTCGCTCCGGACAAGAGTGAGCTGATGCACTTCACTAGAACCCGAGACCCCTCCCCGCAGAGTATCCGTCTTGGAAACGCTACAGTAACGCCGAAGGTCTCGGCAAGGTGGTTCCTAGGGGTCTGGTTTGACCGCAAATTAACGTGGCACGCCCATACCGAACGGGTTAAATCAAAAATGGCGACTCAGAAGCTAGACCTAACAAAGCTAGTGAACATGGCGTGGGGCTGCGATCTCATACGGGCGAGACTACTGTACACGTCGGTTATTCGCAGCGCGATCACCTTCGGGGCGGCTGCGTGGCACACTATAAGCGAGGAACCAGCGGGACCAGCTAAGAGCCTAGTCGGGATACAGAATGAGTGCCTCCGAATAGTCTGTGGCGCCTATAAAGCGACACCGGTCCGACACCTAGAAATAGAGGCAGCTATCCCGCCACTAGACCTATATCTCAGTGCCCGGGCGGCGAAATTTGAAGAACGGCTACGGAATAACGGCAAAAGGAGCCTGCTTCGGAGCGCGAGCGCGAGAGCGTCACACATACTCCGACAGGACACGCCGGCGAGACGGAAGCGGACGTCACAATCGCTCAGACCAGCGGGGTACACGATAGAGAAGGAGGCTAGGGGCTCCGAGTGGATAGGCAAGGCGAAGGAAGTCCCGGCCGCCCTCCTAGACCACTGGGAGAAGAGATGGCTCTCCGGGGCAGCACAACACGACCGCCAGCGACGCGCTATCGCCGAGGAGCAGGAGGGCCCCTCGATGCGAATGCCGAAACAGGGCAAGTACTCAGACCTAAACCGACCGGAGGCGTCTACCCTATGCCAGATCAGGACCGGAAAAATAGGACTATCAGCTTTCTTATTTAAGATAGGAGCCTTCGGTGTGTACTCGCCGTTATGCCGCTGTGGAGAGGCCCCCGAGACGGCAGAGCATGTAATCCTCTTTTGCGGCCTGCTGGAAAAATCGAGAGAGCGCCTACGGGCCACTATCGCGCCATGGCCGCTGCATACACGTAGAGACCTGGCAACGGTGACGGGGAAACCAGTAGTCAGCAGGACTATCACAAGGTGGCTACTCAGGACTGGCCGGATAGCGCTCAGGCCCGGATAATATCGATCTTCTCGGGAGGTACTAAGTCGGTAATCTTTCGTTCGACGCTCGCTCGTTCGCTGTCGATTTGCTTCTTTGTTGCGTTTTCGTCGGCACTACGCTCCACGCTCGGCGCGTGGGCGCTTTCGTTCGCTTGGGGGTGGTGAACACTCTGTTGGAGTCCCGCCCGCCCCCCGTCAATTACCATCGGCATCTCCATGGCTTTGCGCCCTCGATTTGCAAGCGATGCGAGGTCACTATCCGATGTAAGCGCCTATGAAAAATCGATTGCCGTAATCTGTTTGATGATTTAACGCTGTTCGATGAAGTTATCGATGAATCTCAAAAACCCCATCCTTCTCTCTTTCCAATCCTTTCAAATTAAATACTATAATTCGTCGTACAGAGATATATTATAAAAGTAAAGGGAGCGTGTTTTAGCAAAAAGTACGCGACTCGTTTATAAACCACGTTATTAAGTTTCCGTATATTAGTATCTATACTAATAAGATATAGACTGCGAGGGAAAGGCTTTAGTATATACGGAGGAAGAAATGATACGGATTCTACTACTTACCATAGACCTGTACGGCCTAAGGGAGTCTATAGGAGCCCAGGACCTATTACCTTCTTTTCATATTTAGTAGCTAAGTTACTTCACTGCCTTCATAAGCCGTAGGATTTCATAGGTCAGTATAATAGGCGAGATTAAAAAAAGTTTCCGTATTATTATCTATAAGGTTAAGCGCTTTACCAATTCTTGAAATATCCGACTTTTGGTAGGGAATGGGTGGCCGGAGACCAGGGTGGTCGCAGATGGGTAGATTAACTTGGGTCTTTACAACGTTGATCATCACTGTCTGGAGTCTTATCAGGAGACGACATGATTGCTGGAAGAGCGTCAAGTCCCAAGCCTTAAAAGCGGCCATCATTCCCATTACACTCAGCTATCTTCAGTTAACACAAGGATCCGCGCATCAACAGAAATCGGGGCAGGCCTCCAAGTCGATGCCACATCTTAGGGTGCGTCTGCGTCAGTCGAGTCGCATCGCGGAGGTACAGTCAATGGTTTCATCAGTCAGAGAGCCGCAAAGTGGCCTGAAAGTGACGCTGAAGAGGCTACTAGATCACGAAGAAGATTCCAAGGGCGGGAGGGGGCACGCCAAAAACTTTACGAAGTTGTACTTTAACCGGTCGTGGATAGAGGTTATTGACAGTCTGCAGGGTCTCCAAAACAAGAATCTAGACATCTCTCGCCAAATCGAGGAGATGAGGTTGATGATGAACAGCCTCGTCAACACTTCGAAAACTTCGTGAAGAACTTTTGTCCCATTGGCTGAGTTCCAATACAACGTGCTTTGTAGAAGGCATTGAGGATGTTTAGATCGCATAGTAAAGCTGAGTTTCGTTATAACTCACAAGCCTCAGTCTCCAAATTATCATCAAAACCTTCATCATATCGAATTCTTTCTAGTCTTGAGAGAACTTCCCACGAGCATTCATGGAACGCTAGAGACTTCACCACCGACATTTTCATCTTCCTCGGCCAGTTCCGGACAGCTTTCCTCGGATTTGAATTATGCCGAGACCAATAGATCCACGCCTTTCTTGAGGCTGCCTTAAAGCACATACACTTACGTCTCCGCCATAAGATGAGCACAACAACGTCATCGAGTACGACGGGCTTGATGATCCCTGCCTCACCTGACTGAGGATGAAAGAAGTGGGGAACACCCGGAGAGACGGTCCGAGGATATCGTCATGCCATTATTCAACTTGACTGGTCAAGCGCACGACAAGGCAAGGCTAAAGACCTCAAGCTGTCCATCAACTCAACGTATCACCAAGGTACGATGGCACCAAATACCAATACCAAGCCACGCCAACTGCCACTCAGTCTCATTCAAGCGCTGGAGCTGATCTTTACCCTGCTTCAACTAATCGCACCTCGGATGTTGCTCAATAATGTCGAGTCAAGAAACATACGGGCAAGTTTCCGCAAAGCCAAGATATTCCACTCGTGAAAAGCCCGAAAGATGAAGTACTACTTAACAAGTTTGAATAATGCCACAAGAGAACTATTTCTCCTGCGCTCAGCAGCCGACAGCGGCCGACAACGACTGACAGCGAAGCGACCTACATATACTCGAGGTTGAACTCGGCAATGAAGCCGATGGATTCATAAGTTACTTATTGTAGATCGACTTGTGGAGCATTAATCTTAAATCACAGATGAAAACCTGAACAACATAGGATTAAATATTCTAGACCATCTGGACAACTATAGACTTTTGCCAGTGTGCCTTCCAGCCCAATCGACCACTCCCAATTGGTGTACTTCTTAGGTATCTCTAATACCTGGTTTTGCACCTGGAATATGTACGCCCAGTCAGTCCATCTCGGCAGCGTCAGCATTTACTGCCCCAGCAATTCTACCGCCAACTTGGCTTTCTCCTCATCGGCGAGTTCCTCCCCTCTCACCTTGTCTGCCTTGGTTGCATCATATCGCCAAAGTCCACCTGTCTTTTCCGAGTCACCATCCTCGCGAAGTCCCACATTCTTAGCAAGACTCTGTAGGGCGGTATCGGGACCTTCAAGAGCATTAAAGTATCTTCGCTCCCACTGGCGTCCCTCTGTCTGTTCCTTCTTGCGCATGGCTCGTTGTGCATTCTCGATCTTAGTCTTTTCCTTGCCGACACTGTTCATATCTCCGATGGCAATGCCCTGCGCGACCTTGGCCCACGCGCGCCGTGACTCCAACGGGTGCTGCTTCTCTATTGGGGCTACAATGAGTTTACTAGTCGTCGTATTGGTCGGGTCCCATGAATCAATTAGGTTGTTGCTCGAGTTGTGCTTGGCAGATCCGGAGTGAATCTCGAATGCCTTGGTCCACTGGCCCGAGACGTTGTAGAGTACCTCCTTCTCCTTGCCGGTTGGGTACAAGGTGGCAGTGAACGAGTTCTTCTTTCCAGACAGCCAGCCCTTGCCGCTGTAGTCAATTTTGGCTGTATAGCCGGTGCTGCTCGTGATGTACGAAGCGCCATCCAATTCGATGAAGGGTGAGCCAAACAGGAGACCCTCGACATGTAAGGAAGGGAGGGTGATAATGTACAAGTCATTCGTAGACGGCTTGTTGGGGTCCGGCACAGAAAGTACCGCGTGCCCAATTTGCTTGATGTAGATGGTCTTGGAGAAGGACGCCTTCTGCGCATTGTAACCTTCCAAATGCACTTTGGAGGGAAGATTTGTGATGCTATATGCGGTCGCGGGTGGGTGGTGGCTACATCGGTCAATGTTCCTTGTCTCGAGGCCACAGGAGTCAATAGACGCATACCTGACTTGCTCGCTGACTAACTCCGTCATGCCAGCGGCATCTTCCCACTTGCCGAGGAATAGTTCTCCCAGGAATGGGTTGAGAGGCTTCTTCTCGTTTCCATATTGTTCACTTCGACTTGCGTACTGCTGTTTGAGCGTAGTCAAGAACCATTTCAGGACGAGCAAAGCTCGCTTGGCCGGGTCGAGTTCTGCTGCGGGTGCTGCGAAAACAGTCGGATGCTCGCACCAATACGAGCTGAACTCTACCAGACTCGTAGAGGAGAGGATGAAGGGCGGGGCAGTCAGGGATGATAAGTCGCCATTAAAGGATGCGATGGACTGCGAACGAGAAGGCAAGTCAGTCACGGCTCACATGCGACGCCGCCAATACGACATTCTGCCACCATACCTTGATGAACGAAGTCCAGCTGGCGCCGCTGGCCTGGGGGTTTTGCTGCGGTTGTTGTTCGTCGGACATTACGGCGGCTCGTCGTCGTCGTGCTTTCTGCTTCTTTCCGATGTGCAGCGGGGAGCTAGTGATCAACGGAGGGCAGCGTGGGCAGGGTTAGCAAGGTTCGCAGATTGGTCGGATCGTGATTCGAGGATCGGGAAGATAGATGTAAGATAAGTTCTACAAGGGTCTAGAGCGGCTCTGCTTGCGGTAAAGGTACAGTTGTATGTTGTAAGTTATGTGGATAGGGGATTGCGTGCAGTCGCGGCTCGCTACTTTCGTGTTTGACGCAACCAAGGCTATGAGAATTTTGACCAAAATCAAGCGCCGCCGAGCAGCTCTGCTTTGACATCAACCCCGCTAATACGTCATGACCTGATGCTCGAAAGACCGCAAAATACGTTTGAGACCCCGAACCCGGCGATGTGGCCGCTAGTGGTCTTGGCGCATCAGACGGGCATCAGACGGAGCGACATTTGTGATTGCCATGAAAACAAGCTCGCTAAGTAGGGGGGGACAAAACAAGTTAAAAGGCGCACCTAGGTGGGATAACCAAGTTACGTCTGTGTATCACACTGGATTATCAGAGTATCCATAATCCATTATCTTACCCTCCTCTACTTGCTCGCTTTCTTACCTTCAAGTACTGTTGTCGCAACCAATAAAATCTCCAAACCGATTGTTCAAGTACTAAGTAAAGGACTCACTCCTCTATTGATGACTCTGTGTGGATATCACGTGTTGTGCTGCGTTGCTTGCTAGAAGCGCTACTGCTCTCCAAATATGGGTATGTTGGATTATATAGCCACTGTACAAGCCACACACACAGCTGCATAGGAGGAACGATTACCCCTCCCTACGTAAGGTTACACCAGTAGTCAGTGGACTGTAACAGAAGACAATAAGATACATTAATCAATCACTTGAATCACTATCCTATTGGTCAGATACACTTGTAATACAACAACTGTGCCTGTCGCACCTACTGTCTTCATAAGGCGTAGGCTTCTATCAGGCAGTATAATGAACGAGATTCTAATTAATAAAAAAAGATAAAAAGAAGAGCGCTCGCCTAGCGAAGAAATTGGGATCGTAATTAAGCGTGTTTTGCTTATCAAAATTGAGAAAGAAGTTGTGGTACTGCTTACTGAGATCTCTTGAAATTGGGGGTGCACTCAAATTGGTGGTCAATACGGTTACATCAGGCCGGCCTATCTGGAGACGCGATAACGGGCCCCAAAGTGTTTCATCCAATTGATGGCCATTTCTCGTACTCAAACTGGGTCTCGAATCTCGGCTGTGACGGCGTGTATTGTATCTACCTCTAACTTGCTTGGCGCTCATCTAGAGCCGTGGCAAATACCGCTCTCCTTTTCAGAACTTTAGCATATTTGAATCAAAAGTTTCATCACCACCACCATCACATCGTGTCAATCCAACCCCTCCCTTCCGTGTCGACGTTTCGTCACGTTTTGCTACCTTTGGCCTTCTGGCTGTCGTCACTCGCTTGTCCTCTTCATTTCTCCGAGCTGGTGCTCAAGTCGCATGCCATTAATTCGACGACCAGACCGACATCAGTACCTTGAGACTGTGTTCCGAGACATCCTCCGAACTCAACTCGAACGAACCCGGCCAGCAAGTACATGACTAGCCTTAGGGCACCTCAGATATTACCATGGGGCTCAGCATAGAGCAAGGAAAGCGGCTTCGGCATTGCATTGCAGTACGACCATCGAGGTCGCGTCTGCAGCTTGTTCTTTGCGTGTCGGTGCTTTTCATCTTCTACCTGCTTACGCCGTACGACAGCCAGATACGGTCCTTCCTCAGATTCCAGCACAACATCGTTGACGACTACATTCAACACAATCATCCCAGCGACAGATGGCTATTCAAGCCCCAGCGGTATCCCATCGACCCTAATCAAGATATCGGCATTATCGTCAAGACGGGTTATGGCACGAGGGACCGCGTACCTCAAGTGCTGGCCGCCCTGGGCAATGAGACATTCATGAGTGACATGCTGGTTGTGCAGGACTACCCGCTGCTTCGACGCCAGAACTACACGCTGCCTAATGGAAAGAGCGTCCCTAGCGTCGACATCATTGGCTGGATGCTGGAGAACAAGATGTTAGCTGGCAAAGAACGTGTCGAACGTGTGACGAAGTACGAGCATCTCGCCGATGCTATTGAGGCCGAGGAATGGTTTGTTTCGGACGGCCTTAGCAAAGCTATTGGCTGGGAACTGGATGCAATGAAGGTACGTCACACCCGGCGACCCGACATCCTGACCCCTCTGCGCTATGCTAGGCGCTAACATTAGTTTGTCGCAGTTTATCTCGGGCCTCCAATATGCCTGGCAAACGATGCCTAAGAAGAAGTGGTATATCATGGCAGATGACGATACCTTTGTTATCAAGGAGTCTCTCAACATTGTTCTCGGGCATCTCAACCCTCGCAAGCCGCAGTACTTGGGCAATCCTATTGGCGACTACAAAGGGCGTTTCGCACACGGTGGCTCCTCTGCCGTCATATCTGGCTCCGCCTTGAGCAAACTCTTCGATGGCCACCCCGACATTGTTGCCGAAGCTCACCTCGAATCACCATCCGCGGTATGGGGCGACAAGCTCCTAGCGACAACAATGATGAAGATAGGCGTTTACCTTGACGAAGGATACAGTAGGCTATTCAATGGCGAACCCCCTGAGATGACACGAATGTGGGCAGATCGGTTCTGTGTTCCACTTATTTCCTTCCATGGCCTGGGCGATGGTAACAAAATGGAGCAGGTGGGCAATGTTTTCAAGCATATCAGGGAGCCAGTTTTCTGGAGGCAATTGGGTAAGATCTACGGGGCCGCCGACTTCGAGACTTTTGTCAAGGAGCCCATCCGCATAAACCAGGACTTTGTGGGTCGACTAGACGAACACAGCACGAGCATAGGGGATGTCAGAACTGTCGAGGATTGCATCAAGATCTGTACCCGGCAATCTGACGAGTGTATTGCGTGGACATGGGATCAAGCGGCAAGAGTATGTCATGTCGCTCCCTGGACGATTATTGGAGATTATCATGAAGGCGTCTTCTCTGGCATCAATGCACCAGTCGCGCAGAGAATAGCCAATGGTTGCCGCTCCCCGCCGGCCCCGCGCCTGCCCACTCAATAGGAATTCGGCCTGGAATTGTTTTCTATGTGCTTTTTCTCCGTCCATTTCTGTATACAAACTAAAAGGTACAATGTTACCTTTGGGTACAAGCCCAATGGTCGGGTGGCACGGAGGGGAATTACTCTGATTACAGAGACCTCCAGTATGGAATGGGTCACGCGATGATTGATGACACCGGGGAAGTTGAGTAATGTAATGGCACCCGAGGAGACATGTCTTGGATCCCTTATACCTAATTATTGACGTTGGTATACAACGTGTGCATGCTTGACATGCAAATTTGAACCATACCCTTCAATGCACGTGCTGCGGGTCGATTGCGGATAACTAAAGTGCGGATGTACAACAGGGGACAACCCTGTTGCGGCACAGCTGCATCATTGCCAGAGGATCACCTCGACCCCGCCCAGTACGGAAACCCTTAGACGGTGACATTCCCGAGGTCCGGGGTTTAACTCGGGCAACTGAACATTAAACATTTGGACATCTGAACAGAGTGCAGACCGATAGTGAGATGTGTCATTTTTTCGCCTTACAATTCCAATCGCAATTACTGACAGACCTTGTCACAGACATTGTCCTGCGTATTTTGGAAGATCCCATCGTTCATGAAGGAAGAGACGTGGGAAATTCAGTCACGTATACCATTCACGACAACGATGACGACAAACATAGCAAGAGACGACGCAGATCGCCGTCTCACCTTCCAGGAAGCCCTAAGCATAATGCCTATTCCAGATAGGGTGGTGGACGGGCACACAATCAAGCGATACATGAGCTTGCGGAGTGCGTGGTTTCCGGGCATTGATCTCCCTGTTGGAATGGACGACGAAGGCGTAGAGAAACCCATGCGATTTCCATCCGAGGGAAGAGCGGCGTATGGTGGGCATGTGTATAGCCAGGCCGGATTAGCGGCTTCTAAGGCTTTCGAGGATATGTTGGCCGGTGGCAAGGCAATGGCGAAGAAGAAGGAGTTTGGGATTCACGTAGGTGTTTCTACTACTGCTGTTGCCAGTGTGCTCCGGAGCTGTTGGGTTTGAGAGTCATGTGCGTTGTGAGATGAAAAGGGGACACTGATCAATCTTCAACTCACATGACATGCTAACACATCCTAGACAATGCATGGGTATTTTTCAGAAGCCGGAATTGTAGAACGGCCATTCATCTATGAGGTAGCTTGCATTGCAGCCAATCCATCCTTTCATAACCTGTTCGTCACAGCCCGGCAACCCACACGGCCCAGTACCAATCCCCAAGGAGATCACTTTCCCATAGACGATGCCGAGTTACCCCTTGGACCTGTTTGTTTTAACTCTTTGGTATCATTCAGACCTGCAGGCCTTTCACAACTCGATGCTCAAGAAGCATCAGTCCAAGCCCGTTTTTCGAATCTCTTGAGATCTCGACCTCCAGCAGAATGGGATCCAGCACCACTCACAGATATCGATGTGCTGAAAGCGGCACTAGGACCAACCAAAGAGCCAGGGTCCTTTCCCATCGTCGACATGAAGAAGGTAGACCTTACGACCTTCAATTCCGGAAAACCCTTGCATGAAAGGCGTGAACTGCTTTTATACCGGCTGCTTGCCCCCCTTCCGGCTTCGAACACAGATGCGCACATTCTGACGCATGCATTTGAAGCAGATCGGAACGGTCTGCTCATGGTTGGAAACCACTGCGGCTTTGGTTTCGAGTTTGGAAAGGCGGCGAGCCTGAGTTACTCATTTGTCGTTCATGTGAACCCCAAGGACACTATTATGCAGTACAAAGCGGGCATTGGTATAGGCATGGATGAGTGGTGGATTCAGGAGGCTTCCTTTCCCCGGGTTGAGGCGGGTAGAGCTATCATTATGAGCAAGATTTGGAGTCCAACGGGTGTGCATGTGGCGACCGAGTATCAAGACGGCATCCTTAGACGAGCTTGGAGGGATGAAGAGAGAGAAAAGCTGTGACATCGACTACAGCAGACGGCAATCTTTTGTGCATTCGTCCTACGCAGAAGAAAGAAAGGAAAATCTGGACAATTCATGACGCAGGGTAGTAGTAGTAGAGGGTCAAGGGGGAAAATTCGAAGTACATACTCGTAAAAAGAACAGAAAGAAAAAAGGGCATGCTACAGAGTACCTACCCCTTCATGGGTAAGAAATTGTCTTCATCTAGCCAAAGGTATTTATCACAGGTCTTACCAGCTGTGTGGATATAGCGGTTGATCACCTAGGTAGTCAGTAGCAGAGAAAGTAAAGTCGACTGAGGCAACCGCAGCTTGTGATTTCAAGGTGAGATTGTGGTGATCTAAGCAGTCTGCACTTAAAGCACCAATCGACAGTACTGTACCTAATACGCCATTCCATTATCTACATTGGCTATCTTCACTGGAACTGCTGTTAACCATCCAGTCCCTCTTCACATTCATTCTGATAAAATCCACACCAGGGTTTGAGTGTTCTTCCGAATTTCTTCACAAAACCACACCTTTCACCTCCATAAAATATCCAACTCAGCCTAGGCTTTCACGTTTCGCGAATACGCATAACTCCCTTGCCTGTTTCACTCCTACGTCATAAACGACAGTCACAAGCAACCATGTCTTTCACGCATTCCCTACTGGTTCCTATGCCAGCCAACCACACCACCAAGATGTCTGCCGAAATCAACGAGCAGATCGACGAGCTCACAGAGATCCAGCTGCGATTGAAAATGGTTGCTCAAGAGTACATCAAGGCCACCGAGAAGCTCGGTGCCACTGTTTCGGGACGCGACAAGTCCATCGGCGTCAAGGACCGAATGAGCAAGATGATTCTCAACGCCAAGGAGTCGGTTGCCAATCTCGACCAGATGATCCAAGCGACCGACAATCTACTCAACCTGAGCTTGCCCGCTGCCGCCATGAAGTGGGATGACGAGGATGAAACGAAGGCCAGGCTAACAATGGAGCACAGGAAGCGCCTCGCCTCGTCCTACGTCGCTGCTTCTTCTGTCGACGAGGAAAAGGTTAAGAAGATAAGGGACAAGGTCAAGGCTAAGGCCTCAGAATCCTATGCAGCCAATAAGACCTTAGCTGACGCCATGACTGTAGGTTTGGAAACTTCGCCATCTCCCATTATCAGATTATTGAAGCTAACGTGAATAGGTGGGAGCCATGACGCATACTTTGGTGCGAGTGGATGGCAACCATAAGATCCGATCCACGATTCGTGCCGAGCGCGACGCTGGATCGGCCAAGCGATTCAATGCCGACAGGCAGCCTAGCAGCAAGGACTATTCCTTGAACAAGAAGACCAGGGACTGCTTTCCTAAAATGATTACTGAGGCCTCTGCCACCGAAGATGGAGAGACCATGTGGCTAAGTACAGAGTCTGTGGGTGCTGGTCAGAAGCTGGAAGACGTGGAAGATGATTGGGTTGACATTCTGACCGAAAAGGATGTCTACAATCCCGCCAAGTGGTAATGGTATCATTGGTGAAACTCACTCGCGTATCCCGATCTCGGTCACCAATAGGAGTGGCTGCTTTCTCACGATATGGACGGCAACAATGAGTGTTTTTTGATTAGGCAAGTGGCACTTGAAATCATTAGATGAGGCTGGCTGTGTGTTTAATACTTTGATGCACTGCTTGAGTGCTACGCATTCGACATTTCCACGCTCATAGGGCTTGGTGTATAACTTGATTCGTAGGAACCATATCATGATATGGACAATTGGGCTTGGTTTACACCGAATGTCTCCATAAAACAAGTCTCAAACACGCGAAGAGTGAAAAGAATCACAAGGTAATTATCTGCCTTTACACAAACCAAGCTATGATGAAGCGAGGACAGTATGTCATAGTTTTAGTATATTATGGTATCAGGCCAAAGTTTTCACCCCCCTGATAAGTACCAGTGGACTACTGCCAAGGCAACGCTATACTAATTCTAGCCTAGCCTACTTGTAGGATTGAGCGCCACGGTTATGCCCTAGGCCGAAGGGGGTGTAGCGGCAATTGCACTAGTGGGGTCAAAACCCTTCCTCATAGATAAAATAGCTACACAGAAGACACAACAGAGCAGATAGATAGATCAATCAACAGAGGATCTACGCAGAGTCATCAATAGAGGATTGAATCCCTCACTACTTATACTAACGAAAAGGTACTTCTACCTCGAATTCTAACTTGCTGTTAATAACGTATCCTTATTATCGCGTTTTTAGTAACTATATGTAACGAAACCTCTAATAGTCTAGCTGCGTAAACCACTAAAGAGTCTGTAAGGGTTTGTGCTAGTAAGTAAGTCCTGCTGCGGAGTCCTTTAGCAATAATATCGGGGTCTGACGTATGGAGTATCGGGCTCTGGGTAACTGAAGTATTCAAGTAGGGTAACTGGGAATAGAGTCGTCAAGGCAGTTTGCCTCACCAATGGGTTAGATTGATGCTTAGATTGATCACTGAAGTAGAGACTGCCTATCTATGAAATGCCTGGGAGTCCTGTCCCTTATATGCCCATCTCTCCTTCACTGATCCCCACTTGGATATGTTGGTTGTATCCACCCCTGTAGGTCACGTGACCTATCGGTCCTTTCCTTCCTCCGATGCGGGGTCCCGTGATCCTAGCGTCTGTATCCACCTGGCCTGCTGACGGGCCTGTAATGTTGGTTCAGGGCCAACGGTTCGTAACATAAACCTCCTGTCCCTCCCTAAGTCTGTGCTACAACCCCTGCCTGAACTACCGATAAGTGTGGTAATGTGGCACTTAAATTCGTCCTCAGGGGTGCGATGCTGCTGATGTGCAGAAGATGCTCGACTATTTTTTGTCGCGACAAGTCGTAGTATCTGCTAATTGGGGTTCTCGTCGAGCGTATACATCTCAACCATACGCTCAAGTGGATAGACCGTAACGTGGTCTAGACGCTCGCAAGAATCGCGGCGAGAGGGCGTGCTGCGCGCCTTCTATCGTGAGGGGACGGGTTCGCCGACGAGCGTTATCGGATAGGTGTAACGAGGATACCACACGTCTCACAATATAATAGTCAGGTAGTGCAAAGGGTAGCTAGAAGTAGGCCAGTGTATGGGTGCGTATATTGCAAGACTGATTCTTGCAGAATCTAAACTAGGTGCGAGCGTCTCGAGTTCTCCTCTTAAGCTGGGCGGTTCCGGGGTTTTACCGGATCGGGGCGAATCCCTCCCGACTCAGCTTGTCAGCTGAGACCGGCCCGCCACAACGGCTCTTTCCTTACAATAGGCGAGGTCCGATAAGGGGTCGGATTAACGATTCGAATTCTGGACCGGCTGTCGAGTTATATTCCGCCGACGTAGTGCTTGACGGTCGACTGGCTAGGATGCTCGTAATCCTAAACTGCACCAATCTCCCTATTATCGCTAGGTAGGCGAAGTCAACAAGGTGGGCAGCGCGCCGTAAGGGTTGACTAAACCCCCTTGTGTGTCAGCTGCGGGATTCGAACCCGCGACTATAATAATAATAATATATTCGAGATCCCGGTAACTATAGTATCCGATAGGGTCTCCCTCTTTATAAGCAAGTTCTAGGTAATAGTATACTACCTACTAGTAATTAAGAGGAAGCTAAGTACCGCGTACTACCCATAGACTAATAGGTAGACGGAGCGGTAGAATTAGAATATAGAAAACTTCCTAAGGGCGTTCTATAATTTTAATTAATATAACTAGGTATCGCTACTACCGATAGTATAGTTTGTATATAACGTAGCGTAGTACTCGGCTATTAATGTTACACGCAAAGGTGGTCAAAGATTTGTGAGGTTGTAAAAGCATGACATTCTATGTAATCCTACGGAGCACGAAGGTTGGACTTAGTCCCGAAGGGCTAAGTCACGTGGTAACCTTGGTGGTCTTGGCAAAGCCCACTAAGGTTGCCTAACAATTAATATAGTACTAGTAGAGGCGCTATTTAGCTATATATTAAAGGGGCTATATAATATTAAAAGGGACGGTAATAGGCCGATCCGAGCTATTATAGTGATACGTGACCCCATGGGGGGTTGCCCTATAGCTAGAGATAAGATAGATAAGAGCTATAAAAGAGCTCTGCTGTGACGGTCAACCCTCGCAGACTCACTACAACCAGGTGACTTACAGCTGGAACACCTGCCGTGGCAGTGTCAGATGGGAAGCCAATCATAACCCTTGTAGGAGCCCCGCCAAGCGTGGATGACTTAGTCGCGCTCCCTCAAACCTAAGTTGTCATCTTCTTTCCTTCGCTCCTTAGAGTAGAATCTTCGTCGATAGCACCTAATCGAGGTCTATACCAATGCGATGCAACCCAGGTCGTGACATCTGCCAGGCCAGAATAGCTGACCTGGCCATCCTTTTCCAATACAACAATTCACACCCCATATGCACTCGCATCATATAGCTAACAAGCGTGTCTAAGAGCTCTAAAGCTATAGGGATACTATTATATAGCTCCTTAAGAGAACGAATAAGGACTATAAGAAGCGGTATAATAGGCGACGAGAGACTATATCCCTCGCCGTAGGGGACCTAGTAATACTATCGACGAAGAACGTAAGATAACGTAGTCCACGGTCCAATTGCACACTCTGGCAGACCTTATACGACAATGTATAAGTTAATTCAACCACAACGCCTATCATCAATTGAAACTACTCAGAATCGTTATCTTCAGACGTCTCTACATCATTTCCACAAGTGCGCGCATTATGCCCGGGCTCGCCGCAGATTCTACAGCGCCGTACACGCGCAATTCGCCGCCTCGTACGACCACCAATTTGACGAAATTCGTCATGTAACTGCCCATCAAACTCTCGTTGAGACTGTAGGTCCTGTCCAGCTTGTATACGAAGTGACCCTCTATCGGTTTGTGATTGGGCTTCGGTTGGGTTGTTCGGAGTCTTTGATTCCCAAGGGACGGGGAGACCAGCCGAGCTACCCGGAGGTGTTGGCGTATGTAATTTCACATCGGGCTGTGATATGACATAATCTGCATCGTACGGAACTATCCCTACCACTCGGAAACCTCCTTGGATATTTGAAACCGTGAAAGTTGCGTTGTACGCGTTTAAAAACGCCGGTAAAAAGTCTTCTTTCGAGATATGACTTATATGTGCTCGCATGAGATCTTTGATTTCTTTTCCGTACGCTCTTTTTAACCAGCAAAAACAACCAACATCAAGAGGCTGGAGCTTATGCGACGAATGAGGAGGCATAAAAAGCGTGACGATATTGTTAGCTTTGCAATATACCTCGAAATCGGTCGAGTGATGGCTTTCGTGACCGTCGAGGATCAATAGGCGATGAGTACCTTTCGTACGAGACTTGGTGTGATGATCGATGTGTTTTATCCAATCTTCGCCTCTCTCGTTCGTAGTCCAGCCATTTTTAGTAACTGCGATAACCCAATCAGGCGGTAATGGGCTGTTTTCGTACCATGACGAGAGGTGGGTTTTGCCGGCGAAAATGATGTACGGAGGGAGGGCATAACCGGACGACCCAACGCCTTGAATAACTGTAACCCATTCCCGATTTCCTTGCTGGGCTGCTCTAGGCCTTCCGCGCCGATCAGAAGTCGTCACGACCATTTCGGACGAGATTTGGCCCATCACAAAACCGGTCTCGTCGAAGTTGTAGATATCCTCCTACTGGATCGCGTATTTCGCAATTGTATTCCGTACCAGGTCAAAACACGCGCGATACGCGTCGGGGTCTTCGCAGAGGACTCTATGATAGTCGATCCTTCGATTTAAACGCGTCCGGAGGTCTGGTTGTCGTCTTACGAAGCTCGAGGCCCAGTTGACGCCGACGCGCCCCGCGTCGCGACTTCGAAGTAATCGGTTGGCCATTGTGAAGGTCAACCCTCGCAGACTCACTACAACCAGGTGACTTACAGCTGGAACACCTGCCATGGCAGTGCCAGATAGGAAGCCAATCATAACCCCTGCAGGAGCCCCGCCAAGCGTGGACGACTTAGTCGCGCTCCCTCAAACCTAAGTTTGTGATCTTCTTTCCTTCGCTCCTTAGAGTAGAATCTTCGTCGATAGCACCTAATCGAGGTCTCTACCAATGCGATGCAACCCAGGTCGTGACAGCCATATCTTCAACACCACTCAATCGGGGAGGAAATGCTCGCGAATCTAGGTCGGTTATATGTCGTACGATTGCCTCTTCTTCGGAAGGAGTCAACTTTTGCGTTGGCGATCGCGTAATCGCTCGAGCGGTTTTACCGTCGCGTCGATACGCAAGGGTTCTAAAAGGTACGTTATAGATCTGACCAGCGCGACGTACACTTAATTTTGGATCAGATTGAAGCGCATGTAATGCTAGAATCATATTGTCAGATAGGGCACCTGGTTCCTAGGTTCAAAAATAATATGGCACTAGAGAAGACTATTGTCACTTCAAGTTCAGAAGGCGAAAGGTGTCAGATAGGGCACCTGGTTCCTAGGTTCAGAAATAATATGGCACTAGAGAAGACTATTGTCACTTAAAGTTCAGAAGGCGAAAGGAACCCCTCTTCTCAAAAGTAACACCAAAGTTACCGACATGTTCTAAAGCATCTATAAAAGGCAGAGCAACGGGAGTTCGCGAGAACAGAAGACAGACAGAGAAGAACACACCTCATTCATAATACAATCTTATGCACTTCTGACTACTCGATTGGACACACGTGATATTCGACAAAAGGAACCCCTCTTCTCAAAAGTAACACCAAATTTACCGACATGTTCTAAAGAATCTATAAAAGGCAGAGCAACGGGAGTTCGCGAGAACAGAACACAGAACAACACACCTCATTCATATACAATCTTACGCACTGCTGACTACTCGATTGGACACACGTGATATTCGACAGGAACCGGTCTATTACTAGGTAATACCCGTAGGGAGTGACGATACCTTAGAATATGAGGTCGACTATATTATAGCGTATGTTAGGCAACCTTGGTGGGCTTTGCCAAGACCACCAAGGTTACCACGTGACTTAGCCCTTCGGGACTAAGTCCAACCTTCGTGCTCCATAGGACTAGATAGAATGTCATGCTTTTACAACCTCACAAATCTTTGACCACCTTTGCGTATAACAGCGTATAAGGGACCGCTAAAGAGTAAGCGATACTTAGTTCGGTAGAAGGGCTACAACGAGTTAGAAGATACGTAGGAACCGAAACGATACTTATTACGGGAACCACGGAAAGAATACGAAGATTTAGTAGTACGACGTTGTTACGAACCGTTGGCCCTGAACCTGTCAGATAGGACACCTGGTTCCTAGGTTCAGAAATAATATGGCACTAGAGAAGACTAGTGTCACTTGAAGTTCAGACGGCGAAATGAACCCCTCTTCCCGAAAGTAACTCCGAAGTTCGGGGTCAGACACCTGAACAATGCACCTCCGACATTTCCGAAAGAATCTATAAAGGGCAGAGCAACGGGAGTTCGCGAGAATAGAACACAGACAAGAACACACCTCACTCATAATACAATCTTATGCACTTCTGACTACTCGATTGGACACACGTGATATTCGACAGAACCAACATTACAGGCCCGTCGGCAGGCTAGGTGGATACAGACGCTAGGATCACGGGACCCCGCATCGGAGGAAGGAAAGGACCGATAGGTCACGTGACCTACAGGGGTGGATACAACCAACATATCCAAGTGGGGATCAGTGAAGGAGAGATGGGCATATAAGGGACAGGACTCCCAGGCATTTCATAGATAGGCAGTCTCTACTTCAGTGATCAATCTAAGCATCAATCTAACCCATTGGTGAGGCAAACTGCCTTGACGACTCTATTCCCAGTTACCCTACTTGAATACTTCAGTGTCAGAGAACAGAATGCCATAGGCACCAGTGGGTGTCAGGACACTGAACGCAGGACACCGGCGGGCCGCCGGAGGGGTGTTTCGGACAAAAGACTCCCGAATCATGATTACAATCTATGTGAAGCTTTGGGATGACGAGAGTCAAGATCCTTGGCATCGCCGACCCTGCTGTTATGCCGGGTCCAAGCGGCGGCCTAGCTATCTATATAAGGACCATCTCGAAGTAGGATAGGGAAGGAGTTGTCAGAGCCACAAGTGTCATCCGAGGCGGGCCGGCTTCCACCAGGTAGGAAGCCGTTTGCAGCGGATAGGGAATCGCTTGGTTGCAGATAAGGAGCCGCTGTCCAAGATATTGGCCGAAGTCGGAGGAACACAGACATACGGAAGCAAACATCCAGAATCCAAGAGAGAACCTCGGCTGGCTATAAGTAAGGAGTCGAGACGGAGGAAGATAGAGAGGGCAGAGATCAATGCATCACCGTGGGCACCCCTACCTGAGACCGCCAGTGACCACCCGGTATTACGTAGGAGGGACGCCCGTTACTCCCCATCACTCTGTACTATTGCCTTCGGCCTAGCCGTACCCTGACATTCAGTTATCCAGAGCCCGATACTCCATACGTCAGACCCCGATATTATTGCTAAAGGACTCCGCAGCAGGACTTACTTACTAGCACAAACCCTTACAGACTCTTTAGTGGTTTACGCAGCTAGACTATTAGAGGTTTCATTACATTCAAGTCTACCAACAATGACTCTCATAAAACAATGAAATGGAGGGAGTAGGGAGGAGATACAAAGTTTACGACATTTAGACGCAGTTTACGAAGAACCTACCCCAAATCAACGGTTCAACTCAGATGGATGGGTCTGAGGAAGAAATAGAATTGAGAAGAATGGGTGGTCATCGAGGTATTCGCGATACAGAGGTCTCGGCAGCGAGACAGTCATCCGATCACTTTGATACCGAGACTTACACTTCATCTGTTAGTGTTTAAGATAATCAGCTCTGAAATAGAACTACCCGAGGATGTAATAAGCCATGGTATAGGTCATAATTACCCCCCGGGGGGAGGATTGTGATTGCTAAAATAGGCACACTATCGACTTCAACTGACAAATATTAATTGTTCTGGGTGCCTCCTTAGCTGGTTATCCCAAAGTTATAATAGCTGAGACTCCTGCGAGTTAAATGAAGAAAGTTTAATTCAGAAACCACACCACTAAAACACTTTATACTAGGTTACAAAACTTCTAATAACAGTAAATCTCTATATATCACTTACAAAGTACCCAGCTGGGCTAACACTGCCCCATGAAGTCATCATTCCGATTAGAACCATTTTCCCGGTGCCATTCAAATCCTCGCTGGACTTACGCTCAGTGACACCTGGTCACCAGATGCGGACGAAGATGGTGTAACGAGTGGATCTCTGTACCTCACAGATGATTTCTGGGCCGAACCATCGACAGTGAGTTGCAACTACCCATACACACTGGTCTTTTCCCAGGTCACGGCGACGACGACGTGGGAATCCCGGCCATTTGTAAATACGACGGGCAGCACGACCACTACTATCGACCCCCCGCCTTACACGACGGAGCTTGTCCGGATATCCAAAACGACGGTGGTCAGCAAGCAGGTATCCGAAGCTAATAATACTATCGAGCCGAAGCCTGCCCAAGGCCCTACGTGTATCCCCATAAACCTCATCCTCTTTACCATCCAGATATTCCCACCATCGCTGGACCCATTCTCGATTCACAATCCCCAAATCATAATTGGTCCTGTACTCCCAGGAAGCAAGCCAGGCTCAGCGACGAAAGACGGCCAGCCCATGCCAGAGGAAGAATAGGTAAGCTGCCTTGAAGCCCGTCTCGCCCTACAAGTAACACGAGTTGACATGCCCACTCGACACAGCGTGCTCGACGGTGACGACGACGGCAGCGATGATTACCTTGGAGTAGGCGAGGGTAACACGCCGGCAGACTACACAGTAAGTAGCCCCAAAGTACTGTGTATCCCCTTTTAGTCCGCCTTTTTCAAAAATAACAAAAGGTTCAAATTCCCTTCGAGTCCGTTCATATCGGGTATAGCCCCTACAGTTACTAACCATAATTGTCAGGCTCCCAGCGCGGGCACAGGCACTCCAACTACAACAACGGTGACAGCAACTTCTCAGCCACCGCGGGAAACATGGTTCTTTTCACAAGCTGATGAGCATACTGACCGCCTCATAGGACATGTCGCCGCACTCACTCATCTTTGGCTTTGGACACATTATCATAATTGCCAAGGTTGCCATCAAGAATAACTTACCGCTCAACCGCATGGGCAGGGAGGCCCCTACCCCTTGCTACGGAATATCCGGAAATTCTTCAAGCTCGCCTTGTCTAAATGGACGTTTGGCCCATCAGTCATCCAATGCTGGCAATTTTCCACCTTCGACATGATGGCTCAGTTCACGCAGGATCAAGTCAGTTGAAACACCCGCAAGTGCATGTAGAATTTGGGTCATTCGTCATCGCTGAGGGTCAGGATTGTTTTCTTTAATATCCACTTTCGTTCAGAAAGCTTTTGTATTTGGAGACCTTGGGGGGAAGAAGGGGCGGGGAAATCAGCAGATTGGACGAATCCACCACGAACCTGACCGTCGACATCATTGGGCGTTCCGGACTCCACAGACAATGGGATGCAAGTCTACTAGTGGTGCACCCGCAGAACCAAGGCTGGATATCTCTTGGGGGTATTCCACCACTAAGAGTTCTGAGGTGCTTCAAACCGACGACTTAGCGTGGCATTCGGTCGTTATTACTCCAATGCCGATACGCGACGGCACAGCGGCCGTATTCTTGAGTCAGTCGTGATCTTAGAAGAACATGATGGTATAATTAATTATCTTACTGAGTCACCGTCACAAAAAGACGCGTAAAACCACCCGATAGGTGCGCATATCATGTCAAGCCCTGTTCCCTGGTATTTACGATCAAAATAATGATCCATTCGTATTGCCTGCATGCCGTGGTTACATGGCGTGGAATTCCCCTGACCTGGGGCTTGGGGAAAACCTGGAGACCCCAACTCCCCGCAATCTCCGAATATGAAGCTTTTTTATATAACGTCGATGAGGTAGTACCGGGAGAGTGCGTCTTTTGTGTTTGATGCCATTGGAATTTCCTGTTGGGTTCGATCACTGCCGTTGTGCTGCCCCTTGTTGTTATCACGTCGTTGGATAATTCGAACTCGACATGGTGTCACTCAAGCTTGCGGCCCTGGCTGCTGCCGTCGTATCCCTAGCAGCTGCTGTCAACATCACGGTTAGCTCTGAGGGAGGCAATGCTACTAGTCCACACCAATATGGCTTTCTCCACGAGGTAAGCAATTGCATATCATCTACTAGAACTTATGGAAGACCGAAACTAATACGACCATGCAGGATATCAACTACTCGGGCGACGGCGGGCTCTATGCTGAACTCATTAACAATCGTGCATTTCAGGGGAGTGCCGTTTACCCAGTCACACTGGCCCACTGGTATCCCATCAACGGTGCCGCTCTAAGTTTGCAGAACCTGAGTGAACCCCTATCAACGGCCCTGCCTATCTCCATGAACGTCGCCGCGGGCAAGGCAAACAGTTCTGTTGATTCTTGCAACCAGTCCAAAACCATCATTGGCTTCTACAATGATGGTTACTTCGGCATGGATGTCAAAATCAAGAAGTACACTGGGTCATTCTGGGTCAAGGGTGGATATGACGGCGTTTTTGAGGCTTCCCTCCAGTCCAACATTACCGGCGAGGTGTTTGGCAGCACCACCGTCAAGTCCATGAGCACGTCGCTCGAGTGGATTGAGCATCAATTCGAGTTGACGCCGGAAAAAGACGCACCCAATTCCAACAACACGTTTGCCATCACATTTGACGCCGGAGTAAGCATTCGAGTTCGCATTGCCAACTGTCTTTATCGACGGAAATTAGCTGACTTGACTTGGAAAAGGGTATTGAGGACAACTCCTTGGATTTCAACCTTATCAGCCTGTTCCCTCCAACATACAAAGGGAGGAAGAATGGCATAAGAGTCGACCTTGCCGAAGTTCTTGAAGAATTCCATCCTGTAAGTTCACGAGCGCAGATCACATAGCTGCATTTTCTGACGGTTCCTAGACCCTATTCCGTTTCCCGGGTGGTAACATGCTCGAAGGTCTTACCAAAAATACGTGGTGGGATTGGAAGAACACCATTGGACCACTGAAGGATCGTCCGGAATTTGACGGTGTTTGGGGTTACCCGCAAACCAATGGGCTTGGGCTCATGGAGTATCTATATCTAGCCGAAGATATGGGCATGGAACCCAGTAAGTTGCTTGGCACTAGCTGTATGGTACTAAACGTAGCAACATACTGACATGGTTCCAAAACAGTCGTTGCAGTTTACGGCGGTATGGCTCTTGACGGCAGCGTCACCCCTCAAGACGAGTTGCAATACTTCATCGACGACGCTTTGAACGAAATCGAATTTATTCGTGGTCCAGCGACTTCGAAATGGGGCTCAGTTCGTGCCAGTCTCGGTCACTCCGAGCCATTCAAGCTGCAGTACGTTGAAGTGGGCAACGAAGACTGGCTTGCCGGTGGTGCTGAGGGTTGGGCAACGTATATGAAATACCGCTTCCCCATGTTTCTCGAGGCCATCAGCACCGCATATCCCGATATTGAGGTTATCTCGTCTGGCTCTGTCTTTGACAACTACACCATACCTGAGCCTGGGGCTGGAGACTACCATATCTACGGTACTCCTGATTCCATGGTTGAGCAATACGACTTGTTTGACAACGTCACAATCCCGCATATCATTGGTACGTGCTTATTAGGGCTTGAACTGGTTGAGATAAAGCTAACACCATAAAGGAGAGGCTGCAGCAGTCCACCCCAACGGTGGCACTGACTGGGACGGCGGACTGATGGAGTATCCTTGGTGGGGCGGTGCTATTGGCGAAGCCGTTTCTCTCATTGGATATGAAAGGAACGCAAACAAGATCATCGGTGCATGCTATGTTCGTATCCCCAATACAAAAACAGTGACTGGATTATTTATCACTTTACTGACCGTCTCAGGCCCCCATCATCCGAAGTCTCGACAGCTGGGCTTGGGCTTCAACAATGGTCCAATTCGCCGCTGATCCAGCATTGACTACCAAGTCCACCAGCTGGTATATTTGGGAACTATTTGCCGGACATCTCATGACGCACACTTTGACTTCAACAGCGGACTTCATCCCTCTGTACTACGTGACCGGAAAGAACGAAGACACTGGGGCGTACATATTCAAAGGCGCTGTGTACAACTCGACCAACGAAGCAGATATCCCCGTATCCTTGTCGTTCGATGGCGTAGAGGCAGGCACCGAGGCCGAACTCACCATCTTGACCGGGCCCGAGAACCCGTATGGCTACAACGACCCTTTCACAGGTGTCAATGTGGTCAAGACCACCAAAGAGAAGGTTGTCGCTAGTGAGGACGGCGTCTTCGAGTTTTCGTTGCCCAACATGAGCTTCTCGGTGCTCAACACAGGTTCTTCGGCTCTGTCGAAGAGGAGCGAGATGAGGCACGGACAACGAGGTTGAAGCCATGTAGTTGTACACATAAATGACGTACAGATGCTCAACCAATTCAGACGTTCCAGTCATTGTATGAACAGAGCTCGATATTAATTGCCTGATGTCCTGCACTGTAAAAGCTCTGTCGATCACAGTGAGTGGTATGTCAGGCTCAATAACAAAGAACTGGTGTCAGCAGGTCAGAACAGGTCAGAGTTCGGTATCGACAATCTAGGCTGGAATGAACTACCTAACCGCATTGACCACCTTTTTGCATGCACCCCCATTTTGCAGGGAATTTCTACGCCTCAACAACACGACGTCTCTCAATTTACCTCGCAATTGCTCCCTATCTACGTACAAAATGGCTAATCCAGTGGAGAATAGTCTGGACGATTTTGAGCAGCGAATCGAACGCGCTAAAGAGCTTGTCTGTCAGGGCTCTTCCCAGGCCGTAGCAGCTCATCGGTACGGTATCAAGGGGACTACACTGTCCTACCGTATTCGTCACGGTAATTCGCATCGCGACGCGGCCTCCAGGCAACAAAAGTTGACTCCAGAGCAAGAGGAGGTTATCGTGAACTGGATCCTACACGAAGAAGTGTGTGGACGGGCTCCTAGCAAGCGTTATGTGGCCGACTTCGCTGCCGAAATCCTCCTTGCTCAAGGGGATAACAATACACACTCGGCCAACACTGGGTGGATCACTTCGTTAGCCGCCATCCACAGATACGTACCAAAATTGGGCGCGTCATAGATGCTAGCCGAGTTAGAGCGTCCGATTCGAACAAGATCCGAGCCTACTCGAATAGAGTCGCCGTGCTGTATTTACCCTCACACTGCAGTGACGATTTCCAGCCGTGCGATGTCGGGCCGTTCTCACCTTTGAAGACCTACTACCGCCAAGAGCTCAGGGCTTACGCTTCCTACAAGGCTACAGCCCCAATTTACAAGCAACGTATGCTAGGAGCATATCTACGTGCCTCGGAGAGAGCCTTTACTACGGAAAATATTAAATCTGGCTGGCGGAAGACTGGTATATGGCCCCTAGGCTCCGAAGGACTAGTCGACGTATCTTGTGATCCTCCGGAGCCTCATATATCACCACCTTTAGTTGATTTTACTCCTCAGAAAGCGCAGCAACTATCTAGCCAACTACAGTCGATAGAGAAAGCCGAGGGCGGGGTATCTCGTAAGATTCGTACCCTAGTAGGCAAGGCGGGCAAGGCCCTTACACTCCAGGCCGCCGAGAATGCCAAATTACGTATCGAAAACGAGCAACTATATAAAGAACTCGATAAATAAGCTCCAGATATACGCCAGCCCGTCGAGCCAGACCCGAATAAAGTATTCGTTAACTTATCAGCGATCCGAACAGCCCAGGACAAGCGAAATAAGCGAACACGGCCTATTTTACCGGATAAGCAGTTAGAAATTGATACTTTTCTCGAAGGAAGGGCCCCTCCTAAAAAGAGGGCTCGAAAGAATATATCTAAGTCTTCGGACATTTAAATTAAGTATGTTCTGTATATAAATAATATGGACGAGTATTTAGGTTGATTCAGTTAGACCCTGCAAAATGGGGGTGCATGCAAAAAGGTGGTCAATGCGGTTAGATGGACTGAAGAAACTAGATTGGTCTAGCACACCACCTAACAACTCTGCTGGAGAAATTCAGAAGTGAGAGTGGTCAAAAGTTCAAGTAAAGTCTAACATTTCTTTCAATTATGATGTTGGATAGGTCAAATGTTCCAAATGAGTTGAGTGGCATATGGGAGTTCAAGACAAGCGTTCGCCTGCCGTCACGCTAAAACTATGTTAGGCCTAGCGTTACAGGTGACGTTCTAGCCGAAGGTTTGAGAGCTCGGAGCATGTCGGCCCATCGGCCCAATGGGTGGCAGTTTCCCACGATGGGCGGCTGTATCTCTTGTTTGTGCGCTATTTGTTATCTGATTTGGCCTGGATACAGTACTTTTACCTCGCTGCCGAAGTCTTTCTCACGACCAGCATTGCATCCTTTCCTCCCCACTCCAAGTATCCCTATATTCAGTCGGTACGATGCTGTCGCAAAACTCTGCCCGAGCTGCTCAGGTAAGCTTCTCTTCCCTCTCGCTTCCTATGCGTTCCAATTGTCTCCAATGCCAGCTTCAATGGCCGCCGCTATCACATGTCCCCCTCCTCTACCGAGTACTACCGAGTAAATAGCTCACGCATCATTCTCATTGTCAGCGCCTGGCGCGAGCAGCTGCCCGCCAGCAACCGCAGTTCCAGAATGCCTCTCGATCCTTCGCGACGGTGCAGTCCGACATCTTCAAACCCACTAAATTCGGCAGCAAATATACGGTCTCGCTGATCCCCGGCGACGGTATCGGTGCCGAGGTGGCCGAGAGCGTCAAGACCATCTTCAAGGCGGACAATGTGCCCATTGACTGGGAGGAGATTGAGGTGTCGGGTGTTGAGTCGGGCTCTCCAGGCAGCGCCGAGGCCATGTTCCGCGAGTCGGTCGCTTCCCTCAAACGCAACAAGCTGGGCTTGAAGGGCATCCTCCACACGCCCATTGCGCGCTCCGGCCACCAGAGCTTCAACGTGGCCATGCGCCAAGAGCTCGACATCTACGCCTCAATCTGCCTCATCAAGAACATCCCCGGTTACCAGACGCGCCACAAGGACGTCGACCTGTGCATCATCCGCGAGAACACTGAGGGCGAGTACAGCGGACTGGAGCATCAGAGCGTGCCGGGCGTCGTTGAGTCGCTAAAGATCATCACCCGTGCCAAGTCGGAGCGCATCGCCAAGTTCGCCTTCTCCTTTGCCATGGCCAACAACCGCAAGAAGGTCACGTGCATCCACAAGGCCAACATCATGAAGCTCGCTGACGGTCTCTTCCGCAACACGTGCAAGGAAGTGGGTGCCGAGTATCCGTCCATCGAGTACGCCGATATGATTGTCGACAACGCCAGCATGCAGTGCGTCTCGCGGCCCCAGCAGTTCGATGTCATGGTCATGCCCAACCTCTATGGTGGCATACTGTCCAACATTGGCGCTGCTCTTGTTGGTGGGCCGGGCATTGTCCCTGGCTGCAACATGGGCCGCGATGTCGCTGTCTTCGAGCCTGGCTGCCGTCACGTCGGCCTTGATATCAAGGGCAAAGACCAGGCGAACCCCACCGCTCTGATCCTGTCTGGTTCTATGCTCCTCCGTCACTTAGGCCTGGATGACCACGCCAACCGCATCTCCAAGGCGGTCTACGACGTAATTTCCGAAAGGCAAGTTTATTATATCTTCTATAGTATTATGCCTCTGGACTGGAACCATATTCGTACTGACATTTATTACAGCAAGACGCGCACCCGCGATATGGGTGGTGACGCCACGACGCACCAGTTCACCCGCTCCATCCTCGACAAAATGGAGACTCTATAAACTGTACACCGCTTTCCCTACCTCGAACCTTTCCCGAACTTTGATACCAACGCCCTCCATCTCGAGCTTCCGCATGATCGTCAGTAGACCAATCAGGCGCCCGGGGATGATGAATGGGTGCATGGAGTCACGGGCATCTGATGACGACCTCGGCCTGTACTGTAGGTAGATTAGGATAATACGCATTGCATTGAATCATTTTTAAACCGTGGATCTGGACTTGCCTGGTTTCTACTGTCTCAATATCGTTCTATTTAGCCGTCCATACGACCTGCCAAACCGCTTCAGAAGGCCGGATGATGATTTCAGCCCAATTTGCCTATGAGCAACTGGGTTGAGAACCCCTTGTTATGTTAATCAAAGGCCATGTTACCTTGGAGATCATTAAGCCCAGTCAGGCTTTAGAGCTCATCTACCCATTTATTAATATGGATGCGTGTCGACCATGTGATATTGCGGGCAGGGCTGAATTTGGAGGTTTGAGTACTGTTTTTGCGCTCGGCGGCTCGAGCATTGTAGCTTGGGAACATTCCTGCTAAGAGCGGCAGGTTCAATGGTTCGGGGCCAAGTTGAAGACGCTGTTTGGCCGTAGTATCAACAACTCACCTACAATCGTTACCTTGTCGACTGCCTGTCTAACCGTTTGCCGCCTAGCTCGCCAATATATGTGCTCTTATCTAGTATCGTTCGGTTTTAGCCCTTTTGGACCCACGACCGACTATCTTCAATCTCGGCTTCCAACAACTATTTGGTTCCCAGGTCGGTCAGGTAGGTGCCATACGTCCTGACCTTCCAAATTGCAGCAATGACTTGATTTTACACTGTGCTTTTTGACTTCAACTCGGCGCTGAGCATTTTGCGAGCCATTTTGGTTGGCACTGGTGTCGTTTTGCCTGGATGAGGTAAGGAAACGGCTTGGTTGGATCGTGATACACCGAAACACGAGGCGGGCCGTGAAAACCGGGTAACGATTGATTCCTGATGTCTCGGTGGGAAAGTAGAAGCAACATGATAAACAGGAATTGGAGTGTTGTTGGAAATCGATATGAGGCGGGGTGGGGGATGTTGAGAAAACGGTATCGAGCTTCGCTTATGGACGGACGACTTGTGCATCGTCGGCCTTTCATAGACTGAATTGAAGAGAAATTTGTGAATCTGAAAGGGCGAGGCTTGTCTGGCTTTGGATGCCCACTGGAGTAAGGCTACGTTGTCAGGTTCCCCTGACGGATCGGCATCGTTATGAGACACTATTGCAGGTATGACATTTGACGAATTGACGCTAATTCGATATAGGAATTCAACATTGTGCATATTATTTTTTGGCGTTGCTGCCATTTACCCTTCTTGCCATGTCGTCTTCACATCCCCAGGCCAGTTTATACCTGGATAACAAGACTGGAATATAGACATCCCACACTATTTATCTCCTGTCGGACCTTCAGTCTGGTCACCTGCTTGACTGGATTCACTTACCTGTGTCCTTCAACTCCCTTCGCCTTCGATCAGGAGGCACGGACTACTTGCTTGGTGGATAACTCGGCTCTCATCTACCCCATACAGCTGAATACTTTCGCCAAGAGGACCTTTAGTAAGCATTCAAGATGAGCGAGCAATTATCCTGCCCCTCGTCCTGCATTCTAGTCCCCTTTCCCCTAACACCTTCCTATCCTGCAGACTCTATATCTGTCTCAGAAGGTCCCAAACCTTTGTGCTGACCAACTATTAGTTCTGTGTACACCAAAATGGGCATAACTTCTTTATTGTTGCTCATCTTCTTTGCCCCCCTAGTTAGTAACTTATAATAAAAACAGATTGTATCAGCAGATATATAACCCTAAAGATACCCTGGTCTTTGGAGTCGATATAATGACCAGGTCAAACGAGGTCAAACGAGCACTGGTTCCACATAGCTGCTGACTCACCATTGCTACTTTTCTCCTCTTACAGCTTTGCTCTAATATGTTCCATGCTCTTCTAACCACATTCAACGTCACAAGTCGGCCAATGTCGCTACTGACTAATACTTTACTGCCTTCATCAAGCAATATTAAATAATATTAAATACGCCGTAGGTGTTAACCCTCGGTACCTCTACAAGTACTCCCTTAAGGGGCTATAGATGATATAGCGGGCCCTTAAGCCGCGTCGGGCGGTTATACAGGTAAACTTGTAGCCAAACGACTACTAAACCTCCTGTCCCTCTCTAAGTCTGTGCTACAACCCCTGCCTGAACTACCGATAAGTGTGGTAATGTGACACTTAAATTCGTCCTCAGGGGTGGGATGCTGCTGATGTGCAGAAGATGCTCGACTATTTTTTGTCGCGACAAGCCGTAATATCTGCTAATTGGGGTTCTCGTCGAGCGTATACATCTCAACCATACGCTCAAGTGGATAGACCGTAACGTGGTCTAGACGCTCGCAAGAATCGCGGCGAGAGGGGGTCCGATAAGGGGTCGGATTAACGATTCGAATTCTGGACCGGCTGTCGAGTTATATTCCGCCGACGCAGTGCTTGACGGTCGACTGGCTAGGATGCTCGTAATCCTAAACTGCACCAATCTCCCTATTATCGCTAGGTAGGCGAAGTCAACAAGGTGGGCAGCGCGCCGTAAGGGTTGACTAAACCCCCTTGTGTGTCAGCTGCGGGATTCGAACCCGCGACTCGTCACCGACCCAAGTGGGCGAGGCTCAAATCGGTACTTATCTACCAGCGAAGTGACCAACTACACCAGCCAACCAAGCAATATTAAATGCAAAAATTAAATTAATTTTGGTAGCACTGTATACTCTCCTTTGGTCCCAACAGTATCCAATTAAGAAAAGCTTGCCCCCAGACTTCAACTGGCCAGATTCGACTGTGCTCACTAGACTGTAGTCCCGGACCTCTAAGCCTAGCATGAATCACGATGCTGACTCAAAGAAAGATTTTCAAATAGATAACATCTTCTGACAAAACTCCACTGAGCTGCCATCCCAGACTCCTTGTCAAGTATTCTAGATTAATACAAGGCAGTGATTAACTGCCTGGTGGCCCTTGGTCTCCATGTCACTCCTTTGAGCCAACAAAATTGCTGTAACTGACATCTCTAACTTAATAGTATAATGGACGTCTTGGATATCGGAGTATCTAGCCTTATCCTTGGCCCGTCTTCCTGGATCTTGGTGACTGTCTTGAATAGCGCATATCGAGTCCATTATTCCGAAGATCGCGAAGTGTCTTGCTTTTTAACGTGATTGACCTGACTATTGCCTTCCCTAGATCTTCATAATATGCCCCAGGCGGCGAATATTCTACAGACATAATTCACACAAATAGCGTTCTTTAGCCTAGAGGTAGCTATGTGATGACGATATGTAAGCATTCCGGGAGTCTTCCCACGGACTCGGCTATCATGTAAAGAGTTGCGAATAGTTAGCCTCGGCAGCCCATAAGTATCTAGGTGATGAAGATATATTAACATCTCGGTAGCCGTTGCGGGACCTATCTTCATCACCTAGATACTTATGGGCTGCAGAGGCTATATATATACCCGCCCCACCAACCCCCGCCAACCCCGCCTCCGTGCCCAAACAATTGCAACTTCTGTAGACAACAGTACTCAACGTGATGACAATATACAAGGATTGATGGACCGCACCTCAATTACTTCTCTTGACACCCAAAACTTTGGAATTGTGTGGCTTTAGATTCGCATGAAGGCTTCAAATCCTTTGTCTGCAACATACAGGTTTCCACATCGTCACGCTGGTCTCACTCGGCTGCAGAATGCTGTCTTACATTATTACTGGTTCGTATATATTCAAGACCTGGAAAGAAAATCTGAATTCTTGGATTTCCGCATCAGTTCAATGAATCATGAATATTTTCGAAACAACAGCGGAATGCAGGTCTTGTCAGATGTATTGATCTATGCTATCGTCATGTTCGTCAAACGAGAGAGCGCCCGCGGCTGCAAATAAAGCAGAATGAAAGAACAGCGCCCAAAGGCAAACAAGTCCAGGATCAGAACGCCAGTGACAGTGCCGTCCCATAAATTTTGAGCCACAACCACAGCAGGAACGATGCCATACACTCAGCAGAGGCTACGAACTCGCAGAATCATCATGGGCGGCATCCTCAATCGCGGATGTACTGGTCTAGAGACAATGTTGTTAATTATAATATCAATCCTTTATTTGGAAGTGTACCTACTTTATAAGTCCAGAGAAGGCGGTAGTCTGCTGGAACGTTGTGCTGCGCAGGAAGGTTTGTGGACTGACGAAGGCGACGAAGCAATTGATCAAGTCAAATGCAAAGCAAAGGAAAGAGTTGGTGTTAATGGCATCGTAGAGTATGTAATCGAAATTGAGGAGTAGACGGAAAGGCGATATTGACTCGAACGCCGAAACGCGAAACGCCAAGGTGCAAGTTTGTGGCGATTACTACAACGTCTCAAAGTTAGCAATGTTCTCTTTGAATACAGGGTCACAACGGCCTACCTGAGGACCCAAGCCACCCGGGGGTGGGCCTTGATGACCATTACCACCGAACGGAGGACCACCGAAAGGAGGGCCGGGGGGACCTTGAGGACCTTGCGGACCAGGAGGGAAATAATGAGGGGGCGGGGGAGCAGGGCGATAAGGGGTGCCTACCCCCGAATTGTTCTGGGAACGACCCCATGACAATCGGACGCGCGAGTTGCCAATCGGATACCCTTGCATCTGATTAATGGCCATTTCAGCCGCATGTCGATGAACGAATTGGACGAAGCCACATCCCTTGCCAGGCGGAATCTTAACATAAGTTATTTCACCAAAACCTTGGAAGAACGATCGCAGCTCATCCTCAGTGACATAACCCGAGAGTCCACCGACGAAGACAGTGGTGTTATTTGGGTCCGTAAACTGATTCATAGCCATTGGATTAAATCCAGGTGCTGCTCCTTGTGGCTGATAACCGTAGTTGGGCTGCTGCGGAGGCATCCATTGGTTGGCCATACCTCCGTGGTGCTGAACCGGCTGAGGTGGCATCATCTGATGGGCTCCGAAATTCTGGAAACCCCCGCCCTGGTGGCTTCTACATTCAGTTAGTATTTTATGATTACAAGTGCACCAGTGGGAAGACATGCCTGTTCTTTGGCGTCGCAGGGGACACACGCATTGGTCGATTGCCACAGTAAACACCTTGCATCTCCACAAGAGCCCGCTGCTGATCCTGTTCGTCAGAAAAGCGAACAAAGCCATATCCTCTAGATTGTCCCGTTTGCTGATCCGTCATGATCTTAGCACTCTTGCAGCTAGGGAATCGAGCCTGGAAGAGTGCTACAAGAACAAATTCGTTAACCTCATGGCCAAGGTCACCAACGAAAATGGAGTATTCCGGGCTTCGGTCGTCGCGTCGGTCGACGAGGCCACCACCGGAGGCCCAATTGAGGCGGAATACTCGATCAGTATTCGGAACAGGTGAGCCGTTCAATTGCAAAGCCTTTTGCGCAGCGTCTGGTCCAGAGAATTCGACGAAGCAATACCCAGCATTACTAAGTATGCATAATGTCAGCTGTAACCGAATAAGTAGTATGATACAAGATTCGACTAACCCAGAGTGACGATCGCGAATAATCTTTACTTGAACGTGTTCATTCATAGTTGATGAGAAGACGGAGCGGATGAATGATTCATCCATCCAGCCAGCCAGCTCACCCATCCTGCGGGAGGTTAGTATACCATATCTAGGGAAAGGAGAACAGTAATGTTAGGCAGCTTCAAAGAGTGGTATGAGTTCACAGTACAGTGCATCGATAAATCACGAGCGGGTGGACCGCACGTACCATAGAGTCTGTCGCGCTGATTCGGCAGACGTAAAACCGGGTCCAGAGTCGCCGCCGCCTTGACCGTTGGTGGGAGCCATGGGAAGGCCAGTGGGAGGGCCGCCAGGACCACCAGGACCCTGCGAGCCTCCATCACCTTGCGAACCAGAGCCGTTGGACGGTGGCTTGCCATTGAAAGGGTTGAATCCGTCCATGGCTTAATCTAGGGATAGTTGGTGTTATTGCAGCGTATGGTTGCCGAAATGATGGTGAAGATCTGAGACCAAGGTGTACTTAGTAGGTAGTCATTTTTAATTGTACAGATGTGGAAGAGATGGCCCCAATGGTCGGGCCAAAATTTTGGAGCGAAGAGCAGAAGCTCAACGATTGGCGGCTTCAAGCCGTAATGACAGGGGAGAGTGGTTGTGGAGGGGAGGAGGGATAGCAGTCCAACAGATGTAAAATTGAGATGACGGTGTGACGGGTCGACGGGTTATTAATTCGGGTTGAAAGGATTGAAGGCCGGTAAGCCACGCAGGGTGTTAAGGAATTAGAAAGATGGGCAAGTGAACGTATTCAGGATGTGGGTGGGGCAAGGCAGTGACTATGGCCTTGGTTGAGATATTTATCTGTCATTGCTTGTAGTGAGGTTGGGGGGAACCAACTCTTGCAGATTGCTTCACAACCACGTATTGACTGTCCAAGAAAGGCAAACAACCGGAGAGAGGGGGGAGGATGAGGACAGTACGATAACTTTCCGTAAAAGCAAACGAAATGTGACTTACTGTACTACTTGGTGCTTCACCAAAAGCAATTGATTTTGGGAATTGAAAGCCCCGTGGCTACAAATCGGTTACGCGTCAGTTGGGATTCTTCTACTTATCTAGGTCAGCTAGTATTACGAAAATAAACTCGTGACCGCACAAGACTCCAACTTCGGAGTTGCAAGTATCGTCGCAGGAGTTTTGGGAATTGAGAATATTGCGTGCAGGTGTAGGAGGTAGGAGTCGTGAGTAGCTCATGAGGTATATGAAAAGGACCAAGATGATTAACCAGAAGGCCAGCAGAATGAATACAACCAAATCCAAGTAGTCTCGACTGCAAATATAGCTCTAGTCAGGTTAAGTCCCGGGAGGGCAAGCGTGATTCACCCAATGTATCTGTGAAAGTCGTGATGTTTGCGAGTCCATACACAATGCCACTGGCACAGATTAGACGGTAGGCTTTCAGCTCGCTGCCGTTCAAGTATTGTGCGGATACAGTAATCTATCTCGAGATGAGTGCTAAGGAGAAGGGGGAATCAACAGGATGTGTAGAGTCTGAAGAGTTTGATCTCAGTTTGTTCGAGGCGAAGGAAAACAAGGGCCAAGTGAAGAAATCGAGGGTGAAATTAGAACAGAAAGGTAATGAGTTTGGGACAAGTTTAAAGCATCCCAAATGTGGTGTTAAGAATAAGGTGAAGATCATTGTACAGCAAAATGGTACATTAATGAAGCTCCGCAAAAGTCACATATAATTTCTGGAAGACGGCCGTGGAAAGGCAATGAAACTCCCATGCTTCACCATGACCTTCAAGACCATAATGAGAACTTCCGAATAATCCCGCAAGTATGGCAGTGTAGGTAGAATCGATGAACTGAGGATGGTGTACTTACCGGTATGCTAAGAGGATCTTTCGAAAGGGTAGGATAGCTGTTTGCTGATACCTTGTCTGTCGAGTAACGTATTCGGAACACCTGCCTGGAACAACGGCAATTATTAGTGATACTAAAGGTTGTGAGAAAACGCAATTTTCAAGGAGAGAAGGGCATAAAAGTATTCTTAAGGGTCGTGATGGTAGCGGAAGGAAGTATCGAGCCATGAGGATGCAATAGAATGAAAAAGTGGTCGGCAGGGTAGAGACGCAGAGGAGGACCAATCATATCGTTGATGATGGGATGACAACCGCCGGTGATTTCAACCAAGATTTCAGATCAAAAAGGTCAATTACTCACCCAAGCAGTTTGCAGCCGAGGAAGGTGGCCGCAATACGCAAAGATGGGTGAAGACGACGGATGCGTAGATTTTAGGAAGTGGAATCGCAAAGGGAGGCTTGATGGGTAGAGAGGATTATGTAGGAAAGGACCAAGGTGCAGAAGAGACCCTATTTGTGAGGATTATGGCAGAATGGTGGCAGCTTCTGTGCGGGAAGAGCAATGAAGCAGCGCAGGCGTCGAGATGAACTTACAGCATTCACTGGTAATTGCCTCCTCGAGTATGGTTGACAAGTGAATCTTGCTGCCTTTGTCAAATGTGACAGGGTTGATGGGTCGTGTCGTTCAGACTCCGGCGCTTTGACCAATTGCCAAATATGTCGATTATGTTGGTACGTTGGCTTAATGACTTATGTGTTGTTTGGGGATGTTCCACAGCTATTAAGAATGTGTTCAGTCTCGCGTTCTTGTACGTTGGATCTTTTGGTTTATGATGTACCGAGCTGCGATGCATGAAGAGTTACTTACTGTGAGATTCAGAGGACTTGACTCCAATTCGTCGCTAGAAATAGTTGCTAGGCAGTGGACGGAAGATGCGAATGCGTAACTGGACGGAATGCTTCATTAGGACAAACCATGTCAGCAACAAAATCAAAGTTGTTCGCAACAGCAGAACCCTCCATGCACAGGCTTTTCGACGATAGAGAATAACTTGGCGTTGCTATCCACTTGGCTTCGTCCGAAACACATGTTTCTCCCACACTACAAGCATATGCCATATCTGCCCAGCACAAGTGGAATGATACACTACAGGTATATTTTCGCTCAACCAACGAACACCCGCATTCGTACCAAACAATACCGGTTGGTTCTGATTTCTTGCAAGCATACAAGAACGAAGGCCTGAAGAACTGTGTTATGGTACGGGAAGATTGACCATGCGTCAAGGTCGAGAAAATGCCAGGGACACTAAACAAAACGAATGGGATGAAGGTACACCAGGATAGATGTGCACCGCAAGATGATGGGATGCTATAGACAAGGAATACCATGCCTCAAGTGAGAATACTGAGAAAATTGCTCACCAAGTGATATCCAGATCCACACAAATCAGAGACCAGCAACGAACGCCGACGCCCCAAAGTTTCTCGCCCGGATGCAGATGAGAATGCAAACGTCAATACCGAAGCCGTGTCTAAACTTTTCCTGTTCGCCGACCAAAGACACGAATAGACGCTTGATCAAGATGCACGGTGGTATGCACACGTCCAAGTCGTGACACGATTTAGAGACGATGCTGTTGGAATATTCTACCTGTGAGTGGTCCTCTGTCAGCTATTAACCCGCCGAGCCTCGACTATATGGGTATTAGCAATGCGACCGCGTTCGAGCTCTATTCGCCGAGATATTCGACTATTCAAGTCTCAGGGGCGTAATCAGTGACTAGGCTGGAATCCTGGAGGGTTGCAGAATGACAGCAACCGATATCTGTAACTTTAGCAAGCGGGATAAATGAATTGACCAGATATTTTCTCAGGGCATGGCAGCGGGTAGGCGAGTCCAAGGGTAGATTTGGGTAAGGGTTATGGCGTTTATATGGAACGCGCACCCCGCCATCAATGAGTAGCACACTTAATGGCTTCGCATCCGCGCCAATTTGAATGAACGTAATGATATTCGTAGTGAGTGTTTGGAGAAACACATCGGATACTACACAATTATGAGGACTGCCTGGGAATGAAAAGTTTGCGTCACCAAGTCGCCCGCTCTATGCATAAGACAAGGGAAAGGGGTACTATATTCACTTACTTGGACCAGTAGAGAAATAAATATCACCTGCGACTTAAGGATGGCGGCATGACCGCGCACGGTTTGTCGTTCCGATTTTCCACCGCGCAAGGCTGTAGACTGCTTCCTCATGCACTACAGCTTGCACGGGGAGAGTGATGCACAGGAGCGGAGGAGGCGTCTATTTATTGACACAGACCATCGACCCCATGTGGCGTAAGAGTAGTATTGGAAGCATCAGTTGACCCTCCGGCAACGCAGACGGCCTGTTGAATGATGACAGGTGCTGTATTCGCAGACTCGACATCTCGGGATCCTGGCCCAGGGTTGTCCGCACTCTCACTACTTCGACACCCCGTTGGTTGGTATGCGTTGTAACAGTAATGGACTCGTACATTTAGTATACCCAGTTGTGGCATCCCGTTACAACTTGTAGAATGTGTTTTATGCAGAAGATTGACCATATCGACGATTCGAGGCATAGTAGGCCGAAGGTGTGACCAGGTTTGACCGTTATAACTGGTACATTGAAGCAATCACCTCGAACTGACTGAAGTCGTCTCGCCATGGTTTCGTGGCTGAGAATGGCGTCCGTTAACTTGGTCTTGAGGTCGTTCGCTTCTTTTTTTGTTCTTTTCTTTTTGCGAAATTGTCGTAAATCACGGAGACTTGGCCGAGAACCAATAGTACAACACACAGATGCGAGGTTCAAGATAGCAGCGGTGGCGTAGCGAAACTGGAAAACGGGGAGCAATACCACATCTCCAACAGCGGGATAATTCGACGGGATGTGTGGCAAGTCCCCTCATACCGCAAACGCATGTCTCTTCCCTCGGCCTTGACCAATGTCATGTTCAATGAAATTGGTTTAGTTCCTCGAACTCTTTCGCCCTTTCAATATCCACGGTGTCCGGCTTGTCCACGGATGGCTGGATGTAGAAGTAACCCCAGGCGATAATGGGAAACCTAACGCAAAGATGTACGCTATGTTGGAGGAAAAGCTAAGTATGGCTCGGGCGGTATCGATGGGTGTGTGTCATGAGGATATACAGCTCCGTGCCGTCAGCCTTTTTGCCAATGAACATGCTGGTGCCGTGACCTCGGCCTATATACTCAGCAGAGTCGCCAACCCTTAAGTGACGCGGCCGCAAATACTCGAAGGACAGTCAACTTCGAGGTGGGGCTGATGACCGAAGGACTGTCCAGACGACTTGGGTCGATCGAGCCTGACACGCATTGCGCGTGCGGGTGTGGGGCAAAGTAGCCATCGCTCCATAATATGTTGACAGAAGCGCTTCAAGCCATTGTCCGCGACAGGACTGGTGATGTCGTCCCCTTGACTCGAGTCAGGGTCCTCAAATAGCAAATTTGAGTGTCGGTGGTTTCCGCAGGCCTCCTCCCATCGAGTCGCAAGTCGGCGAGTAATCGCGAGGAAGTACGGCAAGTTCCAAACAGCTCACGTTGCGGGCCGGAAGTCCAGGCATCATGCCCGGTGAGCAAAGGGGAGCCTCCCCGGAGGTTGTAATAGAGCTCGAACGCAGATCGCACGGTATAAGAGGGGTCTAAAGAAAAAAACCATGGACTTACTTTTGAGCACCAAACTACACCTTTTGGTCATACAGACGCAGAAAAGCAGCAGAGAGCACGAGCGCCGTAAACGAGAACCGGCAAGACCCAAGGGATAGTCGGTAGACTAAAATGAATTTTTCGAAGGACAAACTCGTTTTCCGGCAACTCCCCAAGAATCCGTGGTGCGCCGAAAGAATTGTGGAACTGCGCTGTGGAAAAACCCGCAACAGACAGATGACAAGAGTTTTTTTTTCTGCAACTATGACGATGCGGGAGAGACGAGGGACGGACCGGATACCGAGAGCGCAACAGAAAACAACAAGCACGAAAGGATGCTTCTTGCACAACGCAACGCAACGATTCGGGCACGATGACAGTAGGATGCGAAAGAACGCAATTAGGATTGGGGAGAGGGGGGGGAGAGGAGGGAAGAGGAAAAGAAAGGATGGAGAGATGAAGAGGAAGAAACAGCAAGAAACAAAAGCACACAACGACGGACGGTGCTTGGTCTGGTTTGCAGGAGACGTGTGTGGGAAGGGTGGAAGTGGGAATTATCAGTCGGCCGGGTGGAGGAAAATGAGACTTCTCTCGACTTGTTGCAGCTGGGCTGCTGGGTTGCCGCTGCTGGGGTCCAAGGATGGTGGAAGGCAAGACCACCGCATCGCAAAAACTCTGTGTGCCGCTAGCACTAGCACACGCCTGGCGTCGGCCGTCTGTGGTACAGCTACAAGGACCGAAGTCCCCCTGCCGCCTTGTTCAGCTCCACAGGTGAGCAACTTGGAGCTGTAAATATGTTATTTACATCACGAACGTTCATCGCAAAGTTTAGCCGAAGGTGCATGCGATTCTATGAGCATGCCAGAGCGCAATTGAGAGTGTTTGCAAGTCCCCAATGGTAGGTACATGGTAATTGGGCGAGAGGCTCAGACCACTTGAGTGGATGGCACCTGCCCTGCAAGTGCGAAGTACCGTGGTGACGACAGACTTGACAGCTTGAGGGGGTGGTTGTAGTTAAGGTGACCATAGACCCCCCTAGTTCAGCCGACCAACCCCCCACTTTAATCAAATATTTATGGGGCGCTCGTGATAAAACCATGGTCGGCTTTTATCACCGACCACACTTTTCTTTTTAAATCCGTAGAGATTTTTCCTAGTAACTCTAGTCTAAATATAATGAAATTATTCTATAATTAGTTCTAAATCGATTCTTAATCGATTCTACTATATCATCTTTACTGTAGCTACTACAGATATTTCCCTATTATCTAAAATATCCGCTCTATATTTAGAGGTACGTACTTATAGTTATATATATACTACCGGAAGTAGTAGGTATACGGTAATAGAGCTTACTAATAGCTAGTACGACTTTATCTTCCTAGATTATATAGGATTAGTTTAGAATCGATTAAGAACCGATTTAGAAGTACTTACGTCGTTAAACTCGAATAGTAGTATACTAAGTAGCCAGTAGTGTGTGCCGTCGACGTAAGTAATACTATCCTTATAGAAGTAATATTAGGGCTAAAAAAGAATTAACTTAAAATCGATTCGAAGTTAATTTAGAAATATACTTACTATATCCTTGTATGACGGTATCGTTACGTAGAACGATTAGCTGAATTACGAGGAAGAAGTAGCGGATAACGGGTTATTACTAGGGAAAGCAGAATCGAATCGAAATCGGAATTCAAATTCAATTCAAATTCGATTCTATGGTCAGCTAGACCCAATTTTCACATATTTTCAACTAATAAGAATAGAGGGACTATCTACCCCACTATGGTCACCTGGACCCAGTGTTTTAACATCACGTGAGGTCATGGTCGGCTCAACTGGGGGGGTCTATGGTCACCTTAACTGTAGTCTCTTGAGGGGTGGGTTGGGAAAAGGGATGTCACTGTCCGAGCTCTTCCAAGGTTTCTAAAGCTAAAGGCTGGCAGCTGTCGCAATTCGAAATACCACGGACACAAGGGTCCTTCTATATCCACGTCGCCATTATATTTGTAACTTGTTTGGAGGCTTCAAAATGTCAAGATCGAGACGACATGCGCTAGTGCTCAAGCTGGAAGCACAACTCAGGGTTTACAGTACAGATAATGATATGTGCTCACCAAAAGTACCTGCAAATCCAGGACCTAGAACGGTCCCAGCTGTCGCGTTCGATCTCGCATGCAATATGTAAACATTGTCTGGCAATGCAATGCAACATCCCACTGAACTCTTTTGGCTTCCTTCTAGCTCCCAGTTGTCAATTGAGCAATATTCGATAACAAGACCTACGATGGGCGTATCCCACTTGTGCTGGTTGTTTACTCTCGCTTATCTCTGGAGCGAACTGCTGCGGTCAACCCAGTTCCAGGAGCCTTTTCCTCAATTTCTGCAGGTCTCGTTTCGAAACAAGCAATTGGGACGTGGTTATTATTTGTTCAGATCAGGTCTGATCAGGCCTTGTGCGCCCAAAAGGAAGTGGTACCTGCAGTATGCCCTACGGCGATCGCCGTTGCGCACTATAGAGCTGGTTCCGTTTGGATCTAGGGTCAGGTTGACACATCTGCACCACATCGTTACCAGACCTATTCGTAATTAACGAGGGGCATTGATGTATTCAGCGTTGTATACTCCGTTGTACTTCTTGTGTTGAGAACAGCAGCCATTGACCGACGGCCGTGGTTTGCTCACTTCCGCAGGTAGCTCCTTGCCGTCAAGACCGTATTGTATGGGCGTGCATATGCATGTTGCCCTCTAGCAGATGACATGTGCTCATGTCAATGGATACAGTTCGTTCGCCAGTCAGTCCGCCCCTCATCAAGGAAGTAAGTTGGATCGTGTCTGCATGAATCTTGCAATTTCCCCTTCTTGTTCACGAACACGGTCACGATTCATGCCACGCAGGCCAGCAGACACAGCTTTTGCCAACACTTCCACGTGCAGCAAGAGCAACGCGAAATCTGAAAGGGCATCTCGAATCAGAGCGTTGGAGCGCGGCCCCGGAAAATGCGACGATCTGCTCAATCCCTGTATCGCGCCGCCACAATGACCCCTCCATGCGCTCAATGAACGAAGATAAAATCCTCCATAGTTGCTTCCTTCGATATCTCATGAAGTGCCGGTCTGTGGACTCTGCTTCGCAAACGCGACTCAGACCTTCGTCATCTATTATCATCAGAGACGCACGATGCTCAAACGGACTCGTCTAATGGGTCGGGCTCAGAAGTCTTCAACAGTACATACGTCGACTTCAATTTAGGACCGGTTGGACAAGGATGGGTGATTGCGGAGTGAGGCGTGGCTCTATCCGTCCTCGTCAGCCAGCAAACTTTTCCTTTTCGCGGTTCCTCTTCTTTTGATGCTGGTCGAATGGTTGAATTAGGTGCTTCTTGGTTGGACGCGCAATTACGCACATGCAAGAAGCCACCGGGCCCGCGATCGTGGTCCGAATTCATCTTTCTCATCTGAAGCAGACGACGCATACACATGTTTTGCGCATGCTGTGGCTCGTCGACAAGCATACAGTGTACGATCGGTTGAGTTAATTTACAGTCGGTCTTTGCATGTGCTTCAAGGACGTACGGAAAGGACACCCGAAGCCTTGCTGGGCAGTCAGCATTTGGAATTGTCGTGGCAGCAGCTCCATCTCGACTTCGCGGCAATGGATAGATCGATCATCAGTGAAGCTTTTGGAAAGAAAAAAAACCCGGCTTGTAGCTTGGATGTCAGTCGCCAATTCTCGTCGGTGATTTGCTCAGGACGTCCTGCACGAATTATGCACTACAGCGGCGGCGTAGGTGATAGCGCAGCTCCAAAACTGGGATGATGCCTCGTCCTCGACTTCTCGTTTGGTAGAGTCCCCGTTTTCCAACGACTGTGCCGGGCTTGCGGAGGCCGGAGGAATTGCGTGCATATTTGCGCGACGTCTAATTGCTGTCAAACATGCCTGATAACATGCCTGACCATTGAGGACACTCCATTTGCAGTCCAGTCTCGCTGCCTGCTCCGAGGTCATTACTCGTATCGAATCGAAGCTTGCAAGGCCAGGCTTGTCGAAATGTCCGATAAAGTTTGTCGAGGTAACTGGAGCCCTTTTAGAGGGCGCCAATACTATGTAACAAGCAGCCACCACGGCAGCAAACGCATTTTTTCTCTCGACGCATGTATGCCTTTCGGAAAAGGTTGACAAAAATAAACCTTGTAGTTCCATTGGCGAGCTACCGACATCTAATCGGCAGCGGATGTCTGAGTACGAGTGTTAATTCGCTTGGGCCGTCTCTGAATGCCAAGGTGGCGGTCTTTGCCTGAGTTTGGCTCATATGGCCTAGTCTTGGAGTACGTAACTTGACGAAATCGCATGTACCATCATGTGATTCTCAGTGCCTGTCTCTTACGTCAGAAAATTAAAGGTGAAGATGTGAATCTGCGGCTTCGACGGTTAGTTAAATCGTCAAAGTTCAACCATTGGAGCTGCCAGCCAAGTGATATGTATATATACTCTCCTCGATGTATCTGATGGTCAGTGTTTGGGTGAATGATGCCAGAGTCAGACGTAGCAAATCACCGCTCCTGAGTTCGTTCCCTAGCAGTTCGTTCCCTAGCATCTGCTTATGGAGATTGGCTCAAGATGCGTACTTCTTATGGGCAAAGGATTTAAATACTCTGCACAACCCCTGTAAAGATCTATTTACCCTGCAATTTTTCTGCCGCTTTTCTCTCCACATTTCCGCCATGCTTTCTGACTTCATGCCTCTGGAATTAGCATACGACTACTATTCCTCAGCTCAACATGACGTCGCTACTCCTATTATCTATTCCTATTGATGGACAAGAGTTCCTTGACCTTGATACTCTATCGCTTGCCCTCGATAACTAGGCTGTAAAGGAGAAATTCTCTTATCGGGTTGAGCGGCGAGATAAGACCCGTGGCTCCTGGGTGTGTGCCTCTGCGTTAAGCGGCTGTTTATGGCGCTGCCGAGCAACCCATTCCCCTGTGAGGATATCTGGCAGATTCATATTTTCGAAACGGAGCATAGTTGTGGCGGAGCTGCAAGGCAAAAATTCTCCTCTGCGTCTAAGAAAGACTGGTTAGACCGTATTGTCGCTGCCAATATTTCAGTAACACAGCAGACCCCCCCACAACAAATACTCGACCTCCTCCGTATCCAATTCGCTGAAGATATCGACTACAAGAGAGCTCAATAGTGCCGGTTGCGACTACTCGACGGAGATATTGGCAAGCAACAACATAGCTTCCAGTTACTACCCGCGTATAAGGAGCTCTTAGAGACCATCTCTCCTGCTATCCATATCGACTTACTTCGAGACCGCCATCAACGTTTTGAACGAATCTTCATTTGCCCTGCTGAGAGCCGCTCTACTTATACCCTTTGCCGACGTCTCCTCGTTATCGACGGAACCTTCTTAAAGGGTCGTTTCATCCTTACTCTATTGCTTGCCGTCACGATCGATGCGAATGGCGAGACTATTACCTTGGCCTGGGCGGTAGTCGAGTCGGAAAATAAGTCTTCTTGGACATGGTTTTTACAGCACCTTCGTTGGGCTATCCCAGAGGTCTCAACAGAGCAGAGCACAATTCTATCAGACCGAGGTAAAGGACTCCTTGACTCGGAGAAGGTCCTCGGTCCGTTAGCTATAGGGGCGTGGTGCTGTCATCATATTAAGGAGAATTTCACGGGAAAGTGCGGGAGAGGGCTTGCCTCTTTATTTTGGACTATCGCCCGAGCGCCAACTCTAGCCCAATACGAGGCAGCTTTAGAGAAGCTTCGACAACAAAAGCCCGAAGCTGCGGCATATCTAGAGGCGGCAAACCCTTCGCTTTGGGCCGAGGCGCTATTCTCTGGGCGTCGATATGGCCACGATACAAGTAATATCGTCGAGTCTCAAAACGGAGTATTAAAGTTTGATCGGGAACTTCCAATTATTGCTCTCCTCGACTCAATATGGCACCGGGTTATGGAGAAGAGGGCAGCTCGGCTTCAATCTGCTTTACGGTTGATAGAGGCAGGGAAGACAGCTACCCCATTCGTTGAAGGGAAATTACGAGAAGGGAGGCAATGGGCGTCTAGTAATCGTGCTCAGTTTTCGTCACCAACGGAAGCAAGAGTAGTACAGCCTGACGGCCTTATTTGCATTGTAAATTTGACAGCAGGGACGTGTTCATGCCGTCGGTATCAAAGGAATGGAATCCCTTGCGGGCATGCCATTACCGTAATACTAGCAGGAGGGGACGGTATAACCCCTTATCTACCAGAATCTCTTTCTCCGACAGTTTGGGCTGCCACGTATAGTAGCCCGATGCCAGCTGTCAACGTCTCTGAGCTTAAGCTCAAGCCAGAGGACCCTTGTAACCCTCCAATTACTAGAGTACCTCGAGGACGCCCTGTACAAGAGAGGATTCGAAAGGGGGATTCTTGCCGCCCTCCACAGAGCTCACAATCGCGATGCTCTAGTTGTGGTGAGACTGGACATAATATGAGAAGGTGCCAACGCCCCCATGGATAGCTTGATAGGCCCGATCGGTGGGTCTGATGGGTTGAGCAGGGGGTGGGAGGTCTGAGAAATTGCAGGGTAAATAGATCTTTACAGGGATTGTGCAGGGTATTTAAATCTTTTGCCCATTTTTTATTATCATTGATGTCTGCTTCAATGTAATATATGTCTTCGGTAACAGACAAAGATTGGTCATTCAGCATGGTCTCACCCCCATTTGAGGCAAAACAAAGCCAGACACCAGACTCCACGTTGTCCCAAAAAGTCGACAAGGATCGAAGTAAAGCGATTGTGCTGTGTTCTCATGCTGAGGGTTATGATAATAAGACCGTGGCGTAAAAGGCTACGCTATTGGCAGTACAGTTTTGCCAAAGATTTTCTAAAACTGAACATTACGATGATTTTATACACAAAGACGGCGCGGCAAGCTGTCGAAGACATCTGTGAGATGGGCATAGTGAGAATATTTACAAGAACGAACACGTGGATTGCGCCAATATTCTACTCTGGCGGGATTTGAACCATGCCAACCGCGGGCTCTACCGGAACAGCCCCAGCGTTTGGAGTAGTCGTCTGGGACAGCCCAGGGGCAGGTGCCATTGGAATAGGGACAAGTGCAGGGGCAGCAGGAGCGGGAACGGGAGCTGGGACGGGAGCTGGAGGTGCAGCCGGTGGTTCGGCGGCCGGGGGTCGAGTCGACTGAACAAGTGGCGGCTGTCCTCCAACACCGGGTGTAACCGTGGTCAGAACGGTGACGGTTGGCGGGATCGACCCGTTGGGCAGGACGGAGACCCCAGATGGCACAATGGCAGATGGGGGCCCCGTCATGTTGGCCGGGGGAGTTATGGCCGGCGGGGGTGGCGATGCGGGCGCGGGCATGGGTATGGGCATGGGCATGGCGGCCGGGGCGTTGAAGACGGCGTTTCCGATGGGGATCATGGCCTGGGTTCCGCCTATGACATCATTTTGGGGGATGTTCTCAGTCTGCGCCGCTGCGAGTTGGGCGTACTGGATCAGTTGGTCCGCATTTCTGATGGGCATGTCAGTTGCTCATCTCCTAGGAGTTGCTCTCTAAACTTACGCATTTATCGTCATGACCATGCCCATTTGACAATGAGGACCAGTTGCGCAATCTTTAACCCACATCTCGAGTCAGCATATGCACATTTGGGAAGGTCAAGCGAGGGCAGAATTAATAATCCTTCACCGCCACTTACATAGAAACATTGGACTTGTATTTGTGACTGGCATATTGAAAGTTCCAACCATGCCTGATGCAGCGTCAAACGCTATAAAGCCACTGTTGACGCCTGGGGCTGGCCCGTGGAGCGGTTTGCACGGCGCCTCTGCCGCAGATTGAGTGACAGTATGGTTCCTCGCATTGAACTGAAATTGCACAACGTCTCCCGGATTGGCCGTGACGCTGTTCGGTGTGTATGTCAACGAGTTGCCGCCAACGACAACAGGTACGATATTTCCAGCAGCCGCAGCGGCTAAGTTGGTCGTTATGGAGAAGTTATTGGGCATGCCAGGTTTCTGTATTGCCGGAGCAGCAGGAGGAGCCGCCGGGACTGCTTGGGGCGCTGCCCTACAGACCTTCAAGCACGGTGAGAAAAGTACCAGCGCGAGGAAGCGCATCTTACATATGTTTGGGGGAAGTATGCTTGAGAAAGACGTTGATTTTCGTCTTCGTCATTAGCCTGATGACGACGAACGAATCCAAGTTATCAAGTCGTGCTGGATAACTAAATTGGATCCTTCACGTCAGGCTCGCGAGAAATCCGGATAGAAGCATGTAGATGAAAGTTTGTCCAAGAGGCATGCTGAGTAGAGGGCCAGCCATCTTGACTTCCATGATACTCTCGGCAAGGAAATTCTCTTTCCATCCGGACGCCAAGTCATCCGAGCAACTGCCGTGTCGCTGCGCCGTTGAAGTCGTAGAGGTCGTGTGCATCGTGGGATGTGTGGCGGTTGGCCAAATGGGGCTGAATATCCATTGGACGACAAGTGATCAGACTCATGCTTTCTGCAGTAGTTCCTTGGTCCCCATTTCCAAGTTGTTTGAGGTTTGAGGTTGGACTGTTTTCTGGCGATTGGCTCATCCATCGCTGCCGCATGTTTCGCAACATCCTCGTCTGATCTTTCGGACAATGCAACTACACAGTGGCCTCTATAAACTGATGCCTTGTGAATCTTACTGTTTCCGTCTGTTTAAGGAGACAGGTACCGCATCCCATGCACAATAGATCTATCCGTCAATCCCAACTTCATCCTTGGGAGCAGGGGATGTTTTGCCAAAAAGTATTTGTCAACAAGTCTTGCAATGAAAACCCAAGTCCTTTGTTCCTTTCAAATCTTGGGACATAGTATAAGACAACCGAAAATTGAGGGACATTAGCCCCTTCACTGGTAACTTCAAAACTTAGACATGACCTTATGCCTCTCACATGGAACTGGTTGAACATTCATTAGTACCGACGAGCTGGAATTTGGGCCAAAATGAATACCTGCGAATAGATCAAGACTGTCCTATATTGACATGCGTTGTCTTTCGTTTGGGTGGCTCGTGAGGTCGATTGTTCGATTGTTCGGTGTTGCAGCCACTAGAGTAGTCAAAGTTGGGGTTTGAGCTTCGAAACTTCTAGCCCAGGTTCTTAGCTGTCCCCTGATTTCTGAAACATTCTGGCATGATAACATTTGATGACACAACACAACAAGGGGGGATTACTATTTCAGACAAGGAAATATTCCACGCCTTACCTCGGGTCCCAAGGTATTCTTCCTTGGGGGCATGTATCACAATCAATTTAGACCTCTGGACCAAGCGTTTGGAGTGGGGGTGGGCGCGATCGCGAAACTCCAGGGCGATGCGCATACGGGCACATGGGATCTAACGGATTTGTAATGTAATATGAAAATATTTACTTGATCCCATAATCCTGCAAGCCCGTCTACTCGGCCCGCCAGATTTATTTCTGGGGGCTACACCTGAGAAAGAAAAAATGGCATCGCTCAAAACTGCACGACATTCCACTCAGCAAGTGTCAGTCAATTTCTGAACTGCCTGTTTCAGGACTTTCTGTACGTCAAGCGATCTTTCCGCTTTCACCATCGCCAGTAGTCTCTCATTCATTTGTTGGCGCAGTGCCTCTTGTCCGACGGCGGGACCGAAAATCCCTTGATTGCATTTGTCGACAAAGGCATTGATTGCCTTAGCTTGGCTCAGTCGTTGGCTCTCCACCATCACGACATCTGCATCCCATACAGCTATCGCTGTGAACCACTTTGAGGCTATTGTGATGGCCTTTGAATTTGGAGGTGGTGGTGGCGCCTCTGCTGTCTTCATTACTTCAACGATGGATGTATACCACGTATCCCTGGCGATGGACGCTGCCTCTTGTGCGCCTTCAACTGTGGCAATGATATTGCCAAGTACAGAGACTGGGTCTTGTCGCATATTAGGTCGATTGTATGCCGTCATAGCAGCCTTCAAAGCCGCAGCTGTCGTATTGCGCTGAAGCTCCGTCAACTTATCGGGCGAGTCTGGATTCAGGTAATCTACGACGACGCCCTTTACCTCGCCAAACATGTCCAGATCATCTCGCTCCGCGGCGAACTGGGCTAGCGCTTCGATGGCATGAGGCCGATATTCGTCGTTGTTGCGTTTCGCCTCGCGAATTGCTATCTTCTTCATTTGTGCCGCAACTGCTGCGTCGGTGCCCCAAAATTTCTTACTATGCCGAATAAAGATGGGAAACGCGACGACAAGCTTTTCTTTGCCCTTAAATGTCTTCAACGCCAGTGCCTTTTCCAGGACCGGCCAGATTTTCTGCAAACTGGTGCCGCTGAACTGGCCATCCTTTCCCACCGCACTGCTCATCTGGGTGATCATAGAGGTGATAGTTTGCGCCGCACCGTGCAGCAGAGCCCACTTGGATGTGCCTAATGCCATAGACACGCATTCTGTTATTTCGTCAACAAACCTGACAACGGTGTGGCTTCCACCGGCATGCTGATTCCAAGCCTCCGTAAACTCTTCTGAGACATAGTCGTCCGTATCGTGCTTGGCCATGTAGACAAACGGCAGAAGTCGCGACTCGAGGTCAGTAAAAGTATCGGGTGATACCTTAGCGATGGCTAAAACTGCATCTGCAATCTTTTGGCGCCGTATCTCATCCTCGGCTGCAAGGTAGAGATCCACGAGCTTTGAAGCAAACTGGTCAAGAGTTTCGGCCGCAGCCGTTCTCAGAAGGTAGGCACAACTTCTGGTATAGGCCTTGCTGACCTCGTGGTTTCGATCCAGTATCTGAGTCTCCATGATTTTGAGGAACATGGCATTGTACGGCGGAAGAAGAATACTATGCCGCAGCGCCAGAGTGGAGAGAACCTCTCCACATCCGACTTTTGTTTGCATGCCAATGGCTGATTTGACAGTCTGTGCAAGCTCAGGAGCCAAATCTTTCATGACGTCTTCATCCGCAAAACGAAGGCAGTTGCCAATACACTCAAACATTGGCGATCGAGTGGCCGCACTGCTTCTCAGTTTGTCGAGTTGTTCCCGGTCTTCCTCGCCGACTCGTTGGTAATAATAGTTGATTCCCTCGGGCTCAATTGTGCCAAGCAAGCCTAGGCAGTGTATCACTATGGTGGGGATGAAGGGCTTCAGTGTCTCTCCTCCATTTTTTACCACATCAAGGACAGTACTGATCGACAGGTATTTGACTTCCTTGACTGAGTTTTCAATACCCTTGTCGGAAAGTAGGAATGGTAAGACCTGCGCGATCATAGATTTGGCCGACGAAGTGTTGTTATTTTCCTGGAGTTGTGTCACGAGGGTCTTAGAAAGACCCATGCACATTTTAAGTGCAGCTGCCCTGACCGACCCTTTCTGATCGTCAAGAACTTTCAGGGCCACTCTCCAGATCTCCGCGTAGTAGTTTTCGTATTTAGGAAACGGTTGGCCGTATATCAGTTCTGCGATCGCTGCACAGCTGGCTTCGCGAACTCTCCACTCCCTGCCGTCCAAGATACTCTTGAGGAGGTCATCCATGATGGCATCGAAATAAGTATCAATCACTATTGTTTGATCCTTCACTACAGCCTTCCAGATATCGTCCATTGATCTTCTCACATTGGAATTCGGATCAAACCGGTAACGATATAGCTTTGGATAGATCTTGGGATCCAGTTCCGCGTCAGAAAGAATGTTGCTCAGGCCAAATCTCCCAAATGCAGAGCGTGCAGTCCACGTAGCTGCATTTGTCGCCAATGCCATAAACTTGTAGATGAGAGACTGATCTCCGACCTCGTTGGCGAGGCTGATAATGTCTTTATACGACGTCACAGACTTGCCTTCTCCGGTGGGCAGAGCTCCTTCGTCGAACAATTCAGTATCCTGGTCGACCTTCAACTGGGTCTTGGTCCCCGTGAAGGTGGCTATCAGGTCTTTGACAAGTTCACCTTTCAGCGTAGCATCACCTCTTTCATAGACCAACGCCAGACCTCTGGAAGCTGTTTCCTGGACAAGTTCGTCCCTAGCCGTCAGGAGTCGCATAAAGGCAACCTGGCATTCCCGAAGCCGGGATTGGACTTCTTTGAGATGAGAACAATACTGGATGATACAGAAGAGCCAAATACCACTTGCTTTCAGTAACGATGGCCTGGTGGTCTTGCAGTCATTGATCAGCTTCTCAAGGCTTTCCGTTATGCGGTCAGGTCGTCTGCACAGAGTCTTGACCATGTCTTCTTCGGCTGTGCCCAGCGGCTCCACGTCGAAGCCCAGTTTTACCGCCTCAGAGTCCCAACGAGCTATGACGGCGGCGATTGCTTCGCCAGTGGCGAAATGAACCTCGACTCGCTTTATCTCAGAGAGTCCAAATAGTATTTCCAAGACACTGCTCACTGCATCTGTTTTGGCGAGGGAAGGAACGGCCAACCGCCCAAGAGCAGAGATAGCCTTTTCATTGTTTGATTTGGCAAGCATCTCAAGAGTATCCGTCGTCTCCTTGAACTTTTGAACCACCGCAGGAAATCCCATGTTGGCAGTCCAGAGCTGAGAAACAGCCTCAATGGCCACGTCGCGGATATTGGCGTCTGCTAATGCTAGAGATGATGCGAAGAGTTCATAGAGAAAGTCTGTATGATCTGAAGCGTCCGCCGGGCGAATTTTGCCGTAAAAGGCTGCGTGGCAGAAGTAGCTGCACAGAAAGGCCAGCGATCCCTGATACTCGGCAGATTGGGCTGCCGATGGTTGTTTGCACGAACTGAGATACCCTCGCAGCTGGGAAACGAGGTTTGTGGCTTGATCGCTCCATGGTGCGAGGATACCAAAAGCCTTGGAAGCCAATTGTCTGATTTTATGGTTGTTCGACTTGGCCATGGCAAGGAGCTCTTGTGCTCTTCCAGAAAGCCTGCTGACGACGGTCTCACTTGGAGCGAACGACAATAGGTCAGCGAGACAACGGACACATTCCTCAGCCCCAATATCTGCATGATCTCGAATGCCGTCAAATGCTGCGTTCAATAAATTGAGCAACGAATCGTGATCGGCGGTGGTCATGTATGCTCTAGCCAGACTGCGAGTTTTGAGATCGTTCTGAAAACGGCTTTCTAGCTGCGATTCCCAGTCGATATCCACCTTTCCTTCGTTCAATGCACCAAGGAGGAGAATTTGAGTAACATATTTGATTGCAATTGGGAAGGCTTGCAGGCGCTCATTGGGAAATAACGGGTAAGCTGATGTCTGGTCAACAGCCATCTCGTCGCTCCCTACATACCTCGGTTCGGAGTCGAAAAGCATCTGCGTCAATTTCGTCCAGTCCGGCAATAATAGGTCTTCATCCGGTCGGAGTTTGGAAGCCCACCAGGGATCAAGGCCCCTTTGGCCCTCTTCGAAAACATCGCGTCGTCCAGAAGAACCCCCACTGAGCGCCAGCATATCGATCCATCGCGCTTTGATGTTGCTATAAGGCAAGCAGTTGTTGGCAAAGCGGGTTGCGACATGCTTGGCTGTTCGTATTCCTTGCCTGTCTGACAGTGTCATATAGTCGAGGAGAAGAATTTCGAGATCTCGATGGTCAACCTCTGTTGTGTACTTAAAAAGGCCCATCATGCTAGAAAGAGCGCTTTCGATATACACGACGATATCTGGGCTTGGGTCAGATACTAGAGAATCGAACAACCATTTCAGGAGTGAGTCCTTCGCTTTTTGTTCAAACCGGCTGCCCCTTGCCAGGGCACCGATAGTCTCATACGCGTTTGCACGCAGCCGTTGCTCATCTTGATATTGGGACTGGTTTGCGCTTGCAACTGGGTCCGGCCAACCCTGCTTCAGGACGTAATCTTTGAGTAGCAGAACGAGTTTTGGTCCCGTGTCGTGATCTTCGATTTGAGAGCCCGTTTTGTTTCTGGCTATCCATGCTAGGAAGCCAAGAAGAGCTTTGTGAAGCCTCACAGCTTCGAGGCCGTTGACTGTAGGGTTTTCGCCGCTCGTAAGTTCAAAATCGACGCGGATGGTTTCCACTACTTCGGATCCTGAAGCACACGATGCAGCCGACTTGGAAAGAAGCTTGAGTATCTGAATCCGATGTGATGCGGGAAGTTTGTTGTGAGCCTCAAATAGAGAGCGTACAATGTTGTAATCCTCGAGGTTCACATTGGAGCGCTTAAGGGTATCCTCTGCAACGGAAGAAATCCTGGAGTCTGCGGAGCCAGAAGCACTCACAGTTGGCAAGAAGCGTTCGTTGTCGGTAAAAGCACCACTCGACAGAAAGCTGACTGCTTTGAGTTTGCATTCCGGTAGGCTCAGGTTGCCCGTCTCGCTGGGTTTCCACGTCTTTGGATCGTTACTTCTTAGAAACTCGACTTCCGCCTTAGTTAGACCAGATGGGGTCGTCGCGAGAGCTGCATCGAGGTCTCCAGCCGCTGCAAAAGCGAGATCCTGCCTGAGAAGAAGGAATTTCCCGAGCCACTCAGCTATATACTTGGCGTCAGACGAATCGATCAAGCCGAGGGTCTCTCGGAGGGATATATCATCTTTGCTACCCCTAGATGGAAGCTGGATCTCCAGGAGTAGACGGAGGAAAATAATGAAGATACCAGAGGCACTTGATGGATTCGTCTCCTTCGAAATGGACTGGGCGACCACCGGTAGCAATTCGCGACGTCCGTATTGATCTAAGCGGAAGATACCCTTCTTCACCAGGCCCAGGTCTAGTTGTTTCACAACCGGTGAGCTACTCGTCTTATACTGTTTGAGTAAGCTAGCAACGGGCAGGATGACGCTGGCGATGGAAATTAGAATCAACCATCGAGGTCGTATTGCGCAGAGGTCGTATGACTTACCTCGGTAGCTGAATGAATTTAGTAACGCTAATATATGCTTTGAAGGCCTAGAACACATGTTAGCATGGCCGGCTTTGAACAACATCCACCGGAACCTCTTACCTCGTCGCGAACGGCCTTGTGCGGGCTGCCAGCCTTGTCCAGCAAAGGCACCAGTTGAGTCCGGAGAACCTCACTCAATTGGCGCTCATCTCCTGATGCTGTCGCGATTCTGTATCTAATGGAAGAGACGGCCTTCAGCCCGGCTGCTTCCGATGTTGCCATTGTAGATGGATGGGCCCGTGAAGTTGCTAAAGGAGGAATGGGATGCCCGTGGTTCACGGTATGAGCATCTTCTAGGAATGTTGGGCGGGGTTCTGTTTGTTCCTAAGAAAGCTGAAGTTTCGTGGCATTTAAATGACTGGGAATCCACGGCACGGTTGTTACTACTGAGGATTCTCGTCTTGTCATCCTCATTTAGCCAACACTGCGCACGTCAACAAGCAAGTCGCTGTTAACTTAAGCCACCCTGCAATAGTCAGCACTGAGAAGTACGGCTGACGGATTGAGAGCAACCCGCGGTTGAATATCGGAATTCCTGGAGGGACGGGGCGCTGGAACGGGGTACCCTGCTTTGATTGAAGGAACAATTGCAGGAATCACAGTACGAGAAATAAGGGAATTACATTGAATTGGTACATCTCGAGATCAGGGGAAGCCGCTCTATCGCTTTCTTCAATTCATCCAACGCCTAGCAGGTTTCAATTAGCATTATTTTGTGCTGTCAGTGAAGAAAGAGACTTGCGTAGCTTGGATACAGGCACTTCACTCCGGTCTCTCCTGATTAATCCCGGCCGGTTTGATGTCCGTGGTTGCGTCACAAGAGCCGCTGCTGCTGCACTTGCACAACCTCACATTGTACTCCTGCCTGTCGGACATGACCATCCTTGAAGGCACCAAATGACCACATCCTGCTAGATCTATGATCATTACTGCCCTCTCACGCTTGACGATCAATACACACCTGCCCCAAATCCCAACTCAGCATCTGCAGGATTTCAGGCCATCTTCGATTCTTAACCATTCTTTGACTAAGACAGCCCCACCAGAGGCGCGGGTAGCTACTGCTCTTTGTCCACCACCACAGCAAGTGCCCCTCCATCTGAAAGTCTCCATTAAAGTAGCTTCTAGAGTTCACCTCGATACCGCAATCAACGAAGCCGAAATCTGACGACCAGCATTTCTCAAACCTTCCGGCTGCATCCGGAACTCACGACGGAACCTCGCCCGTCATTACGTGTTCTGCCTTCGCGCCCTTTACCCCACGATACGATCTGTTACGCCTCCCCCCTAAATTTCATTGACTCGAGCATCAGCGCGACCAACTGCCACCGCCAAAATGGACGAAAATGTGGCAAGTTTCCAGTCCATCACGGGCACCGACAACGAGAGAGTAGCGCGAGGCTATCTTGAGATCTCGGGCGGCGATGTCATGCAGGCAATACAGCTCTTTTTCGAGAGCCCTGAACTTTCAGCGAGTTTCACCACACCAAGTCAAGGTCCGCCAGCGTCCACACCAGCAGCTGCGCGAGGAACGGCAGCACCAGCTCGCACTGTTGGCCGCCAGGATGCAAGCGGCGTCATCCACATAGACTCCGATGATGAAGAAGACATTCAAATGAGCCAAGCTGATGATCATGACGACAACATTGTCATACCGGACGATGATGAAGATGAAGTTGCAGCCGTGGCGAGAACCGTACAGGAGGAAGAGGATGCCGCCATGGCTCGGAGATTGCAAGATGAGATGTACTCGCAGGAACCCGGCTCTGTCGATGGCGTGAGGGCTCCTATGAGCCGAACTACCGAGACGCTCGTAGACCCGCATCCGGCCTGGGGTATGGACGATGATCGGGAGGCCGCAGTTCTCGACGAGTTGCGCCGGAGACGGCAGGCTCGAGGTGAGACTAACACAACCACTTTTTTCGGAAAGGCAGGTCACTGACTTGGAGCACTTATCAGCAGCAGCAGCCGGGCCCGCAAACCCTTTCTCTCAGTCCATCTGGGACGACCCTGATGCACCTGGTATCGGCGCCCCGCCTGTGCCACTGGGATCCCGTGCGGGAAGTCGTCCAGGAGGCCCACCAGAGCCAGATTCTGCCCAGAGAAGGCTTGCTGACCTCTTCTGCCCTCCCTACGACCTGCTCTCGCGACTATCGTGGGACGATGCGCGACAAGAAGGCAAAGAACAGAAGAAGTGGATCATGGTCAACGTCCAAGACGCCAGCATCTTCCAGTGCCAGGTTCTGAACCGAGATCACTGGAAGGACTCCAACATAAAATCTTTGATTTACGAGCATTTTATTTTCTTACAATACGACAAGAGCGACCCTCAATCTCGAGAATACATCACTTTCTACTTTGGACAGGGTGTGGATGACCCCAACAACTACCCCCACATTTCCATCATTGATCCCAGAACTGGCGAACAGGTTAAGACTTGGTCGGGCTTACCGCTACCCACAACTCTGGAGTTTCATGCCGACCTCGTTGAATTCTTAGACCGGTATAGCCTGGCGGCCAACAGCAAGAATCCCGTTCCAAAAACCAAACCAAAGACCAAGCCCGTTGATTACGGCCGTATGACGGAGGAAGAGATGCTCGAGATGGCATTGAAGAACAGTATGGAGGTCAACGGAGGTTCAGTCGGACCAAGCATTGAAGACCCGGATCAGCCCACAAAGTCTGACCAAGAAATCGGTAAGGGCAAAGGCAAGGAAGAGGCTGAGCCGTCTGAATCTGCTTCACCCTTCTCGCAAATCACAAGGAGCAACCCCCATATCGAGCCAGAAAACAATTCTGCAACCACTACTCGAATTCAATTCCGACATCCTGCCGGTCGGGTTATTCGCAGATTCGCGGTGGCAGATCCAGTGCGCCGCATCTACGAGTGGCTGAAGGCGGAACCTTTGGAGGGCAAGGAAGGGATCAAGTTCGAACTCAAGGCGAATCCAGGTGGCGACCTCATTAGCAGCTTGGACAAGACTATTGAGGAAGCTCATCTTAAGCAAGGCACCGTCATGATCGAGTTCGTCGAAGACGAAAACTAGGCAGTCGATGTAAATGACTTGACCATATTACACAATATGACAGGATCCCCGCAGTCTCTCGCCGTGTACTAGTGGACTCAACCTGGGGTACAAGTATATCGATACGTCCTCCCCAAGCATATCCGATGGACTGTATAGCCATGACCCAAACATATCACTCGGCCGACCACCGTGGTTGTTATGCATGTCCATCGATACTCAAGCATGAGAATGTAGCTTGAACCTTGCTCTAGCGTTGCATTTCCAGGTAGTAGCGACAGGAATCAGTATTCCAACAACTCGCACCACCTTGGGATGTCGAAGCCTGTTTTATCATGGGCTCCTCGACAAGTCTTGGATGGCTGGATCCATATTCATAGATAGGTAGACTAGTTGCAACGGCCAACGGTCGTTAGGGTAGCAATTGATACATTTCGCCCTGGCAATATGCCCTGTAATATTTCAGATGCTGTAGGACAAGTGAAAGCGACGACTATCCCCTTGAAAAGTATATTTATTAGTGATCATGTCGAAACGCTGTACTAGCCAGCCAGTGGCAATACTCAATCTCGTGCACCAACAAGGCCAACACGTCTCCTGTCGACGCCAAGCTTATAGGGGTAAAATAATTATAGGCAAATGCATTGCGCCGACAAGTCATACATGCAAAGTGATCTGCCTTGCTCCCATTGACGAACTACTCTACACTGGGTTAAGTCAATGGCTTGCTACCAGTGATTATGATTAACTTCGCTCTGCACTTGGGAAAATGTATCTGGTCCTGAAGAGATAGACACTTTGCTAATGTCAACTTTGGAGACTGTCATTACTACCTCTACTTTTGCTAAACAACACGACGATAACCGGTGTTCCTCGTCCCACGCAAATTAGCAAGAAAACCGACAAAACTGGGAGTAGCACCGAATTCTGTAGCGTAAAACAGGCGCCACTTAGTTATTTCACCTGGGTGCGCCGATTATTCTGTTCTTCGAGCGCTTGACACCTTCCACCACGACTATGAACTCTGCAGTCGGCACATTTATGTCTTCTTCTCTATACAATTCTATACGGGCTTTCTATCTTCTTGCAAATTATCCTTGGACTCATGAAGGCTAGCGATGCCGCAAAATCAGTATGGGATTCGCACAGTGCCTCGGTGAGCCTATCCGTGTACGCTATCCTACTAGTTTCGTGAACCATATATCTATATATATCTATATATATCTTCACTACTTGTAACAGAGTACCAGGAACTTATGCAGAAGTGGAATTAAACGTTTATTTCGGGACACGAAGGTGAGCTGGGCTTGGGATGATGAACCCGAAGGTTGCTACGATTTCGAATAGTATGTATGAACAGTGCCCAATCATTCATCAAGGTTGATAAGAACCCACTTTCAGGTCCGCTCCACTGTCATCACTACTAAGGTTACATGTCTTTTATTAATGCAGTGTGTTCAACCGGCGCCTTTCTTAGCTGCTCGCACGATACGACAGCATGCCATACGATTCCGCTTAGAAGCTAGTGATGAGGTCAATATCGCTTGTCAGAATCAAGCGACTTGTGTCCTTCCGAACCCTGGCGGTATCTTCTGCTCCAAGAATCAGCATTATCAGTTGTATTCAGCTCTCTCTGCTCTCGCGTCCATCAGATAGGGGTTCTGTAGTCCGTCGCTGATATCCTAAAAGTAATCTCGTAGCATTTCTCGGTCAACCATAGGATGATATTATACTCAGTCAGGGCGCCACACGTGTAATTGACGCCTATGACGGGCACCAGGGGTTCATCCTCGACGTTGAAATGGCGACAGGCGACCAAGAGCACACCGTTGACTTGTTCCGGAATCTTTCCGCCTCTCAGACGCCCTTGGCATCCAGTATACCTCTTTTCTGTTTATATGGCTAGTCAGGTGTTTATCCCACACGGGAGAGTTCATGAGCGCCAACCCGGCTTTCGAGGGAGCAAATCCCAACTTTTGATGAATTCCGGGGAGATAATTTCCCTGATCCCACATGTTGTTTAGCTAAAAATGCTATCGTCTTCCACGCTGTCGAATGGTCTTTCTTCAGCCTCCAAACCCTGAGGTGTTGAGGTGGACCATTATGAGCTCCCCCTTCACCTAATAGTCTCGGCCTCCGCCTCAATCAATGAGCTGACAAGTCCAAACTGATCTTGAATGCCTACTATGGCAGGAAATTTTACGACAATCTACTCTATGACCTCGACACAAATGTGCCTCTCATCCACGGAGCGAGGATGAACGAATATCTCAAGAGTTCATAGTAAAACCGCCGAGAAGCCGATCGAGATAAACTAATCACGAAAAAGTCTCCGGATACCCCACACCCTAATTTGTAATAGATTTTCGGGCTTTTACTATAGAAATAAGTAGTAATCTGTTACGAACCGTTGGCCCTGAACCAACATTACAGGCCCGTCGGCAGGCCAGGTGGATACAGACGCTAGGATCACGGGACCCCACATCGGAGGAAGGAAAGGACTGATAGGTCACGTGACCTACAGGGGTGGATATGTTGGATATGTTGGACAACCAACATATCCAAGTGGGGATCAGTGAAGGAGAGATGGGCATATAAGGGACAGGACTCCCAGGCATTTCATAGATAGACAGTCTCTACTTCAGTGATCAATCTAAGCATCAATCTAACCCATTGGTGAGGCAAACTGCCTTGACGACTCTATTCCCAGTTACCCTACTTGAATACTTCAGTTACCCAGAGCCCTATACTCCATACGTCAAACCCCGATATTATTGCTTGAGGACTCCGCAGCAGGACTTACTTACTAGCACAAACCCTTACAGACTCTTTAGTGGTTTACGCAGCTAGACTATTAGAGGTTTCGTTACATAATCGCGGCGCTAATTGTCACGACCTGGGTTGCATCGCATTGGTATAGACCTCGATTAGGTGCTATCGACGAAGATTCTACTCTAAGGAGCGAAGGAAAGAAGATGACAACTTAGGTTTGAGGGAGCGCGACTAAGTCATCCACGCTTGGCGGGGCTCCTACAAGGGTTATGATTGGCTTCCCACCTGGCACTGCCATGGCAGGTGTTCCAGCTGTACGTCACCTGGTTGTAGTGAGTCTGCGAGGGTTGACCTTCACACATTCAGTGTGATGAACCCTTCTCCCTTTTATCCTTCTGTCCTCCTGTCTCGTCGTTTCAGGAATCTTCGAGGAGTGAAGCTTACTCAGAGATTTCCGTGGGTCCAAGTGCTGTAGGAGTGAAGCTTATTCAGAGCTTTCCGTGGGTCCAAGTGCTGTCGGAGTGAAGCTTATTCAGAGATTTCCGTGGTCTTTCTGGCCGAAGGCGTCGCAGAGGCCACATACTGTCAGATAGGGCACCTGGTTCCTAGGTTCAGAAATAATATGGCACTAGAGAAGACTATTGTCACTTAAAGTTCAGAAGGCGAAAGGAACCCCTCTTCTCAAAAGTAACACCAAAGTTACCGACATGTTCTAAAGCATCTATAAAAGGCAGAGCAACGGGAGTTCGCGAGAACAGAAGTGTCAGAGCCACAAGTGTCATCCGAGGCGGGCCGGCTTCCACCAGGAAGGAAGTCGTTTGTGGCGAATGAGGAGCCGGGAGGCCGTTTGTGGCGGCTAGAGAGCCGCTTGTGGCGAATGAGAGCTGTTGAAGCCGTTTGCAGCGGATAGGGAATCGCTTGGTTGCAGATAAAGAGCCGCTATCCAAGATGTTGGCCAAAGTCGGAGGAACACAGACATGCGGAAGCAAACATCCAGAATCCAACAGAGAACCTCGGCTGGCTATAAGTAAGGAGTCGAGACGGAGGAAGATAGAGAGGGGAGAGATGAGTGAACTACTGTGGACACCCCTACCTGCCATCACCAAGTGACCACCAGTGAACACCAGGTGACCACCAGGGGGACACGCCTATTTCTCCCCTTCACTCTGTACTATCGCCTTCGGTCCAGGCCGTACCCTGACAAGAAGACAGACAGACAAGAACACACCTCATTTATATACAATCTTACGCACTGCTGACTACTCGATTGGACACACGTGATATTCGACACATACCGGTCATAGACCGTGACAATCCTGACGCGTATCGCGCGTGGTTTACGCTCGTACGAAATACAATTGCGAAATATGGTATCCAAGAGGCGGATATCTATAACTTCGACGAGACAGGGTTCGCGATGGGCTTAATCTCATCCGAGATGGTGGTTACAAGTGCCGAACGACGCGGAAGGCCTCGTACAGTCCAACAAGGCAATCGAGAATGGGCTACAGTAATCCAGGGTATTAATTCGTCCGGCTGGGCTATCCCGCCGTATATTATTGTCGCGGGTCACAATTACCTCTTATCCTGTTACGAGAATAGCCTATTCCCGTCCGATTGGGTAATCGCTGTAACCAAAAACGGTTGGACAATATATGAGCGAGGCGTAGACTGGGTTCAGCACTTTGATCGCTATACGAAGGATCGTACGAAGGGTGTTTATCGTCTTCTTATCCTCGACGGGCATGAGAGCCACCACTCGACTGACTTCGAGCTATATTGTAAAGAGCATACTATTATTACACTTAGTATGCCTGCTCATTCGTCACATAAGCTCCAGCCTCTCGATGTAGGCTGTTTTAGGGCTTTGAAAAGGCCGTACGGCAAAGAAATTGAAGACCTAATACGGGCGCATATAACCCATTGTAACGAAACCTCTAATAGTCTAGCTGCGTAAACCACTAAAGAGTCTGTAAGGGTTTGTGCTAGTAAGTAAGTCCTGCTGCGGAGTCCTCAAGCAATAATATCGGGGTTTGACGTATGGAGTATAGGGCTCTGGGTAACTGAAGTATTCAAGTAGGGTAACTGGGAATAGAGTCGTCAAGGCAGTTTGCCTCACCAATGGGTTAGATTGATGCTTAGATTGATCACTGAAGTAGAGACTGTCTATCTATGAAATGCCTGGGAGTCCTGTCCCTTATATGCCCATCTCTCCTTCACTGATCCCCACTTGGATATGTTGGTTGTCCAACATATCCAACATATCCACCCCTGTAGGTCACGTGACCTATCAGTCCTTTCCTTCCTCCGATGTGGGGTCCCGTGATCCTAGCGTCTGTATCCACCTGGCCTGCCGACGGGCCTGTAATGTTGGTTCAGGGCCAACGGTTCGTAACACCCATATCTCGAAGGAGGATTTCTTTTCGGCATTCTATAGGGCGTATCGTACGACTATAACTAAGTCGAATATCCAGGCAGGTTTCAGGGGGCCAGGACTTATTCCGTACGACCCGGAATATGTGATTTCACAGCTGGATATTAAGCTACATACGCCTACACCTCCTGGGAGCTCGTCTGGTGTCAGATAAGGCACCTGGTTCCTAGGTTCAGAAATAATATGGCACTAGAGAAGACTAGTGTCACTTCAAGTTTAGACGGCGAAAGGAATTCCTCTTCCCAAAAGTAACACCAAAGTTACTGTCCACTTAGGGGTCAGACACCTGAACAATGTACCTTCGACATGTTCTAAAGAATCTATAAAAGGCAGAGCAACGGGAGTTCGCGAGAACAGAACACAGAGAACAATACACCTCATTCATATACAATCTTACGCACTTCTGACTACTCGATTGGACACACGTGATATTCGACATCTGGCGCCCCCTTAATCTGGGAATCAAAGACTCCAAATAACCCAACCGAGGCGCAATCCCAGTCTGAATACGTTAAAAACAGAATCGTACAGCATCAGAATAGCTCCCCGACGACAATACTTACGGCTATTGACCAATTTTCACGTGGTGCGACGGCTGTTATGCATCGGTTAGTCTTACTTGAGGATGAGGTTACTACACTTCGGAAGGCCAATCAAGAGCTAAGCCGTCGTCGAAGGACTCAAAATCGACAGCTACAAGATGGAGGATCTCTTATTTTACGGGACGCTCAGGACTTACAGTCTCAACGGGATATTGAACAGCAGCTACAGGATGATATACGTGTAAGTCGTCGTCGTACGAGACCGGCCGAACCATGCCGACGGCGCTGTAGGATCTGCGGAGAGCCCGGACATAATGCTCGTACTTGTGAGAATGATAAAGATACGTACGAGGAAGAAGATTCCGATGAGTTTGAATTATTATTTTTTAGTTTAGTTAAGTTATTGAAGTTATTCATACGGTGCCAAGAAACAGTGGCCAACTTGCTTGTGGGGTACGTTAGATATGTAGTTAACTAATATATCTAGTTAGATAACGTGAATGTACACCGAGCTGGCCATGACACCGAGCTGACCACTTTCATGCGCCAACGCGACCGGCCAACTTAATCTTTGATTTTCTCAACAACCAATTTGGCAAAGTCATACAACGAAGCAGACTTAATGCGAGCCCTTCAAGCTCTCAAAAATGACCAAAAACTTGGTCTCCGACAAGCGGCAAAAACGTACCAAGCCCCCCGAAGCACCCTCCAAACGCGTAAAAACGGCGTACCTTTCCGACGCGATATTTTGCCCAATTCACGAACTATGACAGAATTAGAAGAGGAGGTCATTATCAAGCATATACTGGACTTAGATGCACGAGCGTTTCCGCCCCGGATTGCTGATGTGGAAGCAATGGCAAATTCTATCCGCGCGACACGTAACGCAGGGCCCATTGGAACGCGCTGGGCCTCGAGGTTCGTCGCACGTCGCAAAGAGTTGAAAACTCGTTGGAACCGTCCTTACGATTAGCAAAGGGCCCAATGCGAAGATTCAAAGCTTATTGCAGACTGGTTTCGGCTTGTTGCGAATGTTATCGCGAAATACGGTATCCAAGAGTCGGACATCTACAACTTCGACGAGACTGGGTTTATGATGGGCAAGATCTCAACCAATATAGTAGTTACGAGCTCCGAACGACGTGCCAGGCCGAAATCAATACAGCAAGGTAACCGGGAATGGGTTACCGTAATCCAAGCGGTCCAGTCTACCGGTTGGGCGCTGTCGCCGTTCATCGTTGTTGCGGGCCGATACCACCTCTCTTCTTGGTACGAAGACGACAACATTCCGAAAGATTGGAGAATTAGACCTAGTCCAAAAGGATGGACGACTAACTAGATCGGTATGGAATTTATTAAACACTTCGATAATTGTACGAAAGATGGAAAGTCCGGGATATATCGATTGTTAGTGTTGGACGGTCACGAGAGCCACGTTTCCGGCGATTTCGAGCTGTATTGCAAAGAACACAAAATTGTGACTTTGTGTATGCCTCCGCGCTCATCTCACATCCTCCAGCCACTTGACGTGGCCTGTTTCGGTCCATTAAAGCGGGTGTACGGCCAGATGGTAGAGAAATTGATACGCCGGTCACTAACACATATCGCGAAGGAGGACTTCTTTCCTATCTTCAAAGACGCCTTCTTTGCAGTTTTCGGCGAAAAAAACGTTCAAGCTGGCTTTCGAAGGGCAGGACTTGTTCCATTCAATCCAGAAAGTGTGATTTCAAAGCTGGACGTACGATTACGGACTCCGACGCCTGTTGGCTCCCCAGAAATCGCAACCCGACCGTGGGTATCAAAGACGCCACAGAACCCGATAGAGGCTCATGCACAGTCTACTTTTTTTGAAAAAGCGCATCTCCGAGCATCAGAATAGCTCTCCGACGAATATTTTCTCAGCTGTCGACCAGTTTGCGAAGGGAGCAAAAATGATAATGCACGAGCTCGCCCTCGTACGGGCCGAGTGCGCTGAGCTTCGAGAGGCAAATAAGATGCTAAGCCGGCGCCGGAGGACTAAAAAAATGCAATTACGGGAAGGAGAATCACTTATTTTTCAAGAAGGACAGGACCTACGGGAGTTGGCGACGCAGTTACAGCAAGAAGAGCGCCGAAATGGTGGTCGCGCAAAGCGTGTTGAAACGCGCCCGAGGCGCTGTGGTATTTGCAACGGGACTGAGCATAATGCACAAACTTGTAAGATCGCATTGCCATCTTCTGGAGAGGAAGATTCAGAGTAGTTTCAATTGATTTACGGCATTGTGGTTTTACTATCGTAAAATTTCTATGCGAGGTTATGTAAGGGTGGCCCACCTCGGTGTACATTCACGTTAGTGGCAAAAGTTTAATTGTGCACAATAGATTTTCTTATCAAACTATTCCTTACAAAGCCTTGAAATATTCACGACGAGGATGGGACTCGAACCCACAACCTTTGCCAGGAGACAAACGTCACCGGAAAGCAACGCGCTACCATTGCGCTACCCCGCCGAATTGAATTATTTTCTCTCAACAAGCAATCTTATCCGTTTGACTGAGGACAGAATTGTTCGGAAGTTTGTCGGGAGACACTTTGAAATTTCCTGAAGTTTCATCTCTATTACTAATGAATAGCTGTGCAACATGGCCTTCAATTAAAACTCTTAACAATGAAGGTATGGATAGTACATATATTCTAGATGTTCTTGCCAAGTGCATATGTCCATTTAGCATGGAAGGTAAAGGAGTCGGCTAATGTAACTAGACTGGTTAGCAATAGTAATGGATATAACTAGAGGAAACTTGAAATGATAAACGATGTACAGTAATTTAATTTAGGTATTTCATTGTGTTCTATTACACTTCGCAGTGTCCAAAGTACTTATTAGTCCCCTCTGAGCAAGACCTTTGCTCTCGGAAGGGGACGGGAAAGGCAAATGAGGATCGGTCGGATTACTACGACCATCTCTTCACGCTCTCCGGTATGGGCAAATACGTCTCCCGAAAAGCCCGTCTGGCATTCCTCGGAACATTCGAGTCTGGCCGCAAGAGATAGCCCTCGTACGGCCGTAATCTTGGTCAATGTCATCGCCGGTCCTGGTAGAGCAGGCTGGGCACAACTGACAATTCAGCGTCAACCTCGGATTGCATGGCGCCTAGCGATCACAGCTGTGACACGCATGGTCATGGTCCCACATAATCTCTCAGTGAGCCTCGTGCGGCGCGACATCCAGGAGAAGTCCACTCAGTCTTCTTGTTGGCGTCAATGCAAGCATCGAACCATGCATCCATGACATGTTTCCCAGAGTTTTATAACCTCAGAAAAGCGTCTGTTGTCGTGCAGGCCCTCAAGTAGCCAGCAAACCGGATATCAATCTTGGGTAAAGGGTAAAAAGGCTTTGAAATTCATGCTGTAGGTTTCATCTGTATCCCTTAGAAGCCGCTGCGCACGGTTACGAGCTTCGCATCTAGAGTCGTTTCGTCGGGTCCTTAGATATGGTTGTTTCAAATCACTACTTTACTCTGGGAATCCTCTACGCTGCCGTGTGTTGTGATGCTGACGTCTAAGCTGGTGGAAGTGTTTCGTCATATCCAAGGACGTACAGAAGCTGTTCTATGGGTTTGCAAATTTCAAGGAAGTTAAAGTCTAATAGGACTCGCTTTATAGGTAATATTTAACCTCGCCGGATCTGATTAGGAGTGTTTGTCAGGGTACGGCGAGGCTGAGGCAATAGTACAGAGTGAAGGGGAGTATTAGGCTTCCGTTATACGATAACTACTAGGTTTAACTATAGTCGGATAGCTTACGAACTATAACTATAACGTCACCCACAGGTCATTGCCCCACACGGGTCTTTGCCCAACTTTTCAAGAAATCTTGACTTTCCATCTTTACTTATATAATTATTCCCTTCCACAACATGGCACGCAAATCTAGTGAAGCTAATCTTCAATTAGCCATCCAAACTAAACGACGCGATCCTCACCTAAGTTGGAACAAGCTTGGTAAAATCTTCAAAGTCGACCATAAGACATTGAAGCGCCGTTACGAAGGCGTACAACCATTACACATTACTAACATGTCCAAACGGAAAATGACCGAAACCGAAGAGAATAAGATTACCCGACGCGTAATTGAGCTAGATTCGCGAACTTTTCCTCACCGGCTTCGATACGTTGAAGAAATGGCGAATATCCTCCGACGCGACCGCGACGCGTCACCCGTCGGCAAGAACTGGGCCTCGAGCTTCGTACGGCGACAACTAGAACTCCGGACGCGTTTAAATCGTCGAATCGATTACCAGCGGGCATTCTGCGAAGATCCTGTCGCGTATCGCGGTTATTTTAAGCGTGTTGCGGACACAATAGCGAAGCACGGCATCCAGCCGGAGGATATCTACAACTTTGACGAGACGGGCTTTTTAATGGGCATGATCTCAACCGGCATGGTCGTTACGAGTACCGAAAGACGTGGAAGGCCTAGGCAAGCCCAGCAAGACAATAGGGAATGGGTTACTGTCATTCAGGCGGCCAATTCCCAAGGCTGGGCGGTGCCGCCGTACATCATCTTCGCGGCCAAAGTTCACCTCGCTTCGTGGTATCGCGACACCACATTACCGGGCAATTGGGTCGTTGATCTATCCCACAACGGATGGACAACGAATGATATTGGTCTCATCTGGGCAGCTCACTTCGATCTGCACACACGCGATCGTACGAAGGGTGTCAAACGCCTCCTGATCCTTGACGGTCACGAAAGCCATCACTCGATGGATTTCGAACAATACTGCAAGGACCATGGCATCATTACCCTTCCTATGCCTGCCCATTCGTCCCATAAGCTCCAGCCTCTCGACTTGGTGCCTTTTAGTGTTTTGAAACGGGCGTACGGTGTGTTTGTTGAGGGTTTGATGCGGCGGCATCATACCCACGTTGCGAAGGAGGATTTCCTTGCCGGTTTTTTGGAGGCGTTTGGCGCTGCTTTTACTGAACAAAACATCAGATCTGGTTTCAAAGCAGCTGAAATTGTCCCTTTTGACCCCGACAGGGTTATATCTGCCCTGGATGTCGCAGAAGTCGCGCGTACACCCTCTGCCGACCCAGAACTCCTACCCCCTACTTGGACTTCTAAGACACCTACTACCACCCTTGAAGCCGAATCGCAGTCAACGTTGATTAAGAATAGCATTCAGAGGCATCAAGACAGCTCTCCGACGCATATTCTTCATTCAATTGACTCGATTGCAAAGGCTACGCATGCAATGATGCAAGAGAATGTTATCTTGCGTCGCGAGAACGAAGAGCTTCGTGAGACTAACCATGTGCTAAGCAAACGTCGCAGAACCAAAAACAAGCAAATCCAGTATGGTGGGCCACTTAATATAGAAGATGCACAAGTTCTACGGGCTATTAGGGGTGATACGGGTTTGGAAAGTGAGGAAGAGGGTGAAAGTAGTCGTCCTACAAGGAGGAGGGCAACGGGTGCTAGGCGCTGTGGCATTTGCGGAGGAACTGGACATAATGCGCGAGCTTGTCAGGCAGATGTAGAAACAGATAATGAAAAGAATTCTGATTAATTTCTTGGATGAATACGGGTTGTTGTTGATCTATCTAAGATTAAAGGTTGGGAGGTCGTGAAAAGTTGGGCAAAGACCCGTGTGGGGCATTGACCTGTGGGTGACGTTAGTAGCTATATAGACCCCGGAACGCTTATTATTATTATTATTAAATACGCCGTAGGCTCGAAGCCCCCGGTACCTCTACTAGTACTCCCGTATGTCAAACCGTGCCCTAATGGCTGGACTAAATACATACGCTGCGTCGTCGGTTCGCCCTATTGGCGACTGCGTTGCGTTCACTACCATACTACGTTGGTTCTCAACCTACCAACAAAGTCCCCCCTGAGAAGATCCATGCTATCTGGGCCTTGAAGCTGTCCGACCCGTCCCTAGCAGCCACCTTACAATAGTCCCACTAACTACTGGTTCTCCTGTTGCCGTTGCGAGGTCTCTGCGAGAGTATAGTGGTCGTGGTGCGATAGCGGCCCGTAATCGTTCCCTCGGTCCTTCCAACAGCCCGCAAAAGAGGATTACGTGCTCTGCCGTCTCAGGGGCGTCGCCACAGCGGCATAGCGGCGAGTACACGCCAAAAGCCCCTGTCTTGAATAAGAAGGCTGCTAGTCCTATTTTTTCCGTCCTGATCTGGCACAGCGTAGACGCCTCCAGTCGGTTCAGGCCGAAATACTTGCCCCCTTTCGGTATCTGCATCGAAGGGCCCTCCGGTTCCTCAGCGATGGCGCGTCGCTGGCGATCGTGATGCTCTGCTCCGGTGAGCCATCTCTTCCTCCAGTGGCCGAGGAGGGCAGCGGGGACCTCCTTTTCCTCACTCATCCACTCGGAGCCCCGGGCCTCCTTCTCCATAGTGTACCCTGCCGGTCGGAGTAGCTGCGACGCCTGCTTCCTCTTCGCCGGCCTATCCTGCCGGAGTATATGTGACGCTTTAGCGCTCGCGCTGCGAAGCAGATTTCTCTTCCCGCTAAGCCGTAGCCGTTCTTCAAACTTAGCAGCCCGGGCACTAAGATAGAGGTCTAGTGGCGGGATTGCTGCTTCTGCTTCCAGGTGGCGAACCGGCGTCGCTTTGTGGGCGCCACAGACTACCCGGAGGCACTCGTTCTGTATCCCCATCAGGCTCTTAGCTGGCCCTGCCGGTTCCTCACTTATAGTATGCCACGCAGTCGCCCCGAAGGCGATCGCGCTACGGATAACCACCGTATATAACAGCCTCGCCCGTATAAGATCGCAGCCCCACGACATATTGACTAGCTTTGTCAGGGCTAGCTTTTGAGTTGCCATTTTTGTTTTAACACGCTCAACATGGGAGTGCCACGTCAGTTTGCGGTCGAACCAGACTCCTAGGAACCTCGCTGAGACTACCAGCGACACTGTGGCGTCCCCAAGGCGAATACTTTGCGGCAAGGGCTCTCGGGCCCTAGTAAAGTGCATTAGCTCACTCTTGTCAGGGGCGAACTCCATCCCGTGCCTCACTGCCCACCGCTGACACGTAGCCCATGCGCTCTCCAACCGGCGGCAGGTCGTGTGATGCGAGTGCATATGGGGTAACCCGACTACTAAAAGTAGTGGGTGCTGCTCCGCTAGCTCCTCGTACAGCGTTGAAATGTATAATATAAACAGTATCGGGGATAGCGGTGACCCCTGGGGGACGCCAGCTCGTAGGGGGATTGGCTCTGACTCCTTGCCATCGAACCGGAGGCGTACCGTCCTATCCTCCACGAAGCTGCGTATCCACTCCTGAACCCACTCCGGGTAGCCTTTCCGGGCTAATATGGAAATCAGCCGTCTGTAATTGACCGTATCGAATGCCCCCTTGATGTCTAGCTGTAGCAGCGAGGCGATGCCCCCGCGTCTCCACGCCGTATAGACCACGTCCTCAACTATACGTATTGCCAGTTCGGTGGACCTCCCAGCGCGGTTACCCATTTGGCCGTTTGGTAGTAGGCCGGCCGCCTCAGCTACTTTGGTGATAAGCTGGCTCATCGCCGTCTCTATTATCTTCCCTACCGTGCTAAGCAGGGCAATGGGGCGCCCAGCCGCCAGGGGTCTGCTTCTGAGCTGTCGTTTTATTAGGCTTAGGGATAACAACCACCCTCGCTGAGCGGAAGCGCTCCGGGTAGTACCCCAGCCTAAAGCTAGCTGTTGCCAGATCCGCTAGGATCTCCTATAGGGGTTCACCGCAGGCCTCTAGCAGGCCAGTGGGGATCAGGTCGTCGCCAGGAGCCTTCCAAGCAGCCGTTCCTTTGATGATAGACTCGATATCCATTCTAGGGACGTTCAGCTCTGGTCTCGTCTGTAATAGGCCGCGATCGAGGTCCGATAGATCTATACACGGGTCTGGGAAGAACCTCTCAGCTAGTAATTTTGCCTTCTCATCATGTGTACGTGCCGTAAGCGTGTCGCCGGCGTCCCTCCGGAGATCTGGCAAGCCGTGGGCCTCAGGGGGGGCCCAGCTCCGTAGCCTAGCCCACCTCTGCAGTGCCCACAGGCTTTTGTGATCCTTCGCCGTCCCCTCGAGCTTCTCGTGCCAGCTACGCGTCTGCGCTTCGCTGACTTCGAGCCGTTGTTTTTGGCCGGCTCTTGTATATTCGTCCCAGTTAAAATATATATTAGTGTCGGCTGGTGTAGTTGGTCGCTTCCCTGGTAGATAAGTCCCGATTTGAGCCTCGCCCACTTGGGTCGGTGACGAGTCGTGGGTTCGAATCCCGCAGCTGACACACAAGGGGGTTTAGTCAACCCTTACGGCGCGCTGCCCACCTTGTTGACTTCGCCTACCTAGCGATAATAGGGAGATTGGTGCAGTTTAGGATTACGAGCATCCTAGCCAGTCGACCGTCAAGCACTACGTCGGCGGAATATAACTCGACAGCCGGTCCAGAATTCGAATCGTTAATCCGACCCCTTATCGGACCTCGCCTATCCGATAACGCTCATCGGCGAACCCGTCCCCTCACGATAGAAGGCGCGCAGCACGCCCTCTCGCCGCGATTCTTGCGAGCGTCTAGACCACGTACGGTCTATCCACTTGAGCGTATGGTTGAGATGTATACGCTCGACGAGAACCCCAATTAGCAGATACTACGACTTGTCGCGACAAAAAATAGTCGAGCATCTTCTGCACATCAGCAGCATCCCACCCCTGAGGACGAATTGTCGAATATCACGTGTGTCCAATCGAGTAGTCAGAAGTGCGTAAGATTGTATATGAATGAGGTGTATTCTTCTCTATGTTCTGTTCTCGCGAACTCCCGTTGCTCTGCCTTTTATAGATTCTTTAGAAAATGTCGGAGGTACATTGTTCAGGCGTCTGACCCCTAAGTGGACCGTAACTTTGGAGTTACTTTCGGGAAGAGGGGTTCATTTCGCCGTCTGAACTTGAAGTGACACTAGTCTTCTCTAGTGCCATATTATTTCTGAACCTAGGAACCAGGTGCCCTATCTGACACGAATTTAAGTGCCACATTACCACACTTATCGGTAGTGCAGGCAGGGGTTGTAGCACAGACTTAGGGAGGGACAGGAGGTTTAGTAGTCGTTTGGCTACAAGTTTACCTGTATAACCGCCCGACGCGGCTTAAGGGCCCGCTATATCATCTATAGCCCCTTAAGGGAGTACTTATAGAAGTACCGAGGGTTAACACCTACGGCGTATTTAATATTTATATATACGAGCGTATAGGGCCGGTAAATAGACCCGGTAAGCTTGACTACTAATTCTTTCCTAAATCTTTACCCTAATAAACCTCGGTATAACCTTTTTAGGTATCTCCCTAAATCTGAAGGTCTTTATAGATAGTCCGACGATCTATCCCCGGATAAACTCTATTAGTTTCCGTCGGTAGTTATTTGTGTTTGTCACGTTGATTACCTTCTTGGAGGTGTGACTGCAAGCGTCCTGGGCACATCATATAACGCAGTGTTGAATAAGTTTGGATGATGGTGTAGAGGAAGGGAAAGCTGGTTTCACAAGCAAGAAATATTCTTCGCAAGTCACTCCTCCAGGTACTACTGTGACACTCAAATACGAAATGAAGGCTTGACACACTTCGACGAAATTGGGGCATGCAGTGATTTCCTGCGTATGCTGGAACAAACAAAATGACTTTGACTCGTATCTCGTTGGTTCACCACCAGCAGTGATGGACAGAATCAAACAAATGGTTATAAGCGTTGAGTCACCAAAACTAGGACACAATATCAGTGGCTCACCAAGTAATTATGGATTATTATAAATTCTTTAAGTCAAAACATGTCCATCCATTTCCACCCCTTTAACACCACCACAGCAAATGTTCTTTGCCTTACTACTCCATAAAATCGAACAATTCCTTCGTATGCTCACCAAAGACAATGTATATCTTGTGGCTTGCCGCAGCGTTCCCAGTCGCCCGCGGACTTGAACTAAAGGACACTGGGTCCGGTACGGACACGCATGCTATGACACAAGTGGCTTGGTATATGGAAAACCGTAAGTTTTCGCAGCAAGAAATTTTCTTGATTACAAGACTCACGGGTTTAACTACAGGGAAGGCAGGCCCATCTGAAGTCGGGGCCTCTTCAGATAACATATACTTGAGCACATTGACGATAACGACGACGCCAACCACCACGACCACGCTTACGGTAACCGGGACTCCATCCTGTTCAAATACAAGTGAATCCGCTTCTCTAACCGAGAGCATTTATCAGGCCCAAGTTCCCCTAGCTTCGAATGAGTCAAGTCCTAATACTACAAGTCAGTCTACCTGCAAGTGTATCCCTGTTACTATCACGAAGATTCAAACTACTTGTCCAAGCGTAAATTCTTCATCAACGACTATAGCGCCTCACAGCAGCAGTCTCGACTTGATCTCAACCTTATTGCTCAGCTCTCAAATCACTACAACCAATCCGGTGCTGTCTACACCATCGAAAATCCCCAGCATCACCTCATCATCACAACTGTATGCTACATCTATCATATCGTCCACAAAAATGCCCGAAGCGACAGGCGTCATCCCTCCATCTTGCAAAAGTAACTACACGGTGGCTCCCGGAGATACCTGCGCGTTGATTTGGAGAATCATGAAGATAAAGCAGGATGACTTTTTTAGGCTGAACCCGACCTTACACATAGATGGATATGGAAACTGCCGCCTCCAGGTAGGCCAGGTAGTCTGCATTCGCGGTGATATTACAGAATCAACGGCAGGGATGTCCACACCAGAGCGGAAACCACCGGGCGTGCGGCCGCCGCCAGGTGCTCCCCCGATTAAGACTCTCACCGACCTGAGTGTTGTTCCGGTTCATCCTGAACCGACCAAACCGGCGGCCGTCAAGTTGCTTGAATGGTTGCCCATGACATTCAGAACCGTCACCCGGGAAAATGACATCTTTACGAGTACAGCTTAGTAGTAGTAGTAGTAGTAGTAGGAGATTGTTTTAGTAAGTAGTGGTCTACGTAATGGAGGTTATCATGTGCTCAAAACCTGCGCTGTGCTATGATTCATGGCCGTTGTTTCAATTTACAAACACCGAAAAAAATGTAAGCGACGTACTCAGATGAATATGTTTCTGTTTAACATAATTCAAGTCTCTTCTACAGACCGTGAGTAATGGCAGACACTAATCTGTACTGGAGGTAGGGTTTCAGCAGAATTTGCTGAACGGAATAGGCCCCCTCGATAACGGCAAGATTTTTGAGTCCATTCACTCTTGATAATAATCACTATGCTATTGGTTATCGGGACAGGAGCCGCAGCTAGTGACGCGCGTTTGGGATTGTTTTAAGCCAGCATTTATACCCTTGGACGGGGAAGTGCAAAGTCATCCATTTTCTATATAGATTGCTCTGGATGTATGTTGGTCGATAGAAACAATAATAACAACGACAGGTGCTGTCACGGCGCTGGCGATTACAGAGCCATAGTGCTGTATATAGCAGCTAGTGGGACTAAGTGTCAGTGATCCACTGGCATTCTAGATCTTTTGGTCTATTGGCCTAGGGGCTTGGTCCTCCCTTATGACAGGTGCAATTCAAGAATTTTTACGTTGGCACAAAGTGATATTTCCAGAGGTACGTCAGTATTAATAAATTCGGTCCGGAGACCGGTGTGCTATGGTACGCGCCACTAACACGCAACTCGCAGGTGACAACGCTAACTTTATTTCAGTGGCCATATCGTCTCCATACAATGTCTTCGGTGCTGCATATGGCAGTAGCTGCTCGAGTCTCGCCATTTAGGTTAACGAGGCTGGTATACTGCAGTCGTCGTTTGCCAGCATGACCTATGATACCACAGCTGGAGCTCACGGGTTGGCTCTTAACTCTGATGATGACTTCGTCTACTTAGTAAGCTAAGTTACGTAACCTTCCTAGTATATTATTCCTACTTCCCGAGGTAGATCTGATATAGGCCTGCTGGCCTGCTGTCGGGCCTATTAGGTTTGTTAGGTCGTTAAAACTGTCACGACCTGGGTTGCATCGCATTGGTAGAGACCTCGATTAGGTGCTATCGACGAAGATTCTACTCTAAGGAGCGAAGGAAAGAAGATGACAACTTAGGTTTGAGGGAGCGCGACTAAGTCGTCCACGCTTGGCGGGGCTCCTACAAGGGTTATGATTGGCTTCCCATCTGACACTGCCACGGCAGGTGTTCCAGCTGTAAGTCACCTGGTTGTAGTGAGTCTGCGAGGGTTGACCTTCACAAAAACTAACGGTTCGTAACAAGTAGCGGGACCGGCAATAGTAGCGTAAATAATAGACGGGCTAGCCTCGTTAGCAATAAGGGATAAGACGGAAAGCCGACTAGCACGCTCGAGAGTACGCTTAGTAGTAAGATAGTCCATAGTAATAGCGCGGGTAGTAGCGATCTCGTGAATATTATTACCGACGAGAGCTTCCTACAGCTTACAGGTAATATCTCGGGCGACGACAGACAGGCTACTAATAAGCTAATATAAAGATATTAAGAGCTAAGTATTGGATACCTATATTAGCTTATACTTATAGCTACTAACGTAGTTAGCGATATAGCTCTGCAGAGGGATTTCTAGCTGAGTCCCAGTTGCTAGACCGCCGCGCCCCTTTGGCAACCCTGTCTCTCTTAGATTTCCCTCATCAACTCATCTTCTCATTCGATATTAGCCGGAATCAATCTCAACGGCCAGGAGCATTCTCTCCAGAATTTTTGTTGGACTTTGGTCCCAAGGTCGGCCGGTGTCGTCATACCTCGCACTCCCTGTCTCGGAAAGCCAATTAGCGGCAAGCCACCCTCGGCTCATGATTGAAAACGGCAGTGAGCAGCAACATTGCAAGTGGATCAGGTTTTTGCGGTTTGGACTGTAGGTGCCATTGGGAGCAATAAATTGATCCAATTGACGACCATCTTGATCAGTGACCCAATGGATTCGATGGCCATGATGTAGCGTGTGAGAGGCCCCTGCCAGGGCCCTAGCATCGGATGGGAAATGCGTACTCGTAACAGCTGTCTTACACACCATTTCCAGCGATCTGCTCGGTGATTTTGCAACATATGCCCACTTTTTGTTTGTACCCCGTTGTGCTGGTCAGCAAGGTTAATACTAAGTCTATTGCTAGTCTAGTACTTCCAACATGATGCCGGTCATGGTCTCTGTTGGAAGCCAGTGTCGTTCGGCATATTGCCCCAGGTGCTGCTAGGTTCTTCCTGCGCGTGGTTGATTGTCGAGTCCATTTAAAAAGCCGCTCTGTGACCTCATGGTGCTCTAGGTGATGCCCACTCGCATCTTTTCACTCTCGTAGTGTGGCAAACCCTGCTTGTCTACTTCATAATTCGCCGAGCGCTCTTAAGGCTGAATATGTCTAAATATTGACTGGTTCACCATGAGCTTTAGTAGAGTTCCGCCAAACCGTCCGGATTTTGGAGATCGATGCAGCAGCAGCAAAACCGCTCGGCGCCAATTCGACTCAACATTGACCTCAGACCATCTCCGCGAAAGTTCCCAGTTGCCAACGTTTTCCATGTTGAGCAACATCCCCAAAGGCCGAAAGTCGATATTTAAGGAGGTAGGATTGGTCGAATTGGGCGGCCACAACCACGACGACCACGACCACTGCCACGAAGACGACGAGAACGGGAGCGAGGAACATCAGTCGCGATCACACAGGAGTTTGGATGAGAAAGAATTAGGGCAAATGACGGGCCTGACTTCGGAACCAACGTCGCCATTAGCGGCAATCAAACCTAGAGGGTCGACAGATTCCGAGAGGACAGAGAGCACAAAAGTGATAAGGTGGTTATCCAGGTTGGCTCCAAGGAAGCGAGGGAGGATTAAGGCAAGTTACAGTGGACCTCCTCCGACCGTTTCAGGCCTCCCCCGGCTCACGATAATGGCCCTGATCATTGCTATTATCATTCCTACTCTGAGTTACAACAATGGGCACCAGAAGGTGGAGATGAGCGGTGTCGATGCGAGCCTTATCTGGACAACCCCGGGCATTATCCTCGAGGGACGGGCTGACAGTCCAACCGACGTGTGCACAAGATGGGCGCATCAATGTGGGTAGTGTCGATTCGTATCTAATATTTTTAGGTGTATTACTGATGTAAATATTTTACAGCTGCCGTGCTCAATGGCACTCTCTACATATACGGTGGCGAGTCCAAGTCATCGAGTGGCCAGACCACAGACACTTGGAGTAAGTTGATCAAGCCCTCTACTCCCTTCCATAACCTGACGTGCTGAAAAACTTGGTAGATAATGACCTCGTCACGTTAGACTTGACCAAGTCATGGTCAGTCAGTGAACCAGCTGTGAGCGGTCTCCCCCAGCCGTTGGGCCCTCCTGCCGTTGCGCTGGGCTACCTGTGGAACGACTACAACAACCTGTACCTGTACGGCGGAGAATTTGCTGACAACCCCTTCGTTGAACCGGTTGATTTGTCAATATGGCGGTATAGTGTCTCAACTTCGTCATGGTTCGAGATTTCCAATCCCAAGACGTCTGCGGGCAACTTCTCGGAGCCAGATAATGTGCCCCTCAAGCGAGCGGCAGAAGGAGCTGGCATTTCCGTGCCCGAGTTGGGCCGAAGTTGGTACTTCGGTGGACATCTCGACTGGTCGACGATGCCGGGCTGGTCTAACCAAACGGAGCGTGTCTACTTGAGGAGTCTCCTCGAGTTCACGCACCCCGGATACGCCAACTCGGGCGTCGACTCACTGCATACCTCTGGTGCTGGTAGCAACGGTGTCTATCGTAACATCACCCAGGGCGGCATTCAGGAGGCGTCGGGATTTTCCGAACGTGCCGACGGTGTGCTCATTTTTGTTCCCGGCTGGGGGCCCAGCGGCATCTTGCTTGGTCTTGGGGGCGGTACCGTCGATAACTCGGAAACTTCAGACACATTCAGCAGCATGTCGACAATTGACGTGTACGATATCGAGACCAGCATGTGGTACCACCAGGAGACGTCGGGCACAGCACCCGAGGTGCGCGTCAATCCCTGTGCCGTTATTTTCTCGGCCCCTGACGCTAGCTCCTTCAATATCTACATGTACGGCGGGCAGAACCTGCTCCCTGTCGCGGGACAGACGCAGTACACCGATATGTGGGTGCTTACCATTCCCTCCTTTACCTGGATCAAGGTCGACACCAACTTGGACGACCAGCCCGCCGCGAGAGCTGGCCACACGTGCAATGCCCGTGACGGCCAGATGGTGGTGGTTGGCGGATTTGTAGGTGACGGCATTGGCTGCGACAGTCCCGGCATTTATAACTTCAATGCATCATCTTTGCAATGGCAGGACAGCTTCACTGCCTTTGAACACCCGGCCGATCTGGACCCTGAGAACAGCATCCTGGCCGGCAGCTACAGATACCGCGTGCCTGGCGTGGTACAATCTGTCATTGGCGGCTCTTCGGACGGCGGCGCAACTGCCACCACCCCTGCCTCTGGTCCCGCCACGGGAGGTCCCTTTGCTACAGGAAAACCCCCTGTATTCACCATCACCGCTTCTGGCAGCACCGCCACCATCACATCGCCAAGTTCGTCCGGTAGAGGCTCGGGCGCATCAAAAGGGGGACTCATTGCAGCTTGTGTCATCGCCGGCCTTGCCGGTCTCCTAGCTGCCTACCTGGGCTTTTGTGCCTGGCTGTACCGTCGACAAGTGAAGGCCTACAAGCGCCACATGGCCGTTGCGAACCGTTATGGTGGCGCTGACGGTCTCGGCTTCGTCGGTGCTACGCCTGGTGCTGGTATACGCGACAAGCTGCGCAAGCATCGCAACGGCGGTGTCACCGAGGACGCCCCCGAGGAACAGTTCGGCTGGGTCGGTCAGGGACAACCCCAGTTCGGCGACCCTAAGTGGCTGTCTACTAGCGACGAGCCAACCCCTGGCTCCGGCTCTGGTTCCGGTACTCGGCCGCGTCCCAGCGAAGACCGTGCCCATCCTTGGGGTTGGTTCGGCAGCTCAACCAGTGGAAATAATACTGGAGTTGGAAGAATGAAGAGCAGTGCCACAAGGAGTACTGCCAGCGGCAGTTCGACAGATGGCCTCATGGATGGCGAGCCCAGTTTCTTTAGCGTTGTTATCGGTCCTAGAAGGGCCCTGAGAGTTGTCAACGGCATGCAGGCCGAGGAAGCCGAAAAGGAATAGGCCAATTTGGATAAAATGGAAGAGCCAAGTTGATGTAATGGTATTTGATAAGCCAGGGACCGACATGTTGTATATATGAGGCGCATTATGAGACGAGGATTTACGACAAATACATGCTTGATTGTAAGTGCGTTAGCCATATTTAGCAGTCATAGATTGACCCGATTGATTAATGTTGAAACTGGATCCCTCTACACTTCTTTAAGTCGTTGGCTCATTTCGAGCCCGGATAGGACTACTTAGTGCGTCACATATTTCCTATAGATATATTACTAGGCTGTAATTATACGTCTTATGCTTCTTTTAACATATTTACCAACTGCTAGTCAATCATCATGCACTGAACTAAACTCAGCAAGTGTGCTACTAGACATTTAAGCAATTCCTGTTTCACTACCCTCCATCCCTGTTACGCGTCACACCTAGGTCCTAATACCTCCTCCTAATAGATTATCGCCCTAAACGTGCCCTTAATTAAACCCCTTGCTAAATTTCAGAGAGATGGCCTAAATGGGAAGGTACGGCCAAGTATAGGGCTACAAAACCCCGCCTCAAACTAGAAGTGACTATCAGAGAAAAGGAAAAAAATATCCTTTTTTAGCCTTCATATAAATCTGGCCTTTTCTTCATCTAAAAACCTCAGATACCACAGGCTCTATCTTCGTTGTTCATTTATAGATCCTTCCCTCGTATTTAAACTATTTCTTGAATTTATTCGCGTTAGTTAGTACATATTATTTTCGCAAGCGTACTGTAACAATAGCAGACAATATGTTAAGTCTTATACTAGATATACGAGTAATTCCCGGCTTTTTCGCCGCCTACTAGGAAAGAAGCCAACGTCTCGAAATAATGCTACTAACGAGCGAATTAACTACTAATACTAGACTGTCCTTCCGGGGCTTTAATAGGACCCTATTATAATTCTATTAGTAATACAGGCAAGAGGGTTATATTAGTGATAATGATAATAGGACTAAGTCCCAAAGGCAGTGGTCTCTCTCTACCTCTAGGATAGAGAAGATAAGAGAGCCTGCTTGTCTCTCGGGTTGAGGCTTTGAAAGCTATCTAGGGTTACTCTGAACCTTCATAGGATTAAAGGTCTCTAAGTCTTCCTTAAAGGTGTTACGAATCGTTGGTTCTAACGACCTAAAAAACCTAATAGGCCCGATAGTAGGCCTGTATCAGACCTAATACGGGAAGGAGGAATAATACTCTAGGAATAGGAAGGTTAGTACCTACTAAGGTACTCTTATCATTCTGATCGGAGTAAGAAGGCTCTCAATTTTATTATTATTTTTACTCCGGCCACTGGAGGAAGAGATGGCTCACCGGAGCAGAGCATCACGATCGCCAGCGACGCGCCATCGCTGAGGAACCGGAGGGCCCTTCGATGCAGATACCGAAAGGGGGCAAGTATTTCGGCCTGAACCGACTGGAGGCGTCTACGCTGTGCCAGATCGGGACGGAAAAAATAGGACTAGCAGCCTTCTTATTCAAGACAGGGGCTTTTGGCGTGTACTCGCCGCTATGCCGCTGTGGCGACGCCCCTGAGACGGCAGAGCACGTAATCCTCTTTTGCGGGCTGTTGGAAGGACCGAGGGAACGATTACGGGCCGCTATCGCACCACGACCACTATACTCTCGCAGAGACCTCGCAACGGCAACAGGAGAACCAGTAGTTAGTGGGACTATTGTAAGGTGGCTGCTAGGGACGGGTCGGACAGCTTCAAGGCCCAGATAGCATGGATCTTCTCAGGGGGGACTTTGTTGGTAGGTTGAGAACCAACGTAGTATGGTAGTGAACGCAACGCAGTCGCCAATAGGGCGAACCGACGACGCAGCGTATGTATTTAGTCCAGCCATTAGGGCACGGTTTGACATACGGGAGTACTAGTAGAGGTACCGGGGGCTTCGAGCCTACGGCGTATTTAATAATAATAATAATAATAATAATATCCCTACAAGATAGGGGTGTACGTAAGTAGATAGCTTAGGACATAGGCAAATGCATAACAACGTTACGAGCATAATATAAAGCGCAATAAGTCTAGCCTCCGGGAATCTAAGGACTAGGCCACATTTAGTCAACTTATTACGCAAACAAGACATCCATCAATACATCATTGTGACGCAAAACATGTATCACTAACGCTTCGAATCCGAACTCCTGTTCTCCCTTTCCTAACCTTATGTAGTTGCCCCTGAATAACCGAGTATGGCGTCACCTTTATCCGTGTTGAAAACTTCCCGCAGCGCCAAAATGACTGATGAAAACAGTGGTTCTGTAATAAGTTGTATACCGGCATGGACCATTCGTCGTCGACTTTTTCTTTCCCCGCAATGGCATAATGCAGCTGATCATGCCTAGGAAATCTGCGTTCGTGCGATGAATCTCGCGTGTCCAAATTTGCCGCAACTCGTACGACGAGGTACTGACAGTATCATTATAAGCAAAACATCGAGCAAAGTGCATCGCTACAGAGCTCTACTCGATTCGCGGCGGCGTACTGCTCGGGGTCAACCTCCGCCTTTCTCCTTCCTTACGCAAACTCTCAATGATCTTGAGCATTTCCTTCCGGGCACCATAACTATCAATAGCCTTGTGTGCCATGCTCATTGATATCTTCTCACCTGCGTTTACTGCGAGAAGGCGCTTAACAAGCAGGTGGCGCATGATGATACACACAAAAACCCCGCAGTCGCTCCCATTCTCTTGCTGGGGGCATTCGGGAAGGTAGTGAAACCGCAGTGGTTTGCCCAGTACACTGGCCAACCTTTTTGACGCCTCCCACGCCTCGTCATTATTTGCGCCTTCCAAGGAATCATAATGGAAAGCGACACCGTCAATGATGCTCACAAGTAATAAGGACCAGTGGCTACCGCCTTCAGCAAGGCTGACGTTGCGGTTGTCGTTGATGGGGAGGAAGATGTGGGTGATGGTTCGGAAGTCAGGCAACGCTGCTCGTACACCCTCGGTGTCTTTGTTTTTCATCAAGAGAAAAGTCATCGAAGGTCGGAGGAGAACAATGTGGGCTTGTGGATATTTGGTGAGGACTTCGTGCTCCAGGAACTCCTCCCAAAAGGCAATGTTCTGTATTTACATCAAGTTAGCCAGCCTACGTCGTGCGAAGTAAGATGAGACTGCGTACATTATCAGTTAACCAGTCATTTTTGAGGGAACGGACGTCGTCATATGTCACTGTGGCAGTTGGTTAGTGCTGGCGTGGGGTGGGCGAGGGAGCACTCGTAGATATCTTAGCGTACAGAGAACATCGTGATCTGGTGTATCCCTCAGTCAGTCTGGTGTACTTTGCGTATGAGAAGTGAGGATCAATGAAAGGACGATGGACTTACAAGAAAGGTATGGTTGGTTAGGTGAAGGAGAAGGCGATAGCTGCCAATCATTGCATGAGCGCCGTCGGCCTCTGAACCTGGCATACTTCTTGGAGTTCTTGCGGGTGCTTACACTGTCATTGAACCGACGAGCAATCCTATCGCGGAACGGCATGATGGCAGTTGAGCAAGCCTAGGCAACGCCTCGGTCTGGAATCTTGTCCAACAAATCGTTCTGTCCACTGGGTTCACTCCTACACGGGCGCGATGGTCATACAGTCAGCAGCGTACAGGCAGTCACCGCGGTCTATCGATGAGCCCAAAATGCGACGAAACCGGAGTCCAAAATGGATGCGATGGGATGAAATCGCTCTTTTCCAGTGGCAAAGATGCGCAATTTGTCTCTTAAGATATCCTGTCTTTGTCGGCGATGTCCCAAAGGGAAGGTCGGTAGAGTAGCAGTGGTAATCGCGGGGTCCTCGGCAACCCCTTCGATCAAGGTCTGTCGAAGTTATGTGCCTGGCCTCAGCCGATTGCAGGGTGACTCGTGGCAGCTCAGGGAGCTTGGGGTAGCCGATTGGCGTCGCCAAAGGAGCCCCTGTGACGGGGACGTTTGAACTCGTTGGAGGCTCCTTGATGAGTCTGAAGCGCTCTGTGGCAAAGTTGATGTCAACCAGTGCCGATGCAATGGTGAATAAACAATGAGTTATTGATACCTTCAATGTATGTTTGGACAAGACGGACGATGCTTAAGTGGCAAAGTAAAAAAATTGCGGGGAGAGACACTGAGGATGCGGCGCTGAACTGATCAGCCGAGCTCTTTCTATGTACTACCAAATGACCATAAAACCTTGAAACCCTAGCACTATTTTTGCTTCCTCCACGCGCTCGGGTGGGTAAGTGGGCTCTCGTAGCTCGAGGCAGCCTGCTGCCCACTAGCATCTCTTGGCCTCTGCATTTTGCCCGGCTCTCGGAACGCCTCTTACTCCGGCAACGCGGACGAAATTGGTGACAAATATGCGGCTGAGCCGCTTAGTTCTCTTGGGACAAAGTTTGGCTTGTTGGACGGGGGGCCAGATTCATCTTTCGGTGCAAAAAGTGGGATCAGAAAGTGGGACGGCAATACCGCAACCCCAACGTCGATGAACCTAGAGGATATATACGTCACTCTACACAAGTTGCATTCCAACGGTGCCTCTTCATTGGGCATGGCAACTCTTGGCTTCAGGCACTCCGAATCCACTTGTACGAAGATCTTGATCACTCAATGGCAACCCAAATGGCTGGATAAGTAATTTCTAAGACCCTGACACGATCATAATCCAGGCAACGTAATCTTTTGAAACACTGGCCTCTACATACATTTACAATATGTCGCATTAAGCGGGCAGGCATTTCGCAGCTGTTTTTACAGAAATGGGCGACTAGCTTCAAAGGACTTAACAAGCTCGTCTTCAACTTCTTGTACTATCCACTTAGCTCGTATATTGATTGCAGCTTACACATTTACACATCAAACACTGAGTCGGAGTATGTCTTTTGCCAACTCTGGGCTTCAAAGTTCAACAGAACATTTGTAGTAGGGATCTGTGCTAGAGCCTGGCATTCATGTGCCACCACAATGCAGATCCTAACCAAGCATGTGCATCTAATACACAGCTTGTTCTTATGATAGGAAGTCATCTAATGCCTAAGAACATGCTCTCTTGGCCTCGAGGAGTGTGGTCAATCGGAAGCGGCTTGTAAACTTTCAAGCAACTTCCATTCTGTGTTTTTCTCTTCGCTTCCCATCGTCTCTCGTTCCTATAAAGGCAGGATTTTGCTCCATGGTCGCAGATATAAATCCTCTCAACGCAGCCCACCGAGAGCCCGTTGGATTTGGATTCTGTGACTGAGCCTCTCCGCCTTCTGCTCCATTATCCCCTCCTGGCTTTTCGATGTCTATACTTGGCGCAATCCCTTGGTAAGCGGCGCCCACAGCATTAAGACGTGCCAGGCTGCCCTGAAACCTTTCTACCTCGCCCTTGACAACCTTCTCTTTCTTCTTCAGGGCACCCTTCCTGCTACTAAGGCTCTTAAGGCGCACTTTACCCTCCTTCAACTGCTTCAGTCCCTCCTCAGTCTCTCCGTCGGCCAAGAGATCAGGCAGGGCTTTCTTGAGAGAATGAAGATCGGTAACGAGTTTCTTGTATGGTCGGCGGCGTTTGAGGGGTTTCTTATTCGTCTTCTCGATCCGCGAGACGAAGGACGAGTGCTTGATGAGTCGCTTGTCCTTTTTCGAATTAATGAACAAGTCGGATACTTCGACGACATCGGGTCGCAGAGCTCTACGTGATGCATAGGGTTGAGCTTCATATTTTGATGCGAGCTTGGTGTGCAGTGAGCGTCGTTTGGAGGGTGCAACCGGTGCCTGCCATGTTTGGTTAATTTGTGGAATACACATAGAGAAAAGGCTGCTGTGTACACATACCATTTTTGACGCTGACTTCTTCAAATGACTAAAATCGCAGGTCAAGCTAGCCAAGTGCTCAATCGCGTGGTCAGTGTGATTCGAATTCGTCCAATTTATGACCCTACATATTACGATAGGTGGCGGCCGTTTGTAAAGAAATATCAGTGGAGTATCTGTACCTGTGGGGTAAACCTTCGTTTGGTGCATTATACTCTATAGCTTCACAGGCAGAGTGTGATGACCCGATAAAGCTATGAAGGGCCCCAGTCTCTAAAGTAGTTAGCAAACTGAACAGACTTGGACTCTCCTCATCCGCAACCACTTCTAGACATTCGATTCTTAATTATGTGTGTCACATTGGGCAACGCGCAGCAAGCAGAGCTGTTGCGACAAAGGATCGCAAACGCAGAGGGAGAGCTGCAAACATTGCGGGAAAAGCTCAAATATCTTGAGTCTACAGAGCACACACCACAATCCTTTTGCTCATCAGACAGACTGCCTCAAGATGAAGATAAGTCCACCACGGACCCAGCAACGCCCTCTTGGAAGTGGACCCTCAAAGAGCACGAGTATGCACGTTATGGCCGCCAGCTTATCTTACCCAGTATTGGCATTGCTGGCCAGCTCCGCCTGAAATCTGCTGCTGTTCTCATCATTGGTGCCGGAGGCCTGGGATGCCCAGCCGCGGCATACCTCTCCGGGGCGGGTATTGGCACCCTGGGGATTGTAGATGGGGATACTGTCGAGGAATCTAATCTCCATCGCCAGATTGCTCACAGCACGGCAAGAATCAACATGAAGAAGACGGACAGTTTGGTCCAATACTGTCAGGGGCTGAATCCAGAGGTATGCTATATCCGGCATGGAACACATCTCACGCCTCAAAACGCAGAGGACATTGTGTCTAAGTATGGAATTGTACTGGATTGCACAGATAACCCGACGTCACGATACCTCATCTCGGATATATGTGTCCTGCTACAGAAGCCCCTCGTTTCGGCCTCTGCCTTGAAGACGGACGGTCAGCTGATTGTCTTGAACAACTTCCCGGCACCTCGAGGCAAACCTGAAGGTGGGCCCTGTTACAGATGTGTATTTCCGAAGCCTCCACCGCCTGATAGTGTCACCAGCTGCGGCGAGGGTGGGATTCTGGGTCCCGTCGTTGGCGTCATGGGCGTACTACAAGCGCTCGAGGCAATTAAAGTCATTGCTGCTGGTATGGACACACCGCAGTGGGGGCCATGTACGCCGAGCCTGCTGCTCTTCTCAGCTTCTGGGTCTACAAGTTTCAGGTCTATCAGAATGCGAGGCCGTAGACCAGACTGCTTCGCCTGTTCGGCTTCCTCCACCCTAACGTTAGAGGAGCTGAAGTCAGGCTCTCTTGACTACGTGCAGTTTTGCGGCGTGGCAGCACCCATCAATATTCTCAAGCCCGAGGAGCGAGTATCCGCATTGGATTACCATAAGCTTGTGAGAGAGAACCCTGACATGGACCACTTGCTGCTGGATGTCCGTGAGCGACCACACTTCGAAATAGCAAGCATACCTGGAGCTGTCAACGTACCGTTCTCGACTTTCCAAATGCGAGGCACGCCTGCCGACGAAAGCCACCCAGATTGGCTGCCGGCCACTCTCTCGCCTTCTGCTCCTATATACATTGTCTGCAGAGTCGGCAACGACTCGCAGCTGACGACACAGAAGCTCAAGGAAATGGGCTTAGATCGGGCTGGCCAGCGTTTTATAGGTGACATCAAGGGGGGGATGAGAGCATGGAAACAAGAGGTAGACAAGACAATACCTTTCACATGAAATGGAAGAGGACGTTCTGCTGGTGAGAGGAGTTCACCAATTATTACACCCCCGCCCACTTGGAGTAAGCTGTTGATACAATGTGCTGGGAGAGGCCCTATCCACGAGCCTGAGTGTGCCAAGTGCCTTTTTTCCATGAACGCTTATCGTACTATGCCCAAATACGAGGTCTTCATAGGCATGCTTTATCCGTACGTGATGTTTATCCTTACTCAACGGTGGTTTGATCCCCGGTAACGTGTCCGTATCCATAACTGCACCATCTCACCTACAGAAAGCTTGTTCGCTTCTTCCGGAATGCTCTCTGATCCTTCAACCATTGCCTGTACCCAGAAACACTCGATATCTTCTCACCATAGTAATCCGGCACTGTAAGACATGGTGGTTAGGTTGCATCCGAGCTGTGGTTGCCTCCATAGACTTACCAGGATTGCCAACTGAGCTGACACTCGGGTCAACTCGGTTCTTCTTGATCCTTGCGAAGAACTCTGCCTCCTTGACAGCCATTGGTTTCTTGACGCCCTTCTGCACAGAATAGAAGATAACGGAACCCAGACTTGGTCCGGCTAGCCAGCCAAGAGCAGCACAGCTCATCGTCATCAGACCCAGTGTTATAAAGGGGTCTAATGGGATCTTGCCCAAGTACTCCAAGTCCATATTGACCAGAATGAGACCAGCCATGGATCCACCTATGGCCATAGTGCCGAGGCTGCATACAAGCTGAAAGCGTCGTCTTGTCTTGCGCAACTTGAAGAAGGTGTTCCAGTCGAGATTCGGCTCAGCAGCGGCGTTGGGTGCTGTGACCGTGGTGGATGCCCACCGGCGCATCACGGAATGACATTTTAGGCTTACAGGCCCGGCCGCAGCTGGGCGTGTCTGGGTGCATATGTTCTTCGCAGCTTTTGGTGCATATTGGTGTTGTGCCAGACAAGTAATCGATGCCCCTCTGGCAGTCAGGGCGGATTGTAGTTGCAAGCCGCGTGCACCTAGAACGCCGAAGCGCGCTATGTTTGTTGTCAACGTCAACATCCTTTTACTCGAGGGCCGTTGTCCGAGTCGTGGAAATCAGTTACGCATTGGTTGGAAAGCGGAGTCGACAGTTTGTGTGTCGCGGGACGATCGTTGGTGGTAGTGGTCTCATACCGTCCAACTAAATCGTTGAAAAGTTTAGAGCTTCCCGAGATCAACTGGACCTCGTCCTAGCCCCGCGAGCCTCGTAGCCCAGTTCATCATCGCCCGGGCCACTTTCCAGCTCACGGTTCCATTGGCTCCACCATTTGGTAATGAGCGCATGGGTCGCATTTTGCCTGTAGCTGCTATGTACCTAAGTACACTCACTATCTTACTGCATCGCAGTCCATGGTAATACGTCCAGTTGGATATCTCAATTATTTGCCAACCTTCTACATGTGTGCCTCAACTTGTGTCTACGGTCATCATTGCACTGTCGCGGCTGCCTCCACTTTAGTCCCTCAACAAGTCCTCGGATGTAAGGCACTGGAAGTGACCTGCCTGCCAGTGGTGTTGATTGTCGGCGCCAACTTCACGCATTGGCTCCTCGTTATGTAGGCAACGTGAAATACCAAGTCAAATTTGACGCAGCTTGGGTAGCCCATCGACGAGTTCAAGCTCACGTTGTTCAGGCAGGTCGTTACTCGCGCAGCCTTCAACATCTGCAGTCCCAGGACACAGCAAGCTACCTCCAACCCCTCCGCAATCGCACCGTCGCGTCCTATCACCATTCTTAGTCTTCATATTAGATCGCGCAACCGCCCTTAGCCACAGCAATCGCAACTGCGACTTGTCCCCAATTGCGCATTTACGTCACCGTTACAGTCCCCTTGCGCACCGGTGTGGACTGATTGCGCCCAACTAAACTTGCCGACGCTGTGTCCTCCTTTGAACTTCTGGCAGCAGAACCCGGCGCGGAAAGACACCAGGATACCGCTATGAACAAGTCACGCGTCCACAAGCCCAAGCGGTGGCGAATAGAGATTCCTATCATCGCGAGACCACCTACCTACACCCGCGGCTCTGGTCCCCCGCTCGCCCCGCTCAAAATCGCCCTCCAGAATGACTCGACAGCTTACATCACGGACAAGGAAGTTGTTCCGCTGTCTGACAATGAAGAGAAGCTACAGATGCACTACATTGTGCGTTGGACCGATTTGCCCGCTGCGTCGGTTGCCATTCCTGCCACTCACATCACCAGCTATGTCTCATCTCGGACCTTGGAGGATTTTGAGTACAAGCTGTCGCTAGAGAAGGAGGAACAGCAATTATTGGACAGGAAGATCGAGGAGACCAGGAAGGTAAACAATCAAGTACCCCTCACGCCTACTGGCCCGGGCAAAAAACGAGGGCGCCCAATTAAGCCAGCTGCAGCGGGAGTCATCCTGGGGCCTCTGGGTGAGAATGCAGCGCCGCTATCCCTGGTCAATATCTCAGGCCCATCACTTTCCACGCCACAGAAGTCGCTTAGGCTTGACGAGAACATTGCTAATGACACGGATGACGTTGATGATGAGGTTGAGGAGGACGATGCGGGCGAGGACGGAAGTGGGGAACAGGACACAAATGCAGATGCTGCCATTTTTGACCAGCTGTATCGCGAGGCCACAGTTTTAGTACAGGCTGATAATGCAGCTGACATACCCACCGCCACTCCGCGGCATTCACTTTCGTCGCAGGTCACAAAAATGCACATCTCCCCAAAATTAACGCTAGACAGCCGCCATTCCCCAACCTCCATGTTCAGAGGAGCGCAACCATCTGCCTCTCGACCAAGGCGTCTTGTCCAGACTAGCCTATCCTCGAGTGGATTTGTCCCTGCAGGCTGCGGCTCCACAACATGGCCTTCACCATCCCAATCCCAGTCACAACCTCGAAATTTGGGAAGACTTCCAAATATGACGACCCAGGTATCCACCCTATCCAACATACAGATGCTGGCCACATCATCGTCCAGGAAAAAGAAGAAGCATGAAGGATTCCAACCACCTCTAGACGAAGAGGATGCGGCATGGGAAGTCAAGCGGCTCGAGAGTGACAGGGTCATTGACATCGATGGAGAACTTCAGCGTTGGTTCAGGGTGAGATGGGAGGGCAATTGGCCGGCGCATCAGAATCCAACCTGGGAACCCCAGGAGAACCTGCCGTCGTCGTTAGTAAAGAAGTACTTGAAAAAGAAGGCGGCGAGAGGAGGCAATGATGTAGCTGAAGAGCCAGACGACCTAGAGGCAAGTCGACCTCCAGCGCCGCCCAATAATGAATACCCTAGCGTAGCTGACGCCTTCGGGGATGAGAGTGAGCTTGCAGCGATGGTGCGACACGATCCTACCCCCAGGAGAGCCGATGGTGATGACAAGGACCGGTTACTGGTAGATTCAGATGGCGAAAATCAAAAGAGGATACCGTTGCTCGCTGCGTCGCTTCCGGTGAATGGGAGTTTCGATTTTGCGCAGGCGAGAGGGTTATTGTTCAATGGACAAAGTCCCGGATCTTAGTATGACTTTATTACACCGGCTCTATAGCTGGTGGTTGGAGTTTTGCTTCACGGTGGGAAAGGTACAAGATTGGATGGGTTCAGTTCCGGATGATGTCAGTCTCTACTTAAGTTGTAAATGATGGTAGATTAGACTTGCCTCGTCGACAGAGGGCAGAAGGGCTGGCTAGCCTGGTCTCCTAGATATCGAGCAACTAGGCTTGGTACAGATCCTTGGATGACCTCCGTACACAATGTACTTAGTGTTGGAGATGAAACCCCTCAATTCGCAAAATCAGCTTGACTTCCTTCCAAAGTTCATGACTGTTCCGCCCTTATTAAGAGTACTGCTTGAGTAGTGTTCTTTTGCGTGTTTCAGCGCACTGGATAGTTGGGCATAATATATAACAAGGGACAATTTCTAGTAATTTTCTCAGCTTTTTATCCTAGGTAAACTAACTATCACTCTGCTTAGGTTTAAGATAGGTCATTGTTACGAACCGTTGGTTCTAACAGCCTAACCAACGTGACAGGACGGGCAGCACACCTATATTAAACCCTACTAAGGAGAGGAAGAACTATATTCTAGAACTAGGGCACAGAGGTTACGTAATAGCTTAATAAAGATTACTAAGCTTAGAGAGGAGACTTGCCTGAGGATTATTAATCTAAGAGTAAGCCTAGCTAGGGATTACTAAGGGATCATTAGACTATGTTAGATGTAGTCTCACAGTGACGAATTATGTTAGGCAACCTTGGTGGGCTTTGCCAAGACCACCAAGGTTACCACGTGACTTAGCCCTTCGGGACTAAGTCCAACCTTCGTGCTCCATAGGACTAGATAGAATGTCATGCTTTTACAACCTCACAAATCTTTGACCACCTTAGCGTGTAACAACGCAGCCTGCGGGCCGCTACGGCGTCGGTGCTACCGCGTGCCTTATTCACTGCTTTGACGACTTCAGCCGCCGTCCTGTTCTTCATACTGGGGTCTTCCGTCCCTCGGATCACTATTTCTCTTTCCCTTCGCTGGGGTACAACGACCCGTTGCTGCCACACCGGAGCTCCGACGGGTTCCCTCCCTTGGGCCGTTCCCGAGGCGACTGAGGCCCAGGATCTGGTCGTAGGCATAGCTACGCTTTTCACGGTGTCTTGTATCGTCTTTTGTACTGTAGTCGTAATCCCCTCGGTAAGTGCTCGGATCGCTGCTAGTACGTCGGCTGGTGTAGCGGATCGGTCTTCGCCCTGTTCCAGCGCCTTGCCGGCTAGCTTTAGCTCCAGCCAGCGTTCCATTAAGCCTCCTATAACCTCGATCTTCTCGGGAGGTACTAAGTCGATAATCTTCTGTTCGACGCTCGCCCGTTCGCTGTCGATTTGCTTCTTCGTTGCGTTTTCGCCGCCACTACGCTCCACGCTCGGCGCGTGGGCGCTTTCGTTCGCTTGGGGGTGGTGAAAACTTTGTTGAAGTCCCGCCCGTCCCCCGTCAATTACCATCGGCGTCTCCATGGTTTTGCGCCCTCGATTCGCAAGCGATGCGAGGTCACTGTCCGATGTAAGCGCCTATGAAGAATCGATTGCCGTAATCTGTTTGATGATTTAACGCTGTTCGATGAAGTTATCGATGAATCTCAAAAACCTCCCCTCTCTGGCTCCAATTCAATAATTAGGATATTCGGTAAAATCAGCTCGTCCGTATACCGGTTAGTGCTTCTAGATAAGTACTCCCGCTTATATAATATATTCCCAGTTAGTGTATTAGAGCCTTAGCCTACAAAACTAGACTTAAAAATAGAAAACTCTTTATAGACCCTAGATATTATTATTATTATTAAATACGCCGTAGGCTCGAAGCCCCCGGTACCTCTACTAGTACTCCCGTATGTCAAACCGTGCCCTAATGGCTGGGCTAAATACATACGCTGCGTCGTCGGTTCGCCCTATTGGCGACTGCGTTGCGTTCACTACCATACTACGTTGGTTCTCAACCTACCAACAAAGTCCCCCCTGAGAAGATCCATGCTATCTGGGCCTTGAAGCTGTCCGACCCGTCCCTAGCAGCCACCTTACAATAGTCCCACTAACTACTGGTTCTCCTGTTGCCGTTGCGAGGTCTCTGCGAGAGTATAGTGGCCGTGGTGCGATAGCGGCCCGTAATCGTTCCCTCGGTCCTTCCAACAGCCCGCAAATGATATTATTAAAATAACCCTACTATATATAACCTACGAAATACCTTAACCCCCCTAGCCTCTTCGCTCTATACTAGAAGCGAAGGTCTAGAGTATCTTAGTAACTTATTTTTAAGGTTATGAGGGAACTCTACCCCTAGAGCCTCCTAGACCTTCTTATAAAAGTATCTCTTGTGAAGGTCAACCCTCGCAGACTCACTACAACCAGGTGACTTACAGCTGGAACACCTGCCGTGGCAGTGCCAGATGGGAAGCCAATCATAACCCCTGTAGGAGCCCCGTCAAGCGTGGACGACTTAGTCGCGCTCCCTCAAACCTAAGTTGTCATCTTCTTTCCTTCGCTCCTTAGAGTAGAATCTTCGTCGATAGCACCTAATCGAGGTCTCTACCAATGCGATGCAACCCAGGTCGTGACACCTCTTAGCTAATACCTACGCCTACTATTACCCGTCTCGGGATATTAAACGGTACTCTATCTTTAGCCTCTAGCTATTAAAAAAGTCCGAGCTTTAACGGGTACGATGAGTAGACGAGTACGGGAAGTCGGATAATTACTTACGGCCCTAGCCCCGGGATAGGGGAAGGTGGACTAAAGACAGGCCCGGTTGCGCTCCTACTATTCGTAGTACCATTCTCGTTCTTAGTCTAGAATTATAGAAATTTGAAAGGAAGGTTAACCCCTTAGGTAAGGAGGATTTTAGTAGTAAAGCCGGCAATATAACGCTTACTAGGAGCCCCTCCGCACAATTCTTAGTATAGGGTCTATTTCACGATAGCTTTGTCTAACTGTATAGGTAACTTTTATTACCTGGAGGCTGCGTCGCGGTATGAATTACCGTAACGAATGCGGTAGGATAATGTAGTCCCCTTGATATCGTACCGATAGGCTGCTACGGCCTAGGAAGAGCCCTGATAGAGAAGCTCTTTAGCGCGTTCATGTGACGGGCTCACTGCGAAACTATACAGCTCAACATGGCCAAATACTGTTAATTATCTAACTGAGGAGGAAAGTAAAATATGCGAGTTGTCCCGGGAACACGGACTATGTTTTGTGTGCCCTCGATGGTTCCTTTGGTGGATCCGGACGCACGGTCCTTGCAGCTCCGGATCCCATATCAGGCACAGCCTGTCACAGTTCGATTCGCTGCTTAAAATTATCCGGATTGTATTCCACTGGATTAGCTATTTTGTACGCAGCTGGAGATCAATTGCAAGGTGAATTGAGAGACGTGTTGTTAAGGCGTGGAATTTCCCTGCAAAATAGGAGTGCATGCAATAAGGTGGTTAATGCGGTTAGTTGAAAATGTGCACGCATCTTAATCCGTGTCACAATTTATAACTCCATTTGTTCGTTGGACTCGCAAAGCAGCTAAAAAACATTGCGCTCATATTATTTGAACAGTGGTTCCCATAGCTCCTGGATGGAGCTGACCCGATTGTACCGGAGGATTGGTCTGTGTCTTATAGAAGGTCACTGAGGTGGCGATCAATCAGGGATGGTAACTGGGACTACGAATATTTCTTGCTGAATCTCATTACAATAGCTGAATCCGGCGGTGGTTCGTTTTTGGGTGGCTACTGACGTATCGTACATCCCGGGAGGTGCTTGAAATTTCATATTGCCATAGACGTACATGTAGGACGGTGACTTTAGCCCTCTGCAGTCTGCAGGACTAGTATGATGGTTTCGCAAAGAAGAGCGAGAACATAGACGTGAGGGACGACTGCTTTGGAGATCGACTTATTCAAGCTACTAGCACTTCTTACCCGTTAAAAGTTGAGATCGTTGAGCAATGCAATACGCTCAGGTGACGAATACATGCGGTCTTTCGATTTGATTGGGAGGCTACATCACACGTGGGATGATGTTTCTTGTAATACATTGAGCCCTAGCCTGAAGATGCTATGCGGAACGGCGAGAGATTTGAAGCTTGACTTAAGAGGCAGGGGCAGGTCGGCCGCTGTTGACGTCAACTTGATGGGACTCGTCGCTGTTGGCGGCACTTGGATGACATCTCAGGGCCATGTCGCGCAAACTCTATCCAGATCGTTGGGTGCGGATGAGTGGCAGATAAAGGTTGGCGGTCAAGTCGCCTTTACACCAGACTGCATAAGCCCACCAAGAATGTTCGCATGATAACTATGGGTATTGAATTGATAGTGGATTGATTGGCATTAACAAGATATCGGCAACGATGGGGTTATAGCAGGGAATGTCTGAATTACGGTGTTGGGAGTCGCAGCTGCCATTCGACAATTCAGGGTCGGGAGGGGGCTTTTCTGGGTCCGACAAGAAGCCTCCGCTTGCTACTCCCCCCATTCAGGTGGGTTCATGTCATGGAACTTGAGAAGGCTAAACCGCCATTGTGCGATCGAAATCTGCACAAGATATTCAATCTGCGCAAGCGTGCCACAAAACCCGCTAGCCACTGTCCCCCTTGTTGATGGTGGGCCGTGGCGGTCTTATTTCATGCACCTTCCATAGGCTTGCAGGTCAGGTCCTCGATTCTGCGAGATGGCAGAAGTCCGAGGTGTCATCACCACGTGCGATAAATGGCCAAACTGCCGTAAGACTAACTACCTACCTAGGTACCTTGGTGCAGGTAACAGAATTGGCCTGAGTACGCGATCGTGGCAAAGCACGCTTTGAGTGATGGATGCTATCCCCTTCTTCGGCCAGCCGCGTACCGAAAGAATACCTTTCGCAGAGCTTTGGGGACACGGGCTTTTTAGGTGCATCAGCCAGCAGCAACGCGCACCAGCCCCTCGCCCCTGTCCATCCTCTCGCAGCAATTCGCCAAAGCCTCTGGGACACCATCAATCTCCAACTCCATCTAGGTGTGGCGGCCCTCAGCCCCCCTGACACCTGACTTCACAATCATTCGTTGTTGGCCCGTTCGACACCCAACTTGATTCTGGCATCCCGTCCATCGTCGTCACTCGTCCCCTCACCTTTCAACGCGGCAAAACGCCATCTAGTCGGATTGACTCTCCCTGCTCCCTTTGGTTCTTCCCTTCTCGCCATTGACCACTTGATTTCACACCACTCGAGCACCAACGCTGGACCCCGGTTGCCCCGTTGAATCCGTCCCACCATTGTTATTGGGCTCTCGCTTTGAAACGACGCCTAGTTCCACCGTCCAACGCTTGTCATCCGGAATAGATGAGACAATTGAACTGAGCCATTCTTCCTTCTCAGCTCTACCTTCTTGCCTTGTGGAAACGGGAAACTCGCTTGTGCCTTTGCCACATTTCTCTCAAGGCGTCTACTCTCATTTGTGCCTCTTCACAAATACAGTTTATCATTCAACCGTCGCTGGAACTGATCAAAGTGCATCCGTAGCTGTGCCCCATGGCACCGTTGGTTCTGTTGCTACAACCACAATCCTCCCTTTTCGATTCGAACCTTGCTGCGCTGAAACTGATGTTGATCCAACACTTTTCTCGGCGGGCTGTGTCAATCAATTGATCGGTTCATTCACGCGAACCGGCTAATTGCATTGCTACTATACCAAAACTCAACCTCGAATGCCTCGGACGCGAGGACCGAACCCCGAGGCGTCATAACCGGGCCTCCGAGGTACCCTTGCTCCAATTATCAGACCTCACACACCGCGCCGCAATCACCATGTCATTTTTGGTCGCACTTCAGTCGGCCATCTTTTACATTTGTGCGTGTACACCATGCGCTCAAGCTAGGGAACACCGGCATTCGAAAAAGCGGGCCAAGAAAGACCGGGAAGAGAAGCGGCGATTGGAGGAGGAGATGCCGCATATATACCGTCATCCCGATCCATTCCATACGAACCCTTTCTGGGCCGAAGAAATCAACACTGGGCCGAGCCTGCCGACGAAAAAGTCTAGCGGAGGAAGCAAGAACACAAGTCAGCGAGCCCTCAACAGTGCTGGTAGAGACAGCCGAAGCATGGCGGCCAGTAGTATAGCCATTACTAGTATCAATCCAGGGAGCAGTCCCACAGTTGTGCCAGAAGATGGCGAGTTAAGCCTCTTCAAAACCATGTCTATGGACCTGTCTGAGGATTGGAACAAGAAACGGTACCAGCGTGAGGACGAGGAGCTTTGGGGTCGCGAGTTCTCCTGGACAGGTAACAAGCTCATGGATGCCATCAAGGAGGCTGGCTCGGCTGCAGGGCGTATTATAGACGCTACCCTAGGAAAAGAGCCGAAATCTGTGACCGAGGAGGACAGGCATAACTTTTACTCGACCGTCCGGGTTCCACCAGTCAACGAATACCACCCGCCAGTTGTCAGTCAACGACCGAAAGATAGGAACGCTGCCAAGTGGATGTTGCAGCCGCCGCCTCCGGCTAAAGTGATGGAGGGAAAGATTCCCGTGAGCCGGAGCACGAGTTTGGCAAGCCAGGCGAGCAGACGGACGATGGGGAGTGATGGCCCGGCACTGGGAAGATTAGTGCACGAGAAAATGGTGGCAGATAAAATACGCAAGGGGGAAATGCCCTCGGAGCAGGAATTGGCTGCGGCATCGAACAGGCCATCTACAGGCAGGAGAAATACCTCCCTGAGCCAGGGGCGTAAGAGTCAGCGGAGCGCGAGAAGCAGGAGCCTATCCCTCGAGTCATCAGATGCATCGGAGGACTTCAAGAAGCGGAGACGACCACGTGTGAGACCCCCGCCAACGCCCGAAGTCGATTCATCGGATGATGAGGAGTTCTACCGGGGCAGCAGCGTAGATTCGCTGGGCATTATGTCAAGAACCGCGCAACGACCCAAGCTGCAGACCATTTTTAGCGAGCCAGGAAAGAGTGCCAGCCAGGACAAGTTGACACCCAAGACTCCGAAGACCCCGGACAAACTGGGTTCGCAGCCGTCCCCTCTACGGGATGTATCGAACACCACATCGCAACCCAAAGTGGCAACTGCGAAACACCCTAAACCCGAAGATAAGGGGGATCCTATCTCAGAAGCTGCGTCTGTAGAGAAAGAGCTTGCTGTTCCCACAAAGGTAGAAACTGAGGACATCATTTCGAGACCTTCGGCTACTGCGTTACAGGTTTAGAAAGCCAATTGGAGACGAGCCGTTAAGTAGGAGAGCACAGCAGGTTGTTTACACCGTTTGCCGCGGCGCGAGTAGCGAGACCTTGGTGCGTGATGAATGATCACTCAGGCCGTCCTTGTCTCGTTCGGCCCTATGAGCAAACAGGCTATCACTATTATGTTTTTTTTCATTGCATATGCATTTGCATGGGCGGTTGGGTTAAAAGGCGAGCGGGTATGGCGCTCGGGCGGTTGAATTGGGAACCAGGCACTTGTTTAGCATAGTTAGTATGAATGGTTCGGGAATGGAGCATTCTGTATATTGGAAAATCGTAAGCATAGCAAATGGCATTTTCCCCACAACAACGTACTTGTGTGCGGCGACATGACGGCAATAGGAGTTATGTATAGTCAGGCAAGGACAGGCCAAGTGGTGAGATGGATTTCAGCGCAGGAATGACATCGAAGCACACAGCAAGAAGCGCACCATTAAGATGCCCGTCATATGCATAGGGCCATGCTCAATCTTGGCGGCAGACCGTAACCAGATGGGGCGGGCATGGTTTGTAAAGTGATCTCTAGCAGCTTCGCAATTGAATTTGCGCTGACTCGCATGGTAGGATTGGCGTTATGTAGTGCAGAGACACAGCCGCATCACTGCCTGTGCAAAGTAGAAAATATACAAGCAAGCACTGACCTGTAGGACGAAAAACGTTTGCTGCCCAGGTGGTACCATTGAAAGTGAACAGCGGAAGTGAGTTTCCTGGCCAGATTATCAATCAACATCAACCTGTACGGGGCTTCTTCCGCCTCGACACTTAAACTCATATGGCACAGCTTAAACGTAATGCCCACCAAACCCGTCGCTTGCTCTCACGGTCCAAGGTTCCTTGACTGTAACATGATTCAACTATTAGATTAGTAATTGCCGCTTAGTCGAGGCAATGATGACAACCTGTACAACAATTACATTCACAGTTACGGCAAGCCGGGAAACCATTGAAATGTTGGATTTCGCGGGTGTAGAACGAGAGGGACTTGTAAAGGGGTGTGAATCATCATGGGGGTCAACAATCTTCTGCATAGGTGAATACGACTTTTCTCTCAACTGCCGTATCCCCATCTACATATAGATTCTACCCCAAAGCGCAGGAACAACAAAAGCAGAGCCAGAATCAGCCGAATTTTCAACGTTAAGAGGTCATTTCAGACGTTTAACACTGCACAGAAAAGCAAAAGACCGCGACTAGTCTCGATCCACGAAATAGAGAAACTACATCATCATCCTAACCGCAATTCACCTCACCAAATTACTTGACGCGGCACCTCCTTATTAAGCCAACATGTCGAACCTAAGACTTTCCATTGACACTCTTAGCTTCCAAGGCCCAGAGGCCCTTAAGCCGGCCCTAAACGTGATCAACGCACAAGGCATCAAGGAGATTGACACGGCGCAAATGTACGGCACCAACGAAACCGACCTGGGCGAAGCCGGCGCTGCGGCTATGGGCTTCGCCGTCTCAACCAAGAATTACGGTGGCTGGAAGAAGGGGGTCGCACTAACGCGCGACGACATGCTCAAGACGACCAAGGAAAGCCTACAGAAGCTCAGAGTGGACCAAGTCGACATCTTCCACATCCACGGCCCAGACCGCAGTTTGCAGTACGACGAGTGCGTGTCCACTGTCCACGAGCTGTTTGAGAAAGGTGTTTTCAAGCGGTTTGGCGTGTCCAACTTCTCGCCCGACGAGGTGAGGGAGCTGCACGACTACTGCACCAGTAAGGGATACGTCCTACCCACCGTCTACCAAGGTAACTATAACGCTGTGTCGCGCAACATCGATACGACGCTATTTCCCTTGCTGCGGGAACGGGGCATTGCGTTCTATGCCTACTCACCGATCGCCGGCGACTTCTTGATCAAGTCACGCAAGGCGCTTGAAGAGGGTACGGAAGCTGGGCGATTTGCTGCTGGTACGAGTGACAGCTTGAAAGAGATGTACCGCGGCTTATACGTGAAGCCGTCCATGTTAGCTGCTCTGGACAAGTGGGAGGCGCTTGCCAAGGATGAGGGGGTGTCGAAGGCTGAGCTAGCCTACCGGTGGGTGTACTGTCACTCCTCGTTGAAGCCAGAACAAGGAGATGACATCCTGGGTGCTAGTAAGATTGAACAGATCGTGTCGTCCGTGGGGGGTTGAAAAGGGGTCTGCTGAAGCCTGAGACTGTCCAGGGCATCGATGAGATCTGGAGCTCGATAAAGCATGACGCTATCGTGGACACCTTCGATGAAACCATGGCTTGAAGGATTTTAGGAGTGTGTTATATATTGCAAAGTCGTTAGATTTTGGTATCAAGATACGTTATCCTGCGAGGCTGAATATAGGTGTCGCATTAGTATGACCAATGCCGATATCAAGAGTCTTGCTGAGAGAACTTTACGAATGGGTTTCCTTTGAGTTAATATTTCTAATGCACATCAAGTATCTCACCAAATAATTGTCTTTGCGTTACGTATTTTGTAGTTCATAGGGCGTTCAGCTTGGGAGGTAATAATTGCGTCCCAGGTAATATAAGTAGCACTGCACTCCCTTTAATATCCCTTCAAGGCTAGTGTGAAACTAAGTATATAAATATTTCAATACAGGCTATTAAATTTCTAGCAAGGACACGTGGGCTATGTTACGGTCATATTTCATGATAATTGTATGGTTTTCTTTAAGACTTATTGTCACAGCGCTGGCGATTACGGAGCCATATAGTGCTGTATATAGCAGTTAGTGGGACCAAATGTCAGTAACACTGACATTTTTAGGTCTTTTGGTCTATTGGCCTAGGGGCTTGGTCCTCCTCTTGTGACACTTATAGAGTACTTAAGTTATATCTTTAGTCCTTATTAGACTAATATCGCTAATTATATAAGTAAAATACTCTAAAATAGTAATAATAGTTTCTACTACTCTAGCCGCTTATTTCCTTATTTATTATTATTGTCGGCTGGTGTAGTTGGTCACTTCGCTGGTAGATAAGTCCCGATTTGAGCCTCGCCCACTTGGGTCGGTGACGAGTCGCGGGTTCGAATCCCGCAGCTGACACACAAGGGGGTTTAGTCAACCCTTACGGCGCGCTGCCCACCTTGTTGACTTCGCCTACCTAGCGATAATAGGGAGATTGGTGCAGTTTAGGATTACGAGCATCCTAGCCAGTCGACCGTCAAGCACTACGTCGGCGGAATATAACTCGACAGCCGGTCCAGAATTCGAATCGTTAATCCGACCCCTTATCGGACCTCGCCTTTCCGATAACGCTCGTCGGCGAACCCGTCCCCTCACGATAGAAGGCGCGCAGCACGCCCTCTCGCCGCGATTCTTGCGAGCGTCTGACCACGTTACGGTCTATCCACTTGAGCGTATGGTTGAGATGTATACGCTCGACGAGAACCCCAATTAGCAGATACTACGACTTGTCGCGACAAAAAAATAGTCGAGCATCTTCTGCACATCAGCAGCATCCCACCCCTGAGGACGAATTTAAGTGCCACATTACCACACTTATCGGTAGTTCAGGCAGGGGTTGTAGCACAGACTTAGGGAGGGACAGGAGGTTTAGTAGTCATTTGGCTACAAGTTTACCTGTATAACCGCCCGACGCGGCTTAAGGGCCCGCTATATCATCTATAGCCCCTTAAGGGAGTACTTGTAGAGGTACCGAGGGTTAACACCTACGGCGTATTTAATATTATTTTATTATTATTATTAAATACGCTATAGGCTCGAAGCCCCCGGTACCTCTATAAGTACTCCCGTATATTAAACTGTACCCTAATAGGTAGACTAAATATATACGCTACTACGTATATTTGTAACGGTTGTCACGTGATTGACCTACACTGGTCTGAACAGATTGATAAGTGGTTGTAGATACTAAAGTCAGGGACTTTGGTATTGGTCTCTTTTGGTGAAGACATCTGGTAAGGTGGCGTAGTGGCAAGGATTGCAACCCCTAGCACGGCGTGACAATATTCGCTCTATTAGCGACTAGAGGTCTACTATAATATTATATTAGTCCTCACCCTACTAATAAAATCTTCTTTAAGAAGATCGATATTATCCATGTCACGGGACTAAGCCCGTGCACCGCATGTATATTGGTACTGCACGAGCTGGCTGATGTTCCATTCTTCGTGCTACAACAATAAACTACTGGTACCCCCATACACGACCCTGACAATCCGGGCCTAAGCGCTACCCGACCGGTCTTAAGTAGCTATTTTATAATAGTCCTACTAACTATTAGTTCCCCTATCGCTATCGATAAGTCTCTACGGGTATATAGCGGCTATAGTACGATAATAGCCTATAAGTGCTCTCTCGATCCTTCTAATAGGCCGTAAAATGTGACAGGCTTGGCCTGTGCGCAGGAATCTGGCTCTGGGGAGCACAGATCAAACGCCCCACTACCTAAGAGTATACAAATCAGCGCTACCCTACCTCACCGCCATTCCTTCCCTTCCTCCTTCCTCCTTCTGTAAGGAAAGAGCCGTTGTGGCGGGCCGGTCTCAGCTGACAAGCTGAGTCGGGAGGGATTCGCCCCGATCCGGTAGAACCCCGGAACCGCCCAGCTTAAGAGGAGAACTCGAGACGCTCACACCTAGTTTGGATTCTTCAAGAATCAGTCTTGCAATATACGCACCCATACACTGGCCTACTTCTAGCTACCCTTTGCACTACCTGACTATTATATTGTGAGACGTGTGGTATCCTCGTTATACCTTCCCTCTGCATAGTATGATAGATACATCAGGGTAGTACAACAGGCTCGTTACATTGTACTGCATCCGTTACATAAAAGAGGATTACGTGCTCTACTATTTCGGGGGCCTCTCTATAGTGATATAGCGGCGAGTATACGCTGAAAACTCCTATTTTAAATAAGAAGGCTAATAGTCCTATTTTCCGGTCCTAATTTAGTATAGGGTAGACGCTTTTAGTCGGTTTAGGCCTAAATACTTGCCCTATTTCGGTATTCGTATCGAAAGGCCCTCCGGCTCCTTAGCGATAGTATGGCGCTAGTAGTCGTATTATACTACTCCGGAGAGCTATCTTGTTACGAACCGTTGGCCCTTGTCAGGGTACGGCTAGGCCGAAGGCAATAGTACAGAGTGATGGGGAGTAACGGGCGTCCCTCCTACGTAGTACCGGGTGGTCACTGGCGGTCTCAGGTAGGGGTGCCCACGGTGATGCATTGATCTCTACTCCTTCCCTATCCTACTTCGAGATGGTCCTTATATAGATAGCTAGGCCGCCGCTTGGACCCGGCATAACAGCAGGGTCGGCGATGCCGAGGATCTTGACTCTCGTCATCCCAAAGCTTCACATAGATTGTAATCATGACTCGGGAGTCTTTTGTACGAAACACCCCTCCGGCGCCCCACCGGTGTCTTGCGTTCAGTGTCCTGACACCCACCGGTGCCTATGGCATTCTGTTCTCTGACAGCCCTGAACCAACATTACAGGCCTGTTGGCAGGCCAGGTGGATACAGACACTAGGAACACGGGACCCCGCATCGGAGGAAGGAAAGGACCGATATGTCACGTGACCTACAGGGGTGGATATGTTGGATATGTTGGACAACCAACATATCCAAGTGGGGATATCGCACTGAACAGGAATGTTAGATGAAGACAGTCCCCTGTAACATAGATTCGACTAGCATAGACCATGCCGGCACTGCGCCCGGCACGTCTCACGTGATGAGACGTTAAATTTCAATCAATCAATCAATCAATCAAGTGGGGATCAGTGAAGGAGAGACGGGTATATAAGGGACAGGACTCCCAGGCATTTCATAGATAGACAGTCTCTACTTCAGTGATCAATCTAAGCATCAATCTAACCCATTGGTGAGGCAAACTGCCTTGACGACTCTATTCCCAGTTACCCTACTTGAATACTTCAGTTACCCAGAGCCCTATACTCCATACGTCAGACCCCGATATTATTGCTCGAGGACTCCACAGCAGGACTTACTTACTAGCACAAACCCTTACAGACTCTTTAGTGGTTTACGCAGCTAGACTATTAGAGGTTTCGTTACACCAGGGCCTGGAACGATGGCTCCCATCATCCAAAGGGCAGTGCCATTGCCGCCCTGATCTCCAGTAACGACCGCGATCTTGCCATGGAGGCACCAGAGGAGATGACTCTAGTGTGAGGAGGAGAACCTTGGAGAACATTATGATGTTGGTTGAGGCTGAGTGTAGGTGATTTCGGAACTCGGAAGATTATATGGTAGGTGAGCGGCCAAGAAGATAATTAAAAATAAGAAACAGATCAACCGCAGTAGAAGAATGCTAGTGATTATTGGTTGTGATAATGTCGATGTCGATCCTGGGAAACGAAACAATTTCTCTCGGGGACGTCGAGCTTTTTGTACCCAGGAATCACGGGGTCTACTTGCGATGCTTGACGATACTGAGTCTAGTGAATGACCATGAAATCACAATCCTGACACTCATAGGGCTATCAAAGCCGAAGCAGGATACGGTATCACTGCAAATTGCTTTGGCATGGACGGTTTCTTGGTCCAACAGCGCTATAACCAGCACCTCCTCAAGGTCAACTCCCGCAAGGTCAATTAAGGGACTTTAGAAGCGGTGCCTGAGAAGTCCACCGTATGAGATAACAGGCAGCACCTCGGGGTCTCATCCCTTGACAGCTTTGTTTCGTGGCCAACCTCTCGTCCCATGCGTAAAGACTGTGTTGTTGATATGCGGCAGGCATTTGCGGATGAAGCCACACTCGTGTTGACCATTATGAATGACATGGAACCCAGCGATGAGGCAACCTTTGTTTCTGACTTTGGTTCAATGAGCCTTGAGATATCTCCACTGGAACGTAAATTCTAGGGCTAGGGACTCTGCCAGAACTATTGCATCAAAGATTATGAAGATGTGTGTGATCTTCTTTATGGAACTCGACACCAAAGCCCATGACTAGCCTCACCTGGATCCTGTGCATGCAGGTAGGTGATAGCTTATAGATGCTGTTAGCTAGAATTCAAGTGATGTTGTCGAAAACATACCCAAATCACCCTTTGGCAGGGATTGAATTTTTACTTCCCTGCGCCCTCCTTCTCCGGTCAATGTTCGAGTCCGTCACGGCAATATGTGCTGCAGTAATATTGGCATATATCGAAAATTGGATTTGCATTTAACATGATCCTGAAGTCAGTGAGTTGGGCTAACTGCGCCAACCCCCCGAATTTGAGGAAGTGCTTAACTTTTCGTAGATATGAAGGTACACTGAGAGAACTTGCCGCAACATCGCAAGAATGCATCATTGGGTGCCATTTGAGGTTCCAAAGCTAGTAGCATCGCATGTTTCCAGATGCGGCAGCTAGACAGTTTCGTCTTGGTGGACCAGTCCAAATAGTTGAGCCAGGCTCTGCACATCCGAGGCTCGTAGGCCAGCGGAATCCTTTAGGTTTAGTACAGCAGAGTACTTCACGCAAGCAGGATAAACCCTGTGGGCAAAGGATATCAGCTGACGACAAGGGCGCTGTCATGCGAACTCTTGACGAATCAGAATAATGCAAACATGAGCAAGCACGTCTGCATACGGCAATGGCTCCTCATGTCATGAATCAAGTTGTTTGAAGCGCGAGTCCCACTAAGAAGAGCCTCATTCGGGGCCACCCGAGGGACTGACGATCTGCCGTTACTATCCACCACAATCCACTTGATTAAAAATGAGAAATCGAAACAGCCCATGCGGCCCGATTGCAGGAATTTTGCCTCCTTGATGTGATGCGAGTGGAGATTCAATCGATCCGAACTGTCCTGTGAAATCGTTTGTTGGAAACTCGAGATGGTAAAAGCTCACCGGGAGGTAGGAGGTCGTGTTTCTACTGTGTCAATGCGTTGATAAATGCTCCGAGAAGCCGTCATATCCGACCGGTCATGAACTTTGGTAGTCGGCAAAAGAAAATGTGTATTTGGATGATTATACTGGCCTCGGTCGGAACAGGCAAAATGTGCACTTTAGCAACTGTGAGCCGAGCTCTTCGGGTTGTGGACGCCATGGGAGTCTATTCTTTACAGTTGTAATTAGAGTCACAGTTTCCAACATTGTCCCTAATGGTCATTGCAATAGGCAGCCACAGCACCCCACCAAACTAATTTGAACCCCGCATTGATTCAAGCTACCCTAACCTGCCTACTTCAGGTAATAATACTTGAAGCTAGGAACTTTAGAAGCTTGAACTGAAAGCTTCCAATTTTGTGAACTTCGGTCCCAACTTTGACGCCGAACTGAGTCCCGTCCCCTCCACGCATGAAACATAGACAGGATATTCCAGCGCCCACTGATACGAAAGTCTGACGTGCGAGCATGTCGGGCCCTAAGGTCACGGAAGCACTTGCACAAGTCCAGTCTGCATCTGATCAAGCCACTGGGTTTGAAGACCTCCTCGCCAACTTGAAATCACTGTCAGCACCACAAACCGTCGCCGCGGACCTTAAGGCCATTTTGGATGCCGTCTTCAACAGCGCCTTGGGCATAGTGGCGATCCGACAAATTATCACCACCTTCATCGCTGTTCTCAAAGACTTTGGCAACGCCGATCTCTGGATCGATGTTGGCCAGTACACACTGGCCGTCCTCGCCGCGCAGCAGTCCACCTTTCTCGACCAAGGCACGACGATCCAAGAGCTCATTGCCGACGCACACGAGAACAATGAGGACAATTTGGAGGCAGCCAAGGTGCTGGCCGAGATTCCCCTGGACTCATCGCAGCGCAAGGTGACAAACGAAGAGAAGGTCAAGATCTGGGTGCGCATTGTGCGAAACTACCTCGAAGTGGACGATACGACGACTGCCGAAACCTACCTCAACAAGCTCAAGAATGTCATCTACACCGTCAGTGATCCAGCATTGAACCTCCACTTCAAGCTGTCACAAGCTCGTATCCAAGATGCGAAGAGGGCCTTCTTAGCATCAAGTCAAGCTTATCACGACATCAGCTTCTCGCCTGCTATCTCCGAGGAGGAACGACTGCACACACTGAGCATGGCCATCAAGTGCGCCATACTGGCACCGGCCGGCCCGCTGCGAAGTCGCGCGTTGGGCAGATTGTTCAAGGATGAGCGAGCAGCGGGCCTGGAGGAATTCAGCATGCTGGAAAAGATGTTCTTTGACCGCCTGCTTGCCCCGGCCGAAGTCGAGAAGTTTGCGCAGGGACTGTCGCCGCACCAGCTCGCCACCACCTCGGACGGTTCAACGGTCCTAGCAAAGGCAGTTGTGGAGCACAACCTACTTGGCGCATCGCGATTATACAGCAACATCGGCTTCGAGGCACTCGGCGCGTTACTTGGTCTGGATGCCGAGAAGGCAGAGGATACCACAGCCAAGATGATTGAACAGGGGCGATTGGTGGGCAGAATCGACCAGATTGAACAAATCGTCTGGTTTGAGGGCGGCGAAGCGTCTGGCGAGAAGGGAAGTGGCCGTGCTGAGGTCCTTGTGGGCAAGGAGATGCGAAGATGGGATGTTAACGTCCAAGGATTGGCCGAGGAGGTCGAGAATATCTCAAACGCCCTGCAAAGAGAATACCCGGTATGTTTTCTTACTAATCCCGACTCGCAGTCTCCCTCTGTGCTAATTATTTCCAGGCGTTTGTGGCGACCAACTTGGGTGGTATGAGCAAACTGACGGCTGGGCATTACGAACTGGATAGGCGTTGATGGCTTAGGCAGCATAGAGACAACACAAGGGCGCCATTGCATTGCACGAGATTTGGTACCCGGCATTAGAAATATGACTACATGACAATGAGGTTGGCATCCCTCCAAAACGTAAATCGATATAATGGTGTTTGTGATTAATCGAGATCGCTCTTCCTCACAACAATGTACCCTTGACTTAACAACTTCGGGTCCCCCCTCTCCTCTTCAAATATAAGATCCTCAATCATCCTCCGCTGTCTCGCATCCGTGACGATACTACTGATCTCTGTACTTTGCGCCTCCTCGAGATTTATGATTTTAACCAAACATTTGGCAATTTTGCTCCCCATCAGATCGTAACCACTCTCTGTTAGATGCAAACCATCCATGCCCCAATATTTGTCCTGGTCGGCTTCTTCCATCGAGTGATACGGCAGTGCGTCGAATAGATCAAACGCATAGCTTCACAGCATCAGCCCCCTTGCTTTGAAAGCTTTGATCCATGACTTACAAGTTGTTCCTCTTGTACGCCTTGATGGCCTTGTTGACGCTGTTCCTGCGGTCATTCACAGTGGCGGAGCTGGCTCTGCACTCGGGGATGGTTAAGGCCAAGACCTTGCCGCCCCTAGATAGCGGAATGTCCCAGGCCTTCTTCAGCGCCTGGGCGACTTCTTCCGCCGGGTATCCCCAGCCGATGTCACTGCACTTTATTAGTCTTCCAAGAAAGAGCCAAAGTCACATGACCAGCAAATGCTCACTTGGTACCGCCTAATACAATTGTCCAGTCGAATGGCTTCTCTGCTCGTTTCCAATCGCGCCCCAGGCGATCCATAAATGTCCCCCTCGTCACTAGATCTCCGGGGACGCCGTTGATGGTGCACTGGACATCGAGAGTAGGGAAGGCTTTCTCGAGCCTCGTCTTCAGCATCAGCGCATACGGGTGATCGACCGGATGTCCGCTCGTCAGGGAGTTGCCGAAGCAAAGGATGCGGAAGGGCTTCGTTGCCATTTCTGAGTGAATGGTCGAGGCTCTATTGGGACATGAAGAAGTCACCCAGGTTCTGACAGAGTACTCAATGGTCTAAAGTGGAAGAAGGTTACGGTTCTTCAACCCAACTCCACTGGGAGGTTGCGTCAGTCAGCCTCCGGCCAGGCATCCAACGCGATAGAGCGCCGCGGGGCAAGTACAAGTACATGGGGTTGGATAACGTCCGCCCCACTATATCCCTGCTAGCGCAGATATCCCAGATCTGAGAGTGCTGGTTTTTATTTTTATTTTTTGTCTCCCTTCTCTGGTTTAGTTGCACTCCTGTGGCGCAACATCAAGGATGTGCAGGTTACATTTCATGGAAGCTGTCTGACTCCTCAAAAGACTGATGACCGGAGGTGGGCTGGGCAGTCAAGAGGCCGTGTATCAAGTTTGATTGGCAGCCAGCCATTGCATATGCGTCCTATGTAAGCAGAGCGAATACCCAGATAGTACCTTTACTTACGTAAGGTGAATCGGTATCACGTCCCTCAATATCTCCATATCGAAAGAACCCCACTTCGATTTTGGCCGCACTCCCAGATGTGCCCGTTACAAGCAATTCCCTAAATCTAGCAGACACAACCCATACCATTGAAATTCTGCCCTGTCTGTGTTCATCATCCGCCGCAAAACCTTAACCGATGGCTTCCGCCTAAGCAACCGCTACGGCGTGACCTGTTGGGCAGGCGTGCTTCCGGGTAACTTAACCGCTTACTTCGGCATTACGTCCATCTCGATAGATTGCGAAGACCTATGGCCCCCAGCAGGCCCTTACTACTCCACAAGATGACCTCGAACTATTACCTGATATTCGTCGTCAGGCGGGCTGTTTTCCTTCGCCTTCCGCCGTTCGTTTTGTTCGCTTGTGCCAGACCAGGACAACCGCCATGGCGATTCCTGAAAGTCCAGCAACACCGACTCCAACGCCAATGCCAGCGCCAGTAGACAACCCACCAGCTTCTGATGGCTGCGAAGCCATATTCACCTGGGTCTCCACGGCGATACGGTCTCGATGCTAGTCATGGACCGAGTGAGCGAGCTTCTGGGGCTGGACTCGTCGGCGATACTGAAGCAGCCGGACCGTATTTGATGGGAAGGTCCACTGGATATATGGAGGCTGCCAAGCTGAAATCATATCTGTCAACCTTCCAGTTGAGATCATGTGACGTGTTTAAGTACCTGTATTTCTTCGGTAGGTATCAGCTCCTACTCAACAGGTGAGGCCGATTAAGTTCGTGAGTTATGTGAAAGGCCCCATTTCGGCGCTTTCTGAGACGAGATTTTGTTACCACAGCTTCATCACGTAGGGCTCTAAGCTCGTGGTATATTCTATCATCATCTGCTACCATAGTCTCGAGACAAAGTTTTGCCCTTACATACCTGTACTGACGACCGGCCCATAGATGCAGTTGAGATAAAATTGTCCGAGTACGACCGGCGGTGGGTACACTTTGGTTGCCAAGTTCGGACAGGCGGGCTGTGCAGTACAGAAAATTACAATCGTGTAACCAGTATGTTGAGCTACGGCTTGAGTTGCTGTCCCATGGCCAACTATTCTCGGTGTACACGTGATTTCTTCTAGCATCAAGATGTCGACGGAACAAAACAATGCATGACTTGGATAATGATCAGCGGTTAACCTTAACTATAGAAGTATGCCTCGTAGACGCAATGTTTGCTACTATGACTATTTTGCGTTGAGAATATGGACTACCGGTGACCTACGGGGCTTGTGACACTTGTTGTAGCCGTGTCAGATATATGAATGTTCATTACACCGTACTTGAGTGGAGTCACGGATGTTCTGATACAGTGGGTGGTAATAAATTTGCTACCATCCAGACACGACCTGCCGCCAGTTGGAGGGCGCATGGGCTACGTGTCAGCGGTGGGCAGTGAGGCACGGGATGGAGTTCGCCCCTGACAAGAGTGAGCTAATGCACTTTACTAGGGCCCGAGAGCCCTTGCCGCAAAGTATTCGCCTTGGGGACGCCACAGTGTCGCCGGTAGTCTCAGCAAGGTTCCTAGGAGTCTGGTTCGACCGCAAACTGACGTGGCACGCCCATGTTGAGCGTGTTAAAACAAAAATGGCAACTCAAAAGCTAGCCCTGACAAAGCTAGTCAATATGTCGTGGGGCTGCGATCTTATACGGGCGAGGCTGTTATATACGGTGGTTATCCGTAGCGCGATCGCCTTCGGGGCGACTGCGTGGCATACTATAAGTGAGGAACCGGCAGGGCCAGCTAAGAGCCTGATGGGGATACAGAACGAGTGCCTCCGGGTAGTCTGTGGCGCCCACAAAGCGACGCCGGTTCGCCACCTGGAAGCAGAAGCAGCAATCCCGCCACTAGACCTCTATCTTAGTGCCCGGGCTGCTAAGTTTGAAGAACGGCTACGGCTTAGCGGGAAGAGAAATCTGCTTCGCAGCGCGAGCGCTAAAGCGTCACATATACTCCGGCAGGATAGGCCGGCGAAGAGGAAGCAGGCGTCGCAGCTACTCCGACCGGCAGGGTACACTATGGAGAAGGAGGCCCGGGGCTCCGAGTGGATGAGTGAGGAAAAGGAGGTCCCCGCTGCCCTCCTCGGCCACTGGAGGAAGAGATGGCTCACCGGAGCAGAGCATCACGATCGCCAGCGACGCGCCATCGCTGAGGAACCGGAGGGCCCTTCGATGCAGATACCGAAAGGGGGCAAGTATTTCGGCCTGAACCGACTGGAGGCGTCTACGCTGTGCCAGATCGGGACGGAAAAAATAGGACTAGCAGCCTTCTTATTCAAGACAGGGGCTTTTGGCGTGTACTCGCCGCTATGCCGCTGTGGCGACGCCCCTGAGACGGCAGAGCACGTAATCCTCTTTTGCGGGCTGTTGGAAGGACCGAGGGAACGATTACGGGCCGCTATCGCACCACGACCACTATACTCTCGCAGAGACCTCGCAACGGCAACAGGAGAACCAGTAGTTAGTGGGACTATTGTAAGGTGGCTGCTAGGGACGGGTCGGACAGCTTCAAGGCCCAGATAGCATGGATCTTCTCAGGGGGGACTTTGTTGGTAGGTTGAGAACCAACGTAGTATGGTAGTGAACGCAACGCAGTCGCCAATAGGGCGAACCGACGACGCAGCGTATGTATTTAGTCCAGCCATTAGGGCACGGTTTGACATACGGGAATACTGGTAGAGGTACCGGGGGCTTCGAGCCTACGGCGTATTTAATAATAATAATAATAATAATAATAGTAACAATAAAGCGTTGAAGCTATTTATAATTAATGAAATAGCGCGTAGGCCGGGCCTTTCGGAGGCGATAAAAACGCGGATTTTGTCACGACCTGGGTTGCATCGCATTGGTAGAGACCTCGATTAGGTGCTATCGACGAAGATTCTACTCTAAGGAGCGAAGGAAAGAAGATCACAAACTTAGGTTTGAGGGAGCGCGACTAAGTCGTCCACGCTTGGCGGGGCTCCTGCAGGGGTTATGGTTGGTTTCCCATCTGGCACTGCCATGGCAGGTGTTCCAGCTGTAAGTCACCTGGTTGTAGTGAGTCTGCGAGGGTTGACCTTCACAAGGGCCAACGGTTCGTAACATTCAGTCCCTCGGCTAGTTGCCGAATCGAATCTATACGAAGTACCCCGAGATTAAGCTAGGTACGATCAAGTCCTGTTATATGTGAAGGTCAACCCTCGCAGACTCACTACAACCAGGTGACTTACAGCTGGAACACCTGCCGTGGCAGTGTCAGATGGGAAGCCAATCATAACCCTTGTAGGAGCCCCGCCAAGCGTGGATGACTTAGTCGCGCTCCCTCAAACCTAAGTTGTCATCTTCTTTCCTTCGCTCCTTAGAGTAGAATCTTCGTCGATAGCACCTAATCGAGGTCTCTACCAATGCGATGCAACCCAGGTCGTGACATTATATACGAGAAGCTCGACGACTAAACGCTCCGACGCCTATAAAACCGCGCGGCGCTCCACGAAAATTAACAGAAGAAGATCGCGATGAATCTACGATATTATTAACCACGAGAACCTTTATATAACGCACCGGGACCTACTAGCTATTATCTATAAAAAGGTTAAAAACCGGGCCCTCCGGATACTACTTCGGGAGATAGATAAACGGAAATAGCTATAAAAAAGACAACCTTTACTAACTAAGTAATATACTTATTAACGCCTTTAGTAGGCTCGGCGATACCGACGATAGACTGCGATTTAGTAGCGACGCGTTCGCTAGAGCGATGAGTATAGTATCGAACGCGGTATCGGTATTTAGCCTATATAGACCTTTACGCGACCGTGTGATTAAGCTCATATATAAACCGTCCTCCTCGATAAACAGAAGAATTGCAGTCCACTGAAGTTCTTTCTAATGGCAGGAGGATATGGAGGACAGTCTTGATGAATATGTAACGATTAATGCACAGCACGCTTATTCGCAGAGACAACCATGGCGCGCTTGTTGAAAGTATGCAAGTCAGGAGTAAAATACTGGCATATCTGGCTGGAACTACAACTCCGAGATCCTTCTATAGAATATCAGCATCGTTTGGTTGATGCGGTCTTGGAGTACCGACCAAAAAAATCGCCGGCGACATATAACACAAATAGAGCTAGAGCGCTAAACTTGTTCAAGAAGTACCGCAAGAGTTTTCTGATCAATCTGTCATCTGGGGCCAAGTATTCAATTACCCGTAGGCCAACATATCAAGATATACCTGCAATCACCCTTAGAGACCCATCAAGGTGAAACTTGTGATGAATAGTGTTGTGTAAGGAAAGAGCCGTTGTGGCGGGCCGGTCTCAGCTGACAAGCTGAGACGGGAGGGATTCGCCCCCCGATCCGGTAGAACCCCGGAACCGCCCAGCTTAAGAGGAGAACTCGAGACGCTCACACCTAGTTTAGATTCTTCAAGAATCAGTCTTGCAATATACGCACCCATACACTGGCCTACTTCTAGCTACCCTTTGCACTACCTGACTATTATATTGTGAGACGTGTGGTATCCTCGTTACATGTTGCATACGTCGAGAAGGGGTATAATACGATAGAACGACATAACGTGATAAAATTAGATAATAGATGGCCAGAATCACGATTACCCACGCTAGACTACACAATATCATTGATGATATATGTCGGTTGCCCAGAAAGTATATTTATATGATTATATTTATATACCCCACTGGGCAATGCAGACACTGCGTTTAATTAACAAGATGACGAAGCCGCAGAACTCTGTTTTCAGCACCTGCTTCGATATGTGTCGGATCGCGAGCCCATCAGTGAAAGAGACAACTACGTACGTGGACACACTTCATTCAGGTAGGTGTTCGCTCGATATTGCTCCAACCTGCTGTACCCCTGTGTTTGTAATGCACTTAAAAAAGCCTGCTCCCCAAGCCACCAATGACTCGGCAACCACTCGTTGCCCCACGAATTATGGCATGTCATGCTCCCAAGAAGACCTATGGAACGCGCCATCTGTGGGCTAGGCCGCGTCTGATATCACGGAGCCAGCCGGGGAGATTTGCGTTCAAAACTGTGAAATTATGTGTCAGGGACGGACGTGGCGCACTGGAGGTGGCTGCTGCGGCTCATGCGCCGAGTTGAACCTCCTATCCTTCGTGCATAGAACTTGAAGCCAGCTGCCAAGACAAATAACGTTTCTCCTATGTTTCCTTCTCTGGTGCGTACCTCGCAGAGCAAGCGGCTAGCGGCCCAGCCAATCTCCGAAAAAGCACAACTACAACCACTGGCTTCGGCCTTTTCACATGTAGAGTGCGTCCGTATCTTTAATACAGGATAGGTGTGCAAGATGCGAATACCGAAGTGATTCAACAATCAAAGTTCCATTACCTGAGACGGTTCCGACTGTCAAATACCGAGCGCCCCGGATCTGGTCCGAGCCTAAAGTATTCAGGGACAAACTGTGTGCCTGCGCCCAGAACTTGAAAACGGTTGAACTCGATTAACAAGTGTGTGGTTATGCGCCGTCACAATGCCCCAAGATTGAACCTTGGTCAGCCTTGGTCCATGTAAATTTGGAAGCTACCATGCACTAGTTCCAAAACGAACCCCAGAATCAATGGACAATTGGGCCGGAGACGAGTCCATCGATTGTTATTGGTGCGTTGAATCGTTTCAATCAAGCTTCCCAGCCCATCTCGCCCCCCTTGGTGCTTTAGGGGTTTACCTTGAGTATGGCGTCCATAAGCGTTGTATTGCCGGTTTCCTATTTCTCTTCTGGCCACGACGAGCCCAGTTAAAGTCCAAAGCCTTTGTATCCTGGCGTAAGAGAAACGGAGAGTTTCGCGAAATGCTGTAGGTCCTTTGGCTGGTGAGGTGCATGGCCAGCAGTTTGCAGAGGAGCTGGAAGTTCCATTGTCCCAAGAGCTTGGAAGACCCTTTGGCCACGTCTAATATTGACCGGACACGGGCTTAGACCCTCCCATAGCCCAGATTTATGGGGTTTTTGACAGGGTCCGGGAGGCAGACTGACGCATGTTTACGGCGGGGAAAGGTGAATTTACGGGTTAGCAGGACCCTGAATTTTGAATTGGAAGAGGTCGAGCTCGGGTTCAGCTCGCATCCTATGCGGGTTCCGCGTAGCCCACAATGCCAAGCAAGCGAGATTGGGAGAAACATCGCCTGTTTCTACGGAAGAGATTTGTTCAAGCTTGGCGGCAGCCGGCGTTCCGGTCCATGTGTGGCCATATTAGGACTTTGAGATTCGTTGGGGGCCATGTTGAGCAGACCAGAATGGTGCATTGGGTGGGACCTGGGTGTGTGCTGGGCCGGCCTTTGTGTCGATTCCCTGAAAAGCCGGCCCCCTTTCCACGTGGGTATGGAAAAAGGTTCGCCATCCAATTGATTCTGTTTGAACGAGTCTCGAGGAAAGCAAGCTGGTATCTCCATCTCGTCTCTCGCTCACCGTCACCAGCAATGCTCGCCGATTGAGCGCAGTCACTAACTCGCTGCTCGCTACCGACTGTCACAACACCGCATCACCGTTTGCTCCCGTCTCCGACTTTCCTACCTCCCTTCCTCGCCGTTTCACAAAGAAAACATTTCAGACCGACCAACCGATCCTTTGCGCAGCCATGGATCGCGACAGTAAGATGACGCGACGGGCCATTGAGGGCATGATCGCAGAAGGACACACGCTGGTCATCTTCGAAGGCAACGTACTACGACTGGACTCGTGGCTCAAGACGCATCCCGGCGGCAGCCTGGCCATTCTGCACATGGTGGGAAGAGATGCGACCGATGAAATCAAAGTGTAAATCATCCCAAATCATCCAGGCGGGTTTTCTTGTCGGAGTTGGGCTGTCTTTGCCCCTTGCCTGGTGTTGCTGCGTCGCTGGTTGGTGCCTTCCAAGTTGAAGTCATACCCATGGTCGTCGGCCCCATACCGAAAAGGGAAAGCAAATGAACTAAAGTTAGTTTTAAGCTTAAATGTTTGGTGTGCATCATGGCAGTGGGAAGCCAACTTATCATTCGCCCAATTAGCCCAGACAAACTGCTTATCGTTCCAAGAAGAGAAGAGCTGACAATTTATGGGAATGCAGGTACCACTCGGGCGCAACGTTGAAGACTATGAAGGCCTACCGGATAGCCCGGAAGCCCGATGGACCCTGGCTCAACATGACACCACCAATAAGAGGGGGAGTCTATCGCCCAACAGACACCAGTACCGATAATTCCGACTGCGACGACGAAGAATCCTCTTTAGCCTCCTCGTCTTCCTCGTGCGGCGACCGCAGCTCCAGCCCCTCTGACAGCACATCGGTCACCTCCGACTGCACCACTGTCTCGGTCGACAGCCTTGTTGAGAAGGTCCAGGACGAAGCCATCATTCGACGACGTATACCATCAAAGATTGTGCCAAACCACCACCCTACTAACATTGCTGCTACTCCGTCTCTCACCCGCGACGAGTACACTGAATTGGCCATCCAGCAAGAAATTAACGACTGCATCAAGGAGTACCCCTCGGTCGACCCTGCTGTGCAGCAAGACATCGTGCGCAAGTACCGCGTCTTGCACCAACGAGTTCAAGATGAGGGGTTCTACGACTGTCCCTACCTCGAGTACGGCAAGGAGATGGCCCGCTACACCACCCTGCTTGTTGCCTCCATGACGGCCCTCCACTTCGGCTGGTACATGACTTCGGCCGTCTTTCTAGGTCTGTTTTGGGTTTGTTCTTCCTCTTCCCACCTGGTCGCATGCATCGCTAACTTATTGCGTATAGCACCAAATCATGTTCTCCGCCCATGATGCCGGACACGGCGCTATCACCCACAACTTTAAGATCGACACCCTCATTGGCTTGTTCGTCGCTGACTTCTGCTGCGGCCTGTCGATGGGATGGTGGAAGAGCAGCCACAATGTCCACCATCTCATCACCAATCACCCTGAACACGACCCAGACATCCAGAATGTCCCTATCTTTGCCACCTGTCCCTCCTTCTTCAAGTCGATTAAGTCGTCCTACTACGACAACTTCGTTTTCCTTTGGGACGCCACCGCCGAGTTTCTCGTGCCCTACCAGCACTACACCTATTACCCCATTATGGGTGTTGCCCGCTTCAATCTCTACCTCCTTTCATGGTTGCACGTCCTCTCGCGCAAGTCCTCTTCCCTGGGCGGCAGCAAGGCATGGTGGATTCGTCCTACCGAAATCGTCTTCATGATATGTTTCTGGTTCATCTTTGGATACTGCTTGCTGTGGCGCGCACTCCCCACCTGGACTATCCGCGTTGCTTTTGTTCTCGTCTCGCACTTCGTCACCATGCCGCTTCACGTGCAGATTACTCTGTCCCATTGGGGCATGTCAACATCCGACCTTGGCGAATCCGAGTCTTTCCCACAGCGCCAGCTCCGCACCACCATGGACGTGGACTGCCCTGCCTGGCTCGATTTCATCCACGGCGGTCTGCAGTTCCAGGCCGTACACCACCTCTTCCCGCGCGTGCCCCGGCACAACCTCCGCCGGTTACAGGTGCTCGTAAGGGAATTCTGCAAGGAGACCAACATTCCCTATGCAATTTTGAGTTTTGCTGACGGCAACCGCAAGGTGTTAGGGCGACTTGAGGAAGTGGGAGAACAGGTCAGGTTCCTTGTTACGTGCCAGAAGTACATGGCCGAGACAGGGGAAAGCGGGTTGCACTGAGTGTACGGGAGGGTATATTTTCTTGTGTCATTAGAAAACTTGCATGGGACGGCGTGGCAGGAGTTAACAGACGCATACGCACATGGTAGCTTTTGGTCAGCTCGGTGCATTTTGCCTACAGGTCGTACAAACAACTTTGACATCACTCAACAATTTGGTCTATTTACCAGTGACCTAAATCGGAACTAGGCTTTATAAGTATTTGATTACAAGGTTTTGGCAATGTGAACACCTAAAGATGACTGGTGTATGTGTACAATCAGATAGTCACCAGCTAAACGAAGTGTATAAATGGTTGCTCAAGGACATACCCTAAACCCAACCTTACCCAGAACCAAATATCACAAAATAACATCTTGATCAAGTATCAATGAACCAACATCAACACAATCCTTGTCGACGACCAAGTCCCGTATGCAACGGCAACAATAAGCGCACACCCTCGCCAAGAATGCCCCTCCCACGCCTTCTCTCAGCCCCCGAAATTAGTCGAGAGTGGCATATCGAGCCGCCTTTGGGAGCGGAAAATGATGGTCTATTTACTAGCTGAAATTTTAGACTAAACTGGTATACCCCTATTTCGTTCATCTCTCCTGTCCTTCTCCATCTCTCTTGCAAATATGGTGTCAGGTTTTTGAGTTTGTGCCTTTCGGTAGCTGTACTCAGCAAGCTTAATGGCGTCTTTAACTGCTTCCTAGAAAGGCTCGGCTACTAGCATTCTGTATGCCGCGACAGTATTCTTCGGATATATTTTCTCAGCACTGCTATACTAATAATGTGTAGCTTTGTCACTTGACGTGTCTCTAACACCGCTGTCACCAGTGCATTAACTTTCCAGCTGCTTAGCAGCCCGACATTAGAACCCCGCCGCTCAGACCCGAGGTACTCAACCGGTAAGCCTAGTATTCGTTCTATCCGCTCGGGCCGATGCTTAATCATCTACGCTATAAGCTTGATGCGCAGGCTCTCTTTGCGTGCAGCTGTATTACCAGCTAGGTGTGCGTCCTGCAAATAGCGCTGTAACACCACTATGGCCCCTAATTGTAGATTCGAGTATATATTGGCCAGCTGTAAGTAGTATAGTTGCAGTGAGAGCGCCGTGGAGATGCCCGGAAAATCCTGGCGTTGGTCCAGCTGCGCGAGGATGTCGAGAAACTCTGATGTAAGTGTCCAAGATGCCGCCGAGCCAAACGGGGTCGGCTGTGGGTGAACCCGACTCAATTCTAGTGGGTTCTTGAGAGGTGACGACGGGTTAGCACATCATTCTTAACACTTGAGAGAGGAACGGTGTAGGTTGATATCGGCATCGGGAGTGGGCGTGGGTTGGACCGGGGACCCTCTGGTTAGCAGGCATGGTCAATTGAATAATGACCTTGTTTACTCTGGGGGCTGTGAATCCTGTGATATGGTGCTGCTGGTCTGCCGGGAGCGTGGGAGGGCGAAGAGAGAGTGGATTAGTTACTAGGTAGACAGACGATAGCGGACGATCTGGGTCCATGTTTAGTATGAAATTGATGGGCACATTGATGTCGTGGTAGCTGTGATTGCAATCGATATTGCTTCTTTTTTTTCTTTTTTTTTCTTTTTTGGCTGCTGTTGCTGTTGTTGTTGTTGCTGTTGTTGCTGCTGCCTCCTTAAATGTGATGAAGTTTGGCGTTCTCGACGTCCACGGTGGACTGCCACTGAACATTTCAGTGCAGTGCGGCATACGAGGCCCCGGTATGCGCTTCATTAGTATATTCTCCAGGCGACAATATCGAAATATAGTCGCAATGCTCTTTCTCAAGCCCGACAGAACTGAGACACCACCGAGCCAATCGGACCCGTCAGGCTGGTACAGCGACAACACCCAAGTCTCGTGGATGGTTGCTATGGTGGTAGTGCATGGATACCGGTCAGAAAGCATCATGCACATTACTCTCGTTTTAGCCTTTGCTCTAGGCTATGTTTTTGGTGCTGTCGTTCTCTCAGGCAGCGTCTATAATGCAAGGAAATGCCGAAAGTGTTTCAACTGGAAAATTTCCTTTTAATTACCATCTGTAAGGACATTGTTACAAATATACAGGACTTAGGCCTATAACCAGTTTGTCGGACGCTGAATATGCCAATTCCAAAGCAACACACTCATTTATAAGGGTACATCTCGCTACCTGTTATCTCATTATTCTTAGCTAACCTTTTTTTTACACAGTCTCTTAATCCATACAATTCAAACTAAACCTATAGATGGAGGAGAAATTGTTAAATACAAGGGTTTGAGTGTATAACTGTAAGTGTGGGGTGCGTGAAGCCTCAAGGCTAAAGGACACTTAGCTCCACACCTTTCCAGAGAGAAGACAGAAAAACACAAGATAACCCAATTACCCGTCATATGAAAATACGCTGTAGAGGTGACTCTATGGCTACACTTTCCATATGCCTACAAATGGATGTTCTTCAAGTAGCCACTATACTGCCAAGACCACCTCGGCTACCTCCGTCATGATTTGAGGTCATTACTTAGTGACCTGGTGTATAATGTGGCTAGCTGTGGTTGACTTTCGCGGAGTTTCGTGTACGACGTGATGGCCTAGCTTCCGGAACAAAAGAGATACAGTTATAATCTGGGCACACCCGTTTCTCTGCTCCCCTCAGCCGAAACTTCTTGAAAATGCTTGTGTTAAAGAGTAGAAAACATGGATATACGTGTCTCTTGTTCAGAACATGGGGCTTTCATACCTAGGATCTACGTGGGCAACACACTTCGAAGGTATCTCAAAAGTAACCGAGAAGATCATAGAAGTCGACTATATGTGTCTCCATGTTCGAAGCCATGGGAGTGCTAGACTAAGAGGACAAACTCTTGCATATGGGAGACACGAGAATTTTATTTTCGCTAATTATGCCCATTTCATTACCCCGTTCAAGTAAACAGTTTCACTCCAGTATTGAGGTCATATATTAGGGGACTTTTTCGACTAACTTACCTAAGTACATTAAACTCTGATTATTCACCAAAGCATACCCACTTCCGTACGAATTCACATTGTGACATCACAGGTCTTGACGCATGAACAGACGAAAGCCTGGAATTCTATCTCTCTTCCTCTCAGCAAAGACTAGAATTATTCTGGAAAGGGGCAGCGAGTTTGGTATCGACTTTCAAACGCCTGTTACACGTTTTGAATATCTCATGGCTTCCACAGCTATTTATCTCTACAAAAGTCCGAAGTTGTTCCTTCCTTGTTTAAGTCTCCCTAGGAAGGAGAAGTGTATGCATCTGGTGTGCGGATCATAACCCATAGAATAACATTCACATCACCCAAATCTACGACACATAATTTTCTTCTACGTCAGGGTTTTGTATATTGTTTTCAAATTAAATAGCTCACAAACACTAGACCGCGTGTACTTCTAACGGGAACGGCACCGTACTTTATTACACTCTTGTCTGCCACAGCCAAATGGCGAAACATAATTATATTGTTTTTTCTAAGACAGACAACAAACCAAGGAAATCGGACAATAAGGATCGAATAGAGAAGGTACCACAGGGGTTGACCTGACCATCTCAACGCGGCAAGTCGTCATCATCTAGGGTCTTGATTTTTCACGATAGTCGCAACTGCAAATCCGCATAATAAAATATCCCTTCTTAATCGAACGCTTCGACAGAAAAACTATCTGTCTAGGAGTCGTGGAAGGAGGGCATTTGTGTTGATGGACAACAAATCAAAAATATTTCGAAAAGTTTTCTCACAGGTAAAATGTATTAGCAAGGTGGCTGAATTGTTCAGCTCACCACCTCGTCTTTGACGCCCTCAACCTTTTGCACATCGTCACCCTGATTCTCTGCGACCGTTTCTTCCAGTACGGACTCGCCTGCCATGTTGTTGGCAAGTATGTTCGGCTTCTCAACCATAGTTTCGTTAGATTTCAACATTGTTTGTGTTTTAGACTCTTCATGTTCAGATTTAGTCTTGGCCGATACGGTTTCTTGTTCTTTGGGCAGTTCGTTTTCCTCATCCTTGGCTGTCTCGGTTTGTTTGGACTGCCCTGATGATGGCAACTCCTCAACCCGTTCGTCAACTGTCATTGTTCCCTCCTCGTCAATACACCATAGTACGCGAGTGGTTGAGAAGGTCAACACCGGCCTGCTATCGGACGTAGAGGGTGGCGCATTGGTGCTGGGACTCTTGGTTGGTGCTCTCCTCTGAGGACCCCGCGCACGCCCCTTGCGCGCATCGACCAAGGGGGCCTTTTCTTTCCCATCGAGAACCTCTTCAGCCTTGGGCTCATCTTTCTTAGGAGCCGGAGGACCTATTTGCAAGCGCTTGTTAAGATCTGACATAAATCCCGCCTGCAAAGCAGCAATCTTCCCACCAACAGGTCGCGGTGGAATTGCTGGCTTCTGCGTCTGTGCCGGTGCCGACTCTAGCGCCTTAGATCCAGACGTTGACTTGGACAAGCGCGCAGGGAACTGCGGCTTGGGGCGTTCCGGAACACCGGGCTTGTCATCAACCGAACCGTGTTTCCTGGGTCGGGCAGGAATCGCAGGTCTGTCGAAGGCTGGTTCTGCTGTTGCAGACTGTGGTTCCTGCTCCTCTTGCTGGGGAGTAGATACGGTGGTTTGAAGCTGGTGAGAGTCCGGCGTATCTTCCCAAACATCACGACTGGGAAAGCGCTGAGTCATGTTTGGTCTCGAATGCATCTCCTTGGCCAAATGTGATTGGTGTTCGTGCCACGATGGAGGTCGTTGCTTGCGGTTCAAAAACCCGTCAGGACTGCGATCTTCCAATTCAGCAAGCTCTTCTTGCCTGCGAGCAAAAGCCTGAGCCGGTGTCTCGGTATCACGGGGTGGAACGTCGGTCGAATCTTGCGACTTCTTCTGTTCCTCAGTAGGTTCAGGCGTGGACACTTCAGCAGTATCATGCACACTGTCAGGCGCATCTTCCCAGATGTCCTTGCTGGGAAATCGTTGGCGTAATTTCAGCTTCTCAGCCTGGGTCATGTGTTTCTTGCCAGTTTTATCGTTCTCTGGGAATAGCGGCTCGTACTCCTCAACGTCGTCCAGGGGAGTTGAACGCATCTCCGGTGGCAGGGGACTGTACACGCTTGTGGGGCGGCTTGGCGGCCTGCTCCTGGGCTGTTCAGCTTCGAAGGCACTACCTCGTCGTTCCGGTGGTGGGACCGCCGGATGTTGCTCATAAGGAGACGGATCCTTGGCAACCTCGTCAGGAGCCAAGATAGGGGTGGCGTAGTCGTCCTCGACATCATCAATTGCTGACGACTCATCGCCGTATTTAACGAATGCCTTGCTCTTGCCATGCTCATCAACATGGATGACATCATTTTCAGAATCTTCGGCACCCGAGATTGAGATGTCAGGCCCTGAGAAACTTTGCTTCTTCAGAGGTGATTTGACTTGAGACTCCTTGGGCGTGGTGGAAGGTGGGCGTGGGGAGGAAATGCGAGAGGTATACTCGTCTGTGGCGTGGTACCCAACCTGCTCACTGGGAGTTGCGACGTAGCCGGATGTACCTATGAGGACTGGTTAGACTCACCCCAAAGTTTGCGGAATGATTCTGTTACCGAAACCCGCTCCACGGCTTGCAGTGTCCCGAACGATCTTGTTCAGCTCCTCACTGCTTCTGGAGTAGTCTGTGACGCGATCGTGCAAGTGATTGTACTTCTCCTTGCTCTTCAATTCGGGGTGTTTCTCGTAGTAGGCCTGCTCTAGCTTGTCCGTAGAAGCGGTCCCGTGGCCGTGAAGACCGTAGCTGCCAGGAGGGACCGACTCGAACCCACGACCACTATGTTTCCGCGAGTGGTGGCGGCCGGGCCTAATAGCCCCCTCGGTGGCGACAGCAGTCGGGGCCGGTGAAGGAGCTTGAACGTCTCCGGCGTTGTGGATCAAGGGCACACGTTGGCCGATCTCGGGGATGCCCTGCTCGTCGTCGAAGATTTCGCTATGGTGCGATAGCTGACTGGTGGTGCTAGCCTTCTTCTTCAGACTTCTCGGATAAGGATCTTCGCTGTTGGGCTTGCCTATGCCGAACGCAGCAGCTCTGTCTGAGTCGGTGCGGGTGACCTGGGCGACTCGCTGCTTTGCGCTCTGCGCAGGCATAGTAGGCTTGGGAGCATGAAGCTTGAGGTCCTGGCCAATGGTCCGAGTCTGCTCGAGAGACACCGAGGGACGGCGTTCCGTTTCCGGGGATGAACTCATTAATGCCCCCGGACCTAATGAATCGATAACAGCAGCGTATTCCTGGCCCTCTTGTCCAATGGATGGCAGGTCAGTGCTGCTAGAACGACCCATGTGCTCTGCATGTTTTCCAGCGCTGCTAGGGTTGAAGCGTGTGTTTCGAGGAGAGCTTTGGGGGTGGAAGACGGTTTCATTCAACGGCGAAGGAGCGAACCGGTCAGGGTTGGGAGAGATCGATCTGGTCAGGTTGCGGTTGATGGGACGAGGGGGGATTGTGGGCACAGGGGGCCCATTTTCCTTCTCCTGTGCACTCCTCGAAGGTCGAGGGGGGATTGCTGGTGTTTGCTGCATTGTGGTGGCGGACATACTCAGTCGAGGACAAGCAAATTGATCGAATGTTATAAATTGTCGGGTTCGACTACGTCGTTGGTACAATGAATATTGAACGGAGACGACTGTGACCTATAGAAGAACCCACAAAGGTCAGCAAAAGCGAAAAGTAAATAGACCTATTGCGGTGAACATGAAGACCTGATGGTGCAAATCACAGGTGCTGCGTCGGCTTCTTTTTGGCCGGGGTCTTTAGTCTCTCGCAACTTCCCTGGGTGTCCGGACCGGTTGAGGGCTCCTGCCTCAGACTCCAACATGCAAGATAAGCGCATCAGGGGTAGTACACACCGCATAAATGCCACGAGCTTTTGTCGATTGAGGTGATTGTAAGTATCAGTCTGGCGAAGAAGCGCGGTGCAGGTACAAGTACAACGCTTGTTATTCCGTCCGTCTTGTGAACCTGTCAATGTTGGATTGGCGGGGCTGCTATCTGTTAGATTTGCTGGATACCAGAGATAGTGCAGAAGCCATTGGACAAGTAGGCCAAAGAAGAATTAGCAGATCAACTTGATGGCATATGTTATTACACGACGAAAACGGGCAACCAAGCTCCAAACAATGAGAATGTTTGGAGTCTTGAATCCACTGGGAAATGACGGCTTGGAGGTCTGCCTCTTAACAGCTAGCCAACAAACATCGATACAAACACCACAGTGGAGCGGAGCTTACACCAGCTCGCCCTGCCCGAACAGCGAATGTCGAGTCGACTGAGCTACACCTCGCTCGCTTCGCCAAAGCCAAGGGTATTGCAGCCGGCATGGTTTGAGTCAGGCATTCAGACTAGCAACCAGAAGGAGGAAAGAAAGTTCAACGTTGAAGGGGTTCGCTTCGCCGCGAAACTTACAAAACTTGGAGCTTTCGAAGAATCTGTTTTTCGATGCTGACGTGCGTGTGTATGCCTACAAAAGAGCCTGCAGTTTGTAGAATTGGCTGGAATTGGTAGAGTGAAAGTTGGATGTTGGGGGTAGTGTATAGTAGATGTCGTCGAGTGGGAATAGCAGTCGGTAAGGGAGATAATACAGTAGCTGGATAGTTGCGAGGACCTCTGTGACTTCTTCTTGCTGATAAAACCCACGAGGGCAGCAGGTCAGTTAAATAGCGGTCCACCTCTTTCTGGCCAGTCCAGCACCAGCTGATGACTGGATCAGGTCGATGTCATGAATTTTACCTTGGTTTCTATTAGCCACAATAAACCAACCAGCCGAGCAGGGATAGTCAATGCTACCATCAGGTGATGGAGCAAAGAGGTCCCACGATGGCCTCAATGTGCAGCAGCAAAAGTGGAAGACTTTCTACGTGTTCAAGTACTTGGCAAGTACCAGGTTGTAAATCTTGCTGTTGTTCTAGGGAAACCTTGAAACCAGCTGCGGTGCAGCGACGCAAGCCTGACAACTCATAGTGGTGGACTTGCCAGCTTCGGACCACCCGCAAACTTCGTGAACTAGCTTTGGTGGAGTACTTGGGGATACAAGGTGCTCCATGTGCACCGCTCTCCGGGGCGGTCTGCGCCTCATCTGGCGAATCGCGATCTCACCCAACGACGGAGCGAAGATTGAAGCCACCCCTTGGCGTGCATAGGCCTGCCATGCAACAATGCGCGTGATGATGCCGCAAGTTGCGTGCCAGAATTTCTGATGCTACCCAAGCTACTCTGGGGCCTCGAAGAAGCAGTCCAGATCAGTGGAAACTTCCCCCGTTCGGTTGCCGGATGCCAAACATCTCATTGAACGAACACCCCACGATGTGCAACAAACGAGTGTCAAATGCCGGCGCTGTTGGCTTGTTCAACCGTCCGCTTTCATCCATCCAGTTGCTCGTCGTGAAGGAATGAATATGATAGTTCATAACCCTGATACTCGGGGCCGTAAGCTTGAACTTCCGGGATCTACGATCAAACCATCATATCATGTTATCCAGAAGTTGCGAAACCACATGTTCATCTGGTCTCGTCTCCGGTCGATTATGCCCAATGCTATTATTGTATTCTCTGCTTCTCACTCGAGTCAACATCGTAGCTCTTGGGCCATCTTGAATGTGGAGACGGGGGCTCAGAGCCATCACTCGTAGACTAGTCTGGACAGGATCCCGGTGAAAATCCAGTCCAGAACAATTCACGATGTTTCCCAGACTATTCCCCATTGACTTGACGGTCGATCATTTGACGAGCACAAGTGTGCATCGGTCCGTAAAAGTCTGCAACGAAGTCCACTGAAGTGTTTTCGAAGCGGTAAGACTGCATATGATGCCTTCGGGTAAAAACTCTCACCAGACTCCGAAATCCCTTCTTCACCTTGTTCGTCCAAATAACGTGTCTTCTGACCACTCACGTCCCCTCGGGAGCGTTATTTTTCTGTTACAGCTTCTTAGCTCGGTGAGGGAGGCCTCTGGTCGCTTGCAACACAGACGAAACTGGGACATTGCAAACCTTTTCTCAATACCCGCGGATTCCTCATTTCCTCACGGTACCTGAACTGGCCGCTTTAAACACAGCTTGGGGGTGTTGGTCATGGAATCGTGGCTCCGTACCTTCAAGTCCACACCCCCGGGAAATGTGGGCATCGTGGCGCAAGGGCGCATCATCATTCTTAGTTCTGAGCAGCCCATTCTTTGCTCCACCGAGGGGTTGCACACGGCAATTTGCAGATCCAGAGAGCTTTAGAAATTCCAGCTCGGTGCTATTGCGTGAAACCCCTCATGAGGGCAGTCCACTTCCGAAATGACGACATAATAAGTGCTCAAGAATTTGATAGCTTTACATACTAGTATACACACTCAGCATATCGAGGTATACAATGAACAACAATACCAATAACTCGGTCAACCTAATAATACATCTACACTCTGTCTCCCTAAGCAGCTTGGCTTTTCCCGCCTTCCTCACCGAACGAGCTGTTTACTTTTGGTTAGTTGCCGACGGACGATAAAATTTTCGCTGGCTGTACTTGGAGCAGCAGCAACACCACCACCACGTTGTTACAGAGTTGCAGTAGCATATGCAATACTGAGGATCACTAAGGCCCACCCACCTGGACCTTGCAGCGTCGAAGGCATCTTGGCCACGGGCAGTACCCCTTTTTGACATGAGCTTTGTACAAGTATCATATCTCGCACGAGTGTTATGCTGATTTGGTCCTCTTCAAAGACGGTCGGCCAGTGACTAGGCCAGAAATAGGTGGTGCCAAGGTAGCCTACTTGACTATGGGTGAGCCTTTCAGGTACGTGTAATACAATTTGCGCCATGTTCATCGCGCTCGTTCGAGTTGTCGACGGACAAGCACCGTTAACTCGTACATTTCCAGTAATTGATACACAGCTTTTGATAATTGATTTTCTCATGTCTCCTTCGATTTACTTGTCCAGTGAGCACTTCTGCTCCGTAGGGAGAGGTCATGCTTTGTGTGCTTCATTAGCGATTGTTCATTAGAAGCTCGCAGTGCCTGAGAGCAAGTCCCTCTCTAGAGTTGTATAGATCTCGTCCCTCGTTCCCTTAATGAATTAGTAGTCCTTAAGACAGCTACTTGGTATGACTGATGTCGTTGCTAGTCAAGATTGCTTCTGCACAACGCCTTTAGAAAAAGAATTACCGTGGACGAGTGCATTTCGTACACAATGACTCCGGGCATGTTCGTATAAGCACCCAAGAGGCTCTCACTTTGCAATGGAAGATCTAGCAGGCAAAAAAAACATATAAAACTTCGGACTTATAGGATATGCTAGTGTTCACGGCAGCGAAATAGTTTTTGAGCCCAAATATTCCATTGGTGGAGCTTACACAAGCACAAGGCTCCTCTGTGTGATCATAGAACCAGATCAAGGCAGCCGGTGATACCACCGGCAAGGCAGGCCACATTACTAGCAACGAAATTAGCAAGGTGATTAGAGAATATGATGTTCAACTACACATCATAGCTTTCTTATAAGTTAAAGTCCTCTAGCTGTTGGCTTTTGCCTGACTTTTACCTGCTCAGAGGTGCTCCGTTCTAGCTAGCCTTGCGATGTAAACCCGGCATAAGGTGTGGCCATACCTGACATAACTATTGTCCCAAATATACAAAAGGTTACTTCAGTCCCGTGGCATTTACGGTATGAACTGGCGTAATCTCCTAAGGCTCAAACATGTTACGATTCACTAATGCGATCCAATATCGCTCTCTCCTCAACCTTCTCTTCGCAGCCTTCAACCAATCTGCGCTTTCCAGGTTGGCCCTGATACGTTATGCAACTAAAAGTGGATCTCCAAGATGTTCGAATAGAGTGGCGTGCTCTTAGAGGTTCGGGTTTTCTTCTCTGATCATCGTCTCAACAACGTTGTCGGATCCATTGGCAGATATTTCGAGGGTAGTCGCAATGCCGTTAATATCAGAAAGGAGTGGTCGAGGTGGCTATGTTCAAGGTCGATGTTCTGTTGTGTCATAGCTCGTAAGATGAGTAGCGGAACAAGTTTGGGTAGTTGGTTGGTTTATTCATAACGCCTTCTAGAAAGGCCCGGGGGTTCGTGAGACTCGGGCGGGAATTGCATTTTGTCCTACTAGGACCCTAGTTCTCATCGTGCTTTCATCTATTTTCTCAGATCGAACGCCGGTGCCCTTCCTTCCATGGCAAATTTTTCGCGTCCCAAAGGATAAACCACGTGCATAATCCCAACCCCATAACCTGAGCAATCGTCGAGAATTATTTACTTCAGCCTGTAAATCACTTGAGTTAGTGATCAGGGGATCTGATAGGGTTTGCTCGCAGACGCACTTCTTCTTGGGGCGGAGCTGGTTGGTGTGTCCTGCCATAGATGTTAGTAATTCATGATACAACCCTGCCTCACCAATGAGGGTTGCGCAGGTCATGAACTCGAAGGGGGAACCCACCACACTTGCGCTTCCGGCAATTTCTGTGTAAACAAAAGAAAGTCACTAAAATGAACAATGCCCAATTCCATGTTGGGCGGGTAATTGGACGTACGTGGCACGTGGAGGGAGCCGCGCATAGCTAGCAAGAAACATGTTAGCCGAGAGCTCCAAGGCGGAAATTGGGGAGGAATGACGGACCATTTACGACAGATCATCTTGTCGCAGTTGTAGCGCGAGGCTAGCTATATAACTTTTCAGTATATCGAAAGTTCGTGACCCCGAGATAGATATTCGTTGCGCCGGGACATGAACGTACCATCTTAAGGGATGGCTCAATCATCTAGGTTAGATTAGAGAACGTCAGTTTACTGATGTCTGCGCAGAACACTCCCAGAACTACGTATCCAAGCGAGCTCACCTTGCCTGATTTCCGTGACCGTGATCATGAGCATGGACGCGAATGCCGCGCACGTCCATTAAAAGTCAAGTCAAAAATATTATTATTTCAACGGTGACAATCGATTTTCGTGGGGTGTTAGGTAAGGGTAAGCAGTCGATTGGACTTACATACGAGGAAAGCCGTATTTAGCTTCCAGGTGGGTATACTCAATAACCCGTTAGCGCTAAGGCCATTTCATTGGCGACGCTGTTCATCGACATTTCATAATAAAGAACAGATGCCGATATTGTCTACAAATCAACTGTCCAGAAAGGAGCCCTGAAACTTCGGTGTTGTGAAATCTGTGATTCGTCTTGGAACTAACGACAGAGTTCTCAGGTTGGCGTCGCCTAGCCCGTTTCTTGTGCGTTCCATTGGTGGAATAAGATGCACTACTCGACTTGCAATTCCTGTAATGTAATACAATTGCAGTAAGCAACTAACCTACACTACGCAGAGAGGAACTTGGGTACCTGCCTACCTGCCAGACTCAAAGAAGTATTTCGTAATAGAACCCATTGTCACTTTATCTTAACCCATGCAGAGTGTTTTTGTTGTCGTATTGAAATAGTACGTGGAAATATAATTCACCTCTCGGAAATAGTTACGTGTCCACCCGCAGTCCCACTAGCTAGCTCTGCATCGGCAAAGGATGCTTGGATCATTGACTTCTTTCCAGACGGTGATTTTACAGCTTCAGGGTCCTATGGACTATCGCTTTAGGCAGGTCTAAAGTTCGTGCACTTCTCAAAACATTTTTTGGTGCGAGCGCTGTTGGTTCCTATCCAGTTGATGGTGTAGTGTCCGGGTTCTATTGGATACCCATTATCAGTGGTACAGCCTGGAGATGCGTCGATCGGGGTGCATGTTATCCCGTTCAACGAATTGTCAGCATCTCGCTGTACGGGTTGGATGTGTTAGTGAAGCACGCAAAATTTGAGTCCTTCCACGTAACATTTTGACGAGCAACATCTCTCAGAGACGACACAATGTAACAGCAACTTGTTCGATTCAGAAATACCAGGTATTTCCTAAGCCGATACAGAAAGAAAAGACTCGCAAAGCAGCCATCCAGCCTACATTCCAATACGCCATACCCCAAAGCCGAAAATATGCTGAAACCTGCAATTTTCCTCGGCACAGAAGTCTGAACTCCAAGGCCTCGTGATCTAAACCCATCTTCCTCCCAGGTCCTAGTATCCGCATCACGGCACCTGCACACATGTTCAACCACTCTTGTCCTGTACCCGCCATCATGCGCGGTTTTCCCTCCCAAATTCGTTAACGAGCCTGTTCTTTCGCTGGTGTTGATACCTCTGGCGCACAGAGTTATACGATCATCTGCGCGACTCCTTGCCCGCCCAAGGTCTTACTTCCAACAAAGGCTTGGCCCTTGACGCCAGCAAGTAGGTAGCAAATAGCGGTGGCCGTCAACAAGATAGCGGCGGCGATCAAGCTGCTGGCACCACCAGTGATGCTCAGCCATTGGATGAGACCCATGACGCCGTAAGTAGCGGCGCGCATGTAGTTCGTCGAGACCTTGCGAATGGTGGCGTCAAAGCTTGCCGATGTGGGGCAGATTCGGAGGAGCAGAGGAACCTCAATGAAGAGGATGATAAATGAGGATACCCTGGTTCGATAGAGTTAGATGGTAAAAAGGCAAATATGTAGTTCTGGGGAGGGCGCGCTGGGCACTTACAGGCAGATGACACTGAAGATGATGAGAAGCACTCTCACGGTGAAGATGTTGGCAATGCCAAGCGCAAAGCAGAGGATCATGGACAGGATACCAAACCTGGGCAAGAAATATGTCAGTTGTATCTCTTTGCGATATCGCGCCTTTGCTCATAGGCATGCCAGTCAATAGAATGGGTATCGATCGTACGGGCCTTGACACTTGGGCTGTCTTGGGTCTATTGAAGCCAAAGGCATCGTGAGGCAGTGTCGCTACGCTTAAGGAAGAATGCAAAGCAATTCAGGGAGCTTTACCATTGTCCGTAGATGCCTAGGTGCAGCGTTGTTAGCTCGAGTACGCGTATGGTATGGCTTCGTGCAGTACCACTCACTAAAGTTCCTTGTCGCGAATTCCTCCTTCAGAGTCATTTTGGCAGTTAGATTAGTCGTTGAGTGTCCCAGTTGATCGTCGGCGATGCTCTGGAGACGGTAAATAGCACCAACGGATATCGAAGGTGGAAAGTTGAATTGGGGCCTGGAAGCTTCCGGCTGAACCGTGAATGCTGGATGCCAATCGGTGGATCGTTGTGGCAGTTGATAAATAGCACTGCTGATCAAGAAAATCTAGTTGAGGATGTGAATACGACGATGTTTGAGGGATTGTTCGTTTGTTCGTGGCGGCGAAGTGGTGCAGTCTTTGGGTTGTTGACAGTGACCAGATCTCCGAATGAGCTTTTGTGGATCTTGTGGTTGAGCGTCGTCAAAGCCGCTGACCGAAGCAATTGGTCCCAGACGCGGTAGCCTCCTTTGATGATCGGACCCTGGCTAGCCGGGGAAGCGACGACTGAAGAATTGCGCAAGGGCCACCCAAACTGTTCCATGAGCCTCGAAGAATGCTAGACTCCAGTCACCCACCAACTTGACCAACAACTTCCTGGTGTATTAAACCAGCAATCCTGACGGTTGCACCAACTCTCTGTCACTCCGGATCGCTTCCTTATGTGTAGAATTTCCTGAGGTTGGCTATGACCAACAAGCGGTCTTACAACTTGTTATTTCTTCAAATCCGGTCAGCCAGTGCCAACTTCGGCCTCATGTTGCAAGTCCGCACGAATCCTTGATTCGAAACAATCTTCTGAACATCCCAACTTATTTTTTTGGGAACGGAAGAAGTGTTGTTTGATTGGTTAACTGCGAATCTGGGGTTTTTGGTACTTACAGCGTGTGCTGGTATCGTCAATCCGGCACGTCTCTGCTCTTCTCTCTTCCAATATTGATGGTCCGTTACCATATGACGAGTGGGACAAGAGGAGCTGCGTAAGAAGTATATCCAAGGATCTGAAACAGCTTCAATATAAACGCTTCATGATATTTGGGAAGTTGCGAGGGGTTAAAAGTACTCAGGCACCGAAATTTTATCTTAATAGAGAGACCGGTTGTATTTTTTCGCAGCAGCCTAATTGCTACACTGCCATTGCGTGCTACCTTACGCGTACACATGGCTGTGCCGAATCTGAGCGCTTGAGCCAAGAGCGACTATGTCAAGCATCGACAAGGAAGCGAGCACTGCAAACACCGCCGCAGTCGGCGTATTTTGATTGTTGTAAATTCATAAGCCTGGTTGACGAATCGTTATTGATCACACTACTTGCTTTGCCCTTCATATCGAACACAGCTTCTGGTAGTCAAGTCTGGGCCTTCTCCCGTCTATAGCGATTCCCTCCAAGTACACCACCGGCTCGAAATCTCAGCATCTGTCATCTCTATGTGCTCTATCCATCCACCAAGGAAGAAGCCGGCGGAACCCTTTAACCGTAAACCAGCTTGAAGATGTCGTTGAAGACGTAGTAGGAGCCACCCTCAGCCACCAGATGGAAGGTCTGGGTATAGTTCATCGGCCGCTGCTCCTCGTCCACCTAAGGCAGGCAAATTCAGAAGGATGCCAAGAGTATATCAACAAGGGAATGAACTTACCAGAAGCTGTCCAGTCACCAGCACCAAAACACCACCGTTGACGCTGGGCTGGGCGTCCAATGTGGCGACCTGGTGCTTGACCTTCTCGAAGGGCAAGCCCTGTCACCATGTCGTTAGAAACACCTAATATATTGGATCCGTGCGCTGTTCCTTACAGACAGCTTTTCAACAATGCTGTTCACGCCAAGGACAGCGGAAGACTCGAAGGTCAGCATAGAGCCATCACGCTGTGTTACACCATGTCAGTAATCTGCAGGGGCTGTACGTTACGTCTAGGGTATACCTACATAGAGGGCGCTGAGCGCCTTGCGGTCTTGGTCGAATTGGGAGTAGTAGAAGGTGACGAATTGCTCTATTCGTAGAGAAGGGTCAGCGGGCCATTGACAACGTGCAGCGCGGAGGGCTGGGGTTTTCTATGAACTACGGATGAGTCAAATAACGGCAGTACTGACTCGCAATGTCCTCGAAGTCTGTAAAGATATTAGCACCTCTTCATGGCAAATGCCGCCGGTAGCTGAAGCAGAGTGACGTTGGGCGCGAAGGTGGATGCGCCGGTAAAGTATGCGCCCCGGAGAAACTCACTTCCTGCCATCTTGACTGTGTTGAGTGTTGCACTCGTGGAGTTAGAGGTTCGTTTTCGATAGAGGGAGATGCTTGCTGAGGGGTCGGATGCTTGCTTGTTGATAACGAGGCAAGATTTCTTGATGCGAGCTTTTGATGATGAGGCTGTTGTTGCTGGGCTGGGAAGAGGGGCAGCCAAATTTCCTCCAACGTTGTTGCGGCGGAACTGATTGGCGGGGTAATAGCCTCATTTAATGCATGAATCCGCTTCAGAGATTGACGCGGCCATTCACTTAAATTTGCTTATGTAACATATTCTCCCGCATTCGTACCCAGTTCATTGGAAGTTGTGGCATCCAAGTTGCAGCAAAGCCTATGTGTCATGAGAAAGTGCCACACAATTCGTAAGAACAAGCTTGCGTGACCTGGCGCTATCGTGGACCAAGAAAACAGAGGCTTGAAGGACAACCGGAAGGAAGGTCTTCCTCGCCCTTCAAAGACCTCAAACTATTTCCACTACTGAATGAGATACAGCGCGGCATATGATTGGCTGCATCATGGCAACAGCCAATATCAACACTATATCAACGGGGATGACAACCGGGGGCGACAACTCTAGAGATGGCAATTTTCAGAATATGGTTTCTATCGATAGCGGATTACCACACCTTCGACGTCGAAGTCCTAGAAACCACGCGCGGCAGGCTTCAGTTGGCTCCTTGGACCGCATATTCGACACTCGCAGAGGTCCCAAGGAGAGAAAAGCTGCCGCCGAGCCCGAGACTAAGATGCCTGCCCTGCCCTCATATGGGGTCTACGAATTACGAGATGGCTTCTTCGATGCTGTCTTCTATCCTCCGGCCGAAGTCGACATGGACGAGCTAATGATCCACGCTGAGTTGACCTTGCCTTATGCATTTCGAAAACAGCACCCATTGTCGTTGAAGACCTTCTTTCCAAAACAGTGGCATGAGATCAAGGGCGTCTATCGCCGAGTCACGACCACGAGGGCTGGAATTAAACTTCTCAAATCCTTCCTTGCCTTCTTCATTGCTTATGTCTTGTGTCTTGTGCCATCCGTCCGAGCCTGGCTCGGCCGGTACAGTTACATCATGGTAATCTCGCCTATCATAAATCATTCTGGAAGAAGTTTTGGTGCTCAAGTGGAAGGAGCCGTCTTCACCATTGTCGGCACTGCAACGGGACTTGGTTGGGGCGCGTTCGGCCTGTGGCTGTCAACGATCACCACTACTGCTCAAGTCGGATTTGGTGGCATTCTGGCGACTTTCTTGTGTCTCTATATCTTCTTCATCGCCTGCCTTCGTTCATACTATATACGCACGTACCAGGGAATCATCTGCGCTGGTATTTCCATTATCTACACATGTTTGGCAGAAGTCTCCAGGTCCGAAGTATCGTGGTCGAAACTATTTGCCTACGGGATTCCTTGGGTTCTGGGGCAAGCTATAGCTCTAGTTCCTTGCGTTCTGATTGCTCCAGATGCCGGTGAGTTACTCAACGAGGGACGCATACAATTTTGTCTCCTTTTCCTCCTGACGTGGCTGCGGACTAATCATGTGTCGTGAAAAGGAGCCCGCCCATTGGCAGTGTCGTTGCATAATGCATTTGCAGTTATGTCGGTATGTTGAAAAGGGTGTTTTCGGCGCGAACTGAACTGACCATCTCAGGATGGCCTCGTTATATCCCGGCCTGATAGTCTCATCATTCGTCGAAGGCTAGCACAGACCTTTATCGACTTATCACAGGCGTATCGGGATCTGGTCATCGACTTCTCCATCACATTCTTTGATCCAAAAGACGTCCTTCACCTGAGAAATCTCATGCAGGGTGTCGTCCGCACCTTGTTAAGTGTCAAGGATGAGACCCGGCTATTCAAAAACTTCACTTCAACGACCACGCATGTGCAGGAGAGCTCACATCTCGAAGACTTCGTTGTCGACATAGGGCAAAAGCTCGAGACACAAGAGACATCTCAAGCGAAGGAGATGCTACAGTTTGTGGCTGGTAATCTGGCTGAGCCTACGGAAGCCCTCATCTTGGCTATGAAATACTCATTGCAGAGTTGTGACGCGGTGCTCATGGAAATGTGCGGACATCGCCAATACTTGGGACCTTCTGACGATGTTTCGAACGACGTAACGGGTTCTTTAGTGAAGCTTCGACGCCGAATCATCGCATTCGGCTCTGTCCAGGAGAGTGTTTTGAACAGCAACAAGCTACCAGAAGCCTACGCCGAGCACCCAGAAGTTGTAAAAATATTCGCCTTTTGTCGTTCGGTACACCAGGCTGCCTTATCAGTGGAAACCTTGCTTGTCAAGGTAAACGAAATGCAGCAGAGACAACCAAAGTATCCAAAATTTCATCTACCTTCGTACCCCTTGTGGAAGTCCCTCCACCGGACGAACCGTCAGGTTCGACATGATCGTGGTGGTTTGACAGCAGGTAAAGAATTTTATATTCGCAAAACTTTCCACCGTCTAATCAAGAGCTACAGGTTCATACTTTAGGAGCTTCAGTGACATATCAGAACTCATCCAGAAAATCAAGTCAAAGGAGTTCCAGCCACTACCGCGGAAATATGAGAACCAGGATGAAAAACACGAAACCGGTTACGCAACAATGACTGCAGCGGAGCTAGAAGACGACGAGCCAGGCACCAAAAAGGCAAGATTTGGACATTCCATTTGGAATATACTACACCGAGGGCAAGGATTTGAGACTCGGTTCGCGCTAAAGACAACTGCTGTCACATCTCTGCTCGCCATACCCGCCTGGTTGTCCGGCAGCACCTTGTGGTGGGATGAGTACGAAATTTGGTGGGCGGTTGTCATGGCTTGGTTGATCATGGCGCCTCGGTGAGTCTTTGGCACTTACTCTCGTTGCTGGGTTTGCTTCAGCCTCTCTAACTCGTACTGAATTGCTCAGTGTCGGTGGAAACATTCAAGACCTCTTCACACGGGCAATATGTGCTGTTCTTGGCTCTGTTTGGGGAGGTCTGGCATATACCACAAGGGACGGTAATCCATTTGTTACTTCCGTATTCGCCCTCATATTCATGATCCCCATGGTTTACCGATTTACACAAAGTACACACCCAAGATCTGGGTTGGTAGGGTGTATAACTTTTACCGTTGTCTCTCTGGCGGAAGACTCGGCGGATTACCAAACATCTCCCGTAATTGTGGCTGTAACAAGAGGAGGCGCTATGGCGGTGGGTGTCATTGCTTCAATTGTGGTCAACTGGGTCTTATGGCCTTTTGTTGCTCGTCACGATTTGCGCAAAGCAATTTCGGCCATGATTTTCAATTGCAGCATCGTTTATAGGAGTAAGCACTCCCGTCTATTGCATTTGGTCAAACATAATTTGACATCGCTACAGGCATCGTGTCCAAGTACGTGTACTACGAAGAAGGTCATGCCCCAACAAAAGAAGACATTGAAGCATCAGAGATTCTAGAAGGGCGTCTCCGTGAGGGTTTTGTCCGACTCAGGCAACTTTTGGTAAAAAAAGCATGCCCTCACCATTGAACATTTTCACAAAACTGACAAGGCCCCAGGGATTGACAAGGCATGAGATCCGCCTGCGTTCGCCTTTCGACCCCCTTCCGTACTCGGCTCTGATCGACGCCTGCGAGCGCTTCTTCGAGCACGTAGTTACGGTGCGACAGTCGTCGTTGTTTTACCACCCACACTTCATCAGAGACAACACCGAGGCCGCAGCACGACTACTGGGCTACCGACGTGATGCTATTGCCACCATGTTGACGAACCTGTACGTTCTTTCTGGGGCTTTGAGGGCTGATCGAAAAGTACCCGTAAGTGTGCCAGCTCAACGATCCCAAGTGAGGTATTCTGACGAGTAATAGAAATACCTCCCTAACGTGGCCGCAGCGCGCAGAGAACTACTTGATCAGATGAAGGCGCTCGAGATTGAATTGGCGGCTGGGTCCAAGTTTTCTGCCAACATGAAGGCGGGGGAAAGGAAATGGGCACAAATCTATAGCTACTCATACAATGAGAGTTTGACGGGCTGTGTGGAGCAACTGGGGGAACTCGAGAAGTATACCAAAGTTATCGTTGGAGGACAGGGGTAAGTCGTAAAGCGAGTTCATGGTGAGAAGAGAAACTAGAATTTGGCAACTAACTCGTTATAGCTTTGACGATGGCTTTTGTCATGCGGAATAGTGCAAATACGAGCGTTGCGTTAAAACATCAAGGGACAAAGTCAGAATTTTGACTTTAGGCTGGTTCGTGACCTTCAGGAGCGCCAGGCAGGATGGGGATTAAGGTGTCTATGAAGTGTAGAAATTGACTTCATGTTACGTGCCCTAGGCATACCGGCTGTATGCCGGGTGGAGCGCTTAGTCCAACTGCCTATAGATAGCCCTTCCGTAGCTGCAAATTCCTGGGAGCTAGTCCCGTCATCATCACCATCACCAGTACAACTATCGTGCCTGTATTGCCCAGATTTAATGAGCCTATGATGATTCAGGTTTATAGAGTTAGGGTAGAATTGATAGCCTTGCTGTTGTCCAACATGCGCAGATTAGTTACGATACACCACATTGCATAAGTAACATATTACTCTCTCTACCTTGTCCTTCTACATATATCTAAGGTCCATCTTCTTAAACAAAGGTAGTTAAAGTTTCATACTCCATCACCAGTCTATTATCCCAACCGTGCCACTCTTTTCTTGTTTTACCTGATGATAAACATCTAACGTAAATATATTTAGTACGCCTGAGTCATTGTGCTTATCTGCTGTAATCATAAAAAGTTTTCCTTGTAGAACGTCTCTTTACTAAAAACAAGATAGTGCTATTTCCCGTGCGGTAGATGTAGTTTTTGAGAAATTTGGCCTAACAAAAGGGGATAGAAGTCGGGAACCGACTCGAGAAAGGCAGAAACCGCGAGGTATAACTGGATGTGAAGGCGAAGGCGTGAGGCATACCTCATAGGTGAAATCTTCCATAATCACTCCTGGTCCTCCTTGAATTTGAGATACAAAGTTGATGAACAATCATGTCGTTGGCTGGTACCTTCGAACACCAGCTGAAAACGAGATATATACTGGGGGACGCCTGAGATCATTCGGCTCCCAATCGCTAATCATGATATTAGGAATATGGCTGTCACGTATTAAGGGCCAAGGAACAACGAGACTTAACTACAGTTTGTACCCTCAATTATCCCCATGTTCTTTATGGAATACGGAGGCATGACTGCGTCGTATTCAACAGTTTAGTTTAGAATATCTTTGGAGGGTGCGTTTATTCGCTACTGACCAGTGTCGAAGGTGAACTGTCTATTCAAATTCAAGTTCCCCTACTAGTACCGTCTCGCCGTCTCAGAGTAGCTATTCCACACTTATATACATTGGTACTTTCGCAGATACATAAGCAAGTCCCAAGCATGGTCGTGTCAAAAGTACTCTCTATTCAGTACCCACGCTGGTGCAGTGATTATCAGCAAAGCCGCTTATGCAACTCATCTAGTACCATACGTTCATGACACTACCTGCCACCAAAGCATGCATTGCTTCATATCTCGTTTAGTGGGAAACGTCAAATCACATCTCCTTCCTTCATTGTCATATCAAACCAAGTCCCACTCAGCATTTCCTCTCAACCTAACTCAAATCAAATCCGGCTCCTGATTGAATGGCGTACAAGAGTTTCTCCTTCAGCCTCGGGGCAGTAGAATAACGTGGAAGCTTGAGCAGGTTGACACACGTGCTAGTACTGGGCAGCCTCTCCTCGTCATCTCCAGAATCTCTGATACTGAAAGCCGGACTCAGCTGTGCGAAGCCTAACAGCGGGGCTCTCGGCGTCGACGTAACATACTTAAGCACATCTCTGCGCTCTTCGTCCTTGAGGGAATGCATTACTTGCCAGAACAGCTGCACCGTAGGGTGCTCCAGCCCGTCATCGCCAATGGTGTAGACGCCTGAGTATTCGGTGTGGCGGCGTAAGTCGTCAATGTCGATCTCGGAGCTGTCACCTCCCACAAGGCGTTGTAGCTCGAGGGGATTGAACATAGAGAGCCACGAGGGATTGATCATGCTTCCGAGGCCACGAAGGAATGCCCTGTTCTGGCGGATGAGCTGCTGTACTAGACGGTAGTGTACGACAGCAGCGATGTAGAGAGGGCGATCTTTGTTGGTGACAGGTATATTTTCGCCGTCCTTGCGGAGGGGCCGTGTGATCGTCTTTACTTGCTTCGTTATCGGGTGAACATATTGGTCCGTGACCGCAAAGTCAAGTGAGAGATCAGCGACATCGCCGGTGTAATTCTTAAGGCTGACGAGGCCCTTGTACAGTTCCGGGTCCAATTCTCTTAGATCGTACAAGTTTGCTTTAGATTCTGTCGACGAACTGATGCCGGAAGATGACCACTTCTGTAGAAAGAAGTTGGCGAAGGCCACATCAATTAGTATACCCTCGTACATGCATTTTCCGACGATTCGCCCCAGGAATTCGTAGTTTTTACCCAAGTCCTGCAGCACCTTGAGGTAGTCTGGACTACCCTCTGCGCAGTTACGACTAATCGCCATCTCTTTGATCTCATCGAATGCGGTCGGATTGGGGTACAAGAGGTTTTGGCTGTTGGCCGTGAACAGCCGATGACTAGTATAGAATGCTTCGTCAATGATGCTTGTGAGGAACTCCTTGGTGACGCCTCCGCCATCGATACCAGCCTCCTGCTGGTCAAACTGATCAATGAATGTGATCTGGATGGGCTCCTTCAACCCTTCCCCCAAGTTGTAGAACTGATTAAAGGCGTCCGAAAAGACCTGCCCACGCTTGATCCTGGCGCTGTGCCGGCTAAGGATATCTTGGCCTCTAGCCGAGGGGCCACCAAAGGCATCGCCGTTGTTCATGACTGACAGGCGCCATCTGTCGGGATCCACATTGCCTCCCCTCCTCTTCATCTTGTCTAAATGTACAAACTGCCGGAAGATCTGTACTCGTACGTCGAAAGGAATTGCAAAGGGCATGTTCCGGAGGATCTCGAGTTTGGGCCCCACCTGTGCGAGTAGCTGTTCTCTTTGAACTCTACGCAAATGGCGCTGCTTCTCAATTTGGGCCGCGCGAGATAATCTCTGGCCGGCAGAAGTGTGGTAGGGATTGGTGCCGTACACATCGGGGTCGAGTAACTCCACGTCTTCATCTTCGGCTTCATCCTTCTTCTGCTCTTCAAGTATAACAGCAGAGATGAAGCCGTCCATCTCGAACTTGGACGTCATCAGCCAGAAGTCCTTGGACAAGTACGGACGACGAGAGTCTCGGTCATATAAGGATCGCATGGTTGCGGTTGCCAAAGCTCTCAGCGAAAGGGCATCCATTCCAATAATGCCGGCAAACGAAGGCACTTGCAGCTTCTGAACTGCCTTGTCGAGATGAGACTTGGAAGAGCTTAACACGCCCATGAGACCTTTCAGTCCCGTTGGTCTCGAAGAAGGCATAATAACAGGGAGGTTATAATAGAGCGGAAAGGTTAAGTTTTTCAGGAAATTGGCGAGTTGCCTCAGCTCGTGAAGGGCGAGCCCACTCGAGCGGATACGCGTGACGGCTGGACTCTGCTCGGAAGTGATATGATTTTCCGAGGGCAGGAAATCTTCGTCGTCAGTGACTCTCAGAAGGAAATTGTACAGCTCAACAAAGAGCAGGATTATTCGCCATTGATGATCGAGCGTTGGGCCAGACTTTACCAGGTCCCTAACTAGTGACACATTGTGTTGAGTATGCGTTTGAGATAAGGCGGTGAAGATTTCGGTTCTTGACGCTGCCTCCCAGAAATACTTGACCGCCGGTAGAGTGGTGGCATCGAACCTATCTGTGGCAATGTCACCCTGGAAGAGGTGCATTTTAATGTCATCACCATGTGTCGGAAAACATTTCAGAAGGATTAGTGTGTATCCTGCCAAGAGACTCGCATCATCCGACATGCGTGCCGTTGCTATAGCCGTGGAGGTGAATCTGCTCAGTAGCTCGGAAATTCCATCTTCATCGACAAGGAATTCCAACTGTGCGGTGACATAAGGCGGCAGAGGACTTGCGTTTGAGAAGTACAAATCCTCCGACTCGTCATCAGATGAGTCCTCATCTCCATCGACTTGACTGACAAAACGCATATGGATGTCCGGAGCAAGCATGGACAACTGCAGATACAACGCTTCGAGATGCGCAGAGCCTCGAGATGTTGGTAAAGCACGATTCAGTGCGATGAAATGGGCTAGAAGCCACAGCAGATCATCCTTAGAGGTTTTCTTGATACGGTCTTGCTGAGAGAAGAGATATATGATGCCCTGAGACAAGGCCTGCAGCTCCAAAAATCTTGTAACCTGATCAGGACTTGACTCTAGGAACGACAGGTTCGACGAGGTCAAGAAGTAAAGGGCGAAGGCCTCATATGCTTCAGGATTTCGGTCTGCCAGGGGTGCGGTAACAACCTCAGCTAGATGTGTGTCAGATCCGTCATTGGCACTTTGTTGACCATATTTCGACAACAGTTTGTAGAGTCGGCCCAAGATAGGTGTGGCGGATGATGGACACCTCTTAATGACCGCGACCAACAGGTCCAAGAGATGGGGGGAGGAGCCGATGGGGCGTCTGTGCAATGAGTAAGAGGTGGTCAGTCATTCTGGTTCTGTGGTATCACCATGTAACGCTCCACAGCTTACCTTTCCAGAGCTATTACCAGTAAAGGTGCAAGATTATTCCACTGGGGAGTCTCTGCAAGAGCCGATGTGGCTCCGGCGAGCGAAAGAACAAAGTGGTCCAGTCTCGACTGATCTGCAGGATTGGAAGGGTCGAACATGGCCAGTAGGAGAGCCAGGGCCTTCTTGGCAGTATCTGGATCAGACATGTCATCCAGCCCATTCATAAGATCCCACTCTTGACGGTGTCTTTGTTTGGTCTGTCTGCGCTCTCTGTGCCCTCGCCATACTCTCTGAATCCGCTGTGCAGCCACGAGCTCGTTACGCTCTCTCTGCCGCTTCTCACGTTCGGCTTGGGCGTTAGCAACTGTCTGAGAGGCGCCCGAGGGAGCCGGTGTCCAGCCCGAGTTTGCCCATGGGTTTGTGTTCTGGCCGCTCAGGTTCACGTTTCTCGGCCGTCTCGAGTTGCCGCTGAAGGTGTGATACATGATGAAGTCTTCCTGGCTGCCGTCACGGCAGCCTTTGGGACTAGGTCGAATCGTATATGCTTCGATCACAGGAATTTCGGGATACTCCTAAGTCGATGCGGTTGATTAGGAGAGGATGGCAGAACAGAATCGGCGCCAATGTTGGTGTCGATGTGGATGGGGGAATCGCGGGGTGAACAACCAGTCCTTTTTCAGGTTACTCCTCAAGGAGCCCTCTCTGAATAATAGTATACATGAATCAACGTAAGCGGCAAACAAAGATTCTATTGCCAGTGATGTTGAACTTTGGAGGGTTTGCGTAGCCTGAGAAATGCGCATTTGAGCAGCTCTTCAGCAAGATTTATCGGTCAGCTTGTCTTCATGTTCCGGCGCCTTCCATACCTCCCCACTTGAGCACTTGTACCCTTGGGGCTCACCTGGACTTGCTGTACCGCACTGACCACAAGGATTAGTTGCATTTCACTGGCCTATGGCGTCAGACCTAGCCTGGGGTAGCTCCCCACATCGTCTCTATCTCCAAGATAAGAAACACCGGCTTGCATCCAGGAATTTACATAGCTGTAATTCATGACTTCACATCAGCACATTTGTGTTGAGCACATAGCATTCAAGTGTGGATAGCTCTCACGTTTCCCTATCCCATTTTGGCTTCATTAGAAACTTTGAAAACTCTAATTATGGATTTGCTTCATTTGCTGCCAATGGCTATAATTATGTTTCTTAGCTATATTTGGCCGAGTCTGGCATACTGGCATTTACTTGGCTGTCAGATAACAGCTGTTCCTGTCGTGATCCTCCGAAGGGCCATTAATATGTAAGTATCTTGCCCAACTGGAATACCAGCACATTGCTGCCCTCAGAAGACTCGATGTTACAATTTGCAATATTTAATATACCTTCAGTTTTGAACCATGAATATTTGTATTGGAAATGAAGTGGCTCAACCAAAGTTGCACCAGTGCTTCACAATTTGTCTGCTCAAAGTATCGCAATAATAATGATTTCCTAATCCAGCTTTTGCAATATCTTAAGACCTGAAGCAATTAGAACTGATGTTCAACTAAAAATTAATTTCGATTATTAGTTTGCCTCCTTGTCACGACGAACCTCTGGCCCCAGCCCTCGAACCCTCAAGTCAGAAAAGTTTAACCTCTCAGAGGGATTGAGCAGCACAGGAAGAAGCTCGACTTTTAAGGCAGTTTTTCTATGTCAATAGAATAGCTATAAATGACTGTCAAAGTGAGCACAAATTACCATGACCTCCATGTCAAGCATCTGAGCCATAAAAAATAGGCACCACAAGAAAAAGATAATGAGCAAGCATGACAAAGAGATTTTTGGACTCATTCTTTGCTCCAAGCCACTGGCTGCTTTGGGCATGTTAGTCAACAGGCTGTCTGACAAATGAAGTCTACCTTGGTTTGGTACGCGTAGGCTGAGGCAAGAGGCAACCTCGTTTCAAGTACACATAGATGAATTCATGAGCATCTTAGTCATCGGAAATGGCAACAGTAGTTGCCGCTGCAGCAAACGAACCTCCAATAAGCATTGATGCACAGCAAATAAGCCGAATCGATACTTGTGGATTATACCTTGATACAACAGTTACGAGGAATTATCTCCAGGTAATGGGAATACAAGATGTGAATCAACTCGATTCGAATTCAGAGGTGAGACAGAAGTCAGGAGTAGCAAGTAGGAACATTAGAAGGTGCTTTGGGTGTATCGTACTATCCCAAGCAAGGCTGACTTAGGTACCCGCTGTTGATTGGGCGCTTTCCTTGTCACGAGTGGGTCCTTCTCCCATCGAAAATTTTGTGGTCGCAACCAGAAAGAAGCACAAAATTCTACGAAGATATTGGAAGTGTTTTCGACTTCCTTTCTTCTCTTCCAACGACTTGACAACCTTTATTCGCCCAGCTCGTCCTCAAAATCTACGAAAAGAGGATTCAGTCATAAAGTACGATCTCCCCGTCGTACTTGGTTTCTGGTTCTCGCCAAAATTCCATTCGCAGAAAACGATAAAAAAAATCGGAAAATCCCATAAAATCCCATCGCCTCCGTCTACCCGAAGTTAACGACATCTTCCATCGAGATTAAAGGCCACGATACTCGTCCCGCGCACTGTCTCATCCTCCGAACAAGTGCAACTGTCAATCCCGCCACCTGTTCACCTTTTTTGCGGACCTAGCCACATTCTCGTTTCTTCGAGAATCTTGATATTTGTCCGTTTGCTCGTTAGGTCTTAGACGTCAGGAGCCAAGTCTTGTTCACCAAGACTTCACCCACGACCAAACCTTCCGAATTCTGTCAATCGACGCTCGAAGTCTGCTCTTAGTTGTTGGTGCGCCCTCTCTAATTTCTAATTCTACTTTTGTGACTCGACCCTACGGTTCCATTTGGATTCAGTATTCCTATGCGTTTACTAACCCGCGATCCCTCCTGCAGTAGACTCATCTCGATCTCTCCATCATAATGGCTGCTGCTACCACTTCCGGCGCTGTTGATCAGCTTGCCGCTGACCTTGGCAATGCCTCTCTCAACGGCGGTGATGTCAAGACTCCCGCCATCAACACCAACGTCGCCAGCGATGCTCAGGGCGACGATCTTGACACCGCTGGCCCGACTCCCAGCTCGGCCCAGACCCCTCACCCCCAGGCTTCTGCTTCTTTGTACGTCGGCGAGCTTGACCCTTCCGTTACCGAGGCTATGCTTTTCGAGCTGTTCTCACAGATCGGCTCTGTCGCTTCGATCCGTGTCTGCCGTGACGCCGTCACCCGTCGCTCTCTCGGCTATGCCTATGTAAACTACAACACGACCTCGGATGGTGAGCGCGCCCTTGAGGAGCTCAACTACACCCAGATCAAGGGCCGCCCTTGCCGCATTATGTGGTCTCAGCGTGACCCCAACCTCCGCAAGAGTGGCCAGGGCAACATCTTCATCAAGAATCTCGATGCTGCCATTGACAACAAGGCGCTCCACGACACCTTCGCTGCTTTCGGTAACATCCTGAGTTGCAAGGTTGCCCAGGATGAGAATGGCAACTCCAAGGGCTATGGATTTGTCCACTACGAAACAGACGAGGCTGCCGCCGCCGCCATCAAGCACGTTAACGGTATGCTGCTGAACGAGAAGAAGGTCTACGTCGGCCACCACATTCCCAAGAAGGACCGCCAGAGCAAGTTCGAGGAGATGAAGGCCAACTTCACCAACGTCTACGTCAAGAACATCAATCCCGAGGCCAGCGATGACGACTTTCGTCTATTATTCGAGGCGTTTGGCGATGTCACTTCTTCGTCGCTCGCGCGCGACCAGGAGGGCAAGTCTCGTGGCTTCGGCTTCGTCAACTTCACCACACACGAGGCCGCTGCCAAGGCGGTTGACGACTTAAACGGCAAGGACTTCCAAGGTCAGGATCTCTACGTCGGCCGTGCCCAGAAGAAGCACGAGCGTGAGGAGGAGCTCCGCAAGTCGTACGAGGCCGCACGCCAGGAGAAGGCCAACAAGTACCAGGGCGTTAACCTGTACATCAAGAACTTGAACGATGATGTCGATGACGACAAGCTGCGCGTCTTGTTCTCTGAGTTCGGGCCCATCACATCGGCCAAGGTCATGCGTGACTCCCTGAGCGAGTCTGGCGATGACGAGAAGGACAAGGAAAATCAGAAGGAGACAATTGATGAGGTCAAGGAGGAGGAAGGCGAGAAAGAGGAAGGTGAGAAGAAGGAGAAGAAAGGCGATCGCAAGCTCGGAAAAAGCAAGGGCTTCGGCTTTGTGTGCTTCGCCAACGCTGACGACGCCACCAAGGCCGTCGCTGAGATGAACCAGCGAATGATCGAAGGCAAGCCTCTCTACGTCGCACTGGCCCAACGCAAGGACGTTCGGAAGAGTCAACTTGAGGCGAGCATTCAGGCGCGTAACACTCTCCGAATGCAACAAGCCGCTGCCGCCGCAGGCATGCCCCAGCAGTTCATGCAGCCACCTGTATATTACGCTCCTGGACAGCCTTTCCCTCCTGGTGGTAGAAGCGGCATCCCATTCCCCCAGCCCGGCATGGGCATGCCCGGAGTTCAGGGTGTTCGGCCTGGCCAGTTCCCCAATTACGGCGCTCCTCAGGGTGGCCGTGGTGCACCTGTACCCCAACAGCTCCCACCCCAGATGTACATGCCTGGACAATTCCCTCCAGGTGCCCCCTTCGGCAACCCGTCCGGAAACCCCCAGTACATGGCTGCCATGGCTCAGGCCCAACAGGCAGCTCTCGGAGGTGGTCGTGGTGGCCCGGCCGGTCGTGGACCTATGCAAGGAATGCCCAACATGCCGGCCATGCCAGGCGTGGGTGGACCCGGCATGCCCGGATACCCTCCCAATGCCAGACAAGGCAGCGGTGCAGCTGGTCGCGGAGGCATGAACGCTCGCAATGGCCAGATGGGTCAATTCCCCCAGGGCGGACGTGGCATGCCCAATCAGCAGATGGGTGCGCCTATTCCCGGCCAAGACTTAACCACTGGCTCCCTCCTCCAGTCTCAGCTTCAATCGGTTGCCGGTAATCCCCAGCAGCAAAAGCAGATGCTCGGCGAGGTCATCTTCCCCAAAATCCAAGCTCTCCAGCCTGAACTCGCTGGCAAGATCACCGGCATGCTCCTGGAGATGGACAACGCGGAACTCGTCAACCTGTAGGTTTACCCTGTATCCTAAACTTCACACTCCCCTGCTAACACGTATGACTAGTATTGAGGATGAGAGTGCTCTCCGTGCCAAGGTGGATGAAGCCATGGCAGTCTACGACGAGTACGTCAAGACCCAGGGAGGGGAAGCAGAGGGTGAGAAGAAGGAGGAGAAGCCTGAGGAGAAAGCATAAGCTCCGCTGCTGTTTGTGCGAACAGCCATCATCTCTATGGCTAGGTGTCAAAGATTGCTTGGTCATTCTAGCAATCCTAGTGACGGTCTTTCGGTTTCCACGTGTCTCAGCACGCTCGATCTTTGCAACGGTTTCGGAAAAGTTCACGATGATACCGGGCTTCCACCAGCGATGGGCGGTGCCATATCGATATTTGCATTTCCTTCATTCCCCCCACCATCTGTTACGCCGTCTATGACCCCCCTTTCTCTATGTTTGTCAGATCTGACCTGCACCGAGACTCTCAGCCTCTACTACTTGCATGTATTTGATAGACTATTTCTTTTGCTGGACACGCTGTGGAATCCCAGCTTTCGGTCACCTGGCGTTCCTGGTCCATGTCGGTAGGCCCGAGGTCATGTTGCCTGGCGCCGAGCGGAATATGGCGGCTTGATGATTCAGACGAATACCCCCTTTGGGCCGCCGGGAAATATCCCGAATGATGCAGAGGTTAATCCACAGATAGGAGCTTCTGACATAATGAACAAAAGTTATTCACAAAACTTGTTTAACCACGTCCCCCCGTGCGCTACCCATAAGATGTGGAATTATGCTATACCACCGCCTCTTTGTCCTAGTACAGATACGCGCGGTCGAATGAAGTGCCAGCTCCTTCGAATAAGCGTATAAATTTGATGAAACCGCCATAAGCTGTTCTGATGTCATGTTTATGACATGTGAGGAATCGACAACGGCCAGTACTGCTTTTGGAGAGCCAACATGTCGACGTATGAGTGTGTATCGGGTATTTGGCATGATCAATGACACGCAGGCACTTGGGGTTGACGTATCAAGCATCTCGAGTTTCGGCAGAATGGCAGAGTCTGTGAAAAGAGTTACACTAGACACGGAACTGGTTGACTGTCTACGAGTAGGTCGGGGTGGACTGCTAGGGCCTAGACTGCAGTGGAAACTAGAAAATTCGGGGAAACAGAGTTACAGGCCCACCAGTGGATCGTCTCCATCCGACTCTCCATCTGACTATCCGCAAATCACAGTACTTGAGTAAAGTTGATACAAAGCTCACGAATATCTAGATATTGGTCAATGTCTGATGAGTCCGCCATCGGCTTGGTTCTGTCGTCCTTGATTGGGCTGGTTGAATTTGGATTGTAAGTAATCTTCTTGGCGTTCGCAACTGGTATTTCCACCCATGGAGCCGTGCTGATCGCCATAACCTCGACCTTCTTTCCATTAAGCGGGAAGAATGGTTATCTATTTGTTGTCATAACTTGGAAACATGCCACGTGTCTATCGGAGTAGAACGGCAAGGTAGTCATCGCGACTCAACATGACGATCCTAGATCAGGGCAGCCAAGTCGCCATCTGTAAAGCTTAAAACAATGACAATGCCGGCATTACCATAGTACAGAGCATACAAATGTGCCGTGTATTGCGGTACCCTCGCAGACCCTTGGGCAACAAGCTCGAGACTACGAGTGCTTTACCCCACAAAATTTGATATGACGCTCCGAAACCCTATCGAATATGACTTTTTACACGCAAATTAGTTCACCGTTTCTTGCACCATCATCTGTCTGCTGACTCGGGTGTGGGCTTAAACCAAGCTGCTTCTGTACAAGCGGGGGTTTGAACTCTGAGTGGGCACGTGAAACTAACATGGTAGGCAGCACAATCAATTCATTATTCAACCAAGTTTGTGAGTCTGCCTCGTATGTATAATTCGAAGATGCCACACTCCCACTTTGACTTATTAATTATCCGATATTATCTATACATTCAGACAACAGGTGGAATATCACTGAAGCAAAAACCTGGCTTGATGACAATTGGCTACCCGTTTTGAGCACGATAAAAACCATTTGTGAGTGGCTAGCCAGGAAGTTGGATTTGGAAATTGGGGCGGGATACCACGTTCCCTTGTTCCCAGCAAGCAGCCTAACAGCCTCTGAGGCTTGTCAGGGTCCATTTTAGCTCTTGTCCGCTGCCGCCGCCTCCACTATCGGAAACCTTTGCACCTGCACTTTTTGCTTGCGTTTCCCAAGAAATCTGCCTCTTGCCCAGGTGCACCAAGAAGACTGCTCCACCACTTAACTGTAGAGACGGTGCGACCCAAATGCAGCGGCCCCTCATCAGTCAAGACCATCCATAGTAGTCTTGGCAGTCTCGAGGCCTCCTTCGTCTTTATTCCTTGCTGCCCCCTCTTATTTGGGACCTGAAATTTGCGACTGCCTCACCCTCAGCTCTTGGGCAGGCTCCAGCGAAATAAGCATTGAGCGTGTCGCTTCAAGGCTGTTCCACCCGCCCCTTGTGCTGTGGAGTTCCCCGGAATCTGCCATTGTCGAGTGTCGAGTGTCGCTTCAGAGATTGTTCCACAGCTGCGCCGTGGGATAATCATGAGCTGAAGACTCTCGAGAAGCTGCTAACATCAAGGACCCAACCCACGATGCGATTTTCCCGTCATCGACGACGTACCCTACTCATTCCACGATAGCACGACTACCTTGTATCTTTGGGTTCGAACCCAACAACCAATTTGAAGGAACTAGCCCAGTGGCCAAATACAGCCAGATAGCATGGCTGGAACACATAGAGTCATGTCGCTCGAAGCGGCGCTCGAGGAAGAGCGCCAGCAGATTGAGGAGCTTCTGCAGCAGTCGAACCAATCTCGTGGTCCCCCTTCCATCGGTAGCGCCCGATCCCCATCACCCTTCATGAGCTCCCGGTCGCCGGTTCGAAGCATGCTAGACATTGGGGAGACTAAGAAGAGCCCTCCGCAGGCGCCATACCGTAGCATGTTGGATCTCGGTGGTCCTCCAGCTCCTTCTGCCCCCCGTAGAAGCATGCTGGATATCGCTGGGGCACCAGCGCAGTCAGCACCGTCGAGTGCGCAAACATCGCCCATCCTGACCAGTCACAGAGCTTCTCTTATGCCTCAGTCATCTCAACACCATAGAAGCATGTCTGATGCCGCCAGCAAGCCTGTTGACTTTGGCCCCCGCTCGCCCCCGATCCCAAGAGACAGGAATAACGATCCCACTGCCGCATATCAGTTCTCCGATATTTATGCTACCAATGTCGGCCAGGCGCTGCCGGGTTACAAGCGATCATCGCAAACCGGCGGTGCTCGTTCAAGCTCCATCGGAGATGCTCTACGTGGCGAGCTGTCCAACCTCACACTGCCTGGTGACGGAAGAAAACAGTCGCAGTACTCTCTCAGGCCCAACAGCAAGTCGAAGTCCCCAAGCAATCGATTTTCTGTGCGTTCCAGCTCTCCAGGTGGTGGCTTGCTTGGGAACCGTAACCGCAATGAATTGTCGGGAACCATGATGCTGGACAACGGTACCGTTATCGACATGAACAACGCCTACCGTAGACTCTCCGACGCCAACTTGATCTATGGTTCCCCGGGTCTGGCATCATACACACGGAAGAAGGCAGAGTCGGAGGGGCATGGTCGTTTAGAAAAGTCCAACATGAGTCCTTACGGAGAGCTTTTGCCCGATGACGATAGCGACGATGACGTGGCTAACACCTCCGACGAGGAAGATCATCGAGGCCGGAAACTCACGACCAGAGGTGAAAGCAGCGGAGATGATGCGGCTTTGGGCGGCGCTAGAACTGCGAAGAGTCTCCTAGCTGCTGCCGAAGACGAGCGTAAACAGGTCGCAGCGCAGCCTCAGTACAGGTCGCTGTTCGAGCCAGAGATCACAGTTACGAGTCCGACGGGGGAGAGGAAGCAGAGAGCGAGACAGTTTGTCCAGCCTGCGACTAGCTTCGATCAGGAACCTCATTCTGGCTCTCACACACCTCTTGACCTCGAGCTCGAATCTAGTGTGTCCGCCATCAAGCATGCTCAGAAACTAGAAGTAACGTCAACCCCCATCATCAATACGCCCGAGGTCCATAGGTCCATCCGCATCATTTTCCGTGGCGAATATAATAGAATCCAGCGAGATGCTGAAGAGGAGCACCGCCGTCTGCGCAAGTACGTGGTCGCCACGGATCTTAGCGATGAGTCTACCCACGCTCTGGAATGGGCCATTGGTACCGTTTTACGAGATGGGGACACTCTGATTGCCATCTACTGCATGGACGAAGAAGCTACCGGCTCTGCTGATCCAGCGAGCCAGGTCCCCGATGATCCCAAATCGATGAGAGAGCAAGCAGCGGCTATCAATGCCATGACGAAGAACGCCAAGATTCCTCAACGACCTGGCAGCCCGAATCCATTCAACCTCCACCTTTCGGCCATATCTCCGTATGTAAGGTCGGCCGAAGGTGGAAGCGCTACACCGTCTCCGGCGCCGTCACTCAGAGGAAAGTCTAGGACAGAAGAGGAACGTGAGAGAGCGGTGCAGGACATCACGGATCGTGTCTCGAAGCTATTGCGCAAGACGCAACTGCAGGTCCGAGTAATCGTGGAGTGTATTCATTGCAAGAACCCGAAGCATCTCATTACCGAGGTGATCGACCTGGTCAGTCCTACACTCGTGATTCTTGGTAGCCGCGGGCGCAGTGCACTGAAAGGGTAAGTCAACTTCGAGTTGCGAAATAGACCTCTCAACTAATCTTGTGGCAGGACGCTTCTCGGGTCCTTTTCTAACTATTTGGTTACAAAAAGCTCCGTCCCAGTCATGGTGGCCCGCAAACGGCTGCGCAAGAAGAGCAAGTATCAACCGCCGCCCATGAAGCAAGTCAATAACTTAGCCAACCCAGCCGCTCGGAGTCTAGAGATGGCGAGGATCGATTAGAGTTATTTGGACCAGAAAGCAGGAACCAGAAGGTTCTTAGTTTGCAATGTATGCTCTCCTGGCCAGGGATTAAGGATTAAAAGGTAGTGGAAAAACCCGCGGTTCATGTTCACGTCAGTTGTAGGGTATTTGGAGTTGTTTGATTTCAAGGGAGACGCAGCGGTCTGATGGCTTCAGCTTGACCAAACAAATTCTTGCCAGTTATGACGTACCGAGGTACACCGTCCCTGCGTACTTCAGTACAGCAAGTATAAGTAAGGCAGTAGATCATGATTCCCCTCTCGCATTTGTGGTTTCCAGCGAATAACATTCTAGATATAGAACCTAGTGCAGTGCTAGTTCCACCTGGGTCCGCTGATACAAACTTGTACATAATATGTTAACAAGTCTTATCTGCCGAATGTCAACATAAGCCCAGCGGGCCGTCCCCCCATTGGACTGTTGCAGCTGCCACGGTCCCATCCGCAGTCGCTAATATTTGACTCGAACACGATGGGCCAATAGCGGGGTGATGAGAGGAAATGGGTCGACGCGAGACTCGGACAGCGGGGTAGCTATCGACGTGTTAATTGATTGCATTAACCACCGCGTAGAGAGCTTGCATGACCAAATGGCACCATCGAGTGACAACGAGCCACGCACTTTAAAAGCAAGACCATTACTCGATGAAAAACAAGCCATCAAACAACAATAACTATTTCAAGCCAAGTCAAGTCATTCTGGCGGATAAGTTTTGCCCTTAGAAATGAATCGTTCGGTTTGGTCCGCAAGGTCGCCCACCCCTGGATTCCCAAGAAAGGGCGCACAGGCTGGTTTTCGCACTAGCAACCCCCCTTGCAGTTTCCACGGTGAACGATTGGCTTAAGGGCGGATTTGGCGTTGGACCAGACTGTGACATCCCAGCTGGAGGGCTCACCAGCCACTTGATTTCTGCAACCTTAGGGCCCTTCCCGTCTTTGCAGCACTCACTCACCTTACCACGCCTGATGCGAAAGACTTTACCGTTTACTGAAACTGCGCAAACCCCTCCACTATTTGTACCCTAACCTATTTCATATCGTTGGTATCTTTTGAGAGGATACCGATCGTTGTAGCACTTTTGCGCTTGTCGACAATCCCCACTGGATTGAACGGAGTAGGCGGCGGGCTTTGTCTGGCGACTTTACTTACACTCGACTTGCGACAGCGGCTGCGACTGCGACTGCGACTGGATAGTTTGGCTCCCAAATTGATTGACCCAACCAACGAGGACTCAACTCGGTCGAGTCCAATGCCTTTGATAGCTGTGCACAATCACATCGCACTCTTCAACATTACAATTGCACCCAGCACTTTCATCGCTTCTCTGACTTTATCCTTCGTCTTCTTGTTTGCTTATTTGGTTGTTGCGGGTACCCTCCCCTCTATCCGCTTGCCCAGCATAAACCCGATTCCCCGCCTTCTTGGGGCGATAAGAAGACGACCAGCAGCGCCAGTACCAGTACCAGCACCGCGCCAGAGGAAGTCTCGCACGCACAAGGCATTACCAGTTTTACCGCAGCACAAGCCCCAGGTTCTGCAGTTGACCAATTACGAGCATAACAATCAGCCGTCGTCGCCGCCGCAATCGAGATCGCGCAGGAGCAGCAGCAGCAGCTTGCGATCCTTGTTCTCATCCAGCCGTCGCAATAGCAGCAGATCGACCCTGCGCAAACGATACTCGGAGGCCGAGGCATATGTTGATGGTGCGCAAAACCATGGACAAGATCGACGCCTCGCTAGACGACTTCCGCGCACCTCTGACGCCGCCACCGACGCTGCCGCCGTCTTTCGTCCGCTACCCGTCGGCGCGATCGGGGTGCGCGCAGTCGTCCGTCCACACCGAGGACATGATGGACGATCAGAGCAGCATCGGCGAATGCGAGTCTTCAGCCTCAGTCGGTGGCTACAGTCCTCCGGCGTGGCGACGCCTCGGCAACGGTGATCGCGACTTCGGCAGCTGGCGACCCTCAGACAACCTGTTGGGCTTGGGCCGATACACCAGTCCGGGATACTGTGACGACCTTGATGAGGACCAATCTGCAGACGACGAGGTGCTCGAGCAGGCGATTAGGACGCGCTTGCCGACCGGCTCGTTGAGTCCAGAAAAGGGAAGGACTCCGGAACCGGGCGAGGATGACACACTCCGACGATTGCAGTCGCAAACGGCTTCTCCACTAAAACAAAATGCGATGATTGAAGGAGAGGTAGCCAGGAACAACGCATCATCTTCTCAGCCTCCGCAGAATGAGAGGGACAATTGTAAGTTGAAACATGCAGCCTTGGGATAACGAAAAGACATGCTGATCTGTTTGCCTCAGACATCCGCTTCGCGTTTCGCGCCGATGTGCAACACAAGACGGATCGCATAGAGTCTTCGGTCCAATTCATACAGAACTCGGTACAAATGGTGACCAAGTCATGGGCCAATATAGTGCTCGCAACACTTGTCGCTATCTTTTCCATAACCTTAGTCCGCAGCCTCTTCTCACCGGCCTCGCAGCGACCTGTACCAGACCTGATCAAGGTCGCTGGCTTGGCCCGCTCTTTCGAGCCATTGATATACTACTCAGAGAACGGCGTGTCTCAAGTTGGCGACCTGCAAGCAACAGGTGTTGCCGTCTGGGACCTGGGAGAAAGTGTTCGCAGCTCCAACATGACATCGGCACCTATCATTGTCAAATCGCTAGACGAGCTGTCCGACTCGCTTAAGCTGCTAGCCCTCGAGCTGACGACATTCTTCGCCAATGTCGATGGCGACATCGACGGCATATTGATTGTCATGGATTGGGCACGCCGGGAACTGGGTCAGTTGCAAAACATACCAAGCCACTCGCTCAGCACGGCCTTCAGCAACATCCACAATTTCTTGTCCGATGCAGGCCTTCTTGAAAACCCAAATACCGGTGTCCCGACACGGCTTGGTAAAATCGCAACCGGCTTCTTCGGTATGAGTCATCCGCAGCGCACCAGAGCTACCCTAGAGCGTACCTTCAGGGAGTTCCTCAACGTACTCGAGGAGTCCATCTCGTCGGAACTTGAGCATAGCCTTCGATTGTTTGGTATTTTTGAGACGATTGACCGCCAATTCCTGAACCTGGCACGCACCGTCATTCGTGAATCTTCCGCACAGGAAGACAAGCACGCCGACCTGCTGTCATCGCTATGGACTCGCATACTGGGCCCCAAGGCCAGCGAGGTCAAGAAGTATGAGCGTAATCGTCAGCTTCTACTCAATGTGCGTGAGAAGACAGTCCGGAACAAGGGGGTTCTGGTTGAGCACAACGGCAAGCTCCTCTCATTGAAGGCAAACCTGGATAGTCTGAGGCGGAAGCTCGTCAGTCCGTTGGTGCGGAGTGTGAACTCAAGCACGTTGACCCTTGAGGAGCAGGTCAAGGGGCTGGAAGATGTCGGCACATATCTCGAGGGTGTCAGGTCCCGACAGAAAGGCAAGTTGATGGAGATGCTGTACGGACCCAGCGGCAGTGCGCGCGCAAGTGTTGGTGCCGGGGACCGTAACCCGAGACTCATCGAGGAGAGCCGGTGGGACTCTTAGAGAGAGTATGAGTCGAAACTAGGCTTAAGGACTTATCGGTTTCTCAGGTCATGTTGGTTTTCTTGGAAGGACGGACGGCAGGCATCAGGTGGAGATGCAGGGTGGTAAATATGAGAATTGCGTTCATGTTCATGTATCCACAGGCATGTATAACGGCGTCAGCACGGATGAGCAACGGTACTGGTTAGTTTAGGGAAGGCAATTGGGTTGGCCCCATAGGGGAGGCGTTTCGACTACTTGCGTATGGTAAGTCATCTACATGGAGGATTGGCAGGGTCAGATATCAGGGCGTCTGGCGTTAACTGCGGTTGCAGATACATATCTGGTTTTTCGGCCTGAACATGGGCCTGGGTCAGGATCAAGGCACATATGTGTACAGTGGAGGAAAGCATTGGCTGGCGTATGTATCCGGTAGTCATACTTCTACGGAATTTGAGGTTTGTGTCACTTAGTGACGGTGTTGTGGGTTTGGCCAAAGCGATTTGCATATGTGCTCTGTTTCGGATGCAGGCCATACACGCGAGTATGGGAATTAAATATTTTACAACTCGAGTTCTTACTTGCCATGGCCTAGCTTGTTTTTGCATGTTCCCAAGTTGCCGGGCATGACAGGTAGAATGTCGTCTCGTCACTTCACTTCGTATTATTCCCTCAAGCGGATTTCGTGACTGCGAATATTTTTAGGATTCGCTACTGCAGGTGGACAGCCTCCTGCTGTCGAATCGAATAAGCCCGATGCAAATGTAACCCTCGCAGCCTGCCTTTGTCGAATACGCTGCGACACATGTTAATAAACAAATATTGATCTCTTACTTCGGACTCGCCGCCCCCCAAACCGACCCCCACGCAGACAAAATGGGTCGACAGATGATGACGTTTCACCGTTTTAGCCCCCAAAAATGGTCAAGCTGACTCAGCCTGGGCCTCAACCAAACGTTGCTACCGGTCGCCTTCCTTGTTCCCGCTCTTTTGTGTCACCGCCTTATCAGCCACGTAGATCAGAGGGAGTAGAGGTGGTGGGGAGGTGAGAGGAGTGATAGGTGGGTGGCTTATATCAGCTGAATAGGCAGAAATGTAGCTTTAGATAAGTTGGGATAGAGTCAGGTTAGGTCAAGCAGACAGGCAAACAGGCGAGGGTTGGGGGCTAGGGGCTGATGAGTGAGTGGGTGCGTGGGTTGGTGATGGGTGTTTGTATAAGAAGCACGACTTAAAACGTGTCGAAAGTCGAATGGTTCTTCTAACACCTGACAAAGCTATCAGAACAGGTCAAGCAAATCGAGAGCAAGCTTGCAATATCTCAAATAATCTACATCCCCACTGTGCCGGTCCAACGCACAAGTATCATCACCAACCTTCACCAGATTACTTTTCCCTCAGGGCAATACAACAATGGAGCAAGCTGGCGGCCGACGAGAGCAGGTCAAAGGGGGAACCAAGGAAGGAGAGGAAACGCTGAGTGGGAGCAGCCCGGCTACGAAGCATTAAGCACGCTACTTCTTCTGAGGCAACACAGCTCGTTCGCGAGCTTCAACCCGGGTAGATGTATGAAACTGCTTGGGGGCCACAGATGGCCTGTTGTTCGACTACCTGAAGGTTCTTTATTGTGGCAATTGGCCAAATTGTGTTCGCAAAGGTACGCAAGTATATTTCCTTAACTCTTACCCCAGATACTGACTTCAACTTAGAAGTAGGGACATTTATTAGCTTTGCTTCTATTCTAATGTTATTTTGCGCCACAGGATGGAGAAGTGACGAGTAAGAGGCGAACTGTATAGTTGAGTTGGTGGGATGAAGGATGCCAAAGCGAGATACGGGGGAAGGGCCGCTGTGTAAGAAAGCACTGTGGAGTCAGTGCGAGACATATAGGCTGGCTGTAAGAAGTCCACAAATTACCTGTACACTTTCATATTCATGGTATAATAAAAGAACACATAACATTCGTTCTTTCTTGTTAGGGATATTACGCAACAGATAGACCTGTCATGTAGCAATTAAGTTGGATACAGTTGCCCTGGCATAGTTTCTCTGGGCCTCCTAATCTCCAAGCATCTATGTAGTCGCTCAGTTTCGCTGTCAGGCTTTCGAGAAGCATATTCTCAACAATCTCTTCAGTTGGACACAGGACGCAGAACCATGCCGCCATACGCAGAACGATATGGCGTCGACCAATGCCGATTAAAATGCTTGGACCACCTAAAGCTCGAAAATATACTGCCGCAGCAGCAATGTGGCTGGAATACTAAACAATAAATCTTCAGGGGACCTGAATTCAATGTAATCATCCAAGTACATCGGGCAAGGAGTGTTTTGGGTGGTACATGGAGATTTGCCTCGGGTTGGAACGAGAAGCTGTTCATCTCATTCGGTAGCTGAAGCTAGGTAAATAAAAAATGGAAAACAACCTACCGCTACCCGCTCGTTTCTCGATGTATAGTGTAGCCATTGGACTCACAACGGGTCGTCTTGAGAGATCTGTTCGAATGTAATCATGTCAGTAAAGTAGAGGCTCAAGCCTACTGGGGCAGAATAATGAAAGCATGCTTCCCACCTGAAACAGGCGGTTCTCTACGTGACATGATATGAAAGCGTGGCGTTCAAATTATCTCTTCTCTGGATTCATGGTGAGAGAACTTATGAGGATTGCGGGTTTCAACGACATGACATGATAAACACCTTCAAGCAAGAATACAGCAAAGTGCTGATGGGAAAGGGGCATTAGCATTGGAATTCTAGAGAATGCTATTATATTGTACTTGTTCAATGATACTTAATTCTGCACCAGAAGTTCCTTGAGTTTCCAAGAGGCGCGGCTGGATCAATATCTCGTAGTGTAAGGTGGTTTCATGATCCGATTATCGCCAAAATCGTATCTGTAAGGGAGGCACATCGCGAGCACCAGTACAAATGAATGTATATACAGCTTCACGGCTTTCGCTAAATTATTTCCAGTGTTGCTTCTAGACTATTGACATTTCATGTACTGCAATTTGGTGGCCACAACAAACTGGAACATATTAATAGTGAGATATCGGCGTCATACCCCACTCTACATGCACAACGCGAGTGACATGTAACAGGCCGATTAAGAGGTCAAGGTAAGCCAGATGACATATTTTCAGATAAATCCAATCGATACTATACCAAGCAGGAATGGCAGATAGTGGTGTGAAGCTTAGACTAATGAGCAAGCGATTCTGAAGATCAGAGTCCGTTGGAAATTTCGAGTTGCATCAACGTCAGCAAGCCAGTTGAAAGATTCGATCCTTCCCGAATACTCTAATTTCTCAACAGTATGTTTGCTGCTTGGTCTCACAATACAATTCTGACATGCTGGCTATCCCTTGTCCGGCTTCCAAGTGCTGGTGCAGCTTTCTGCTTCCAGCTCGTACATTTCGAGGAACTGAAACTCAACATTGTCTCACTGTGAAGTCATCTTTGTGTGTAACGGCAACGAAACCCGTATGAGACTGTTTTTGTATATTTCCATGTAGCATGAGATATGGATCTATGTGATGGGTCCGTGGGATCTGTCAATATCATCCCTGTCGAGTCCGGGGAAGATCTCCGAGAACTCTAAATCGCTGGGGAAGTGGTAACATGTTCATTGCTCCTATAAAGTCGGGATATCTCCCCTTGGGCAGGTGCTTGTGTCGTCGAACTTGATGAAAACATGGAAGTAGACGAGCGACATCCATCTGGTTATCCGAAGCTCAGAAGGCAGAGCCGACTAAGATACTTAGGTATCACTTGACAGCATCTGCATCCAAATTGAGAAGCATGTCGACATGGGTGATGTAAGGGTGGCAAGTGCGACAGACAGACTGTGCCGGGTGGTGGTTTTCGAATGCTACACTGGTGAGATCCAAATTTGAGCAGAGCACTCAAGCATCGTGTTTAGAAGCGTCACATGTTGTTTCAAAGTGGTCGTCACGCTCGACTGTGTGCAGCTTTTCGGTTCTGAACGCGCGGAGGTCATAACATCATCGTATGAGTCCATTTACGGTTTGGGGAAGGAAAGTTGGCAGCCAGGAGGTGCGACTCACATTGAATAATCTCGTGCGGAAGGCACGCCTTCGACCGATCTCTACCCAGGGCGAGCAAGACCAAGGTACCGAGAGGCAAAGTGAAGAATTGGGAAGTCACAAGACAAGTTGTTGCAACTCGCGGTGATCGATACCCCTTTGTAGACAGACGAACATCACTGAACTCGATCGCGAAACTCGAGTAACCTAACGCTAATCTAATTTCAGGGCGAGCCTCGACCCAAGTTTTCGATTTTGGCTCGTTCAAGCTGAGTCTTGGCGTCATCCTATACGACAGGGCCAGAAGCTCTCGGCGGTATGGTTTAACTCGCCCTACCCGGTCATGTCAATACCACTAGACGTTGGTAAGGCAAGCAGAGTTCTCACTACAGCAACATTTGTGCATATACGCGGTCTGTCAGAAACACTCCTGATCCTCAGCATGATTCGTAAACGGACATGTCCTGAGGAATGATCACCCTTAGTAATATGGGCAATAGTGGCCCTGGTGACAATCTACTTCGTCACGTACCAACTTTCGTCTCGGAAGATTGACCCGCAAGAGCCGCCTATCATCAGCCCCAAAATCCCGGTAGTAGACCATCTGTTAGGCATGGCAATATTCGGAGGCCGTTTTAGCAAGAACACGGGCATACGCAACAAGCACGCACCGGTATTCACGCTACCGGTCCCCAGCTCACGCATCTACATTGTAACGGAACCGTTACTCGCAGCTGCAGGACAATGAGCATCTAACACGCTTTCCTTTACGCCCATCATTTCTGAGGTAACACAGAGAATCCTCGGCTTTGACAACACAATTGCCGATGTTACTCGCCGGAGCCTCGACTCAGGCCCGGGTGGAGAAAGAGTATTTCCGACTGATATCCTGGAGACGGTCTATTCTTGGCTCGGACCTGGCGACTACCTGAGTGAGATCAGTTTGGATGCGGCCTGTGAGTTCAAAGCCGAGTTGCTGGTCTGGGTTCGACACTTGGTCACCGTCTCGACAGCGAAATATCTGTACGGACTACAGAACCCGATTGCCTTGCATCCCCACCTAGAGGATGCATTCTGGGATTTTTACCATGGCCTGGGGATGCTTTTGATTAACATATTTCCACGAGGCATGACGCGGAAGGCATACAAGGGCCAGGAGTTGCCAGTTTCTGCCCTGGGAGACTAACCTTGAGGCAGGCACATACAAGATGGGCTCTAAGATCATTCAGGAGCGCATCGCACTCGCACTTGCACTTGCACTTGCACTCAAGCATGGCTGGACCCTGTGTGCAGCTCCACGGCCAAAATTGTCGTTCCTCTCTGTTGGCATCGTTAATGCCTCGACTTTCTGGATAGTACCAGATCTTTGCAGACCCAGACTTGCTCAATCGCGTCTGGTCCGAAATCGAGTCCACGATCCTACAGTCCGATAATCAACCAAGCAGCTATTGAGCATTTATATTTTCAAGACGGAATGTCCTATGCTCGTCGCAGTGTACAGAGAATGTCTCCGCCTCAACTCAGACAACAACTCAATCCGTGTGGTCAAGGAACCCACCCTTCTCGCAGACCGGTACTTCCTGGCCAGTACTCGGTCATCCAGATGGCGGGTGGCGTCATCCATGCCGACAAGTCGATCTGGGGTTCCAATGTCGACGTTTTCGGACCCACTCATTTTCTTAACCAGCAACGAACTCCAAGGGAAAAGGGATTAAGTCCACCCCGCCGCGTTCCGAGCCTCTGGGGGCGGGAAGACCCTATGTCCGGGACGACACTATGCGATGAACGAGATCTTGGCCCTAGTAGTTTTGGTTGTACTGCTGTTTGATATGGAAAGTCCGGATGGAGGCGGGATTGAGGTCCCGAAGAAGAATAATGCGGTATTGCCAGTTCATGTCTTGCAGTGAGTGAAGCCAGTAATGATGGTTATCAAGCCAAGGCGTGGTTGGAGAGAGGGGAAGACAGTAAGGTCATCATAGGCAACGAGTGAACGTTGGTGTCGCGGCAGCGGATTTGTTACTAGACATAAAATTGTGTGTACAGAGCAAGCTTGAGTAATTTGTATACGTTGAAATTGGCCGCCGTTGATGTGCCACAGCTGGAGCAATGAAGACGGCATGAAAATTTGGCCGGGGAAGCCGCAATGCCCATGACACACCGCCTCGTGATCTCCACGAGAGACGGTAGAGTTACAGAAATGAATGTAAGAGAGCCACAAACATTAAGTAATATGCCCATTTCATATTTCTTGCCCCTTTTCAGGCCATCCGGATTTAGTTCCAAATCCCTCAAGCGCCCCTCTCACCATCCCATCAATGTCATACTCCCAAATCTTCTGAAATCGCCAAGTGATCTCCTCAGCAAACTTCCGAGAATCACTCCCAGCTGACTCATTCTGCCACTGAAACAAATCACAGGCTTCCCTTGTGAGTCCCACCAACCACTGCGTGCGCTCGTACCGCACCTCGTTGTACGTCTCTAGGGCCCCACAACACAGCTCGCCTTTCGATTTACCACCCTCGCATCTTTTATCCGCAGCTTCCAGCAGTGCCGCAAGCACAAGCGCATCCTCCATGCCGAAACCCGCGCCGGCCCCTAAATGCGGCCCCGCGGCATGCGCCGCATCGCCGGCAATACCCACGCTCCCACGCGCATAGTACGGTGCCGGACGGTCATGCATGTCGAAAATTGCCCACTTATCCAGTTGCTCGGGCAGGAGGTCCACAATAGTGCGTGCAGTGGGATGCCAATTCGCAAACGCCGCGAGAGCTTCCTGCTTGCTGCCTGAGGAGGTGTGTCGCCCGTCCTCGGTGGTCCACGGGTTTGAATCCGAAATGACGAGTAGGACGTTGAGGATTTCGCCCATGGCAACAGGGTATGTGATAATGTGTGCTTCGGGGCCGTTGTACATGAAGCGCGTTGAGGTCCGGTGGACACCTAGCTTGGGGAGGGCGGAGGGGAGGGGGATTAGGGCCCGGAAGCAGAATTTGTGGGTGTAGGAGGGAGCGTGGGAGGGGCCGAAGAGGACGTGTCGGGTGCGGGACCGGATGCCGTCGCAGCCGATGACTTTGAGGAAGTCAGTACCGATGATGATGTATATGATGAAGAACAGCTTTGCCGAGTTTTATGAGGTAGATGGATGGATGTAACTCACCCACATCAGCCTCCTCTACACTCCCATCCTTGAACCTCATCCTCACCCTCCCCCCATTCTCCTCCTCTACAATCCCCTCAATCTGCTTATCAAATCTCACGTTCTCCCCAGGAATCATCGTAGCCAACTCATCCACAAAATCCGACCGCCGACACCCCTGAAATCCCTGTTGGCCCAGGTACAGCTTATAGATAATCTCATCCGTGTGCCGGCCATCAACCCACTGGAAGAAATCCTCGCCGTTGGGGGTAGCGACCCGCTTATAAGCATCGTGTACCCGCGGATCTATTACTTTGAGAGCCCGTTCCGCGTTGGGACTGAAGCCTATGCCGGCGCCAATTTCCTTGAAGCTCGAGGCACGCTCGTAGATGGTGAAGGATACGTTGCGGGTTTGTAGGCCGAGGGCTAGGGTTAGACCGGTTATGCCGCCACCTATTATGGCGACGTGGAGGCGGAGGGTATTGGTTGAATTGGGTGAGGGCGACATGCTGAGTTGCTGCTGTGAGGTACTATTTTGTCAGCATTGGTTGAAAGCAAATAGACGGTTTGGAGTATTTGAACCATGAAGTTGGTAGTGGACTGCAGACGTTACACGATTTGGGGTAGGCTCAATTAGACACAGACTAACCAGCACTAATACCATACGGTTTCGTAGCATCTGCTACGTTTCGGTATGGGGGTGGGGTTGAAATTCCGGACTCCCGGGAGGCGGAAGGCCGGTGAATGTATCTGCGTTCAATACCAGAACCTTGCGGTGCGTCAGCTTTAAGCCATATTCCAAAGAAATGATTAGGTCAGTTCCTCTTGATCTTTCGAGGCTATGAGTGGAATTGAAAAATCCGCCAATATCACAAGCGGCGGCATCTAAGTTATGGGGGAGACTAACAAGCCCTTCAAGGGAAAGGTCCTTCTAACAGGTCTTTGCTACTTGCATATCCTTGCGCGGGATTGGAGCTAACTCATCATATTTAGGAGGCAGTGGGTTCATCGCCTCGCATATTCTCGACGTATTGCTGGAGGCTGGGTATGGATGTGCTGTGCGGTCGAAACTATTTTGCCCGGTACTGATGCATGCCTAGGTTCGAGGTGGTCGCGACTGCTCGATCTGATGCAAAGGGTCATGGCATCGTGGAAGGGGTGAAACCAGCATTTCGGAGCTCGGCGACATATTCCATTGTGGCAGATGTTGCCAAAGAGGGCGTGTTCGATACTGTAAGTGGAAAAACAAGAGCCACCCTGCGAAGTATGTGGTTGATTGTTGAATAGGTGCTACGCTCCCATGGCCCCTTTGACTATGTTATCCATACCGCATCGCCTTACCATAATAATGTGCAGGACCCAGTGAAGGATTTTCTAGATCCCGCCATCAAAGGGACAACCGGGCTCCTCAAGTCCATTCGGGAGAACGCCCCCACCGTCATGCGAGTCGTTTTCCTCTCTTCCTCGGCAGCAATTTTAAATCCTGGGAATCACGCAAAGGTATATGATGAGACGTATTGGGCGCCCATGACCTGGGAAGAAGCTATGGTGCCCAAGAATACTTATAGAGCCAGCAAAGTAAGTCTGATCGGATCACTTACCTCGACTCTGCTATGTTTGCTCTCATACAGACCTTCATTCACCTTCAGCAAATTTGATACATACGCTGCCTTTCATCCACCTAACTTCGTTGCCAGATCTTCTCCGAAGAAGCCGCCTGGAACTTCATCTCTCATGAAAAACCCTCTTTCGATCTCGCCACCATAAACTGCACCTTTAATTTCGGGCCCATCCAACGTGCGCTCCCCCACCTCGACAATATCAACACCTCCAACCAACGCATCCGGGATATGGTTCTGGGCCGCATGAAATTCGGCCTGGAGCCTACAGCCCCAGTATTCACTTTTGTCGACGTGCGCGATGTTGCAGAAGCACATCTCGTAGCCATGCTTTTGCCCGAGGCGGGTGGCGAGAGGTTCTATGTCGTCGGTGGGTATTTCTCAAATAAGCGGATTGTCGATATCATTCGGGAGAAGTTTCCCGAGCTGGGGGATAGATTGCCCGGGGGAGGAGAAGGTCTGGGCTCAGAAGACTTGAAGGATGATTTCCCTGAGGATGTGTATGGGTTTGACAATTCTAAGTCGAGGAGGATGTTGGGGTTGAAGTACAGGGGGTTGGAGAGGGTGGTGGTGGATACGGTGCAATCTATGCTCAATCGAGAAGGAGGCTTGGAGTATGATTTCTAGGAATGTTTGGTGATGTTTCTTTGCTTAGTAGAATGGGAACTATAGCCGGATAGATGAAACCAAAAAGACCTGTTGCCAAGACGAACACAACTGGTGTTGCCGTAGTATGTTACATAAATATTGCCATCTTTTACGCGAGACATGTCTCGGAGCGGCTCCCGACACTCATACAGGGAACTGCATATTTTAGAAAACGGGGACCTGATCATACGGTTGTATTTGACGAAGGGTTAGGAAGCTGTAGGACTATGAACAATCTCAAGTTCAAGCTACTACACATGCGCACGTCATTTAATGTGGGATGAGATTATCGGTGTTGGCTCTTATACCATAAAATGAATGCAGTCATCCCTCTACACAATAATTCTAGTTAGTCCAGGCCCTCCACATAAAACCCCCCCTTCGCCATCCTGCGCACTATTGGGCCGGCGCATCAACACACAAACCTCCATCTAACCGCCTCCCACCCCTCCTTCCTCTTCAACCTCACAGGACACCCCTCTCCGTTCCTCTTAGGCTTCGCCACCGCCTCCCCAAACCTCACCCCCATCATCTCAAGCATCTGAATCTCCTCTCCGCCTCCAAGCGGGCTGACGTGGAACCCAACCACCAATGTCGCCATCAAAGCCATAATCTCATACATGGCAAACTTCCTCCCTGGACAATAGTGTTTCCCCCCACCAAAAGGGATATAACTTGCCTTGCGTAGCTTCTCCCGTTCGCTCTGCGTTTGCGGATCCAGGCCCTTTTGCTCGGGACTGAGGAAATTGTTCGGATTGAAGGAATCGGTGTCGCTTTCCCACACATTATCGAGCCGGTGCATAACGCCGCACGGCATGAGCATGTCGATCCCTTTTTTGACCAGGTACCGGTTCCCTTTACCGTCGGAAATATACGTATCCTGCATGACACGGCGGGTGCCCAGCTGTGCATTACCGATGCGAACAGCCTCCTTGTAGCAAGCCAGCAGGAACGGCGCTTTCTCCTCGAGAGACGAGACGTATATCTGCACCTGGCGCATCCCATTGACGGGCTTGGCTTCTTGTAGAGTGTCGAGAATCTCGAGGCGAATGCGCTCAACCCAGCCTGGACGTTGGTACACATTCAGCACGAGCCAAAGCAGCGTCGGGATAGCGTTCTGCATTGACACCAGTGCGAGTGAGATTTCGATCTGGCCAATCTGACGCGCTGAGAAGCCATGACGGCGCAAGGTCTCTGCTCGGTACGCCGCGATGGCGGCGATGTCAGGATCCTTGTCGTTTCCGGCCGTATACCAATCGACCACGGCCGCCTGGAGACGGGCACGAGCCTGAAGGGTTTTGGGATGGGTGAGCCAGGGAAAGGGGCTGATCATCAGGGTTGGCGTATGCGTGTCAAATTGCCTTTTTCATATTTCAGCAAAATAGTTTCGAAATGGGAGAGTAAGCATAAGAAACTCACCATAGGTCGTCAAACATGGTTGGGATGGTGTCGAAGGGGTTGGCTTTCTTACCATACAGCGCCTTGGTGGTAGCTGCCGACAATAAATTGCGCAGCCAGATCCAGAAGTCGGGAATTTCAAGGCCGTCATTCCCAAGTGGGAACGCGTTGAGTTGGGCTGCAACATCCTCCAGGACGGCCCGGTTTGTGCGCAACAAGTTTCCGCCGCTCAAGCCCCCGTGGATGGCCTTTGTCATGTCCGCGTTCGTCGTGGTGCCCTTACTCTCATCCCTGATGATGGCCATAGTCGCCTCGTCAAGACCCAACAGCTTCTGAGCAAAGTCGACTACAAAGGGGTCAAAGGAGAGATCCTTTCCCCTCAGGGCCGACTGAATTAGAGGCGGCGACGTAGCGATGTAAATCTTGCCGTTTAGCACAGGCAATGTATAGATTGGTGGCGAGTTTCGCTTGCTGTTGTGCCAAATTAGTTTGCTGGGACACTCTCGGCCCTTTCAATGGACTTGAAGTGATAATACGCAGGGAACAAATGGAGATTCAGATCTCCATGTTTCCCATACCCGAGCTAGACGCGAGAGTAGATACTCACTGGAGCTTTTGGAAATAACTTTGCTGCCCAAGCATCATTCCGACTAGATGACCAATCAGAGGAAAACGAGGCTTCAATAGCGGCGGCTCTTGAGGGTCGACCTTAGCGGTGAAGAACTGATCCAGGAGGAAGAGAGCCACGATGGACGCCAGGACTATTGTCGAGATCTTGCCTGCCCCGGTTGTCATCATCGTCTCCAACACGCCTCCTGCGATGCTCGCAGCATCCGCCTTATTTCCAAGGCCAGAGCCTGCTATAACCGCATGGCTTGGAGCTAATACGATAGAATCCATTTCGACCCTCAAGATCGCCGGTATAAAGTCAGACAGTCGTTTTTGCCCGTTTCAAACTCTCAGGGAATTGACAAAGAATACAGCGGGCACCCTGTATATATCTTCGAACCGATTCCTTACACAAAATCTCCCTGCTACGTTCTCTGAGCCCAAAATGTTCGACTTTGAGGATGACCGGATGTCAGCCCAAAGAACGGCGATTAGCTGAATACTGCAACCTAGGAGATGAGCTGCTGGTTTAGCTTCAATTGAGACATAGCCCTGCGCGGCTAGCTGTCAGCGCTTGCACAAGACCACTCTAGCTGTAACACCACCTGCAGAATCTGTCAAATGCCACAAATGGCACATCATAATAGCTATTAGATCACTTGTGCATGGGTCGACTATTGACTGGATGGCGTGTGTCGAGCGCCGCTTGCTCGGACGCTTGGAACATGGATGGCAATACTTAGTGCTTAGTGGTAGGAGGGCGGAGCCTGTGCGTTTACTATGTATGTTCCAAGTTCTCCACCCAATCGCTTTCTATACACAGACTGCACCTTTGCCCAGCTGGACTGGCGAGTATCAATCCGAATGCCATCACGAGAAAATTTGCGTCGCCGCAATGGGGTGTTTTCGGCCCCGTCCTACTCAGTTACTGAATGCCGGCAGGTCGAGACGGCGTCGATGAAGTGATCTTCAAACTGTTGGTAGGACTCATCCAGTCTGTGTCGCTTGCGACTCGTAGTTGGAATTCTCTTGAGGAGGAGTGCGGCAATCGGCACCTGAGATCGCATGACAGGCATGCGCGAGCTGTAGCTGATGTCGTCTAACGCCAGTCCGTCTCCCGTCTCAATGATATTGCCTGGGCCTCTTGACTGCTTATACGGCATCCCATGGTGGTTAGAGCCTGGCATCGGTTCATCCATACCTACGTTTCCTGTGAGATTCATCTCCACGAGTTCTCCTGCAAGGCCGGCATACAATGTAGTCGAAATGTCCGAGGGTTTTGCAAGGGAGGAGATGTAGCATGGCTGGGTTCTGTGATTTGTTCGCATAACCCTCAAGTATATATTGGCATTGGGGCGATAGTAGTCGACTGTCGAGAGCGCATGCCAAGTGCATTTCTGGCCACTCACATGGTTGCACTTTCTCCGGTTATCGTATGTTGGGGCGGATACCAGAGTTGGTAGTTTCGGAGCCGGGAAAGGATTGTCATTCCCGCATGGTAAGGAGGCAGTGTAGGTATATCCCTTTGTCCAACGAAAATCGAAGATTTTGATAACGCTTGATCGGGCGCTTCCTCCGATGAACCGCTCGGCGCCATAAGATACCAGGGTACTAATGGGTGTCGTCGGCTCGAAGTGGTCTCCGTAGATGGTATCGATAGCTGAGGGTGTACGGATGTCCTGGAGCCTAACAGTCCCGTCCTCATAGGAACTGAGTAGCACGTTTCCTCCCCCGCCGGGGATAGCGGTCGAATCGATAGGCAATAGACCTCTCGCCGTACTATTTTCCCAATCCTTGAGCGCGTAGGTAGCCGCAGCACGCTTTGAAGGACGCATTTTGGCCGCAGTGTCTACTTCGGTCCCGGTTGGGGTGATCTTCATGATTCGCAGAGGCTGAGCGCTACTAGTCAATCCGATGGCGAGGTCCCCATTGCCCATGAACTTGAGTGAGCGTAGAAACTTGAATGGTGCCGAGCCCTCAGCACGTCTTAGGTCCACAGCTTCGATCGGCTCAATGTTGCGCATCTTCTCCAGCTCCATGGATTCCTTCTCTTCCGGGATCATAGACGTGCTATCAAGTGGGTACAAGAGTACGTTGTCCTTTGTGCTGGTGGCGAGGAGCTTTTGACGATCTCCAGTGTCGAAGGATTGGATCTCAGTTTGCCGCACATGATTCTTAACATTTTCCGACTGCGATGGACGGAAGTTCTGGAGGGTCTGACCAAACCCAGAGGAAGTCAATGATACCAAGCGTAGATCACCACTAGCTCTACCGACCAGAACCCCTATATTTTCTCCCTGCACCTGAGTCTGAGAAGGCCTGAATACGGATATGGAAGTGACATCATCTCGACCACTGGCGAATCCCGCTGTTGAGCCTTCAGAGGTGAACCATTTATCAGATATTATCTCGTTCTTTTTCTTTAGCCGAGTTCGAGTGACAAGATTCTCCCCAGCTCCCCAGACAACGGTTTCTCGTTGTTGTGCTCCGTTGAACTGGGTATGTGCATCAACAACAATTTGGCACGGAACGGTCTGAGAGCCGTGACTATGCATTTGCGCGCGTCTTCGATGTTGTCCACCGGCTGGAATCAGCGGTCCCGTAGGCTTAGGGGCGAAGGTGTCAAAGACGAATGCTCGTTTATCCCAAGCCCGCGACTGCCAAGTCAACGAACGTGCCAAGTCATTCCAGCAAGTCGTAGTGTTTGGCGGGATGCTGAGGCTCCCGAACTGGGTTTTCACGAAGATGCGCCAGCCGTCGGCCTTGACGACTTGCGCGAGGCTTCTACACGTCGAGGCGACACCAGCAAAACTGCGGGCTGTATCGAAGTATGATATGATAATCAGAAGAATATCGAGGGGCAAAGTATTCAGTTTTGTCATCTCTTGGAGACACAGGGACTCCATCTTCCCAACCTCGATATGCGACATTTGTAATCGAAGAGTGAGTTTGGTATATCGATTGGCGGGTTTGTGTCTTAACGGCTGGTTTGGTTGAAGTCTGATTGCTTCGATTTTAGCGGGCTGGATTATTTGTACTCAAGCAGAGACCTTGTAACCAAAGATGCCGACGAAGTTGCGCTTGATCTTAGGAGTCATCTAGTGACAGATTGCATGGGTGAGCTCGAGGAGTCATCGCAAGCAAATGCCGACCAGTGCCTGGCATCATTAACAGCGCGACATACCACCAAAAGCGAACCTATCAATTACTGTTCACCAAGATTTAAGGCGAGTAGAGTCATCAGCCAACGAGTGGAGCTGCAGATCGTGTCAAATCCTTTGTCAGGTTTGCCTGACTCAATTTTTCCCGTCCTTGAAATTGTTGTCACATAACTAAGCAATGGAAGGTGCACCTTCAATATTTTTGACCCAGTTTTCAGCTGTGACCATGTACGCAGATAAAGAGTATTTTGCAAGTACTGCGATGTAAGTAAAGAAGCTATATATGCATTTATCCATCCAATTGACACTGAAACAACCAACTATCTTTTGAACATCAAGTCGCATCACATAACACAAATCTTTCTTATAGATTGTGTAAGAATGAGAATGATGCGATGATGGGAGACGCTAAAGCGTAAGGTACGCAACATATTCTTCGCAACTGCCCTCATTTTGTTTCCTTTGCACCCTCTTGGATACCTCCGTATTTTAACCTTGCCTGCTGGTTGATGAGGTCATTAGTTCCATCACAACTGCAAGGTCAACTTTCATCCCCAATCCTTCATCATGGCAGCAATCAGTGTCTCCGATGTGGCCACGCCGGCCATATCTTTGCTGATATTGGCTTCCCTCTATCGATACGTTCTTTACCCAGTCGTCTTCTCTCCTCTTTCGAAAATACCGAATGCGCACTGGTCGTGCTCAATCTCCCCATTTTGGATATTGTGGGCCAGGTACGAGAGCCGAGAGAACAGGACATTGTATGAAGCTCATGACAAACATGGCCCAATCGTCCGCATTTCGCCCACCGAAATCAGCATCAACAGCATGGAAGGAGTAAAAATTGTGTATCAGGGCGGTTTTGACAAGCATGAGTGGTACGACATCTTCAACAACTATGGAGTTCCATGCATGTTTTCGTCTACGCACGCGAAAGAGCATTCAATTAGGAAACGCATGGTGTCCAACGTCTACTCAAAATCGTACATCCACTCGTCGGCCTCTCTGGCTGCGCAGTCGTATTCCATTCTAAATTCCAGATTTATTCCAACATTGGAACACTCTGTCTTTGACAGCCAGAAGCCTCATGGTATCGACGTTTATTCGTTGTTTTGTGCAACTGCGATGGACTTCATATCCACGTATTGCTTCGGCCTCCGCAACAGCTCCAACTTTATACAGAACAAGTTGTACAGAGACCATTGGCTGAAGCTTTATCAAGTTCGGAAAGGCTATGGGTTCTTTCCGCAGGAACTACCTCGGCTGTCACGGGCTGTCACCTTTATTGGCCTTCATTTGACCCCAACATGGGTTGACGCTGCGAATGATGAGCTAGAGGCCTGGTGCAAGAAGCTGTCCAACTCCGCTGTGTCCTATCTCAAAAAGACCGGCACGGAATCCCAGGACTCAGTGGATGATCCTGTAGTCGTTCGATCATTACTGGCGGGAATAGACAAAGAGGAAAAGACAAACGGGAAAGAGTCGCCCATTTACCCTACTGCCATCCTACAACAAGAACTTTCAGTCGCTTCAGAGGTCATCGACCATGTTCTCGCCGGACAAGAAACCACCGGAGTTACCCTGACTTACTTAACATGGCATCTCTCCCAGTCACTGGACCTGCAGCACGAGCTCCGGAATGAACTACGCTCCTTGGAACCCAACATGAGGTTGGAAGCCGGTAGAGTCAATATTGCAGACTCTAAACAGTTGGACAACCTCCCGATATTACACGCGGTAATCACCGAGACCGTGAGGAAGTATGCCCCGGCTGGCGGCCCAGAACCTCGAATTGCCCCGTCACCATCATCGCGCATCGGACCTTACGAAGTGCCCGGCGGCACCCGCGTGTCCGCTTCCGCATATAATTTGCATCGGGACAAGAAATTCTTCCCGGACCCGGAGAAATGGGACCATGCCCGATGGTTGCAGCAGGATGGCGTGGATGGCGAAAAGAAGACCGAAATCAACCGCCAATTCTGGGGGTTCTCGAGTGGTGGGCGAATGTGTCTTGGTTCAAACTTCGCTATGCATGGTGCGACTGAACTCTCCCATGATCGTTGGATGGCTACTGACGCTATCGCAGAAATGAAACTCATCATCGCCGCCATATACTCCAACTATACCAGCCACATTGTCGACGATGAGGGCATTGAGCCCACTGATGGATATACGGCACACCCTAAAAGTGATCAGCTTTGGTTACGTTTTGAAAAGGTGTAAATTTTTTATGTGCCATTCGTTGGACACTGAAAATGTGACAACTCTGTATATAACGGCTTAGAAATACAAATGAGTCAAGTTATTAGTGGCCCTACACGTGCACAACCGTAGAATACACACGATCCCATCTGTCTCTTCTCCCTTATGTTTGTTTGGCGTCCGTCATGATGACTTTTTTAACAAAGACCGATTTCTCACAAGTGCACCGTTTCGGCCTTGAGCGTCCGTATCCAAGCCTCACATTGCGTCGCATGTTCGCTTGCTTCACAGAAAAATTGGGTTATCATCTTATCATGTGGAATTCATCCTGTTTATTAGCTGTTTTACTACTTTCTAGACACTATATAGCACTCTACGGTAAGATGATGACTCGAAAACACTTCCTCTCTACATCTGGAAATAATTGCCTTCAGGTACTCCATTCGATCTTTCTGGAATGCCGAGTTATGATCATAGAAAATATACTAGAACACACAGGCATAACGTTGTTTATTCCACTGAAAGAAACCGGTATCATGTTGCTAATTCTACTGAGAGAACCTGGTATAACGCTGCTTATTCCACTGGAACGAACTGCCGTGGTTTTTGCTTGCTAAGGTCCCGCTTCTTCTCAGTCCCCAAGAGCTTTCAGCATCTGAGGCGAAGCGACTCCATTTCCATCAATAGCCGTCTCCCATGCACCTATCGCCCGTGAAATCTTGGTCTACTGGCCCGCATCGGCGACTACACACGTGGCGGGCGTTAGTTTTCGAGCAACCTAGTAGGACTGTGCCGATGGGGTTAGCCATGTGCTGCTGCAAAAGTTGGGATTCGCCTGTCCATTGGGCCCAAGGTAACATCAAGATCGAATTGTCGTAGATCCTTGTCGACCCCGTTAGTGCCAGCAACCTGCCGAATTATGTCGACGCCATCATAGTATTTATTAGCTGGTATATTCCGCTTCTCATCCAGCTCGGCCTCAAGCAACTCCTTTCCCGGATAATCTGGACTGGGTTGGTAAAATATGAGACTGAAGTATTTGTGAAAATTTGACTTACTGCGAGGTAGTGCCGAGCATTCAACTCCAGTCCGACGAATTGTGCCGCTTTATGGGTCTAATTAGGCATCGACCAAATAAGCTGAACTAACTAAAGTTTTGTGCGTCAGCTTTTGATTTGTGGGCTGGTGGCGGTGAGTCCGTCTATGGCTTCTTCTCTCTTGTTGTTTGTTGCGATCATCCACAGTTTCGCGAAATGAGCGCGGCTCGGAATATTCTGGCTCGACAGACATATTGTGCAGATGAATGTAGTTGAATTTACGGGTTTCACTTGAGAGGAAGTAGACGGGAAAATTACGTTGTAAGATTTTTACAGCTCGCATTGTGCCAACGAATTTAGAACGACACTGACGTAGCTATTTTGGCTGATTTGCAAATATCACCAACATAGGGGGTAGACGAAGAAAACGAGCCACCAACACGAGGTGTTGGGTTCAACACTCAGGCTCCACATCTTCACAGAGACAGCGCGATTCCCAAAAAATTAAAATAACACATAAATAAAGCCAGGCCGGTTATTTACTTAAGTATGCAGAAAGGTCTCTGAGGATGGAAAGAGAATTGATGATTAGCTGGTATGAGAAGTCGAGTTTGAGACGGCCGTAATTTCCAGCGACGGTGATATTGGGCTCCCAACAAGGAGACTAATGGATACTAAACATGAACTACTTGGGAGTTTAATAAGAGCACTTCAGAATGCTTAGAATTTATCCTCGAGGTTTTCATGTATAGTTTGGACATGAGAATTCAAGTAGCTGGTAGCCTAGGCATGATATCGACCAGTTACTCCCGACCTACCCGGGAGCGCCCCTGAGTTTGAAGCGACTCCAGCAGCTCCTAGGTTAGTAGCTCGCTCTCGCTCTCAATGGGAGCGGTCAAATCCCACCGTCGACAAATACCGGCTTTTGCGGCTCCATCATGTGCGCAACCATTGGACATATCTTAGCGGCGTGCTTCTCTTCCCCAGATTTCAAAGTCTGTCTCCAGATTTCGGCACGCACATGCCGTTCGCAATGGGACATCCAAATTCTCCAGGTGGATTTGATGAGTGAACTTTCGCTGACAAATCGTACATCAGAATGGAGATTTCCATAATCCTAACTATGGGTTTGTAGCGTAATACAAACCTTTCGAAGTGATCTTGTGACAGCGTTTCGCTACACCAGATGCGGTCTGGCATGTGATTGCGACGCTAGCTCGGCGAGCTTCTGACATCAGCTACAGGGATGTGGCAACTAGGGTGATGAGAACTTCCGAGGCACATCTCTGATACAATGATAGCGCAAGTGGCTTTGACCAACGATTGTTCATTGCCCTCACATACCAATTCTTCCATTTATACAAGTTGGCACTTCTCCATCTCTTCATTCTCTTGAAACATCTTCTGTGTTATTTGCAAAGTGAGACGAAATCAGACATCATGGGTGGTAAGTGATCCGATCAATGTTCCTCCTTTCAATAGCTGCTCGCAGCCGTCCCTACCGGCGTGAGAAGCATGTGGTAGACAACGAGACGGGCTGAGACTCAACGCTGACACTCAACCTCCACAGCCCTCGACCGACTCCAGCAAATCTCCGGCCAGATCACTGGCGCCAAATCGGCCAAAGATCGCTTACTGATCAAATCCCCCGACGACATCGTCGTGACAGCCTGCCTCCGCACCGCCTTCACCAAAGGCGGCAAGGGCGGGTTCAAAGATACGCACGCCGCAGACCTGATGGCAGGCGCTCTCCAAGGCATCATTTCGCGATCCGGCATCGACCCTGCCCTCGTCGAGGACGTCTGCGTGGGCACGGTACTGGCCCCCGGTGGTGGCGCGACCGAGATGCGGGCGGCGGCGCTGGTGGCCGGGTTCCCCGAGTCAACGGCGGTGCGCACGTTGAACCGGCAGTGCTCGTCGGGTCTGCAGGCATGTGTCGATGTTGCGAATCAGATTCGCGCGGGGATGATTGAGGTCGGCATTGGGGCCGGGGTGGAGAGTATGAGTTTGAACTACGGGTGCGTATATCCTCCCCATCGTTAAACCTACTTGAGCACATAACAAAGCTGATTGGAGATACGTACGGTCCAATAGTCCTGCTGCTGTATCCGAGTTTTCCGAACTCCTCGAATCCGTCCCCGAAGCTGCTAACTGCAAAGTGCCTATGGGCGTGCTCTCCGAAGACATGGCCAAAGACCGCAATATTCCTCGCGCCGCGCAGGATTCCTTCGCTGCGTCGTCGTATCAGAAAGCAGCCAAGGCCCAGGAGGCCGGGCTCTTCAACGAGGAAATCCACCCCCTGACAGTTAAGTTCGAAGACCCGAAGAGCGGTGAGACCAAGAGCATCACCGTGTCCAAGGATGACGGCGTGCGCCCCGGTACAACAGCCGAGTCTCTAGGCAAAATGAAGGGCGCCTTTGCGCAAGGGGGTTCCATTCATGCTGGCAACGCGTCGCAAATTTCCGACGGCGCCGCGGCGGTCCTGATGATGAAGCGGTCGACAGCTGAGCGGCTAGGACAGACCATCCTGGGTAAATACGTAGCCGCCAGCATTGTGGGCGTCAAGCCTCTGCTCATGGGCGTCGGACCCTGGAAGGCGATCCCCAAGGTTTTCGAGCTCACGGGCATTACCAAGGATGACGTGGATATCTTTGAGATTAACGAAGCATTTGCGAGTCAGTGCTTGTGGTGCGCCAATGAGCTAGGATTGCCGATGGAGAAAATTAACCCGAAGGGAGGTGCGATTGCATTTGGGCATCCGCTGGGGTGCACGGGGGCGAGGCAAGTATCGACGTTGTTGTATGAGTTGAAGAGACGGGGAGAGAAGGTCGGAGTTACTAGCATGTGCATAGGTACCGGCATGGGCATGGCTGCTGTATGGGTTGCTGAGTAAGAGGCCTTGTAGGGGTGAGATGCACAGAGCTACCCGACTGGCCTGCCGTGAACTTAGCATCATGACATCAATCCATACACTTATAATTGATCAATCTATTCCTTTTTATGGTCACACAATGCACTGATGGACTGGGAAACATCCGTGGTTTATTCTTAAGCTCTGGCAGTCCAGTAGTGATGACCAATGGCTTGTTTCATCAAAGTAACCCATAGGTATCATTCTCAGAACAACGCTCCCTATCGTATTATACCCCTCTAATTTCGCAACTCCTCAAGCTCAACTTCCTTCCTCTCAAGACAATATAGTACTCAGAAGACAGGCGCCAAAGGAGAAAGATCCTCACACTACGAGAAATTCTCAATATAACTCCCTACCCCCTTCTCCCTGGCCAAATTCACTACATCCATACCAACCACCAGATCCATCAACCCTAAACCAACACTTTTATAGATGACGTTCCCGCTCGTGAGCCACTTGCTCAGATGGTCCTCGCGGCGCTCCTTGGACCGGTCTACCGACCCCGTGCTCGACGTCCGTCGCTTGCGGAAGAAGTTGCTGCCAGTATGGCTCGGGCTCCGCCGCGGCGGTGATGGGGTCGGTGGGTTATTGCCGTTTTCAGAGCCGAAGACGGCCGAGAGGGCTGGACTTCCTGGTGTTAAGTCTAGTTTCTCCATATCAGAGGATATTTCGGTTGAGGTGCGTGAGTACGTAGAGTCGTGTTCATCCCTTAGGGCCAGCCGGGCCTTTTGTATCATGACCAGTTCGCCCAATCTGGGTTTTTGGGTTAGCTCCCGCTGCTTCAAGTGTTAAGTTATCTTGGAGCGTAGGGGGAGGGTAAACAAACTTACTCAACCAGCTGCCGGGGTTCCAACCCAGCTTCAATAATCTCACCTGCTTCTTTCATGGCCCCATCCAGGGTATCCACCACTACCACGCCCCCCTCAGTAGCATGTTTGTGAAAGTGCGCATGCCCATGCGGCGGCCTCGTGGCCTGCTCGAGTAACGCCGTAGGCAGCTCCTTCATCTCGGGCGTATAACTCCCAATGGCTACGATAAGCCTGCCCTTACGCCTCCCCTCATGGCTCGTAAGCAACCTAGCGTCAAACAGCGGCTCCGTACTCGGCGTACAGCAGTATATCACGTCCGCAGCGCGGATATGCTCCTTCTGCAATCTGCCGAACTCGCCGTATCCAGGCGTTAAGATGCTAAACTCGCAGGCCTCCCATCCTTCGCGCCTTTTTGTATCGGGCGCCACGGCGTAGAATTTCTTGAGAATGAATTTGGCGTTGTCAGAGAACTGCCGGTTGATAATGTTAACAGTGCGGATCGTGGAACCCCGTAGCATGAGCGCTAGGCGGATATGCCAGTACGCTTGTAGACCCGACCCGAAGACTGTCAGGGTGCGGACGACGGCGCGCTTGGTGAGCAGGCATGTTGACGCCAGGGCGGTGCGGAAGGCGGTCAGGGTCTTTGCGTGGAGGAACCCGACGGGTGCGCCGTGCTTCGAGAAGAGGGTAAGAGAGCCCGTGGGCGAAACCGAGGGCGCTTCGGGGTCCTCGAGTTGGGGCTTGGATATTGTTACGACTTGGGCATTGTTAGCTACTTGCCTGACGAGGAGAAGACATTGCGACAAAACAAGAAACACTTACCTTTCACTCCATGGCCATTTGGGCTCATTGAGGGCATGAACAACGTCGTCGCATTGGTGAGGTTGGAATGGACCGTCGTGCGGTCGGGCTGGTGGATCTGGCCCTCCTCAATCGATTGCGTCCCCGTCGAGTACTCATGCAACGCGCATCTGAGCGATTGTTGAAATCTATCTACCTCATCATGAGTGAGGGACTCAAAGAGATTTCTGATATCCTCGTCTGACAGAATCGCCAACGACATGGCTTCGTTCTCTTCTTCAGTTGTTCCGGTTTCGGTGATGGTTGTCTGTGGTGGGTGAGTACTTAAATGGGTACTGGCGCGGTAAGGACGTTGTTGAAAATAGTTGCGATGACGACAACTATACGATTGATGAAATTAGATAGCAACTTGTCTATGCACACCTCATAGCCCACGACTTTTGCCTACCCTTTGGGCTGTTAAATAATGCCGAGCCTTTCTTTATCCTCAAGTGCTGATGCCGGCCAGCCGACGAGCATCCTCGAACAGATTCTTCGCGGCTAGAGTGATCGGCCACTTGATCCAAGGCTCATCGCACGTAATCAATCAAAAAAAGAGATATACATCACCTGCCCGCAGCTGTTGTGTATCTTGGCATTCGGTAGACTGCGTTCACGTCCAAGTGAGCGTTGCTTGGCTTCCATCAAGATGGTGAAAGTCAGAAGATACCCCTGGAGTGCCCCGCCATTGACGTTAATAGAGGGGTCGCTTGCAGGGTAGCGGAGTCGGTTTGGTACTTGTGACCTGTTGCAATACAGCACCAAGAGATTTCTGGGATCCAACAGAAGCCTTGATGAACTTTTCAAGATCTAGAGCTGTTGGCATGGCTTGATGTAAGGAGCGAATCAACGAATCACATAATTCCATGCAGCGGTGGCCCTGTATAGCCTGCATATATCTTGGACTGTTGTATACCCCTAAATCAACAAAGACTATTACTGTACGCCTGTGGTTTGGCCACCTGCAACTCCAACACCTCGCTGTTCTCCGCGCTTTTCCATACTAACGCATGTAGCCTGACTGAAATACTCCGTGTGCACCCTTTGGAGGTTTTCCTTTTCTTGAGCACTTAAACCTGATAACACCATGCCGAGTCTTCCATTATAAACCTCACTGGTAGACATTCCCAGTAAACTCCAATCCGAGCCGCCAAACCCATCTAACGGGCTTCCATTCTGGCGCCATCGGCCCTGAAAACAAGTGCGCCATGTCGCCCCTTAATAAACCTCATTGACGGCCGCATTCCCACCGAGGCCGGTTCTCATCTTTGGCTTGGGATTCCCAGTACCAAAACCAAGGTCATTGATCTTACCCGAAGCAATGTCAAATAGCGTACCATGGACCTGTAATCCGCGATCCCGAATGTGTTCCTGAATCGTCGCATTGGCCATGAGGACTTTAACCCCCGCCTCGACATTAAGCTCTGCGATGCGAACCGCACGGGCCTTCTCATCCTTGATGTCGTCCAGCTCTGACTGGTTCGCCATGCGGATGACTTTAAGGGGCGTGAGCCAGATGTCCAATACGCCGCCAAGAGGCGTATTGCCTAGAGCGGCCACCGCGCCGCCGCCGCAGCACGAGTGACCGCAGAGCACGACGTGTTGGACTTTCAGAAAGGCGACGGCATATTCAATGACGGCGGTAGTGTTGATATCCGTCGGCGAAACGATGTTGGCGATGTTGCGGTGCACGAAGACGTCGCCGGGTTGCAGGCCTAGGATCGTGGTCTCAGGACATCGCGAGTCGGAGCAGCCTATCCAAACTTTAACGTGGCGGCAGACACCATGTTAGTCTACTTTTTCTGTACGTAATTATAGCTCGTCGGGTTTTCAAGATTCATCCCAAATCCTTGAACCGCAGAACTGGATTAATCTACTAGTAACCTGGTGTCTGTAGTAACCCCTTGGGGCTTGGGGCTTGGGGTAAAGTGAGGTAAAGTGGAAAAACTTACGGATTGAAGGTGATTGCCCAGCGGCCAATCTTTCAAAAAAGGCCGGGTTCTGATGGCGCTTGTAGCCAGCCCAGGCCTCGTTTGAGCTTAACGCATAGGTAAAAGGATCTTCTGCGCGTTGTTGTCATTGTCAGCCTGCATACTCTTCCAAATGTTCTAACCGCATTGACCACCTTTTTGCATGCACCCCCATTTTGCAGGGTCTAACTGAATCAACCTAAATACTTCGTCCATATTATTTATATACAGAACATACTTAATTTAAGTGTCCGAAGACTTAGATATATTCTTTCGAGCCCTCTTTTTAGGAGGGACCCTTCCTTCGAGAAAAGTATCAATTTCTAACTGCTTATCCGGTAAAATAGGCCGTGTTCGCTTATTTCGCTTGTCCTGGGCTGTTCGGATCGCTGATAAGTTAACGAATACTTTATTCGGGTCTGGCTCGACGGGCTGGCGTATATCTGGAGCGTATTTATCTAGTTCTGTATATAGTTGCTCGTTTTCGATACGTAATTTGGCATTCTCGGCGGCCTGGAGTGTAAGGGCCTTGCCTACTAGGGTACGAATCCTACGAGATACCCCGCCCTCGGCTTTCTCTATCGACTGTAGTTGGCTAGATAGTTGCTGCGCTTTCTGAGGAGTAAAAGCAACTAAAGGTGGTGATATATGAGGCGGAGGATCTGGTGTATGAGGCTCCGGAGGATCACAAGATACGTCGACTAGTCCTTCGGAGCCTAGGGGCCATATACCAGTCTTCCGCCAGCCAGAAAGTCTCGGATCTTGGTCGAATCGGACGCTCTAACTCGGCTAGCATCTACGACGCGCCTAATTTTGGTACGTATCTGTGGATGGCGGCCAACGAAGTGATCCACCCAGTGTTGGCCGAGTGTATTGTTATCCCCTTGAGCAAGGAGGATTTCGGCAGCGAAGTCGGCCGCATAACGCTTGCTAGGAGCCCGTCCACACACTTCTTCGTGTAGGATCCAGTTCTCGATAACCTCCTCTTGCTCTGGAGTCAACTTTTGTTGCCTGGAGGCGGCGTCGCGATGCGAATTACCGTGACGAATACGGTAGGACAGTGTAGTCCCCTTGATACTGTACCGATGAGCTGCTACGGCCTGGGAAGAGCCCTGACGGACAAGCTCTTTAGCGCGTTCGATTCGCTGCTCAAAATCGTCCAGACTATTCTCCACTGGATTAGCCATTTTGTACGTAGATAGGGCAATTGCGAGGTAAATTGAGAGACGTCGTGTTGTTGAGGCGTAGAAATTCCCTGCAAAATGGGGGTGCATGCAAAAAGGTGGTCAATGCGGTTAGAAGGTCTTCACGTTTCTGTCGGGCTTGTTTGTTTGAGGGATGAGGCAGCTGCCCATCTTTCGCGGCCCTGTCGTGGCCTCGCCTAAAAATCAAAAACATACGACTTTTGGGAGTTTTTGGTTGAAAGGGGCAACTGTCTCCGTCCCAGATCCAATCATCTCCACAAACGATCTCCAGTCTGGCAGCGGCGGACTATCTACTTACGGGACATGTTAGAAGATTAACTCAAAAGGTTTTAAGCTTAAATCGAGCTTGTGTATATAAAAAAATTAAAAGTTGACGACAGCGATGAATTTTGAAGATGACTTTGACTGCGTCGGGAGAACCTGCTCAATTCACGCACACTCAGGCGGGCTCGACCGTTGATATTCCCCAGTCTCGGCGAAGACTTAAGAGGGATTTTTGTGCTGACCTGCAGCAAGAGATGTGTACTCGGGAGGATTCAACAGATGCAGGTAGCTTTGGCAACCACCACTACCTGCACTCGAGGACGAATTGGACCGAACGTTTCCTCAGGCGGACAACGTACGACACCAAGTTGAATGATAGCTAGCTTCCTTATTGCCGAAATGTATGAGTTCGGCCGGATCCGTGGAATGTAGAGAGGGGAGAAAGAGAGAGAGATCTTGATCAACTGTGATATCAACTTGTTCGAGGGAACTCAAAATTTCTTAATTAGAAGTACGAGTACTCTGAGTGAATTTCTAGGAGAAGCTGAGGACATGTACCAAGCAACGAGTACCAAGCAACGAGTACCAAGCAACGAGTACCGTGTTCAACAATAAAGTCAATAGGCCCTTGTTCGCTTAAGATGAGGCCTCGACCGGGGTCACTTGTCACACCCATTACAGATCCATTAGCAGATCTGCTATGAGTGTTGGGATGGGTCAGTATGGGGCTCAATGGAATGAAACCTTGACAGTCACAGACAGCGCACAGCAACTCCCCACGGGTAATCCTTGTTCATACCCATCTTATACTAGGGATTCGAGTCCGACACACTGCTACTATTAGTATACCAAGAGCCAAGAAGCCTCAGTATGCTGCCCAAGCTTTCATTCAGAGGGTCTTAAGTTTCCAAGTTGTCTCTAAGGTTGGACGGACACTCCGCGTAACTGTCTTATGGTATGGATGCTCCTATCCACGTTGTACTGAGATCGCCGCCAAGCGGTGTGCGGCATTACATATCTGCAAAATATTGTCTTGTTTTGTCTTGGAATACCTAGAGAAAATGTTCAGAACACTAGATCCAATAGCAATGCCTCTTGATCGCAGGTCCTCTGAGAGCAGTGCCCTGTCGTGGACCCCACGTTTTCAGATTGCGCCTCGGTTAAGTTCCACATTGCTATTGCAGCTGATAAGCTCCCCGACCTTTGCCCCGGCTGCCAAGGAGTAGCATGTGAAGCGTTGCCCGTTTTGTCCGTGGAGATTTTGATGCAACATGGTTATGAACGGTGAATCGTACTACAATACCAACCAGGTCAGTGGGGTTATACGGCATGCGAGCTTGGCGAGCCTGTCAAGATGACACGGCACTAAAATGCTCGCTGGCTACATTAAGCTTCCTCATGACATTTGCCCGAGTTTTCGTTGAAGATGGACCTGAGCTACGACATATTGATAAATGACGGCTCACGTTAATCTCGATATCATGGAACTGCGAGTTTTATGTGGAGTAGGTGTCATGCAAATCCGTTGGCTGGTATTCCATTTTGACCCCTCCAACGCCGGTTCTGTGCAAAGCTGTAACTCCCAACCCATAACCTCAGAGACAACCACCTTAGACCTTGATAGCGGCATCAAGAGCCTTCTTCTTCTTGAATATCTTCATGTTGGCCTTGGCACCCATGATACCTCCACCCCATTGCTTCCGGGAGTTCTCAATGTTGCTCATATAGCCCTCCTTGATGGTGCTCACGAGCTTGGAGAGCTCGCTCTTGTCCTCGGAGCGGACCTCAGTCAGGGCGAGTACGGCAGCGGTCTTCACCACCTGTTAGACACAATGCAGTAGTACAGATGATAGAGTAACATACCTTCTTGTGGACGACCGTACCAAGACGGGCCTTGCCCTTGATGATTGCGTAGGGAACACCCATCTTTCGGCACAGAGCGGGCAGGAAGATGACGAGCTCAATGGGGTCGACATCGTTGGGGATCAGGACGAGAGCGGCCTTCTTGTTCTCAATCAGGCCTACAACGTGGTTCAGACCGTACTTGACAGCGTAGGGCTTCTTGCTGACATCCTCCTTCTTCTTGCCCTCCTTGATGGCGGTTGCCTCCTTGACCAGGCGCTCCTTCTTCTCGGCCTTGGTCTCAGGTCGGTATTTGTTGAGGAGCTTGAAAGCCTGGGCGGCGGAATTGCGGTCAAGAACTTGCTGGAACTGGGAGATCGCTGGGGGGACCTTCAGGCGCATGTTGAGGATCTTGCGCTGGCGTTGGAGGCGGACGTACTCAGGCCACTTAACCATGCGCGAAAGATTGCGCTTGGGCTGGATGTCCTGGCCGATACCGAAGTTGCGGGTGCGCTTCTCGATCAGAGGGTTCTACACATCAAGTCAGCATCACCTGGAAAGGGTCTGGCAAGGGTCCATGATGTCGAGGGGAGTAAAAATAAATGCTACTGACCTTGGGTGCCTTCTTTCCGGCCTTCGACGAAGGGAACGGGGCCGGGGCGGCCTTCTTTCCACCTTTGGGAGGCTGTCATTGAGAAAAGAAGACATCAGCAAATGTTTTCCATTGACTGGTATCTTCCTTGAACTCTAGAGAGACCCGCTGTGACATTTCTGTGTACACTGCGAGATCTCAAGCCAAGTTCCTCACCATCGTCGTAAGACAATGGATGGGGAATGGACAACTCGACAAGCGAGCGCCGTTTTAGATATGAACGAGTGCAGAGCACATCAATCAATCTCCTGAAACATATCAACTGCTTACCATGATGATCGTTGGTCGTGTGGTCGTTGGACGTTACTGGACCGGCTTTGAAAGGAATACAGGAAAGAGAGCTTTCGGGAAAAAAAGTTGAGCCTGAAAATGCAAAATGAATCTGTGGAAGCCGCGATCTGACGCTTGGACCATATGGCAAGTAGGGCTTGTGGATTTTGAGAGGAAGAAAAAATGCACTAGCCCAGAACAGACTAGCTTATATGCCCCTCCTCGCTCTAAGTACGTACCAGAGTCTCAATGTTCGCGCTACGTAAAAGTTGGTGATGGAAGTTTGTCACCACAACTGCGCTGGACATTTGAAACGAACAAATCCATCCCTTTTTGAGTTATTCAGATTGTTGAACATCTTGGTCAAAACTCATTTCCTCAAGAAACTACCGCCACAAAAAAATGGCGCCAGCATTCTGTGCCATCTGTAAGACCCAACGAGCACTCATCAGACGGCCTAAGAACCATCAGAAGCTCTGCAAAAGCTGTTTCATACAAATATTTGAAGATGAAGTACACCACACAATAACGTCATCTCAACTATTTTCCCCGGGAGAAAGGATCGCAATAGGGGCTTCTGGCGGCAAAGATTCGACAGTCCTGGCATCAGTTCTCAAGACATTGAATGAGAAGCACAAATATGGAGTTGACTTGGTTTTGCTAAGCATAGATGAGGGCATCAAAGGTTACCGAGACGACTCTCTCGAGACTGTTAAGCGCAACGCACTTCAGTATGAAATGCCCCTGAAGATTGTGGGCTACGATGAGCTGTACGGCTGGACCATGGACCAAGTTGTCGAAACCATAGGCAAGAAGGGCAACTGCACTTATTGTGGAGTTTTCAGGAGACAGGCCTTGGATCGGGGCGCCAAGATGCTCGGCATCAAGCATGTCGTCACTGGTCACAACGCAGATGATGTGGCCGAGACTATCCTGATGAACCTCCTGCGCGGCGATCTAGCACGTTTGTCCAGGAGCACAAGTATCGTCACCGGAAGCAACGCGAGCGAAGTGAAGCGAAGCAAGCCGCTCAAGTACGCATACGAAAAGGAGATTGTGCTATATGCGCACCACAAGAAACTCGACTATTTCACTACCGAATGCATATACAGCCCTGAAGCGTTTCGAGGGAGCGCGAGGAGTTTGATTAAGAATCTTGAGAGAGTCCGGCCGAGTGCCATATTGGACGTTGTGCGCAGCGGAGAGGACATGGCCAGACTCGTGCCTGGGCAAACGCCTGACGCTTGTGGTTGCAGGATCAAAGAGGCCACCGTCCCGAAGGCCGTTGAAGAGGATAGCGTCGGTGGATGCGGTTCCGCAAATGGTCGAGCTGGGGGTGGTGAAATGGCTGTCATGGAGAAGGAGCTTCGACAGAACGAGGCTGCAGAGGCTGAAGGGCTCGAGACTGAGATACCAGTCGGAAAGATGCACCAAAGCAAAAGGGAGTCGAAGCAACTGGATACCCCAGCAAAGCCGGGCAATGTTAGCTTACCCATCATTCCGAAGCAGAAGCTCGGCACCTGTGAGAGATGTGGCTATATGTCTAGTCAGAAATTATGTCAGGCTTGTATGCTCTTAGAAGGTCTGAACAAGAACCGGCCTGAAATATCAATATGAGTCAATCCTAAGAATAAGCCAGCTTCTCAAGGTCATGACGCGGCGCCGGACATAGATAATAGAATAAGATACCCCCTGTCATTTTGGACAATATCGGATGCTTTGAGTCTTTCAAGACATAGGAGATGCTATGTCGATGTTGCATTTATGGGCATTGTACATCGCGATGCCTCTCGCGTTCGTCTCTTTCCCAATCCCATCTGGCTCGTGTTGTTTAGCTAGAACGAGTCGGCCATTATCCGTGTAATGAACACTACTGGTCGTTCTACCATGGATGTATAAATGTTCGCGTCACTTTCACCATGCGGGGTCTTCCTTCGTTACTGCCCCTTAACACATTCGTTTTTCAACCTAACAGCACATTAGCAGGCAAATCCCTTTCGCATTCCCATCAAGAAGTGCCCTCGTCACTTACCCGCCAAGGGTTGTTAAGCTCGAAGCCGGCTGGCGCTATAGGCGTATCGCTCTGTCCCCGTAGATATCCTGTGAGCCTTCGGTCGCGATCCATCATTTGCTGTCGAGTCCGTCAGCATGAACTCCAATTAGATATCTCAATCCACCGGCTGAAGGCACGCACTCTATCCCATTGATCCAAAGATCGTCGCATTCTCTTGCCACCATTCTGCATGTTCTTGATCTTGGACATTCCCGCACCAGTCACACCGAACATCTGTGGCATCTTAGTATTATTGGGAGCTGGCAATTGAAGGTCAATCGGAGCTCACGGCGAGGATGATTCCATAGGGAATCAGGGCTTCGAAGGGGACGGGCATTGCGGCGGTCTTTCAGATGGCACTAGGGCAAAATTTTAGTTTCGAATAGTTCGCCGTTGCTATGTATTGGGGAGCCTTACAATGGTCAATGCCAGTCAGATTGTGGTCCCGATTCGTCGTGAAATAGGTCTTGATGATAGATGCCAATTGACTATCTGAAGTTGAAGCTCCAGCCGGACGACCGAGATGCCTCAGGCCAAAATATTGCTTATTGGAATTAATAGGTATAAGTTATCCGCCTTGATAGATGAATATGCAATTATAAGGCATGAAAGAGCTCCAACTTTTAAGGCCAACTGGTTAGTGTGGAAAGCTTGGACCAATAAGTTCCCGAGGTCAGAGCAAGTGGACCGCCGCAACTGCAAGTCAACGTTCTTGGTGTCAAGAGGAGTTCATGTTCGCCGCTGAGCCAGGTAATTAATCACCTTCTCATCATCTTAACTATCCAAGACCTTCTTGTCTACGCGACAAATTCCATAGGGCGCACTTTTGCTCTATTTATATGGCCAATTAGCTTTGTGGATGTGGAAAGTTTGCGCGTTCAACTCACGATTCCCTGGAAGATTTCAAGCGATGCCTCTTGTTGTGCTGCCGAGCTTGAGACGACAACTGCGCAGAACCTGCGGCTGTGCCTGTTGATACGGAAATACTGAGATCCAGAAAAGGACTACTGAGATAGGAATGCGACAAACCTGCGATCTGCCCTGCGATCCGCCGTGACTGCGCGACCTGTACCCCCTCTTTGCGACGAGCCTCCCTTCGAAACTACGGTCCTTTCCCTACCAGCTTACCACACCTCATCATATACCCGCGTCTTTCATTCAGGCCTCACCTTGAAGACCCTCCCTTCATGGTCATTCCATTCCCTAATAATGGAAACCGCGCAAATTATGCAAGAAGAACTGCAGCAGAGCGTGCTCCTCTCCGAGGAGGATGCTGAATTCGAAGAGGACGATGTGGGTGATGCCATGGTTATCGACAGCGAGGAGCCTGTGGTACCCGGCAGCACACTACGGGGTGCAGAAGAAGCGGATGGTGGAAATAGTGGCGGAGATCATGAAATTGAAAGCGCCAGCGCAAAGGAAATAACAACCGAAGACGTGGAGCGACCAGACGCAGAGGGCGAGCCAGCAGACCAGGAAGATACCAGCCAAAACGACGAGGGCTCCGACAGCGAGGCGGATGCCGTCCATGAGGATGAAGATGAAGAAGATGCATTTGATGATGCCGAAGCGCCACAAGATGATGAGCAGGATGGAATTTCGCCAGACAGTGATGGCGAAGCCGAAACCGAAGAAGATGAAGCTGAAGGCGTTGGTGCTGTTAAGATCAAGCCTGGCGAGACTGATGACGAGAGCGAAAGTGACGACAATGTCAGTTTAGCCTCAGGCGCCAGTGACGCAGAATCCGCCGACGAATACGAAGAAGAGGTCGCACAAAATGACGAAGACGAAGAAGATGAATCTGAGGGCCAGGACTCGAATCTCTGCTTGTTCTGTAAGAAAGACGAAGAGAACGACCCCAGCGAGGAATTCGAGTCGTACCTTACTTGTAAAGGTTGTGGGGATCACGGTATAGTCGCCCTGTCCCGATCTGCAGAAATTATCTATTGACTTGCCTTGTTGCAGCACACCAGCAATGTGCTCGTGGTGCGCGAGCCTTGACCGAAAATAATGGTGAGTTTGGGCCCATATCATGGCCTGTGTCAATTCAACGAGCTGATATACTCTATGTCAAGGTGGTGCAGGCTGGAAATGCCCGGAATGCATGGGCGATGAAGATCAATCCGATTCGGAAGCCGAGTCTATGCCGGAAGATGCAGAGGTCAATGGGGGCGTCGAGGACGGCGATATATCACCTGCCTCAACCCGACGTTCAACTGCCTCTAAAATCGCCCGCGACCTACTGCCACCGCAGCGTGGAGCGAACAAACCTGACTCTCATTCTGTTTTCAATCAGCTCGTACTCGACGAGGACCCTATGGATGGCTCGCGAATCTTGCGAAAACGGAAAACTTCATCTGCAGAAGCCGACGAGGAAATCATGTCACTACGCAAACGACGCAGAAACACATCCGAGGTCTCTCTTCAGGACGAGGCGACGTTGGATCAAATTAATAGAGTTAGTGAGGCTGATGAGGCTGTCCGGCCACGATCTGCACGTTCGCTAAGACTCAAAATTTCCAATCCGGCGGCTCTCTGCACTGTAATGAAGAAGAGCCGGACGAGTCTCGTTGTAAAAATCCGAGTAGGACCCACAGAGCTGCGCCAAATGCTTTCCGAGAAGCCAAAACCAAAGAAACGCTCAGGTCGGGCAGTCGCGTCCCGATCTGCGAGATCAGCTGCAGCAGCAAGAGGTAGCACCGCAGTATCAACATCAACATCTGCAGCAGCTGCTGCAGCGGAACCACCTATGGCACCATTTATGGCATCCAGTTACACCCAGCCATTCTACTCCTTTTATGACAAGGAGACAGATGAGCTTAAGGGCAAACCATACGGTGGGATCCTTACGGAAGCCGAAGCCGACACATCAAAAACGTTGCCCACGAAGGATGACAGGCGACGGTTTGATGAGGCCAAACAGAAGGCTGACGAAGAATGGCGCAGTCGATTGCTCGCCATGCAGGCTGAGATGGACGTTCCCGTGAAGAAGTCGAAAAAGACCTCAGGACCAGCCAGTCAAATAGAGTGCATCGAGTTCGGCGGCTGGGAGATTGACACCTGGTACGCTGCGCCATATCCCGAGGAGTACAGCAGAAACCGCGTACTCTACATCTGCGAGTTCTGCTTGAAATACATGAACTCGGATTACGTCGCTTGGCGGCACAAGCTTAAATGCCCCGCGAAACACCCGCCAGGAGATGAGATCTACCGCTCTGGTTCAGTTTCCTTCTTTGAAGTCGACGGCCGAAAGAACCCGGTTTACTGCCAAAACCTCTGCTTGCTTGCCAAACTCTTCCTTGGATCCAAGACGCTCTACTACGACGTGGAACCCTTCCTGTTCTATGTCCTCTGCGAATATGACGACATGGGCTACCATTTTGTCGGCTACTTTTCTAAGGAAAAGAGAGCAAGCAGTCAGAACAACGTCAGCTGCATTCTCACGCTGCCCATACATCAAAGGAAAGGCTATGGGAACCTGCTCATCGATTTCTCTTACCTCCTGACAAGGGTCGAGGAGAAGACGGGCTCGCCAGAAAAGCCCCTATCCGACATGGGCTTGGTCTCATACCGAAACTATTGGAGATTGGTACTGTGCAAATACCTACTAGAGCATACACCAGGGAATAAAACACAAAAGAAGGGTTTAAGCATCAGGCAAATTTCCGACAACACTGGCATGATGCCAGACGATGTCATATCAGCACTTGAGGGACTGCGATGCCTGGTTCGAGACCCTCAGACACAGCTATACGCGTTCCGAGTTGACCTGCAATTCTGCCGCGAGTATGTAGCAGGGTGGGAGTCCAAGAATTATGTCAAGCTCAAAGAGAAGGCCTTGACCTGGACTCCGTATGTTATGGGCCGTAGCAACGCTACAAACTTTGAGCTAGGGCCGGCCCTTAATGCGATTGCTCCACGCGAAGAAGATGAAGACACCAAGGAGGTCCAAGTGATTGTACAGGGCCGGGTTGCTGCAGGAGAGCTTGCTGATACTGATGGTGCGAGCCAGCAACCGCTGGCCCAAGTCGAATCTACCACCGTCCTTGAGTCTACTGAACCCAACGACAATGCGATGGATATTTCGCAGGAGCCAACGAAGGCCAATGGCATAGAAAAGGAGAACGGCAAGCCCCAGGCCATAGCGCCACCCCAAGAATTCAGTGAAGCCAACGACGCCGCAAAGGAGGATATGCAGAACGACTGGATAAAGTCCTACAACAATGTTCCCGCTATCCGATTTGAGGTTTTCCCTCCCGTTAACCCCAAACGACCTGCTGCCTCACGCATGAACTCTAGCATGACCCGACCAGCTGTTGTCCGCACACCAGCAACAGCACCACGTCCCCGTCCACGTCGCTCAGTCGGAGGCAGCTCACGCAAATCCGCCTCACGGCCGAAATCGAGCACTTCTGTTCGCCGCAAGACAGGCGGCACCGGCCGTGGTCCCGGACGCTGGCCCAAGGGCACCAAAAAGAGTGACTACGGAAATGCTGATAGTGGGCCAGGACTGCCACCAGCTTGGCTTGAACAGCAGCGAAGCGTTACCGTTTCCAAGGGTAGCGCCGAGAATGAGACCCAGGACACGGTTGAAGTAAAGGAAGCCAAACAGGGCAGGGGCAAGAAGAGCACCGCCGCCGCCGCAGCAGCAGCAGCAGCAGTAGCGACAGCCTCGATTTCGGCGATATTTGAGGTCAAAGACGATACTGCCCCTCCAGCCGAGACTGACAGCAGCAGCAACGAAGAAAGCGGCAGTGGCAAGGCAGAGGAAGAGGCCGAGAGCGACCGTGACGTGGTTATGGGAGAGGACAGGGATGACGAAGAAGACGCCGAGGCAGAAGATGAGTAGAGCCCTTACTTTCCGGACTCTTCCGTATCGACTGTGACCTCTATCAGCTGAGACCGGTACGGCGCATTTTGATTGTATTTGTGCGATTCAAAACGGACGGAAATTGGAAGTGTGTAGGAACGACCATGACGGCAATTAGGGGCAGCCCTAGGCAGACTGCTCAACACCACTTTGTGCTTTGATTGCCCTGGCGTAGAAACTCATGAGTATGGCGTCTAGGGATTAGATACCTATAATGGACTCGTATTTGACAAAACAAACTGCCGAGGGCATGTATACGATCTATTTGTCTTGAGCTAGCTGACGCTTGATTTGTGATATTTTGGTCTGATTATTACTCTACAAGCTGGTCATAACAGGGTCTGTAATGATCTATCAGCTCTGTACACTTAAAAGCACATGAAATCCACGAACAGATTCTTGAGTACACATGGCGATATGGTAGGTTGTTCCTGAAACTGTCAAGACCGGCATTGGAGATATGGGATGGGTTGCCGAAACCTGTGTCGACTCGTGATCATGCCCCAACTCCAGAGCTGGCAACCTCAACTTTAAAAAGTGAATGAGTGCATCACTTCAAGCTCACGGCTTGGAATGTTCAGATGCGTTGCTAATTGTATTGCGCCAAGATTCTTCAAATATTTCATTTATTCAGTTGATGTGTAGCCATGGAGCAATTAGAAATAATTATTGAAATATGGTTACGTTCTACTGAAGCAGTTACGTCATCCATGCTGTGGTAGTTGCGCATCGTATGAAGGACGAGTAGGGAACCGCGACTACCATTGGGTATTGACCCACATTTAGTATGAGACTATCGGATTTGGTACCTGGAGCTGCTCAGTACCTTGAGGCAGTCTAAGAATGCACAAGTGAACTTACCCGCTTCAAGACATTCAGATCAAGCTGTCCTGATCTGCGCCGTCAAACAAATGGACCGTATATTCTTGCGAAATTATCAACATTGAAAAATCATAGCTTGTTCCTCCACTCGCTTTTTACAGAAGCAAGAAGCTTTCACAGCTGTCACAAGCGTCGAGTCGTGGAGCATTGTTTCTCTGCCAGCCATCATTCATTGACAAATCTCCCAGCCAAGGCCAAAGATTACTAGTTCAATCTTCGCCCCTCTCACCTATCCAACCAAGGCATCTCCTAAGACCGCAATTCACTGCCTCATTACGAGTCGCAGGCAAATCCGGCCCTGTTTCATTCTACGATCGAGCTCGCGATCAATATATCTCCCTTCCCTGCTTGGCTTGCGCGCAACCACCTTTCTGGCCCAAACTTCCACAGGCTGGATTTGCGCTTTAATTGCGCCGCCGTTGATCGTCATCAGTGCCCATCCCAACCGACCATCCCAACCGACCATCCCAACCGACCATCGCGAACGTGACCAGATCCGGACGCTCGTCCTCGTCTCCCAATCTCCTACAAACCCCTCGCTTTGCATCTCTCTCCGTCGGAATAGATAACCGCCAAGATGTCGAAAGTAATGCGAAGTGTCAAAAATGTCACCAAGGGCTATTCCAGTGTCCAGGTAAAGGTCCGCGAAGGTTCGTCTCCCCGGCGGCTGCGCAACTCCAAACTCTTTTCCGGCCCGCTGGCCATAACTATGGGAAAGGATATTGACGTCGTTTTTGCAGCGACGAGCAATGACCCATGGGGTCCAACGGGGACGCAGATGAGTGAGATCGCTCAACTGACCTACAATTCGTACGATATCCGATGAAGCGACCTCGACGTGACATGGGAGGATTGCAAACTGACGTGCTGGCACAGATCGACCGAATTTTACGACATCGTTGATATGCTGGATAAGCGCCTGAACGACAAGGGCAAGAACTGGCGACACGTCTTGAAGGCGCTGAAAGTTCTCGATTATTGCTTGCACGAGGGTTCAGAGTTGGTAGTGACTTGGGGCAAAAAGAACCTCTATATCATCAAAACTTTGCGCGAATTCCAATACATCGACGAGGATGGTCGGGACGTTGGACAGAATGGTGCGTGGTGACTTGGCATGACGCCGACAAAGTTAAAAGCTGCTAATCATCTACTACAGTACGAGTCGCGGCGAAGGAGTTGACTTCACTGCTATTGGATGAGGAGAGACTCCGTGCCGAACGAAGCGATCGAAAGACCTGGAAGTCTCGCGTGACGGGCATAGAGGAGTTCCCCCCCGAAGGCAGCGTTCCACCACCTCGACAACAACGCCGTCAGCGTTCCCAATACAGCGACGAGGATGATGCCGAGTACAAGCTGGCAATCGAGGCGAGCAAGTACCAGGAGGAGGAAGACCGTAGGAGACGCGAAGGCCGGCCAGCGGCCGAAGATAACGACGACGACCTCGCCAAGGCCATTAAGCTCAGCAAAGAAGAGGAGGAACGGAGGCGGCGCGAGCTGGAGGAAAGTAACGCGAACTCGCTGTTCGATGACGACCCTTTCCCAGCGAGCCAACCGCAACCGACTGGCATGAATATGGGGTACCAGCAGGGCAGCAACGTCGATTGGTTTGGTAACCCGACAAACGAAAACCAAATGACAGCCCAGCCTACTGGATACATGAACAACATGAACAACCAGTATACTGGATTCCAGAACGGCTTTGGTACTCAGCAAACGGGCATATATGATCCTTACGGGCAACAGAACCAGCAACAACAACAACAACAACAACAACAGCAGCAGCAACAGCAACAGCAGCAACAACCGCAGCAGCAGCAGCAAGCACAGCCGTTCGGCATTTCGTCCACTGGATACAACCCCTACGCTCAACAGCAACAGCAACAATTCCAACCTCAGCCTACCGCCTCCTCGGAACCCACTACGCAGCCGGGCAGCAATAACCCGTGGGCTAGCAACCAGACTTCCTCCCCTATTCAGCCAATGAAGACTGGCTCAAATAACCCCTTCGCCACAGGCTTCGGCAAACCTCAAGCCCAACGAGTGCCTGCGATGCCAAGTCTGAGCAGTCTCCAAGCTCTACCCGAACAGAAAAGTCTTCAGACCTTCACTCCTCCGCAACCGACATTTTCACAACCCCCACCGCAGCAGCAACAGCAACAGCAGCCGCAGAGGGAAGTCAGTGAACACGAAGCTAGACTCAATGCTCTTCTTTCTAGCGGCGATGGCATGGATACTTTCGGCAACACTGGTAATTTGCGTATCCCAGCCCAGCACACCGCCCCCGGGACGTTCGTCAACTCGGCAGGTATTGGCATGAACACGCTCAACGCTGATGCGACGGGCAACAACCCGTTTCTGCGCCAGCAGTTTACTGGCATGCCGAATGTATCTTACCAGTCTAACGGACCTCAGATGCCGGCTGCCACTGGTCTTGCCAACATGGGCATGAATGGCGGCTTCGGCGGACAGAGCAATCCATTTGCGGCGCGGCCGACGCAACAGAATAACAGTCAAGGAGGACAGGACTTGATCCAATTCTGAGATTGACCAAAAAGTTGATCAGAACTTCGGCGAACCGACCACCATTCACTTCAGAACTTCACATTCTTCCTTTCTACTTGGCGAAGGGATATACTATTGATCTTACTCGGGTTATTTCGACCCGACTTGCGTGTGGCCTCGCTGTTCTCGGCCTGGCCGAATTAGTACTACACCTCCTTTGATGGATCCGTGTCTATCGGTGTCGAGGATAACGATGATGACGGTCCTTGCAGCGCACACCGTTCCGTATGAAATAGGGGCAGGTTGCGTTGCAGTACATACCAATCACAGAATGAGCAAGGAAGGTTGCATGGAAAAGGCCAAGTGTTGACGCATAGCGAGCGCATTGAAAGCTAGTGGTTGAGAGCGATTGATTCTCTTATGCTGAATTCCTCAAGTTGCGATGGACGAACTAGCTAGTTTTTGGAGCAGAAAGAGAATTTTAGACGATGGATTAAATTCCTACTCCGGTATATATATTGATTCCTAGTGAATTGGAGTTTGTGCATAACGTCGTGAAAGGAGGGGAAGAAGTTTGATGCTGTTCGAATGATGCCAAACTAGCTTGATCTTTATTCACAGCCCAGTCTCTCTATACAAGGATGGGACTGACTGATTATGTGTATCATGGGTACACAACACTTGCCCAGGTGGCCGGTATATACAACATTGTTCCTGCTCTTCTTCCAACAAGTCCCATGATGCATGGCACGAAAACATTGTTCCAACGCTGTTCCATCCCAATCGCCAGCTCTCCTCTCACAATGTGAAGACAACCTCATTGCCCCTTTTCCGTCTGTCGCTTGGCCTGTCGCTTACTTCGCTCCCAAAAGGGCGGTTCTTTTTTTGCTCCCCGATCTGAAAACCGCGACCCCTCGACATCCCCTCGGTTGCTTACTCATGCATGAGCTGGACGTCTCGCCCTTCTTTGTCTCCTTCCGTTTTGACCTACGGACATTCATCCTCGGGTCAGTCACACCTGCCATCATTCACATTCGGTAAGTTTCTTTCGACCATGTGCCCAGCCGAAGCAGAACACCCGTCGGACTTAATGTTTCTTCATCCACTTAGAAAAATGCCCAGAAACTCTTCTCTCGCTACACCACCCTTATCTTCGATATCGAACTGTTCCACCATGCTCCGGAGCTCGTTTTCGGGTACATCCTCGCCCAGCTCCTTGACCACGATCCGCAGGTCGTCCACTGTGATCATGCCCTTGCCGCCCTTGTCGAACAGCGAGAAGGTCTTGAGTAGCTCTTCGCGCGGGTCGCGCGCCGCGATGTAGGATGCGGCTATGGCTTGAAACCCGTTCTGGTGTAGCCGCAGGTCGACGACGCCGGGGGTTTGTGAGGGGGGTGGCTGGTTGGGTAAGGAAGGTAATGGGGACCAGTCTGGCCGCGGCGTGGCGCGTTTTTTAAAGGATGATATTAAGTCGGGTCGAGCGAGGTGCGAGAAGCCTAGCGCTTGGAGCGCGTAGCGGAACTCGGAGAAGTCGATGTATTCATCTTTGTTCATGTCGAAGAGCTGAAACTGTATTTGATAAAACGGTCAGTCTTGGTCTGACGTTCGTTCGAGACTGCAAATAGGAGGCTGGCAGAAAGGAGACTCACACAATCGTTTATTTCGGATCGGTGCTCGTCTGATATTTGGTCCCAAGGCTCGCTTTCTCTGGGATTTTGTATCGGTGGGCCGAAGCGGCCTGGCGGGCGTGAAGAGCTGGCGGCCCCGGAGCGGTGAGCTAAAGAGTGCGAACCTGGCCGGTCCGCATGGGTGTAGTCATTCATGGTACCGCTGGCGTAGTTGTTCATTGATGCTGCCATGGGTCGAGGAGGCGCGTGTTGACAGCCCAAACGTGCGCAGCCTAATAATGTTATACTTCGACTCTAGTTCGCCAATCGAGTCGTGGTAGAGGGTTGCGAGAGGTCGTGCTAGTATTCAGGTTGCGACGCTGAAGATCATGGAGATGGTGGTGTGTTCGCAAGTGTGGACTCAAATCTCGAGAGCAATTATGCGGTATTAGGCCCACGACGTCTGCTGTCCGCCGGATGGTGTGTAGAGCAAAAGTGTCGCGTGGTTCTTCAAGCACTTGAAAGCTCCAGCTTCTAGAGCTTCCTGGGCGAAGGAGACGGTTGATTGTGTCGACTCGGGGCAATCAGAGATGCGCAAAGCTGGACAATATAAATTCGCAGGGGTATTCAGAGTCGTCAGGAGCAAAACCCATAGCGTCGCAATGGGACAAATTTGTATGCAGTCAAACTATTTGTGATGTTAGTTGTGTTGTGCCAGCAAATGGGGCCGTCGTGGTGGTCGTCATCTCGAAATCCATTAATTGGGTGGCCGGGCGCACATGGATGGGCAGCTTTTCGGGGCGCGCCAAGCAATCGCGAACTCGAGAGGCCGGTAGTGGGCCCGGCGCGTCCAAGCTCCAATACCTTGCGGTGTGGCCTCCTCGGGAGCTATGAAGGAGGAAGCCGCGATATGCGACAACCAGTCTGTTTGCGGCTTACGGGGTATTGAACAATCCAAGCCTTTGTCTTGAGGGTGGAAGACCATTCCAACATTTCCCATTTTGCCTTTTCGCACTTTCCTTGTCCAAATGTTCACGTGAATAACTTGAGAGCAAGGAACAGATGAGGTGGGGAAAGAAAAACAAACTGAAAATTCGAACATAACTATGGTTAGATCATCTTGAACCAGTTTAGGAATAACTTCAAGTTCCGCATAGCAGATATCCGAATTTCCAGGCACCAGGTGCCAAATTCTGCCTTGCTTGGTAATGCAACCGACAGCAATCAATATAAAAGGCAGCCAAACACTCCGATGCATCGAGTTCGCTTTTTCCTTTCGTTTTTTAGGAAAGTGGGAAGCAGAAGACTCTAGATACCGGTAGCCAGCCAAACTACACGTAGCTCAGTTCCCAGGCAAACGTGTTAACGCATTTGTTCGGTCCGCTCGTGAAAGTACAACTCACTCGCCTTGAGAAGGCTGGGCCCATTTTAGTTGGTCAGTGCGCTTGCCTCAAGAACCGTGACCATTGTTGGACCCCCAGCTCTGAGCTTTGTGTCTCGCAGCCAAAAAGAGTGTCTCCTCCACTGCTGCCCACCCCAGCAGACTGGTATCATTTTGCGTACTGTTAGCAGCTCTCAACATCGCGAGGCACCGGGCTAGCGACACCACAATACCGAAGGTTAATTTTCCCCATTTTGGCCATCGACAAACCCATCCTGGTACGCTCTTTGATACTTCTCCTATTTTCCCCAGCAGATCTGGATTCATTTCGTCGTTTTGAGCGCAATTGGACTTGCGCCTCAAGTCCCCCCTGGTCTCTCATCGCGAAGAAAAAAAAGTTGACCTGGCCGACCACAGCACCTTCCGCGCTTTTCACGGCGGATTCGTTGACTACGAACACATCATCGTTCTATCACTCCTACCCTCCCATGTCTGCGACTACCTAGGTTTGCGGTAAATTCCGATATTCACGCGTCTGACGCGCTTACTCATCTCGACGGCCGCAAGCCCTCATCACTTCTGGAACGATATCTAGCCACAGAATCACTGCAAAGATGTCATTTGGCGGCGGCTTCGGCTTCGGCCAGAACAATAATACCAGCAACAACACTAACCCTTCGGGTGGATTTGGCGGCTTTGGCAACACCACCAACTCCAATACTAATTCAGGTGCGTTCTACTGTCCCATCTCCGTTTCAACCCCTGCGTCCCATCGTAATGATCTGTATGTGGAGGAGTCTAACATGACCGACAACCAGGCTTTGGCGGGAACACCACTGGTGCCTTTGGCAGCACGACAAACACGGGCGGAGGTCTCTTCGGCGGTGGTGGCACGTCCTCAGGTTTCGGCAGCAACACGACAGGTATGCGCAAGATCTAGCGACAGCCGATCGCTCTTATCATCACGACACGCGCACGTTCGGACAGATATGCTAACGTTCAAACTCACAGGCGGCGCCTTCGGGACAAATACGAGCACTCCTAGCACCTTCGGAGCAACGAAGCCTGCATTTGGCGGCACTTCTACGGGCGGCGGCGGTTTATTTGGCGGCGCCTCCACCACAACTGCTGCTTCAGGGACTGGCTTCGGTGGATTCGGCGCGAATACTACCGCAGCCTCGACATCGACTCCATTTGGAGGAGGCGGTGGGTCTTCCCTATTCGGAGGCGGTGCGAGCAAACCCGCTTTTGGCGCGGGCACCACAACCGGAACTACAGGTGGAGGTCTCTTCGGCGGCGGAACATCTACAGGTACTGGCTTCGGAGGTGGCGCATTCAATGCCCCCGCGAGCACGGCGTTAGGAGGGCCTGTGGGTGATCCCCCCGGTACAGCCACCACAGCTTTCCAGGCCTTTGTAGAGAAGGAATCGGCAGCTAGTAGCGCCCAGAATTCATTCCAGAATATTCTGTTCCAAGAACCCTACAAGAAGTGGTCTGCTGAAGAGCTGAGACTTGCCGATTATAACCAGGGCCGCCGTTACGGCACTGGCGCAGGTACCGGATTTGGGGGAGGATTTGGAGGAGGAAGCTTTACCCAGACTAACAACCAGAGTAGTGCATTTGGGTCCGGCACCAGCTCAGGTGGGGGTCTTTTTGGGGCCGCCAGCAACACCAATGCTGCACCAAGCGCTTTCGGAACAAACACCAACACTTCGAGTGGTTTCGGCTCCGGTAGTGGTGGATTATTCGGGAACAAACCAGCAACTGGAGGGGGGCTGTTTGGCGGCTCCAGCACAGCCCAACCAGCACAATCTGGAACTGGACTTTTCGGCGGCAGTGGAACAACCACAGCCTTCGGCAGCAACACTGGAACTGCTCAGAATGCCTTTGGCTCTACAAATACCAGCGGCGGCGGAGGCTTGTTCGGGAACAACAACACTCAGGCCAAGAGTGGAACGGGATTCAGTTTCGGACCCTCAACGACCAATACAAACCCCGGTGGTTTTGGAGCTGCCGCTACTAGCACCCCTAGTGCTTTCGGAACCACTAATACTGGAGGTGGTCTCTTTGGTAACAATAACAACGCGGCTGGTCAGACCACAGGTGGTGGTCTTTTCGGCAACACGACGCAACAAAATACAGGCAGTGCCTTCGGAGGAGGCGGCGGCTTTGGCACGCAGGTTCAGCAATCATCCGGAGGTGGCCTCTTTGGCAATGCCCAGCAGAAACCCGCGGGTGGTCTGTTTGGCAACGCGTCGTCTACTCCTGGTGCCGGTGGTGGTGGCCTCTTTGGTGGCCAGGCGAACAACACGCAACCCTCCGCTTTTGGCCAGACAAGCAACAACCAGACGTCCGGTGGTCTTTTCGGCAATAAGCCAGCGGCTACGAGTGGCGGCCTGTTTGGGAACGCCGGACAGAATCAGACTGCCAATACTGGAGGAGGCTTATTTGGCAACCTCGGCCAAAATCAACAAACGCAGCAGCAGCAACAACCCCAAGCTGCTAGCGGCGGTCTCTTTGGGTCTCTAGGCCAAACACAGCAGAAGCCTGCAGGTGGTATGTTCGGCACGAACCCCCAGTCGACCGGCGGTGGTCTTTTTGGGAGCACGAACAATCAACAGAGCTCGTTGTTTGGCGGCTCGACCCAGCAGCAGCAGCAGCAGCCAAGCACCAGCTCTCTTTTTGGCAACTCTCTCGGCAACCAAGGTGGACCTCAAGTCAACTCCTTGACCGCGAGTGTTAATGACCCCTCAGCCTACGGCACATCGTCACTCTTCGGCAATCTCCCCAACCAGAGCAATGATCCCGGTCCTCTTGCGACGCCCTTGTCTAGCAAAAAGCAAACCCGGAAGCCCTCTATCCTACCCCTGTACAAGCTCAACCCAGCTTCCGCCTCCCGCTTTTCCACTCCTCAAAAGCGAGGCTTTGGCTTCTCGTATAGCACGTACGGAACGCCTAACAGTCCGTCCAGCGTGTCTAGCACACCTGGTGGTTTCTCAAACAGCGGCCTACTGACTCATGGAAGTTTGTCACGAAGTCTTGGCAAGAGCATGTCTAGCAGCAACCTTCGGCGCAGCTTGAACGTTGAGGACAGCCTTCTGGCCCCTGGTGCTTTCTCTGCCAGCTCCGGGTCGAAATTCTTTGGCGGAAACAACGTCAAGAAGCTCGTCATCAACAAGGACCTGCGAAGCGATCTTTTCTCCACTCCCACCAAGGAAAAGCCTTTGCAAGAGACTCCAAATGGCTCACGTAAGCTTAACAAACGTGTCAGCTTCGATACGAGTAACGTTGATGCAGTTGAGAATGGCGATGCGCAGAACGACTCGGCCAACACGACCCCCTCTGGAGACCTGGGCTATATTCGGCCTTCACGCACTAATGGTATGAATGGATCCAAATCTAGGCTTTCGGCGTCCAGCCAAGAGATGGAACAAGTCAAGGGTAAGGAGCTGGCCATCGTTCATGAGGAGGAAGTCTCAGCTCCGGTGGTGCCGAGCACGGCGACTGGCAACGGCGAGAGAGAGCTCGGAGAGTACTGGATGAGCCCTACCAAAGACGAAATCCAGAGCATGAACAGGGTTCAGCGCCAGAAGGTGTCGGGCTTCACTGTTGGTCGTGGCAATGCCGGCAAGGTCGAGTTCAGAGTTCCCGTAGACCTTACCAGCATCGACCTGGACAATTTGTATGACAACATTGTCCTCCTCGAGCTTCGATCTTGCACGGTCTACCCGAACTCTGCAAAGAAACCGCCAGTCGGGAAAGGACTCAACGTTCCATCTTTGATCAGCTTAGACAACTCTTGGCCCCGCGCTTCCAAGGCTAAGAAATCAGCACCTTCCCTTGCTAAGCACATCGAGCGCCTCAGGCGTATCGAAGGCACTGAATTCGTGAACTACGACCCAAATACTGGTGTATGGACATTCCAGGTGGAGCATTTCACCCGATATGGACTCGATTACGATGAAGACGACGAGACCGAAGCGCCTTTTGCTCCCAAAGACGACTCGTCCGCTGCATCTCCAGTGGCGGATGGTGCTTCTGATGAAAATGACAGCTTCGATTTTCGACACAAGCGTCGGTCACTCCCCGGTGCTTTTGACACCAATGTCGCGTACGATGATGAAGACGAGGAGGAGATGGCTGAGGTTAACGGCCCCCGACCGTATTTTTTAGCCAGTCGCTCCGCGGGTTCTAAATCCAAGGCTCTTGTTCCCGTTGAACAAGATGATATGGATGAAGAATATGAGCTGTCTGAGGAACAAGATGCGAGTGCTTCCCTCAGACACCATCTCGCCGCGGAGCATGATGACTCGTTCAATGCCAGCCAAATGGATTTCGTTCAGGAGACCCCTGGTGGCATCATGAGAGCTAGGATGCGTGCTATCAAGGAGTCGGCCACCCCAGTGAAGGTGCAAATTGCTACCGGTGACGACTGGATGGACATGTTGCAGAAAACCATCAGCCCCCAGAAACGGGATCGAGCCCTACTGAAGAGCCTCCATGAGGCCGACACGTACGGCACTATGAAGGACAGCGTGCGCGAGAAGTCGCCCACTAAGAAACGAATTGTCGCGGACGGTCGTGGTTTTGCAACAAGCATTGATTTGATGAAGTCGATTTTTGACGAGGCCAAGGCTCCAGCTGAGAGTCCGACTTCTGTCCGATCAAAGAGTGTGAAGGTCGGTTGCTAGCTCCATTTCCTATCCCTGTTCATGGGTATGATGACTGGTTGGCGTTGCGTGAACAAGTGTACTTGTGTAATACAAAAAAAAAAAGAATGAAGCTTTTACTAAATCATTGTGCTTTCTTAGTTCCCGTACAAGCGAATGACAAAGAATCTTGACGAGAGCGAAATGGATCCCCAAGACCGCGCGTGGCACAATGCTCTTCGTCCTACATGGGGTCCGAATGGCACCCTCGTTTTCTCAGCTACACCCACCGAAATCCCTTTTGGCAGGTCAGGGCAGATTACTGAGAAGAATGGTTTGATGACAGTCATGAAGGGCGGTATTGTCTCCGAGTCTCAGGATATTCGGTTTGCAAAGTTCTCAAATGAGGTATGGCAAAGACGTTCCAGGTCAACAAACATAGTGATTACTTTGAATTAACTCAACCTAGATGTCCGCGAGAGCTCTCGGTCAGCAGATGAAGCTTAGTCAAGTCTACATTGACAATGGTGTACCCACGGTTATGGGCCCACGGGTCAGTCTGAAAGAATTCTCTGCAGAAGCCGGTAGTAAGAATCCTGCCGGAGAACACGAGAAACTTGTATGGGAGCTTGCAAGCGTCCTTTTCGACAGCATCAAGATCCCTGTGGAGCTCCAGAATGACCCGGAAGCTGTGGAGAAGATGCGGCGAGAGAGCCTATCCCGTTTCTGGGAACATATGGTTGAGGATGAGACAAACAAGGGAGTTGCTATGGCAGGTTCAAGCGAGGAAAAGGCACTTTCCTCTTTGGCTGGTCACAGAGTCGCTGAAGCATGCAAGCACCTTTTGGATGGCAAGAACTTCCGCCTAGCAACTCTAATTTCTCTCCTCGGCACTAGCGACCAGGTGAAGAAGGATACGAGAGAGCAAATGAAAGAGTGGCAAGAGGCCAATGTGCTCGCAGAGTTCTCAGAGCCTGTGAGGGCACTATACGAGATGCTAAGCGGCAACGTTTGTGTGTGCGAAGGTATGAAGGGGTCTAGCGAAAACCGCATAGAGTCGTTTGTCATATCTCAGACGTTTGGGCTCAACTGGAAGCAAGCATTCGGTTTGCGTCTATGGTATGCAATCTCAACCGAGGATAGCATTTCGGATGCCGTACAAAGCTTCAGGGATGACGTTGAGCAAGACAAGGAAATGCCACCTACAACTTGGTTCCTTGAGAATGGCATCAAGGGAATTTGGAATGATCCCGATGAGGATCTGCGTGAGGACCTGCTTTGGGGCCTGCTCCAGCTATACGCCAAACCTCACGCTGACCTCGAAGCCGTTCTGCGACCTGAAAACTCCCAACTCTCTCCGCTCGATTACCGGCTCAGTTGGCAGCTTGGCAAGGCTCTGACCGCCACAGGCAAGGTATCATTTGGAAAGAACGCCGACGAGAAGGCAGATGCAGCTACGGTTTCGTTCGCTGCACAGTTGACCAACGAGGGCAGCTGGCAAGAAGCTGTTTTTGTTCTGCTTCACCTCAATGACCCCGTTGCACGGTCAAAAGCCATTCAGGACCACCTTTGTCGTCACGCCGGTCTCATTGGCCATGAGCCTGCCGACTTCAAGACACTCACGGAGCAGTTCAAAATCCCCTCGCAGTGGATTTGGCACGCCAAGGCCCTCTACATGCGCAGTGTCAAGGTGGACGCCGCCATGGAGGTGCAGTGTCTTCTCCGAGCCGACTCCTATGCTGAGGCCCACCGCACATTTATCAAAGATGTTGCACCCTTGGCTATCATCGAGCGAAACTTCGACCGTCTTGCCAACCTGCTAAGACAATTTGACGGCCATCAGTCTCAGGTCCCGGACTGGAATCTTGGCGGCGAGGTGTACAAGGCATTCCTCCAACTCATGGGCCACCAGCGACGTCATGAGCGCCCGCCCCAAGCGCTGGTAAGTGGGTTGCTCGAAGGCTTACCTGCTATGCACGGCAACACCCCCGAGGCTGGCATTACAGAGTATGCGGCGCTGACAGACATGGCGGCCGTTGTTGCGAAGGTGGTTGGGGATATGGCGAAAAGGGGAGAGGTATGTTGCTTGTTCCCAGATGTGAAATATGAATTTGAAACTGACAAACTCGACCAGATGGACCACCAGCGTATCCTCAATCTGCCCCTCACAGAGGATGTTCTCCTCAAGCACACGCGTGACTTGGCATGGACGCACTACACCGCTGTGATGGCCGGTCACTGAGCAAACGGATTAATGGAAGCAGGACGAACTAATGCGTCGGTGGTGGATAGAAAAAATTAATATGATTATTAAAGGATATGGCCGTAGCGAGATTCATTCGGACTCGGAGATGGGGGGGCAGAAGTCAAAAGCGGATCTGACGTTGCTGCATACCTATCAATGAGGGGGGGGGGGGGGGTAAGCTGGCCCAAGCAAGAGGGAGCCACAGAGAAACCCCGGTTCCCGACTCGTCACTAGGATGACTATGGATGGCCTGGCATGGTGCCATTGTAGTATTAGATTAGTTAGATAGTATAAGCGTTATAATGCTCCCAACCCTGTGTATGACTAAGAAAAGTGGTCTGATTTGATTGGCTTCGGATTTATCTGAAGTGAGTGACGACTTATGAGGCTTCGGGGGGACGTTGAACGTCTCGTAACGTTTGTCGTCGGTTTTATGCAGATTTGTCAGTAAGCATACAAGTTATTAGAGTGGCCATTGATCTATCTAGGTTGATCAATAAGTTTCGTCCCCAGAGAGGTTTCAAATCCGTATAGACGTCTCATCGGGTCTGTCATCACATCCGCAGGTACCTAGCTAGAGCCTGAAAAAGGGTGTACAAGCTTATTGTTCTGTCTGTGTCTCCGTACTCTCAAAGTCTACTGCAGTAAAACATTATTGCGCCCATCGCCCCTAGAACAAAATACCTCCATATACCTTTTGGCCAATCCGAGCCCCCAACGCCGTCCATCATTATACATCATAAAACTTCGTATAAGCTGACCGAGTACCCACAACAGCTAGTCATATCCGACTCCATCCACCCATAAGTCGGACATTCAACTGCGCCCTGAGTAATAACTCCTCGTCGACGAAGACCCATAAGCCGACTGCTCTCGCTCAGCTTGCTCTCTAGCCTCCTCCATGAAGCGGTTCCAGCACTCGTTGCACATGCCCTCGTTCCACTTGACCACCTTCTTGTCCACTACTCCCCGGGGGCCCATGCAGGATTTGAAGAGCTCTTTGCACGCCGCCGGAGCGAGGAACCCCCAGCACTCGCAGCCTTTCCAGCGCTGGTAGAGTTCCTTGCACATGGTCTGTCTTCTTGAGATACCCAAGAGGTTTGATAAGTGATGGTGATCTTCCTTTTTTTTTAAGACGAACGATGGTGTGGAGATGGTGTTTGGGTTCGGGGTGCCGAGGTGATATATAAGATATATGAGTCGCCGTGGGTTTAGGTCCCGACTTGACCAAGGATTTGGTAAATGTGTTTGGTGATGAACTGATTGTTGACGCGACGGGACAATCAGTCAGGATTTCCAAGATGATTTCTGTTGTGTTTCTGGTTTTTTTTCTCCCACAAAGCTTTGACGAGTAACTTCCTCCGGAGGAACAGCTGAATTCAGCTTTTGTGGGCGGCGACGACTTCCAACTCGTGTGAATGATCTGGGGCAAAACTGCCGGCTGTCTAGTAACAGCACTTGATCATCCACTCCGAGAAGTGCTTTCAACAATGGCTCAACATGAGTTGGTATGAGGAAGGAGGTCCTCGACGTTTCCGATAAGACCTTTCGTCTTTTTCTTCTCCTTCTCCTTCTCTTTTTTTCTTTTTCTTTTCCTTCTAATGGATCAATGAACCGACTGGCAGGATTCGGTGACAATATCTCTGGAAAAGGCTTTCATCGCAGGTCCGTCCACCACTGTCTATAATAACAGCCAGCAGCAGTGGCAACAGACCCGAGAGAACGGCGAGAAAACGGAGACAACCGAGTGGACAGCCCCCGGAACATGGACGGCAAACGAGCGGTCGGTCCTCAAAAAGGTCAAAGTCGTGCAACCTCCCACAGCAAAACGACTTTCTCGTGGAACCCTCGAGAGGGAGGAGAAACATTTTAATTTGCATGGTGGGTGGGAAGATGCACATATTTCACCCACAACTCTGGCCCTCTGGACTACACCGCACGCGCTTCCATGCATGTAGGGTAGATAGCAGACAGGGGCAGCCCAGGTCCTTGGTTGCAAGTTGCACTCTCTCTCTTCTCGAAACTTATTTTTTGACAAGTTTGACAGCCGGCGTGATCCCCACTGTGGCTTGCAATTACTGCAAGACCTAACTTAGACCCCTGCACAATTAAACGGTCGCCGTCACCGCTTGCTCTTGCCACAGCCGGCATGGCTCCAACTGTTGGGTACTCCCTTTGACAACGGCCAACGTCTTCCTACTGGTCCTGGTCCCTACCAAGTGTGTGCGATCGAGATCGCTCACTCCACTCAAAACCTTCAAGTCCACTGCTGTTCAGTGTCGTCTCTTTTGTAAAATGCGACAGATCATCTTGAAGCCTCAAAAGCCGCGGAGAAAACAGGGAAGGAATGGCACAATACGACCGACTGTTGATGAAGTTATAGTCCAGGTTGGTTCAGACGACCGTGCGACGATGCGCAATAGACGTTTTCTAGTTGCAGGATGCGTGCACTCAAATGCCCGACAATGATCAGCTGACGTTTAATCTAAGGCGCCGCCGTGTGAGCCTTGAGTTCCCACGTGGTAATCACATCCTTGGCAGGTCGTATTGGTTGTTTCCTTCTTTTAAAGCTCTTCCCGGTGACGAACATGGCCAAAATGTTTTGCATGTCTCCCAACCCCTGACATCGTTACATGTATGCAACGTCAAACTCTGACCTGTAGCTTGCCATTTGAAAGCTCTAGCTACTCCCAATCGGATACGCACCCAACTCGGGATGTCGCTGTACAATTCGGCTCGAGGAAAGCATGTGTATGTGTATTCAACCCCTTTGGCAAACGACGGCATCTTGCGCATGGGATGTTGCAGCGATATTAAGCAGCTTCCCATGTTGTCCGACCGAGTTTCATTGCCGTCGGTGCCCTTGCTGCATGGCCTTGCCTGGCGTAGGCGGGAAGCCAGCTCGGCACCATCACCATCGAAGTGTCTGTGATAACTACTACATAGGAACCAAAAGCTCCTGCAACGACAAATCACTGCCTTGGGTGTGTTTTAAACTGGGGGGTTGTTTAGCTGAAACGCTGTCATGAGTGACGGAAGGTGCAGTTTGACCGTCAGAGTTGCTTCTTCATGATACATACGTAGGATCGTAATTGTTGGTATTAATTAGAGATGTCAAGACACATTCTAGTTCAGAGGCGCCCGTCGGAGGAAACTGGCCCTGGTCCACGCAAACTAGAACCAGAGTATGATCCAGGGTATTCGGAACGTTGTGCACCCAATGTTGTGCTGATAGCTGCTGCGTTGTCAGCGAATCAGTCCCACAGACTGGACAGCCCGCTATGAACACCCGTGTGTTCCCAGCTGGGGAGTTGTCTTCCGTCTGAGCGCTGAGTGGAGGTACTCCGAAGTCTCCGCCGCAGATCTTCAGAATATCCACTCCTGTGATGCCAAGATGAGGTTGGCGCAAATGTCTACTCTCGATCCTCTCGATGGTTCTGTTAACACTCCTCTAGATTGGTCGCATGCTATGCTCGTGTTCTGACTAGGGTGATGGAATATTGGGTCCTGCAGGGCCGTGTTGACTATTGAAAGGGAGGCACGTTGTCGAAGCGCCTAAGCCGTATTGTCTAGTGCCGGAGAGTCTGCATGCCCGCATGAACTGCCGTGTTCAAGTCGTTTCTTTGTCTTCTTTCCCCTCCCATTTCCCCAGTTCCAAGACTACCACAGCCGGCTTAGACGCCACCCTGGGAGTTTCCCGAATCTAGCTTGCTCCGTCCTGCAAGGTCATTGGGTGCCCCGTCAAGTCGCAAGGTCTGCCTGAGCTACTCAGCAGCTTCATCGTGGTATCGTGGGGATTTTACGGGTATGCATCGTCATGTGCAGCCTCAACTCGTCTAGTCTGACAACGACTTACTACTACGTACGTATGGCTTTGTCTAGCCTGTGAGCTCCACATCAAGCCTACCTCTATACGGCTCACCTTCCGAACAAAGTTATGTAAGCTATGTAGGTTGGCTGTGTACAATAGCTCAGGCCCTTCCATATATCTGTCGAAATTCAAAGGCGCAGTCCGCTTGGAGCCGAACAAATGCGAGGAACGAAGTGAAGGCTTTGCCGAGCATCAGACACATGCGGTGAGAACGAACAGAAGTCTAATTCGGATGTTGTTTTGGAAAGAGCTCAGTAATATACAACGATAGCCAGACGCGAGAAATTGAGGGGACAGCGTCGATGATGATCTTCTGGGGCTAGGGGAAAGAGCTAGAGGGAAGACTACGGTAAGTAGGAAAATACTAAAGTCTAGTACTGACATCTGCTGTCCTATGTTCCACAGGCTCTTTCTCCGGTAGAACACGCCGAATTCATACATCTCCCGATGGTACACATATTCGAATGCTCAGGTGATGATGCTCTTCAATGAGTTGTTGGATATCCTGCGACGAAACGCAGCAGGTAGGTAGGTACTCCGCTGAAGCGCCATCATCCACTACGCCTCATTCACAACCCATCTCTACACAGCGCCCCTGCGAAACACCCCCTTGATATTCCTCAGAACTTCCGAAAAACTCCGACGGCGAGGTTTGATTTCTGGATCTGGAATCCAAGGGTCCGAGATGGATTGCTTTGAACTGCGGGAGCTTTCCGTCCTTGCGACTTCGTGGGCTGACCCGGTACTGGAAGGAGTATCGTGTGCGCGTGGAAGTCTGGTTTGGGCACATGAGGACGTCGGTCGAGACCTTTCATCCCGCTCGGTGATGTCAGAGAGCTCGGATAGGGATCGTTTTTTGAGGATGAGTTTTGAGTTGCCACGTGGCTTGGCCGGTTGTCTTGATGTGCTGAGTTTTCCTGACTTAGTCCTGGGCTTGTCTCTGGAGGCTCTGTTTTTCCCCATGTCGACGATATTGGGTCCGTTAGACTTGGACTTGTAAGTTTGACTGCGCCTCAGGTTTGAATGGTCGGTTGACACGGTTGTTTGTCTCTCAATTTTGCCGCGAGGCAGGCTTCTGTGTCCTTGCATATCAGTTACCGAGAATAGATCCGGAAGACCCAAATTGTCTTGTCCGGATCCCGAACGTCTTTGAGACTTATGCCGGGGCAGCGTCTGAGTGGGTGTAAATGTCGACCGCTTCTTGGAGTTATTTAAACTCGTCGAGGATCTGCGTGGTTCCGCCATTTCCTCCATCTCATAACTCAATGACCGCCGTTGCCTATCACCACAATGTCGCCAGCTTCCCTCACTCTCCAACTGGCTGTCGTGATGTTCACTAATCGACTGCCACCGAAGTGCTGATACAGATCCCTGGTTGAAACCGTTGTAGCTGTTTCGCGGCTTTGTGTAGTCCGCAACTGACTCGTACTCCAAGTCCAATGATTTGGTAATTGACGACCCCGATTGCTTCCCGTTCCGCGTCTCTTCCCCAACACCGCTATTCGCGTTTTCACTCCCTCCTCACCGCGCTGTGACTCCGTATCTATAACCTTGATTTCGCCTTTCCCAAACCTTCTTACAAAATCCAATGTCGCATCTGGAATACAGCGACTCGTCGCAGACGGCAGCGTCTTAAACTCCCCGCACAGCTGTTGCCTAACAGCTTCGTTTGCCTTGGAACTCTCGAGAAAATCGCCCAATGACTGCGCCATGCCCTCATGTCTTGGCATGACCTCACACCCACCATTCATAGCACGGGGCCCTGCAGCCGCGGTGTCACCCCGGGAAGCCCTCTGAATGGCGCCCTCGCTTATCCTCTTCTCGAGTCCGTACACCGTGTCTTGTATCGGTTTCAAATCCGCCATTTCACTCTCCGAGGTCTCCGTCTCACAGGAGATTTATTCTACTTGGTCCAATTCAGCGCGACAGCTTTGAGAGAAGCTTTGGACTTTGGACAAGGAGATGTTGCTGCCGTTTTGTTGGCGAAGGAACTATTTCACTTTTTGCTCTAGTTCTCGGGGCGGTCGTGGAGGTTGGCGGGCGAGAGGCCGGGAGGAATTGGTGGGAAGTGAGGAGGGCGAGGCCTTTGAAGACGCCCTTATTCTCGAGGTCTTCGATGCGGGACGAGTTAGTGGGATAGAACGGGCTGGGAACCCTGGGTCTACTTGTCTTGCCGTGCAAGAAGGACTTGGTGGCATTGTGGGAAATGTTGCTCGTGGTTACCAGGAAATTTCAATACACAACTCGGGCTTTGGTGAAAACCTAGCTTGGGTTAAACTATATATTCTAGTTGATGTGTGGGCAGCTGTGAATGAGCTCGACATTACATTGAGACTTGACCCCTGATTATGTGGAACTGGTTGTCAATTTGAGGTGTTGATAAAGTAAGCATGCAGTTAACACCAGAGAAAATCTTATTACTAATTCGGGTTACTTCAACTTTGTCACTCCATTATTTTTTCCATAGCCTAACGTTGAAGATGATTCTGGTTATCAACTGAGCCTTGTGGGTTTGTTGGGTTTTACTCTTGAGTTTGTCTCGAATGGCGACTGCAGGCCATTGAATGTCCTGTCACACAACCAGCTGTTCCAATTCAATGCGCATTGCGTGAACTAAACCACGTTGAGCACCACATACTGGTACCATATTAAGGCATGCGTAGTAGCAGGTGTCTAGTAGAAATTGCATGCTATTGTAAGTGATGTAGCTCTAATATCTTGAGAGTGGCTTGGAGCACCAGTTAGATGCTCATACACGAGAGTTACTCCTTTCCTTTCTTGGCCATAGGTCATACTATTGCACATTTTCTCAATCCTCACCTAAAACGTCCATCGTCAATCTTGGGTCCTTAGTGCTGATGTCTTGCGATACTTGACACAACTGTCCTTCAGGTCATTCTTGTGTACAAGACTTCTCTCTTGTAGTATTTATCAATAGTGCTCGACTTATTGCACTAATCTTGACCACCCGGACGTATCAAAGCAAAAAGCCACAGCAAGGTACATCGTCACAGATGATTGATGGGCACACGGGAGCTGGTAGTGTCAAGCCCCTGAACTTAGCCAGTACCTTTTTACCAGTCTCCAATGTCAAGTATCATACCGACGGGTTTCCTTGTGCTCGGAGACTGGCGATCAAATCTTGCGCAGGTTGGCTCCACCTCATGAGAAGTCAGACAACTCGTGGGTAAATAATACGAGCAATCAGATCTCGATCAAAAAGCCAATGGAAATTGGTTACCCAATACGCAAAACGGATCATGGAATTGACACATTTAGCGACGGATTGTTGCTGTTTCAAGACACTGGCTTCCCATATTCTACGCCTCTCCTGTATCTACCCTTAGAAGTCAGAAGCTGAGATGTTTCACTGAGCTGTCTGCCTGCGTTGTATATCTTCTGACGTTTCTTTATAGTTCTGATTGGTGTGTTGTTGCATCTTTAGTTTTAGTGTGCCGCCCGAGGTCTCAGTGCATAAGTGAAGAGGGAGTACGAGGAGAACGTGATAAGATGGTTTCCCTCCAAGGGCACTCTTATACCCCGTGACAGCCCAAAACTAGATTCCTGTAGATTCGACTACAACGATTGAACTGACCATTGCAGTTAAACATGCGAAGAAGACTCCATTGATCACCCCCTCCAGTATGAAGACAGAAAGCAGTAAAGTCTTTGATGATTTGGTTTAGGGTAAACACGGTTCGGGATCCTGTGCAACCATGCTCACGATGTGCAAACGGATTCGTGATAGTTGATTGGCTATTCACCAAACTCGTTGCCCCCACCTGCCTCCTTCTAATTCCCACGTAAGGCTGTATTTCAAAACCATTGTGGCCTCCTTGTTGGCTTAAACAATCACTCTGTTTGCCTCAACAACATAATCGCTGATTCCGCTCTTCCTCCAAGAACCTGGACAACCACTTTCACCCCATTTCTTCACCCAAAACTTGACACCCAACCACCGCATCACCTTCATTTCAGTAACAACCATACCCTTTTCCGATCCGCAAGACGGAGGACAACTTCCGTCCCTTCAGTCTGTCATGGAGTGGATGACGGACCCAAAGGTCCTCAAATCCATCTTCGACCATGTGGCGCTCCCGTTGCAGCTTCCACAGCAGCAGGACGCCAATATTCAAGCTGTTGAATCTGCTCTCCTGGATCGCCTCGTGTGCGCGTCTTGTGTAATGCGCGATGTTGATGGTGGCCGGAATCACCAAATATGGGAATCGATTCGACGCTCTCTTACCGTCTGCAAATCAGTCAATATTGGGGGACGCTTGGAACGTTCGCGACTGCTGTTGCATTTGCGAGAGGTGGCGTCTTCTGACTTCCTTATTCTGCATGTTTCCATGCAGAATGCCGGTCTGATCATTCGGAGATGTAAAGAGTAAGTTTGAAGAATGGGCTCCCTTCTTCCACCCACACCCCTTCCCCCCTTTTTTTATTCCGCCACTGACCGATTTGTTCCAGTGAGAGCTTCGGTGATGGCTTGCTTTTCGAAATGTTTGAAGCTTCACCTAAACGGGAAGATGTGCTAGCTGCCAAGTCTGCCCTTCAGTGGGACTTTCCAGGTGTTGCAGTCGTTGTCCCCCTTGTTGTCTTCATGGATGATTTATTCCTGGAAAATCTGGCTACATTCCTGGAGCAGTGCTCAACCGAGTCAACGAAACCATTCAGCGATGTTGCCTTCAAAGCTGGCTCGGACGTCTGGGAATATCGCGGCACTTCTGATCCTTCCCTCATCACTTCCTTTCTCACTGCCCTTCTGGAAGCCAATGGCCGTCGGGTATCACCTACCTTACTGCGGAAGCGTGTAAAGGATGATGTCTGTTGGTCAAACGCTGACATCCCATGGCGAAGATTACCTTTGTGGTTGGTCCTTCGTGTCGGCATCGCGCGTTTTCTAGCAGCTTCTTTGGGTGGAGAGCTTGGAAGACTGCACTACAAGTTGTTCGTTTGTATAGTTCACGATATCGTTCTGTCCGAGTGCAAGGATGTGACTACATTGGAGGAACAATCTTGGTTGAAGGCCAAGCTCTGTCGACGCTTGGTCAAACTGGACCAAGATTATTCGGCTGATTCCGCAACGTATCCCTTGTTCCTCAACAAGCTGATTCCTCAAATAGAGTGCACTATCCGGGATACTAGCATCAGGATCGACAGTGTATGGAACCTTGAGAAGCAGGTAATAGCTCGGCAGATCCTTCCTGTACCACGTGTCGCATCCGACCTTGATCAACGTCTATCTTTGCGAAATAGCGGCGAGTACTTAGAGTCAGCATGCAGACAGTTCCAGAGCCAGCACATCAATGTGGCCACACATAGATCTTCTGCACGCAGGGTCTCTACTTCTGATCTGTATCTCACCAAAAACGGCCTGGACGACTTCAGCAAGACCTTCGTCGACATATTTGCACGAGAAAAGGAGTTGCTAGATTCTCTTCATGATCCGGATCTAGCTTCGGTGAGCTCCGCCACTATTTGCAAAATAAGGGCTGCGCAGATACGAAACTACCTCGATCTTGTGGGTACCAACTACGACGGCGATTCCGAGCAGAAGTCGCTGATGATACTTCTTGTCTTTGAACTATGGGTGGATCTGGACAAGATCACTTGTTCTATTTTCCCTCTGCTTCAAGAATTCCACCCGTTATTCTCTGCTGGCGCTCTAGACGTGCTGCACTTGCCGCAGATGCAAGACATGGTCCGCCTGCAAGCCGTCCAAGAATACCTAATTTATCGCGCCAACACCTGTCAGAGCAACCATCATATATTTGCTGACCCATCACGTGGTTGTTTCGCAACGCGGTACTATGACGAAGCCAAGTATCTCCACGAGTTGCATCAGAGTATCCTTGACGAAGCCGCTGAGAGGTGTGCCAGGAAAGAGGACGAGTGGAAGCAGTCGATGTCTGAATACGAACGGTTGGGCCAAGAATTCAACAAGGCTACATGTATCTTTACAACCGATAACTACGGTCAAAGATTCCATAATCCTCGCTGCTCTCGTTGCAAGTTGCATCGCAAGATGAGCGATATGAAGATTTCCATCTATGAGGAACCTCTTCCATCCGAACCTGCACTTCAAAAGGCTATTGTATTCGAGTTGGCATGTCCCCAGACGTTCGGTACATATCGTTCAATCACGTTCTCTATTTTCAGTCGACTCGGACTGTCGAGGCAGGAACAGAATGTAGCACCGAAACTACGCTTGACGAAATACTCAGAGCTCCAACAATTCTCTCGCCCTTCTTCTGGGGTTTCTTTGGCGTCAACAACAAAGTCCTGTAAGTCATACCTGTTTCGCGTCGACCTGTGTCTTACGTACGAGACGTAAAGATGGGACCAAATGATGAGTTTCGAACTACGCTGAACATAGATGCTAACAACATTCGATCATAGTCCTGACGACCCATTACTCAACTGTAGCCTTGCCTGTGGAATGGGAGCAAGTTTGCCGCCCAAACGGACTCAAGCTGGGGTATTTTGACGAGGCGTCCGGAATATGGCCAGGGCGGATCAGACTGAGGCCATTATTCACCCATCATTGTCAACCAGAAATTCCCAAATCCTCCCCTTTTTCGTCACTACTGAGCCTTCCGAACTTTGCTGTTGATTCGAGCGGACCTTCTTCGTATGAAATAGCAGCAAGTCGTTCAGCTTGTCCCGACGGTCTCAATAGCCATGAGTGGTTCGCTTTCTGTACGCTTATGTCTGGAAGAAAGCGTCGATGGATATCCATTCTGACGGAGCTTGGGTCTTCGAACCTTAACTTTTCCACGGAAGCAAGCGTCGGCCTCTTGAGCCACCTGGCGGTGCAGTGCGGCCCATCTGACGGCAACGGCTCACCACTAAGAGAGATCCATGCCATCTTCCAAGATGAATCGTTCTGCAGAAAGCTGTTGGAGCAACTTGATCTCAGGTTGAAGGCGGCAGTGTCAAATTGGCGCGAGACATATCTGATGGAGGTCATCACGACAATGTTGCTAAGAATCATATCTTTGACGTCGCATACACAGTCCAAAGACTTGCAGGCAATCAACGAAATGGCGTTGAACCTCCTACGGACGGCGCGGGCCGTTTTCATCAGATGGATGAAGATGCTTCGAGAGGAGAGGCAGCAGGCTAAAGACCCCGCAACTTCAGCCAATTGTCAAACATACCTAGTTTGGGCTTGCCTCCAAGCCAAAAGAACCTTCGTAACACATTTGCTGGACCCTGACACAGATTCTTTGAGTACGCAATCAGCCTCAACACTAATCGAGTGCTCTGCCACCGTTCAGGATAATTTCCCCGACTCACAAGCTGTGCCTATATTGCTTCGAAGGTCCGTCATTCGAGATTTGAGAATGATGTTTGAGCTCCAAGGCCAGATTTTACAATCTCTACAACGGCAGCCAGAATCTTGTCTTCTCCCTGCCCTACGAGAGTTGTGGCCGCCATCTTCATCGTTCCAGCTGTTGTCAGTCTCCTTCCATGAAGGATTCTGGGTGAAGAGTTACTTCGATTGCCTGGAACAAGGCAATATACAATGCGTGGAGTACAACTATCTTCAGGGGCAGTTATTGGTTGATGGACAAAGTTTGGGGAAACTCCCCACTGATGTAAAGAGTTCCGTCGTTCTTGCAGAACTCTTTGGCAACCAGAGTCTCCTGAAGTATCCCTCCAATCAGCCGGGTATGAGTTATTCTCTCACTGTCTCGAGACAAGGCTGGCATACCCATATTGGATACGATGAGTATGGGATGGTTATTCGCGCAGTGAGGGGTCAGGTGGTGTTGCAAGTCGTACCCCGTTCGGTATTTTTGAGTAGAGCTGGTTTCGATCTTCCGCTTAGTTTGATCAACGAGCATGTTCACTGGCTGAATCTCAAAACCCGAACACTGGAGATCAGACCCAAACAAACGGTTTGGACGACTAATACCAGCAACTGGACCTTGGAACTATCAAGTCGGCGCTGTTCGCGTCGACAATCGAAGACTTCGGAGAGTCTCGTCGACCCTTACAGTTCTCTATTCTGCCGTATCGCAAGAATCCTCGACGGATTTGAAGTTCGTCAGCACCTTCTCGTTTACCAACCTCAGAATCCTAAGGCATTGACCATCTTCTTGAAGAGAATGCAGCTCCTATTCTTCGTCAACAAGAACAATTTCCTGCAGAGCCCACATCTACGCGTAGAGATTGATCCAAACCAGGATGCAGGAACCTGGTACGGCTTGACATGCCACGTGGTGTGCCGAGATATTTCAAACCCTTCCCAGCGCAGTATTTTGGTTCCACTTGGAAAACTTGCAGCACAACGCAGGAGGCACCATGTTCAGATTTCGGTTCAGCTACAAAATATCTACGAAACATCTGCTTGTTACTTCAAATACGGCATCAATGGTATTCTTGGACGCATAGACTGTTCTGCCGAGCCTATTTTGGTCTATACTAAGGCCTTACTACACGCTTACACTTCTTTCCCTATATCAGACCCTCTCACAGGCCGTACTGGTACAGAGGAAGCTTTGCAGATCTTGGATTCGGGCATGGCCCAGTGTTGGACTCCATTGTCACTCGGGCAGGTCAATATTTTACAGACGATTGCGAGGCTGACACCAAGGAGGGAATACTACCCAGAAAAGCTTCAAGTTATGAAGAAGGAATTCTGGGACCCAGTTTTGCCGGTAACAATACAGCATGATGCTTTCCGAGTTCTGGTTGAGCGTATACTTTTGCAATCAGAAAAGCTCTCAAAATTTGAGCTTCAGCCCTTGGAATTTCCATCGTTGCCAGAGCAAAATACTCACTTGGAGCTACGGGCCATATTGCGTCGATACTCCCTTCAGAGAAGAGACACCTGCAATTACTACCCGCAAGCTCCACTCCCTTTGCCTTATCTTTCAAGAGATCGTCCATCCACGTCAAGCATAAGGTACCTGAATGTGTTTGAAGCTGCCTCTTTGATCAGAAAATGGCCGAGCCAGATGTCTACTGTAGAGAACATTTCCTACAACCTTTCACAGGCGCCAGTAGTCAGCGGCTATGGTCAAGAATTTGACAAAACAAGCCTGACGGAAAAGCTGAAAACTGACGTTCGCGCTGAATGGGGTAAACTTGTGAATACAGTCATCTCCCACGCAGATAATCAGTATTACCTCATGTTCCTGCTGGGTAGTATTTGTTTCAGGTTCGACGCCAACATGGGCCTCATTCGTTCTCTCATCGCTTTTGCCCTTTTCGTCGAGTTGCGAACCATGGAGCTCCCTAACGATCTTGAGTACACCAACTTTCGCGCCAATCAAATTCCCCAAATGGACAAGCTGCTTGAGTTGATCGAACCGTTTCGAGCGCCTGTCCCCGAGTCGGAACAGCCGGTACTTCTCGAATTTGCGAGTACAAAAGAACGTCGGAAGCTCTGGCAAGCAAAAGTTAGCCACGAGAAGAAAGTTGATGAGGATTGCAAGTTCTTCGTTCAGTTTCTACTTGAGCAGTGGCCCTCCCCGGAACCAAGCCTTTCACACCTTGACAGATCATTCCTGCTCGATATGGGGGCTGCTTTTGAGGCTGTCAAGCTGAACTGGGCGATGCTTTTCCGAAATCACATATTTTCTCGGCATTTGGAGAAAGTACAAGATATCTTCAACCGAAGAAACCAAGATTCGACTTCCTTCAGAACAAGTCCATTTATTCCTTTGGAGGAACTGTACCCCACGCGACAGTCTAGCACTGTAATCCCTACGCTAGGGGATCATCTGGTGAGAATGCCAGCATGGCAGCAGGCAAGGCAGTCGTCAAGATCCGTCACAAACTCAGTCCAGAGCATTCATCTAAGGGTGCCTCACCATGATACACTCCATAATAGCGCTTCAAAGGACGCATATATACAAATGGAGGCGGTTCCAAAACTCGAGCGCATCATCAACTCGTTCACCGGCACCAAATCCGCTGTACGAGCGAAATATGCGTCGGACCTGAGCTTGAGTCTAAAAGCTTTCAAATCCCGAATCAAGCCTGCAAAGACCTCTGTAAACCAGCTGAAACAGGCTCGATCCTCGAAGGGGGGGATTGTCTCCTTTGTTCGAGACTTTGAGGCGAAATTTAACGATATCCTGTGTGCGATGGAGCAACCCAGCTCAACGATCAACCTTCGTCAGATCCGATGGCTCAAAGTTGGCCAGCTATGGCCGGTTCTGACGCGACTGACGTTACTCGAGCAGTTGCGGTCGACCGCTGGGTTTGGCAGCGGTATGAAGGAGGCTATCTTATCATTCGGCGTTTCCCTGACGAAGCTGCAACAACAAAAACGCATCGACGAGCTGATCCTCTCGAGAGATCAAGAACGGTGCGAGGACGAAATGAACAACCTAGGTCACACCAACTGGGATCCGGCTGAAATACCATCCTGGCTACTGTTGGAGATCGAGTCTAACCTCATGATTCGAGAGACTCAGGTTGACGTCGCTCGTGCCATAATTGCCCCAAGCACTGGAGTGAACTCCGTGTTACAGATGAACATGGGAGAGGTAAGTAGCTCGGGGACTCACTCGGTCTGCTCGTCACATTTTTCATGATTTCCGGACACCAAATTCATCAGATGTTGGTTTCGAGACATCATTAGAGTTTGGGTCAAGTTTGTTAATGAATTCAACGCTGACTTATTGCTGAAGGGAAAAACAAGTTGCATCATCCCCATGGTGGCGGCCATGCTCGCTGACGGAAAGAGCCTGGTTCGCATCGTTGTGCCGAAAGCACTCCTTCAGCAAACCGGCCAACTGCTGAAGAGCCGACTAGGTGGGCTTTTAGGCAAGCCCATCTGTCATGTTCCATTCTCCCGGAAGACCCTTACCAAAGAGAGTGTCATTCGGACTTACCAGAGTTTGCACCGAAGTATACAGCGGAGATCAGGGGTCATGCTGTGTTTGCCCGAGCACAACTTGTCTTTCATGCTTAGTGGCCTCCAGCGACTTCTAGATAACCAAGTGCCCGAGGCAGCAATGCTCGTGAAGACACAGAGGTGGATGTCGTCTTGTTGCCGGGATATACTGGATGAGTCGGTGAGTATCTCCCATTGCCTTCCTTTATTACCCTGTCACATCTTGGAAAAGTGCATGATGCAAAGACAAATTTCCTACTAAATCCATATGCTCAAATAATGATTTGTTGGTTCCAATTACTGACCGCAACTTATTAAGGATTTTACTCTGGCGACGAAGACTCAACTTATCTATCCTTCGGGCACGCTTCTGAATGTGGATAACCACCCGCATCGATGGAAAGTCGCGGAAACGCTTTTGGACTTGGTTGACAAAAATCTCTATGTTCTGTCAGAGTCTTTCCCACACTCTATCGAGGTTGTCCGTCGGCCTCAAGGTGGATTCCCACTTATCTTTTTCCTGCGCACAGATGTCGAGGAAGAGCTACTGAATCGGCTTCGAATCGATATCCTCAGCGGCTCACGAAACATCATCCCGATCGAGACGCTCGATCATAAGGATAGACTGGCTGTGAAGGAGTTTCTTACTGCCGCCAAAGTCCGACCAAGCTCTCTGGAACGTGTCAAAAGCCTCTGTCCCGATAGACCCCACGTTCCTCGGACGGTTTTTCTGCTGCGCGGCTTGTTGGTTCATCGTATTCTGCTGATGACCCTCAAGAAGCGCTGGAATGTTCAGTATGGACTGCATCCTACCAGGTATCCTATAGCGGTTCCGTATCATGCCAAAGGAGTGCCGAGTGACTCCGCAGAATGGGTAAGTAATACAAAAGCTCACCTAGTCTCTTTTCCTTGTACAAGGGCTTGATATGCTCGGGCTTCATGATGAACTTTTGAGTACTATTGAATTCGTGGCTGTGGAATGTTGTGGGGTCACGCAGTTTGTTCAGGTGTCGTTCCGTTTCTTTTTACTCGGGCTTGCTCCATGATTTCTTTTCCTCCTCTTCTGGCAGGTTTCCATGCTAGCGCAGACTGTTGTGTCCCTGGGGTCGAGTCTCTACTAATACAAGGTTTTACAGGGCCACCCAGATGTTTCGATCTTGTTGACGTGCCTATCTTTCTACCATGGCGGGATCACTATCGAGCAAACTCGCCAAGCACTAGATCATATGCTGAAGTCGGACGACCCTTCCTCAGAGTACGACCGGTGGACAAATGAAAGCTTCCCGGAGTATCTACGTGACTGGCATTCACTCAAGGTCGACGATACTCATCAGCTCAACCAGATATGGAATAGCGTTCGATACAATGTCATCGTAATCGACTATTTCCTCAACAACTTGGTATTCCCGAAGCATGCCAAGCAGTTTAAGTTCAAGCTTCACTCCAATGGATGGGATATCCCAAATTTCGCAACGAGCACTCAAGACCTTTCTGCACCAAATGGCTGCGATAATAAGCGTTTGAAAGCCCTGACTACTGGCTTCAGCGGAACCAACGATGTTAGTGATCATGGATTCATATCCCAATTTCGTCCAGCCTGTGGAGAAAATGCCACGTCTTTAGTCTTTTAGGGACCTTTTAACATTAAAGACGTCCTCCAAAAGTCTCCTGAATAGCGTTTACTGACTAGACTGGTAGAGCCGATCCATTCTCCCACTCACGATCAAGCAGGACGACCTCGACGCCTTAGCCCACACCAACGCAGAAGTTTTGACTTACTTGTTGCAACCTCGTTCAAGCGGGTGTATCATCTCGGCTGATAGTGAAGGTAAGAGACTTGGTGAGGTTAATTTACTACGCTTGATGAAAGGGAGCAAGATCAAAATTCTCATCGATGCTGGTGCCCAAATTCTCGAGATGGATAACGAAACGCTGGTCAAGACATGGCTGAAAATCGACGGCTCTTGCCTTGCTGCGGTTTATTTTGATACGCAAGACAAACCATGGGTTGTCTCGAAGCAAGGAATCAAGACACCACTGCTGGCATCACCCTACGCGGATAACCTCGGCAAATGTCTGGTGTACCTTGATGAGGTAAGTAGGCTTCCTTGATATATCCGTTCTTTTTGTCACGAGTTTCAGCTGAGTCACATTTCTGGGCATGAATGTATTGTTGTCAAGGAGAGTCGCCGACTGAGGCTTTGTTGTTCCTAGATTGTGGCAACATCATTTGGTATCCCTCACTAACATCTGACAGGCGCACACAAGAGGAACTGACCTCAAGTTTCCGCCACATGCCCGAGCAGCCCTGACTTTAGGCCTGGGACAGACCAAAGATCACACCGTCCAGGCTGCTATGCGTCTTCGTCAACTGGGAACTACCCAAGCTGTGACCTTTTTCATAGCCCCTGAAATCAATCAGAGCATTCGCGACCTTCAGAGGAAGAAGGACGGGGAGGAAATCAACTCCTATGATGTGTAAGTCGTCCAATGTTTCCACCGCAGCACTGCAAAGAGAAATCTGTTCCATCCCTTGTCCCATTGAACCCAGGAAGCTGGCGACACAATGTCTATATTGTGCAGAGTGGTTGACTTTTGGCAGCATCTGTTGGCTTTTGGACAACACTTGCGAGGCCATCGAAACGCTACAGCCTCTCTACTACTCTCAAGGCATCGACTTTTGCAAGCGCCTACAAGCGGCTGCAGACTTGCCCGATTTCATTGAGGACGATGAACAGCGATCAAAGTATGTCGCTTCGATCAAACAAGTAGAGCGTCAAACGCTTCAGCAGCTTTATGGCCCTTCGACAAAAACGAAGGCAGCCCAGCGTACAACAGTATTCAGCTCGAAGATTGAAGGCTTCATCAAGGAGTTGGAAGCTCGGAAAATGGGTTTCCAGGATACTGGCAAAGCTGTCCACGCCTCTGCTCTTCAGGAGGTTGAGCAAGAGCGCGAGCTAGAATTCGAAGTTGAGTCAGTTCGGCAGGTGAAGAAGCCGATCCCCTACACCCCCTACAATTTCCCAGGACTCCACAGGGATATCGAAATCTTTGCCAGAACCGGTCGATTGGCCGCTGGATCTGACTCTTTCATCCATTGTTTTCAGGCCATGGCCCGTACAGGCCTTGGACGAAAATACAAGATCAACCGTAACGCCAGCTCATCCAGCCTGTTTGTTTCGGTGGAATTTGAGAGAACCGTGAAGCTGGGGGTGGGAACAGTCAACGATAACTTCCTGGTAGGGACCATCTCGTCAGCCGTTCATTTCTTTTCAAACACCAGCTAACACACTCACCACAGAGACCGGTACAGTGGATTTTATACAGTCCTTGCCTGGAGACGGCGATTATTTTGACACCTGAGGAAGCGGAAGTAGTACTGCATGTTTTCCGGGAGGTTGAGAGAGATGGCCTGGCTCCGAAAAGTCACCTCGTGACCTATGCCGCCCCAACAACAAGACGGATGATACACTTCAGCAAGCTGAGTTACTTCGCGGTTCCCGCGTTGCCTCAGGATTGGGAGGCGCCAATGTGGCTATCTACAGAAATTGGGCTTTTCGCCGGGAGACTGTATTTCACATTTGATGAGTACAGTGCTGTGTGCGAGATGCTTGGGGTAGATGAGATTGCCACTGGTACCGATGAACACTCTATCTTGGAGGAATCCACCACCGAGACGGGTGAATCATCCAATTCGGAAAGTATCAAGGATCCGCTTGACGGCGCGGGGGATTCAGCTGACATGGTCGCCCGCACCAGCGAAGGCGCATCGTTGAACAGACTCACTCCGAAACCATACACATTTACTCGTGAGTGGCTAGCCATACGCCGGCGGGGACAGGACTTTGTGCAAACCCCGATGGGTTTCATAGTCCATGGCAAGCCATTGCACTCCGATCATCCGTTCTTCCGAAAGCCGGACGTGCTTCCACAGGCTTCGGCACTGCTTCCTCTGGGATTGTCGGAACTCGACGGAGAGCACGAGGATGACATTGTAGATGGTGTCGATATGGGTGATTTCGACATGAGCGCCGAAGTTGGCGCCGACGAAAAACTCACAGATATTCAGTATCACGAGGATGAGAGATACAAATCGGATGACGAGGAAGCAGGCTCGGAGAGTGACAATGTGGCACCGAATGGAAATGCCAGTAAGGGTGAAGCTCCTGCAGGTCGCCATACTCGCGGGATAGCTGCCAGGGGATGAGTGTTGGCTATATTCATGCCCGGTCTATGCCAGTTGCTTTTGCTTGTATGTTGCGGAGGGGTCATGCCTCCTGATTTGTGTCGATGAGGATCATGGATAGTGTTCAGTTCTGGCTCTTAATTTATTTCTATGTCCTATGAAAAGGACTTTGTGGAAACCTATGACAGTGTCAAGGAGTGATTGCTGGCAAGCGCCCTTGAGTTTGCTGGGATACAGAGCTCGACAAGCTAGAGATGCATCATCCTTAACTTAGGAATCCACGTCAAGTTTCCAAGCTACATAACATTGTGATGCGATAGCCTAACTCAAATATATGACTTGCTGATGCAACAGCCTATCTGGAGCACTGTTCAGTTGGTTTAAGCCTTTGATCGTGTATAACATATATTCTTGGTCCAAATAGGGTTGCACTGTCAGGTATATGCTAGAAGGCCCACGTGCTGGCAGCAAACCTCCTGTCAAGCAAAACTAGCAGGGGCATGTTGACTTGCAAGATGTACCAGCAGTGAATGAATCTAACGTTGATAAAACTCAGTGGTATGATGGAGCTCAGGCTTCACGCCTACATATATGGCGATTTATGATATATACTTGTTAATCAGTACCTTAAAAGTCAAAGTGGTAATTTCATTTAATATGAGTGCAAAGTATATATTCACTTCACATTCACTATCTACATACAATACAACGAATAAGGCATGCGTGCTGTGCACCTGCTGGACCAAAATAACAATAGGTGTCCATGCGGACGATGAGAAGGGTCGGCGCCGCTGCGTTGCCTCGTTTCGCTTGGTGGAGCTACCGATATGGGGATTTTTTGTGAACGACTAGTACGACCCAGGGAGATCGGGTGACTCGGTGATTGCGCCTCATACCTGATAATATGCTTGTTTCGGGCTGCCAAAACCGGAGAGCGACTGCTTCGTCTGCACGAATAATACCAGCAAGGGTTGCTCCAAGTATCAGAGTATTATGAAGCCTTCGTATTACAAGTCATCCAGATGAATCATTATTTGAGAAGATCTCCCAGAAAAGATCTCAAATTTTACAAGAGCCTGGGGATAGTGTGGTGCGGAATGGCTCTGGTTATATCAACCATGCTACCAATACTCGATCCGGCTGTGTAGAGATGCCCTCGGATTGGGCTACATGGAAAGCCATCACGCGGCTTCACAAAAGGGAATAAAGAAACCTGGGGCTGGGCGAACATATGGCACCATTGAACGAAAGAGAGGGGCCAGTGATGAGCGGGCGGCTTAATTAGGCCTCCTTGTTCGATTCCTGTCCATATCAACTCCTATTTGACAGATGCGGCAGGAAGACCGTTTAGTGTGTTGTATCACGTTCTTCGGAGATGTCCATATGTGGCAGTAATAAATTATTGGAGAGATACCAAGACCCCGACACGTGGTAGCTAGGACAAATACCTGCTGGAAACTTACAAAAAAGGGAACAAATCGAAGCAGATAATATATTAGACACCAAGTCAGGATTTTAAGCGTAGGAATCAACGTTACCAACTTATTCTACCGGCCTAAACACACCGTCACTGATATCTCCCCCCTCCCGTCCCTTCACGTCTGCCCATACTCATCCTCCACCACCCACCCCTAAGCGCCCCCCTCCCTCTTGGCGTATTCCTCTTCCATAGCCTCTTCATACCTCTTATCCGCCTCGACCTCTTCTTGCGTCTTTTCCCTCGTAGTCCCGGCTCCAGTCTTCACTCCAGCGCCCGTCGCCTTTGCATCTCCTTCTCCATTGCCCTGTTTCTCCGGTACAGAAGCAGCAGCAGCCGTTCTGCCCTGCCGTGGCCCCAGCGCCTGCGGCTCACCGGATCTGGTGTTGGAGGTGGGCATATTGGCGGGAGGTGATTGATTTGCGTCTGATTTAAAACTTTTGGTTCAGGAGGCTCGAGTCGGCCAGCGTTGATCGTTGATCCGTGAGTTGCTTGATAGAGATGAAATGTTCTAGAAGGGGAGATGTGCGTTGTCAGCATCGAAAGTTTTATGGGCGGGTTTGATGACTTTGCGTGCCCACCCAGTTTGCTATTGGTGACGAACTTCGCCACCGATTCGTAGTTGGAGGTTGATGGGTGACCCGTCTCCAACCGAGAGGCAGCTAGCCAGCCAACTAGACTAACTGCATTTTACCTTTACTTCTTACATACACGGCCGAAGGTACTGCTTGCTTGTTAGCCAAGTCCGCCCCATCCACCAGACCCATTTCAATACCAGGCTTGCGGGTGATGCGCGCCATCCTGGCAATTCGCCACGAACGTTGATTGCACTCCTTCACACGTGGAAGTTTCTCAAGAAATATGATACAGAATATCATTTAAGCGTTGTACTTTTGTCATTATACAAGACATTCACTCATAGGAGCGAGAGCCGTCGATATCATACACGCGCAACAAAGCCGAAAAGAAAATCCCAAACCTCCAGTTTTTCTCTTTTTCTCGAACTCCATTGCATCCTGTTTCCTGCATTTCCACAAGTCACTAGAACCAAAGTTTGCCGTTCGGTGCACAATGGCCAAATTGCCAGCCTCAACATACCATTATCGTCTCATTGTAAGTGCCGTCGTAGGGTTTGGGATCGTCAGCAGTAGCAGGTAAACTATTGGAAACCAGATGCTGCATGTGTTGTGCTCGGGACATTTCCACTCAGCGCCCCGGGAACATGCAGCTGTAAACCTGTCGTTTTCCAGACGCACTTCTGCGGGGTATCCTCCAACTCGAGATTCATCTCCAAATTAATTAGCTTTTCGTCAAACTGTGATTCCTCCTTGCAGTTGCTTGACGTCGGGTAATCGGCGATCTAAATACGGTAAGGGAGCGCACCCAAGTAGGTGGAAGGTGTGGAAAGTTACCAGTAGGCACCACCACCTCGACGATAATCATCGCGAGGATAGGCACCATCCCGTGGTCCGTAACCACCCTCTCGAGGGGGGAACTCGCGAGGTGGACGATCGTAGGGGCGACCGTTGGCATAGGGATCTGGTGGAGGTCCATAGTCGCGGCGATACGGATCATCGTAGCGTCCTCTCGGAGGAGGGTAGTCATCCACGGGAGGACCACGACGCGGAGGTGAGCGACCATAGCGGCGATCGTCGTAGTAAGGATCGCCGCGGCCGCCTCCGCGAGGGCTTCTGTCACGATACCCGTCACGGTACTCGTCACGGCGAGGACTATAGCCGCGAGGAGGTCCGCGTCGGTAATCCTCACCTGGCGCGCCGGTGTAAGGCGCTCTTCCTCGAGGAGATCGAGAACGATTGCGATCACGCGGTGGTGGGTCGGGCTGGGTCTAATGTCTAACGTTAGTACAGCCAGAAACCACGCCATGGGGGAGAAGAAAGGTGTCCTACATCGGCAACGCAGGTCACGCGCTGTCCCTTGAATTCGCGGCCATCGAGCTTCTCCACGGCAGTTCTCAGATCGGCCGCCGTTTCGAACTCAACGAAGCTACACTTCCAATTAGCGCCTAATTTGTGTCTTTACTCTGGGATCATGTCGACTTACCCTCGACCGTTGCTTTCACGCCCAGTCTCCGAGTAGACAACGTCGAGGCTAGATTGACGCGCAAAATCTTTGAGGTCCTAGAGCCAGATTCCAAGTAAGTGGTAGTCCCAGGAGTGGCAGAAGTTTTTGTTGATGGCGGAAGGGCCGAATATGTGTCCTCCCCAGCAGGATGGACCCAGCAAAGGCATTCGGTTCAGTCACACCGATTCAGGCCAGTCAGTCCCAGACGGGCGGTAGATCCAACGCGGAGGGTCCTTGTTTCAGGCACCTTGGCCAGATGTCGGGACCCAGTCCACCAGCCATTCCGGTCATCGAGATGCCCAGAGGAATCAAGATGTTGAAGTCAAAGCACACGTCCTTCCCTACTGGCATGGCGACCACCCCACGAGGCGCAAGATCCTAAAGAACCAAGGAGGAGCAATCCGGGGGAGGGGGGCAAGGCGAAGAGCATGTTTCGAAGAACGGAAAACGGAACGGGAGTTTAACAGACCTGCCAGCTGGTATCATTGGGGAGTCCAGTGATCTGCATGCGATAGGGGGTGCGACGAGGACGAGGTGCGGTTCGCTCGTGATTGCCGAAGCCTTCCCGGTGACGAGAGCCTCTGGCAAATTGAACCGTCAGGCGTTCGCCCATAAAATCAGATCCATCTTTGTATCGCTAGATTAGCCCGAGAACAATGAGGGTGCAGCAGTCAGGGAAGGCGGTGGCCAGAGGAAGTCCAAAACGTACGGAAGGCTGTTGCGCAAGATTAGAGTTAGCAAAGAGTATCAGAAGAGGTTGGATGCCCTCGTGGTGGCGACGTGGCAACGGAGACGGGGAGCAAAGTACTCACCAGGAACAACATCGCGCGCGTCCATCGCGTCCTTGTATTCGATGAAGCCGAAGCCATTCATGAGCTTGATCTCAGTAATTTCACCAGTGCCATGGGTCGCGAAATGGTTCTCAACGTCAGTCTTGGTGACTGCAAACACACACGTTAGCAAGCAGACGCAAGGTGGCCGACGAGACTGGCTAGACTCGCATCACGTTGCGACACAAGTCTAAACAAGCGCCAAGGACAGAAGCTTCTTACCGTTCTTGGGCAGGTTGCCCAGGTACAATCGCGTAGCTGAGACCTCAGTCATGATTGCGACGATGGAAAAGACGCAAGTAGATGGGGAAGTCGGGCCAGCCTAAGCAGGAGGAAATGGGTGGTAGAAAACACCGCACTCGAATAGAAGGTGCGCACCGGGCTGGGAAGTTGCGGTTGTGATGGCAGATGGGCGAAGGCGGGAAGGCTGAGGATGGAGAAATAATTGCTGAAGAAAGCTCTCGCGCGCCGAGACACTACCAAGACCACCAAAGTGCGGTCGAGCACAATAAATGGAGGGTTGACGTCGTCTTTCGCCCCGCAGTAGGTAGGTAGAGAAACAAAAGGGCGTCTAGATGAGTCCAAAAGGAAAAGCTTGAGCTGCAGTTCCAGAGTGTGCAGTCACCCGCTTGCTTTGCACGAGAGGGTTAAAATAAACCTTGGAGAAAGGGTCCTCGCCGGTTGTTGTTTGGTTGGTTCAATGTTGTGTGTGGAGGCGCGAAAAGCCTTGGACGAGGAGAAGAAAGAAACGAGGCGGCGGCGGGTGTCCGGGTTGTTCAAGTCAAATGCAAGCTCATCCAAAGCTGGGGTAGGCCCAGCACGGACCGCCACCAGAGTGCCATCGATCGGCTATTCAGCTAACCAGAGCAACTTCCAGCTGCTGCCAAGACTAGCAATAAAAAAATTATCGTAGTTTTCCCCTACTGCAAGGTGTTCGTTTCTACTCTGATGCGCCTGTTCTTCTTGCCCTCACCATGCAATAGATGGTAGTGTGGGAAGGAAATCGGTCTCGGAACCATAGTAGTCACTGGAGATTCTCATGAGGTGGGATTCGTATACTCGACTTATCTAGATTCCATGACATAACTGTGGATCGAGCTATTGCTATGGAGCACTTCTCCCCCGCCATAGATTCATCACCGCTGCATTCAATACTACTTAACCTATCGCAAGGCACTGGAGTCTGCTAGCGAGATCCGGAGTGTAGAAAACACACGGGTATTTCAGACTTTTTGTCCCACTGCAAAACTGCAAGCTAGGAAGCGTTGCAAGGTCGAATCTCAATGCTCACCAATGTAGGCACGATGTCTCCCCCTCAAGAAGGTGCATGAACTAAATGTTACAGTGAAGGATGCCGCAACCCCTGACAAGTTTTATTGTAGGCAACAATCAGCAGTTTGAGCCGTTTCAATTCCTAACCACCCGAGTAATTATACTAGGTTACAAATGCCGAGGTATCTTCTTCTGCTTCAAGTCTGCCCTGAAGCACAACGCCATCCAACGATGCAGTACGTTTCCAGTCACACCAATGCGCGCTGTTCACAGTTCCTTCCATCTGCCATCTCGGGCCTCTGGAGGTACGTCGACATAGTCCCAACGCCATGCTATGCTGTAGAGAACAGTAAAGTAAAATAAGGGAAGCAACACACAAGCGCCATTGACCGCCTTTTTGCGCGAATCACGAACCGTCGAGTCGGACGTCGCACAGTTCCAACGTCAGTTGAAGAGCACATCCACCAACTCGTCCAGAATTGTGAACGTCAAATGCGTACTGTTAGTCGGTCAGCATCATACCGTCTCTTTGCGCTAGCCTTCGGTTGGTCAGATGAGGCAACTCACTTTAGTCTCGTATTATTCAGTGTCGCGAATATCCTTCGACTCGCCGCCTGCGCATTGAGCCTCCCAACCACACTCCCCGCTAAGTCAGGCACCAAGGTGGCGAGCATTAAGCTCGCCTCACGTCTCGTCCTTGCCTTTTCCGAGGCGGTTCTCGGTAGCTTGTTTCGATTGAGCTGGCCTCCAGGCCACATGGTATCTCTCAAGAGCCCGATGTATTTGAGGATTGCGTCCTCTTGAATCAGGACCTTGACGTTATCCCTCACTTTACGCTCGATGGTGCCGCCCAGCAGCTGATGCAGTATGACAACTACAGCCCGACCACGCAGCCAGTTGTTTCCCCGGTTCAGCTCGAAGATTTCCAGAAAGATGTCGCAGATGGGTTTGATGAAGGGCTCCAGTTCCTTGTTCTCGAAGGCGTTGAGCTCCGCCTCGGCTTCCGCCGCCGTCATCGCGTCCTCGTTGACGTTCAATGGCATGGTGCTTAGTTGGCTTGTGGCCGCGGCTATCAGGTTCTGCCCGGCAACCGACAGCTGGTCCAAGACAGGGATGTTACCCAGGATATCTTCCATGCCATCGGTGACGGAGTCGTACAGACGAGTGATCATATCTTTCTTGTCTTCACGACTGACCAGATCTTCTCCCTTCTGGATGACGCTTTGGGAGAGGAAAGCGCGCAAATCCCTGCTCCGACAGACTTCGGGGAGACGTAAGAGTTCCCGCAAATACTGCTCGAGAGCTTGCTGTCGTTTCCGCAGAAATTCGCTTTGTAGTTTCATCACCATCCTTCGACGTGGGAAGTCAAGGTTCCTTACGGACGGGTACCTTTGTCGTAGCGTTTGGTGGAGCTCGTGGAACTCGCTGTATCTTCTTGTGACAACCCATGTGGCGGCCGGCATCTTTTCTCCTGCGACTCTCTGCACCTCAATGACGTACAGTGCAAATTCTTTCCCTTCGTCTTCTCGCCCGACTTGAATCGATTTAATCCTGATTGAGGCGCGCCCGTAGAGACTGTTGTCGCTCTCCTGTATAACGTACTGCTGTCTTTGCAGTTCCTTCCGTCGTAGTTCTCTCTGCAGACTCGCTCTAGACTTCCGTAGAATGCGCAACTCGGCGGTATTATTCGTTAACTCGGCCTTCTTGGTCAGGGAATCTATAACAGCTTCCTGAGTAACGAGACGATCGATGTCATTCGTCAACACAGTGATGGCTTCTGCAAGCCCAAGATCACCCGGTGCAGCTTCATGTACCTCGTCTTCGATATTTCCGGGCTCATCGTCGTCCAGGTCCTCCTGCTCATCTGATAGGAACTTTTCTTCATCCCCAAAGAGGTCATTATCTTCGAAAACGCCAATTCGAGAAGCGACGCTGACCAATCCAAGGGATGATATGCTGGGTTTGTCAATTTCTTTACCGTTACCACTGAACAGCGGCTGTTGTTGGTCGATCGAGCCTCTACCCGACTCATTGCCCTGGCCGGAGAAGATGCTCGAGGCACCGTCATCATATCCAAACAAAGATTCTCGGTATTCTTCCGCTGTCTTTGGGCGGTCGTCCTCCATGATATTGTTCAGTGCCTCTTCCATAGCCTGGACTATCTGATTATCAGGTGCCGGGTTCGTCAGGTCCTGTTCAAGACTTTGCACATAATCCCCCATAGGATCGTTGTCCAAATCATCATCATCGAACAAAGGTAAGGGCGCAGGTTCGTCCAGCGAGCGGCGGCCTGCCAGCAGATCAGGACTATGGCTACCATTAGTAGCGCCTGCCCTCAAATCACTCGTCGAAAGTCCACGGCGAGCATGAGCTGCATTGAGCCTCGGATTGAGCCTTGCCACGGGAGTTGGCGCAGGCTGCAGCTGGTAAGACTGCGTTGTACGAAGAGGCGGCTGCGGCGAAGATGGACCCGCTTGAGATTGAGACATGGACGGCTGGGAGATCTTTTTGGATGCCTCCTCCGAGGCAAGGCACTTGTACCAAAGGTCGGACTTCTTGAATGTCTGAAAGTACTTGGATTGCATCTCCTCGAGCGCGGCACTTTGCGCTCTCAGAACCGCGCGGCGAGCCCTATAATATTGCTCGGGCGTTCCACGTTTACCCGCTTCCAAGAATTTTCGTATGACCATTCTTGACGACTCGGGTACTCTAAGCTCGGGCTTCGATAGGTATGCTTGATCTATCTGCGCAAGATCTGTTCGATCGGCTTCGGTCCACGGCGCCAGAGTCGAGGGCAATTGTTCATCCTCGGCCCCGTCATCCTCTAGTGGGTTTCGGAAGCCCTCCACGACTAGCCAGAACTGCACCAGCGGCATCAGGTGTTGCCGGTCCATGTATTCCATGAAATAAGACAGGCCGAACGTATCACGCAGCAATTCAGCGAGGGGGGCGTTTGCAAGCTTCGAAGTGCTTGCAGCTGAGTCCGGGTTTGCCAACATCGGGACATGCCGCCTGTCCCTTCCAGCCGCCAGATGCTGCACTCTTTGGTCCAAGAGTCTTTTACCCATGTCCAAACGTCGCAAGTAGACTTGGTCCTGCCCCTCCTGCTCCATCTCCTTTTTGAGCTGACTGGCAACCTCACTTCTGAACCGACGTGCGTCCGAAAGATTGTTGACCTTGCGGATGGTCCTAATGAACTTCTCAAACCTTCGCTCACTGTCGCCTGGAAGGAGCCGTGGGAATGAAGCCATCTTGGAAGATCTGGGTGTTGGAGATGCGTGTGCATCCAAGGCAGCACGTAACTTGCGTACCGTTGAGCGATCCTGTAGCATGCTCCGCCCATAATTCTCCATTATCTGATTCCATGTATCGGGCTCTGCGAGTATCGTCATGACAGGGAAGAAGACAGCACAAGCAACTATCTCCCGCATAATGCTTGACACGGTCCGGCTGTTCAGCACATTGGCAGGAAGCACTTTGGGTAATATTCCAGCAATCATCTTCCGCAGGTGCTCCTGTTGGATCATTTTGGTATCCGAATAAGCCAGGGATGCAGCCGGGTGCAGCTTGCCTTCCCTGTACTTCCCTGCGATGGCGATATCCAGCTCTTCCGACTCGGTAACGCTACGATTCAACTTGCGCCCACGCACTGCTCTTTCGGCATCGTTGAAGTCCCGAAAGTGTGCCGTAAGGATTGGGACTATGCGACTCGTGACGACTTCGACTAGATCGGTCTCGAACAGGCGGTCTCGGATGTTGGCAAGCGCAAGCCTGGCAGTCTTGTCCACTTCGTTCGAGAACACCGGGTTTTGACTGATGCTGGAGTACCATGACGAGACAAAGTCCCGCACGATCAAATTGAGCAGGTCGTCGAGGGCATGCGAGATCTTGCGGGAGTCGGGGTACAAAGGGGCCTTCTCGTAGATCTGTCGGACACGGAGTGACGATGTTTCCCTCCTCCACGCCACCGGTCCAACGAAACTAACGGCATGAGGACGAGACGACCTGTTCTTGAGTCTATATTCAGAACCGCGGGAGGTTAGGAGTATGAGTAGCAGTAAACTGAGCACGGCTACAAGCACGCCGGCAACGAAGGCGTGGCCCGCCCATCGCAACGTTGGGACCCAGCTCACGGCATATCCCCAGGCAATGAAGCAGGCGATGCCAGCCAAAGCGACATCTCTTCCCTTAAGGGCCATGATCCGCGTCGACTTGACGGAATCTTCGCGTCATGTTTCGTTGCTGATTCAAAAGTCGAGAGGAGCTTGGAAAGCCGGAGGTGTGTTATCGATTAAGCACATTCAAGGCTCCAAGGTCTAAAGAGGTGGGGCGGCCCTTGTGGCGCACACCATTACAACTATTTGGAAGACCAAGACCGCAACCGCAGCGTGACTTAAATGTGACCAGCCATCAACTGTAATTCAGACTGCAAACAACCGGGCAGTTTAGACATCCTTGTTCATCACAACAAAGCCTGTTCATCCGAAAGTAAACCATTCACACCAATTCTATGAGGTATACACGCATTGCCTTATATTTTTTCAACAAGCCTGCCAAGCGTTTACAAATATCTACTTGTCACCAGATAAATGGCCTACGAGATCAATACCGTTATCGGCCTCCGGCTTCACTAAAATGTACGCTCGGGTGTGAGAGCTGCTCGTGCGAAAGGAAAAATTATGCATGGTAACAGCAGGGCATGTGAGTCTACTTCTCTTTTCTTTCTGGAATAGATTGAGCACATATTTCTCGGGGTATCATGTTTTTGAATTGAACTGCAAGGCATGCGGGTTTCATCGTGTTCCACTGGCAACACCACGCACAGGTTTTATTAATAGCATAGCCATGCTCTAATGGCCGACTTGGGGGATTTGTCTTTTGTTGTGGAGGACCTTTATCCGACGGCAGCTATCGTTTCACACCATCACACACAGCAAGGCATCCAACTTCACGCAACAAGCATCATCACGCGCAGGAGTTTCACGGGCACGGCGAGCTTTCAACGTCACGAAACTGGAACAATCATCGCTTACGTTGGGGGTCCTGCAATTTTCCAAGTCAGCGGGTTGCTCTTTCCAAGATTCCAGTGTCAAGGCGGGACACAGCTTGTAAGGTAATGGGCCAAGACTATGTCGTAGTCGAGGCATGCGCCTGTGTGGAAGACAGAGAGAAGTACTTACCAGCGTAGTTCTTTTTTCCCCAAGCCATGTACCACGCCAGGGAGATGAGCACGAAAGCGGCAAATACCACGGAGGCGTAGTTCATGGTTGCCGCATCGACTGGGATGTAAGAGGGCATGCAGAAGAGTGGAATAGCCAAACACGACCAGCCTGTTTCAGGTAAGCACTCGGGGGACAGAGCAGAGGAATCGAGCACGTACCAACGGCGATAATGTTGCAGAACAGACCGAGCTTGCCGAGATAGAAGCTACCGGTACTAATGGTCCTGCGTCCGTCAAAGAGACTGATGACAATGGGAACAGCATACGAGGCTGTGAGAGCGATGACACCAACGCCAGAGAAAGCGTTGAAGGCAGCAGTCGAGCCGAAGTAGAGGAAGCCCAGCAGAATTTGGACAGCCATGCTGAGCAGCATGGCGTTGGCAGGCACGTCTAACTTGGAGTTGACCTGCTTCCAATACTTTGCACCGGGGATGGCACCGTCTCGAGCGAAAGCCCAAGTGCACCTCGAGGCAGCGGTGGTGCAGCCGATACCACAAATGAGAGCCAGGACAATCAACGGAATCAGAAGACCAAAGGCGCCACCGGCAGATCCCACGGCGCTCTTGAGGATGGTCGGGACGGGTTGACCGGATGCAAGCGCGATGAGTTCGGCAATGTCGGGGAGGACAAACAGAATCGGCAGCAGAAACATCAAGCCAGCAACCGTGTTAATACAAACAGTCAAGACCATGGCTTTGGGGACCTGGGTCGCGGGCTCTCGGACTTCCTCACACATGGAAATGATCATGCCAGTAGATGAAGTCGCATACGCGGCCTGCAGGAGTCCTACCATGAAGGACCAGCCGGGGACCCATCCAGAATTGGCTTCGAAGTGAGTGAACACAAAGGTAGCGTCTCGGCGGCCGTTTTTGGCGATGGCTAAGATACAGGCCATGATGGCGATGACACCCCCTAGAGTCCAGAAGATGGCGAAGGTATCGAGCCAGGGCAGCCAGCGGTTTCCGAATGCGGAGGCGGCATTGCAAAGCAGTGTGATGGCCAGGAAAATGAGGAACACCTGCCAAGTCTCGCCTGGGAAGATAGGCTCCGCTTCCGAGGTCTCGAACACGTTGAGGCAGGCGACGAGAAACAACGCAGTACCGAAATTGACAGCCAGAGTGATGGTGATGTTGCCCACCACATACAGCCAACCACATATCCACGAGGCAATACGCTGGTACTCTGGGGCAGCCAACATGAATGCCTGGTAGTAAACACCGCCGGCAGTGGGATAGACTGCAGAGCACCAAGTCAGTTCACTCCTTCACACAAGAGAGGGCTAATATCAGTGCTCTGAGGGTAGTGAATCATACCCGAAGTAATCTCTCCCAAGGAAGCTGCCACACAGATGGTGATCAACGAAACAGCGACCCAGCCCCAGACGACGTCGACGGGGCCTCCACCGGCGAGCGGATAGTAGAAGGTTGTAGCCAGTCCGTAGGGGATCGACGCCAAGACGAAAGACATGAAGGCCACTTGAAGCGTGGAACGGTTCCGCAGGAGCTCCGGAGTATAGCCAAGCTGCTCCAGAAGCTGGTCGGCAGAGCCTGAGGCAATATCGCCAGATCCGGCCCGCTCGGGCATCTTATCGGAACTGGTCTTCGGGGAACCCATGGTGACAAGTGTCGACTCAAACGGTACAATGGAAGCGTATGGTTGCCAAAGAGTAACCTGGCTGAGGTAGCACTGTCTGTTCGTCTGCAACGAAGGACTCGGAGACGGATGGTGGAAGGAAGAGAGGAAGGAAGGGAATGTCGCGTGTATTGCGGGTGAAAGGTTTTTAGGAGTTCCTCGAGGAAATTTCAGGACGGTTAACAATGGAGAATTCGCCCAGAAAATCCGGAGCTCATCTGGCCTGACATCATCGCCCCGTCTTGGTTTGTGACTTTCAAGCTGCAATGTCACAACTTTCCTAACTTGGGCATCCAGGAACACGGCAACCACCGTGTTCCCTGGCCCCTGGGCAAGCGATAGGTACTGCAAAACGTTGCGCTTTGGGGAGCCAATCACCGAGGCGCGTTCCCGCTTACACCCTTGTGCTGCCCGAGCGTGCCCCGAGAAACTGGAACCTCTAGTTAGTTTAACAGATGAACCGTGATAAACGACGGTGGTTGCCGCGGAGCCGACACACGCACAATACGATGTCTAGATACGAAACTAAGTTCTTTCGTATCTATGTGGGTTTTCGATATCGTCCCTATTCCCACAACTTGGAAGCTTTGATGCTTCGGCCTCTGTTATCCGTATCTATGGAATGGGGAATGTGCCGTTCTTTGTGGGAAAATCTGAAATTAAAAGGCAGTGGGGACGCCCTTTTAAATTGTAACGTAATCGTGGTGAAGCATATATCGCGCATGAGTCAGGCCAGAAATTCGAAGTAGCCATGCTCGCCGGAGCCAAGCTGTGGGATACCCGTGCCACACCCCACTTATTTCGGATTCGCTTGAGCTCACCAACCTAAGTTGGTGCTCACCACCAACTTGGCCAGTTTTTCGACACTTTCAACTTCAACCTATCCTATCTTCGTCAATTCATTAGCTTTTTCCAATCGCAATGGACTCACAGCTACAGGAAGCCGTCCTCTACATGCAAGAGCATCCTCAAGCCAAAATTGCCAAGATTGCGCGAGAAAGCGGCGTAAAACGCGAGACCCTCCGATACCGCGTCAAGCAAGCTGGGAAGACTAAGAACCACGGAGGACTCAACAAACTACTATCTGAAGCCGAAGAAAAGGCCCTCTGTAATTACATCTACCGCCTTGATAGGATCAATCTTGCGGTTCGCGTAGAATTCGTTACCGACGCTGCAAATACGATATTACGTGAGAGAGTCAAGGTTCTACCAAATCAGCCACCACTAACAGTCGGATCAAACTGGACTACACGTTTCCTCAAGCGCCATAGCTACTTCCACGCTTCCCAGCGGAAGCTCCATTCAAACCGTCAGACTGCTGAAAACCTCGACACTATACGAGAGTATTTTACACGGCTTGAGAGAGTCCTCCGGGAAGAAGGAATCGATCCCTCTGATCTCTGGAATATGGACGAGACTGGCTTCCGGATTGGTGTTGGTAAGGATCAACTTATCATCGCTAAGCGCAAGAGGGCCCATTAGTTCGACCTACCAGAAAATAGAGAGACAGCGACAGCTATTGAAGTTATCTCTGCTGCTGGCGACGTAATACCAGCTTTCCTCATACTCACGGGGACTATCCACTCGGCTCAGTGGTACGCGCAAGACCTTCATCCAGATACGAAGCTACGGCCGGTCGATACAGGCTATTCGAATGACGAGATCTCTCTCGAGTGGCTTATGCACTTCGAACGACACTCTAAGAAAACGCAGAAAGGTCGAAAGCGACTATTGATCTTAGACGGCCACGGCAGCCACCATACGAAGCAGTTTATCCAGTACTGCAACGACCACGATATTATACCCTTCGGTTTGCCCCCCCCATCTTACTCATCTCTTACAGCCACTAGATGTGGTTGTTTTTCAGCCATATAAGCACTGGCATGCGAAGTCCCTCGATCAGCTAGTACGGGATGGATGTACCAATATAACCAAACTAGAGTTCCTCTCAATTATCGAAGATGTACGCAAAAAGACCTTCAAAGCGAGTACTATCCAGTCAGCCTTCAAGAAAACCGGTATATATCCATTTTACCCTCATCCAATACTACAAGAGATTGAAGAACGTATACCAAAGACGCCATCACCACCACCACCAGCCCCTTCATCTTCGTCATATGAAGGCACACCTACTACTTTTCGACAAATTAATAAAGTAGCTAGCAAGATTACGAACTGTCTTACTGATCCAGAGCTTGGTATTAGTCCAGATCTAGCCTATCGACTTAGTCGCTTTGTTAAAGGGTCCCTCGTTAATGCGACCGAGCTTATACAGACTAAGCGCGATCTTAGCCGTACAAAGTACGCCGAACGTATATCAAAACAACGGCGCGCTACGAAGAACTATCATCTTCAATCTGGTAATCCGTTGCAGAAGGTAGAGAGATGGTGAAGAGGAAGGTCGAAGATGAGGTAGCTAAAGCACAGAGAGTTCTCGCCAAGTATCATGAAGGACTACGTAGAGTAGCCAAAAAGAGCTTTTCTGATGCCGCAAAAGAAGCTAGAAGACGTCGATTGACAGGCCAATTACAGCCTACAGATGTCTTCGAGACAGGCCTTGGTTGGCAGTTATTACGTAGATTCTAATTGAAGGTTGAAATCCGTCGAAAAACTGGCCAAGTTGGTGGTGAGCACCAACTTAGGTTGATTTTCTTTGAAGGGGGCATTGTTAGGCAACCTTGGTGGGCTTTGCCAAGACCACCAAGGTTACCACGTGACTTAGCCCTTCGGGACTAAGTCCAACCTTCGTGCTCCATAAGACTAGATAGAATGTCATGCTTTTACAACCTCACAAATCTTTGACCACCTTTGCGTGTAACAATAGTAGCATCTCTTCTTCGACAAGGGACCTACTAATTTTTTCCCTGACGATCGTTGCGGTTGTCCAACGATCCAAAGGTGACGACAAAAGCAACCTACCCAGCAAAGCTTACTCGGACAACGGCATTACCGTTGCATGACCGAGGGGCGCCGAGACTCGCTAACAGATTAGTGGAAACCGGTGCCGTAATCAAGTCCGAAAAGAGGGTCCAGTTCGGTGAAGGAAGTGGGAAAGTGGGGTTGAAGGACTGAAGGGGCTGAAGGACAAATCACGATAAGTATTGATATTTCACAAGTTTGCGATGCATGAATCTTTGCGCTGGGGACCGGCGTCAGAATACGTAAGCATCACAGGCAAGCTCCCTGATGTAGCATATAGACAGTCCATTCACGTTTCGCCTTATGATATATAATAAACCCACACGACCCACTGCTGCACTCTGGGGCTCCTCAGGGGGTCCGCCCCTCACCAACAGCGTGTATTTGGTGGACGTGGCCACAATGCTTGACGACATTGGGTAAAATTATCCTGTCTTACCAATCAGGCAAAAGATGCCTTTTCCACTTCTGTCCGCCTCTCTCTGTGCCGCTCGATCCTGAGATACAGAAAATCATCATTGGACGCCGGATTGCAAGGGGTGCGAAAGAAAGGAGATCATCAATGCTCATATCAGCTTCGGACCGACTGTGTGCGGCACATGAGATTCAAATCTCTCGACTTCGCCTCTGTGGCTCACCACGGATTGTCCTCGAGTCGTCGAAACAGCGCCACGAACTTTGGGCCGTTGTTTCTTTCCACCTTCTTTCCTTCCTCCGTTTCGGTTCTCATGATTTTCACGCACTCGTCTGCCTCTTGCTCTTCAAACGGGATTCTCTCAAAGGATGGATGCGCCTCCAAGTGGTGCACCATCCACTCATGCAGATCCTCGACATCCGTAATTGTGTAAACGATACCACCGGGCTTCAGCACGTAGGCGTACTCCGAGTTGAGTGTCACCGACACAATTCTAGCTTTGTGCTTTCGCGCCTTGAAGTGTGGATCCGGGAAGCAGATGAAAATCTTGGAGAGCTGAGACTTCTTGAAGAAATTGGGCAGAAACTTCATCGTGTTTGCTCTTAGACACCCGATGTTCTGGTAAACGTTGGTTTCAGGATTCTGCGCGCGGAGAGATCGAATTCGTTCTTGAACAAACTCAGTCACTTGAGTTCGGATCTCCAGTCCCAAGATCAACTTCTCGGGCATGGAGGGCGCCAATGCGACAAGTAGACCACCGAACCCACAACCAATGTCTATAACTTCAACATCTTGCTTCATCTTCTTTGTACTCATTACCGCTATCGAGTCTTGCGATTTGGCGTCTGCTGGCTCTTGGTCTTGGTGACAAACGAAAGCAGGGAAAAAGGTTGACCAGTCCATATCAATGGGTGTTCGTGGACTATTCTTATGTCAGCATACATAGAGCACAATATATCAATATATGCATACTAGGTCAGCTGGTGGTCAGAGAAGGGATTGGCATGAGCTCGCTGGCGATAGAACTTTTTCTTGGGCATTTCAGTTCCGCCATGTTGCTCTCGAGCTGAGCGGTACTCAGCTCGCTTCTGCCGCTTATTTGGAGCGCCCGCCATTTTAAATGCTCGATATCGATATCGCAGCTGTCTGAGAGAGTTCGGGTTGGAAGGTCGGTCGTACCTTGCAAGGTGGTGAAGATCAAAGGTGACGAGTGATGCCAATGAGGCTCAAATTGAGATGGACTGCAATGTTCAAAATCTAAATTTTGGCGGGGTGCAGAGGTGCCGGCAACTGTGAGCTCCGGGCGCCGACCTGGGCTGGATCAGTTAGGTTAGATCTCTTGGGATGGGCCCCGAGGTAGCACCAACCGAATTAGGCACGTGAGGCACCCGAATCCCAGCCCCTGGCGTTCTAACGTCATTTTGTGCCTCGGCCCAAACCGGCCACCTCTTTTTGCGACGCGGGTGCATCAACAGCTCTAGATGACAATCACCAACTGCCATGAACTGACCACGCTCGCGTCTTGAGACCCTATATTTGGCTTATTCTACGCGTCTCCTTCAACACGGCAATGAGATAGCGAAACGTCCCGATCCTAAAAATGGCTATCCGGGAGGAGCTTGTTGCCTCGGCGGTCAACTGTTAGTTGATACTAGATGAGCAAGTGATATGGTTATTCAGCTAACATGGATGGTTACAGTCCTTCAAGATCCGAATGTCGCATCATCGCCAGTCGAGAACAGAGTCTCATTTCTACAATCCAAGAACTTGACACAAGAGGAGATCGATGTGGCTCTTGCTCGCGCGGGAACCCCTTCGCCCGTAGGCCCACCGCCCCTGTCGCAAGCCGTGGTACCGGCAGCTCAGCAGCAGCAGCAATACTATGGCCGGTATCAGACACAGCCTTATGGATGGCAGCCTCCTCCACCTGTGGCGCCTAAGCGGGACTGGCGGGATTGGTTCATTATGGCTACGGTGATGGCGGGCGTTGGGTCTGGATTGTATGTGATCACAAAGGTAAGGAATCAGCAGCACAAGCAGTTTCTGACACACAGATACTGATCCTATTCCTAGCGATACATCAAGCCCCTAGTGGCGCCGCCGACACCAGAAAAGCTGGAGCAAGATAAAACCGCAGTAGATGAGCAATTCGAGAAGGCCTTTATGACCCTCGAGCAGCTATCAAAGGATACCGAGGCTCTCAAGGCTTCTGAACAGGAGCGGACGGAGAAACTGGATAAGATCCTGACCGACTTGGAGTCTTTCATGCGTGATACCAAGTCGGCGAGCCGAAGACAGGAGGACGAAACAGACCGGTTACGTGACGAAATGAAGTCTCTCAAGGACGTCATACCCAAATCCATGACCTCTCACAAGGAGTTCACCGATAGTCGGTTACGAGAGATCAGCAACGAAGTGAAGAGCTTGAAATCCTTGATCGGCCAGCGCATGAGCTCTGCCCAGGCGGCGGCGCCCCCGTCAAGTGCAGCGGGTTATCTCCGGCCCAGTAGTGGCAATGCCGGGCCTGCCAGTCCTGCTGTCACACCTAACACACCGGCACAGGATACATCCGTGAAGGAGAATGTCGACGTTACGGAAGCCAAGAGTGCGGAGACACCGTCTCAGGCGAGCAGGCAGGACTACTTATCCTCCCTCAACGGTCGGTCTAGTCCGTTCGGCAATGGGTCGGCAGCGGGGAAGGCATCGATTCCGGCTTGGCAGTTGGCGGCGGCGAATAAGGCAAACGCGGCCAGTGGATCGCAGCAGGATGCCGGAACCAGTTCTTAGACCTTGAGTGATGGGCAAGCTGTACGTGTTTTGGCTACTGTAAATGTACTTATAATGACGGGGAAGCTTCGCTGGTCCGCATTTGTCTCTTCAAGCCTCCAGTTTTTCAAGGGCAGGTGTAGTAAGAAGGAGCGATCGAACTTCTTTCGAAGACGTGGGCGTATAAGAAATATCAACAATGGCATTAACTGTGTCTTGGTATGCATATATGCATTAATCCTGTGCCTCGACACGTACGCTTGGCCAAACCCTGACGTCTAGGAATTACAGGCATGTTAACTTGTAAACTTCAAGCTCTTAACAAAAAATTCAATTCTCCCTCATCAAGGAGCTCACAGCAAGAAATTACGATCTAAGTTGAAGGAATCGTAGTCAGTAGAGATTTATAAGAGAACAGATTAGTCATGAAACTACCCGTGTCCGGCAAAACAGACTACGGAAATCGTAATTTTATACCTACCGATGAGCTGCTACGGCCTGGGAAGAGCCCTGACGGACAAGCTCTTTAGCGCGTTCGATTCGCTGCTCAAAATCGTCCAGACTATTCTCCACTGTGTTAGCCATTTTGTACGTAGATAGGGAGCAATTGCGAGGTAAATTGAGAGATGTCTTGTTGTTGAGGCGTAGAAATTCCCTGCAAAATGGGGGTGCATGCAAAAAGGTGGTCAATGCGGTTGGTTTCAGCGGCAGGTGCCAACGATTTTCTTGGACCGTCCGAAGGCCCGCGACAATTACTCTTTTAAGCGATGGTCGCGACCTTCTATCGGTTGCAATGATCCACAACTCCGATCTTTCTATGTCTATGGCGCCCGATTGTTCTTCCTGTCTGCAAAGCAAGGATCGTCCTGAATAACTAGAACCGCATACAGCTTCCACATGCCGTCTCGAGTGGTATACAGTAGCGTGCCACACATCTGGTTCCACGATTCTAGGAATTTCCGGATTGATTGGAAGAAGACTGCCATTTTGGGCACTATCAGCTATATCGTATGGGACGACGATTCCAAATGAGTGCACGTCTCTCCCGGATGCTGAGTCTACCGACCAGAACGGTTTGCTCAGTGAACCTGGCCTAGCAGTTGCTAGTGTGTCGAGTTCATGCGAAGTGACTTCCATAGGCTGGATTGTCTTGCCTTGTGATTCGAAGCAGGTCGCAATTGACTAGTATAGCGTCATTGTACGCAGGGATTCCACCTCGGGCTATAACTAGGAGGCACCCTGTCAGCGTCCAAAAGTTGAGACTGGGGCCCGTTGCCATTCATCTTCATCATCAAACAAAACAGTGTGAAGCGCACTTTTTGTCGATGGTCGGGACTCTTGCGGAAGTACATAATTCCAGAGATTCCGATTTTCTAAACTGGTTCTCGATTGGATCCTTGTCAACCCTATTCGTCCCTGACTGACTGTCCAACCGATTGGAAGCAAAACATACCAGGCTCGACGCTCCGCCGATCTTCGTCGCAGGAATCTTTTCGCCATTTTTCTTTATACAGCCCATACCTATCCCTTCAACAATGGAAAATAAAAAGGGGAGTCTTAAGGAAAAGGCAAAGGCACAGCTTGCCATTTTGCGCGTCATCCTTCCATTGTTACCCTTCATCAGTCGGGTCATATTGTTACATGTCCTCGGAAAGTCAGAGACTTCGAAGTATCTGGACCTGAAGAGTGTGCTGCTGGTGTCAATATTGCAGAGGCTATGCGATCCTCCACAAAATAAATTACAATCTATAACGAAACTGCAGGCGCTCACGACTCGGGATGTGCCTGTCAAAGGAAGGATATGGGTGAGCCATGTTGCCGCGGTTGTACCACCAGATACGAGCATCAGAGATGTTTTGATAGCCGCCATCGAGGGTACAAAGCGGGACTTGGTACCGGGAAGTGCAGATTGTAGGATTCCTGAGATTGTGCCAGTCGAGGCAGAGTGGACGGGTTATCGGGAGGATGCTAGTCGCGAAGCCAAACCACCGGCGGTCACGGAGGAGGAAAAGTACTTGCGGATGATGAAGGGTTGCAAGAGTCCCGTTACAGTGCTCTACTTTCATGGAGGCGCATACTATCTTATGGACCCTGCGTCTCATCGACCGGCCGTGAAGAATATCTCCAAGTTGACTGGTGGCCGAGTATACTCTGTTCGATATCGTCTCGCACCGCAGCACCCTTTTCCTTCCGCCCTCCTGGACGCACTTGTCTCTTATTTCACCTTGCTTTACCCGCCGCCCGGGTCCGTCCATGAAGCGGTTCCGCCGGAAAATATTGTCTTTGGCGGGGATAGGTAAGTATACGTACTAGTAAAATCAAGGATCAGGTTCTGATCTTGGATTCATAGTGCTGGAGGCAATCTCAGCCTAGCCCTTCTCCAGACTCTCCTCGAAATCCGACGACAAAACCAACGGATCACTTGGTTTCATGAAGATCGACATGTGCCCCTCCCCGGAGGCGTTACGGCCATTTCCCCCTGGCTAGACGTGGTCCAGGGCATGCCTTCGTGGAAACGCAACCAGACATGGGACTACTTACCGCCGCCAAACGTATTAGATAGGAAAGATCCCCCATGTGCCGCCTGGCCCTCAAACCCACCCCGACGACACGTTTTCATCGACGATGACTACCTGCTTCACCCAATGGCCAGCTTGACACTAAGTAAAAGTTGGAAGGGCGCACCACCCGTGTACCTCACCTGCGGCTGGGAGTGCCTCGCAGACGAGGGAAAGTGGCTGGTCAAGAAGCTCAGCCACGACGGTGTTCCGGTCGTGTTTGAGGAGTATGAAGCGATGCCGCACGTGTTTGCGTTTATCTTGACCAAACGGCCTGAGGCGGCTCGCTGTCTAGCCGGCTTGACTAATTTCATGAAAGTCGCTGTCGAGAATCCCGCAAAAATCGCATCGAGATACACCACGATCAAGGCGAGAACGTGCGAAGAGGTTAAAATCGACGTGGATAGTCTTAGCCCGCACAGCCAAGATGACTTGAGGAAGATGGCTTATATGATGATTGGAACGGATTCAATGCCAAGTGCGCCCATAGCCAAGCTATGAAGCGACATGCCGCGTCGAAAATTAGGTGAATTTTCATCGTGAGAGTTGAGACCGAACTAAGGTACTCATACTATTTAAAACATTCAAAGGATTTAGATGAGAAGGTCATACAAGTGCTGTAAATTACAGATTGGGAGGGTCGAAGGTTTTGGAGATTATATACATCCATGTTCTTTGAAATGAGTTACAAAACATATCATGCGTAACCACACGATATTCTCTATTTTTAGGTAACCAAGTAACGAGGACTTAGTAAAAGCCCTATCCGGAGGAGAATGATGCATCTCAGCCATAATTCACACACATCTGAAATCGTGCCATCGTACCTGGGCTCCCGTGACCCGCAACTGGGAGATCTTGGCTGAGTGCGACTTCCCCAATTCTCCCCTAACCCAGCGGCTTCTACGGGGGATCAGCGTAGGAACCCTGCAGCCTCCAGCTCCCCTGTCGGAACTCAAAATTCTCAAACCACCCGCGCATCCGCCTCATGCGCCTCCAGGTTGACACAACGCTGGCGCAAAGGGGGAACGGGCGGAGGAAACTATGCCTAGAAACTAAGCCATTGAACCCTTTAGAACTCTAAAAACCACTCCCAACGTTCTCAACCCCAAAATGGAACGGCACCGCGCCGCCGTGCGACTCATCTCGTCCACGATCCGCGGCTTCTTCGACCGCGCCGAACCCTACCGCATCACCCACGGCTCAACCAACTCAACCCGGCCAGCGCACCTCAAGAAAGCCTCCCGGCTCGTCGATATATCGGCACTCTCCAATGTACTCGAGGTGAACACAGAACAGCGCACCGCGCTCGTCGAGCCTAACGTCCCCATGGACCGGCTCGTTGAGCACACGCTCCGGCACGGCCTCGTCCCGCCCGTCGTCATGGAGTTTCCTGGGATTACAGCGGGGGGAGGCTTCGCGGGCACGGCGGGCGAGAGCAGTAGTTTTCGGTGGGGATATTTTGACGAGAATGTGAAGAAGGTCGAGATGGTGCTTCCGGATGGGGAGGTGGTGGAGGCCGAACCGCGGGCGGGGACTAGGTATGCGGATTTGTTCCGGGCGGCGGCGTCGACGGTGGGGACGTTGGGTGTCACGACGTTGTTGGAGCTGGAGCTTATTGAGGCGAAGAAGTTCGTGCGAACCACGTATCGGAGGACCAGCAGTATTGCCGAGGCGATCAAGGTGGTCAGAGAGGAGTGCGCGAGGGAGGATAATGATTATGTGGATGGGATTCTGTTCTCCAAGGACCATGGCGTTATTGTCAGTGGGAAGATGACGGACGATGGGCCGCGTGAGGGCGAGAGCTTGAGGACGTTTAGCGGGCCGTGGGATCCTTGGTTCTATCTTCATGTCAAGGACACCACCAAGGCTGTGCCTTCGTCAACATCGACGACAGGCACTACGGGAACTGTAACGGAAACAATACCATTGGCCGAGTACCTTTTTCGATACGACAGGGGCGGTTTCTGGGTCGGGGCTGCTGCATTCGAATACTTCCGCCCCATCCCCTTTAACCGCTTCTTCCGCTGGTTCCTGGACGACTTCCTGCACACGCGCATGCTATACCGCGCACTACACGCAAGTGGCGAGAGCGCCAAATTCTTCGTGCAAGACCTAGGACTTCCGTACGAGACGGCGGAGCAGTTCATCGACTACACGGCCGACAAGCTGAACATCTGGCCCCTGTGGCTCTGCCCGCTAAAGACACCAAAGGGTCCGACCTTCCACCCACATCTTAGGGGAAAGGGTGCAGGCGAGATGTTGAATATCGGTGTTTGGGGCTGGGGCCCGGCGGACAAGGAAGCGTTCGTCAAAGTCAACCGGGGCCTCGAGGCCAAGGTCAACGAGCTGGGCGGCCAGAAATGGCTCTATGCTCATACGTACTACGAGCAAGACGAGTTCTGGGAGACGTACGGGAACAAGGAATGGTACGATGGTCTGAGGCAGAAGTACAAGGCGACGTCATTACCGACTGTGTTTGATAAGGTGAGGGTCAAGGATGCGCCACCTGAAACAGGCTGGAAGGCCATGGTGAAGAGCACATGGCCGCTTGGGGGGTTAGTCGGGATTCTGAGAGGGATTCAGTCTAAGGATTATTTGATGCATCGGAATGCGACGTGGAAATGGAATGGAGATAAAGGAAGGGAAAAGGTGCTGTAGATTGCAGAGTGGCTGGCGGCATGTATTACTCTTACAGGCGGTATAGCCAGCAGCTGGACGATGGAATAGCATGTATACATATAGATGTAAGACCATGTCAACCTACCGTGAAGTTGCCGTTATCCAAGGAACGGGGGTATCTGTAAGTACTGTACCTTTGCTGTTCGCGCCTTGGAACTGCCTCACGACATTGAGCCACTTGGCCGACTTCCAAAATCCCAGTAAGACCACCTAAACCGGGACTTTCGAGGTACGGTTTTGTCAGCTGCATGGATATTCCTGAAATGATTGGTGAGATACTGCACCTACGTCGTAACTGCATCTGCTAGTTGGCCGGGGTGGCTCGGTCGATATTGGTAAATGAGGTGACGATTGGGTACTGTATGAGGCAAGATGGGAAGTTCATGGAAGGAACGAATCTTTAGTATTTCCTCTTCAGATAAGACTTATAGAGTTTTGTGCCTACACCTGTTCTCATGAGTCTCATAAATTTCTTTTCCAATACCTGGAAAAAGTCTAAAGCCGAGAGAACGGGGCCAGAGCCGGGCGACAATGGATTCGGGTTTCATACCGTTATTGACAGGGACGCCGACGCTCCTGAAATGGCCGACATCGTGGCGGTCCACGGGCTCAATGGCCACTACGAGACTACTTGGACTGATGAGAAGACCGGGGTAAACTGGCTACGGGACTGCATGACGATCAAGTTTGCCCATGTCATGTCCTTCTCGTACAACTCGGCCGTCCAGTTCAGCAAATCCATCTCGGATCTTTTCATCTTTGCTGACCAGCTCTTAGAAGGCCCTCTGGCTGCGAGAATCAGTATGGAAAAACAGAGCTGACCGAGCATCTTCATCTGTCACAGCCTCGGAGGTATTGTCTTCAAGCATGCTGTTATTCGCGCCTACGAGAGTGAAAGGTATATTTCTCTCAGAACCCGCATCACTAGCGTGCTTTTCTTTGGAATACCTCACCGTGGTGCAGATATCGCAAATATAGCCATACCCATCGATAGTAATCACTGCACAATGTGCCGTTTCTCGCACAAGAACGAGCCGCGCTTCCAGACTGTGATGGCCAACCTCGCAAACCTGGCTAGAGACGCCCGCAAATCGATGAATTCCACTCCGGAGATTGGAACGTCCTTGTTGATGGGAGATCTCTCCAGGTCGAACTGGAAACAGCACAAAGAGCGTAACCCGCCGACTGTTCAAGGTACTTCCAGAATAATTGCTTGAGGGCATCGAGAAACAGCTGATACGACGTGCTGACCGGACGTTCCTCTAGGTGACCCTCATCCTGCAACTTCTCGTGCAGAAAGTCGAGACCGGTGCCTCACGACACGGGCCAGACGGACTCCTGGAAAGTCAGGATATTGACACAATCTACTTAGAGCTCCTTTCTACCCGCCCAGATGCCGCCGAGGCTCGAAAGATGCTGAGTATCATATCGGTCGCCACCAGACCCTTAACAATAGTGGAAATGAGCATGGCGTTGGCAGTAACCCCTGACCACGATGCCCTGTAGACGGGCAAGCTCCCACGCCGGCCAGATTCGAAAAGATTACACGACCTGGAATACAACCTGGTTTATCCATTTGAAATTCATTTGAAGTCAATCTGCGGAAACTTTGTGAGAACCTTTCAGGACAAGGTCTGCCTTATTCACAAAACTGCCTGCGAGTTCTTGCTAGAACTCGAAGAACCCTGGACTGAAGACTCGCAGCCGTGATCCATGGGGTGGGATCAAGATCCTATCGAGCCTTGGGTTGAACAAAGCGAAACGTCCTCACCGACGGCTACTACTTTGCATTTGGAGACAGCGCCGAATCCGTGGCAGCTCTCATTCACAATGCAAGAATGCGAGGCTGTCTTGTTACAAGTTTGCACAACCTTCCTGTACATGCTTGGCAAGGAATCTAGAGTAGCAGAACCAGGCCAGCCAAGCGAGCGAACACGCCCTTTCCCCGACTACGCCGGGACCTCGTGGGGACGATCTACAAGACTTCTACCTCAACCTTCTAGGCATCGACCTGACGGACGCCACGCCTCAAGACGCTAGTATATTAGACATTGACCAATATCACATTGATTCCAAATCCATGCGCTCCAATCTCGGGTTGATAAGATGCCGCATGGCGCTCAACGTCTGCTCGTCGAATCTGGCGTCGATCAATAATCAACACTTCCCCTTTAAGGCAGACGAGACTGGCTTTGTATTCATCGATTATGCACAAGCCCAGATATATCCACACATGTAGAATGGAGCCATCGAGGCTCTATATACGAAGAGCGATAGGTGGGGGCAGCTGCAGCAGCTGCTCGCGATGGAGGAACAGACTTTGCTCCCGAGTGAAGTTGCCAGAACGGCTGGAAATTTCACATGAGATGAAATTGGGGCTTAAGAAATCTGGATTTAAGAAATACAACATCTACACTCTGTTACCATGGTTGCGATGTACTACACAACTCCGGGCTTGGTAACTAATGGGGAGGTAGGTAGGGGTAGGACGCAGCATATGAGAAACAAAACACTCTCCTCCTCTCCGAAAGCCAAAGCTCTCTCGCAAATCACAGATAAATACCCGTGAACTTCGATCACTCACTTTAAACCGTATCAAAACATAATAGACACTACCCCTGTGTATATACACGTTTCGGAACATCTGTAGTGCGAAGGTCTACTAGGAGCTTCTCGAGAGGAAGCTGGCGACAATATTCATAAATAGCCAAGATTAAGTCGGGTTCCCCAGCCTCACACGTACACGCTTTCTATACACGTGTATTTATAACCACGGAAGCCAGTAACCTACTGCACCCTTTTGAGATGGAAATTTATTCTTCAGAATGCAAATTGCACCGAATCAATCCATCTCAAATATGCCTCCAAGAAAAACTATCGAGGTATATCGTAGAAAATACCAGAATCAGGAAGCATGTGTAAGCAAATCAGCCTATGGCTGGTCAAATCTAATGAGAAACAGGATAGGTGAGATACAAGTAATGAATTGAAATCGGTCATATGGGCTACCGGCGCACATCATGGAATCTGGGTATCCTTTTGTTATTTTCTCTCTTTTTCCCCTTTTGCTTTTCGTCATCCTCGGGCTGGAGGATAAAGTAATCTTACGTAATAACAGCTACATCTAGGAACACCTACAATGCAAGTCAACAATAATTACTGTGCTCTCCAAGGATTTCTTCACGTTCGAAGTCATCCTCATTCATAAAATCAAACAATGGAGATATTCTTGAAAAATTTATGCATTTTTGATTAATCGTGGTCGTCAAGAAATCTATCAGAGTGCGCGTCGCCTGCTATTATCGTTCGAGAATGAGGGGCCTCGATATATACAAGCCAGGTTTTCATTTTCTTTTTTGAAGGCCCATCGTTGGATGCGGGGGAATTTGCCGCCTGCCTTCATAGCTTCCATCTATTCCGCAAACCATCAGTGCACATCAAGTGTTCGGTATATGGTGTATGCGTTCATCGGAAGTACAGAGAGGCTAGCTGAAACCAAGGGCAACGAAGAAGTGCGTCTGTCTCTAGCAACACCGCAAGAAAACAAATGATGATCTATGCTCGAAACAGAAAAAAAAGGTTCGCAATGCTCTCTTCATTCCTTGATAGCGTAGGATCGCTTAAACATGTCGTCCACCTTTGTGAGGTAGTATGTTCCCTTGACGATAGTGGAGATGTCACCCTTGGGCTCGAAGTTCTTTTGCAGGTGAGCCTGGTGGCGCATCTCGCAGAACTAATTGGACAGTTAGCGCGCATAATATCAAACATGAGCATTATTATACATACAGCCTCGTAAGTCTCAGGGGGGACTGCTCGTCGCGAAGCCAGTCGGTTGGGGATATCCAAAACTTTGAAAATCTGCTCGGTGCTGCCGTTGATGCGCAGGGACATGAAAGTAGCCGCCAGGCCAGAGCCGTAGCTGAAAAGACCGATTCGCTTGCCTTGCAGAGTAGCACTGTCAACGTGTGATACCAAGCTGGCGAGACCACCCCACACACTGGCGCAGTACATGTTTCCACAGAGGGTGGCGACCTGGATGGCCGGTGATAAGCGCTCAGCAAAGCGCTTCTTGGTGAGGGCCATGAATGTCTTCTCCACGACCTTGTCGGTTAGGGACTTTTCGTAGTCCATATCGCGTAGCTCACCAGGGACCTCTGCAAAAGCCGGGCTGTCGGGGTTGGCAAGATAATCGTGGTACAATAGACGGGCGTAAGACTTCTGGACGACCTTGCACGTGGGGGAGTGGAATGCTAGATAGTCGAAACGGTCGAGAGCAGTCTTGACGGATGTGCTGTCAGCGGCAGCAGCGCCATTGCTGTTAGCATGGCCATTGCCAGCAGTCTTGGACAGCAGGGCCTCGCGCTTGGAGTAGGCCTTGTAGGCAGCGTCCAATGCCTGGGTGTAGCAGTTGACCGAGTAGTGGCCGTCGACGTAGGGGTACTCGCTGGCCAGGTCGGGCTTGTAGAAGTCGTACACATGCGACATGTAGGTTCCGCGCAAGCCGGGCTCGATGACGATGGGGGCATCGGGTCCAAGCAGCATAGCAACACAGCCAGCACCGCCAGTGGGTCTGGCGTTACCCTTGGCGTAGAGGGCAATGTCGCCAGCAACTACAATGGCGTCTCTGCCATCCCAACCTGACGACTCGAACCAGTTGACAGTGTTCAACAGGGCGCTGGTGCCGCCATAGCAGGCATTGACAGTGTCGATACCCTCAATGTTTGTATTGTCGCCAAACAGCTGCATCAGCACCGACTTGACCGACTTGGACTTGTCGAGGATGGTCTCGGTGCCCACCTCGAGGCGGCCAATGTTGTTGACATCGATGTTGTAGTTCTTGATGAGGTTGGACGTGGCGGTTAGGGCAAAAGAGTAGATGTCTGTAGTAGCACACAAAGAGACCTCGTTAGCCACGATAGAACGCGCGGGGAGCAAGCGGGGGCATATCGTAACGGACCCTCCCGATCGTCACAGAAAGTCATTTTGGTCTGCCCGAGACCAATTGTGTACTTTCCGGTACTGACCCCATCGAACTTCTCGAGCTCGACCTGATCAACATACTGCGGGGCGCCGAAAAAAAGTAAGTAGGGGTCTTTTGCGATTTCGGAGATCGGAGGAGGGGCAGAGCAACTTTCGAGGAAAATTGAGGGGCAGACGACGTACCTGGCTCGGGAAGTAAAGCTCAATGGCCTTGATGCCAATGTTCTGAGGACGGGCGGCCATGGTTCAAAATTTGGGGGAGGGGGATTGCCGGGAGTCGACGGTCGAGGTTCGAAGTCGTGGAAAGTCAAATTTCCTAAAAGTCCGTTTTGCGAGCAGATGCTGCCGTACTTGAGGTTAGCAGAAAGACGTGGATTTTCGGAGCTGCTTTCACCGCCAATTCCAACATGGAAAACTCCCCTGTTTAGCCGCTTGGAGAAATAGCAAAGGCTCCGACTCGGCGGGGATCAATGTAGGAGAGGTGTGGGTGTTATGCAAATTCACATACGGATTTAGGAGCTGTCGCGACCTCGAGGCTATGCCGTTGGAAAACTGGCGAGCGTGGGTAAAGAAGGTAAGACCAGAGAGACAAGACGAGACAGACGAGAGATGAGACGATGCAGGAACAGTCGTGACGCCCCAGAGGCAGGAGAGGCAGAGGGTATTATTATGTAAATATAAGTTAACCGTTGAGGTCTTGAAGTTCAATTTCTGCCACCCACATAGTGGCTGTCCCCATATTTACTGGTGGAACTGTTACTGGTTTACTGGTGCCGCCATAGATTCCCGCGATCGCTGTCCCACTTGGACTTTTTGGGCTCTTGTCACTCCATTTTAATGCTAATTTCGGGTGCTAATCTAATAAGTTAGTGGATTTTCACACATGTGCATTCGACCCCTGCAGGACCTCGAGTGGCAGAACTGGGCTTATCGCGCGCCGTCGCTTAAAAAAATTCGCTCCGAGCTTGGGGGGTTGGGGGTGTCTGCTGGGAACACAGCGGGTCCCGGAGTTTCTATGATTCCAAACGTACCATGCAACCATACAGACGCAACATGTGAAGTACGACCCCGCTGTAACGCAAGACCAGGACGCACGGCATTACCTGATTGAAGCTTGCATTACGGACGTTTGACTAACAGAATTGCCCCCATATGCCTTCCATTTGGTCATCCGGTCCTCGCTTGTCAGAGGGTGACAGGAAAAAAGTTGGAGGGGCTTCCCTCAACGTTATGAGGGTTGCACACGTTTGCCGCAAACCCAATTGCGTTCTAGTGGCAATTCAAGTGCCAAGTTGCTCTAGTGCGCATGCCAAATGCCAACGGGTTGGAACTATCGTAGCGACGTCAGCGTCCCACCCGGCTAGTTTGCCAACGATGTTCCTCGACAGCCCTAGATACGTTAGCGTCCAGGAACAAACGGGTGCCAGCGTTGACACAGTCATCTGGTTGCCGATTCTTCCGCAGTCATGGATTGGTTGGCTACTTATCAACCGTATGATACACCTCCATTGTATAATGAGTGATAAACGGCGATTGGCTGTGCGTAAAATTTCTACGGCCGCAGGCGTCATATCGTGGCACATTGTTTAGCTTGAGATTTCAGATCCTCTTCCCCTTAAATGAATTTGATGCGAAAATTTTTGTTTTTTTTTCTTGTCTGTCAGTCGCGGGCAAGTGGGGAGGAAGTGGGTTATCAAGGTTATCAAGTCTACAACTGAAGCGAGACGCTCCCTGGGAGTCGGTGGTAGCTACCTGCTGTATTTGCTTGATGTCGAGTGGCATGTACAGGCGTTATCTTGGCATAAGCCGACGCACGAGTCAAGGAATAAATTGCAAGTTGACTCTTGGCGATAGGCTCGCCTCAGAGGTTCAGAGACCTCGCAAGATTCCCAGTCAGCCCGTCAAACGTTGTGATGGAGGTTGCGTTAGTTCCTAGCTGGCTCTATCGCATTACTGCCACTCGACAGTCCACGTTGGCTTTCCTTGCTGGAATGGAACGATCTCGACGCCATGCCCCTTGATCGACTCTGCAATGACCTCGCTGCCTTTCTTGAGCACGATCTTCTGGGTGCTTTGTGCAATCCCATAGAACTTTCGTCCCCATTCACCCAAGAAGCCCCCGAGAACCTCTTCGGTGACAGCTTCATCCTTGATATCTCCTCTCTCGATGGCGTCTTCTAGGGCCGAAAGGACATACTGACACGCGTATGGCTGGGTGAAGACACCAGCTGCTGCATTGCCTTTGCCTTTCTTCGCGCTGATGTCGTGAGCTAATTCACTGTCAGTTTCTCCACTAGATGCAACAAATTCGGCGATGGCAACCGAGTCGACTTACGTGCAGAATCTGTTCCAAGGAAGAACCTGCCATCGCTGTTGACCAAAGCATCCAGCAGAGCACGTCGATCTGCCGGCAACTGTTCATAGTGAGTATAGGTCACGTAATAGTGTTGTGGAAAGCATACCTTGGCAACAGGTTTGCAGTAGCAAAACTATGCAATGTTTAGACCCCCTTATCGATAATACGCAACAAGTTAACTTACAACATTGCCAGCCCAGTCTATTCAGAAACATGTATTAGTATGTGCCGGTTCCAGGACAGATGACAAGAAGGCGTTCGCTGGAAGTACTTACCATCTACCAGTATAGACAAGTGGTGGGCCGTAATGGTTCCTACCACAGTATCTCCACAGGACCTGACAGCTTCGACAGCATCGGCGGTGGTTGTGTGTTCCAGCCTGTCAAGAACGTGTCCCATTAACATCGGAATTCAAAGTTCATGATCTGTATTGCCGTCTAGACATAGTCAACCTAGTGCAACAGGGCTAAACTCACACAATTCGTAGGCGTGGGAATCTGTCCAAGTCCTCGTGTTAGCAATTACTACTCATGACACGTTTCACGGGTATCAAGTCAGATCATAGAACAAGACAAGGGAAATCAGTTGCCAAGACGAAATTGCTCACCTGCGATGCAAATCTTGGAGTGTAGGAAGGAATTTGGGTTCGGCATTCATGACGGTAATATCCTTTCCGTCACTCGGAACCTCTCCATGAAGATTGAGAACGAGACCTTCTTCCTGCATGGCCTCAAACACGGGATAGAATGGCTCATAACTGATCACTCCCGAGGAGCTGTTGGTCGTGACACCAGCTGGGTACGACTGCAACAAAGGTTTTTAGAAAACCTCCCATATGCAGAGAGCCACAGAAGTCCTACCTTGATGCCCACAATTCCAGCTTTTTTGGCCTGGCGAACGACATTCGCATCGATGCTTTCATGAAGGTATAATACCATCAGGTAGTTGATGCTGGGATCTATGTTTTGCAGTCTCTTTTTGTACTCGAGAGCCATGCTCACCGTCGTAACTGGTGGCACTAAATTGGGCATCACATATACCGTATCCACGCCGCCAAATCGAATTGTCGGCGTGACGACCTTGCTGACGTCTCCATCACGAAGGTGGACATGGAAATCCGCTGCTGCGGGTAGGGTGTAAGTGTCCTTCATCTTGCAGGGCTACTCCTTTCGATAGGTTGGATATGGCAACAAAGACACGATTTGTCAAATGCAACGTGTTTTCGCAACCTCGGAAGGTCAAGAGAAGTCGTCGTCCTTCGAAAACCTGGGACTGTAATGAAGATGGTAACCTCTTGGCAACAAAGAGCCGTCATTGAAAATATGAGTGGGGCCCCATTTTTGCAGCAGTAGGTCCAACTATCTGTGGGTTACGTACGGATGTGAGCAATTTGCGATCAATTGAATAAACTGGTGCTGATGTCGCAAGTAATCGCGATCGACCAACACCAGAATGAAAGAACATGAAATAGTCAGCAAACACGTCACGATAGTGCAACAGCTGCACTTCCCATTTGCAACTTAAGCAAACTGTCTAGGAGGTAATCACGTGCCGTGGCGCTCTTTCCGTGTTAGCCCCTCATCGCGTCACCTCGAACTTCTGACGATCTTCACCTATTGTCTGGAACAATAAGTGACGACTCCAAAACTTTTCCTTAGAATGGATGACCTTGACAAACTCACGTAATCCAAATTTGTTTTCTTGTCTGATACCTTCGATTTCTGTATTCGCCTTGCCGTGTCCAATCGCGAGCGTATGACATCACCATGGCAGGTCGGAAACGCGCAGCGCCTGGAAGTGCCAGAAATGCGTCGGCTTCAAGCTCGTCGTCGCGACAGACTCGATCTGCTGGTCGCAATGCGATACCTGATGTCTATCGAGACATGCTCTCCGAAGCAGACGTATGCTCCGTTGCCGATCCTCCTGGGCGACCACCAAAGAGAAAACGCCCTGGGCAGAAAAGGGAACTCGCGCCTCCTCCAAAGACGTCTGTGCCCCCATCAGCAACAGACCAGGGGAGAAGTGACGATGAAGAGGAGGATATCGAGTTTGAGGACGTTGGTCTTCCAGTAGCGACTGTCCAAACTATGGTCCGGGACTCTGACTCCGAAGACTCTGAAGAAGAAAATATGCAATTTGAAGACGTCGACTTCTCATTCCCTGACCTAAATGTTGACGACACCAAGGAGGCGCCGAAGGAACTAAACTTGGATCTCTCCGCTCGCCTCAATTCGAACCCCCGCCGGACTGTGGAGAGGCGCAAGCCCATCAACAAGACAGAAAAGGAGCGCCGAGTTGAAATACACAAGACGCATCTTCTGTGCTTGCTGTCTCACGTCGCCCGGCGGAATCGATGGTGCAACGATATCGTGGTTCAAAAGGCTCTGCGCAAACTACTGACATCAAAAATGATTGCCTATTTGAACCCGGGAACTCATTTATCCCAGTTTGGCCAAGCTGAATCACTGAAAACTGGTCTTCACCAAGTTGAGACTATGTTCAAGACAAAATATCAGATAACAGAGCGGGGCTTACGCCGAGCACTCTGGGCTGATACTGAAGAGCATCTGCAAAACGTAGGAAGGCTTTGGCGCTGGTAACCTAGGCTAGCGGCTAACACTCTTGCAGTATAGCATTCCGGATGACGCAGAGTCGTCCATGGACAAAGCGGATTTCCGTGACGCCGCGAAAAGCCTCAAAGGCTCGCGTGATGTCGGAGCTCAGTTGTACTGCGCACTGCTTCGTAGTGCCGGTATCGAGGCTCGCCTTGTGTGTTCTTTGCAACCCTTGTCGTTTGTGTCTGGCGGACCGTCAATGGCGAACCCGCCCAAATCCAGGAAGAAACTGTCGGTTGAAGAGCAATACGCGCGCAGACCGCAATACGACAGTAGTTTTGACAGTCCTGGAGTCTCCAAATCCCGTTCCGCCCGCTGGCGTTTAGGTCATCCAAATGCGGCTGCTTTTCAGATTCCCATAGTGACTACTGTAAGTCCTGCGCGTCCGGCATCAGGCGCACCAAAAAAGATCAGGGAGTGCCCATTTCCTGTCTACTGGGTTGAGGTTCTTGATGTTGGGCATCAGAAATGGCAACCAGCAGACCCTCTGGTCACTCAGTCTTTCTGGAAACCCCGCGTGTTTGAGCCGCCAGCAAGTGAGCGGGAGAACTGCATGACATACGTTGTGGCTTTTCAGGCAGATGGGACACCCACAGACGTGACACGACGTTATGTCAAGGCTTACAACGCTAAGACAAGGAAGATGCGTATAGAAAGCGTCATGACCCATGGCGACAGGTGGTGGCGCAAGGCTTTGAGGACTTACTGGCGCGGCCACACAACAGATCTGGATCAGATCGAAAGCAACGAGCTGAACGCTGCAGAAGCGCGAGAGCCTATGCCTCGCAATGTAGTGGACTTCAAGGACCACCCAATCTACGCCCTCGAACGGCATTTCAGAAGAAACGAAGTCCTGATTCCTGGCGCATCCTCTGCGGGAACAGTTGGCGCCGGTAGTAAAGGCCCTTTGGAGAGGATCTACAGGCGAAAGGACGTTCGACTTGCACGGACTAGAGAAAAGTGGTACCGGATGGGTAGGGAAGTACGGGCTGACGAGATTCCTGTCAAGTTTCTACCGATATCAGCCCGGAAACAGAGAGACTCATTTGGCGATGAAGGTGATGATGCTGACGAGGGTATGGCGGGGACCCCGATTTTCACGGAGGAGCAAACGGTGTTGTACCATGCACCTGCCATCGTCAACGGGATCATCCCTAAGAATCGATACGGGAACCTTGATGTCTACGTACCCAGCATGGTACCAGAAGGAGGTGCATACGTCGCTGATGACCTCGCCGCCCAGGCTGCCTACACCTTGGGCATCGACTATGCCCCAGCACTAACAGGTTTCCAATTCAAAGGGAGACAAGGCACGGCAGTACTCTACGGTGTGGTTGTGGCTGCTGAGCACGAGGAAGCGGTCAAGACTATCATCTCCGGACTCAAAGATCAGGAGGCTGAGATGGAACGGGAGAGGAGAACTCGCTTGGCACTTAGGGCTTGGAAGAAGTTCTTGACTCATTTGAGGATATATCAGCAAAACCGGGACGATTATGCTTCGGACGACGAGGATCGAGATACTGATCTGATGGATGTCGATAAGGATAAAGAGGTGATTGTGAATGAGGAGGATGATAACGAAGATAGAGGGGCTCTGGAGAGCAACAACGGTGATTTGGACGGCGGGTTCGTCATAGATGATGATTACGGTGGAGGCGGTTTCTTGTGAGATCAGATTTGACAGCGTTGGGAAGTGTCATGTCCAAGACGAGGAGTTTACAATACCAACAGAGCGTTTATTTAATGAGGACGTGATGCATTTACATGTCTTCATGATGCGACGTAACAGCTTGAACATCCGTTATGGACCTGAAAATAAGCTCGTTGGCAGCCTCGGTATTAGGGAGCACTTGGCTAAGAAACTCAGCCGGGCCTCATGAAAAATTGTAATATTTCTATAAGTCACTCGGAGGTTTGCTAAACTCACAGTAGCTGCCTGTCCCTTCATCAAGCAATCAGTATGTTCAGGGGACTTAGATAGTAACTATTGGATTGAGCGCCACATTTATGCTCTAGACCGAAAGAGGTACAGTTGCTAGTGTAGATAGTGGCTTAGACCCCCTTCCTTCCTTGCTTCCTTACCGAGCACGAGCACGAGCACCTTTGAGCCTCTGAACAACCTACGCGGCACAACGCGCAGGGGCAGGCATAGCGATAAATACGACATCCATCCAGAGTCATCAACGAAGACCCGATTCCCTCAGTAACAAGTGCACTTCCTAGAGTAATCTTGTTATAATGAATACTAATGTTTATACCGAATTATTCTACGAGAATATCGAGTTATCGAAGATTATTCAGTTGGAGTATTTAAATTTCCCGTACTAGAAGAAAACAATATGATTATATGCTACACGTTCCCCGCCGTTACGCTCATCATCCTCGTGGCCGTCTACCTACTTACTTAGCCAGATAGCAAGGACTGGCCTCGGCAAGTAGCCTCACGGACTTGTTACCGGATTGGGCTAGATGGCTAAGGCTATTGCTTCACAGCCAGGTTAGGATCCGACTGGGTGCTCGAAAGTCGGCACAACCAGACGCCCGAATCGCCCGTATGAATGGTGCCTAGCAGCACATTTTGCATCATCGATTTCGTATTTTCGCATAAGCTCAGGGTGAGTGAATGCTCCAATGTAAGATGTTGTCTCATAATGTCTCTTGTATCTCACCTTCTCTCTACTTCGTTTCACCTTTGTCTATGTCGTCTTCCCGTTCATAGCACGACGAAGTTCAGTTGTGCAAACAACCTATAACACAATAACTTCCTGTCGCGCTCTCAGCAATGCTACCGTAATTGAAACTCTCGAGTTCGCATAGTTTCACGGCCCCACGTTCAATGGCATTTCTTTCACAGACTTGGACCTTGACGGCCAAGAACCTTAAAATTATTCTTCTTCGGCACTGGTCGGCGACCGTAATTCGAGCATTCGTTCTGCCAATCCTCTTGGCAGCCTTCCTCTCCTTCGCCCGCTCGCTCTTCGTTCCTCCCGCCGTATTTGGAATTGGCGACGCCCACGCCATCCGGAACCTACAAGATGGGCTACACGCTGCGAGCAGCACCGGTCGCACCGTGGTAGCTTTTGTGAACAGTGGGCTGGCAGGCGGAGACATTGACCGGGTTATTGATACACTTGCCGATACGGTGACGGGCGCCGGCAAGAATGCTACGAGGCTCTCCACAGCATCGGATCTAGGCTACGCGTGCCGCAGCTCGCTGCGCGGTGTCAGTGGCTGCTACGGCGCTGTGGTCTTTAACTCGTCCCCGAACGAAGGCGACAGCGGTCTCTGGAACTACACTTTGAGGGCGGATGGCGCTTTGGGGACCAAAATCGACACCACAAAGAACACCAATGATGGGGAGATATACACGCTGCCCCTGCAGAGGGCGGTGGATTTGGCCATTGCGAACCTCAACTCCACGGATGTTCAGTTTCCGAGCACGACAGACGAATATCCTTTCACGACCTTGACGAAAGAGGAGCGGGCCGACAAGATACGTCAAATCTACCAGGCGGCCTTAACCAATTACCTCGGCGTCGCTTTCATTGCCGCTATCATCGGCGTCTGCTACCACATGACGGGCTTCATGGCCACGGAGCGCGAAATCGGCATGTCCAACCTGATCGACTCTATGCTCCCAACCAAGCGAAGATGGAAAGCTCAAGCGGCGAGACTCCTGTCCTACCACCTTGCCTTCACGTTTGTCTATTTGCCCGGTTGGATAATCGCCTCCATCATTATCGGTCGGGGCGTGTTCGCCAATACGAGCTTGGGCATAGTACTGATCTACTTCGTCTTGTGCGGCTTGGCTCTGACTTCCCTGTCCATCATGGGCGCGGCCTTCTTCAATAAATCCCAGCTTTCCGGCGTGGTTAGTGTAATTGCCTACATCATACTCGCCATCATTGCGCAGACTGTGACCTCGCCGTCTTCGGGTACGGTCGCCGTGTTGAGTTTGCTGTTCACCCCTTGCAATTTCGTATATTTCATCACATTTGTTGCGAGGTATCAGCAACAATTGGCACCTGCGGATTTGGTACATACGGCGCCGGGAAGCCCTTGGAATTTGCCTGGCATTGTGCTTTGGATATTTCTTATTATACAGTTCGTTGTCTCTAAATTTCCTTTTTGTCTCGGTCTTCGTCTGTTGGGGCTCTGCTTGTTCGTTTGGCTCTAAATATGACACCAACTGTTTTGAGGCAATTCTTAGGTTGTGTTTCGCTAACCTCAATTTACAGGATAATTGCCTACCCACTGATTGGCGCTTACTTGGAGAAATCATTCCATGGCACCACTACCAAGGGTCGCACAATACTTCGGGGACAAGGCAGTGATGTGGCGCCTCAAGCTGCCGTTCGCCTAGAGGGCTTCACAAAGGTGTATAAACCCAGCCCTCTCCGCCACTTATTTAGTTTCATTTCGAAGCCCAGGGAACCGGTAATAGCAGTCAACAATCTGACGTTGAATGCTGGCAGAGGACAAATTCTGGCGCTTTTGGGTGCCAACGGCAGCGGAAAGAGCACAACTCTAGATTCTATCGCCGGAATCAGCAAATTATCCAGCGGTAACATTGCTATTGACGGTACAGGAGGTCTTGGGATTGCACCGCAGAAGAATGTTCTCTGGGATGAATTGACCGTCTTTGAGCATATTCAGATTTTCAACAGACTGAAGGCCCCTGGCAACGCGTCCTCGAAGCAAGAGATCACAGAACTGGTGAATGCTGTCGATCTCACGCTCAAGAGCAACGCAATGTCCGGAACTCTGTCCGGCGGTCAGAAGAGGAAGCTTCAACTGGGAATGATGCTCACAGGCGGAAGCGCTGTTTGTTGCGTGGACGAAGTCTCCAGCGGAATTGATCCTCTGTCTCGCCGCAAGGTCTGGGACATCCTCCTGGCCGAAAGAGGCAAGCGAACTATTATTTTGACGACGCACTTCCTGGACGAGGCCGATCTTCTGGCAGACCAGATTGCTATTTTGTCAAAGGGAACCATTCGTGCTCAGGGGTCCTCTGCTGAGCTGAAAGATCGGTTAGGTGCTGGCTACCGAATCCACGTGTTCAATGCCCAAGACATCAAGGACGCCCCCACTGTCGACGGCGTTACTCGAAAGATCTCATTCGACGTCATCAGCTACATCGCGCAGTCCAGCGCGTTGGCGGCTCAAGTGATCACTGCCCTGGAGTCTGCCGGCTTGCACGACTACAAGTATTCCGGGCCGACAATTGAGGATGTCTTCCTGCAAGTTGCCGAGGAAGTGAAAGGAGAGGGCCTGTCTGGGAGCACAGGGGAGGGTGCCACTTCCACCGTCACGAATGACATACAAACAGCTTCGGACGAAGTCATGGGAGTGGACGGTGCTAACAAAGAACGCCTCGAACTTATGTCGGGTCAACCCATTGGTTACATGAAAATGATGGCGGTTCTTTTCATGAAGAGGTGTACCATCTTCAAGACAAATTGGTTCCCATTTGTTGCGGCATTTTTGATCCCCATTATAGCTGCGGGATTGACTTCATTGTTTATTAAAGGTATATGGACTTTAACTGCTTTTCCCTCTGCGGATGACAAGAAACGGCATAATTTGTGTGAAATGATATGGTATAGCCTCGGTGTTCTAGTGTCACTGAAAGGAAGAGCTGCGTTGTGTCTATTTACTACACTGGATATCGGCCCATGTTCTCTAATCCCACCCCTCGTTTCGCCGTTTATTCTGTCATCCGCTGCCCCTTTCCCATCAATTGTGAATAGGTCGATTGTCGACGTTTCATAAGCCTCTAAGGCAAGCTTTTCAGTCCCAATAGCTTTACTGACTCTCCCATAGGTCAGGACCCAATTGGCTGTACTCCAGCCGAGCAAAACCGGGCGGCGTCTACATCTGACTACACAGACCTGTACAACAACATTTCTCTTGTAGCCGGGCCATCTTCCCAATTTGACGTCACTACTCTGTCAAGGCTGTTTCTGCCCATCTTCCAAAACCAGTTTGGCCGCGGTGATTCCTCCGGATCGGGAGTGTCAAATGTGACGGTGTCCTTCCTTCAGAACCTCCACCTTGTTGATTCCCTAGATGATTTCAACAGTTATGTGTTGAAACATCGCAGGGATATCACGCCTGGCGGCTGGTGGCTGGGAGATGCCAGCTCGAGGCCCACACTTGCATATACTGCTGACACGGGTGATGTGTATACTTCAGTGTTCGACCAGAACGCACTGAACATAATGCTATCCAACATCAGCATCGCCACGACTTTCTCCCCCTTCGATCGTCCATGGGCTCCCGGTACCGGCAACAGTCTTCAGCTCCTCGTGTACATGGGTCTGGCCTTCTCTGCGTATCCCGCCTTCTTCGGAATGTACCCAAACATCGAACGGCGTCACAATGTTCGAGGTCTACAGTACTCCAACGGCGTTCGATCGTTACCGCTGTGGGTGTCTTACTTGGCCTTCGACTTTGCCATTGTCCTCGTCTCCACCGCTATCGTCACTATCATCTTCATTACGCTCAGCGACGTCTGGTACCACGCGCCTTACCTTTTCCTTATCTTCATGATGTATGGCCTCGCATCTATTCTGCTGGCTTACGTGATCTCGTTGTTTTGCAAGACCCAGCTGTCGTCGTACGCCTTTGCGGCGGCATCACAGGCTGTGGGGTTCTTGATTTATCTGATTGCCTATTTGGTGGTCATGACTTACGCGCCGATCGTTCGCATTGACCAAGACATCATCATGGTCCACTTCATCGTGTCTGCCTTTATTCCGATGGGGTCGATTGTCCGCACGTTGTTCATTGCTCTGAATCTATTCAGTACGGCCTGCAACGGAGATCAACTCGAGAGCAATGCAGCGGCTATGACAGCCTACGGAGGACCGATTCTGTACCTAATCCTCCAATCCCTGCTCCTCTTCGGGATTCTACTATGGTACGACAGTGGGGCGGGGGTCAACATCCTACACCGGTTCACTCAGAAGTCGGTCGATACAACTGATGATGCAGCCATCTCCGACGAAGAGGTTGCGAGCGAGCTCACTCGTGTTGTGAGCACACCGAAAGAGTCTGATGGTCTCCGTGTTATGCACCTGACCAAGTCGTTTGGCAAGAACACGGCAGTGGACAACGTCACATTCGGGGTCAAGCACGGCGAGGTTTTTGCATTACTCGGGCCTAACGGTGCTGGAAAATCGACAACTATCTCCCTGATTCGTGGCGATATTCAGCCGAGTCGCAATGGAGGAGACGTCTTTGTCGAGAATACCTCGGTCAGTAAACGGCGGGCTGCAGCCCGAGCCAACCTGGGCGTATGTCCCCAGTTCGACGCCATTGATTCCATGACTGTACTCGAGCACCTACGATTTTACGCCAAGATCCGCGGCATCCCCAATGTGGACCACAACGTAACAGCCGTCCTCCGCGCCGTCGGCCTCGAAGCCTTCGCAACGCGCATGGCCCATGCCCTCTCGGGCGGTAACAAGCGCAAGCTCTCCCTCGGCATCGCCCTCATGGGTAACCCGTCCGTCGTTTTGCTTGATGAGCCCTCTAGTGGGTTGGATGCAGCAGCGAAACGCATCATGTGGCGGACTCTGGGCACCATAGTACCAGGACGATCCATCTTACTCACCACCCACTCGATGGAAGAGGCCGATGCGCTCGCAAACCGCGCTGGCATCATCGCGAAGCGCATGTTAGCTATGGGCACCACGGAGAACCTGCGCCACCGCTTCGGTGACGCGTTGCACGTGCACCTGGTCAGCAAATCGGCGCCGCACTCGACGCCCAAGGAGATGGAGCGGATGCGCAACTGGGTCGTAAGCGCCTACCCCGAAGCCGAAATCGAGCAGAAAATGTACTATGGTCAACTGCGGTTCAGCTTATCGGCTAGCGCAGTGGTAGGAGGTGCGACGGACGGCCGGAGTGCGGTGGGGCAGCTGATTGTGGTGCTAGAAGGGCAGAAGGGGGAGTTGGGGATAGAACATTATAGTGTGAGTCCCACTACGCTAGACCAGGTGTTCTTGAAGATTGTGGGGAAACACAATGTACAGGAGGAGAATTATGAGATCAAGGAGAAGAGGAGTTGGTGGGGGAGATAGACGATGCGTGGGTGAATAGAGGGCATTCAGGGGTTGTTCTTACATTAGATAATCAGTGAAACGCTAATAACACTAGTGGCGACAAATTACGAAAATACGCTTCCAACTGAAAATAATGTCTCGAATCCAGCTAATGGGCGAGATTATTGGCGCAAATCGTACTTTGCAGCTCAAGCTTAGAGTAGCAACGGACGCGCATTGACTGTTGGGCTGATGTCTTGTTCTCGGCAGCATCTATCACCAAGTAAGCCAGCTGTACCATTTAGTGGTCGCACATCCGTCCGTCATGATCCTCAACCGCTTTTCCTTCATGGAAGTCGTTCCCCTTTAGCATCTTTGCCCTCTGAATTATTGCCTTTGTCATCTTTGCTGTTGGCATCTGCACGGTAAACGTTTTCTTCCTCCAAGTCTCTCTTGCTCTTTATCCTCGTGAGGTAGCTAAATCCATGATGAATAAATGAAATACGTGTAGGCCATGAGATAGAAACTCTGCCATATAATTGAGGAATAGTAGGAGAGTAACTGAAACAACACGTTCATGATATTTCTCACACCAGGACCCGCGACATTCTTCCAAAGACACTCGATCTTGAAGCCAGCTCCAACCAGCTATATCAAATGGACCAGCGTCAGGGACCCCTAAGTTACATTGATTAACCCAATTCCTAAATGTATCCTACTCGACTACGAAAACAATCCCTCAAGATTCACACTAGTAAGCCTTGGGATCCATAGCCTGTGCTGCTGTTTTATCTGGCAATTGGGAAAAGTAAGGTTTACTATATTCAAGCTGATAACGGAGAAGCACATTACGGGTTGTATCAGGGTTCGTATCGTAAATTTGAAGACGGATAACCACAATTACATATGCGTACAAATGAAGACAAAATATTTCATACAGATACACAACCTTCCAGTTTATCGTACCTAACGCCATAGGCAACCGCAGTTCCCTGAAAGTAACTGTAATATGCCAACCATTCCACTTTCCTGACCTCCACAGAGCTCACTCCAGTGTATCACACCCCATTCATCTTAAACCCTCAAATCCACTTATTCCTATCGTTCAAATCCTTGTGATTCCTCCCATCCGGCGGACCATCCACTCTCTTCCGCTGGTGCACGCGTCCAAACGCTGGCTTGTAAACCTCGGGCTCCAAGTGTTCCGGGTGCAAATGTTTCCTCCCATTCGCATTGGCCTCCTTAGCATTCCGAAACCGCGCTACCGGGTCAAGTTGTGGCGGGGTGGGGATCTTGGCCGGGTCGTCGGGGAAGGGCGTGGAATAGGCTACTTCGGTGCGTTGGTAGGCCATGTAGGTTGCGGGGACGGTTAGGGCTACAAGGCCGATTATGCTAGGGAGTTCGGGTGATTAGTAGAGTATTCGCATCATTGAGTTCGGATCAAGGGGGATGAGAGTGGTGTTGAAAGGCTCACATGGGTTTGTTGCTCCCGCCATGGCTGAGAGGGGGACGTTGAGTAGCATACGGCCTCTTTGCTCCGCATCGCAAAGCCGCCATTGTGTTCAACTTGGGTTGGATTTTGGGTCCATAACGGATAGTATTATAGGCAAACATTGTGGGTTGTTCGAAGTAACTTTGACAGGCTCTGCTCAAGTATCTTCTTGAGTATCTTCCTCCTTAAAATGGTAAGTTCATTCGTGGACTTCCACCAACCTAAAGTGTCCAATGATTTGAGACGAAACCCCCTCCCTATAAGTCCACAGTCCAAAGCCCACAACCTAATGATCATGAAGTCATGCATTTCCCAATTTCTAATGATGAATCGTATAAACACCTGAGACAACCAACTAACCATAGCTCTAGATTGGATTGGACGAACCGAAGGAATGGGTATATTAAAGTTGGCCTGGGCTCCGTCTGGAGCCGATCTCAAAGAGTCGATGATGCCGTGGATGCCATTGTCGATCTGAGGCGCCAAGTCAGAGCGAGAAAAGATGGGACCAGACCAGTCTCTAGCAACTCACGTTAAATGGCCATTCAGGACTCAGCGCAGTCCCCGCTGCATTGCGCCGGACCGTTGTGCTTCTGTAGTATCTTCTCTGCTGGGCCAACAAATACTGGACGAACTCAAAATTGGGCTTCACACGCATTGGCAAACCAACACAGCAGCACAACGGATTCCGCCTGCAGTATTAAGCCCTGTAAACTTACACACTCGGCAAAAGGGGTCGGTGTATTACATAATTTGTAGTTTTCTGTGAATGCCTTCACAACTCATGACGACATGCCGGACACTTTAAGAAGAATTGTATGAGGATTATGTACAAAGCGACGGGTTATTTTGCAAAGTGTACAATCCATGACCCCTTTCCGTCTCGCAATTCGCGCCTATGTCACCACACTACGGTCTATTGTCCTGGGGCCACCAGTTTACCCTGAGCCCTTGTGTCGGCCTTCCATCCACCAGCCAATGCTGGGCCGCCGTTCTCTGCCGCGAACTTCTGCATTCTTGCCTCCAGCTCTGGGCGGAAATGGCGAATAAGCCCTTGAATAGGCCAGGCAAAAGCCTCACCAAGAGCTGTCAAATAATCAGTACATAGACACAAGAAATATGTAGAAACGCAAGTACTTACCGCAAATGGTGTGACCCTCTACTTGCTTTGTGAGTTCCTGCAACATGTCTATTTCCCGCTCGCGACCCATGCCCTTCTCAAATCGGCTCATGATCTGCTCGGTCCATTTGCTTCCCTCACGGCAAGGAGTGCACTGTCCACAAGATTCGTGCCGATAGAAATGACTTAACCGGGAGATGGCGCGGACCACATCGGCGCTCTTGTCCATGACAATAACGGCAGCGGTACCGAGACCAGACTGGCTATCCTTGAGGGCATCAAAGTCCATCAGCTGGTCATCGCAGACGTTCTTCGGTAGGATGGGTGTTGAAGATCCACCTGGGATAATGGCTAGCAGGTTGTCCCAGCCTCCACGGACACCACCGCAATGCTTTTCAATGAGCTCGCGTAGCGGAATACTCATTTCCTCTTCGACCGTGGCGGGGTTGTTGACGTGGCCAGAAATACAGAAAAGTTTCGTGCCCTGGTTTCGCTCTCGGCCAAAGCCGGCAAACCAGTTGCCACCTCTTCTGCAGATGGTCGGAGCTACAGCGATGGTCTCGACGTTGGCAACCGTGGACGGGCAGCCGAAGACACCGACGGCAGCAGGGAAAGGCGGCTTCAGACGCGGCTTTCCGGGCTTGCCCTCCAAAGACTCGATCAGAGAGGTCTCCTCACCGCAGACGTATGCGCCAGCACCTCGGTGGAGGTAGACATCGAAATCGTACCCGGATCCGCAAGCGTTTTTGCCAATCAAGCCATCAGCATATGCTTCGTTGATAGCATGTTGGAGGACGGCGGCTTCGTGGATAAACTCGCCGCGAATGTAGATGTAGGCAGCCGAGGCGTTCATGGCGCGGCCAGATACTAAGCAGCCCTCGATGAGCTTGTGGGGATCCTTGCGCATAATTTCTCGGTCCTTGCAAGTTCCGGGCTCGCCCTCATCGGCGTTGACAACCAGGTATCTCGGCTTCGTGTCCTTGTCCCAGTCCTTGAAGTTCATGAATGACTGCATCAGTCACCAGTTAGCAGACTGCCATGGCCTCATCACATATATCCGGCGATACGCACCCACTTCAGCCCAGAAGGGAAACCAGCTCCTCCTCTGCCTCGCAGTCCCGACGCCTTGACCTCGCTGATGATCCAATCGTGTCCCTTGAGCAGTATTTCCTTCGTCTTGTGCCAGTCGCCCATCTTCTTGGCCGACTTCAAATCAGGCGGGTATCGACCGTAGAGATTCTGGAATATCCGGTCCTGGTCTTTGAGCCCGCCGTAGGTTCGCTTCGGAGTGCCATCTTGAACGGTGGCCATACTGCGGCTTTGTTGTTGCTGCTGCTGCGTGGTCGCGGGCATCTGTGGTAGTCGGCTGCATGATGGCAATGCGACGCGCGACAATGCCTTCGCAGAGGCTGCCGATGGCGCTGATGTTCTTGACAGCATCGTGGGGGGTATTTGGCGCTCGATTGAGCTCAAGAGTAGACAGGAAGATGGCGATGGCAGTTGGCAAGCAGTTTTATGAAATGAGGTTTGGGGGGAATGTCGAGATCTAATCACGTAGATGCTATTGGTTCGAGCTACCTTTATGTGGGTCTTGGTCAGCAGCGGCAAATCGGAACTCGTTAGGTGACCTCATGCATTCTCCAGGTCCCACTTCGCAACATCGAGCCTCCGATTCTCGTCTTGCCGCATTACGCTTACCGTTCTGAACAAAGGACGAGAGCCTGGTTTTTGCGGAAATGGTTGAATCAATTGTGGAATTAGGCCATTTGTAGCTAGCATTGGAGTAATTGGGCCTAGCAAATCACTCACAACCTTTCTCAACCCGGATTTCGGGGGTACAATAACAATGTCGTCCTCCAACAAACGCCAGTCCGTCCTCCCCAAGGTACCCTCAGGACCCAAAGCCCCCGTCAACTTCGGCTCGCACGTTACCATCGCCGATTCTGCTATTCTGACCGGTAGCCACACCATCAACATCTCCTCTGAGTCCGTCATTCATCCGCGTGCGAGACTCGAGTCTACCTACGGTCGAATTACCATTGGACGACGGTGCATAGTCCATGAGCGTACTCACGTTGGCGCCCCATCCTCGGACGATAAGCGCGGTGACTTTGGGGTTTTGACTGAGGACTATGTTGTGGTAGAGGTCGGATCAATCATAGAGTCGGGAAACACTACCATTGGCGAGGGATGTCATATAGGGCCTCGAGTGACTATCGGCAAGGGGGCTAAGCTGGGGAAGGTATGTTATATCATATATGTAGACCTTCACTTCGGGAGCTGCCATCTGACTTTATATAGCACTGCACCATCACGGCCAAGAGCATCATCCAACCTGGTGAGGTGGTGCCCGACTACACCGTGGTATACTCGAATGGTTTACGGCGTACAGACAAGCGCGGCCTGGAGATACTCAAGGCAAAGGCTCAAGCTCGTCAGATCGAGATCTTGAGGAGGTTGATATCCAGCAATCCTGCCAAATTCAAAGACTGACGCGGAAATTGTCGCCGTAGTTCGGTTGCCTGTATAAAATGATACCCAGCTCACCTGAGGAATGTCAGTTGGCGACTTGATTAACTGCAACTCGCGTTCAGAGCCTCAAGTTTATGCGGTTCATCCAAACGTCCAACAGCATGACGTAGCACCATTAAGTGTGGGCATGGGCATGATTGTGGGCCGAGCTGGGGCTGCTAGGTCATCCCCAGGTACGACTCTTGGCGTTTCTATTGACCTCGTATTGCCTTTCATTGAAGCGCAGAGCTTATAGGATCAGTACACCAACATCAGGGCGTCGAATGTGCTTGGAATTACGACACGTAACAACAAGTTTGCTGCTGAAAATTTAATGATGTCCTCACAAATCACACAACCAAATGATATAACCAAAGAACGTCACTAGTATCTTCGCATAACAACCAGGCTTTGCAATGGTGTATTTACGTTTGTCTTCCGGTATGCATGCGAGATATCACACCGGTACAACTCATATATTTTCATACAACATAGGTGCAAAGCCATGATACAATCACCCAGACCCAATACCTGTTGTGACATCCACTTCTTTATGCAAAATTTCCAAGTCTGCTCAGTCAATGCCGAGTTTATCCTCTCCAAGTCGCGACATGCCTCGAATGGCGATGAGCGCATTCGCCGCAATCCCTTCAAAGGTCGCTAAGGCAGCACCGTCATTCTTGTTTCTTTCGTCGAGGTGTCTAGTCCCCAAGCCTCGCAACTCAACCCGAGGAAACTGCTACGAGCTCCCATTCGACTCAAATTTGCCCTCCGTCTTCTCAATGTGCGCAATCAAATCCTCAATAGTGCACACCTTCAACCCCCACCTCCTCGCAAACTTTATGCACCCCTCGGCCCTTAACATACCGGGTTCGCTCCTGGTAGCCCTCCCCTCAACCTCTTCCCCATCCTCTACCAGCTCCGAAATAACCGCCGCCTCCCTTAGTCCCGCCAACCGACAGAAGTCTGTCCCAGCTTCAGTATGACCCGCCCTCACCCTGACACCGCCGGGGCGCGCCCGTAAAGGGAACACGTGCCCCGGCCTGCGGAAATCGGTGCTCTTGGCGTCGGGGCTCGCGAGGACGCGACAGGTTAGCGCACGATCGTAGGCGCTGATGCCCGTCGTGACGCTAGGGTCGGCCGCGTCGATGGACACGGTGTAGGCAGTGCCGCGGGGGTCCTGGCTGGCATGGACCATCTGCGGGAGGTCGAGGGAGGAGGCCAGGGCCGGGGTGATGGGCGCGCAGATTAGACCTGACGTGTGGCGGATCATGAAGGCCATTTGCTCGGTGGTTATATTGGCCGCGGCGATGATGAGATCGCCTTCGTTTTCGCGCGAGGGGTCGTCGAGGACTACTATGAAGTCGCCATTGCCTGGACGGATGGACAGGTGTTAGTTTTGGCTGCGACGAGGGAAGAGGTAGGTGGGAGGGAGAGGAGCAGCCGCAACATACGGAAGGCGGCGATGGTATCCGGTATGGAATCGAATTGCGCATGGTCGATGGTGGCGGAAGGCATGGTGAACAAAAGTAAGAGGGGTAACGAGAGAATCGACGTCCTCAAAACTGTGCCCAAGAATTGCTGCTGGGCAATTGGCTTCAATTTCCCGATGTCGAATCTTGCGTCATGCAAACGGTGGATAACAGAAGCTGAGGAAGGGTCGAACACACGATGGCTTCGACTTCTTTCTTATCTGTAAAGTAGGTTAGTGGCCATGGATCTCTGGAAACTCAATTGGACTTACTATTTACACGCAACCACTTCCTTTGTATGTACAGCCTAGTGAGATGTCGGCAAGTAGAATATGACTGTAAAAAACTATGATTGTTGCATCATCCATCATCAGCGCGGCGCCTGTACTTTTTTATCTGCGGTCTCGGCGGGGTGTTGCGGTCCCAGTAAATCGACGTATTTTGCGCGCTAATTCGCGCCTACCTCGGGATGACAATCGCTGACAAACCCCTGCATTTCGGCGCATGCACCCTTGCGACCCGACTGCTGCACTCTCGACCCGAACTTTTGACCTTGAAGTTCTAGAACCATTTGTCATCCTATACGATCTGCATGTGTAATCCATTATGCCACCGCGCCCAACACCGCTCCTCCGGCGGCTCCGCCCCCAATTCCAGGCCCAAGTCAGACATCAAATCCCACGGATAGCCATCTCATCCAATCGCCAGGCCTCCCTATCCACCTCGTCCTCATCCTCTCTAAACTCAAACCCAGACCCCACCTTCACCACCGTCTCCCCCGATGAAGTCTCCCACTTCAATGCCCTCGCCTCCTCATGGTGGGACCCCCAAGGCCCCTCCCGCATCTTGCACCTCATGAACCCTCTTCGCCACGACTTCATCCGGGACTGCAGGTTCTCCGTCCCCGTCTCCCCGGTGTCCACCACGGCCGGGCTGACGTACCTTGACATCGGATGCGGCGGCGGCATCTTCGCCGAGTCGGCCGCCCGCCTCCGAAGCACCAAGTCCGTCACCGCCATCGATCCCAGCCCGGAAGTCCTCACCATCGCCAAGGCGCACGCAAGGCGGGACCCAGCGCTCAGGGGGAAGCTCGAGTACCTCAACACGCCTGTCGAACAGTTACCGGCGCCGGCACCGCAGGAGGGTTACGATGTGGTTTCCATTTTCGAGGTGCTGGAGCACGTATCGAACCCGGCACAGTTTCTGGATCGGTGCATGCCGTTTGTGAAGCCTGGTGGGTGGTTGGTTATGAGCACCATTGCCAGGACGTGGATGAGCTGGTTCACGACGAATCTCATGGCGGAGGATGTTTTGGGGATTGTGCCCAAGGGGACGCATGATTGGCGCAAGTATGTGAATGAGGATGAGTTGAGGGGGCATTTTCTCGGGAAGAGGGACGGTTGGGGCGAGGCGAGGTGTATGGGGGTTATTTATGTGCCTGGAATTGGTTGGAGGGAGGTAAGGGGGAGTGAAAAGGTCGGGAATTACTTTTTCGCTGTGAGAAGGCTAGAAAATTAGATGGTATAAATAATACGGTCAAAGAAAGGGTCGGTAGTTATGTATGTAAGAAATTTGTGCTACTAGTGTGGTTTAGGGTGCGGTTCAGAGGCCGCCGCCGCATGCTAAGCCATGCAGACTTGTCGTTTATGATCTGCCCGAAAATACATGATAATATAATTATGTATTTGTGCTCCCAAATCATGAGTTCGATGGATTATTCTGGTTCAAGTAAGTGAATAGTTCGTATAGTACTGACGTTGTATGATTCAGCGCTCGTGAGATCAGGGAGGACATACGTCCTCAACTACATACACCACACATTTCTCAATCTCTCTTGGGATCTTCCAGAAAAGATCTTGAAGGTCATATTCCGGATCTTCGTCAATGTTGCTGCTTCTTAAAATCCTTCGCAAGCCCACTAGGCACCTGACAACTGCATCCCCGTAGTACTCACCAACTTCAGCTGCAAGTTCCTTTTTTGCAGCCTCGAGTATCTTCTTAGCCGTTATTGACACATATGTGGTTTCTTGGCGGAACACCTGCACAGTTTTCCAGAAAGCTACCCCTAAAAAAGGACTCTTAAGCTGTAGACATCGTCAGAATGACGATATCTTCCCTGCCACTAGTTGTGATCGGGATGCATATATGGCTCCAGTCTGCCCCCCTCCATGTTCACCTTCTGGATTGTGACATATATTATCCACTATCATTTCTTCTCTATAAGTGTAGTGAGTCATTTCAGCGTGTTTCAATCTCTTATAGGTAAAGAGAAACTATCTACTGTAGGCGCTATGAGAATTCATGTTTATAGTTAAATTTGATCGCCGGTACACCAAATTCTTTACAAGAACCGCCGCATTGGAGCGCATAAAAATTTAAGCTGATTTATTATTGAATCATATTATTTCCCCGAGCGATAGTCGGATTGCGTATAAATCATTGTGTGGCGAGGAATCGTGGTTTTTAGCGAAGTAGTACATTTCGACAAGCGGTGTACCAAAGTGAGTTGTACTCTGAAATATCGAACTCAGGAGAAGCAGCGTCATGTTGCCGCCGTTCGACCAAGACTTGGAGGCTTCTCGTTCTGGTCAGACGTTAATATGGTAACGTCGTTAGGCCAAACATGCGACCCAGTCGTACCGTGTTGAGGTGGGGAGCAGTTGCAGGAAGCTCGAAGTCTTCCACGTTGATAGTGATTGGTTTGCTCTTCCTTTCCCTCAGAGCTGTCTTCATCGCTTAAATAGTCTAGGTAAGCGGCGGCCAATTCCACGCAACGATGCTTCATTCTGACAGTTGCTAGTGGATGAGCATCATTCTTTAAACCAGTGTTACCTGTATCCAACATACACATCTGAGTGAGCGCGTTAATCTCGGCAGTCAGGTATTGCGCGAGTAAGCCAGGATACAAGGCTCGAGCAACCTGTACCTTCTGAGAAAGTGAGATCACTTTGTCCAGGCCATTATCCATTTCCGTTAGTTTCTTCAACAGGTTCTTGATCATTTCCTCGTCATTGATTTCTATGAAAAAAATGCGTAGGGAAGTCTTTCGTTGAGTGCCACATCTAGATCAGTCGGCTAGACCTCCGAGCAGGCTTATTTTCCCCTTCTCTTTTGCATGTGTACTTTTCTTCAGAGTTATCGTCGCATGCCTTCTTGTCTTTCAATATATTCCACCTTGGGGCCTACGTTGTATCTCTCTCCATATGGTGTCAGTGATTCGGGGAGCTGAGTTCACACAATAGCACAGTAGGAAGTCGAACGGAACAAAAAGTGGACATCGAGCCTACTTTGGCATATTAAAAATGCGAAGGTGGTGATATGAATCAATGCCATGCGCCGATGGGCGTCGTGCTTCAGCGAGGGGACATGTTCATCCCATAAGACGTCCTGAAGTTGCTGAAACTTCTGTGTACCAAGGGTGGTGAGTTGCGTCACTTTATACCAGACCTAACATCAAGCAAGCTGATCTCCGTTTTCCATGTTGCCATCCGATATTCCTGGAAGCAGGCGGGTCGAATACATACTTGCACAAGGACGACCCTCCAGTTTGCATGCCAACGTCCATGACGTCCACGGAGACACCCCTCTTCTCTACGCATCACTTATTAGAGGAAGCATGCAAGGCGACATCATCAAATAATTCGTGTCACTAGGCACCGGCCCTAATGTTCTCAACAGCCGAGGCATTACACCCTCAGATGTCAGATTCCGTGGATATTTACACCAGTCCTGACCCTGAGGCGTACCCAGGAAAGTCGCTCTGTTTCGATCGCATCTACAAAGGGCCTGCCGAGGCTCGCGTTACCCACGGAAGACAAGGTAACGTGGGTATTTCGGAGCAACATGGGTCTCATTCGGTCCGGTGGTCTGCTTTTGCAATGGGGTCCATGTTCGTCAAGTGTGGGACCTGGATGCAAGAGCATACCAGTCGCTTGATCAGGATCTGCATATGCGATCGTTGGTTTGGGTTGAATGAACGAATAACTTCGTGGGCCATCATTTTTAAATTAGAGCCGATGTGCTGAGACGTTTCGTTGGGTTCGTCATAATGAGAATAGGGCGCTTGACTTCGCCCGTGAAAGTAGTACGAACATATCTCTAGGTTATTCTCTAATATTGAACTTACTTCTACATTATAACAACACGAGTCACGTAACAAAATATATATGCTTTGGTTTTCTTGGGGACAGATATAGCTATAAAAAAAAGGATTCCAAAATTTCAGGTTCCATTTCCACTTCCGTTTATAGACATGTCCACGTTAATACGATGCGGTTAGGTCCACGTTATTGTTTGAAAATCGCTTTATACAAATGACCAAAGCATGTTACCATCGACAAGGGTTATAGGGTATAAAAACCCCTAGTATATTCTAAATAACCCCAAAAACACTTAAGTAGCATCCAAATATTTTGCAAGTAAAGCGCCGGCCTATCACAACATCTCAGAAAGGGGAAAAAGCATACAAAACTACCCCTCCTATCCTTCGCGACAAGAAGCAACACTGGTTTGGGCTGCTGAAATTTCCAAGGCGTTGGCTAGCAGCGCCAGAAATCGCACTTCCAGTTATTGAGGGCTATTTGCTGGAAGTGTTGGTAGCCAGGAAATAGTTGCCAGCAACCGGATCTCCCAGTCCATTTTCCTGAATGAAACTCGGCAGGTTAAAAGACAGTCGGGTGTAGACGTCCGTGTCATAGGGCGCATCCGTGATGTTAAATCCCTTGGGCTGGTTGAAAAGTAGATAGACGTATCGGTGCGTGTCACCGGCCTGTTGATCAAAGTCAGCGTTGCCCCTCGACAACACTTGGTCTCAGGCATTGAGGTGTATGTATACTTGTGGACCCGGGCTGATGTACTCGGCGAGATTGGCAGACGTGTTTGTGAGAATAAAAGGAAACCGAGGAAAGCTGGAATGGTCGCCGATAGCCAAATCTTGCGAAAGCCAGTGCAGGAAGGTGTATGTAACATTAAGGTAGAAGACGTCGGGATCCACCATAAGGGACAGGTAGTTAGTGGCGTGCGTCCTCTTCTCCAAAGCGAGTTTCGGTGGAATTGAGACTTGAGAAAGTTCCTTGTGTGAGCCCGAGGCGACGAAGGTGTTACCATCGAAGAAAAGGCCGAGGAGGGTGTCGCTTGCTGGTGTGAAACCGGGCGAAGTGGTGGTCGACTGCGCTGCCAGGGCAGAACCCAGAAGAAGGGAGAAGGTTATGAGCTTGATTGCGATCATTTTTTCCGGATAGCTTGGGAGCGAGTTGAATATTTTGAAGAACTCGGCTAGGTGGTAAGAGTAGACAATGCCTTCAGAACTGTGCGTTGCTTGAGGCTATGGACTTGGGTAGTTGAGTGCACTGAGGGCAGGCATCGCTCAACTTATGCACCTTTGGATCTATGTAATCCTCGACCAAAGCATTGTTTACAAACAGTCAGACCGAAATTTGTCTCTAACACCATTGCGTCGTCATTCTGCATTTCCACTAGTATCTCGTGTAAGTGGCAGCATGGGCAAGCTATGGACGCCACTATGCTATCGATTGCGAAAGCTTCCCTATTAGGCAATGGAGCCATGGAGTCTAGCTCCGCTCTGGGTTTTGATCCTTCTTCCTTCATACTGGTAATGGGCGGCATGACTCAATGCCAAAAGTACGGCGCGCGCCGCGTTCTGATTTTTCTGAGCGATGATTACATGACTTGTCAAATGCTCACGGAACAGAAATGTTTCTTAGCGGAGACTGGCAGCTATATAGAAACCTCTCTTCTGACTCAAGTTGGCATTTACTCTCAACGTCTCGAAGAATAAACATGCACATCTAGATAGTATGTGTAGAGTAGTTTGTCATGTGGAAGTTCTGATAAACATGGAGCAAGATTTCTATCAAGTATAGGAGCCTTGCATCAATTATGAAGTACTAACCGGCTTGATGGACTATGTTTCTACCATAACTTTCAGCCCTGAGCGGCAGGTCTTCTTGGCCTGGAGCTGATACCCGGGTTGGCGCAATCCTGATCAAAGCAAGCCTACATATTGACAGGCAAACGAAAACTTCTGAATATCAGTGCGTTTCTAGCGGGGTGGCAGCCATATGGAGCTCGAGTTACAGATAACGGGATGCCGCTACCCGGATAATAATGCCAGCCAAGTCAAATCAAGAAGAACCAAGTATAGATGGTGTGAGTTTTTGGAGCTCACAATTTTTATTTTTTTATTTTCAAACATGTCCAAGCTCTCTATGGTCAAGTTCTAATGGCACCTTCTTTTTCTACTGAAACAGGTTATTGTGGTGCATCACAACACGAGCGTACTAAGCAGACGCTCCAAACCGCACTGGAATTCAGTAGCAGCTCGACGACCCACACCCCACCAGACCCAAACACACATCTTGGCTCCAAGCAGGCAAACATACATTGCCTCGGTTCTTTCCCTGGCCTGGTGCGTCAGAAATTACGAGAGCCACTAGCAGCACTCTCCCTTCATCTTTAAGCGCTGAAGGATCTGAAAGTCAGTGGGCACTCCACATTTGGTCGGCTCAAAAATCCTCGCTTAGAAGCATATCTGACCCTCAGCCAACATGACCGCTATTACGCACCCAATTTGTCAATTATGAAACATACAGGTTAAATTGAACACGGCTTGATGGTCTAGCGGTATGATTCTCGCTTTGGGTGCGAGAGGTCCCGGGTTCAATCCCCGGTCAAGCCCAATCGTTTATCATTTTTCCACATCATTCGTTTTGATTCTGCTCACGTACATCATCATGCAATTAATCTGGGGACCTGGGTGTTGTTTTATCGTTTGGTTTGATTTTGCAGTTATTAAACACAGGTCTTGTGGTTTGCAGAAGGTGTTTCCTTCTCTAGGTTAGTTGGGATGACCGTAATAGCACCAGTCACGACTAGTATGCCTTCTGTTAAGGCATAAAAGAATTGGATCTTCTTAAGGATATAGATGGCCCGCTGGTGTTATGTGTCTCGTCCTATGGTTCTGCTTAGTAATAAATATGGATACCGCATGCATACCAGATAGGATCGTTACGAGAAATACATAAGACTTTATTTAGCCACATGCTTAGTTTTTAGTAAAACCCTGAATAGATAGAGAGTAACAAACTCACTATAGTGTAGTAGCCTTAACAGTGGGTGTTTATTTCAATCGACAAGTATATGTGCTCAAATACAATATATGGTCCTGGGCGTCACATGTATTTTGGATCTGTTCAGAGACCACTCGGTTTCACCATAACTCAATGATTGCGGTGAAGACTTTGGTCAAAATTCACATCCCGTCACCAACAGTTCTACACAGGGGAGTCATGGATACACCACCATTCACTAGATACACCTCACTACTGTAGTACTCCGTCCCAGAAAAGTGCATCCATCGGGCAAGTTCCATGGCTTTCAGAAGTAGTCATGCTATCTCTCACCATACCAGAAAGTTACTTTGCAAGTCTGGTTAATCAATGTTATTGGTCAACCATGTCCATAAGAGGCTCGTTTTCTAACATATCCATTTCCTCTGCTATACGAAGATGACCAAAGCATTCCCCCAACTATGTATTGGAATGAGGATCCATTCATTGGCACTCGCCATGCACCGGCCGAAAAAGGGCAGCAGATGTGAAGTTTCGTGGATCTGGAACCGTAAATGGAGTTTGATAAACAAAGAAGTATGCAATATAACGTGGGACTTCTTGATAAAACCCCCCTTCCTCTGCTGGAGGAGCTATTCAATTTCTACAAAGAAGCTGTCGCAGCTATATGATCACTGCTCACCAGTAATGATACATCACCCTAGCACGTGGATACCTCCACATATGAACATCCTAGTTTCCTTCGGAGCTCCATAATTTTCTCTGATGCTTATGTGGGCCCATATCTTCAGACTCTACCCTGTTCTTGTGGATGCTGATATACATGCGCTTACCAGACAACTTGAAACGAACAACTAATGACAGAGGTCGCGGGTACCTAACGCCGAAGGCTTGAGGGGTTTCTAAACGGTGGGAATTTCTCCTTTCGGACACAGTTGCAAGTCACGCTTTAAAGTTAGCCGTTGAAGCCTTGCCATACATATACGTCTAGATACACGACCGACAGCAAGGCCCCTTGATGATCACATCGACAAACCACTCGATCTTGAACGGACAACACTTGTGTCAAGTATCTGCCGGCATGTTGCACTACGTACGACCTGTAGCCCTTTGCGCGTAAACATATTTCGTAGTGTGAATACCTCTAGACCTAACTGTGAAAATGCCGAGAAGAGTCGGGTGCAGCCCAGGGACCTATAGAACATCGATCAATGGAGCGATTCAGAGCAGAGTTAACTGCATATCCCAGCTAGAAGATCTGCGCGTACTCATCCATTTCAATTCACTTAGCTTAGTACTGATAGAATTTCTTTGGCGTGCTTCCGATCATCATGCTCACCCATCTAGTAGCATTGGGACTAGCACAATCCTCTGATCAATATTCTATTGCAAGGAAGCGAGTACATACGTTTACTGTTTATCCTGAAGATAATTCGAACCTAAACAGACCTATAGCATAAAATGAGCTCTTCTGTATGCTCAGAGGATATTGTAGATAAAGTATAGTAATTCCTATTATTGTTGGGTGGTCTTATGAACCTTACTTGCTACTACGAGCGGTAATATCCTGTGGCTCTTAGGTAAGCGGCCATACTGTAGCATATTCATCTCGATACCTACAGGAGAAGGATTCCTGGACGTGAGAATGACAGGTTGAGCATACGAGCCATCATCGATGAACACGCCATCTTCAGTAATGTACCATCCATTCCTACCATGTATCCATCTGTCTACACCGCGCACGAGGCCATCTCCCCGATCGACATGCATTGACGTGTCCGCTTTAAGCAAGTATTAAACACAGCAAATGATCTAGAGATATACAGGAGGCAAGGCACTTAAGTGGTGGAATATATAAATGTGCATATGCTTAAAGTATTAACCTAGTATAACCAAAATGCCGAGTTGAGCCCAAGTCGATCGACACAAGTCCGAAATGGGGAAGGCCATGGGCCGTGTTGAGCTCAAATAGGATGGAAGCAAATATAATTTCATGCAACCTTGCAGAAGGGTTAGCGGCCCGCTGCTGAAGTAGTTGGAGCTACGAGGCTGGGCTCGCTTGCAACAGCCGGTCGTTCTGGCTGTCGGTACTGACAGAATGAAAGGTTCATGTGGTCATTTTAGAATGCGTAACAACCTTTTGCCTGGGTAATATCTAAATGAGCAACACTACGATCGGCCACGACAAACGAGAGATTTCCCTCTGCCAGGAATGTTGCACTTTAGGCTTTCCATAATTTCGACTGACCGGTGGGAGAGTTAAAGCAGTTGTCAGGGCTGAGCTGTCAGCTCACCTGTTTCAAAGCGGCGCGCGTGACGGGCTCGACGAGCGGGGGGCCTATAGATGGATTTCCTAGTGTGTTGACTACTACTAATATCTCGTTAACAGTACCAGTCTTCCCACCACTGAGAACCGAGTGGTCTCACCGGTCCCGCCATGTGGGCATCGAGCCCTTTTGGTCTCTACGCGAACCTCACTAGGTTAGTACTTTCGGAGAAGGTCCAGATTTTGTGATATGCGGGGACCGAACAGGGGAGAAAAAGAAAGCGAAATCTGGGGTACTTTTTCGAACATGGATTAAGTGGAGGCATTGTCGATTCGGCAGGAGGGGAACGGAACAATGGGAGATTCCACGAGCTGGGGAGGGAGGGTAGGTGGGTATTGTCGCTTCGCTACAACTCTATAGAACCTCACCGCCGCTTCGTTGCACAAGACCAGGCCGCTGTTTCAATAAAACAGCAAGTCCTGCCGAGTGTCTTGTTGTAGTTCCGCACATGCAACTCCTGGAGAGGGCTGATGAAGCTGACGATGATCACAGCGGGAGGGAAGTAATATCCTACTCACGAGTGGGAAAACTCCGAGACAGATTTGGGCTCTATTTTTTGAAGGAATGAGCACAAAAAAGCTAATTGTCTAACCCGCTCCGATAGCAACCCCTGGTAACAAAGGTGTGCGTGACTCTGATCCTGGAGGAGTGAGTGCCTTTAGACATCAGCAGCACCAAAAGTAAACGAACCCTTCTTGCAGTAGCAGTACCCTTCTAGTAACACTGCCCTGCCCGTTAAAGAAAGAGCACATGGACGTCCCCACAAAGCCACCCGCACGCGCATGGCTCGCCTCCGGTTAAATGGGCGAGGAAGGATTCCTTGCAAGACCCCTCAGCCCCTTCCGCGAGCCGCAACATTGCACGTAATTTTAGCCGTCCTATTTAGCCTGACGCCTAGCCAGCCCCAACTACCATGCCAAAAAGAACTGTTCTATATAAACTTGGGTTGATGGGGGGGGAGGACCCTTGGGAACCACTCGGTCGGTAGTTCTGGACCATGGTGATGATGGCGTTGGTTGGTAACACTTGCCACGCACGCAAGCGTTGGGTTGGGTCTGTTTTCTGTGTCGCGTGCTGGTGAGTTGCGTTACATGCTGGGTGAGGGATGTGGGAGGGCGACCCAGAAATGAGAATCCGGAGATATGTGAGTACAATAGCATGATTCCGGTCTGAAACGGGGTTCAATTTTCTTTTGCTTATTATTTTTTTAAACAAGAACGAACCGGAAGCTTTAGATAATATCCCCCATCCGTGCGAATGTTGCGGCCTGGGGATTTACTGGGAAGAACTAACACCAAGCTTTCATTCGTTACCAGTCTTCGTAATTCTACCGACATTGGCAACACCGCATTTTGATTCGCTGAGTATGGGCTGACTGTGACTGAGACCTTCTGGATCCAGCGATAGTGCTAAATGCACCCAGATCTAGCTCACCGTCGCGGCCTAAGTATTGTCTAAGTCTGACTTCCTGGGAAACACAGCATCAACAGGACAGAACTAGCAAGGAAAGACGAAGTAAGCATGGGGGGAGAAATATTTTACAGACAGATGACGTTGACGGCACACCGTACACCACTCACATATAATTTTCGCTAAGCGCGGGGGAGGATCGCCGGCCGAGATGATTGGCAGAGTTGCGAGGCCCCTACTACTACCCACTACTACCCAAAGCTGCTATTAGACGCACCGATATTACCATACCTATAAATGCAAGAGATGGTCACAGCAGCCGGAAAGCTGGCTGGTGTCTCTCCTGCGCCGCGAGGCCGTGCTGACCGAGTCTCACTCGCGATACTACCTTGCTACCCACGTGGATGGGTACAATGGCCAACTCAGTCCGGACCCCTAAGACGAACCCCCGCGTTTCTGACCATCCGGTCTCCACCGCTGCTTTGGGGGTTGTTTCGGTATCAGATGTGCGCCATTGGGCGTTGATCTGGGCAAGAGGAACGGGAACGGCCCGACCAACAAGTCGCCTGGTCTGCCGTAAGCACAGCGGTGCATTCGCGAGTCGCGGGGCAGGATCCGGAGGAGTAAGCGGACCCATCGTTGGTCCATGTCTGGAACAGCATGATGATGGGGGTAATGGTGTGATTGGAGAAAAATGTGAGATTAAAACTTACGATCAGATCGGGAGGGAGTGATAGCGTGAGCAAGTTTAATAAAGCGTGCTTACTATATCCACCGATATTCGCGACGGCCCGTCATTTCGAGGGTCAGTCAGGAGTCATCATTCTGAGGAAATATTACCGATTCTTGCGTTTGTTCCCTTTCTTCGTCTTCTCGTCGTTATCGTTTCGAAATTAGTCTCATTGTTTGACGTGACGGTGATCTTCACATCAAAAAAGGTGGTCAGCAAGAGTTGGCCTGTTCATATGCTGTCACCCACACGGAAGAATGGTAAGGAGTCCAGATGGAACTGAAATTCCAAATGCAATTTGGTATCCCCGTCCCAAAGGATCTATCGTCGTGACGTCCTACCCGCCTGGTCCTGGATCATGCGCTCGTCCTTCGACTGACATAGCAATTGTAGCGGAGGCTCCAGGACTCAGAATATACAACCAGGGCCCTGATCCATGTCACCCCAGATATTTCGCCTCCCGCCTCGTGGCATTGGGCGATCCAAGATCTGTAACACAAAGAGTGATCCAGGTATTGTGACACGCTGGCGCTGGTCAAGTGAGCACGCAAAAAAAAAATTGAAAACCCACCAGCTGAAAGTCGAAGCGGAGAGTCTAGCAATAGCAACCGTCACATCCAGAGCAAGGACCCTGTTCTGGTGTCTTAGATGAGAGACGAGTGAGTAGCAAGTCGAGCCGGGCCTCTGCGCAATAGTATTCGCCGTTGACGGGCGCCTCCTCCATGATACTTGAATTGCCTCGACTCGAAAGGATCCAAGACCTGCAGAAGACCATTGCGATTCGTGCTTGAGGAGCAGACGGGACGGCTGACGGCTGTGGTGAAGGTCGGACATGCCCGCCCGGTTGATGAACACGAAGGTGTATATCGATTACGAATGCAATCTCGGCACCTCAGTTGTCGTGAGAGCGATGAATATCCCGGGAATCCCTAAAACCTCATCATCATTCGTGCTTCCCCTTGGTGTGATTGGCAATAGCTGAGTAAGTTACTAGCTGACCGTGTCCACGGCTGAAGAAGGGACATATAGAATGACTGGTGTATGCCGTTCGTATCAGCAACACAAATCCGGTAAATGAACGAGTTATGGCAGTTTTTCCTTCACGGTGGAGGATGGCGAGGAGAAATTGCATGCGTATTCTTAGAAGATACACCAAACGATTCGTATGCAGCATCGGCTGTCTGCAGTCGGATTGGCATATGTCCGTCCGAATCATCCCCTGCCAGTGCCCCTTATCGTCTCCCAGGACCAATTATTTTCGCCGGCACAACAATGTGGCCTGCACCATTCGTCTCGATTACCGAAAGTGCTCCAATTGCACCCTGCATCGCCGTGACTTTGTGCATATCACAAATATCGTATTGTGTTGTTGTCCGAGGCCGAAGTCCCCGGATTTCAGCGCCCCCCACGAGGTGAGACCGTGGAGAAGACAAATGACCAGTCTCACCGATAGTCGTCGAGATGTGAGTGGCGGGCGATGAGTTACAGATGTGGCTACTAGTTATGTAAGACGACTGACTACTTGCTGACAGCGGGATACGCTAGCCTACGTATCGACCGCTTCTTCGACGTGTTTCAACGAATGACAACTACTTGCCGGTAATTCCTTTCAGGATCTTAGCAGTTGGTTGTGGTCACGCAAGATCGAAGAAGCCACGCCTAGGACTCAACGCCGACATTGACGATACGAGTTGAGGTTACGGGACACAGGCCTTCTTCTAAAGGGGTAAGTAATATTGGGACAACTATAATTCAATAAAACAAAGGAAATAATAAATAAAATAAGAGATAAAACGATGAAAATATGAAAATATGAATTGACTTTAGAAGCTGACCGCTGCTCACCAGGCCATCTTGCTGACCCTCGTTATCTCAAAAATGCATGAATTCAGTATAGATGACGAGAATACAACCACCAACTAGTCAGTGCCAGACAAGTCCGGCACTCGGAATAGAACCCGAGAGGTGCTCGAGCTCGGCTTGATTCGAGCGCATCGAGTCAGAACAAGACCCAGCAGTTCTGTTTCTTTCAAACAATGACGATGCTATTCAGCAAACAGATGATCGATTTCTCCATCAACTACGGTTTGTGGTCGAGTCAGTGGATCCACAGAATAAAAAAAAGGTATCAAGTACAGGTACGAGGGCCAGTTTCATGCACCGTAATCGGTCCTTGGGTCTTTAGCTGCTGAACAATCATCCTGAAAATATTCATGCGTCCCAAAAAATCCAAAAATGGCATGCTGCTGCTTGCAATTTGCATGGAAACATGTTGGTACCTGATTCTTGTTTTGGGGCGTCGGGATGACATCATGCCTTCGCGTGAGATGGTGTAACATTTCCACACGTCGATTTGTGCGAGAACAGACACTGACTCGCAATGAGCGAACTACACAGTGCTACGTAGATTTTACCATGCGCTCAGGCTTGGGGAGAATTAGATAAAATACAGAGACGGGAATTATGTGAACTCATCATGGGGTCGCTACAAACTTCCCACATGGAGATGTGTGGATCTCGATGTTCTGAATTCGGCTCAGGTTGACCATGGGTACCCCAGAATACCAGAGAAAGCCAAAGAGAGGAGAAGGAGGCAGGACGGCAATTGATGGTGAAGAGGATGAGGATGATGGCGACGGCGCATCGTCTTTACCTAGGAGTGGCCCATGGGATGAATGAATGAATCAATCGACCGGCGAGTCAGAGGTATTGCCTCGCAACTATAATGGCAGTATTCAGGACAGCACCCACGTTCAATCAATCAACTGGGCACGCCTGGCCTCGCCGCTCTGTTTCGCCTAAGCATGCACGTATCAGAAGCAGTTGTCGATTCCACCGCGTGACCAACCGACAGTGGTAGCGCATTAGAAGGTGCGTAGCAGCCTAGTAACCGTTGGCTGGGATGGGGAAGAACAAGCGCCACCCCAATCTGCACCGTAATCTAATCTGCCTTGTCAAAGTATCACATGAGGGCCTATTCTGATTCTAGTAGCCTCAACCGGTGCAGAAAGACAACTCCGATATCGCGAGGATCCGTAATAAGGCCGCCCGCGCTGTTGGCGGATGAGCATTGCATTGATCGTCATCTGTGACAGCAAAGTCACGCTCCCGAATTACAATGTTGGGGTTGTTCACCCCACCTTGATTATCACATCTTACAACAGGACAAAAACTGTGGACGGATCTGGCCGCCAACATTTCTGGCGGGGAGACGGCTAGAAACGAGTCACAAGAGCAACCTGCGCTATGCGATGATCGGTTGCCCTCAAATCGCTATTCGTGGCACTGGCGGATCCCCCGCAACTGGGGCTTCAGGAGGCGTTGGTCTGGTCTTGGTGCACGCTCGTGATCGTGGGAGGTGGGGTCACAGTCTCCGCCAGCAAAGAATTGAACGGATGAACGAGCGAGCGAAGGAATGAACCCAAGGCTCGCGGTGACGACAGTCTTGAGCCCCAAATGCACGAGTTACTGGCAACACCTTGTCATTCGAATGTGTATCAAGTATATTGTCTCATTCTTGTAAATTTGGCCATGCGGTGATCGCCTCATGCCATGCGTAAAATGGGAGACGAGGGATGGCTATATTCAGCAGCTTCAATACCACCTATGCCCCCCAAAATGACCTAAAGAATGCTGCACCGGGTCACGATGGAGGGCGGCCGGGATGGGTCGGGCGCACATTACATTGCAAGAAGGATGAATTTTATGTAGTGAATTTCAAAGCGGTAACAATGAGCTGAAGGGAAGGAAGGAACGAGGAGGCAACAAGACACACCAGTTGATCCCACGTCGCAGCACAAGCACTCAAAGGAGCAATAACAGTACAACGACAAATGTGCCATGGGTCTTCCCATTTGCTCAAGCGCGATGCGATACAACATTGTTGGTTGCTGATAAGCGCTGGCGCACTGGAGTGAGTATAAGACCTATTTTGGGGTCCAATCCACCACCTGTTCATCCCATTTGATCTTATCCCCGTTGCCGTCACCACCAGAGCTGGCGGGAGGGGCTGCTGAGATCGATGGGGTGGCTCACTACCCATGACCACTTCTGACATGCAGCCCATCGTACAGATGTGCGAGCTAATGAGAGGCTGAATGGTCTCAGCCTGCATTGTAGCGTTGCAATAAGGTAAGTCAGCAACCAGACAAGGCAGGCAGGCCGTCATCTTGAACTTGTCAACACGTCATATCAGGAATCGCAAAAGTACGCGAGTACCATCTGTACCTTTTTTTCGACTCTTGGAGGCGAGGGGTTTTCCATGTCAGACGATTGTCTGGATTTCTCCTGTCTGACCAGATCAACACGCCATTGCTGCAAGAGGCAAGGAGGGCCAACAAGGAGGGCCAACAAGGAGGGCCAACAAGGAGGGCCAAATAAGAAAAGTATTCAGTCGATATTCATTCAAATTTGATGAAAACAATGATAATTATGGTCGTGGTCGGTTCAGGTATCAAATCTGAAAATGGTACCTATTTCTCTGGGATATCTTCCCCAGATCTAATGAAATGACGTACTACTGCTTCACGGGGTGCACTCAAGATATTGCGGAGAAGCATGCCAACGGCTGGGCATTTGCTTATTAAACTGCATGCCCGGCAATATACACCTGACTTGTGATGGTGCACATAACCGGGTAACAGGAGAGAATTACGCTATGTTGCCTGATTCACTTTAGGAGCATGAATACGTCTATACCCGGCTATGCTACAGTTTCGCTCGCCCTACTTCCCTTCTTCCGATGAGGATCCCAAGTTTTCCATCCGCGTATCTTGTTCACTACGTGTACTTGATCCAACGGATCAACAACAAGCAATCAATTGGCAACCAAACAACAATAAACTGGTTATGCAGGGTCATGTCAACAGCGGCCCATAAGGCGGGCACGAGGCCATGATTGTCAAGATTGATGAATGTGGGGCTGAGCTTGCGTTGGTCGGTCGTGATCTTCATTCTTTAACGCACCGAACAAGGCTGGAGCCTGCTCATTCATTACTGGACAGGCCGGCCTCGCCTCGTCTTTTTATGGCAGGTAGGTTATTACCATGTAGTGATCGACCTGCCAGCCACCAACCATCCAACCAACCAACCAAGTAACAGGAGTTGTTACATGAGGTTTCGGCTTGAGTCACTGTAGTAGTCGACCTCGGTGAACAGCATTAACATTAGCCGTTGGACCACGTCCAACCTCATGTTCTTCCTGCTGTTCGGTTTCGAGACATTGTGTGAGCCCTTCACCTATAATAACACCCAGCCTGATATTATATCGACTGAGGTATATTGGCATCGATGGCTTCTATTCTGATAAAGAGAATGGGTACCTACCATGCTCCATTCATCCGTCGCCTTGTCAACCAACAAAACCTCAGACGACAAGCCGCCAACGAAGCCACTGCAACAAGCTTTATCCATGTGAGGTTTTATCCGCCGGCTCCAGGTTCCTAATATCGGTGTACTGCGTACTTACTTGAAGAATTGATCACTTGACCAAAATATCCCATTGAAAACTTTTGAAATATCTGCTACGACTAATCCCCAAGTCAACGATCAACGGAGCATCTATATTATAGCATCGTTGTGCCCCGTCTCCCACAACTGGGACCCGCGATTGATAAGACAATCAACAAGATGCATTTACTCTTAGCCGCCAGAAATTCAGGGTCCCACCGGGGCCAACAAGCCGAGTCTTCAACTCGCCCTTTTTGGACAGTGGAGAATGATTACGCGAAGGCTCTATTATGTTAGACCGACAATCCTGATGCAGAATCCTGTGATGGGACAATAGGCACGGAGAAACGGAGAAAAGCAGCGACAAATGTCGATGATCATGCGCTGTGCACATACTATAACATAAGATTATAGCCTTATAGCACCTAGGCACTTGTCCATGTTGGTCAGCTCAAACAGTCGGTCACTCCTTCGTCCCGGGAGCCACACTTTGGGAGAATATTTGCCAAACGCGCGATCATCAACTGGGGGTTTCCAATGGGGAAATTCGAAGGGGTTCTCCGCACGGCATGGGCATTGATGACCGTTGAAATTTACCACGTGGGTAACGATTGTCAATGCGATGCTGGCCGCAGTTATCCTGGGGGATTCGAACCTGGGGGAACGGTTATCCATCAGTATTCGTACTGTGACTGTGACGGAATGAGGTTCCAATTTACCAGAATTTTGATTGGCAACGCGGATCAACGTAAAAGGCTCCTGCATGGAAGTCTACAAGACGAATTGGATAATTTTTATTTGCTATTAGCAACTTTTATCAGAAGTTTGCATACATGCGCGTGGTGAGTGAAGCAAGTCGAGTCCCCACTACACGGCCTCGTGGGAAGATATTCCGACAGGCTTTGACTCGCTTCAACATGGGGGAACTGGCCGATGAGTCGCCGAGGGTTGGGGATTATCCGTCCACTTAAGAGCTGGCATTTGCATTGCATGAGCTCCCGAAGGAACGGAAGAGCGATCCCACAGGAAACGGGACATTGCTGAAAACCGCAAGCTCGGTTAATCGAAGCGAGCGTGCGAGCGTCTCATCGTATTGCGCCCATCTACCAGATCGTTGGGTATGGCATCGGGGGTGCAGGTCAAGGTGATGGTAGTCAGGGGTGGTGAGCCCTGAAGTGCTCCCTTGCGATCAACGTCTTTATTCCCGTCCCTGCATTCGGCGAACAGCGAGTGCATTTCAATGTCATTGTTTAGCAAACATTCTGCGCCGACAGGCGTTTCGTGCTAAAAATGACATCTGAGCTATAACACGGGGAACGAGCCGACCCCTGTTCGTGGACTCATCAGGTCTGTCACACCAGTTTTTGCATTGCACTTGTGACCTATAACAGACTGTGAGTTAGACTGCGTACGAGAACTCGTACCTTTCGATATTATCGGGTACGGGAACGGCTGTATATAGACTCATAACATCAAAGCTGTACCAAGCCATTTGGCCGTTACAGTGACCCTGAATAAGTCTCCTTACGGCCACCCCCATTTCCACCAAAGCCCACCTACTTCCAGAGGCACTTGTTAAGTTCTTAATACTCAAATAATACCTAATGACTGTATCTATAATATTTGAAAGATATTATTTGAACATAGCATATATTTTTAGCTATTTGTACTTCTTATTTCTTTGTATTTCGGATTATAGTCAGTTGAGGCTATTACTTTAAGAAATTTCTTATAGGCTCGGTTACCTCGGTTACCTATAACATCAAGTAACATTAGTTCAGAATACAGTTAAGTATAAAGAATTCAGTATTACAATCTTTTAAAAGAACTAAATCTCTATATATACCTTTTTAGTATCATTTTACGATTTCATTTTGAATTATGGTGTATTCGCACATAGGTCGAGTTTTGGTGGGAAATGGGGGACGAACGGAGACGTATCAAGGGTCACTGTAGCATGTCGGAATAATAGCCAACGAGGATGGGAGGCATCCCAGTTGACTCCAATGTGATACCGGAAACACTTCCGACGAGATCCGCACGTCTTGTCATTCGCTTATCTATAATTGAAATAAGTCCTGCCGACAGCATGTAATACAGCAGATAATTAATGCAGATGAAGTCACCACGCCAACAACAACGGTTGTTTGACAGATTAGCAGTGACGGAATGGCGTTTTTGGCGACCTTCGTTTCCCAAGAGGACGATGCAGCGGCTCGCTCTAAAAAACTTCAAAGCAAACAAACCAGGCAAATGAGATTTTAGTGAGGCATCGAGATGTGATGCAGTCTTCCAAACCCCGGCTACCAGGTTGACATCCATCAGGCCAGATCAAGCCTGCAAATATCCCGGTCGAGAACCACGGCAAACCACAATGTTATCGGGATGATTGGACGAACACCGCAGCGAGGTATTCAAAGCTCCCTCTGCAGCTGCCACACAAGCCTCTCAGCCGCCAAGCTCGACCTCTGATTGGTGCAGTATTCGAGCGAGGCAGGCATAGACAAAGTGCCGTCCGCGGTCAGATGAAGCTCTGCTTGCCAAGCATAGCAGCAGCGCAAAGGGGACCCCTCATATTATGCTTTTATTGCAACTTGAACCAAGGCTGGGACAATTGCATGGTATATACACAAACAACCGTCCGCAGGCCGCGATCTGCATCTGCTCAAACTCGCCAGGTGCGCATGACTTGTACCGCGAGACATCGAGGACGAACCGTTGCATCCTAGGCGACGGAATTTCAATTTGATACCCTCTAAATAGAGTTCATATTGGCCCACTACCACCGGAATTGTTTTCCAGCAAAAGTCCAATTTTGCAAGCTAGTGAGGCAAGATACGATGGCGGTCATGGCCGGGCAACGAAGCGCGGAGCAAGCATGGCCGCTTCGGACACTGCAAGGCGCCTTCCCCGCCTCTAATTACCGCTGGATTAGTTGTGGGTGACTCGTTCGATGAGTTTCCCTTTGCCTTTGCTCACATGACGATACCAAAGAACTGGAACGTCTCCAGTGGGGCAGCGATTAGTGTAGAGGGCCTGCCCCCAGGGGCCCCGGGGGGTTTGATACCGGGGTATCGGGATTAGTTGCAGAAGCATGCGCCGTCATGACGAGTCCAGACGATATTGAACACGACTGGGGCAAGTAAAACTCATCACTTACTCTGATATATTTTTTCGTGTTTCGTAAAGCCCCGAGGAAAGGGCCTATTACGGGTGATCATAATGCCACTGATATCAGTGGCAGCCGCCAGCCGCCGCTATGGGAGCTGAATGGTCTGTGATGTGAAAAGGAATGTTGCAGAGAAATGATCGTTCAGATTTAGGTCTGTGATAGTATATATCAGTCCAAGCCTTTTTCAAGGCCGCGTGCCAAGCCAATCCATACATATTTCCTTGCCACACGGGCGACGGCCGCCCACCCCTTTCTCCCCCCCACCCCACATGGTCTAGAAAAAGGGGGCTTTCGCTGACCCCCTGGCTCGGGGAATCAAACCCCAGTCGCCGGTCACAAATGACAGAAATTGGCAACAGAGATCCTTGGAGTGCCCCCAAGTATTGATTATCGCAATTTAGTCGATAACATTTTATCGTTATACTGCTTCACATTTGTGAAACGGTGACGACAATTGCCATGCAACCGCCATGCGACAATCATTGACATACAATAGTCGCTTTCAATGCGTTGTGATGTGAATGCTTGAGCTGATAACTGGAAAAAGAAACTGCAATGCAACTTGTTATCCACTCTGTCGCATCATGGTGCAGACAGCGGTGTGATGCAGGTGAAGTGCCGGTTGTCAGTTGTGGGTGTTCTCGCGAGCTTCCAGAAGACTGCAATTGTCACAGGTTGGCATGTTGATGTTTGGATTTGGGGTAGCGTTATGCCGGACTGGAGTTGGGAATTGGGAAGGCAGTTTGGAATTGGCCCCTGCTTCCCAGGCCTCACCTTGCGACCATGGGGACTTATCCCTGCCCTCCCGCGCTTTCTCAGAAGAATCGTGGGGGGGGAGGGGGTCAATGTCATCCCAAAGCGATTGCCAAACCTGGACGCTCCTGTGCATGGATGCTTGCTACCACCTGCCGTTCATCACGCCTGGTCGCGCTACGTCATTAGAACCAGCGTGATAACTCTCAGCTTCACGCCTCCTTCACTTCCTAGCTTGATGATGTGATAAGGCATTTTCAGCAGTAATGGCGGGTGTATATTTGTGGATTGTGGGCTGACGTTCATATCAAACAACTTTATCCAGTGGTGCTCTACCTAATCCCACAACACCTCTCGCGCCAGCCCAAGTTTGCAAGTCTCACGATTAGAACGCAAGAATGATTGGAGTGGAAGCAGCTTGTCCCGCAGCTATGTGGTATTGCTGGGTCACTTTTACCTGGAATCATATAGTTTTAAAGGGCTATGTAGATGCGGGAAGGTTGGATTCAGGAGGTTTGCATTGTTCTCCAATATGGAAACATTGTGAGAACCGCCGAAGTCAACAACACCAAATTTCGAAAATGATGGATGAGTCAATTCTGCACTGATCCAACGTCTTAGAACACAATGTAGGCCTGTGCCTTCTAGATCAGGCAGAATTTGGGTTTGGATGTTGACGATGAAGCGCCTGCCACATCCGGCAGCGCAGTCTGGGGTCATTTGATATCGTTTCTCGTGGAATCCGGACTAAATTGGCGACGTAACATTTCTGGAACGAGCTATGATCGTTGGAGAGTCCCGACAAACTTCGACTTGCACACCTGGGAAGTTGTAAGAGAGTCTCTTCAGTCGTATCGTGTCGTTGTAAACTTTTGGAATGAGGGATAACTGGGCCTTGCCAATATATATCTCGCGATACTGCTCGGCAATGATGCAACGCAACCAATCCATTGATTTTGAAATGACTCTAGTAAATAGCTACATCGCCGTTGATCGGGCGATCCGGCGCAACCAGTCAAGAGCCGAAGTTCGCGTTTCAGTCACGGTCGGTTGTTGCCTTGACAGCTCGGCGCTACTCGTAGGGGACGAGGATGTGACGGAGCTTGTTGGCGATAGGGTGGAGTTGAAGATGGTTGTGGCACATGACATAAGGGTAGAAGTTGTCGGATATGGGGTTGGATTGGTGGGGAGGCTCTCCGCAATGGGAGTGCTTGATGATAAAACTCGTATGTGATTATGCTCGGAGGGATATAGAGCATGTTCGATACGAGGCAAAGTATTAGTGATTACATATGAATCTTCATTCAGGACCGACCGCGACCAGGGCGACCCGACCAAGGACTCGACCTGAGTATGTAACAGGAGGCCTGTTACACTCTCTGACTGCGGATAAGTCGTGGCATCGCCATTTCGGCAGTCCGTCGAAACCAGTCAGCACTTGGTGAACTCCAGTCCGAGGTCGTCAGCAAGCTGGATCTGGCCGGCCAAAGATGCGGGGACCGCGGCGTGGCTACCGAGGCTGTGAGGGCCTCAGCTGATCGTGTTGCTTAATGCGGAGAAAGTCAATTGTGGAGAGCCATTGCTCAGCAACTGCTCACGGGAACCGGAAAAGCCAGCGCATAGATAAGCCAGCAGGACTTGCCAATTATCAATTTCGAGAGTTGTGATGATTTGGTCGACAACTTGCTTTACCTCATTTGCGCACGTGTCGATATCTGGCAAAGGTCCAAGTGAGGCCCGCACTGGTATTCTAACCCCGCCTCAGTAACGTGAAAGAATTTGCAACTTGCACGCTTGCGGACACTTTGACATCAGTTGTGACCCCCTTGTAACTGTCAGTGCCAACTTGCAACACATGCATTGAACCCTCTTTGGGTTTAGTTTTCTAGTTGCCGCCCTATTTTCTATCGATAGGAACGCCGTGATGTTATCTGCAGCGGGACAGGCCAACTTTAGCAGTGATGGACATTGTCACAAGCCCTTTTAAGGCAACATTGGGGGGGTTCTGGCCCAAACAGCCCATAACGACAGGCTCCTTGGGGTCAAGAAGTCACGTCACATCTAGACCCTGTCAGCCTGTCTCCGCCTGTGTCCTGTGCCAGCATGGCTGAGCAGTAACGACTCGTCGGCGTTGATAATTCGGTGTTGGGCAGCAAATAGACTTATCGTGGACTTCAGTCTAGACAGCCGCTGCACAACCTGCCCAACGAGATGGAGTTCAGTCAGCCTGCCACCGTTATCAGGAACAGTCCTGGTGAGCCTGTAAGCAAACTGAATTGGTCCTTCCACAATCACACGAGATTGATGCATGGGCTGCGTACAGCAACCGTGATGTATAGCTGGGGCGCAACTTTGTGTGTAAATTGTCGGGAACAGCACGGAGCCCGCCGCCACTGATGCTTTCGGCAACGAGAGGAGGAAGATTCACGCAGAACACCCAAAAATACACAATTGACAACCAACTGCAGACTCCCGCATGTAGAAACTCTTGATGGATGGTCATTAGGAATGACTCTGGTGAGACTGCCCTTGAGCTTTGAGTGTTTCGTGCATTACTCGTTGAACATGACGAAGACGAGGATTTTCAGGCGTATTGATGCCCACCTGCATCTTTCAACCATGACGGCGACGGCGATGGCGACGGCGACGGATTCCCAACGGGCATCTGTCGCCCTCACCTTGTTCGGATGTCATGCAAACCTACCTATGAAATGGTTAATTCTGGAGGGTAAACAGGTGTTACAGAAGTTTTTGACCCGTGTGCCCAATCCAACCAAGCGACCAAACAACCGGTAGTGTGGTAGCGATCAGGAGGCATGGTCATAGAGAATCATCTGCGCTGAGTCGCTGAATCAAGCGCCGCCACCCTAAAGTTTGAAGAATCCAGACGTCCGGGTTGACGGAGCACATCCGATAGTTTGAGCGCCGGTCGTAAATGCCTCATTTAGAGCATACTACTCAATCGGGCCAAGATTGTACGCTATAGTTATAACTAGCTTCTTCAAGTTAAGTCGAAAACTGCAGACCGCTGCGGTCGTGATTTATGGGGGCATGGAGTATGGGATCAAGAAAAGAATGAAGTACCGCCGTAGTTGAATACTTTGCGAGGTATTGCCGCTACCCCTTGACCGGTGCCACCAACCCACCACCAGCCAGACCCCAGCTCTTACCTACATTCATCACTCTCTCACAACTACCCTCGCCGAGGTAGCTACGTACCTCTTTCTATCCGACGGTCAGGAAGCCGCGACTCCTGCTGGGTACGTACCTCGAAGTACTGCCAATTGGGGAGTTACATACTTCACCGCGCCTTCCCACCACCCATGCTCAAAGGTCCACCACCCTCTCCTCCGCACCATATCAATCAAATACAGACGCAACACATCTTTACCTACATATGTACAATCAAACCACTCGTCCTGCGTCGGTCTCTTCTGAACAACTTCACCAACAATAACGACTACGACCGTGGAATTTTCAACCCGGCATAACTCATTACCAGTTCCATCAGACCAGCAATACCTCGCCTACATTCACTAGTAAGACCGATCCCAATCCACTTACATCGCATCCACCACCAATCGCGGCGGCGACACCGATTATTACTCAATTTCAACTGAGGCGCACCTCGACGACTTCGACGACAGACACACTATTTATTCTACTGCTCGATTTCTCCGGTGCCGACTCCACTCATGAACTCCCATTAAACCCTCCAAAGAGCCACCGATTGAGACGCTCGCGGTCGTCTTCGCGAAATCACCACCACCATACTCCGCCAAACTCCACCGAGATCTGCTCCCACGCTCGAGCAGCACGCATCAACAACATGCCTTGCAAAGCGGAAGGACTAGTCCTGACGGTGGACCCCAACGTCATTCACAAAGTAGACACAAATAACGCGCAAAATCTCTTCAGCATGTGGACTGGTGAGTAAATCAAATGGTCCGCAGTATTGGCCCCACTTGACATTGCTAACCACCCTCTTCAGTCTTTTCAAGATGCGTCGACTCAGTAGAGCAGGGCCGCCGCTTAGAAAACCTGAGTTGGAGATTGTGGAATAGAGAGACCTTCTGCTGCGAAACTGCGTGCGGCAAGGCAAAGCAGCTGCATTCACATGCATTTTCGGCCACGACTACGTTACCGAAAGACATTCCTGACCAGCGCATACCAGACGTGCCCCAATTGTCCGGCAGCGTCGACTCGGTGCAGGAGGACGAGGAGGCGCTCGAGTTCTCGTCAGATTCCGAGCCAATGGAGATCGTCCACCGACCCATAATTGTTCGTCAGGACTCTTGTGGCAGCAGCCGGAGCCGCGGACGTGAGAGACATATCACCTCAGACCACCTCGAGAAGATGGTCGTTTCCATCATCCAGGAGAAGGAGCCCAACCTGTCACCCATATCTGACATGAGCTCCCCGTCCTTGGAACCAGAGTCCGATGAGTCTCAGGCGGCCTTCTCTCCAGAAGCCCACGACAGTCTCGGCACTCCGACGACTCCCACAACCGAACCCTTGTGCGATTCCGCCGTGTTGCCGTCCGAGGCATCTGCGTCGCAATCTTCGCCTTCTGATATTCCGACAAACGACTCCGCAAGCCGGACAACCGTCGTACGCGGCTTCTCACCCTCCCAGATCTCTATCCCTTCTCTTCGCTTAACCAGTCACAACTCCATGATGGCTTCCCCTACCGAACACGCCATTCCCGAGCCCCACTCTTCTCCTGCGCACAAGCCGGTTCAACTTAAGAAGCAACCACCCAAGTTTGCGCTCGGCGGTTCCTCTGGAGACGAGTCCTCGCCTCAGAGCCTAGGGGTTCGCCAACCTGTTCCTCAACCTAAGAAGAAGATGTTCTTGGTTGGTGGATCGTCGGGCTCTGGAGAGGATGACACCCCGTCTCTCAAGAGCGCCATGCACTCTGCGCGGCCCAATTCCTTGCTCACAGCCCAGAAGAAGCAGACTTCGTTCAGCAATCAAGTAACGATGCGAACCATTCAGACTCCCAGCGACCAGTCGGACAGCTACATGGACGAAAGCGCCATCGACGACGACGACGAAGACTCGGAGTGGGAGGACTCCATCGAGGAGAGTGGCAAGTCTAGTGTGGACGACGCGGTGACCTTCAAGCGCGTGTCATCGAAGGGGAACCTCACTTCGCAGCGGTCGCTCATTAGCTTGATGTTCGCTGGACAGGATCCCCGTACCAAGGCTCTGACTAACCACGCTTCCCAATCGACGTCGGCAATCCCTCAGCGCGCGCGGTCTATGCACAACGCCCCTACGTTGGTTGCCTCGCCGAATGATTCCGATGATCACGGATTGGAGATGAAGAGCAGCAGAGCTCAACGACGCACGCTACTGCGGCCCATTACAGAGGTTCCTCGCTCTGGCGCACAGCCAATTACAACCCCAGCACACTCGAGTCATCAACAGGCGGCGCTGTCGCCACGAACCACACGTAGAAACATGTTGGCCACCGAACTGACCGAGTCCCTTCGACGCCAACTACTATGGGAACGCCAGCAAAAGTCGCAAACTGCGAATGCCGTCCTTAAGAGAAGACACACTTCGCACGATGTCGCCAACCTGAAACAGTACCCCGAGAAGGCCTACATGGCCGAGGACAACAAGGCTAAGGAGGAGCCTAATGCTAGCAGCTGGAACCAATACTTCAACCGAGAGGCCCTCGGTGGTTACCATGCGCAAGGCTGGTGATTGTCCCTACTATTTTCGACCTTACATATTCCATCGAGATGCTTGTCCACAACGGCGAGCACTCTGCGGCAGATTGCTGCCCTGTACAATGTTCATTTATCAACGCATTGCGACGCGATTGATTTCTACGATACCTATTGCATCCATGCATTCGGCCGGCGTTTTTGTTTCGACTCAAAGTCACATGTCATCACATCGGCGACCCCACCACACGGCATGGTTGACCAATCCCAGGCATTAATGCACTGGGCAGCACTGTTCAGCCAGGGCCTTATCAATGCCTACGGACATCGGCGGCTCTGGCGGACACTTCACTGGCAATAATCGGCGTTGTTACTAAAGATACCACGTCTGTTCCATGGTTTTTCGCCCAGTTGATGATACCCCCAACGGGCCGGGTTTGTTTTTATTGTCTATTTCAAGAGGTGGCACGGTGGAAGAAGAATGGTAGCGTGTATTCTGTGCGGAGACTTGGGGCAACCCTAGCTTGACCGTACTGACCATCGGGGATGAAGGCGGCTTGACAAAATTGGAAGGCCTGCTCGTTTTGGCAGTCCGGCGAGAGGAAAAAACTTTTGGAACTCAGTGTGCAGGAGAGCGGAAGATAAAAGGCAAAGCGCTCATGACCGACAAAAACATAGCAAAATGACAAAGAGCTACAGAAAAACACAATAAAACTTGATGAGACACCTCAACCTATGATCTTCCTGCTTGACTCCTGATGCGTGAATTCCAATGCCGTGCGACTAGTTAACTCACTATGAACACAGAATATTCCAATCCGCCTACCGTTGTTGCTCAGATCCAGGTATAGTGCATAGAATTAACCGATGACAGGTACAGATGGCCAGTCCACGGACTGCACAGGACCCATACGATCGAGCGAGGATAGACTGGTCGGCATGTGAAGATGACGGTGCATGGTGACCATTCCAAGGTTTCGTATCCCGGCAATTAGCATGACAATCTAATGAAAATGGGCACGCACTATCCATACCTGTGCCTGGATTTCTTTGACATTGTTAGGGGCTCGCACGTTATCAGCCATATTCGGTTATATTGAGGTTGTCTAATTGATGCTTATCTGACAGGCCGCAACAGAGGTCAAACAGAAAAAACCAGCATCTTTTGGCGGACGGTGGTTTTGAAGCTGCAGTGTTACACATAGAGCTTAACGCCAAAATGAAACGCTGGAGAAAATTGATTTCCACGCTTACGAATAACCCCGCGTCCGCCGTGTTCGACCGGCGGGAGTCACCACAGATCCGACCGGTTTCTCCGTCCACTCGATTGATGTTCTCTCTACGGTATGGTATTCCAGGAGCCGTCCCTGCATTGCAGATTTTGTGTCCAGGAGAGGGATGAGTTGTTTACTTTCGGAGATGACCATCGACCATTTTATTCATTCTGGTGGTTGGAGACGATGGCAAAGCCCCCGCCACAAGGGAGGAGCCTTTTTGTTTACCTGTAAGTACGTGGGGTGTATTGAGGCATCCAGACACTCTTATCAAAACAGACAAAAAAGCAGCTGCAGTTTTGGGGTTTGTCAGTCAGGGAGCTGCTTGCCACCTGGATCATATCATGATAATGGATGTTTTCCGCCCGTGCCGTTTGTACCGCATCTGCAAGAGCAGCACCCTTGATCGGAATTCCCAACCAGCAACAACTCGTTTGTTCGCTCGTTGGTTCGTTTCACCGACGGTACACCATGTAGATCAGTCGAGGGCCTCGAACAAACCAAACCAACTCAGTTCATCTCTTTTCGCCTCTCCGTGTTTGCAAGACGGGCGATGCTGCCATCTAGACCGTTATGGAGCAGGTGAACGCAACAAAAGCGGAGAAGGGGGAACAGAGAACAAGCACGGCTGTATACTCGCATCCAGGTACAAGGCCGCCGCCCTGATGATCAATGGATTTACCCTCCGTATTTTTCTCTTCTTGCTTTTTTTTCTGGAGAAAAATACAACCCTTTCAAACGACATAGCCGCGATGAAATCCTGGGTTTCTGCCTGTACCTCTGGGCTGTGTATGAACCCTTCCTACTAGACAGACCGCCAACTCGCATAACATTTCATCGCATATAGGGAGATGTTGGGATTCTGCTTGCATAATAGCGGGTTGCATGTTGTAATAGCATCGTGGGGGGGCCGCTACTGTGTTATGATGATTACCAACCTCCCGCAGGTTAATGACAGATAGGCCCGCGCAACATAACTGCGGTTTGATGGCGTGGGCGTTTGGGGCCAAAAAAGTGAGGGAGTTGGGTTTTTTTGTCCTTTTTTTTTTTTTCAATTTGCCTTCCCAACTCACCGCCGTAGTTTTCGACCTCCGCGTCTCGAGCCAACCACATACCACTTTCGATCCTGGTGCGCAGTGTGAGTGAGTGTTTGCTTCGAGTGCTAGCTTTTGCAACTATTTCCATCCCTGATTGGGTGTACATTCTTCCGCATTTGACATCATTCCCGAGCCGTCATGCTCAGTGCCGCATGCATCAATACTTCTCTGCCTCACATGATGGCGGCTCTTACACAGGGCGTGGCATCGTGCGTGGACCTGTAGGTCTCGCTCTCGGGCGGTATGTGATTATGCGGCACTTACTCATTTTATCAAATCAATTTTCGTAGTATTCATTTCCAATTACAGCCTAACTTGCTTTTGAGTTCAGACCACAGTGAGTTCATGCAAGTTGGTTGGGTCTGCGTGGTTTCTTGTTTTCCGTGGTGAGAGCTGCATGCGATACGGCTTTATCGGTGATGCGTTGGCTGACGCAGGTTCGAATAGAGCAACGCCACTCACCGCCTTATGATGCAACCATCCCAGCATTCAGAGGTGGTGTGTATGTGTTGTGTGTCGTGTGTTGTGTGGCGTGTAGGATATCTAGACACCTGCGATGAGAGGAGATGGGATGGTTGCGCGGGAAGAGTCATATGAGAGAAGAAATGCTGTCTTGGGGCCAGGCACATCTCGAAATTTACGCCTCGCGAATTGAATGGACCGGGGATTGGTTTTGATTTACTGCCGTCCGTAATACGGGGAAGGATATGGCCGGTTCCTACTGGCCATGACCACAACAAGCGCCGTTTGTTGGGTAAGAGGCTGCCCCATGGAGGGGTATATGGCAAGTATGTCATTGTGGCGCTGACGTGAGGCATCGCTGCGGCGTTGCGGTGCATTATAAAAAAGAGCGGCTTGGCTTTTTCGTTGGGGAGGGCCATTTTGAGAAGTCAAGCACACATGGACGTCTCTGGGCCGTCATCATTGGACGGTTGAACTCGACTCGCCGCCGGCATTCCATTGGCACGTCCAACCTGCACGACACAAGTCTCAGATCTTGGCCTTCACGAATCGCAACTGTATCGTGTATGTATGACTCTCTGTGCGACATCAAGTCACTATCGTTCGGGCGGTACTTGAGTCGACTCCCTGTCAAATCATCAGGGTGATAAACGTGTCGCTGGGTTCCTTGTCACAAATCATCGACGCTAAGTTATTCGTCAGCGGATTGCAGCATTGCTGCAAAGTGTACTTTCCCTCTTACTGCCTAGACACGAACTGCACCATGTAACAGCTACTGGTTGGTCATCGTCTAGCCGACTATGCACTCAGCTGAAACTGGCATGGGCACTTATGATTAAACAGATTCCACGTTGATCGGTCCTTTCTCTGTAACACTATGAGGCCGAGTTTTATGTGGCTGGCATGCCCAAGTCTGCGAGTGCGGAGTTGACAACCTGGGACCCACAAGCTTACACTTGATAGACCCAAAAATCTCGAATTCTGGATATGCAGATTCGACCCGAGGGCCATGCCCAAAGATAATTAATTGACCGGGTCCTTCTCCTCCAATCATCCCTAGCTTGCACTCTACAAGGCTGCAAATATTGTCCCATGGTTCCAGGACCAATGTTTACCCCTCAGCAGAGCAGCAGACTCAGCCGAGCCCCTCAGCCGCCCTCTCGTTTTTCACGATAATAACACGCCGTTTGCCCGTCGGCAAAGACATTTCTCCACTTTCGAGACGCCGTCAGCATCAATTCACTCCAGAAAACCGCCGAGAATAATGGCACGATTGTCCTGTTTGCCGTGTGCTTTTTTCTCTTTCTTTGCATCTCCAAACCCACAATGGGATGGGATGACCACACATCACGATTCCGTTACGCAAAGTCTATCTTCCCCACCGTCAGATAGCCTAGGCACGAGCAGCTAGTGTACTAGCCTTATAATGACCCCAAGATGTGAACGAGTTGGGTTTCGTGGGTCGCGAAAAGGTCGGGATTTCCTTCAGGGGGAGAAGCCTATTACCAGTGCCGCACCGGAACCAGGTTGACCCTTCGGCTGTTGAACCTTCGGGGGTTGCAGCCTTCACATGAGAGTCTGAGAGCACGTGCGAACCAGCACCAGACCGTGGCACACGACTTCCAGGAGTCAGTTTTCCTGCCTGCGCCGGTCGGGCTGGTATCGCAGTAGCATGATTGCGGTTTCTTCTCGGGAAGAAATGCTGGAACATCGTGTGATCTCGGAGAAGTTAAGAGTTAGACAGGCATCCGGTGGCTCGGTCAACCATGCCGGTCAACCGTCCCAGGTACAACACCTTCTGACCGGTCGTTGTGCGGCGATATATAACGGAGTCGACAGCTCCCGGTGGATAAGCCCAGTTATTTCACTTTGGCTTCATCGTACTTGGCTCAGCAGTCGCCACCACATCCCGTTGTGGGGTTATCGGGGGATTGAAGCACGCGCTCCAGTGGGCCAAGTCACATCGTGATCAACAAAGCAATGGCGTCGGATCATTCATAGTACCCACGATGACTGATGGCCAACCTCGGGGTTCGTGCGCTGGACATTCACAACCGACTTGACTTGGCCTTTGGCTTATTTCCAGAAATAGATAATCCACGGAGACGATGGAGAGATAATGACAAGCCTCTAGGTGCACCCAACCCACCTTGACAAAGTACAGCGTAGTATCACGAATAGGAGCAGCTGCCTATACTTTTTGGCATACATCATTCATCAAAAGGCATTGTGCACGACTTGCGTTGGGACTCGAGCTTGGTTGTCGGTGTCGTGTGCCACCATGCCACAATGGACTGAGTATTGCTTGTTCTCATGATTCAGAGTTTTGGCAGTCTGGATCTCTTCATCCGTTGAAGCGGGTGCTAAAAATACTCGAGGGGTCTGAACTCTATCTGCATTTGATTTGTTTTCATTTATGACTTCTTTTTTTCTTTCTTTATTTTTTCTAATTTTTCCTCTCAATAAAAGTCTGGTGGAAATAAAAACAACACAGGCCACCAAAAACCAACACCACCTGTTCATCCAGTTAAGCTTTCACTTATCCCCGGCCCCAAAACTCTGGGATCGTCTTCCGGGGAACCCTATTAGTGCTGATCAACTATCTGCTGGTGGGAAGAACTGCAAGCCCAAGTTCTCATGCCAGGGTTTCTCGCGGAACAGATGATGGTGCTGCGATGTACCGAAACGGAAATCGGCGTATTTCCCCCCTTAATGTGGTAATTCGTCTGACATTTGCCAATGGGGGAAAGGGGATTGGTTTGGAAATTACTCAACGGCTGCTGTCCGTCCAATGAAGTAAGCAACCGAGAATGACAGTCGTCAGTCCCGTGTCAAACCAGTCAGTCACATCGCTAATTGGGACAGTCGTTAGCGCTAACACCGTTGCATGTGTCTGAGCTGAGTTTTTTGGGGCGGCGGCGGTGCAAAGGCCTACATATCACGAGTTCCCGAGCAAGTCCGCCCTGACGCTGATGCAAGCGTGCCTGGTGTATGGCCCGATGTGGGCAATGTCAGCCGGGTGAGACTCAGGAGTTTGGGGAAAAGCTAGAAAGTCATTGGGAGCTGACCGAATGTAGCCGAGCTTACATATACACAGACTCCATCAGCTTTGGGCCAAGAAAATAGAAAGAGGCAAGCCTGTCGGCTCGAGGCGCGCGCAGGGGAGAATGAATGACGACGCTATGTTGTGTGCGAGGATGGATCATCACATGTGACGGCGACCCATCTCTTCCCCAACTTTGTGGCCATCATCACCCCGGATTTACGCCATCAGGATGACCTGATCCTCCCCAGATCTCGGTGTCATGGCTGACGAAAATTGCGCGTAAGAGTCGCAACGGTCAAGGCGAGAGTAAGAGTCACCATGACCCGCAATCTCCGCATTGGTCGTGCGAAGGCTTGCGCCAATATCTGGGGACGAAAGGGCACTTGCGGCTTGAGACCCGAGCGGATCTTCCATAATACGGGGGAGGAAAAGGTACTCAACTAACTTGGGAGGAATATCAAGGTTTCAACTGCTTGAGGGGAGGGAAAGTTCGGGGGCGCTCCGCCACGGCGACTTTTTTTGGCGAGAATTGAGCGCTGAGCTGGTCTGCGACGAAAGGGGAGGGAGGCCGTTTCCTGTTGCAATAGATCAGAGTTCGGTGTTTGTGTGCATATTGGGTTTGGGGCTATGGTCGGGTGACTCTGGGTTTATAAGTGTTGCTTGGTGCCCGCGTGGCTGCGAGTTCAGGAACCCGGCGGCCTAGACGGTTACAACGAGACAAGTTCCAGTACACGCATTGGGGCAACCCACGATTTTTACATTTGATACTTTTGAGTCATACGGATAGCGGGTTAATGCGGATTTCCACGGACTTTGCATGCCTCGGCAGGATTCTGGGCATGAGTTGAACTCCTTTTTCTATCGTTCGTTATGAACATTCCACTTAAGCACAGAGTTTTGAGGCGCTACATTGTGATGTCGATGGACGCTTTTGCAATCTAGACATATAATCTGCATCGACCGGAATCAAGCTCGTATTTACACACAGGATCCAAGCTGTGGGATTTATTGGTCGTGTGATTGAGTTAACGCCACTGGAAGGAAACTATACAATTGTTGGTGTGGTGGCTGTGCTACAGGCGTTGCTTTGATTCCTCACACTTCCGGAAAACATCCTGACTATGCGATCATCTCAATGGGGAACCGATCTAGGTGTTAGTGAAAGTTGGGCAATGAAGTGCTCCTTTATCAATAGCTATGCCGGTACCTAGTAGGATTCCATTATGTGAATTAACCGCACGGTAGTGTTGCCGTAAATTGATCTATTTGATAACATCAGATTAGTGAAATTTTCCTTCACAGCATTCCGCTTCGCCCTGATGATTCTTTACTGTTGGTCTAAGTGTTTCACGGGCTACGACCCTATCCCGTTTTCGATGCGCGGTTGAAGCGGTTAGCACCATCCAGATTAGTCATTGGTGAAGTTCGTGATTGGCTAGCACTTACACGTCTGTCGTCGATGCTAAAGACACACCTCGCTCACTACCACGTCTCGATATAGAGCATTAGGTAGAGTATACAAATACAAATTATTCACTTTTTGAATTGATATATCATGTGGAATGAAAACAATGAATATTACGCCAAATACTGCCGCGGGTTTTCTTCACAACCACCAAACCTCTGTCTTGTCAGTGATCCTGCCGTGTCGTTTCACTCGTCCCATTGCATTCAACACCAGTCCCACTATTTCCAAGTTCCTTATTGCGAAATATACCACGCAGTCCATATGGGTTAGTTTAGCAACTGTATAGACATCAGCTGGTGTTCTCTGTAGCATAGTCTGAGGCCTGGCCAGCTTGGCCCTGCCAGCTGTATCAAGTCCTGAAAAGGGGCTCGACATTCTATCGCATTGCCTTTCCTTGATATTTTGGCCGAAGGCAACGGAAAAGCATTAGCGGAGGCAGCACGGCAGATTTAGACCGCCTCGAGATTGGTGATGGCTGTTGAGAACATGGGTAATGACAGAGCGGAGCCCCGATATGGGCAAAATATAGTGGTCAAGTTGCATTCTATTTCCAACTATTTCGACCGCCTCACTCGCGGAAATAAACGAGGCCCCTGGATATGTTGTTCCTGGTCCAGCTCATCTCTTCAACAACGGACCGCGAAAGCAAGCGCAAATCCACGGGGACCCCGAAACTCCAGGCCTGCAGACCCCCCGAGCAGTGCCTGAGGGCTTCGACATTTAATCTTATCGGGAATTATTGATAATATCCAGCTTCCATGCCCTCTGGTTCAAACCTGGGAAAAGAAACCTGCAGACTCCTGATGGTGGATATGGTCACGGGCCTGCAGACCAAACCAAACCGTTGGATGTATTTCCAGCATCGTGGTACTTGAGCTCCTCCCCCTCTCCTCCTCCTCGCTCCATGGCCAGGTTACCAGCCCAGTGGGGTCTGAAAAAGAGGTGCAGACAGGCGGTGGATTCCCAAGAAAAATCCACTCTAGTACGTGACATCAGGCTGACAGGGTAGGATGGAAGAGGCGCGCCCACTTGGGCATCATTGCACATGCTGGCGAGGCTTGTCTCGTGGCTCCATATGGGAACCCCCTAACTAGTGTAAAGTAAAATAACAACCCCTAGGTCCTGCTTTATTACCAATCCACCCGAATGATACCTGGGTAAGGCATTTGTGAAGCAAGGTTGAGTATTCATTCGTAATATGCTTGGACCGACCGGCCGTGGCTTGGACAACACGTTGATGTGCGGTGTGTAGTGCACTATTGACATGACATACCTTGCGAAATACCTGGGTGCTATCTGTCTCTGAACGGGCGGCCCCTATTGGCGGCATGGGCACCACGAACCCCTTCAGTCGGCCGTGGCTCCGACCGGTGAAGCGTCCGGGGGCCTGCAACGGCAGATGCTTCATTTGTCACGTTAGCATCGCCATCCCTGCCGCTGCTAGCAATAAGCTTGGTGGTGTTCATTTTGTTTACTTTTATCGTTCTTTTAGGCGCGTCCCAATGGAGCGATAATGGCTCTGATATCGTATACATGTTCCGTTAGCTTCCCCGCAAACCTGTCTCCAGATATTGTTGCTTGTTGCCCGGACCCGTTGATATTCTGCAGCAGACGGATGGCTTGACGGGCTATTTTTCTAAGCAAGAAATGTCATTGGTCGAGTTGCGACGACGTAAGACACGATGAGCACGACTATGTTGTACATATGTGCGCACTCGTCATCCTGCACAGAAGGCCAATGTCACTGGCCTCGTTGGTCAAGCACGCCTCGAGCCGCCCGCGTCGATGGTCGCTGTGCCCAAAAGCGGGTACAGCACAGATCGAACATGGCCCAGAGATAAAAAAAACTTCAGTACAGGATGTTATGGCGTGTCCTCGAAACAATTGTGTTTTGGCGCTTTGGCACAGGTATGGCTCCCAGTGCCACGTTGTCGGAAGCGACACCGAAATCCGTAGGTAATTGGCTTGGTCTCCAGACAGGCATCTCGAAGTGGTGAACAAAACTAACTCCGTGGCATTTTCTTTATCTCAAACAAAGTTGCTGGACGCACATTTGTTTATGACGGGCCCAATCAGACGGCAGACAAGTCAAAACTCGGAGCGGTGCCGGGTGGCCACGACTCGCAGCAGACCTTATTTTGGACAAGCGTGTTCTCAGGACTCGCGGCTGTCGCGACCCTTCTGGGTGAGATGCGCCGATGGGAGGATTCCTTCGAAACGTGGCGAGTGGGGCACCCACATACGTCAACTTCGGGCAGACTTCTAGAAGTATGGAAGAAGCACGGGTGGAGGGGTTCGTGCGATTGATCCTGGTTGCAGTTTTAGCTTATCAGCTGAGAGAAAAACTGCGGGAGTCTTGTTACATGCTAGGGATATCGCTGGTTGCAAATGCTGCTTGTGACCTCACTACCACGAACCGTTCAACGAACTGCATCGAGTCATGGCGAACAAGAAACAGGATGTCGACAATCGGCTCTCGCAACCCGCCTTTTTGCTCTTTTTACTTTTTTTTTGTCAATTTTTTTTATTCGCGCAGCTTTGGTGCGAACGGAAAATGTGACCTGTATGCGGCTTAATACCTCGGGAAAGGGTACACCGAGTATACGGCCGAAGAACTGGGGATTGCTCGGGCAAAGGGATTCCGGCGGGCCTTTTTTCCTCGCAGGGCCAGCGACCGGCCAGCCAGGTCTGTCCTCTCTCCACTTTGCTAGCTCAGTTCCTACTGTAATTGGGAACGAAACCGCCCACATACTACGTAGGAGCCATCGTGTCGGCGACTACGCAGGACTGCAAGGCTGGCCAGGGTAGATAATCAAGTGCTGTCGTTACCGCCGGTCGCTGTCGCATGTTGAAACATGTGACCAGCGTCTCGGGTCCCGTATGGGTGCATCCAAAACGGCGACAACGGGCAATTCCTATGGTTCATGTCATGAGTCGCGGCGCAACGGACGACGAAATACCCTGGAGGTCGGCTCCAAGGTAGACAGAGCGATTGATCCCACGAGGAAGAAAACCTTCGCCATTCGTCATCGCCAATGCGGAAGACTCATGCGAGTGACAAAAAGGCTACGGTGCCTGGGCAACTGGTATCATATGCACAGCCCAGCTTCCCTCTAGCCTTTACAGCCACGGCGGCTTTATGGAGACGTGATGCGCTGCAGAGTGTCGTCTCCGCATCGTACCGCGTCGCGCACCAACGGCAACAATAAGCTGCGCGAGTACAAATTGTACGCAAACCAGCCCGTAGCCAAGTAAATGTTGGGCTATGACGTAGTTTTTCATTGTCGAAGCCTTGATGATTCCAGGGCGGTGAGGTTTGCTGAGAAGGTTGCAATCGACTCCGCTATGAGAGCTAATAGCATATGTATTATGGTGAGCGCAGGATACCTGCTGGTCGTGACTCCCTCGAATAATGAATAAATCTCAGAGATAATTGATCATTTTTTTAATCATTTAGAATCCCGGTTCAGAACCATTTTAAGATTTCGAGTCAATGCTTGTCCAAGCGACATCGTACATGAATCAAGCGTTGTGTTCGTATACCAACCTTGGTAAGGTATTGTTCATCTAATGGCCATGGTAAAACCGTTACGCGTCTATGCTGCAGCGCTTGACCTCCAGTTACATTGCGCTGCGGCAGGTTCTTTGGAACCTAACCGAGGATGACGCCGTGCAAGACAGTGCAATCATCCCATTCCGTCGTGGTGTCGGGACATAGACACCTGATGCATAAGACCTTCTTCGTCTGGGGTAGCAGTCAAGTCGGTCCCTGAAAACATCCAAAAACGGCACTGCCATTGCCGTACCGGCTGAAGCAGAGCGGGACTTATGCTGCCCAGTTTCACCATCACTCTGGGCGAAGAAGCAATATTGAAAAAAGCCGAAATAGGCAGCAAGCTCTAGCGGTTGTCCAATCCGGCGCATCGGTGCGCGATGCGCCGTACCCCAGGTTTCGGTATAGTCGAAGCCAGGAACTGGAAAATCTGGGGTGCGGCGCACGGCATTGGATTGGACATGCACGAGAAAACGTCCATGGAACGCGCCGCAATGTGGCTTCGGCAAGAGATCGATGTGCAGGAGATTGCTGCAATCGAGCAGCCATAGTCGTCTGAGTAGCTACTGCGGCCTTATGTGGTGGTAACTGGCAGGCTGGCAAACCGCTCCGGCTCCAATGGCCCCAGGCCAATCTCCTGGCAGCTTGTCTCTCCCCGGATCTGTACGAACGTTGGTTCGTTCATCATCTCACGTCAACATCTGTGCCGCAAGTCGGTAGCAGCAAAACACCACCAATTCTGGTATAACCCGGGAAATACGCACAGTTGGCCTTCTGACGGGAAATGCAACAGCGGCACGGAATCGTCTCCCGATACAAAGAGCCAAGGCAATAGTGGTAGTATTCAACACACAGACCGGTCAGCACATTTTGGTAGTTTGAACAGAAACGTAGGATTTAGACTTATAATGCCCATGGGTCTTTCGGTGACACTTGACACCTGCAACCCTCCAATCCCACGCCCGACCGTCGGACCGAAACAGCCCAAGGGAGCGAACCGTTACTCGTTCCCAGTTTAGCAGCTCGGCAACTGAATGAACTCACTTGAAATCCCATTGTCGGCCACGTAAGAAACTCATCAGTGCACACCCTGCAAATACTCCATTGTTGACAGCTGCTTCGTTCGTGCCTGCCCCCGTTTCGAGGTTCCTCTCTCAAACAGGCCCGATTTGCTAGTCTAGACAGCCCCAAAGCTCCTGATCAACAACAAAAAAGCGGACAGCCTGTAGTACATTTTGCAACAACATTACGAGCCTCATTATCCATCCCGGTATCTCCCCGAACGCAATCTCCCAATCAAAACCTTTCGCGGAGTCTTCGCCGTGTTCTTCTTACTTAGCGCATGCCTGTTCTCGCCATAGGATGTCCAATTTCCGAATGGGGAGCCTTGTTAGTTGTAACTCTAAAGACAGTTGGCTGAGGATCCTGTTCCCCGCAACAGCCAGGGGGTAACAGGCGGGACCCGCAACCGGCTTCCGCGGTTCATGAAGAGAGCTGTGCAGTGCGTAACCCCACCAAAAACATGTGCTGTGGCCGGGTTCTACGGTACAGGTGATGATAAGCCGTGCGCACCTTGGGAGAGAAATGACTAGTTCAAGGAATGGAACACGGAAAAAGAAAAAGAGGAGAGAAAGGAGCGAGCGGGCCCCATCGGCCCGTGTGTACGAATTCGAGAAGGGCAATCTAATTACTCTGTAGTTGTCGCTCCTCGCTAGGGCCTCGGGGGAGGTCTCGGGGATAGCAGCCGGGGAAAAAGTGTAAGGCACGTGGAAGGAGGAAGAAAAGAAATACTCGATTTAATGTCGAGAAAACAATTAATCCATGAATATTTCTGCGAACCCCTGCCTGCTGCCCATCCCAAAGTCCCCAAAGTCTGGAAACGAATCGCATCGCGCATGACGACATTCGTATGTGCGCATCAGCCTGCCTTCATGGGTTGCTTCAGTATCAGTATCAAAAGGTAACTCGTGAACAACTTTATGAATGCACATATGAGCTGGCGGCTCGCTGTAAATATAGTTGCCGACCCATTGTGCCCTTGGTGGTGTCTGTCAACTTGGCCAATGACGGTGCGTGCTTCGAGTTGTGATCATTGTGACCAGTGCCAATTTGTGCAAATAATCACCGCCTATTAGCCGCCCTGGGTCGAGATACCACTGCCGCATCGGTGGTTCTCTCTGCGTTCGGCGGCACTGCGCAGCGCTACCAACAATTGGCAAGCGCTTGAGTCCAAATGCCCACTAATTGTGTTATCCATGGGGGCTGGACAATGTTGCATGAATTGTGACGTATTCGTGGTCGTGGGTGTGGTCGTATCGTTCTACCAGTAGTCTTGCGATAGCTTCAAAAAGAGCCGTCCATCAACCATTAGCCAAGCTAGAACAGCCAGCCCCAAGTCTCACAGAAGTGTATCAGCCTATGGATGGACTCGGGGATGGACATGTAGGTCCGATGACAGGGCTCAGTCCTTCTTCTTCGCCTCTCCGGGCCCAACCCGCCGGAACTTCCTCTTGTCTTTGCGACTCATCATAGTCCTGTCTCTAGTTCCCTTACCGCCCTCCCAGAAACCTCTACCCTTTCTCCCAATCACGCTCCTGCCGCAGAAGCCACATGCTTCCACTGCGTAGTTCTGCTCTCTGCTGCACCAGCCGCAAATCATCCTATTCGCCCATTCGTGCGGGTGGTCATCTTGCTCGTCGTGACACTTGTCGCAGGTGTAGACTTTGCTGCAGCAGGAGAACCTGAACCACCGGTATGACTTCTTGTAGTGTGAGCAAACGCCCCGGTCGGGTAGCGGCTCTCCGGCATGAAGACCCAGTTTCTCGAGGCGCCGTTTGGGCCCTGTCGTTGGCGGCAGTGCAGAACCGTGGCTAATGGCGAGGAACTTGACCTCCGGTATCTTGAATGTGAACTTTCCATGGCATTCTCGGCAGACGTTGGTGGTGACCTCCCCTCTGACTGAGACCAGACCGGGACTTGAGGTCGAACATCTCCCGCAAGTGGGAACGAAGGTGCTGTATTCTTGTCAGTACCGACGTGCTGGCAGTCTCTGAAGGGCGAAATGACTTACCTTGGCAACATATCGGCAACGGTACAGCCAGAACAGTCGATGAACCCAGCCCGTATGGAATTTTGATGGACCATCTCTGGACGAAACTTGACCGATAACGCTGTGGCACATTTCTTGCAACTACTTTCTTTCTCCGCATTCGGCCTCAAGCTGGTAACCTCGTTGATGGTCCTGCAGCGTTCACACTTGACGTTAATGCTGAGGAGCGAAACCTGGAGTAATTCGATGCTGTGCAGTTCTATAGAGGGGAACGATATGGACGTGCCGCGCTCGGCCAGAGGGGTGGCTGATGCCACATTGTTGTTCGTGATTGCTACTCCGCCGCCGTCAGATTCGTCACCAGAGTCCCAGGAATAGTCTCCATCAGATTCAGATTCGTTGGAATCGTCGGATCCGCCGACCATTGTCCACTCGGGAGGACGGGGTATCACTAGTACGTGTCTCTTTTCGTCCCCATCCTCCTTGAAGCCTTTCGTGGTTTCAACGCTCTTTCCCTTGTCCACAGTTGCATCCTCGATAGGTCCGGCTACGGGCGCAGACTTGACGAGAACTTGAACCGACTTAGCCAGGGTATGCATATTCTGCGTGAGGTAATTTAAGTGACTCATCAGAGACATCTGGTTCTGCTGGGCAGCCCTACGTGCAAAGGCCTCCTCCAAAAGTTCGGCATCCTTGGACTCGACATCGTTGAGTAGTATCCTCAGCGGCTGTAGGGGATAGAGCAGAGGGATAATGAGTTGAACGGATTGAATAGCCTGTAACTCGACAGGTAGTTCTGTGCGGCGTTTTGCTTCTAGAGGCAGGGTGTATACTATAGTGTCTGGAGACCTTTGGAAATGAGCCATGCGTCCCATGCGAGATTCGAGTTGTCTTGTCTCTTGGGCTCGCCTTGCTTTGGCCTGTGCAATCTCCTCCTTTGTGAATGACTCTTCTGGTTTGTAAGGCTTGTGAACGGGCACGGGTACGGGCTTCGACGGCTCCGGTTGAGCTGGGGCTATGTCATCATCGAGTCCGGTGCTTGAGGTTTCCAGATGCCTTGTGTCCTTGAAAGATACCAGAGTCACCGTTTCGGTCTTTTGCTCCGAAAGTAGAGCCTCGAGGTCCTTGTCCAATGCGTTGGTGAGAGCCAAAAGTGTAGCTCCTTCCTTCTCCCGAGCGAGTTTGTCCCAACCTCTTTCAATATTGACACTGAAGCCACGAGGGATATCTTTGTTCTTCACACGAAGAACCGGTCGCCCTTTGGGGTACGATGCGGGTACCTGGACTTCGCAATCAAGATAATCCAACTCAAAAGGGAAATCCGGATCAGAAGGCTTTAGGTGAAAGGAAAGGTTGGTGGTCCGATTTTGCAGATTTGATTGTTGTGCAGAAAATCTCCGCTTGAGCTGCTCGATCTGATATTTCCTGGGATCTTGAACTTGAGATTCAGGAACAGGCTTGGGAACCACGCGGCGGCTAGAAGCCTCCGCCACGGCTTGTCGGCCATCAATGGCCCCTTCAGCAAGATGACTGGTTGATATCATGTCTGCAGAAAACAGAAGCACTGATATCGACTAATGAGACTGGTGGGAAATGGAACCCTTGAGGAATTTTGACCACCAATGTGAGATGAGATCAAGTCGATGAGAGGTACCTACATCCGTACTTTTCGAAGGGTCGAGTTATGCCGTATAGATGGGCAGCTTAAAACGAAGGAACAGTATTCATCAAAGGCAAATTCGTTGCAAGGATATCACTATGAATCAGAATGACCAAACTCCCAGATTGAGAACGGAATTGGAGTCAATGCCAAGAGGCTTGGGAACTGATATTCATAGCTGCAGTTCAGCCACCCGCTTCACCGTTTTTGGCCTAGACTCAATTACGGCCCGTGCACACTGATCTCGGTGAACTCGGTGAGAATAATGCCATCACGAAATCAGAACTCAGTCTCTCGTTCTTTCACGTTTTAACGAAATAATTCATCAAGTTATCGATCCTCGAAGTTTTTATTTGGCCCCTATAGGATCCCTGCTATTACGTACATGTCGCAGCCAACTGGACGACCAAATACAAGGCGTACTCGGGTGGGATCATCAAGCTACGCCTGGTGTACTACACTGGAATAGCGAGCTATCCCATATTATTACGCCCTTGTTGAGCCGTTTGTTCCGCTATCTCCCTGAAAGCTTCGTGTGTACCGGCCTTCTATCATGACTGATCGACTACCATAGGGGGTCGCGCGGTCCTCAGCATCCGCATATTTGACCACCATTACGGAAGCTGAAAACAGCGCATCGGGATACCAATGTCAACTGCCGTATGACAGACTGATATATTTACTCGGGATCATGATCAGATTGCGGCTATCACCCATGCGACACAGAAACAAGGCGCTGGTCAACCGTGGTTACAACATAACATGGGAGCCGACGATCTGGTATTCTGGAGCCCATCAACGAAGCGAAGTGGGCAGTGTCACTATTGAGGAACCATACCGCTGATGCTCATTCGACTGGTTATAAAGGCAAATTGCACGGCTTCTGAATTCAATCATAAAACATTCCCCTAGCGAATGATCCATTACCTCATGGAAGACGAGGCTTTGAGCGAGTCCACGGCAAGGTCGCAGGCAACAATCGCCTTCATCGGCATCTAGCAACGCGACCATTGCAAGCACGCCGTCAGCCATATCTTCGCCGGCCACGGTGAAAAACGCATTTAGTTCACCGCCGGGATGAGAAACGATAGTGCAGGAGATCCGTCATTACCACCGGCTCTGTCTGATCATTCGTCGCCCCATGCGAACGCCTCTTCCGGGATGCAACGCGGCAGTCCGATGATCGTCGACTGCGCCTACAGATATTGGATCTCTCACACTTACGGGGCTTGCGGCGACCAGTCGGATGGGGATGGTCTTGCAATAATACAGCGTTCCCGATCACGAAGTCTGCCCAGGACGCACGGCGTGCACCATGCTGCATTGATAGGGGCAATGAGCGATATCTCATCGCGTACAGACTATGCGCAGCCTTCCATTCGGGCTTGTGAGGCCGATGCATCGTAGTCAAGCAGGGCGCTGACACCTTGGTCTAGCCGTACACTTCACATCTGATCGGATATGGTAGGCGCGACAATCGTGCTTGAGCCACTTGAGCCCTGGGTTGCTTCCCAATTTTTTTTCACATTTATTTTTCTGGTTTTATCGATTTGTCCCTCGGAGCTCGGAGAGGGTTTTTTTTTCTTTTTGGGCATGATGGTCCGAGAATGTGGTTGGTATTTTCTGCGATAACATGGACAGGCGTAGTGCCAACTCATCATTCCGCAGCAGATGACCTTTATTTTTATGCAAGCTCAAGTCAGCTAGCTCCCCAGGCGGTGGGAAACGGTAGGTCGGCCGGGGAGAACCCCAATCTCAATTCACCACCGGTCAATAGTGGAAAAAATCGGCACCTGTAACATCGGTCGCAAAGGACATGTGAGCAGCTCAAGCGTTATCAATGATGAGTTGGCTTCAGTCCGCTGGTACGAATGATGCAGACCCCGAGACCTAATACAGCAAGAAATTGAATCAAGTGCTCATCGTCTCCATTGCTGGCTATCGGAATTTGCGGCTCGTAGCAGTCAATCTTGAAGTTGGCGATGCCAACGCAACCGACATGCTGGCCTCCTGTGAGGCTGTTGGGCTGGCAGCGTTAGGGCACATACGTCTCAACGCATGTACCTCCAAGTGGTGGGATACTTGGAGGTACGGTAACAAGAAACCCCCCACGTTTTATTCCAGGCAATGACGATAAACTCCAGAAACATAAATGCTCTTGTGGAAGCTGGGCAGCCAAGCTTGAATTGACACTTCTTAGTGCACGCAGCGAGTTGATGCAGTCACGACAAGGTGACTCAGCCAACCTCGGGCATTACCATTTGACAGAAGCGTCTGCCGCATGCTGCCGCGCGAAAGTGTGAGGCTTATGGCTGTGCTGTGGCTGCGTGTGTCCGTTTCAAGTGATGGGAACCTCAGCCATGACCGTACGCTCAAAATAGAATATCTCCGACACACGAGCTGTACGTCTTTGCTTCGATATTTTATGGGATCATATTTCGAAGCACATGTGTTTTCCTCGGTGTCTCGGACTGACGTGGCCGATGAGATCGACCAGGTCTCACTTGACTTGATACGGGGCTAATGTGACACAAAATGACGGCAAGTCACTATTGTTCTATCTCGTTATTATCGTCGTAAATTCACTCCATCGCAGCAGACCGCTATTATCAGAACGCCGCAGGCTGTGGTCAACACGGTGGACGGAGCATATCGTGGCCGTCATCACGAGTCCACAGTCATGACTTTCGATCGAGATCGCTGGCCGCAATCCGAAGGCTGCCGGGAACCGTATGGGGGATGGGAAAGCCCGTCCCAACTCGCCATTCAGAGCTTGATTTCACCAGTTGACAGATCATCCGTATGTTCAATATACACTATTATGTGTAGAGCGTTGGTTTTACGCTCAGGCGATTGTGCGCTGTATACAACTATGGAGTGTTGATATGCCCACTTGACTAAATATCAACCAATATGTACAAAGAAAGGGGACACCCTACGAGCTAAGTAGCCCAGGAGGTGATAACAGTGTGATTATTCCGATCAACCGACAAAGGAGACTCGGGGATGCTGGGCACAGCTTGGCACGGCTCACAGCCAGGAGTAGCACTCGTCCGCAATAGGGACCTCGACGCTATACACCGTCTCGGACCACCACTGCGTAACAAAAGCAACCACGCTGAACTCGAATGCCGACTCGATGCTGAGCCCGTTCTCACAAGTTGTGGCATTGCCGGAATCCACTTGCCCGTTCTCATCCTGCGCGGCCGAAAGGGTGAATTCATTACTGAACCTGGGCTCGGCCGTCACTCCGGCGCTGAGGTCAAGCAGCCCGCCGAGCAGCTCGAACGCGAGCTCGACTGTGACGTCGACATAAGGATCCACGCTGACCTGGGCCTTTTCTGTTACGTTGACCGTGGCCGAGTACGTCGGCTCCCACCCGGAAACGGTCGTCTCTTCCATTTGCAGAAAATCAACATGAATGTTGCCATCCGCGATGGCCACACCAATATCCGCAGTGGCCGTCACGGATCCCTCAGAAGCCAGCTCAACACCGATGGCGAAGACGAGCGCAGGGCCGAAGGTGATGATCCCTGGGATGTTGACGAGGTTATACGACAGGGCCCCGGGGGCATACTCGAGGCTGTCGCTGTACGCGGCCGTAATATCAAGAGTCAGCCCCAGCTCGGCGGCCAACGTGGTGTCGATGTCGAAGTAGAGGCTCTCGAGCGAGGCGCCCAGGATCCTGAATTTGAGGTAACCCGAGAAAGTGACGCTCGCGCTGACCTCGGCTGAGTCGGCGGTTAGTGTGACGTAGTCGTCCACGGTGGCGAGAACAGTGCTGGTGGGGAGGGAAATGTTTCCGTCTAGCGTGATACCGTTTTCGGACACGGTGATGGCGCGCTTGGAGGCGGGTTGCGCGATGGGGACGTTGGAGAAGGTGATTTCCGTTGTGGCTAGATGCGAGTGTTAGTGAGTTCCATCATCTCAACGTTCAAGTCTCATGACTTTAGAGGGCAACAAAACTTACAAGCTGTGTCCACAAGCTCCTTCTTCACCGTGCTTGCAGTAGCCGTTAAAGTTGCCTCATCCCATGCGATGCTGCTAGCGAGGAAGAAACCACGTTCGTTCTCAGTATCGCAGTTGCCCATGTGATTTGTGACCAACACGATGGACTCGCTGGTAGACCACTCAGCCATACCGAGGTTGAATGCCGTGGTGGAGTTGAACAGGACTTCCACGGTCGAATCGTCGCAGATGACGTCTGATATGTCCTCGATTTCTTCGAGAAGCACGGAAGGGTTTCTCATCTCGAGGGTGACGTTGACCAAACTGGCCTCCGCTCTGCCCAAGCCGTAGTGGATAGCGATTCTGTGAGCTGGCCTGATTCTAGCGGGCTCGGTTCTGTTGCAGCCTGGGGCCAGCACGGGGGTCAGGTCAGTGGTGACATTGTGCTGGGCGAGTGCTGCACCGGCCAACAAGCCTAGACCGATAACGTGGCGCATCATTGTGCTGGGCTTGGTTGGCAGTGATCGCGATGCCAGGTAGAAGATGGCAGGATTTAAAGCCGTGGAAGGTAGCTGGGTCACACGTCAGATAACGACACCGGTCCCGAACCAGATATGTACTTGAGGTTGCAGTATCTAAGCTCTGGGTGCAGAAGCAGTCCACTCTAGTCTGGGGACTTAAACAAATTTATAGTGACCCAACACACGGACAGAGTCCAGACAACGGCTCGCAATAAAGTCCATATCCGTCTGGACTCATCTCCAACATCCTTGAGGTACCCTCGTGACCGGATCGGTCGTATGGCGACATACTCGCGAGCAGGTTCTACGGCTGGTCTACTATAGTAAGATGCACGTTGGAGGGGTTGAAGCCCAAACAGAGCTGAGCCCCGAGCATCAATCATGAGAAATCTTGATAGTTTTGCAAGGGTAGCAGGGAACATGGCGGAATCACGGATGCCCCAGTACACATGCAGACGGCTTCGTTCCTGAATTCGTACGAAACCTCCACGAATCTCCACCCCGGAATCTCCACATGCAACATATAGTTGACCAAGTTATTGCCGGGGCCCTAAATTGATAACTCTATATCCCGTTGTCGCGTTCCAGTTCCAATAGAGCACGTGCATAAAGGTCTGGCAGTCACAGCAATCAATTTCCTAGCATGAAAAGACCCACCGCAGCAATATCCGCAACGAGTAAGCGATCAAACTTGCCCGGTTGTCTAAATGACCAGTTCATAGGTGACAGTACTCTCTTCATGAATACGGGAGATAATTTCTGATTGTGCGATTGTGTAGTCTGGGGTGAAAACGCTGTCCTGAGAGTTGCAATTGGGAAGAGGAAGGATAAGGAGTTGAGAGAAACAAAAGCTCTGTTTCGTTTGCCAGCTTGGCAAAGTCAATTGATATGTGGCTACCACTTCGGCTCGCCTTTCTCCACCCTCGGTGTCACAACAGCATTCCTATCGGCGAAAGGGTCGTTCTCGTCTTCAATGTCAACATCGTACTCGTCATTATCCTCGTCTTCATGGTCTAAGACCGGCTGGGTAGGGATCCGAGCAGTTGCTGTTGGCTTCGACATGGCCGATGGCCTAGGCGGTGGCATGGGACGGGGAGGAGGACTAGGCTTGATGCTAAGTTGAGCAATTTCCGGGACTGGGCTGCCGGGGCTCGAAGGCGACATTGGTTGCTTGCCCTTTTCCGTGGCCACTATACTCCATCATTAACTAGAACTGACACATGTATCACGGATATCCTCACTTCTGTAGAGATGAGCCTGCTCCGCCAACTCATCATCTGAGTCACTATCGGCGTCAATAGAGCGATCGAGCTGTTCGAATGTCATGAGGGCCATGATAAGCTCGTCGTTCGCGTGAAGAAGTCCACCCAACCATTGTTCATCTTCAACATGGTGGATCTGATTATAAACTTGTCAATTCTCGTAAGTGTACATCGAGGTAGGGAAGAACCTACGTAACGCAGAATCTTTCTTCTCAACTTTTTGCACGCCTCGAATCGCTGTACAGCGAGGGCATTGTCCGAGATCTGTTCTTTCTCGCGATTGATGCTTTGGAGAGTGTTGTTCAGATTCGTCGAGGCAATGGAAGACTCGGCAATTGCAACCTTCATTGAGTCCTTCTCTGCCTCGAGGTTGAAAGGCTTTGACTTCTTCTTGCCACTATCTTTGCTCTTCTTCTTGCTGGACGAACTGGAGAAGAACGATCCAGACTTGGATGACGATTTGGTGTGACTGAAAGACTGTATTGTCTGGTTTGGCTGGGGAAATGTCACCGGGGATGACTTTGGCGGGGTAACCTGAGGCGGCGGTGACGATTGTGCCTTTCGTTCTGCTTCATCCTCAGAGTCACGGAAGGGGTCTTGCTCAGTCTCACGAAGAACTTTGGATTTGTCCTGGGTGACAACTTGTTTGCGTCGAGGCAGTTGCTGCTCTGGGTGAGACTCTTGACTGATCTTGGACACGACTTACACTTACCTGGTAAAGCATGGCTATACGTTCCAGACCAGGGGTGCTCTTGTACTCACTGGCCCAACTCCTGAATAGCACAGAGCACTTTTTCCTGACATCTGGATCTGATAGGTCCGACGTACCGCAGACCCGCAGGCGCTCCAGGAGTGGTTCATCGGCAAATGCCTTCTGAAATCGAGGACCCGCGTTTTGTATCAAACCATCCAGCAGGGTGAGAGCTCTGAGCTGACGGTGAACATTTCCATACTTCAACTTCTTTCTGATGGCACGGGCAGCCTCGGTAGGACCTGAGGCCTGCAACTTGATCACCTCCACAAGATCGGGGATGCCACTGAGGTCATCTTCCTCGAACTGCTCACTGGTGAGCCGCTCTACGGTCACAGTGACCGACGAGTATGGCTTCTTCTAGATCATCTATCATGTTAGCGATGGACCTAGGTCACGTCATTCGCAAGACACCATGCCTTGCATTCGATCTCCACTCAGTCCATCTGCTTTGGCGCAGTACGCAGATAGGTCAAATACTTAGACGACCGTACGTTATTGAGCTTGAGCCACAGGGATCCACGCATAGTCTTCGTCTCCAACTGAAACTGGAGTATTTAACATTGTTAAATGGTGTTTGACTGACCTGGGAGAACATGATGGCGCCAATGAGGACTCCACCTGAAAAAAGGTCGATTGTGGTTGCTTGAACAAAATACACTTCGGGGCTCGAATGGCTTTTCACTCAACCGCGCGTCGAATAGCCCTAGATGCAGTCGGGCGATCCCAGTGTAGGCGAAAAACAGCGCCTCTTCAAAACGCTACTCAATAACGTCGCCTGAAAGGCTGAAAGGAGGAAGACCGTTCTGGCTGAGCAAGCTGCAAATGGTTGAAGGTGCGTCACTGATAAGATATGTCGCGGGGTAAATGTAGTTCGTTCTGGAGCCTGAAGTATATCTATCGACGACGTTTGTTTCTCCGAGCCCGGCCAAGTATCAACTCCGTATCTGGGCTAGATTCTTTAGCTCGGTGACAGCAGAGGAATCGCCAGATTCAACTTATGAATCTGCCCTCCTGCACGGTACGGTCGGGCTTGAATTTGCCAAGGGTGCAAACTGTCATGCGAATTCATGCAAGAAGTACACGACGGCTGTTGCTTGGCTGGGTGGGAAGACCCGTAATTGCAACTAACGGAATATAATTGATTTCTAGGGTCTAATTCCATAACTCTGGAAGCTCTTTCCTGGTCACCAACATCCCGGTTGCTGACTTTCTGATATATTCTTCGTGGGAGAATTCCAACGGACGCCCCTTCCACACAAGGTTTCTCTTCACCAAAATATCCCCGAGAGCTTCACTTGTGTAGACTCATCTGATGGTTGACGGAAACCTGGATCAGCATCCAGAAGAGTCGAGTGCTTCGTAGGTGTTTTCTTTTGTGCAGCATTATCTATTTCCTGCATCCTGTTCGGGCATATCGCGTTTTTTCTGCAAATCTCTCAACGCTTGCCATCTCCTTAGCCATTTTCCTCTGCCTTCAACACCCCGAGAGGCCCTTCTGCGGATCAGGGTACGTTTAAGTACTGCAAGTATGCCTTTCCAACACCCGGATAACCAATACCGTGGAGAAATGCACATGGATCGCTTGGTCCATGGAGACCTCGACCAGAACAGGTAATCAAATTCCAGGTTGCTTTGACTTCATGGCAGGAAACTAAATGTGGTTGCGTAGTCACAACATGATATCGTCTCAATTGAGCAGCAGCTTCATCCCTGTCAATCTCAACGGACAACTGGAATTCAAGCCGCTAGGCACCCAGGAACAGCCCAGTTCCAGCCCTCGTGTCAGTACAGACTGTTTTAATGACGGTACTGGAATCCCTGCATTTACAAACGATGGCCGGCGTACAACTCTTAAGAGAGCAGCATCTTCTGGTGGTGACCGAGGTGTACACAACCGTGGATTTTGTCTGCCCGCAACCCCTTCCTCCAGTCCCTTCCGAACTCTCAAGGTCACCAAGTATAGCGTGAAGACTCACAAATCTTCTGGTTTCGGTACAAACCATTACATAGCGCAGGCAACAATGCAAGATAACTGCGCCAGCCCGGAGTTGTCGCTACAATCAACAACGATGGACTGCCTCACTCCTTATCCGTCTTACCAAGCCGGGGATGGTCAAACGAAAGCTAATGAGGATGCAAATCGCGACTTCATTCCCAAGAATATACAGCACCCAGGAGGACATCTGCTTGACAACTATTCGACTACATCTTCAATCAATATCGTCGATGCTTCACAGAGAGACATTGATCTCCCACATCTTCCCGTTACCAAGGGACCGCACTCTGGCACTGAAGCACACACCACCCTAGATCAAGCTAAGGCCGAAGGCTCCGACCACCCTCTGCTTTCGTCTGAAACACTGCTTGAACCAGCCACCGACGACACTGGTTTGCCAGACGACTATCCAATAGATGAGTTTGAGGAAGAAGACATGATTCGATTGCTTGAGGATACATCAGCCGCTGTCGAGAATCATATGCCGCCTGCCAGTGTGCAGCAAGGATGGGACAGGGACTCTAGATCGGCAGATGAGTATGACCCAAACCTACAATTCTCGTCCCGGAGTAATTCGTCAGAGATAGAGACTATGGTAACTTCAAGCGAAATCCCCGCGGCTGAAAAGTGCGAGGATGATCTTCTAGATGAAGAAGTCGACTGGGGCACAGTATACGCAATAACAAGCAGTATTCCCAAAGACCCATCTCTCGTTGGATCCCGTGAGGGGGAGACGACCGAGCCACTTCCTCGAGCTGAAGCGCAGCCTGCAGAGCATCTCCAGCAGTCCATACAGCCAGAAAATTCCGGTCCGTTGTCTCCGTTTGCGCGACCCCCCTTCCCAGAGCGAGTACGCGATAGATCCTCAGTCCCTGGAATGTCCTCGAATACCGTGCTCCGCACATGCTTCCGCATCGGCGAGATGATCAGCCAGAGCGCACGGTGCTTCAATCATCAGCAGGAAGTGGTTGTTGAGCTATACGCCAGAGTAACGTACTCGAGCCGCGAGAGCCTTGCTAGAAAGCAGCACTTCCAATTCGTTGATCTCTTCAAAGACAGGCAACCCTACCCGTCCGGCACTCTCTCAGGCTGGAGAATGAACTCTCTGTTGGACCGGCAGAGTCAAGCATTCATCAACATAGGTGGTCCAAAGTTGTGCTGGTGCTTGTGTAAACCTAAGAGAGACACGAAGGCTGCGGTTGGCTGGGCCTTCGAGGTTTTGGGTATCAGAGAAACCGACTGGGCGCAGATTCGATTTGCCAAGGCAATTGTTTATGGCGCACTGAGCGAAGACATGGGAACACCCGCGGCGACCGCTAAACTGTGAGTGGAAGTGCGAAATGTTGGGCGGAGCCTATCGTTCTATAAGAGATGGATTCGAAGCGGGGGGTTCTAGGGGTGCTAATCAGAATCTCGAGAAATATTTTGCTTCCTAGTTATCAGAAGCTGGGGGGGTATTGGGAACATACATTGTCGGGCTTGCCTTGGCTGAGATTTGGCTCAAACATCACGCAATAGGTTTTGGCTTCATCTTGCTCAAACACAGGTCTTGGCTCGGGTTTAGTAAATATACTACACATGAGGGTACGTATACATCAACTGCTGATCACACAGAGAATGGGGCCTATGTTCACAAAGATGGACCGCTTGCAGGTTTCAGAATTTCCCGATACATAGCTAATAGAGCATTCCTACATCGTAATTTGACTGGTATAGTTGCCCCAGACAGGACCAGTTTAGGAAGTGACTTCATGTTTCCTTTTCGAAGAGTGTTCATACAGTGTATACTCGAATTGGAATTCACCGACGCATTATTCCATTTCACAGGCCAGTAAGCAAGCGGATAAAGAAAAATAAACATCGCACCCAGGTGGAATTACGGGTTACTCCTGGTCTACTACCGCGGTGGCCGTTGTTCGCTATTGATGGATCACCTGTACTTAGCTTAGAGCCTCTAGCCAGAAACCGCAGTACAAAATATCAATTCCTGGTCTATCGCAAATTGTTCCACTCTTAGCATGTCGTTTATTCTGTCGCTTCTTTAACGGGAAAATTATGATAAAGAGGTCACTTATTTGAGACTAATGCATGCCATTCAATAGCACCTTGTATGGCATAGTGACTTAATCATGAGTGGGGCGGTAGAGTTTTCCTGTTAGGTAGTTCCCTTGATTCAAATCCAATATAAATCCAAATAGAGTGACAGCACATTAGTCCATCATCACCAAGGTACTGTACTTGGTTGCGTTTCCAACTCCAGAGCGGCCTGGAACAGCCAGATGAAGTCATAGGTGTTAGTAACGGTGTGCTTGTGCATGTCCTCGGCCGTGACCTCGGAGACCTTGCACCAGCGCAAGGACACGCCGGCATTGATAATCACCAGGGCGAGGTGGTCGATGCCGCGGGCTGCAAGCTCCTTGACCGCGTTGGCGGGGTCTGTCTCCTCGGCAGGGTCGATATTTATGAGAAGCAGCGTGGTTCCCTCGGCCTTGGGCAAGTCGAGCAGAGCTTGCGATGTTGCGTGATTGGGGTCCTGTTGGCGGTGATGACGGTATGGCTGGGCTGGGCGAGCTAGAAATCCAGAAGATCCTTTCCAATGCCTCTGTTGCAGCCGGTGATGATCACGATGGTTGGCACCATGGCATTCTGAGGTTCTCCTCTCTTGTTTTACAGAACAAGCTCAGACCATTGAGTCTTACGACATTGTTTTTGGCGAATATTTTGACAGGATGATATGTGAAGTTTACAACTTCTTATATATCTCACATGAGTTAGTTGATTTTTGTCATGTTTTGATGATTTTATAAGTGAATTGGGACGTAACAAAGCCCCCACCACCCTACACAGTTTTCTTGTGTTACACAAAATGCTCGAGGACCTTCCTTTACTCCTCAAATGCTGTGTCAAACGGTGGATTTGTCACTATAGTCGGTGTCGCGTACACCATCTTCAGTATGTGCAGGGGATGCTTCAAGTCTACATGACTAAGCCTCGCGACCTAATGAACCAATCCGCGCCTACTTAAATTATTGTCAAGCTAGTAAAGTCCTGGAGGCTCCAAATAAGTTCTACCTTAACTTAAGGTAAGAACAATCCGACCGCGACCCGGCCAGCCGGACTGTCTTTCTTACTGTTGCGAAGGGGCTAAAGTACGTAACGAAATAAACGGCGTTGGGTCTGATAGCCAATTTACTACACTGGAGTATCGGGCTACCCCTTGTTATTGCGCCCCGGGTGGCGTCTTTGCCTCACAGCTGAGCTGCCCGAAGCTCAGAATAGGAGAGACCTTGACGAGATTCGGACGCCTGTCGTCAACTGCAGCCTTATAATTGCAGCCGCACAGTTGCAAACGGAAGCAACTAGGCTTGGTGCATGACATGACGAGTTTGGGACTTGGAGAATGTTTTCATTCATGCTATAAAGTTGGGGTCGTAAGTTGAGAATCGGGGATGTTACGGCCGGGTGTGCCGGGGCAATCGGGGATAACGGCCTGCACGCCGGCCCCGACGGCGGAGATGAGCTTTGAGTCTCATGTCATAGGATATCTTGTCTTGGGCGATATGTTCATGCCCTCCATTCTTTAAATTAATCATGTGTTGCCCTCCGATCCTCTTCTGTCGGCAATTAATTCTAGCTCAGTCTCGTAATCTCATCGTAGGTAATACTCCCTGCAACACAGCCGTAGTAGCATGGAGCGCCTCCTCGGCCGAAGACACAGATATTTATACATATCGACCCTCATTCTCAGTTTTAGCCAACGCACTCCGCATACAAGCAGTCGCTTCTTCTTCGCCAACGTATCCAAACACATAACCTTGCAATCATCGGCCCCAATGCCGCTCAACATCCTCATCGTCGGCGCCAGTGTTGCGGGACCGACCGCAGCTATGCTCCTTCAGGGGTCTGATCCAAGTCACAACATCATTGTCGTTGAGAGGCATCCCCATTTCCGAGCGGCAGGACAGCAGGTCGATCTCCGCACCAAGGTATCCATGTTCTGCGGAAGATGGGTCTCTTCGACGTTGTCAAGTCGCACTGAGACGGGCCTCGAGGTTTTGGATGCGGGTGGGAAGCCCATGGAGATGTTTGGCATTAACCCATAATCAGGCCCGCCGCGACCTACTTCAACGACCGAGGACGAGAGTATGCGCGGCGACGTAGTGAAAGTGCTATACGAGACTAGTCTCAAGCAGGACGCAATATTGAGACGGGATGCCGGGAAAGGGGAAGGAGGGTTAACGTACGAATTTGGCAAGACGGTCACGAAACTCACTCAGAACGACAACGACGAGAACAACAAGAACAGCATAGACGTCACTTTCTCAGACGGCCGAAAAAAACGCCACGACCTCGTCATCGCAGCCGACGGCCAAGGATCTCGAACCCGCCGCCTCGCCTTCGGCCAGGAAACCAGCGACGCCGCTTTCAAATCCCTCGGTGTCCACGCCACGTACTACAGCATCCCGCGAGCTGAAGGCGAAGGCGAGATGGCCAGGGCGTATAGCGCGCCGGAGAGCAGGATGGTCATTACCCGGACCAGCGGGCGTCCCGTTACGCAGGTCTTGCTCTTTACCATGAAGGACACGGTCGAAAAGCTGCTGGCGAAGTCACACAAGCAACCCATCAAGAAGCAGAAGGAGGCGTTTTCCGAAGCCTTCAAGGACGTGGGGTGGCAGACTGATCGGGTCTTGGCGGGTATGCAGACGTGCGATGACTTTATGCGCAGGAGGTGGCGCAGATTAGGATGAAACAGCTGTATAAGGGGCGTGTTGTGGTTTTTGGTGACGCGGGGCACTGTCCGAGTCCCTTCACGGGGATGGGGACAGCCGATGACGTATCAGACAAGAAAGGATGAGAAGTCGTGGAGTCTCCCTGAGTACCCTGAGCGGAATCTCAAGTTGTAGTTTGGGTATGGAACGTCTTGTGTTTGAGGAGGGGTGGAGGGAGAAAATATGTTGAAAGGGAGCGAATCTGGATTTGCATTGTTATATTATCATGGAGGATTGTGATGTTGATTGAGCTCAGTTAACCTACGTCAGGTGCAACGGTAGAATGTTACCTATCTAACTAGTGTACATTGTTACGGAGTAACTAGGGCTCCGCCAGTGGACTGTGTGCCACTAGTCCTCTGTTATATTACGGTGGCGTCAGGATTCGGATACCACCTATTTCTCCATCTTTGCCCATAGTCAAACTGAAATGAAGCCAGCTTGGACAAGGCGGAGTGCTATGGCGATGATGCTTAGAGAACAAAGTGGACCACAGTAATCAGTTGATGACAATTGCTGATTCTCCTGTGGGTTGGCTTGGTTTGTGCAACTGATTAATTTGACAATATCCCACAGCGTTTCTAATGATCACAACCGCATGTGCTCACCTCTTGACGAGGCGCAACTCGAGTTACTATGCAAGTATCCAACATTCTGCGAGTTATCAAGGAATACTATCATGATAGCAAGTCTCGTGGAGTAGACTGATATGAAGAACTTCTACCGGGATTTCAACGTGCAAACAAAGTAATTCAGGATCACTCCAGGCACAGACTGCCAGGCTTCGCGATATCTGAATTTCACACATAATTGAGACGTCTCAAATTCCACGGGCTATCGAACCAATACATGTAGACTCAAGGTTGAAAGCGTCGACCTCGGTGCATCATCTTGAGAATGTGCTTTATCAGTGACCATGTTCGCAAATATGACTCAAACCACAAACCCCCCAAGCCAACACCAAGTATATTGGTATCATATACCAGTGCTGGCTTATGATTCAGATGAGCTAGATGCCCACTTGGTGGTGGGTGCTCTGAGCCATGGCTCAATGCCACAACTTTGCAGAGGAGGTGGTTCTGTGCTTAAAACCTTACAGATACTGAGTTAGCTCTGATGTGAGCAGCACTTGGATGGTATCATAGAATATATCGATTTATATTATGCCCTTGTAAACAGCATGTAGTAACGGTTTCGGGCCGGCGCAGGTCTCGGTAATCTGAGATTTTGTGAGTTGATTATTCTTCAATGAATTATGCACCATCATCGCCTCTGAAAAAAATGGTTCATCTCATAACGGAGGCCTGCACTTTAACTTCTGAGAGAATATATTCAGGATAATTCGTATGGTAATAGTTGTCACTAGCCCCTGAGATAGCAAACCCAACTCAAGTAGAGAACATCAAGGTTTTATCGCGTAAAACCATCTAATTCCCTCGCATGTTCATATACTCAACCCCACCTGACTTCAAACCCCATGGGGTATCCAGCATCAAACACGTGTAAATTTGGAATCCAATGCAGAAGAAATCACTCAGTCACCACCCATAACACCAGGATCCTTCTCCTTAGTCTCATGCTCGTTATCATCCTCCTCCCTCCTAACCTGGAGCAACCCACTCGAGCCCTGGCCCTCCTTCACCATGGCCTGTAACTCATCCCTCAGTTTCTGCTCCAGGCGGTCAAGGATCCATTCAGCCTCCTCTCTGGTATCCATGAGAGGACTCCGATGGCCGACCCAGCTCCACTTTAATTTATCGTCGTCCCCACGCTTGGCTTCATCATGTTCGCCAGGAGGCTTGAGGGGGGTGTCAGCCGTTTTGTGGCTTTTGTCCAGGGTCTGGCCGTGAGAGGCAACATGCACGGCGTCGTGGGCGTCCTTGCCGCGTGGTTTCTGCGCGGGCTTGCGGTGCGTCTCGGCGCTGCTCTCGTCTTCGCCCATGAGGCGCAAGTACCACGCCCATTCCTTAAAGGTGTATTTCCGGGGAGGCGAGCCTTGGAGATGCTTCGTTACACGAGAGATTTCGTCAATCAGGACTAGGTGGTACTCGGAGCGTGTCTTTGGTAGTTCGGATGGGATGTCCTCTCTCGCCATGGATCCGAGCTGGTTGGGCACGTTAAATTTGTTGTCATTGTTGCGAGCATCCGACGTTTGGGCCTCCTTTTGCGACCTTGTGGGCACAGCAGCTGAATTCAAGTTGGTCGAGCCGCCTCTTTGGGAAGCAGGCTCGGATTGACTGTTCGATGTGGTCTTGCGGAGTACGCCATCCTTGTAACTGCCGTAGCCCCTCGTTTCTTTGACATCAATCTCATCGTCTTCATCATAGTCGTCGTCGTCATCATCCTCGTCAGAATGCGGCTGGGCTGCACCTAGGAACCCGGGTGGCGATTCCTCGACGTCTTCCTCTTTAAAAACGGCACCGAAGGATAGCTTCGACATGACTTCCTTCGCCTCGTTCTTGAACCCATGCTCCCCGGGCAGAATAGTGAGATTTCCAAGTTTCAACGTCCCGTCCCTGACAACCTTGACAATTGTATCTCCTGCATTAGAGATGAGAACCGTCGTAGCAGGCAGAGCTAGCAAGGACCAGAACACGAAGAACGCCCTGCCTGAGTTGGACATTGGGGTCAAGTCGCCGTAACCGATAGTAGTCAAGCCGGTAAAAGCAAAGTAGAAACCGTCAAAGTACGACCAAGGTTGGTATGGTAACTCACACACCTGGAAGATCTTTGCCCCCACGAACCAGAGCACCAACCAGGTGGTCGAGGACGCAGCCAAGGCCATCCACCTCCGTCGAGTAGCCGCCTTGTCCTGGATCTTGCGCATCAACTCAAATTCTCGCTGGCGACGCTCGAATTCAGTACGCGGCGGCTTGCGCGACGATTTCCAGTTGGTGGGGCCATCTTGATTTTCGCTGCCGATCGGCTGTAGTAGGGCCTCCTTGCCACTTCGCCGCATATGTCGGAGTAGCTGCCGTCTCTTTTTCTCCAGCATTCGTGCATCAAGTCGCCGTTTGCCGCGGTCCAACATCAGACTTCGGATGGACCCAATTACCAAACCGAGACTGATGATTCCAATGAGGGCATAGGGGATGAGAAGAGCGCGACCCAACGTGGTAGCTGGGGAATAATCACCATAGCCAACTAACATGCTGATCAGGCGTGGTTAACTTGAAGAGCGGGGGTAGTGACTTACCGGTGAACAATGTGACATCGCACCAGTACACCGTGTCCAAGTAGTTCCAGCCCTCTAGGATGTCTAGGTTAGCGACGAACCTTCTCATCACCAGAAAAAATTGTGACGTTTTCAAGGAACCGTAGATTAGGAATACGGCTATACTCAAAGTGTGACAGCTGGTGCTCGGATAGCACAAGAATCGTAGAAACCGGATGTGACCTACCAATCTTCGAAAATACAAGAGCTCCTACGAGAAGATACATCAAGAACATAATAGTCTGAAGCATCAGCGTCCGTTGGCTAGTCGACAGCTCAAAGTCTTCAGGATAATGTCCAGCCCGAGCACCCCACACCGTGACCACCATGAGAGAAGCGACAACGAAGTAGAGAATGGCCGCATAGACTCCGTAGTAGAATGCTTCCGACCACACATATTCGATCACTGGCTGCTTCAGTAACGGTCCGCTGGCCGTCGCGCTCAGAGCCACAAGACATAGGGCCGAGACGTACCACCCGGCGATAGTGATGGGCTGGGCGATGGAGAAGCGGACCCGCTTGGCCATGTTGAGGAGAAGGAAGACATTGGCGATCAGAGCGATGACTAGCTGGACGGCATTAAGTACGGTGAGCCAGATGGGGTCGGTGATGAAGTCTGCTTGAGTTATCGTGGAACCTGGATGTCGTGTGTAAGCAAATGCGGACGTGTTGAACTGGTATTATGTACTCTACCTGGTTGTATGTGTTGGCGCCATGGTCGGACGAGAGCACATATACTGAAGGCTGAGGCAACTGGGCCAAGAGTGCCGGCAATCATGGGAAACGCCGATGAGGCGAACCACCAACGGCTGAGAATCTCTGGTCAGTTGCTAGTCTCGGAGGCATTCTGACGGTTGTAGAATTCGACGGTGCGCACCTCGGATCTACATGGATTTGGTCTCCGCCGATTGCACTGTGACGCTCTGCATGTTTCTCACCATCATCACCATCGATGGCCTGCGTGTAGTCACCAATATTCTCGTTGAGATCCCCATCATCCATGGTTTAAGGCGGGTTTCGAGGAACGAGATGAATCAAAGGATCAGGACGCTGTGGATGCATGGAGAAAGGACGCCCCAACCAATGCTCCCAAACGGATGCTGCCAAGCGATTATGATCGTAGGGCGTGGTTATCTAGACGTGCGAAGATTGGTGTAAGCCGAAGACGATATCTCGGGGAACTCTAGGGAATAATCTGGGGTATCTTGGCATGGAGCCCATCCCGGTCTTTTTCATATTCAAGCTTGGAAGGCAAGCTTGGAAGGTTTGCTGCAGCGCGCATAGCTGGAGGATCCGAAGATAGACCGCGGTCCGTCAACATGCTATGACGTCGGTTAACCGGGCGTTGGTAGGGCATGCCAAGAAATTCAAGGTGGGACTCGGGAGCCTCCTAATGACGAGGCCTGATTGGACACAGGTATATTGGTCTTGCTTCTGGTAGCTGATCCTGATGGATTGGTCCAGGCGCCGTTGCCCTTACTTCGCGCAGAATGCAATTCCCATTGCAAAAGCACAGTCGCGACAACGTCACACGACCGCTACAATCCCAACGCCTGTAGAACCCCGTGTTCAGGTTTCAAACTTAACGCTCCGAGCGTGACTTGATTGCACAAGCGGAGCTATGATCTTGGAACCGCGGGATTGTTCCAAAAGATGAGGAGATGGCTCCAGGCTAGAATCAGCAGAGTCGCTTACCCTCCCTGGTCTCGTGCTGGCCCTAGGCATTCGAGCACTGTCTCCAGTTCGCGTGAAATCGAACGGGTCAGCGTCCGATGCGGCTCTGCGGGCAGCGTATATGTCGAGTGGGCATCCTCCACTCCGCAATACTCGTAACCACCTGACGCAAGTGCTAACGCGCAGATCAGTTTGCATAACCTGGACAAGGTGACTTCATCACATCCCTTACTGGTATATCTACCGCCGTACTCTTCTCCTGCCCGCGAGGAGATCTCCGAGGTGCCTGGCTTTTGTCGCAACTACCCCACGGCTGTGATCAATTACCGCTGGGCTGGCTACGGCCCCTATCACGGAGCGAATGCACTATCGGCGCCGTCTCAGGAGGCGGAGAGCGATGCTATCCTGCCACCTCTGACCTGGCCAATTCCTGTTCACGACACGTTGCAGGCGTACAGCTGGATTATCGAGAATTTAACACCACCAACATATGCCCGCCGGGATGTCTACGTTTACGGGTCTTATCTGGGTGCCTCGTTGGCCACGTCGCTGGCCCTGACCGAGAGCTATCCACATGAACCGGTGAGCGTTCGCGGGCTCGTCGCGTATAATGGGATATACAACTGGACCACGTTTCTCCCTGATCACCCCGCCAATCATCAGTCCGCAGGGCGCCCAACTAATGTGCTGGAAGATGTTCTCGGTCAATCGGCCGACCCCATCTTCCAGGAGCTCAAGCAGCATGTCCAAGCCCTCTTTGGAGATCCCACACACCTATTCGATCCATTCGCGAGTTCGTCGCTCTTCTTTGAGTCGCCGGGAATGTGGGTCCCACGGGACTTCACATCACCTAACCTCCCGGCTGCGGCATCTCTCCCGACGGCGGGCCTGCCAGAGAAGGACATGGCGGAGATCACGGATCGGTTAGTTACCATCATGGTCGACAAGCCGCCCAAGCAGAGTCCTCTCACGTTTCCTCCACGAGGGTTTACCCTGGAGCTGCCCGAAAGCCTGTTGCTGCATACCAGGCCACCTGGTCGATCTTCCTTCGCCGCGTGGAAAGGACGACGACAGCAAAATCAGAAGAGAAGCGCCGCCGCCAACCACTTTGCGGCACAAGCGGAAGAACTCGCTGCTCTGATGCGGAGGAGTCTCACTAAGCTCGAGTTCAAGGAGCACAGGGCGAGGGATGTTGATTTTGATGAGCACGCGGAGGCGAAGAGAAGGGTACAAGTCCGTGATATTGGGGCAGATGAACGGCCTGAAAGATTGGAATTACCTCCAAGCGCGGCAGCACGGGTGAGCAACTGGCTCGACGAACGCATGAAGGGACGGGATTGATGCGGCATTAATATTTCATGACAAAACATATAGATACGTCTTCAGTTGGGTGTCCAAGACAGGCATGCTTTCGCCCCTGGTGAGCTAATTAACTATTGACCAGACTGCGAAAGTCGCTGGATTTACCTATCGTAATGTAGACAATAGGTATCGTACGATGCTACCAATCATCGTAATAATGGTATGGTCCCTGGTTGCCTGGGTCATCGTCAGCTCAGCACGTAGTGTAATTCAAACACAGATTTTGCCACCATTGGCCTGGTCAAGTTGTTTGTGCAGACTCCTCCCATCTGCGTGAGTGACTTGGATTCATGTCCCGCTGAAGTCAACCGGTGTCATAACCAATGCCGGGAGTTGTACAGGCATATAGTAGGTTTCATGCGAAAGTTTATCACGGGTTACGGTTATGGACGAAAGAAAAGATCACTTTGGAATTTAACCAACTTGGTTTTGTCTTTCGATTTCGTTCTTCTCATTTTGATGTATTGCGGCTAGTAACGCGGGATAACACATCATGCATGTATGCATGATATGTGGTCGATTCGAGGACTCTCCAGTGAATTTATTTGACTAAGGCATCTGCGTAAACGGGACAGAATGCGAGAAGTGTGCCTTCAATTCCAATGGTGCTGTCAACGTGTATGCCTGAATTCCCACTCTTGCCTCTAAGATATGTCGATCCGACGCAGCTCTGTAACCCAGGTTGGAGGCCATGCAACAAGTCTTGACCTTTGCTTGAGCATTTCTATGTACAACTGCCTCCTCCAATGAAAAACAAAAAGAAAACACGAAATGATCCCCAGTCGGCCCCTGAGGGATCCAAGCCTGCCGTCAGCCAAGTCGTATTCGCAACAATAACCAAATTAGGGACTTCAGAAATCGAATCCAATACGAAGGCGCTTAAACACTATTCAGTATGGTCGTTCATTGGGGCACCAAGGTTTGTGGATGGTGTTGCCTAGAGCTCATCTCATATCTAAATACGCTTAAGAATACCCTCAACTAGACCATACAAGCAACACCTTACCACAAAAGCCTGAAGTTATCAAGGTATTTTTAGAACCCGACAGCTCTTGACAAAGACGGCCGTTGAGATTAAATTCAATCCGATAGGCACCCTTAATTCGACAACATGTAGGGTTGGCTGGGAGTACCCCTGTACACTCCACCTGGGGAGTTTTCAGCTCAAAGAATTACCCCCTCTGAGAAGCTTGATTTCTCCATCTTCCCATCGGTAGAAATTTCCGATATTCTTAATAATAACATAATTACTTAAAGCATTGGTTCTCGTGACCGACACCAGATTTAGTAGATGCATATACGGTAGAGCCACTCAGGTATATGCGTGTTAATCTTGTTGTCATAGCCCTCTTACAGCCCCTTGACGTGGACTGCATACGATCATTTGTTAAGTCCCGGATAATGTACCCTAAGATTCTGCATACACTCTCTCGAGAAAGACTTCGTGTATGACCAAGAGGTCCCGATGCGCCAGCCGCAAATTTCAAGGCGAGTTGTATCACCGGGATTATTGGATTTGCCAAGGCTCTACATGGCTGGGTTCGATTTTAAGATGCAGAAACAGCACTGCAAGTTTGTTTTCTTCTGCCCATCGGCGCCTACGACTCGTTTCGCGATGACTCGTGCCACGACAGGCTCAACTAGCCACTTTCGAGGAACGAGCTATGCAACCTCTAACTGAAGTTCGCCAGGCTGCAAACCACCTTTAGTTATAATTGTTTCAATAAAGGTAGGCAATGAAGAGGGTAAGCAGAGGGTAAGGAGAGGGTCAACGGACCTTGCAGATGGCGCTAGCTGGAGCGCTGTCCTGTAAGCCTTCAAGCCCATCATACCGGTATAGCGCATTTTGCAACTCGTGCTGTGCAGGGTCTTTTCAGCGAAAATATTGGCGTAAGTCCCGGTGGTGAGTTGGGATATATAAGATGAGCGGGAGCGCGCCGCTCATGAACCGCGCGATCCTGTCGCGAGACTCTCTATCGTCATTCTGTTGTTCACATTCGTTTGGGTTAACTGCGTTGATATCGATACCATCGTCCATCAAGGAGACAATATGCGCGCCCAATCACAGCTCTTCGGCTTGCTCCTTCTTGCACCAATCGCTTTGGCGACCAAGAAGCTGAAAATCCCAGTGGGCCTATCTTACTTTGGCACGCCTGGTCAGTCCAAACTTCAGCTCGCTTCTGGCGAATGTGCCACCGGGGAACAAGAATGTGGCACCGGTTGCATGCCCATCGGTAGCGAATGCTGTAATGGAGAAGGGTACTGTGATAGTGGCGACAGTTGCGACAATGGCGGCTGCTGTCCCGTCGGCGAGACGTGTGATGGAAGCCCTGACGGCTGCGATATTGAGGAGGTGGAGTGTGGTGGCGGTTGTATTCCAAGCAGTGGAGAGTGTTGCAGTGATGGAGGCTATTGTGAGCTTGGAACGTACTGGTTAGTAAACAGATTCCATTCTTTCTCCTTCGATGCCCCCTTTTCAGATGTTCTGCGGGGGTTTCGTGGGATGTGACTACATGACTTTGGACCTCTTCCCTGACAGCTTGAAATCCCTGTAACTCCTTGGATAACACTGGACTGACTCCGATCATTAGCACTAGTCTAGGTACCTGCTGCGATAACGGCGACACCTGCGATGGCAGCACCGACACCTTCTCCTTCAGCGATACCTTCACTTTCGCCTCAGAAGACGAGACGGTGACGTCGGAACCCACCTTCACCTTCTCGACTGATGCGCCTGCGACCACGACTACGGACGATGCTACTACCTCGCTCACTCAAACTGCGGTCACCACCACGCGACAGTCGACACCGACGACAACCATCTTTCAGCAGTTGGGTGGGCATTACAGTCCTGATGCCAACATGGTGGCGGCGGGCATTGCCATGGGGGCTGTCCTGTTGATATAATTGGTGAAAGATTAGACTTGAGAGCGGTGTCACTTCTGTTTGGTTGGTTGATAATCATCTTGAGCGAGTTTGATGGAAAGAAAGTAATGTAACCAGGCGTGTCCTTGCAATAATGTCTCTGGCTGCGACCACCAGTGACTCTGGGTCTTGGCCCTGAGGCTGGGCATGAGTACGGAGATCGGGAGTGCGGTGTAACATTGACTTATTATGGTGGGCAATTAGGAAGGTGACGCCTTAGGGGTCTAGACTAGGAGCTAGGATATAGAAATCTCCTATACATCCTTGCTCTTCCAATCCACCAAGACGTGTCCGTCATGGGACAACACGTTCGCCTCGGAGTTCCCGAACGGAACGCTCTTCGTTCGAGATAGCAGCTTCAATTTTCACCCACTGGAGCTCCGCATGATAATCTGCTGGTTTTAACTTTACTTATGTCTCAGTTTTTGAGGAATCGTAAGTGTGTACGTCTCACCAGTATCCTAGATTCAATAACATCGAAGTAGTGACTGATCAAGTTGAGAATCAGTGTACACAGACCGATGAGTCTTACTAATTATCTCAAACTGGAAATTGGCTAATCCGAATAGGTTTCGGAGCTTCTCCAACAACTTCGTCTTGTCAATGTATCGCACATCGAGCACTTACTGTTCCATTGGGACGGTTGAGATCGAAACGACTGAAGAGCCTTCCAGGTGTTACCAAATGGCAAAAGGTCTCCGTGAAGCCAGGCAGAGGGGGCTATGTTGAGAGTAGAAAATGCAGTATCCACTAGATTCTGAGAGAGGGAAGTTCGTGGAGTGAGTGTTTATCTTCTCATCAGCATCCATACAAGCCGGACGCAAATAGAAACTCACAGCTGACGCAGTTTGGCGCCTTACCAGGCCTACATCAGGCGGACCGGGCGAAATCATGCTGAAAATACCCAAAGCTGCATCTGATGAGATGCGTGCCAAGAAATGCCGGAATTCAGGCCCAGGTAGGTGCGTTGAACCTTTAGCATTCGCCTCTACGACATGCTACACTTTGGCAAAGTGAGCATACTGGCACAGAAAGACACTTCGTTGCTGCATGTGTCAAGTGAGCTCGAGGCAGGCCCACTGGAGCATTGGATCTATCGTGTATACTGCGAAATCGAAGTAGATACACTGCGAACACAGATATGGAACATCCGCCTTCGAAATGTGGACGAATACCTCCCGGGTAGCAGTGACATCTCTATTGCAACAAATAACATGCTGATGGGCAGGCAGAAATTCAAGATGGCTCGACAGGAGATGAGTATCAATCAAGCCCAAGCGACCGCTTGGCGAAGAACATCATCAGGTGCTTAAACAGCTTGAAACACCCCAATATACTTAACTTCTCGGATCATACAACTTGCAGGACAAATACGAGCTGCTTTTCCAACTTGCTTCTCAGTCTTTGCACTCCTACTTCACAACGGGAATCAAAGCGTTGATTTGCTCGATCAAGTCTCCGCAATCCTGAACTTTCTGGGTTGGCATCGACCCTCCAGACGTTGCACTTCTATGTCTGGCAGGACGTGTCTCTAATTAGTTATCATCATGTTACCAAGCCCGAAAATATATTGATCAGAAATGGAGAATTCGTACTGACCCATTTGGATCTATCTACCTTGAAAGAGTCCTCCAAGGATCGGATGGATACTCATTTTCGATACGGTCAAGGACTCTACTTTGCCCCCGATTGCGAGGATTACGACGACTACTCCAAAAGGCACACGATTGGGCGACATAGGGATGTTTGGTCACTTAGATGCACCATTCTTGAGCTTGTGGTTCTCGTCGAGCTCGGCAGGGCTGGTTTGACGGAGTTCACTCAAGAACGAAAGGTGACTTTTGCCAATAGATACAAAACTTCAGCCTTCCATCGGCAAATCACCCAACCTAGGCATTGAGAAATTCATCAATTAGCTTAGTCAGGCCTCTGATGATGATGATGATCATCATGATCATGAGTGTAGGAGAGATACCATTGGTCTGGTTCGGGAGATGCTCTCTATCACCCCAGGGCAGCGTCCAGAGGCGGCTCGAGTTTCAGAAAGGTACCGTGCTACGTCACTCAAATGCATTGCTGGAATTCTCAAGCGCGAGCTTGCGAACACGGACAGCCTTGGGTGGCCGCCTGACATTCCTATGTTAGACAGAAATACTTCACGCCGATGCGCTACCAGACGTGTACTCACTCCTCGAGCTTTTGAAGACGACGTGTCCTACAACACAACCAATAAAACTTATCAAGTCATGAGGAAGATACTGGAGTCTGTACAAGACACGAACATCAATATTCACATCGTTCTTGCTAATTTTCGGCGCTACAATTATGATTTTTCTGGAACCCTAGATGAAAAGGGGCAAAACAGGGGACTGAAAACGGTTGAGCTACGCATCCTCAGACTCGATCTGGCCGAATCAAGCAACATCTCTATCATATCGTCGACGATTTACCGGCTTCTCGACACATTTGCATGCTAGCAGCATCGAAGCAAATGTTCACGCTGAGTGAAAATTTGACCGGCGACGCGGAGCCAAATGTTTGGAAGCTCGATCAAAACTGCCTGTATGACCAGGATCGAAGCTGATCAGGAGCATTCACCGTGGTGCGAACAACACGGATATTTGGACCCCCAAGGATGTCCTCATCCAATGGCTAGAATACGATGACACATGGGTAGGGTATGTTGGCCGAATCATGCGCGCGCGCTTGGAGGCCATCGTCAAACTCATCCATGCTGCTTCTAGGTCACCGACATTCAAAGTTCTTCCTTGTTACGGGTATTTCCCTGATATTCGACATCATGCGTTCGGGCTCGTATTGGGCTTCCCCGAATCGTGAACGGGAGAGATTGAAGCCAGCTACCCTACACCAACTCATAATGGACGCCCAGAATGTGTGAAAGCGTCCTGAGCTTGGTCAAATCTTCCTCGTGCCCATTCGCTGGCCATATCCCTCATGGAGTATTACAGCATCGGCTGGCTACGTAAGAACATCTCATGACACAATGTTCTGCTCTTCCGAGACCAAGACGAGGTACTCGACGTGAGATCAGTGTATGCGACAGGTTTAACCACGGACAGCTGGATCAATCTAACGAGTACCCCGCAGGGCGTGGGGATGAGGAAAAGCGTACAAAATATCAACATCCACTCTACCGCAGAGGCAACCATCAATTCTGTTTAGAGTTTGACTATTTCAGTCTAGGCCTTGTCCTTCTGGAGATCGGGGTTGTGGAAGACCATTAATGATATCGACAAAACCTTCTCGGGCTCGCCGATAGAGCTTCGCAAGTACTTGGCACGCATCCGCAAAGAAGCATTTGCTTTATTAGGGCCAGCGTGTGGGGAAGATATATCGCGGGGTAACGGAGGTGCATCTCGCCCTTGGTCAGTATGCGGAAGCAGAAGAGTGCAGTCGCCGGTCGCCTGATGGCAAAAGAAACTTTGTGAGACATTGCATCCTGACATTTATATGAGTGCTAGCAATCCTTCCCCAGTACTCGCTGCTTCAGCGAGCCAGCATGAGGATGAATCCTCAACTCTCGTCGAAGCCAATAAGCTCGCGACATGGGCTTTGGGAGACTGTAGAAGCATGCTGGGCTCCAAACACCTACCTCGATACAGATGATGTGGAGAATGGGAATTGTTGAGAAATGTCGAGGCGATCTTGGGTAGGGTATATACTGATCCAGGAGGCACGTTGTCTACTTGCGGAAGTCCTGGGCGAATCGCATCCCGACCGCCAGCAGATGATGTGCCAATTAGAGAGCTGGAAACCGGTGCAGGGGCATACACAGTGATTCTTGTCTGAGAGACACAAGGACTAACACTATTCAAGAAAAAGAGAGTATTCTGACTTATGACCCGCGAAGTCAAAACTAGGCACATCAGCTTACTTTGTGCCCGCAATATAGGCTCTTGTCAAATTAGATTATGACAAGGAATTCCAAGTCGCCACATGGCTGCCTGGTAACAACGCGCATTGCGGGGAGGCTCTTGCCCGTAGCATTCATGCACTGACGTCACTAAGAATTGGGGATGTTACTATCCATCGACCAGCAGGTTATCGGCTTCAACGACAATGTCTCTTTTTCCAATTGGACTCAACTGCAACGGTAAAACCTCTCCCGGTAACTCGAGAAGTTAACAACGACAACAAAAACAACACCCTCCTCGCCCACTCCTCACCAAACACCACCACTATGTCCTCATCCATCAACCCCCTCCGTGCGCTCCTCTGCGCACCCGCACGCACCAACCTCACCTTGCGCACCCCCACCCTCCCATTATCGTACCGCCTGATCTCCACCACACCCTTCCCGCGCCTCCCCTACAAAAACGACCAAGACCGGGAATCTGTCAAGCCGCGCGCGCACGAGTACACGGGCTCAGGATCGGACGATGGCGCCGCCGCCCAGGAAGACGCAGCCTTCAACCCGGACAAGACGTCGCCCGAGGAGGCCAAGAAGACAGCGGGTAAGGGCCAAGCCGAGGGAGACAGCAACCCGCTTGAGGTCAGCCCCGCCAATAAGGACGTGTCGGAGGCAGGGCGCGGGAAGGAGGAGGATAGGCCGCATACGGGGAGTAACCAGAAGCCGAGTGGTGGCGGTAATCAGCAGAAGAAGGGGAAGGTTAACTAAAGAAGGGATAGGAGAGGACTTGGGCCGGTGTGCGCGAGGCAGGGGTAAAGTTCGTAATTAGAGTGAGGGAGGTCTGACGATGATTGTACTCCATCGACGTTTTCTCTGCATGTATATGGAGCTCGGCTGGTAGATATTCCTCAAAATCATCATTTTGCATCGTATGTGACGTCGATTACACTGCATTGTGAGGTGCCTTGCTGTTCGTATGTTACAGTTGAACATCACCGTGTCTGTTCCTCCCCATATGTACCTATCGACTCTGCAATTAATTTCAAGTTAGTCTTTTGAATTGACGAAGATGGTCGATCATGTCCCCCATGATGCCTCATACTAAGCCACCTCACGGAAGCATCTCTCTATAGCTCGTAATCGCCGTCGAATCATTGAGAAATGCTCCTAATGGTCGATCACCGCCTCGCTCGAGAGGTGATGCAGTCTCATATGGTGCTGCCTTCATCCATACAGCCCGTCTACGATATCCTGTTCGTCCTCGTCGTCCACCGCATTAGCCTTCTTCCTCTCCTGATTCCCTATCTCCTTTCTCTTCTTCTCCGCATTCACATCTTGCCTACACATGGGACAGGACCCTTTACTCAAGAGCCAAGGCCCCACGCACTCGAGATCAAACCGATGCTTCTCATGCTTGACGTGGATGGTCAGTCCAGTGGCTGGATCGATGCGCTCGTCCGAGCACGGCAGCACCACCACCAACGGATACGGATCGTCGAGGAAGGCCTCGGTGCAAATCGGGCATAGCTCTCCCTGTTTGAGCTGCTTCTTCGGCACCCGGTCCAGCGCGTCTAGGTCATCCTGTGTCAAGAAACCCTTCATATCGGGATGCTCCCTGTCGACCACCAGCTCTTCGATGAGACCCTGCAGCAGCTCCGTATCGACTCCAGCCGGGGCTTGGTTTCGGAGGGCCGTCATTTGGTCGAGCACCAAGGTGAAAAGGCTTCTCAGGGCGTCGGGTGTCGGTCCCACGTTGCGGTTGGAACTTGACGAGGATGGTTCGGGCAATAATTCGTGAAGAGCCGAGTGGAATGATGACATGTCGGGCCGCCGCGTTTGGCGAGGGGCGGAGGGCTTGATGCCGTGCTCGACTAGAAACACAGAGGTCAACATAATAGGCGATGAACGATGGACATAGCAGGAGAATAGCTTACCTTCGTACGGATTACTTGCCATGCTAGGCGACGAATGGATGAGTTTATCCGTATTTTTATTTTTGTGTTTGGAAGGCCTCGGTAATTGTAGTGTAACTCTAGATGTGTTATTGACTTGCCGTCAAACGGTGAATTAGTGAGCTTAACCGTAGCTGAAGGCTTTGGATATCTTGATTGATAAATGTTACAATTTAACCGTTTGACATCCCACCAGGCACCGCGGGGTTGACGCGGTGTCGGTTGTGAATTAGCGCCCTTAGTGGCGGACCGTGCTCTTCTAGGCCTGCAGTGGCAATGGGACACCCTCACCTGTTTCGTCATCCAATCTCTCTCTATTCAACGAAGGTTTTAAATATGGCTGGCAAGACGAATATTGTCGATTCTCAACGACAGGATATCATCCAAGAGGGTTCTGGCTTCTCTATCACTCGCATCACTCACTTCCTTGCCTCCGAATGCACATACTTACCGGGGTCCAGGCAGAAGCGGGCATAGGCAGACGCGGGTATAGGCAACGCGGGTATAGGCAACGCGGGTATAGGCAACGCGGGCATCTGCCACAGTAGCGGCTGTAGCAACGCCCTGATTCGCCAGGAGCCTTGCTTGTCGTCCGATTTTGCGGCACAGTGTCAGGGTACTAGTTTCACAGGAGGACTGGTCATAATTGGTTTGATACGCCATGCTATCGACAGCCAGCGGGACGCATAATGCTATTGAAAAAGAGTGTCAAGTCCCAGGCCTCCATATGGCTTTGCAATCATCTCTGAGTGCCATCGCCATCTCCTTGCGTGATAGTTCTTTCCGTCAAAATCATCCCTCCTTGCTGCTTGCATTGCCAGTCACTATTTGAAGGTTGTTTCCGAAACGGCAACGGCGCGAATTTGTTGCATTCTACTTAATCGAACTTGCATCAGTCCGCAGAACAAGGTTGTAATATTTGCCGTGCACTTCACTAGAGGCTCATTTGCGACGCGCCTGATCTGCAGCAACTTCCAGTCATGTTATCCACATCCTAAAGATGCTACTTTTCTACCAACTCACTTCGTGGACGTCGGTATCGAGGACTCTGCCGGCGTAATATATCCGCCCCTGTAACTTCATAAATCGGAGTAGTATGAGAAAGGCCAGTTTCGTATGTTCACCTACTGGTGGGGTATGGTCCCGAATGGTGCAAGAACCACGGGGAAAATGTTGAATATTGCCAAAGACGATCCAAGACGCAATTACCATTACCAGGCAGGAAACTTGGTGTTCGATGCGTCTGGATCGATTCTCTCTGCATCATCAAAAGGGACTTGAATGGAACGGGGTCAATATGATTGGCTGGTTGAGTCCAGCAGGATCGGTCAATATTATGAGCAGGCGTTGTGCACATTTTCGGCAACTGGCGCATCTCATTGCGACGAGGGATGTTTTCTTCTGAGGCCAGTATTGAAGTATCCGTGGAGCCAAGTGTGATCAAAGTCGATGGTTCAATCGAGCGAGAAAGCCTTGAACTTCATCAACATCGGCACATGCCTCATCAGGACCCTGACACACTTGGTCCCTATTATAAGGGTCATGTAATGCAACCTGAGCTTGTGTGGCGTGACTGGGTGGCTCGGGAATGGATCTTTGCTAGGCGGATTCTGCATTTCGGCAGAGACTGTATGTTCTGGGAATGCCGGAGAACAAGAACTGCTGAGTGGTGCGTCGAAGATCTCAACGTGAGGGGCGAGAGGGTTCATGGGCTCGTGGCGAGATCATCTCAACTTATGGTTCCATGGTTTATTTTCGTCGAGTTATTCAGCAGGGTAAAATGGACATCCGTGCAAGACAAACTGGCGGCGCTTTCATCCCTTGTCAAGGTTATCGAAGAACATACTGGGCGGAAATATCCCACCAGCACTGGAAAATGGGAACACAACTTGATACAATCTTTGGTATGGCGCTGGAAACATTGGGATCGACCGCCGCCGTTGGACGTCAAGCCTATTGGGGTGCCCTCTTGGTTGTGGGCTTCCTGCGAGTCAACCGTCGACTATACTTGGTTGACCTTGTCGAGCAACCTTGGCGTCAAGGTATGAAAAGCGATTTCATAGCCGACTACAATGCTGTATCTCGAGGGATCAACCTTGCGATTCAAGTATGATTAATCCTGGCGAGACTCAAAAAAGACAACACTTGGCCCGTGAAATGGTCCGCAATAGGCAAGACTCGCCGCGGGAAAATCCAGTATCTTCGTTTCTATCTCGATAGAATGCTTGCTGAAGAGGGACTTGAAGGTGCCTCTCGCGACTCTCGCGAGGTCACCTTCCTCGGACTACAGGGCGATCATGAATGTACGTCTTTGAAAGTTGAAATTGGACTAAGCAGTTTTCTAGCTCTCGTCATGACGGAGACGGGTAGGTACAATTACCAGGAGACTTGGTCTTGTCCTAATTGAGATCAGCGCGAATGCTCCTGAGCCCTCTTTTCCCAGATACTTTGGCGATGAGGAGGTAATCGATCTCATCGGATGAAGGGTGCTTGGGATTCTCGGACCGGAGTTATACACATATAAACCAATCACCTGGAAGACACGTAAAGGGACGCTTGGCTCAGGCTCGGTCTCTGTGATCCCATACGGGAGAGGACATTTCAGGTTCTCCTACCACTGAAGGCGTTGGAGGAAGAGTCATTCAGCACCCGCTCCTGTCCCTAAGCGTGGACGACGCTGAGACCAAAACCAAGAAGGCACTCCGAGTGTATTGCCCGAAAGGCAAAGTTGCTGGTTTATCTTCTTGGGAACTTGCCTTGACAAGAAATGTGAAATTGTTCAGTGGAAAACTAAAACACAAGTCCTATGTTTGAACTATGGAACTAACCATGCTGCAGCCGAATTCTCGTTAAACTACTTCTCCCATCAAAGCCGGCATAGCAAAACTACGTAGTAAAACATCAGGTGGTTTCCAGTTACGGTCTGAATTATAATCAGCTATTAGTCGGTCAGTTGGACTGCTCGATGCATCAAGGCAAGAAGCGAGCACGACGTCGCGTTGCGTAATGACATAAGTTACCAAGGACCCCGACGATCCTACCGGTTAAATGCGTTCGCTGTTGGAAAAGGGCACTCCGCAATTTGTATGCACTACAAGCATCGTTAGCTCGGAACGGCAATTTCCTCCTATAATGGCTGCGGAAATGCAGCGCTATAGACGAACTGTGGGGGTTGGAATGCGGGGGAAGTCTTGGGCCTGCCCGCCCTTGGTCGTTAAACATGGTATGTCGTCTCCTCACCTTGATGTGGCGACTTGAGGGTAAGTTATCGGGCATTTCGCCATGAGTATATAAAGTCGGCGACCTGCGCTGGCCGGCTCACCTGCGCTGTGTCAACGCTGGATGAGACTCTGTACATAGGTTCCATCAGACCCTGAGACATATGTCATAATGGCGAGATTCGGGCTTTTATTGAGCTCGCTGGCGCTATCGTTTCACGTAGTCCAGGGCTTACGTCCCCGACAGGAAGCCAATGCCACCATAACTACTGGCCCAGTGACATTCCCTGCCATCAGTACATCATCGCAGTCTTTCAACGTCTCTGCCACGCCGACGGCAACAAGGAAGAACGATGACTTCTCAGACGATGCCTTGGCGGTACTCTGGGAACAGGTTGGACCCATCGCTACGGGCCCCATCAACTCGACTGTTTCACCTACACCTGAGCCCACGAGTTACCTGCAACCGGGCATTTTTCACCCCTTGGTTCCTTCGTACAACCGAGAGCTAGCCGATCTGAAGCTCCCCGAAGGCTTCTCATGGGGAGTGGCATCGTCGTCGTACCAAATTGAGGGAGCTGCCAAGGATGAAGGCAAAGGGCCTTCGATATGGGACCTCCTATCGCACCGAATCCCGGGCCTTATTGCCGACAACTCAACGGGCGACGTCGTGGGTTCTCACTACTGGCTGTACAAGCAGGACATAGCTCGTCTAGCAAACCTAGGCATCCCTCGTTTCAGCCCCAGCATAAGCTGGCCGCGTATCTTTCCCTTTGGCAAGGGACCCGTCAACGCAGCCGGCGTGGCCCACTACGACGACGTAATAAAGACGCTCGTCGAAGCCCACGTAAAACCCTCAGTAACCCTCTTCCATTGGGAAACCCCCTTAGCGCTCTTCAACGAGTACGGAGCATGGAACCACCCCCAAATCGTAGACGACTACGTCGCGTACGCCCAATTCGTCATCTCCCGCTACGACGAGTACGTCGACGAATGGTTCACCATCAACGAGCCCCAGCACTGCAACTGGCAGTTCTCGACTTACCCAGCGGGGGAGTATTATCCCGCCTACGACGGCATCACGGGTGGCATCCAATCCCGCTACCTCTGCGGACATCACACCCTCCTTGCGCACGCGAAGGTGGCCAAGTGGTACCATGATGAGTTTCATGGCCGAGGCCGCATCACGTTCAAGAATAGCGGCAATTACTTCGAGCCCAACACCACGTCGGAGGGAGACCTCGATGCCGCGCAGCGGCAGTACGACTTTGTCCTCGGCTGGTTCGGCGGGCCCTGGGCCGAGGACGGGGATTATCCCCAGAGTTTGAAGGATACCCTGGGCGACCTGCTGCCGGCGTTTACGGACGAGGAGAAGGAGCTCATTAAGGGGTCGTGCGACTTCTACGCTATTGATCCGTATACCTCGTACACAGCCTACGAGATCGACGGCGGTTCCGCGGCTTGCGCGGCGAATCAGTCAAATCCGGCGTGGCCTGAGTGCGCGGGGAGTGTGTCGCTCGAGGGAAACGGGTTTCCTATTGGGCCGGCGGGTGATCAGGGCGTTAGTTGGTTGTACGATACTCCGACAGGGGTGAGGAGGTTTCTGTCCAAGATTACGAAGGAGTTGTTTCCTAGTGTGCCGGATATCGTGGTAACGGAGTTTGGGTTCGCGGAGCCGTTCGAGGGCGAGTTGGATAGTTTGCAGACTATCTTGTGGGATTTGAGGAGGGCGGATTATTACCAGAGTTATTTGGACAACATTCTGGCGGCTATTTATAATGATGGGGTGAATGTTACGGGGGCTTGGGGGTGGGCTATTTGTAAGTGGGCCAACCTTCCCTCTCGTGATTCTGGTGAAGGGGAGGTATCTGAAAGTGGGTGCTGACTTCTTTGGCTGTAGTTGACAACTTCGAGTGGTTCGCCGGGAGTAAGGTCCGCTTTGGGTTGCAGTACGTCAATTATACCAGCTTGGAACGGACGCCCAAGGCGAGTATGTTCCAATTTCTGAACTGGTTCAAGTAAGTCATCCCTAATACAAACCCCTGTCTCAAATGAAGAATTTAGCTCACGTTGAGAAGGGAGCATGAATGAAGCCGAGCGGTGGAATGAGATCAGATGGTTTGGAGAAACCCTAACGCCGCCCTATGCCAATTACACATCGGTGTTTGAGTAGGAGCTTGATACAATTTAGTCAAACCCCGTTGGGTGTTGACCGTACGAGGGTAGCATCTTCTCGAGCCTGAGTTCAGAGTGCAAGTGGTGTTAGCGCCTTACGGACGTCGTTAAAAGCGACGAGGCTATCAGTAGCATGTTGTCTTCTATGCTCTACCAGCGAGCACTTGGGCTCCTAGGGGAACATGATCGAGGATTTTGAGAATTAGTTTGCAACAGAACGGCGGCGGTCCATCCCATCCCTGAGGTCGATCAGAGAAATCAATAGAGTTGCACAATGCTTTAGTGGGTCTGCATCGACGACTTGCGGTAGCGTCTGAGAGCAATTGACTCCAGCTCGATGGCGGGATAATGATTCAACCGTTTCGAAAATTTTGGTAGAAAGATCAGGTGGGTTTTTATTCAACTCGAGTCAGGCCAGGCAAATTTTCAGCAGTTGAAGTTTGTGAACTGATCCATATCGAATATCAAGTCTTAGCATCCGCTTGGCCTCCAGAACACGTCGTCATTCCAACTCCCGACTCACGATCTAGATTCAAACTCGAGGCCAGCAGCCGCGTGCCTATTCCACCTCAACAACAGTACTTACACCTTACTCTGCATCCACCACGTCCATGATGGCAACCGCAGCAGTAATCGGCAGTACCGGCCTAGTAGGCGGCCACATCCTGTCGGACCTGCTCGGCCTCGACGCTGTCAAAACGGTCCACACCCTCTCGCGCCGGGCGCCTAAAGCAGAGGGGCCCAAGCTGTCCGCTCACATCGATGCCGACATCACCAAGTGGGCTTCTGCCCTCTCGTCCATCACGCCCACTCCGGACATTGTCTTCTCGGCCTTAGGTACCACACGCGCCGACGCGGGGGGGATTGCGAATCAGTGGAAGATTGATCATGATTGTACGTACCTACCTCTAATCATATCCACCGCCAGACAGAAAGAAGACTAGGAACACAAAGAAGAAAAACGGAGAAGCAGTTAACTGACCATCCTGTGTAAAACAGTAAACGTTGAACTCGCCAAATCCGCCCGTGCCGCCGGCGTAAAAGCCTTCATCTTTATCTCGTCGGCCGGTACGCGGGGTCTCATCGGCGGAGCAGCACCCTACTCGAAAATGAAACAAGGTGTTGAAGACACGATCAAAGAGCTTGACTTCGAGCAAGCCATTATCCTGCGTCCCGGATTGATCTTGGGCGATCGCGAGAAACCTAAGGCCCCCATCGTCAATGCGATTGCCAAGGGATTGGGCAGTTTGCATAAGGGATTGCAGGATATGATTGCGCAGGAGGCTGACGAGATTGGGAGGGCTGCTGTCAATGTTGCGATGATGGCTAGAGAGGGAAAGGCGCCGGAGAGGTACTGGATTGTGGAGGGGGCGGATATTATTAAGTATGGACGGGAGGAGGCGAAGTCCGTTGAGGAGAAGGGGAGTGAGATTTGAGTTTGAGAGTGAGGGAAAAATAGAGAGAAAGTGGGTGTGTGTATGATTTCTGGGTTAGGGTTGGTTAATTTCGGGTTCTTTTGTCTGGCTTGCGTGGTGTCTGGCGTTTTTTTGAATGATACACATTTGCCAGGGGTTCAGATAAGTTCCGCAAAGACGTGGTGTGATGAAGGAAAGGACGCCTTACACATTGGCAGTCTGCTCTGATGTCGCGGCATCATCGTTCACATCGACTTGGTTACCACCTTTGCTCTTGCACCGTCAGACCTTGATTACCAGCAAGATGTTGTTCTGCCATCTCCCGATCTATTAGTGCTGCATCCGACTGAGACAGCTCCGGACCGCATACTTTCCGTACGCCGTGCGCCGCTTGTGCCTTGATTCTCGAGTGGTATTGCCGGTCACACTGCAGTGTCGGTGTAATCGAAATTCATTGGTTGCACCCGCACAGAGAAAGTAGCTCTCACGCCATACCAGCTTGAGTCGTCCAATTTCAGATGTAGGTCATGTTTGGAGAAGAGAGACAATGGCAAGGAGAAGTTTGTTTAGGTGATGTTGTATATCTGCCGACGTGATCCTTCTGCTCGCCAAGCGTGATATCTCATTGGCCACGCCCCGGTGTTGATTGCAGGCTGAGTTCGTCTATGAAGAGCGCGTTGATCTTGTACCTGGGACCATTGAGTGCGTCTACCCTATGGCTATTTGTTAAACGAGGTATTCATGATACTTCCTCAGCTACACTATTTTTACGTATCGGTTGCTTGGCCAGCTTCGTGTTGTTTCGTTCGTCCGAGGAACGAACAATTCCGTAATTGGTGTATCTACATGCACGTACATACAGATGCTTGACAAATAATGTGCATTTTTCATGACCTGATCAACTCTCCTGCTCCTATGCTGTGTCTCGCGACTCTACATGCGATGTAAGTCGCAAGCAAAGTTTGGAGGAAATATCCCTACTGTAGTCCTGTGAGAATACTCCGATACATTGCGAGAATAAAAGCCAACAAGCTCTACAGAACAAGACGTTAAAGAATTGTGAACAAGGAACGGTATCCAAGTACATTCCAAGACCGTGTCCTGAAATACGACTGACTTACTAGTGATTTTGTTGTATACTGCGAATAATACCCCGAAGACGTGACGGATTAGCTTTTAGTAGCACCAAGTAAGCTGCAGATAAGCCCCGCCATGATAGCTAGCTCCTCCTCTCCTCCGACCCCACCATGCGTCATCCATCGATGACCGTCAGTCATTTCACCAAAGTATGCCAACACCATTCTATCCTTCCTTGCCATTGCGCCCTTCGATCTGTGCAACGACTCCACGCGTCCCGTCCTCTGAAAATAGCAGCGCATATTGCTCCGCATCATCCGCATCTTTTGCTAGTTTCGTGACACGCACGCTTCTTCCACCCTGGATCCTAAGACGGAGCACAGAAACGGAGAGAATTGAAGACAGGCATCAGCGCATTATGGCGGAGCGCACAGTCACCGTCGTTGGTCCAGACAGCGGCCCAGAGGCCCCGTTCCCGCTGCTCATGGAAGGCCCCGTGCAGCATGGACAGAAGCGAGGCGGCGATAAGGTAGACGATCCATACATCTACAGTCCTCTTTAATACGACACAGCAGGCAAAAGAAGCTAACACATCCGGTGCAGCTCGGCATCCCAACCGCGAACCTCCCCGTTGACCGCTCGGGCAAAGAAGACGCCGCATCCGGCGTCTACTTCGGCTACGCCTCCCTGCTACTGCCGTCCACGCACGCCGACCACCCCTCCAGATCCTCCAACTCCAACCCCAACCCCCCAGAAAAGAAATGGCACATCTACCCCATGGTAATGTCCATAGGCTACAACCCCTACTTCTCCAACAAAGAGCGTACCGCCGAAGCGAACCTCTTACATATCTTCGACGACAGTTTCTATGACGTGCCGATGCGGTTGCTGATCCTGGGGTACATCCGACCCGAGCTCGACTACGCGGGCATGGACAAGCTGATTGCCGATATCAATGCCGATCGCCGGGACGCGTATGTGAGTTTGCGAACGCGGAAGGGGTGGGTGCCTAAGGAAGGGGCTTGGATACCTAGTGAAGAGGAAGTGGAGGTGGAGGCGGAGGGTGAGCGAAAGAGGAAGTGGCAAATAACAAAGGACGTTACATGGGAGGCGGGGACGTTGGATGCGAGTTGGTTGGTCAGGGATTGAGTGGCGAGACATTCGAAAGGGAAATAGGAAATGGGACCATATTAGAAATAGAAGGGTTGATACAGCATCTGACACGTATATAGACCGCGCCTGAACGGACACATCGTGATTTATGAAACTAAAAGCTTTGTTGTTGTTATTGTCGAGATTTCTTTATGTAAACCTGAAAGAACCCGGGTATAAACCATAATTCCTGTTGCCATATACTCATCCATAATATAGCATTGAGAAAGACATTAACATGACAAAAGCAAATGTGACCAGCTCCCAACTGGGGAGAAGAGCTCTAAACTGCGAGCTCCATCCAGAACGCCGCCCCATGCTCTCTGTACGAGACGCCAAGAAGAGTAACATAAAAACAAATGGGCCCAAACCGGACATTCGTTGATCATGCTTTTTTTCAGCGAGTTGGTCACCTCATGCAGTCTATAATACGTGTATGCCAGCCAATACCGACTATTGGTGAATGTCGTCCCACGGTACGGCATCTTGGGTTGGTCTGCGTTGCGCAACATATAATTTGTTACACGGCGAGTTGGTCTTGGTTGCGGTAATAGCACGGTAAGAACTAGGCAAGTTATTGTTAGCAATAGTAATGCGTTGATATTCGCATGGGTCTCGATGGCTTACGTTCATAACGATCAACATGGGGATATCAAACATGTCGCGCTTGATCGTCCAGCAGTATGTGCAGTCCATCTTGCCGTCCTTCTCGATTCTAGAGATGCCGTGCTCTCCATCTATTCGAGTAACTCGATTGCTGAGAATACTACCTCTGGGGTCTTTTTGGGACGGCTCGTCGCTGGTGAGGCTGTCAGTGGCCTCCTTGGTCCGGTACTTGAGTAACCTGCACTTCCTAGTGACGTGACCCCGGCTATCTCCAAAGGCAAGTTGGGCAAAGTCTTCGTAGAATTGGATGACACTATCATCATCCATCAACTCCGCAATAAACACCGGTTGCGGTTTGCCGTCTGGTGGCATGGATGCTTCCGGTTGAAAAGCTTTGAGCTGTGGGGTCGTGATTCCCGCCTTGCCCGAGTTGCTGGCAGAAGAGCCAGCTACCGATTCGCCCGTGTTGACGTTGACGTTTGGCTCCTTCCCAAGTAGAACCTCTCTTGTCCAACCTGTCAGAGCGATGAACTCCTTGTTGACGGCGGCAACCTCGCCTGTTCTGCGACAAACAATTGTTGGCGCTGAACAATGGCCCATGTAGTCTTCGTACTCGAATAGAGTGCGTTGCAAACATTTCTCCATGAAGATGAGATCTTGCCGGTTAAGATGCCTTGTGCAAGCTATGAAGGATGGTCGTATACTTGCAAGGGACTTAGCAATCCTCATGGTTTTGTTGTTAGAAAAGCGGCGCTTCACAAAGGCAATCAGATTGTGAAAACCTGTCAAGTACGGATAGGGCTCTTTAACCGTCTCGTATATGGAGGATGGATCACGTTGCCGCTTGCCGAGCAAGGACTGAGGTCCAAACTTGGATATAACGGCCGACTTTTGTTTTTGTTTAGGCCTCGGTGGTTGAGAAATCGGTGGGTTGCTGGATGGTGTGTATGTGCCCGCAGTTGGAGACCCTTCAAATCCATAATTCGTTGGCTGAGGGCTTGCCGTATTGTCCGTTCCTGGACTCGCAAGGCTAGTTGGGGTTGGACCGGCCGCGGCGATGGCATATGCGTGGGGTAATCCATGCTGAAGATTCCCTTGGGCGTACATGCCGTTATTGTTGTTATGGTCGGCGTTCATGTAGTTGTCAATCATACCGTTGTCATACATTTGGTTGTACTGGCTGCCGCCATTCGAGTACACATGTCCGCCAACACCATAATTCAATTCAGGGTTGGTCCCTTGTGATATAGAAGGGTCTCGTGGTGGCGTCTCGGCGGTGCCTGAAGCCATGTGACCCAGCATTCCGAACTCCATTGCGCCGTAGTGGCTGCCAAAGTTGAGACCTTCCAAGTCGAAATTGAAGATGGCGGGGTTGCTTGGGTCAAACAAGGCGGTTGAGAAGCTGCCCATCTCGTTGGTAGGGGTTGGGACCTGCATATTGTTCATTTGAGATGTTCGGGCGTTGTTATGCTGCTGGAACGAGGGCGATACAGGTGACGGCTGGCCGGTGAAAGTCATGCCGTCAGATAGTGCTGTGACTTGTGGCTGCCCGCCTGTGTATACAGGGTACGACTGCGAACTTGTTGACTGGGGGTAGTATGAAGATTCCGAAGTGGCATTCGAAAGATGTCTTCCATTTGACTGCTTTGTGCCAGAACTTGGGTTGTAATTAGGCCCGAGAACTGGTCTCAAAGCCTCCGGGGGTGCATCGTGCAAGTATTTGGCCTTCTTGCGGACACCATCTTGGCAGGCATCTGCCAGGCCGCGTTTAATGCATCGTTGGCAAGGTCGTTCATCGCCTATTTCAACCTTAGTAAAGTCGAAGCAAATATACATTTACATCGAACTCTGGGGTTGGATATCATCACAAAGACCATGTTGTGACAACCCTTCAGCATGTCAGAAATATGGAGTGAAACTTACCACAGGTTAAATGGGCCCTTTGACAGGCATAACATGCGCGCCTGGCCTTCTTGCGCCGGGGGCGATGGGGGTCTTTAGGATCGTACTTCTTCTTGACTTCTCCGGAGCCTTCGGTGCCAGGCTCGGGGGATGTGTTTTGTTCAGCCATCTTATCTTCTTCGTCGACTTTTATCGGGAGATCCGGGTCGTCGTACTCGTTCTCATTCTCAGACATGGCATCCGAGACCTCTGCCCCGTTGGGCTCAACGTCTTCCGGCATCGTGTCTTAGTTTTATATAGGCGTCTATCCAGCCCAGCCCTTTGACTCCCCTCAATGGATACGGCAAGGCGAACCCCAGCTCGAACGAAAGCTTGGCACAACCACTCTTCCCTTCAGCGCGTGGCTTGCGAACTCCTGCAGAAGTGTAACCGCCAGGACCAGGGGCTAGCTAAAGTTGGATACACTCTGCTCTGCCTCTTGCCAATACGTCCTCGCGCAGTGAGATTGACAGCGACACCAACTACTCAGGCCCGCGCCAAGCCCGCAGCTTCAGTACGTCCAATGCGCGCGCGCCCACCGCCCTTTGTCTTCCTCCTTGGGGCTGACTGTTGGGACCAGTCGTGGACCACTAGTAGCAGACAGCCAGACGTATGCAGGCCAATAAAGTTGGCTCGCAGCTTCTGTGTAGCGTCTGCAACAAGGACCCAAAGATGCGAAATAGAACAGGGCTACAGTAGCGTGGGATGTGTGGTATGTAGTTTCCAAGTGCGGGCTCCCGCGGTGCGACGGCTGCCCTCGCAGCTCTCTCTACACCCCTCCCCCCGGTATTATTCCAAGTGTGCACGTTCCAGAGTATTGCACAAAGTCGCTCGTATTCAGGGAGAAGAGACAGCGCAGTCTCCAATGGGCTCCTACCCGGCCACGAGTGGCGTTTTCTTGTGCGACTCGGACTGCCACTGGGATCCCCGCTGGGGGGTAGCGAACGGTTCTATCCGCCCTGGAACCACCTGGTACAAATCGCGGGGGTCTATCCCTCGACTCTCGACTACTTGTATCGCGTATTCATGGAGTCACGCGGCGGCGGATAAGGCACTGGGGTGTCTGACTGGGATGATAGGCGGGATGGTCGATGCTGCTGCAGCTACCCGCGACTTCTGAGCCTGTTCGCATTTGTCTCTGGACGCGCAGGACCCTATCGACGGCGGGGGCTGATGGTGAAAGGGCTCGAGATTCGTGGGGTTAGTCTCGGGACTGGTTATTGCGGCGCGTTGATCACCTCTCACAACCCAAGATACATATAGAGTAAGGCGCTCTGCATTCGACGAGACGCACGCAGGCAGATGCAGGTGTTCAAGAGGGACGAGGTAGGTACAGAGCTCGAGACGGGTAATGGTAATGGACACTGAACAACTAGTTGGAGGTGGAAACAAGGCTTGTGGCAGCTCAACTACGGTCGTAATTGCGAAACATTGAACCAATCGCTTCGTTCGCAATGGGCGGCGCAACTGGGCACGAGATGGTGTCTTATCCCTCAATCGCGGCTAGCAAAAAAATGGACTTTGCAATTCCTGGATCGCTGGTCGAACTGCGGGGCTTGGGGGTCGGTCTACAGGTGGATATGGAAAGGCATGACGGCGGGTTAACGGCAAGAGCACCAACCACCCGGTCGGTACGAAGTAAAGTTACATACTGTCACCCTCCACCCAATTGTTCCGTAAAAGCTGGACAGTTCCCGAGGTACATTGCGATAACCCAGAGTTGGCCCAGAAATTCAAGTACCTCGTATCCTCAGTCTCCGTTCTCTTGTGACGGCTGTATCTATGTTCAGAATGGTACCCTGATACTGCCCTCAAATCCCTACCACGCTTCGTCCAATCTCTCGATCTTTATTATTGTCCACAGACATCCCGCCAAACCAAGGACGGTTTAAGCCTTCAAACCGCTGCACGCTCAGTCGCTATGGAAGCATCAACTCATCCATGTTTTCACGTGTCCGGCAGCGAGATTTTCGTTACCGACGTACCGACCACGGGACGTCCCATATCCCCACACCTTGTTTCCACCAGGTCCTGACTGCGTGATGCGTGCTATGTGTAAACATAACTGCAGTCGCCAGTCGTCTCTGGGTGCGATAGCCGAGAATCTGGGCGTCTGCGCATCTGGTCATCACAGCTTGAAGAACAAATATTCCACTTGGAATTCGTTATGCAAACACCATCACCAAATCGCGGAAGCCCAGGCCCCCATGGCCACCTATGCCTATGCAGCAGATCTTTCTTCCATCCCTGGTGATATTGCAATATTTTATGCCTGTCATGTAAGATCTAGATCACGTCACATGCTCTGGCTTCAGGCACATGCAGAGCGCTCACCAAGAGAGCGCCGGAGCTGAGGTGTCGTCGTGGGCAAACTCTGCACAGAGTGACGACCAGCACGGGATGAATCAACACCGCCCAAAGGACGACGTCTTCCCATCAAGCCAGTACCAGCACTGGCTCGAATATCGGATCTTCATCGACGCCTTGCATGTCTTATTGGCTGGTTCCTTGGCGTACCTGACGATCCCTGCTGCAAATCATGTCAAGTCGCCGACCATTTTCAATATTCAAGGAATTCCATATGGATCGTCGCTACTGCTGCATTGAAGACGACATCCGCGCCATGGCCGGCAAGCCAGGACCATTCACGACCTTTGTCGACCTTATTCGGGGTTTTATCGATGGGATTGACATCCATGTAGGCTATCCGCAGATGCCCAATGTATCTGGCCAAGATCGTAATGAACTGCAGTCTTCGGCGCCACTCATCTGCTGCCACAATTACTTGCATGGAAGTAATATATTCGTTCAACCATGGAGGCTCATGACACGACATCATTCCATCATTCCAACGTAGGTAGGCCTGGAGACCATCCAAGTCCACCGTCAACCTCTTCAACAATAGCCTCTGTCCTTAGGGAACGCTGACAATGCTCTGGTCAAATACACGCCACGTTGACCGGGAACCGAAACCCATGCCTCTCCAATCCGGTATCGTCGCTGACATTAATACTCAAGTGGCATGAGCGAACTTGCTCCGAGCTTTCAACTGTCTACCGCACCGGAGCAAACGATACGGGAAGGCATATTGACCATGTTCAGAAAGGCTGGAACGATAGCTGTCCATAGCTTTCCGAGTCTTTCGCATATCCATTTTCCCCACAGTGGAAAGGCCGCTATAGTCCGATTCTTTGAATTAACAACAGGCTCCTTTTCTAGGCAGCTGAACGGGTGCTGGCTTTGTGCTGACCCCGGGAAGCTCACCTCCGAATGTGCTTCTGCTGAGCGAGTTTGCAGCCATGGGTTGACACTGCATGTTGTGGATGTGCATCCACGCTGCACAGCATACATCAGCCATAGCAGTCTTTAAGGCGGCCACCCGTGGGAGGGTCCCACGATTGACGTCAAGGTTCCTGGTGCGACTTACAAAAAACACAAGTATCCAGTTGATGACAAAGAATGTCCTGCAGCAGTCCCAAACGGTTAGCAGCATAGTCCACGCATGCTTCGGATATGCAAGATCACAAGAGGTGCATATGATTAACAAGCCATGACTAAAGGGCCTCGACAAGTTCCTCACCTCCTCTCTCGAGTTGACCCACACCGGCTTATCGGCTCCAACACCGTACCTCGTCTCGTGCTTTGGGTCGCACATCGGTTACCGCGGACCTTTAGGCCGGGTCTGGTACTGCCACGAAGAATGCATAGCAGGATCAACATGCTGATAGGGTAAGAAGGTTCTGGCTTCACCTGAAGCTAAAGAGTCCGCGTCCTACGATGGGAACGACATAGTGGACTGATCGAAACGTTGTCCAGACGAACCAAAATAGCCCCAATGGATCAAAGAACTCCTAGCAACGGTTTGTGGTAGGCGGTGTTTTTTCTTGGCTCACTGGCGGCCCATGGGTCACCATCTCTTCCTCGCGCCTTCTGATGCGTTCGTTGCGGGTTTTTCGCCAAAGCGGGTTTCGAACGGTGCTCTGAGGAGCATGCCTATTGCGTGTTGAACGGATATAAGGCCGATCTGCCAGGAATTGAAGCCATTGCGCCGCCCCCGAAGACTATGGCAAAGTTTTTAGAGAGCAAGTACTGGCCGTGTAGAGATTCAAAAGGCCACATACTGGCTCTGTGAACATCAGCTGGAGCGATCTCGCCAGAGCGCACAGTACATACAAGCTTGCCAATCGATGTTCCTATTCGCTCCATGAGCGCTCTACAACACTTGTCCCATCGCTCTTGAAGTTTCTCAGCTTTGACGACCAATAAGACCGGATCTAGGACAGATCAGCGTATGCCTCTGGCAGGACTGAATGCGTCTCGAAACTTACGGTATGTTTCGGCATGCCAAAGAGAATGACACCAACTCACAAGGCCCCTGTCCAGCCGATCAGCGTGTAATACGTCCAACGCCAAGTGGTGAAGGAACTGATGAAATCTACCTATAGGAGCACAATAGCGGGCTCGACGAATGGAGAGACTGCATACCGTAAAGGTCATCTGAATATGCTTTTTGGGCTGAAAGTGCCGCCGCAAACAGCCACGATTGAGCCACCAAAAAACCGTCGAGGCATTGAGCAACCAATATGGTGGCCAAACCAGGCCAGGTGCAACAGCGCTAGGGATCAGCCAACGATACAAATGGTCCAAGTGAAGACATATAACGGCCGGCAATCGTAAAATCCGCTGCGAGACAGGGCAAAATTAACCCAATGATCAAGCTGACTACGAATGTTGTGTACCCAAAATATTGACGGTCATTTCGACGCTGCGCTGGATATTTTTCTAGGCCATGAATGACGAATAGATAGAACTGGTCCGTATCGTATTTCCATTGCCAGGGTCAGTGCCTCGAGAGTTCCTGGCAGGGTGACGAGGACAGTTTACGCGCATAAACACGAGATGGGCTGGATCATGAGGATACGCCACCTTCGAAATGTGGCCACAATCTTGGAATTCAAGGTACCATCGTCGCCATCATCGAATAACAACAGCCAACGTCACGAAGCAACCGGCCTGTACACACCCTTTCCTTTATCCGGCTCGTCCACACCGAAGAGCCAGGTCGCTCCCAGTGGTGATCCTCACGGTGAAGGTCCTTAGATCAGGCTTCATCGAGTCATCACCCCCTGCGGGTTCGTCAGGAACAAACACTAGGCCAAGTACCAATGTCGAGTGGCAGCCGGTGAGGTCGTTTCTAAATTGCTCGTAGTTACGGTTCTCCTCAATGGCCGACAGGCGCCATCGCCAGCTTCAACCCGGTTCGCATGACATGATCTCGTTCACCGGTGCTGTGCCCCTATCCGAACCGTCCCCTGAGGTGGTGACTGTACGAGAAAACACGCTGCCGACCGCTCGTATGGATCGTGTGCTCCGAGAGCACTTCGGGGACCTCTACTTCTTCTCTGGCTTATGGTGTCGTGTCTTCTCTCGAGCCATGATACGAACAGTTCAAGAGCAGTTCAAGGGCATATCTGATCGACAAGCCTATCTTGGGCAACGACACGCGTTCCGGGAGACATCCACTTGTAACACTGACGGCATGACCCTAGATGTGTGGTTTCTGCGCATCGACATCTGATTTGCGAACACATCACGTTGCTGACCTATAGTTGTAGATGATCTGGGCTGATCTCCCTTGCGGTTCGTAGTTCCTTCTGAGACCGCCATCGCCATCTTGTATCACAGGCTAGCCCAACTTAAGCCATAATTGGATGTTGCAGGAGGTGCTCTGTGATGTTGTAAGCTCGTATTATCTCTATCTTCTTTATAGTGGTATATTCTGTGATAATTGCAAGCCAGGTAAGGTGACGAGACTTTCTCGATATACTAATGTTCGTTTCAGCCTATTGGCGACTAAATCGTATCTTCATACCTGGTTGCAGGGTTCTCTTCTTCTACCTATGACGGCTCTGCCAGTTATCGACCGTTCCCTTAAATGGTGTTGTGTGGACGTCCGAAACACTCGAAACCCCCCCAGGTTTGACTAGGCTTTGTCGGCATTTGGTTCTCTCACCCACTGGGCGTACAGCTACGTAGATTTACAAGCTGGAAGTTCATTCATGTATGCCATATCAGCTCGGATGGTTTGCTAAACTAACCATTTCAACACAACTCGTAAGCCACAACTTCCCTACTTACAAGCAACTGTTATGATCTCATTTCTGTTCATATCAGTAGCCTATTGTTGCACCCCATCTTTCTAAGACAGTCTCTTGCGATTGGATGGGATACCTTACCCTGCAAGCCAAATTTCAGTCCCGACGAACAGGACTATCAACTTGTCATCGGGTAGCTGCAATGCTGCGAGGGTCTCCCCCCAGATCCGATCGCCTAGAGATGCTTAGCATCTGTATGCGAGGGAGCAGTAATAATTCGCTCCTGCAAGATCGTCACCGTGATGAATCAACATAATCTGTCGGTCTCCTCAAGGCTGTTCGCATATAGGTAAGGGAGGGTTCTCAAGATCGGTATCCTTGTTCGTGCCGCGAAGGATCACAACAGCCTCAGCCTCTGCCCATACCCTAGGGTTTTATCGTTGATGCCCTTGCCCCCTCTCCCTGTATACACAAATCCAGCGTTTGCACAAGCCGTGTTAGCTCCTACTCTAGGAGCGCTTATTCTAAATATTTCAATTCATTCAGGATCCGAGCCGGAATGCAGGTCGGAACTGTCATAAGGTGGCTTATACCTAGTATTCACTGGTGCCGAGTAGTCCGGTAAAAACAAGTTTCAAACAATTGGCCGTATTCGCATTATCCCATTTTTGTCTTCATCAGCGTCATCTTCATCTAGAGTAATATCGCCTGACAGTTCGTGTTCCTCAGCTCCAATATACATGTTGTGCGCAAGGCTATACACAACTATGCCGCAGCCGGTCTCCTCACTTCAAGTACACTATTCGCCTGGTACCAAACCCTCCCCCTCCTTCCCCCCGAAATACATGACGCCCGTGATTATGCAAACTCGCAACCTCCTCCGTCCTTACACATCTTCCCATCAGCGCAAAGCCTCCCCGGATATATCCTCCCACGGACGTTCAACTAACGCCTCCTCAAACCGCCACGAGTTACCACCTTCGCCACACTATTACCTCAAAACGTCTCAGACAACCCACTCGCCTCAAAATCCGGCACATCACTATCACATTCAAACTCTTTCTCATACGCCTTAGTCGGCAGTATTCCCGCGGCAAGTCCCTGCTTATAGCTCCACAACGGCGCGCTCTCAGTATCCCAAGTCCAATACCACCAGCCCCACCCCTTCTCAAAACTGACCATCTGCGCCTCAGCAAACATCTTCAGGAACTTCTTGTACGTATCGCTGTAACTCCCCACATCGCCATTTGCCTCATCACAACTACACGTCGAATCCTGAGCCGGACACTTTGGCGTCAACGCGTCGAGTGTCGCGTTCCCGGAGTCGTAAGTGCCTTCCCACCGATTGCCCCAGCCTACGTTGGTTAGGTGCTTGGCACAGTCCGAATCGGCCTGTGACCACTCGGCGAACATGGTGGGGCCGAAGCCTGTGGAGGTGTCCATGGACTGGTCTGTTTGCTGGGTCCAGCCGTCGCAGGCGTATTCTACTTTCTTCTGGTGCGTGTAGATAATCTGGTCGTTATTAAAAATAACGTACTGATGGACGTCGAGTACCAAGCCGTCCATCCCCGTCAGCTTGCCCTGCCAGTTGGCGAGGCCCATGAAGCCGTCGCCAAAGACGATGTTAGCGTTCATCCCGTTGGCGCGGACCAGCTCGAAGGACTTGGTGGTCCAGTCCAGTACCGCCGACACGTCGATAGATGTCATTTTGGGCTCGTTCGCTAGACCGTAGAAGGTGATTATGTTCCGGTACCGGTCTTGCGCAAAGAATTTGGATAAGCGGTCGTGCACGTCGAGACTACGCTGCGCGTTGGTATCGCCGTCGGTGCCATTCAGCCAGCGCACCTCGCCTTGCCGCCCGCTGTGGTTCCACCCGTTCTGGCTACCGGGCAAAGCGTGTAGGTCCAGGTTCACGCGCAGGCCGTACTTGCGCGCCCACTCGATGCCGCGTAGGAGGTACCGCCACGATGTGCGGAAGACGTACGGGTCGTTGTCGTACGTCTGCACGGCCCAGTAGCTGTAGGGGATGCGCACGTGGTCAAGGCCCGCGGCTGCGATGTCGCTGAAAGTCGACTCCGTCACGAAAGTGGCATAGTGCTTCTCGAGCGTAGCCGCCGCTTTCTTGGCCCCCAAGAATGTGCATAGCGTATACTCGTCGATGATACCCAGCTTTGAGTCGTAGTTGAACAGCGACGGCGTGATGAAGGGCTCCAAGCTTAACCAGCCACCGAGATTGACCCCACGTGCAGGAGTGGACGAGTAATCGCCCCAATCATCGTTTAGGGCGGCTACTTTGTCATTGGCTTGCGTCGAGTCGTCCCAGTCGGTGTACAGACCCATGATGGGCAGGTCACCCACCGTTTGGTTCGTGTAGGTCACGTTGAAGTCGTCGGTTGTGTACCACGTAAAGGGGTCCAAGTAGCTGCCCCGTGCGGCCGTTGGAATGTCCGACTCAGTCATGCCGTCCAGACTGGAGTTGTCTTTACTGGAAGAAGACGAGTTCTTCTTACTCACCACCGCTGCTACTGCAATGATAATAATCAACAGAACTGCAGCGACGGCTCCTATGATCATCCCTATCATTCTGTTAGCAGTTGTAGAATGGGATGGGGGAACTGGGCTTGCACACATTTCCGCTTCTTCTTGTTCACAAATGGTTGTTCCTCGTAGTACCCATCCTTCGCTCGTGCAATACTGTCATAACTTTCATGGCTGCTGTGCTTGCTACTCCCAGCTCCACCACGTATTGCCGCCGCTCTACCTTCCTCCATAGCGGCACCGCTTACCACCCTGCGCTTCAACCCAAACGTGGAAGTTGCCGGGTCGAGGGTCGATTTCGTCTTGTCCTGACCTCGTGTCTTGTCTCTGCGTACTTCTTCATCGTCCGTCGCCGCAGCCCTACGATGCCGCTTTTCTTTCCTAGGCGATTCGTAATCGGTTTCCCCATCGGTAACAGCTTCTTTCCTACGTCTCCTGCTCCTTGGTGTTTCTCGGTCTGTTTCCACGCCCGCGTGCGTCTCCCTGTTTCTCCTTTCTCTCCTCGGTGAATCGTAGTCCCTCTCATCATCTGTGTATGCGGGCCTCCTCCGTCTGTCTCCCCCAGGCGACTCATGACCCCTTTCATAGTCCGTCGCTGTCGGCCTTCTTCGCCTTTCCCTCCGCGCCTCACGGCTCACGTCCCGGCTTCCGTCCCTCTTGCGGCGCTCTCTCGTCGGCGTAGCTGCGGGTGGTTCGTAGTCGTGATTTACAGGCTTATATTCCGCTCGCGACGGACGTGCTTTCTTCCGTCTCTTCCCCGCATCCCTTGGGCGGTCTTGGTCGGATTCTGTGACGGGGCGGCTGGTGTTGTAGTCATTCAGTTGCGCCAAAGCATCTAGGGACAGCTGCTGGGAATTGCCAGAACCCGTACCGCTCCTTGTAGCATCAGGAGCCGACTCTGCCGCCCTTCTCGAACTGCGTTCCCGTGACGATTTCTTCCTATGGCCTTGTCTGCGCTCCGACTCACGATGGCGGCTGGCGCTAGCATCGCGCGGCGCCATGGAGAGGGGGAAGGAATGCTGCGAAGTAGGTGTTGAAAATATCTTAGACAATGCGGCTTTATCAGAGCAGAAACCAGCCGCGGAAACTGATAAGCGAATATGCAGGCTATTTCTGGAAGGATTCTATCCGATCAATCTTTCCCGAACAATCAATGTGACCGTGATGGAATGAATTTGACAATTGGCCAAATCGTCACACGACGTTGTCCGGGCAACCAGGATCGTCTACGTAACTGTCTGGTGTTGGCATTGGTCAAGAGGCCACCTGGCATTCGTGACCTTGTGCATATTCTTGGTTTGAACATGATGGCAGCTCCTGTTAAGTGACTTTTGAGTGTAAATTCCTCTTCATCGATGGAACACTGATTTTATGCTAGACTCGGGTTGCACTTGCGACACTCTTTCCCCAGCACTCCAGGATATCTCAAGTCCTTGCCAAGACGGCTAAGATAATGATAAGCCACTAAGCCGAATCGTAGGGTTCTCTGAAACCGAGACCCCCGAAGCTAAGCGCCTTACATGATACGGGCAGGTGGCTTTCTTTCTCATCTTCGCCATCATGGCATTGTCCATGTTCAGTCCTCAATTGAAGGTTCCTGGGCATCGATTATGCCTCTACATGAGATAAAAATACCAATCTCATGATGAAGGCGTCGCAATCGCTTCATCGCCTAGCCCGAGCGGCAACGACGCCATCAACATCCCGCCTGTCCAAACTCCCCATCCTCTGCGCACATCAGCGCTCGCCATACTCAACCCATCCTCCCAACGCCCGCCTCAACCTCCCTATCGACTACTCGACAACCCCCTTACTATGTCACAGCACCGACTCCGCCCTTGACAGCCCCGAGCTGCCCTCCCACGTCAAAAACGGTAGCACAAAACGCATGAACCTCTTCCAAGCCATCAATGATGCCCTCGCCACCGCCCTGACTCAAGACGAGAACGTCCTCATCTTCGGCGAAGATGTCTCCTTCGGCGGTGTCTTCCGCTGCACCATGAAACTAGCCGAGTCCTTCGGCTCCGACCGCGTCTTCAACACGCCCCTGACCGAGCAAGGGATCATGGGATTCGCCATCGGCGTCGCGGCCCAGGGAATGCGACCCGTCGCCGAAATTCAATTCGCCGATTATGTCTACCCGGCTTTTGATCAGCTGGTCAACGAGGCGGCCAAGTTTCGGTTTAGGGATGGAGCGTGTGGGCGTAGCGCGGGCGGGATGACGGTTAGGATGCCGTGCGGAGGCGTCGGGCATGGAGCGTTGTATCATAGTCAGAGTCCTGAGAGTCTGTTTACGCATATTCCGGGCTTGAGGGTCATCATGCCGAGGAGCCCGTTGCAGGCGAAGGGGCTGTTGCTCGCTGCGATAAGGAGTAACGATCCATGCATTTTCATGGAGCCCAAGATTCTATACCGTGCAGCGGTGGAGCAAGTTCCGACGACGGTGTATACGCTGCCTTTGTCCAAAGCGGAGGTGTTGAAGGAGGGAAGCGATGTGACCATCATTTCGTACGGCCAGCCATTGTACATTTGCAGCGCTGCTATACAGAGGGTGGAGGAGGATTTGGGCATTTCGATCGAGTTGATTGATCTGAGGACGCTTTACCCCTGGGATAAGGAGACGGTTTTTCGCAGCGTGCAGAAGACGGGGAGGTGCATTGTTGTGCATGAGGCCATGGTCAATGCTGGGGTCGGTGCTGAAGTTGCTGCGGCCATTCAGGAGAATCCCGATACCTTCATTCGACTCGAGGCGCCGGTGCAGAGGGTGGCGGGATGGAGCATACACACTCCCCTGCTGTTTGAAAAGTTCACCGTACCGGACGTTGCAAGTAAGTTGTCCGAGGCTAAGTCTGGCGATGACAGCATGTCAGCATGTCAGTGGCAGATTTGCTAACCATTTCACAGGAGTATATGATAGCATCAAGAAGGTCCTGGAATATTAGAAGACGAAGGAAGGCTCGTAGTCTAGAAAACTTCTCGCGATCAAACTTGCTGTATTTGTTCAATGTTTTAAGTAGATGCGCATCAAAGAGAGGAATCAAGCGGGCATCATGAAGAGCGCATACTTCTTCGATTTGAGGTAGCAAATGAAATGGGCTAAATGGGCACTGGTCTGTTATTCCAAGTAGATAACACTTGAAAGCCGAAAAGTGCTTAGATATATATATATATAAGCTGTGTCACTTGCTGGGTGGCAGACTTACACAATGACTCTTCCCCATATGAGAAGGTCCTACATGTTGCATTTGACAAGTAGTCAGACTTACAAAAATATAGCGACTGCCCTCAATCGCCATTTCTGCTATAAGTACAAAAGTTCAACATGATGCTTATAACTTTATGCACCTCTTTCGCTTCAAGTCCTTTTGCATTACCCAATAATATGAACAATCAGAATCCACATGCTGTTACTCCAGTTCGATGGTCTCGGCCCACATTAAGCTTTAGTGATAGAGCGCATTATCCACCAACTCCTCACATCAAATCATCATTGGGGGATGTGGTCTGTAAGTTACACCGCTCCATTGTACATATGTCTCACATGGTTCTAACCTTCTACAGAGTGGTATGACGTTTCCTTAGCATGCTCAAGCATGGAAAAGGTTCTGGGTTCGATTCCCAGCCTCTCCACATTTTTTGATTTTCTTGAGGATGCGATTTGTTCTCTCTTCCTCTATGCTTCACAATATGCATCTGGTTAATTGTTTTTTTTTCTTCATTTGGGTAGAGTTGTTCCATCAGTTGCTGCGTTTTTTGATGCTGAGTTTGTTCGATTCCGAGTTTCCCCATATTAGGAAGTTCTTGTTCCTTGCGTTTTGTAAAATTCTACGGCATGGTTATCAGTTGACGTCTCCCGTGACTCGATAGTTAGTTAGCAACAGGAACCGATGTTGTTGCGTAGGATTTGAAGCTGAGAAGCTCCAGCCACAGGTGTTTCTTTCGCGGTGAAGAGCGCGCTGTTATTGACTGGCCATTTCCCCACTTGAATCCAGCATGAGTAACTCACTTGAGCACGTATATTGTGTATTTATGGTGGGCAGAACTAGGGACGCCCAAAATCTTGCTGCATGCAATCTCGGAAGGCTTAAACAAGAGTGAATTTATTTTGCAGTCTGTCTTCGGATTTTGGTAATTCGCAGAGCTACGGGCTGCTCTTCCATGCGAATATAACCCAACCCGGAAAAAGACATGCTGTCGACGATACTGCCGCTGGAGTGAAAGCTTGATAGACCATTGGAGACGCTTAGGAGTAGTACTCGAAGAACTAGTCTATGCAGGGCCGGAACCGACCACCCTTACTCAGTTGCAGCTTACGCGAAAAGATGCAGGCAGGAGAACCTATAGGCGTCTGCTGCAAGTGCTTATAATATATATCCTCACTCACACTCACTTGGGTAAGAGTGCGCTGCCAACCAAGCTGGCCCGGCGATTTCTGTCAGAATTTATTCTACAGTTAATTGGAAGCTTGCATTGTCATGGTTTCTATATGTGGCAGTGTTTGATATCATAACGGTTTGTCGTATGGGTGAAGCGGTCATTGCATCAGACTGATCTGTGTAGGTGTGAATCCAGTCATGAGGGAACGTGATTGGTCAAACATGCAAAAGATAGCCACAGATACTCGGTTGGCTTGAGGAAGTAATGCAAGTTTCAGGCTGACGTCGATCGAGTACAATATCAAGCGAGTCGAGGTCTGCGTGGGGTGTGGTATGCAAAGCAGTCACTAAAACCCGCCAGTCTGCCTATCTTTTGGCCTAGTTAGTTTGGCCATAAAGGGAGACTCAGATAAATGTAAGCATTGCTTACGTTATGTGAACATAACGTCTAGAATAGCATGACGGACGTGATGTCCAAAGTAGCTTTGCAGAGTAGTCTATTGAACTTGACACCGATACTAGCGAAACATGTGGTCGCTATTTCGTCTCCGAAAGGATGCAGAATGACCAGTGCATATCAAGGCGCTTTCCTATATGGCCTTGGCGGCATAACCTGCGGTGCATGGGGATCATCTCAAGATATTCCGGTGTCCTATGCATCTTGTGATAGCTTCCGCCGTCAATTCGACTTCATCGAGCATCAAGGCTGGAGTGATCGAAACACCAATGCATACTGCTAACATGAAGGGAGAACGACACGACCTGGTCTATTAAACGTCAACAACAGCTATATGTGCGTCAATCAAAAAATCGCAACCCAAATTGAATCCCATCCCGCCACCACCAAGTCCTTGAGTCTTCGTATGTCGCATTCCGGATGGCCATCACGTAATTTCTTTCTTAGTTCTGAGCCTCCTTCTGAGCTTGCATATACTGGTAGGTACCATAGGCGGCAAGACCACCGATGAAGACGGCGGCGTACAAAGCTGTACCCAGGCCGGCCGTGCTCGTGTTCGCGGAAGGTGACAGGGAGGGTTGAGATGCCTTGGGCTCAGGGTCGCCGGGCTAGAAGGAAGAAGATGTATGTTAGCATATTGAGCGAGCGTGTGAGATCGTGGTGGTGGCCAGGAGAGGGCGACAGTTGTTGGGTTTTGCTTACCTGTCTCTTTAGGCTGCCGACAAGCAACGTCTCCAGGGTTTCCCGCGCCTCGTCACTGTGACCGACGTCCTCGAATGCCTCTGTTGCGTCCTGACCACCGACGTCTAGCATGACTTCCTCACCACCGCTGTATTCCGGATCGGGTTGTCAGCAAGTCTGACCGCAACAGCATCAGAAATGGAAAGAAAAGGGGCCAGCGGTGGAAAGGCCCTCGGATTCGGGATGTTCGCACTGGACAGAAGTAAGGACGGCACTTACGGATGCTCGTCAACAAACTTCGTCGTATCGTAGATCTTGTCATGTATGACCATGAAGAGGTCCTTCTTGGTGTTGTGCTCAGCAACATCCTGATACGTGTACTCCTTCTCGGCCATTTTTGCGAATTTTGATGGGAAAGGCAATCAACCGGTCTATTGATGATTCGTTGGGGGGAAATTGCGACAGATGTTAAGGCGACGTGAGGTTTGTCCGACTGCGGTGAGATAAGAACATGAAAGGAAAGGTGGTGGTGGTAGTGGTCTAGAAGGCTTAAGATGGAGCGGAGGAGACCCGGAGGTGGTGCTGGTGGTGGTGGCCTTTTCGGCAGAATTTCAGATGTCGAACTTTCCACACTGCACTCCCCTGTCTAACGATCTCACCCAATCTGCACAGCTCCAGAGGCTGCAGCGAATGAAAGTGCTGCTAATGTCAGTGCATTGATGTTGGGGACCCGTTAGTGGCTTGTGCCTTCTGTAATTGTTGAAGTATGCCCGATGGCCCTCATCTCTTTTTGCGGGTTGTGTTATCTTTAACTTTTCAGCGGCCGCTATAACTCTATATGGACCAGCGGTATTACAGCAAGACTTTGGAACAATTACATAAGAAACGATGGTTCGAGCTAGATGCGTTGAATTCGATTATCGTCAAACACAATGCGATGATGGTCAGTAAAACTTGTGCAAAGGTACAAAGTGGATTCTCGGGTTGCTATCTCTCCCTCCAGCTTGGACTCCTGTGAGGGGAAACTCAACCGACGCCTCGGTTCCATTTGCCGGTGAAGGTAATTGCAACCACAGAATCCTGGGGCAAAAGCGAGCTCGATGCATAACTTTATGAAACCCAGCAGACGCTTGGCTTGATTTAGAGACAGACCCAATGAAATTACTGCTGTGAACTATCCAGGGCATCCGAATACGTGTATTGGATACGGAGTGACCATCTCACAGCCCATGCTGGACGTTGCAACATCTTGGAATATGGCCTAATAAGAGGTGCCATTGGTGAAGCCATGCAATTCAACTCAGGTGTGACTTGGAATACGGAATACTTGGCCTCAGTAGGAGGCATGACGCTCCACTCGTGGCGATTCCTGAACAGTAGCAGCCGGTTGCCCAACCTTACGGCCGTCTAGACCATCACCTCGGCTCCGGAATACCAGACTGATCAACTAAGTCGAAGCATCAAATTGTTGTAGAGACGGCCCGGCCCTGATTTCGAAGTCCGGTTACACTGCGGCCGATTCAGTAGTTCGGGCCCGTGTCAGCTCAAGTAGCCACGGCGAAGGGCCGAACCATGTCTCAACTAGTATGACGAAGGAGACCATCTACAAGCAGGGAAAATGCCATGAGGGGATGTGGATTCGTCTGGCAATATGCCAGCATCGAGGGCTCGAAAGCCAAGTCCACTCAGCTCAACAAGCTCAGTCTACATCACAAGACGAAATTTAGCGTTGGTCCAGTATAAATCCGTTCGTATATATACGGGTTAGAGCATGTTAGAACATTTCCCCGTGTACTCCATCCAGTATTAAGATAGCTTCTTCGTCTTCGTATTTAGATGGCCAAACTCTGTGGACCTAATTTCGTCGTTGTACGGCCTCATCACTTTTTCTTCTCCTTTTCCTTCTTTTTCTTTTCTTTTCTTGTAGACTTTTTTCCCCAGTTCTTGAAACACATCCAAGCATGGCAGTTTTGTCATGTCCATAGAAAAGACACCCATGTCTAAGGGCGGGTCTGTCGAGTTCTAGAAAGATCGCTGGGATTCATTATTCGGATACTCCAGAACCTTGTTATTCAATATGGATTTAATTATGCAATGCTTGCAACAGCTCCCCCACTTGCCCCGCGCTCGCATTCGGTGTCAGCTCCAACATCAAACCTAGAAGCGTCCCTCCAGACAACAACACCCTAACAATGTCTCTCGAAACGATCGAGTCCTTCGTGGAAGGCGCGCCGCCCGGAGAGCTAGCAGACGTCGTGGCCGACATCAAAGCCCTCACCGTCAACGACCCTGGCCTCGTGTCGAAGCTCACCCCCGCCTTCGAGAAGTACAACGAGGAGCAGTTCACCACAGTCAAACTGCCCGGTAGTAGCCAACAAGTCGTTATCAGCTCGCACAACTCCTTCGGCGATGGGCGCTACTACGACGTTGAGAGCTCCTCCAGCTTCGCCTTCAACCACGCTACCCAGAAGGCCAGCAGCGTCCAGAGCCACGTGCTCGAGGGCCCGCAAACCGACCTCGTCAAGTCTACGCTCAAGAGCCTGTCGACCTATGCCCGGGAGCACTACGCCAACGCCGCGTACGGCGTCTACCCCATCGAGAACGATTCCAAGGTCGCCATCGTCCTCGTCGCCAACAAGTACAGCCCCAACAACTTCTGGAACGGAAGGTGGCGCTCGCTCTACGTCTTTGAGCCCACGTCGGGCACCCTCGAAGGCAGCCTCAAGGTCGATGTACACTACTACGAGGACGGAAACGTCCGTCTGTTGACCAACAAGCCGGTTTCGAGCTCGGCGGGCGCGACGGGGGTGGCTATTGCCAAGGAGATCGCAGCAGTGGAGAAGAAATACCAGGAGGAGCTGAACAGGGGTTTCATGTCGCTGAGCGAGGGCGCGTTCAAGGGACTTCGAAGGCAGTTGCCTGTGACGAGACAAAAGATTGAATGGGACAAGGTGGCCAGCTATCGCGTGGGACAAGACATTGGAGGTGCGAGACGATAGGGGGACCGTTTTCATCCCTGATGAGCATCCTTTTCCCATTCATATAAAAGCGTTATTCGATACCATGAATATCAGTCAGTTTGATTTCCACAAAACTTCTTTCTGGAGACAGTCAGATTCGGTGTCAAGGACTGACTTCTAACATGGCGTGGATTCCCACGTCAGTCGAGTCTTGAAAGGACGACCCTTCATACGGGGACAACGCATCCCCAAAGTCTAGCAAACATCTCCGTATAATGGCAATGTCCAAAAGACATATACAAGTCTGTTATTCCATGGCTTATCCACGTCGAGAATTATTGAGGGTGAGGCATGAACAGACACTTCATTACTAGTGCCCAGCGCACTCGTACGAGGAGCGTCCAAACACGCTGTCGAATCACTGCTCTTTCTGACCAGGAGCGTGTCACTAACATGGAAAGCCCAGTGCAGATGGAACCCTGGATGTGTTCCCAAGGGAAGAATGCTATGAAAGCAATAACATATGCTCTCTAGAGGAATAAGCTCAGGAATTTGGAGCCAGCACTTATCCATAGAGAAATAGGACGACCACAAGTGGCAATACGATAATAGCTAGAATGCCACTGTATGCATCAAAATATATGTGAGTAGTTCCGTGCATTGGACCATGGAAGTCCAAATTGGGTGTGATATTGACGAATGCGTGCCTTCACCCCAGGCAGCCAGAGCCAGGCCCACTTTGTTCGCCATTCAAGCCACGACTCCCCGTATTTTAATTCTCCGACACCGACACCAGCCTCGTTTGAGTCAGCCTTGAGTTCTTGGATTATCCGCTTACTGTGATTCCTCGGTTCTCCATTTCGAAAATTATATTGCCCAGACTTTTAACAAAGAGGTTCTCTTGCGTTCATTATCCACTTCACAACCACCGTCCAGGCCGATTCCATTCTTTCAGTAACCTGCCATCAACCGCTAGCCGAAGTCGATTGCACTCTCCAATTATCTGCTAGCAACCGTTGCCATCGTCAACCAGGTCCCTTCAAGTCTCCATCATCAGTGTCTAATAGCCAGCCATCCACCATGTCTTCAGGCAAGCTCGGCCTCAGCAGTACGGGCAGCAAGCGCAGCCTCCAACCTCCATCTCCGTCGCCCTCGAACGCGTCGAATGCATCACACGGCACGCCCTCGTCGAAGCGTCAGAAACGTGAGGCAGAGGCAGGCAAGAGCAGCATCCGCAATCTCGCCGCAATAAACCCCACGCCGGCTGCGGCTGCCGCAGCCAACGTCAACTTTGGCGATGACATCGGTACCCAGATCTCCTTCGCAGTGACGTTCTTGAAGAACAAGGGTGCGCCCAAGACGTTGCAAGAAGTTCTGGAACACCTGTCTATGCAGCACACGGCCGAAGCGCAACAGAAGCGAATCGCCTTGCGCATGCGTAACCATCCCCAGATCAGCTTCATTGCCGAGCCGAAGAAGAAGGGAGGCGACGGTGATAAGGAGAAGGCGCAGCCGTCATGGCGAACGGGCAGGTACGAACACGTTGCCAAGATCCCAGGAGTAAAATCCAAGGCGACGCTGCTCGAGTACCTGCAGCGCAAGACGGACGCAAGCAAGCTGGAAGTAAAGGATCTGAAGGACGGCTGGCCCGACTGCGACAAGGCGATTGACGAACTTGAGGCGGAGCACAAGCTGCTGGTGGTGCGGACTAAAAAAGATGGCCACGCCAAGTTTGTATGGATCGACAGTCCGGAACTGTTCCACCCCGTCGATGCCGAGTTCCGCAACATGTGGCTGAAGGCCGAGCTGCCGTCGCTGGACGACATTGTGCGCAAGCTTAAGGCGGCGGGGCAGAAGCCCGCCAGCGACGACCCCCGGCTCAAGGTTAAGGAGACGGCCAAGTCGAAGCAGAAGAAGCGCAAGACCAATTTGAAGAAGGCCAACTTCACCAATACGCACATGTTGGGCATGCTTCAAGACTACAGTCATCTGCGACGGTGATGGAGCTTTTGTGGAATTTTGCAGCTGCATTGGGAGGCGTTTAGTAATGGTGATGGTTTGAAGCATCGACATGGCAACTTGGCATGATCAAGACGGATCGCTTTTAGGTTGTCACATTCGCACATAAAAAGGTTTGATTTCGGCGTTGCGGCAGTATATTTGGACAGACCTGTCGATGATGGCAAAGAGGAGAATGTGGCTATTCTGCCAAATCATCGAAAGGGATGGTTGTCCTTGGAGGTTTCTAGGGGATGCAGCGACAGATTGCTAATGAACTAATCGTCTCATATAAGAGGGTGTGAGGACGAATATCTACTTGTCCTAGTGGTCTGGTTCTCAGCCCATTAGGAGCAAGTACGTGAGTATCGAGAATACTGACATTTGCCATGCCAATAACCCAGGATAGCCCTTAACAGCACTGCAATTGTGAGATGCTATCAGAGGGAAAAAGAAAAGGCGGGCAAGAAAAAAAAGATAGAACTTCTGTTGGCATCACTGTATAAGTCAAATGAAAGCTCGATACAGTGCCGTGCGAAGCTTTCCACATGAATCCGATCTCGCATTGTCCACTGTCTCTCTAGATATGCTATTTACTTGCGCTGCCAACACAATCTAAAAGTTCTCAACATTGGTTCAGCCCGGTAGTTCAAATAGGTTTAAGACCCTGACCTTCAAGCCTAGCACAGGAGTAGTTCAATGTCTCTCATGCAGCCTCGACAACCGGCGCCAACTCACCTTTCGCAGAGCACATCGGATTACTGAACGAGATTAGCCCCTGTCTGCCCTGCGGTGACACTTGATTGGTCAGTATGCACTTCTTCGCTGGCCCCCATGTTAATGGTCCGTTATTTGCATACGGTAGCCAACAACTCAGCTATATAGATCAGTAATCGTAGATTGCACATTCAGGTTTTTGTCTCGCTCCTCTCTGCTAGATCGAGGCCATGATCAGGCCATGATCAAACCACTGCGCATCCCGACCTAATCTGCCGTATGCTGGATGCCGTGTCCCCATCACTCCTAATGTCTCGTGTACCGTATTCCCTGCCGTATCGCTACCGATGATGCCCGTCACCACCCCCCTCCTCGACCATCCTCTCCCTCGCCTTCTCAAACACATCCGCAAAGAACCCTGGCTCTTGCCACCCCTCGGCCTTGAATCGTCCCTGAATTACAAATCCCGGAATGCCCCTAAACCCCCTACTCCTGACCTCGGAATCTAGCGTATCGATCGCGAGCCCCCACTCCTCGCTCTCGAGACAAGCACGCACTTCCTCCCGTGGCAAACCCAGCACCGTTACACCTACTTCTAGAAGCCACTCGCGGTCCCCGATCCCGTGGCGGGACTCGAAGTGGCCTCGGTATATGGCCTCGAGGAGGCGCAGCTGCAGGGCGGGGCCGCGCGGGGGGGAGTGTGCATAGGGAGAGGGAGTGCCGGTGATCGCGAAGGCGGTGCTGCGGATGATGGTGGGGCGAGGCTCGAGGGCTAGACGGAGAAGCTTGTGTGAGTCGCGCGAGTTGCCACTTAGACCGTCGAAGTCGAAGTCAATGCCGACGAGGTGGCCACGTTGGGTCCATTCGTGCAAGCGGATGTCTGGGTGCCCTCGTACTTGGGTTAGCCAGGTTCGGTTGCTGGGGACTGGAGGGGTGTTTGGTTAGCTGTGCTAGACTTATATAGGTAATTCGCTTCAGTTGTTGTGTGGGTATGAGATGGTGCAAGTTGTATCGAGCGTAGCCATGCTGTTCTGCAGGGTTATATGTAATGCCTTTGTGATGATGGGACGTCTTGGAAGGGATGAAATAGGGAAGTTGGGTTGTTTAGGATGGATGGTCTCCATTGTAGTGTGCCTTGCTCGTGCCTTGCTCTGGCCGGACAGGGATGGACCTTACATTTCCATGTGCCAGAGTTTGGTGGATGCTGGTTGAAGAACATTGAATAGCAGAGCCACTGAAGCAACCACAGTACGGGTGATGGGGGATAAATAGGAAAAGTATGGTCTATCTTACTAGTTCGAGGTGCCAATGGATTTAGTATAAAAGGTGAGCAGGTAATCTCAAAGGTCGCCCCTGGATGCCGTGCCTTGTATATTTCAATGGCCCGTTCGAGATTCTTGAAGCCAATGAAGCAATGCGGACATATCGTGTCGAGGATGAACTCGATGATAAAATGCATATCCTGTGAGATCGAACTCTCCTTCTTGACGGCTGCCTCCAGCCTGCGTTCTTCTTCGCCAGCGGGCAACTCGTCCTCCGGCTGCAGCAACTCCTTGATGCTTTTCATCGTGTTGGTGTGTCTTGGTTCACCCTGATTGGGTCTGATGCTCCAATGTTGAGGTCGAGGTGAAACCTCCGTCCCGGGAGAAGCTGAGAAGATGATGCTCCTTTTCGGCAGATGTCGGTCAAGGTCCCGTGACAGCTTACACAGGGACTACTGCCCCGAGAACAAATTGATAGAGAGTGTTGGTCGAAGCCCTCCAACCCACGTTCCAGTGCTGGCCACGTGGTTGAGTAATGATAACCTGTTGCGTCTGCCAGTACCGTCGTAGTTTAGTCCGCGAGGAGTGGGAAGCCAAGGGCTATGGTTCTTCTATCCTCGCCAAGTGGCAGCACCGGTACGCAACCCACATATCAAGTCCGCAAGGATAGTGCATACAAAAACCTAATCCGGAATCCAGCTCGCGATATTGATTATGAGACGGCAAGGCAGCAAATCCAGCCGTACCTCCCAAGAAAGGAAGAAAGAAGAAAATGGCTAACTAATCAATCCACGGCAACAGTTAGTACCAACCCACTTGGGGCGTCGTTATCAAAGCCCGAGACGTCTCGCTTCGGTAAGCGTCTTGTGCCGGGACTATATGCCAGCCGCGATATCGCGTCTTCAACGCAAAGAGGCTTCAGCCAAACCAATGCACTCGACTAAAAAGGCGTCCAGTCTTGCCTTGCCGTAAAAGGGGAGAGGATAGAGAGCGCCTCGATCCAACGCGATGCACGGCGGGTTGCAATCTGAAGAAGGTGGTACCATATTGGGAGAAACGAAGGGAGACGGGAGGGAGAGATGGACGAAAGAGGGGATCATTTCGCGACGAGCCCGCGTTGCCATCATCCGGAACATTGCTACCGAAGACGCGCGTGGTGCGCTGCGTTGCGTTGAGGAAAAAGTCGAACCATTGGCGGCGTTGCATCACTTTTGATTTTTTGATTTGTGATCACCAAAGCGCACCAAATGCTCGAGCCCGTTTTCTCTGGCAAGCCGCCGCCTCGGCTAGAAGCTAGAAAGCAAGCTCCGCCGTTGGAAGTAGGTAGTAATAAGTGCGCTCGGGATCATGGATTACATGGAGCGACATCAATGTGGGTGCATCATCAATTGCTTGTCGCCATCATTGGGAAGGTGAAGGCGACTTCCTACACGCATTCCCACACGACCGGATCCCGTCTCCTCCAAATCGGACGGGCTGAGATTTTGAGGCGTCGTCGATGTCTGGAAGTGGTCTGACAAATACACATCACGAGCAGTCTAGACACATGGAAGTCGAAGCCCTGGCCCACAACGTGGTTTTGCGATTCCGTCACATGTCTCCATCGTTAGGGCTGCGAAGGGGGGGACGGGGGGACATCTTGACCCGGTCAGCACATTGTCCGCCCCAATCTCATCTCGGTACTAAGATGCATCGTGATATCGGCTTTTTCTCGTTTGTGCGTGCCTTTGCCATCCTTGCGTGAATCGATTTCTTCTACAAACCCTGAAGCTTGCTTGATCCAAGCGCCTGTTGCTCAGAACCCCACCATTTGGTGGGATGGACATATGTTTTCCCATCAGATTGGGACATCAGCGATGCATCTCGACGAGCGTCTAGTCGCTTAGATAGAAGCATCTAAAAATATTGTCTCGGTCGGATCCTGGCAGCCACGTGGAACAAGTCGACGTACCGAGGGCGCCGCCAACCAGAGTGGCATGGCAATCTCATTTGGGCAATCACATTTCCCAGAAGCTGGCTGGCGTTGATCCCAGCTCAACATAGGGTATCTCCTGCCTGGCCAGTACATGTATGTTTGTGGAAGGGAAAGTCGCCACCAAGGCTTGTGAGGTCTAAAACAAAATCGCCACAAGTGTCCGTCCACCTGTTTACAGCTTGACGGAAGAACTTTGTGCTGAAGTACTTGAGTAGTGGCAGACGGACAGACTAGACTACCGTCCAGGGCGGCAAATATCATTTCGAACGCGCACACGAGCAGCTATGGCACCGCAATATTGTCAGAATCGAGATTACTATGCGTCTATCGAGATCGCTGGCCCACACCAGCGACAGTTCCTATACCAGACATTTCTTTCAGCTCCAAGCCTTCTGTTGAGGCCAACCTGACGAGTAACTCAAGCCCACCTTAGCAGACGCCTCCAACTAGTCTTCCAAAAATGCCCCGACAAAATCCCATTCTCCGACCTGAAGAGGTCGCGGCATTGAGGTTCCCCATCGCTTCTAATCAAATCGCTTTTCATCCTCATTGTCGAAAAACAAAGACCGATTGTCGCGACTTCGGTACTACTCTACAATGAAACCAGCGCGACCCAACTTCTTCCTTTTCGGCTGCCATGCGTGTCCCAACACCTGCATACTTTTCTTTCCTCATACGGATTAGGATCGTCGAGGCTGCCGAGCCTGCCCAGCCTATGCGCCAGCTAAGCTGTAAGAAGAGCAAGAGAACCAAAGACTGCCGCCGCCCACGCCCACGCCCCATCATCCACGGCTGCATGCAAGTCCACATTTTGTATTAGGAAGGTATACGGGTCAAGCTCGGTCCACGCCATGTAATTATTAGGTGTTGCAGTGTAAGGGGAACCTTTTTAACTGAGAAAATTGGAAGCAGCACTGAAAGCACATTGTTTCCGTAACGCCGTCCAACTGACTCCAGTCTCGAATTGTGTGGCGAAAGTGTTCCGTGCCGTGGGTATTCTCAGATTTTCCGGAAGCAGGGTGTGTGAACAAACAAAGGAGATCTATTGGCGAGCTGAGAATAGAGTGATCCCTCAAAATTGATCGTAATTTCGCACAGACAAAGTCCAGGAGCTCGGATCCGTGGGGTGGGTGATATTGAGATCTAGGAAGAGCAGCCGTGTGGCTTCTCCTTTTCAGCCTGGCTCGTCCCCGTGTCAGAACTCAGGCGGTTCGGGATAGCTGTATGAGGGTTCGGCGTTGCTGGCCGGTCCATCGTCCTAAGCTGGACCCGACGCCCACATATCGCCTGGCCGAGCCTTGTTATCGTATGAGTTGGATCCAGGCTCTATGCTCTGAGGACGGCGGATGGTACCAGGGGCGTTTCCATAGTAGAGTTGGCCCATACTAGGAGCGAACGACTGCTCAGTGGGGTCGGGGTAGACATATCCATTTCCGTTGTTGCTGTGAGTTGGCGAAGCCACATGCGGCGAAGGTGATGCCCATCCAACACTGCCCATATGACTGCCGCCAGCGCTACCTGGTCCTGACTGTTGCGTTTCAACATTGGGCTCCAGAGTGGGCGGTGGAGGATAGCTTGTGGGGTGGGAAGTAGGACGCATGCTGTTGCCATAGGCAGGGGCCGATGTAGGGTTTTGCGGGTGCATATCTGTGCGGAGGTGTGCCGGAAGAGAACCGTTGTTGTTCAAGTACGAATACTCATTTTGGCGCATAGCATTGGCAGCGGCAGTCGAAGAAGCAAGGTCAGTGTTGGGAGAGATGGACATGTTGCGCTGTGCTGGAGAGGGTGTGTTCATCGGCGAAGCATGGTTTGACATCGGATCACCGTCGCTGCGCGATTGGCGGGAGGCATGCTTGCTGGCCTGTGCGGCGGCCAGGGCCACCCTTGTCGCTTCAGCCGCCTCCTCCACTGTGCCTGTGTGATGGTTCTGGTGTCGGGTCAATGTAGTGCGCCGAGTGAATGTCTTCTGGCAATCGGCGTAGGGACATTTGTACGGCCGTTTCCCTGAATGAATACGACGGTGTCTTGCCAGTGAGCTTGAATCACTGAAGGGCTGCAAAATAAAAAAAGTTAGTATGAAGTACTCAACGACGTTGCAAGAGTTTCACTACCTTGCCACATCTCTCACACATATGAGGCTTCTCGCCTGTGTGAACGCGTTGGTGAACCGTCAGTGCAGATCTTTGAATGAACTGCTTGCCACAGTTGGCCCAATCGCAAACATGAGGTCTGACGCCACTGTGAATGCGCTCTACAAAATCAGAGGATCAGCATTGAATGTACATTTACAAGTCTCTAATTGGCTTACCATGTCTTGCCAGATCACTGCGTCGTGCAAAGCCCTTGCCACACGTACTGCATGGATACGCCTTTGGCGGTGGCTGTTGTTCCACCTTCGGATTAGGGGGGTACTGAACAGGCATACCGTGACTAGTGGGGGCCATCGGTGGCATGCCAGGAATCATCATACCAGGCGGCATGTTGGGGTCGGTCATGGGCATTGCATGCATAGAAGCAGGCGAGCCATAGGGTCGGGCGTTACCCATGCCGTTCAGAGCTTCCAAAGCACCACCACCACGCGGGCCAGAGTAATGGGAACTCTCTGAACCGTGCGGCGAATTAGTGCGATCGATTCCCGCACCCATCATATGGGGTAGATGCTGCTGCTGATGTTGCTGTTGATGCTCAGCATGCTGAACATGTGCTTGGCCTTGTGCATTGAGGTTTCCAGCCACTGCAGCTGCAGCGTTCTTTTGATCTTGGCCTAGCATGTTCGTTATGTTCATTACCTCTGACGATGGGGACTTCGACATAATGAGGTCCAAGCAGGATCAGGTGAGTCGCTGAAGGTTCGTCAGTATGCCACTCCTTTACTTTCATATATGCGTCGGCGACACAAATATAGAGTCGTCAGGTGCATATGGGTAAATAGCTCCAGTGATCCTAACTGACCTGGACGTGTAAATAGTGACGTATCAACCAGTGGTGGATCTTATCAACCGTATCATCAAAAAGTGGTGAGATATGGAAAATGCGGCTTGTAGCTCCTCGAATTCACCACAAGCTCCAGTGGCGTGCTCTCAATAATCGATGGTTCCAGTGGCTCTGGTTTGGCTGTATATATTTGCCGAGTTCCAGTTATACCCGTGCTTGATGCAATGCGAAAGACGCTGGGAATTCAGGGCGGTACTGATGGCAGACCAAAAGTGAGGCGAAGATGAAGCTGCGAACCAAATCCAACGCGTCACCAAAATACCTTCGTCTGACTATCAGGTTGAACCAGCACACCGCCACAGAAATTGACTTGTCGACTCGGCAATCTTATCCTTGCCCACTGCTGGAATACCTGCAGCAAGGGAACGACTGGAATTCTGGGACTCGTGCGGTCGGAGGATTCGCAAGCGCGTCGGCTCCTTCAGGCAAGCGCGTTGGCAACTCGTTTCAACTTCAGCGAAAATGGCGGAGCTGGAACAGTACCACGGTAGTATTCGCGTATGTTTTTTTTGTTCGTGTCTGCGAACTGGGTGCTGACGTTATGATCTAGAATGTACGTTGAGTCAGCTTCACGGATACAAATGAGAATGCTGGAGAGGCAGTTGTTCCAGAGAATGTCAGGCCGAATAACAATAGTAAACAAGGGAGAGGTGATGATGTTTGCCGCTATTTGGTCGATGGTGGATCGAGTAGCACAGCCCTTGGGTCGGCGCCAGCGGTAGTTGATGCAAGTATGGGCAGTTTGCAGGTTTGCGAGGTCTGTGGTTCAACGGTGCCTCGAGCTCCAACAGCATGCAGACCATCTCATACCAAGCCGCACAATACAGAAGTCGTGGTCCAAAGCCAAAGCACAGATCATGGTGCAGCTACCATGGACCTTGAACCTTGGACCAACGGGCACCCACCGTATACAGCACAGGTCGAGCAACAGCAACGACAAACGCTAATGGGACAGAAGGGCTAGAACGGGGCAGTATGTGGTCCTTACCTGCAACTTTTGATGGCTGTCGCGATAGAGAAAAACGCGTTGGAAGACAATGAGGGTGGTGTGGGGGATAAAGGGAAGCGTTGGGTGTTGTCTAAAGGCAGCAGGACGCGGATGGGATCAGGATTTAGAATCGAGGTCGAAAAGAAAATATTAAGAAGTGACATCGATCAAATGGAATGGCCCCCTGCTCGAATGAAGGTCACTGGGTGCGGTGCTAACTTGGACGTGGTGGTGCGGTGGGCAAGTGGGCTTGCGTGCAAGGTGTGAGTTGAAACGAACTGGGGGCAGGGGAAGGACCACCCGGGTACGTACCTTCCTTGTGAGTCGACTGCCCCCCAAACTCTCTCCGCTGGGCAAATTCGAGCAAAGTTTTGATCCCTTTTCGTCCAGTCAAGTCCGTGCCACCGGGGCTTGTCAGGTACCTAGCCTGACCTAGCTTGCACTGGGATTCCAGTTGGTCTTAGCACTGTTTGAAGGTGGAGAACAAGCCGGGCCAACGCCAGCAGGGCCTCTCAAGACATGTATAGCGTACCTGGGGAATACACGCGAGCTTTCCAAGTCCACCCACGGCATGTAGCGATACTTTTCTCTGGTTTTCCCCCGCTGCTTGGCCAGCGGCAGCATCGCAGAGTCGCAAGAGACGATGAATCATGAGACTGGTCGGCTGTAGCGACCATTATCATCGCAATGCATTTTTTACAGGGCTACTGCGTGTGTACTCAAGTGCATATTGCCGTCTACTATCACATATCCCACCATAGAAGCACGAGAGTCTCAAGCGACATCAAGCAAGGTCCGACAAGGACGGGTTGGTCACAGCTCCTCGAGATCTCTTGAAGCTACCCCTACAATCTACGTCAACCTTGTTGAATTGCAGCAAAACTCTAAAGCGGCTGCGCAGCACTGGGCAGCCGCTCGACTTGATATCGAAGAACAAGAAAAGAAGAGGCAAAATCAGCTTCGAAAGGCATTCATTCATTATTCACCTAGATATCTGATGCAGCCACGCATCACCTGCACGTTACCAACCGCACCAAAACTTTTCTTCCAGCAAATACCAAGTACGCCAACCAGTTGCTCGTCGCCATCAACCAATATTTTAGTATTTTTGCGATTGCGGAACTGCGGATCTCGGGAGATTGCTCATCACATCCTGGCACCCGTTGATTCTCCCAAGATGAGTGACGGCAATTCTGTCACAGCCTAATGAATAATGCGAGGCAAGCGAGGCAAGCAAGGTGTATAGGAGTGCACCTTATGATAACCGTCTGTGGAGGCAACTAAAAGCTGACTCCTGATAGTTTAAAATGCAAAAGTTGAAGCCACAGTTGAGTGGATAATGCAAGGTCATATGTTCACGTGTTCACAGAAGATAGGTACGACAACATTTCAAGCCTTTCCATAGAGGTGCTCACCAAATATGATTTTGCCAGTCGTCATATTTCTGGCTTGCCCAGAAATTCCAGTTAGAGAGACACTTGGACTGGGTGACTTGATTTTGACGAAACAAAGCGCAGCAACGATTGTACCACTCACAGTTCAGAATCCGATTGATGTCAACTCGGAAAGCACTTATTCGACTCGCTGTGCCGGGATGTGCTAGATTTCATTCAATGCAAGGCGCAACATGGACTGACTGCCTGGACCATTGCAGCTTTGGCGGCTTGCGGTAAAGTGACCTGCCTACGAAGCCACCAAAACACACTTTTCGCGATTTTACTCAATAGCCCTGCTCTAAACATCACTGGGGGGCAGGCGTGCAACTAGAAGCTTTCCTTTCGACAACCAACTCATCCCCAGAACTTTCCGTCATTAGGAACGAGCCGTTAGCTTGCGCATTGCTTTCTCAACTCGGGACGTCCTTTCCAACTCCTCCAAATACCGAGTACCATGGACAAAAGAACCGGCCGTTGCCCAACCCCGAGCTATATCTTCATTAATCATGTCATATCCCGGACAATACGAGCTCAAGCAACGTAGCTCTTCGTACCACCCGAGTGGATGCGAACAGCCCTTCCCTCTTGTAGGCGGTCTACTTTCCAGACGCCGGGCCTGTCGGAACTAGCTGAGGCCCAAATATGGTAAAATTGGGACGTAGACCCAATCAACAAATCTGGTGTGTAGCGTCTGGTTGGCTGTGGGGGATGACATCGCGTGGCCAGTGCGTACACCTCTCCAGGCACGCAGATTGTTAGCGGATGAGAACCCCCATTTAAGCGACCCATCAACGTATTCAACTTGCGTGAGAGGTCAAGTACCGGTTTACTTGGACAAGGGTATCATTACCCTCCACAGCACTGAAAACGAGCGGAAGACTAAGTATTAGGGGGGTTGTAATACAGCTAACAATCTGCATGCCCGCCCGGAGAGGTGTACTGGTGCATGACAATCCCAAACAGGCCTGAAATTTGCGCTAACTACACGCAGCAGGTTTCTCGAAGGTTTCTCGAAGCAGGGGAAGGGGGGCATAGAAGCCGTGGAAGCCTTGGCAAGCTTGGAAACAAATGCAACCACGCCAGCGCTCTCATCACTCCGCGATCCATGCATGAGAAAGCAGCGGTTCCTGGTTTGAGGGTAATTAATGCTGTGCCCATGTCCGTGTCCATCTGTTCCCATCGTGAAAGCACATATTTTCACGGAATCCGTATGTGTCAATAGATCAATCCTAGGCCCGTGGAGGGAAATCTCCCGCAGCGGACCCTAGAGCTTGTCTACCTCTTTTCTCGATGCCCTTGAGGCATAAACATCGTGACATCAGCTCAATCTCATCCCTCTCGGCAACGCCTTGGAAGACCGTGTTTGGCATCCTCCATGGCTTCCATACGACTTCTATGACCTTACTGCATCTGGCTTGGCTACATTTACCCAACGTCGATCTAGCCACCCGCAACACCAGCCCGGTTACGTTGAGCACGTTCGTCGGCGGGGGGATATGCTCCAGGCATGAACCGTAACGAAATTGCTCAGCTCCTTTGGCCCCTGCGAAACCCAAGAGCGGCGAAAGCGAGATCACCCATAGCCTAGGTAAGTCTCACCGCCTACTGACCATTTTTCAAGAAACAGCGGAACACGAAACTCAGGAGATGTGTGTTATCCATCGATTGACGTGTTATTTGGTACTATTGAACAAGTTGGGCTAGTCTATCGTCTATCATTACCTGCCACGCACGGTCAATCAAGCTAGTACTAGCAAGAATGGGAATATTCCCATCACCACTTTGGTCGGCGTCCCCGGGGATTACCCAGCTTATTTCACCAACGATCACTTGTCACACGGGGCTTGTATTGCTTTGCAAGCTCCATGACGGACTTATTGGTCCTGGCCTCGAGAACTTTTTATGTGCAGTCGTTCTGAAGATGGCGAAGCGGTTCGTGGGAAGCAACTAACACCACTTGCCCGAGGTTGCGCCCCACCACATACAGGCGGTGGTAAACTCCCGGGATATGAACCATTGTCAACCGTCGAGGGCGATTTGATCCAGGTCAAGGCGACGCCATATTGATGACTACAACACTTGGGCTATGTCGGCCATGCCAGGTGCAAAGCCTGATACGACTCCCATGGCCATTGATTGTAAGTCTGGCATTGATTTCACCTATATTGGGCAGTGGTATCACAATACCTACAGGTAATGGAGGACGACTAGAGTCAAAAGTCAAGGTCACGCCTAAATCTGACAGCGCAATTGACGCGACCGCAATAACGACCCAAAGTATATTCGCTACCATTGAAAGCAGCGGCTTTTATACCTCAACGTTGTCCTGAGCCAACGCGCCCTCCCTAGGTGAGGAGCTGGAGCTCGACAAGCATCTCCTCGTGTCGTCATGTTGCAGGGTTGAGGCAGTCAAATCAGTCATGCTGACCTCCTCTGAATATGCGCCAGACAGCTTTGCGCTCTTGCCCCGGCCATGGTATGCTATGCGCGTGGCTGTGTATACTCTAGATGCAAGAGGCTACTGCGAAAAACATGGTCTACCCCTAGCGCCTCAAATCACTTCAAGGGAAGGGATTATCGACTTCCGTCCCAATACCCAAAAGAGCGATTACAGGCCTATGCAGTGGAACAACATCTCTAGGCGAAACTTGCACCTGTGGCGTAACAGATAATTCTTCCGACAAGATGCGACGATTTGGCACTGTTCTTTCAGTTCACAGCATCAAAAATAGATAGTCGTCTCAACTCTCCGCGGCGCAACGATAAGCGATGCGCCTTTCGGAACGCGGCCAAGATGGCTCCTGCGTGCAGACAAGTATGGATTCGCATGCCATCTTGGATCGACTCCCGCATTGTCTGAGCTTCGGCTTGAGCTAAAAGGTGGTTGTCAAAAGACGTCTCGTGCACGGTCAATTGGATGTGGGATATTTTTTCCATTCACGATCTGGCCCGGCAGCTTCGGGTCGTTTCAGTCAGTCCTCGCATATGTACAGAACTTCCCCAGTCGTTTTCGGATGCCGAGTCCTGGCAGATGATCTTCTTCAATGTAACTTCGGACAGTAACTTCGGATAGGATTAAGGTCAATGGCCTATCCCGATTCACCTAGAGGCGCAATCGTTCGCAAGGTTGGCGCATCGCTAAAGCAGGATTCCAGCAGCATATACAACAAAGAAATCATGGCAATGGTATCAAATGCTGCTTGACCGCCGCCATAGCGCCCTTTTCGTCCACGACGACAAGCTAGCCAAGGAAAGCAAAAATGCAGCCGATCTCCCCGGCATCATCGAGGTGCAGCAACCGAGTCATGGGTTGCTTAAATCATTTCCACACCACGACAAGGATGGAAATACGTGCGACAATATGGAAAGTCTATTCATGGCGTCATGTTTATGATATGAGAAGATTAAACACGTATACCCAGCCGCCCAGGCCTGTCTCCGTGCCTGTTACGAGTTCACTCCGGTTGAAGACCTTGACGGTCTAACATATTCGAAGCTGTGTCGTGTCCACAGTCGGTTGACAAGGAGCATCGTAGTTGC